AGTATTGGGGTGGCCTTGACCGTTCAGCCAGTGATGATATCATCTTGTGCATCTGAACAAGACGTGCGCAAACAATCTCTCTGCCCAATGTGACAGCGAATGGACACGTCTCGAAGCTGACCCGAATGATGTTCGGGAACACTTTAGCCCACAGTGTGGAGTCGTAGGACACTTCACTGCTACAAAGCTCGATAAGGGTGTTCTGTGATGCGCTTCTTCGTTTCCCTTTTTGAATGCGGCTTCTCTCTGCCACTGTCAACTGCTCGTCATTTACATCCAAGATTTGCTGGGAATCAGCCTCCAATATTCTGATGATTCTCGTGTTTTCTTTGCCCAGAGCACTATCGAATTCAGTGATGAGGCGTAAAACATTAATGGCAAATGCCCGAACTCTTCGAGATTGCGAGCACAAGAAGAAAAGACCATGTGACTCAATCTCTTCCACATGTGCAAGAACACTCGAAAGGTCGAGATGAAGCGCTCGGCTTCCAGATACGGACTTTTCAAGCTGGTCTGATGCGGCTTCTTTGGTCTTTTGCTTGATCTCATCAATCCAGATACTCAAAAGCTCAACATAAAGTCGGAGTGTTGACTCAATATGCCCAGGGCCAAGCATCCCCTCGTCGGACATGGTGGAATAACGTGCATCAAAATTAAAAATAAACCTCGCGAAGCCAATGGTAACTTGCTGCGCATGAGATTGCCGGGCAATCGATTTCAACGACTCCGCTGATGACTTTGCAATATTTGATTGAACATGTGCAGTCCCTGTGCATAACAGATTGATCAATGAGTTAAATGGAATATGGTCAGAAAGGCAACGAGGTAAAGCCTGGACTGCAACGTGCAGAAGGTCATAGAAGCCTTGCTTTTGATCGAGTGCGTTCACGTGGTCATCGCGACGTCCGAATCCGAATGCTTCGGTCAGTGGAGTTTTGGGTGTAGTGCCACCAAACTTCTCATCTAACACTGCCTGACCCCCAAAGGTATTGTCACAGAGAATGGTAATCCTGCCGAGCACTTCACAGAAACGCAGGTAGTACTCCTTTACGTTCGCGCTCAGCCTTGATATGTTGACAGGACTCCATGTTGAGTCAGGCTTTTGAGCTGATGGGCCCACCTTGGGCTCTACCAGCAATTGTGGGCGATGGAAGTAGATGGGGGTAGAAGAATCCAGGAATGGATTTGGGAGAGATCCAGTGGGGAAAGGAGGGCAGAGCTGATCGCTGGTTTCAAGATCTGACATGGTCGCCAGGAAAGAGCGGATACCGATGACCATCTTCTCTGGCTCCATCTGTTCAATCTTGACTTCTCTGGAAGACAAGAAAAGGTCACTGTTGATCAAAGGAAATATAATGGTTCTAAAGCAGACATCTGGATGCTTGAAACCGATCATTCGGATCAATTGAATCAAAGGATCCGCAAAGGCGGGTTCTGCGCTAAGATAGGTCCGGCGTCCAGTAGGCAAGGCAATCTTGGTCACTTCCTCTAGCTTGCGAAGGGTGACCGTTGGGGAATCGGAATAGCGGAAGAAGTAGGTCCAAACGAGACGGCAAATTGCCTGAAGGGCTGGAGCTCGAGTAGGGCGATCTTTCAACCGCGGGGGCAGACTCGTTACCATCGAAAGCCACTGTGCGGAAAAAGTCTCCTTGCTCGATATACATAGCAAGAGAACGTTCAAAGAGTATGAGGAAGCCCAGTGACGAGGCTTGGTAAGAAGTTGCGCCAGCCGCGGCTGGACCAAATCCAGAAACTCCTTCCACCGGGGAATGGAGAGGTCAACTGTCGGATTCGCAGCCACAGGAAGCAAGAGTTTCTCGATCACGTAGCAATAGGCTTGTTTGATCCTTTGTCCATGGGCGTTGACAAATAAACGTGCTAAGGATCGCATAAAGTCGCACGACTTGCTCCAGTTATCAGGATTCATCGGGAGGCGCAGATACCTCATACCCAGGATCAGCAGTTCCGCTTTCGCATCACCGTCTCGTGTTGGGCCACGGGCTGCTTCATCTTTTTGGAGCTTTTCGAGCTCGGTCAAAAAGCGGTTGGCCACACTAGTAAAGCTTGCTTCGCTCATTATTCCTAGCAATTGGCCATATATCCTCCAGTTGGCCATGCGGAGAGGGGAAGCTGAGATTTGCTCCGGGTCAACAGTCTTTATTTGGCCAAAAACAATATCTTCGAGACGGTCTGCCATGTCGAGTGTAATTGATGCCAGACTACTCTGGTTGAAAATTTCGATCAGGACTCTGCATACCAGATAGACTGAAACTGTTGCTCGACGTTCAACCAAAGCGACGTCGTCATGGCGAGGGATGAATGGCGTTTGCGGAGAACGGTCTGCCGGCGCACCTGGGTCTATGGCTGGTTGTGTGGGTTCCGTGTTGCGACGCATAAGCACTCCATTCTCTGTGACAATTGGCTTGGGCTGGGTCCGGTTAGCGAATACATTTCTGCTTGTCAGTAGATTTCACATACCGGCTCATTCGTCATCTGCCTCGCAGTGATTGCAGCGTCGCCCTTGGCCTTTCTCCAAAGCATGATAGTATCAATCAGTGGTTTTGGCTTCTGGCGCGCAATGTGGCCCAGTGCTGATATCAATTGATCGAAATCCGCGTCGGCACCTGGTCCGCAAACTTCCTCCACGGGGGCTTCCGATTCCCCTAATTTTAGGATTGCCTGGTTGATCTTACTGTCTGCCTGGCCAACAAACTATTGGACGAATTGCCGGTCAGTATGGGCTTTGTCTAATTTCAGCGGGTAGCGTCTATGGGACTCTCTCCCTCTCTATCTTACCGAATTAAATAGATGATGAAGCGCATATTCTCCCACAGTTTTCGAATCGGAATGATGCTTTGAATGTGAGCGGCTGTGGGACCGATCCCGTCTCGATACCCCTCCAGAATTCATTCTCTTGTGTACCACGCTCACGGGGCTACCATTCATCACGTCGTCTATATCGTTGTCCTGAATTGTGCTTAGGGGTACCGGATGGGCATGGCTTGTAGGGGCACCCGCTGGACTTGGGAAGTTGGGATGCGCATCGAGCTGGTCAAGCTTCGTTGGACCAGGTTCATCGAAAGAGGAGCCACGGCCGAGAGAGGCGATCAGCTCGGGGCTGAGGGGGACTAGCGGATGCAGTCGAGCCAGCCATGCTGGGGTTGCGCGAGTGTTGCATACCATGGACGATGGAGGTCTGTCGGTGATGGCCGTACGAGTTCGACGGTCGTCTTTCCAATCCCACGTCATATCCTGCAGGGCGACCGGTCGAGACATCGGGACTCTTGGAGCCAGAATGACCGCGACGAGCTTGGATTGTGGGCGCTAATGTGGAGGGATCGGCCGGTCTACCCCGAACGGCAGACGACTCACGGCTGTGCATCGGAGTCGATTGCGCTGTTCTGGTAGCTCGCCACTCCGCTGGGGAGGCGAGATTGTGTTGCGAGGCGGCTTTGAGGTCGTCGGGAATGAAGGGCAGCGTCGATTGCTGGCCGAGGCCAGAGCCTTTGGCCGGATGAGAAGTCACTGTGAGGATCGACGAGTCAGGCGAGATTCCCGAGGGATATAATGTGAATGTGATAGGAGGACCGCAAGGAGGCCCAACGAACTTACTGCTTGCGCTAAGTCAAGAACCTCTCATTGCTCGAATCTCAGACAGCCGGATAAAAGTCAGCAGAACGCAGTAAACATGACATATCGGCTTAATCCATTATATGATACTCGGCGGATTTAGGGGGGTGTGGAAGCCTGAGGTGGTTCTGGGGGAGAGAGAGGGAGCTTTGGGATGTTGATTCGGGCGCACGGGGACCGCTTTTTCTCCTTGCCGTGGACGCGAACTGGCGAATGGTCTAGAGTACTTCTACGTCGCTTCTGGGGCTTCTAGTGGATTTTATTCTTATTTCAAGTTTACTGCAGATGGTTCCTAGGTAATAAGTTCCGGTTTTCGTCCAATGATGGATTTAATATCTCTATTTTATGGCAGCGTGTTTCTGATCAGTGGATGACCAATATATTTTAGTACTAATAGTACTACTAGTAGTCAAAGAGACTATCCCAAAATTCTATGATTAATACCAGAACATACCTAGGTAGCCTCTCCTCATACCTATTCAATCTCATATACTCCGTAATTTATGGGACAATTGTGTCAGCTTGAAGCCCAGCTGTTTGGGTCTCTCCTCCATGTTTCGGATAGCGGGGGATATCATGGTACTACCAAGCACTAAGGTATCAAGTGATCAGGAACTCGAGGGGAAGGGAAAGGAAGGAAAAAGCAGGAGCAGCGATATTCCCTTAGATTCAAGTTGTTCACCAAACCTACCGACGACCTAGAGTTGATCGAGCACTAAAACTAGAACTACGATCGACCTGCAGGACCGTTATGCCCAGCCTTCCATTCTAGTTATCGCTGATCTGATCGCGAGGGGACCACGAGGTCACCAATCACCGGCAATCTACACAAGACGCTCTCCTACACTACGTAAGTTGTCTCCGCTATGTCCCACGTGAGATGAGATGTTAGGATCTGACTGCTTGTGTGTCATATATGGGTCAGCCATCATGAAACACGAGAGCCTCCTTCGCTTGCACATTTCTCAGCTCCGTCCATATCCGAAACTAGGAGTTCGGCTAGTTCCAGCCTCACCAAGACAAGACGGGGGAGATCATATGCAAATCGTGATGCAAGCCGTAGTGGAGGACAATCCCTCTCGCGTGGACATGGCAGAATCGAATATCGCTCCAGCCGACCAGACGGGGGATGTCGGTCAAGTCAGATCGAAGGCGCTAGAATCAGAAACCTGCACATGTGGATGCGGGGGAATGTCAAAGGTAAACCTCAGTGGACAGGAGTGATGTACCATTTGCCATTGCCATTGCCATTTCCATTGGCACATCCGTCACGGCCCGGATGTGTGCCGACAAATACCGTTTTGGAGGGGGAATCTCAAATTGGGCCCTTTTGTGTACAGCCCCGAGAGATGTATACCGTAGACCTATTCTTAAATAGAGATCCAGTGCACGAGGAAGTGAGGATAGCCGCGGAATGCCTCCGCAGTGGTCAATATAGCGGAGGTGAAAACACGGAACGCGGAAGAGGCGGACTGGGGGAAGCATTCGTGGGGATCCGTCCGAGCCGTTAAACCAGGATAAGCACCGGCACTGTCACTGGCACTGTGAACATCACTGGTACAGTACTGGCACTCGCACTGGCACACTGGCGGAGTACCAGGGTCGCCTCCAAGTGGAGAGTTGGCGCATCTCCCGGCGGTCGTGCCGAACAAGTTGAATACCCGAGGAAATGACCCAGCGGCACTCCTCGTCTGTTGGACCATTTAGGTATTCCCACGGAGAAATATTACCTTTGCGGAGTATGTTCACGGGGGATCAGTGTGACCGCCGTGTTTGCCTTCCGAGAGGTTGTGAAAGTAGTGGAAGGCCTAGTACAAATACTTGAGGCTAATCTCCCCGTCAGCCGAAAAGAGATCCGACTTTTTTATACTATACCTACCGGGGATATTTATATAGATACATTTCCCCAGAATTGGAATTTGGGTTGATCTGATTGAACCTTGTCTCTTTATCTTCTCTTTTTACTACTACGACTGGTATTTTACTACTGGTGTACCATTTCAGTGCCTGTTATCACAGCCGTATGCGCCTCGGTAGGTAACGGTCCACTTTTGTCCGACCGAAGCGTGGTCAGACCACTTTGCCTCTTTCCAACTCGAATAGGGGGATCACTTCTTGATTCTTACGACATTCACGACCTTCACGAGTTTCGACTTCGCTCGCGCATTGGGGTTGGTCTTTGGGATTTTCATTTTTCCTTTCCTCCTCTCCCCCTTTCCTCCAATTTCTCTCCGCCTTCTCCTCTCTTCGCCCCCTCCCGGTCTAACTGGGAGACTGGCATTCCGGCTCTTTTCAACCCCTCCCCTCCTCTGCGCTGCGGAGAATAATCGCAATCGTCATGGCTCAACTCGATACCCTCGATCTGGTCGTCCTGGTAGCTCTCTTGGTGGGTAGTGTCGCCTACTTTACCAAGGGAACCTACTGGGCTGTCCCCAAGGACCCTTATGCCTCCTCCGCCAACTTGAACGGTGCCGCCAAGAGCGGTAAGACCCGCGATATCGTTGAGAAGATGGATGAGACGGGAAAGAACTGTGTGATCTTCTATGGCTCCCAAACTGGTACCGCTGAGGACTATGCATCCCGTCTCGCCAAGGAAGGTTCCCAGCGTTTTGGTCTCAAGACTATGGTTGCCGACATCGAGGACTACGACTACGAGAACCTGGACAAGTTCTCTGAGGACAAGATCGCTTTCTTCGTGCTCGCCACCTACGGCGAGGGCGAGCCCACTGATAACGCCGTCGAGTTCTACCAGTTCCTCACTGGCGAGGATATCTCTTTCGAGAGCGGTGCCAGTGCCGACGATTCCCCGCTATCCTCTCTCAAATATGTCGCTTTCGGTCTCGGTAACAACACTTACGAACACTACAACTCCATGGTTCGCCATGTTGATGCCGCACTCACTAAGTTGGGTGCTCAGCGCATCGGCACGGCCGGTGAGGGTGATGATGGTGCCGGTACTATGGAGGAGGACTTCCTCGCCTGGAAGGAGCCCATGTGGGCTGCTCTCACCGACGCTATGGATCTTCAGGAACGCGAAGCTGTCTACGAACCTGTCTTCTCAGTCGATGAAGATGAGATGACTACCCTCGAGGATGACTCGGTCTTTTTGGGGGAACTGACTGCTGCCCACCGTGCCGGACAGCCCAAGGGTCCTTACTCTGCTCATAACCCTTACATTGCTCCTATTGCCGAATCCCACGAACTGTTTACTGTTAAGGACCGCAACTGCCTCCATATGGAAATTGATATTTCCGGTAGCAACCTCAGCTACCAGACTGGTGATCACATTGCTATCTGGCCCACCAACGCCGGTGCCGAGGTCGACCGGTTCCTGCAGGTGTTTGGTATTGAGGACAAGCGTAATGTGGTGATCAATGTCAAGGGAATTGATGTTACTGCCAAGGTTCCCATCCCGGCCCCGACCACCTACGATGTTGCTGTTCGCTACTACATGGAAGTTTGCGCCCCTGTCTCCCGTCAATTCGTCTCGTCTCTTGCTGCTTTCGCCCCCGATGAGGCGACCAAGAATGAGATCGTCCGCCTCGGTAACGACAAGGATTATTTCCACGAGAAGATCACCAACCAGTGTTACAACATCGCCCAGGCGCTCCAGAGCATCACCTCCAAGCCCTTCACCGCCGTCCCGTTCTCTCTGCTCATTGAGGGTCTCAACAAGCTTCAGCCCCGGTACTATTCCATTTCTTCTTCATCTCTGGTTCAGAAGGATAAGATCAGCATCACTGCTGTTGTCGAGTCCGTTCGTCTGCCCGGTGCTTCGCACATGGTCAAGGGTGTCACCACCAACTACCTGCTGGCCCTGAAGCAGAAGCAAAATGGCGACCCCTCCCCCGATCCCCACGGCCTGACCTACTCTATCACCGGTCCTCGCAACAAGTACGATGGTATCCATGTTCCGGTTCATGTGCGACACTCCAACTTCAAGCTCCCCTCTGATCCCACCAAGCCCATCATCATGGTCGGCCCCGGTACTGGTGTCGCCCCCTTCCGTGGTTTTATCCAGGAGCGTGCAGCTCTGGCCGCCAAGGGTGAGAAGGTTGGAACCACTCTGCTATTCTTCGGATGCCGTAAGAGCGACGAGGACTTCATCTACCAGGACGAATTCAAGGTATGTTACATTTCGTCACATCTCTCTTTTCTCTGAATATTTTATGCTGACTATTCCTCTAGAAATACCAAGAGCAAATGGGTGACTCGCTGAAGATCATCACTGCTTTCTCCCGCGAGGGCGCTGAGAAGGTCTACGTCCAGCACCGCCTGAAGGAGAATGCCCCACTTGTCAGTGAGCTGCTGAAGCAGAAGGCTAACTTCTACGTCTGCGGTGACGCCGCCAACATGGCTCGTGAGGTCAACTTGGTGCTGGGACACATCATCGCCGAGCAGCGCGGTATGCCCGCTGAGCGTGGTGAGGAGATGGTCAAGCACATGCGCAGTAGCGGCAGCTACCAGGAGGATGTTTGGTCATGATTGACGATCTGTTTCATGTAGTTTTTCCTTGTTGCTTTTTCTCATCATATCTTCACGTTTAGATGACCCAGCGCACATATTTGACGGCTTGGGGTTGCCAACTACCCCATTGTCCCTTTTTTCGGCAGCTTATGTACTATGCTCACTGTTTACGGCCTCAAGGGTGATTTGATTATCAGTCTGCGAGGACGAATGAGGGAAAGGATGATTGTTAGACTCGGAAAATAAAAGAATTTAATTGATCATATCCAAAGCAATCCAATAGAGTAGTTCAGTCGTAATGGTGTCATGGTAGTCTTCTACTTGAGTCGGTACCTGTCGGATAAGCGCTAACTGGTCGATTTCGAAGTCTGTCATGAGACATAGGTAACAAGTCGGCCCAAACCTCCCACAGTTGCTGCTACTAGTGTTTTGTTGACTGTTCAACTCTACAAAAAGCGGAAGTTGACAACGGGGATGAACGTCGTCATGGCACCGCTCGGCAACGGCAAACCTGACAACTCCCCGCAAACCAGAGATCCCTCGAATCCCTCCAGAAATGCGTCTTCTACAATCACTGATCTGACCATTAGCCACCAAATCTCTACCCATACTTATTCCAGTCCATTCCCCCACCCCGGGACCTCCCCTTCCGCCTATCGAAAACCCCCCGCCGTGATCCCGCGACACCTCGAAGCTCAGCTTCCCAGCACGATTTGTGAGGGCGGATTACCACCGCACCACCACCATGGCTTATGTGGTACCAATACACCGCGCAAGTGGCATTCGACATGCGGTGAAGCTGAATTTCCTGAATCCAGAAGAGGACTGTCTGGTAGTAGCGTGAGTGTTGCGTATTCCATCCGCGGCCTGGAACCGGCGGGCAAAATGCCGTGACGCGAGCTCGGCGTAAAGCTAGCAGGCTAACAATCTCCTTCTTTCTCTCTGCTACAGAAAAGCAAACCGGCTTGAATTCTATACATTGACTCCCGATGGCCTCACACTCGTCTCAACTCGCGCGCTCTATGCGCAGGTTACTATGCTCGCCCGCCTACCGGCACCGGCGAATTCACCGACGGACCACCTCTTCATCGGCACAGACCAGTGTAACTATCTCACCCTCGCGTGGGACACAGACGAGCAAAGGGTCAAGACGGCCCGAAACTACGTCGACATATCCGAGCCCTCATCCCGAGAGTCCCAATCACAACCACGATGTCTTCTCGACCCCAGCGGCCGCTTCATGACACTGGAGATATACGAAGGGGTTATTGTTGTGCTTCCAGTCGTGGAACCGACCAAAAAGCGAGGGAAGCCCTCCCACGCCGCATCACAGATGGAGTTGCCCCAAGTAGGCGAGCTCGGGGATCCGACCAACACACGTATCAATGAGCTGTTCGTTCGGTCGTCGGCGTTCCTGCACTCTGCCTCGGCCAGGCCCTACCTGGCCCTGCTTTACGAAGATAACCAGAAGAAAGTTTCGTTGCGGATTCTAGAGCTTCACTTCAGCATTGGTCCCTCAAATGGGTCTCCGGATGCGGAGTTCAAGGAACCCTCTGAGAAGAACCTGCAGGGTGGCATGTTGGGCCACGACCTTGATATGGGATCTTCCCACCTGATCCCGATTCCTGCCCCACTAGGTATCGTGCTTGTACTACTTGAATCTGTGTGCTCATGTGGCTAACTACTCTAGGTGGACTGATTGTATTGGGTGAGACATCGATCAAGTACATCGACGATGATGCGAATGATATGATTACACGCGATCTTGACGAGGCTACCGTCTTCGTGGCCTGGGAAAAGGTCGACAGCCAGCGATGGCTGCTAGCAGATGACTATGGCCGTTTGTTCTTCCTCATGCTAATTCTGAACAACGAGGGCCATGTCGAATCATGGAAGCTTGACTGGCTGGGAAATACATCTCGTGCGTCGGTCTTGGTTTATCTTGGCGGAGGAGTCCTTTTCGTTGGATCCCACCTGGGCGACTCTCAAGTCCTGCGTATTGGCGATGGTTCCTTCGAGGTCATCCAGACATTGTCCAATATTGCGCCCATTCTCGACTTCACAGTGATGGATTTGGGCAACCGTACCAGCGAGAGCCATACACACGAATTCTCATCCGGACAAGCTCGCATCGTGACGGGCTCTGGTGCGTTTGACGATGGAACCCTACGAAGTGTACGAAGTGGCGTCGGCATGGACGAGCTCGGAGTTTTGGGCGAAATGGATCATATCACAGATCTATGGGGCTTGCAAGTGCAGAGCACTGGTGACTTCCTGGATACATTGCTCGTGACATTCGTCGATGAAACACGAGTCTTCCGCTTTAGCGTCGATGGCGAGGTGGAAGAGCTGGAAGATTTCTTGGGTCTTGCTTTTGAAGAAAGTACCCTCCTCGCCGCCAATCTCCCCGGTGGCAGAATCCTACAAGTGACAGAGAAGAGAGCGTTGATTGCCGATGTCGAAAGCGGGATGGTGACCTTCGAATGGACTCCTCCAACGCAAAAGACGATCACCGCCGCTTCAGCAAACAATGATCATCTTGTACTGGTTATTGGTGGTCGCGTACTTGCATCCTTTGATATCCGAGGCGAAGCCAGCCTTATCGCCGAGAAAGACCTCGACGAGGATCATCAGGTATCCGGCGTTACAGTTCCGTTTGAACCGACAGGAGTTTGCATCGCCGGATTCCCGCAATCCGCCCAGGTCTCCGTCCTGAAAATCAATGACTTCTCCGAGATCCAAACAAAATCGCTGGGCCCGTCCGGCGAGGCGTTCCCCCGATCTGTTCTCGTAACCAACGTTCTTGCCAATAGCCCGCCCACCCTCTTCATCTCCATGGCTGACGGGAGCGTCATTACTTTCTCCATGGATACAAAAGATTACTCGCTCGGAGGGATGACGAAGCTCATCCTTGGATCTGAGCAGCCAACATTCAAGAAATTGCCTCGCGGAGATGGCCTATATAATGTATTCGCCACATGCGAGAACCCAAGCTTGATATACGGTTCGGAAGGACGCATCATCTACTCCGCCGTGAACTCGGAAGGTGCATCTCGAATCTGCCATCTCAATACCGAAGCCTTCCCCGGGTCTATTGCCGTTGCAACCACGCAGGAACTCAAGATTGCATCAGTGGACAAAGAACGCACAACTCAGATCCAGACGCTCCCGATGGGATCCACAGTCCGACGGGTCGCATACTCTGCAGCAGAGAAAGCCTTCGGTCTGGGAACGATTGACCGCAAGCTTGACGACGGCGTCGAGGTTGTCAAAAGCCACTTCGTGCTTGCTGACGAGATCATGTTTCGGCGATTAGACGCGATAGAACTCAACTCGGAGGAGCTGGTCGAAAGTGTTATCCGGGCGGGATTCCCCGGCGGAAAAGATAGGTTTATTGTCGGTACGGCCTACATGGATGAAGAAAGGGAAGATTCAATCCGCGGGCGGATATTGGTATTGGAGGTCGACCATGGGCGTAAACTGACGCAGGTCGCGGAGTTGCCGGTCAGGGGGGGCTTGTCGAGCACTAGCAATGATGGATGATCGGATTGTGGCAGCATTAGTCAAGACCGTAAGTTGGGATCGCAGAAGAAAGATGGGAAACATTTTTGACTAAAAATATTACAGGTTGTCGTCTTCAAAATCGTTCCTGACAACTCTGGGTCAAAGACGAAGCTTGAGCGGCTTGCCAGCTATCGCACCTCCACTGCGCCGGTGGATGTGACGGTCGTCGGAAACATGATCATGGTGGCGGACCTCATGAAGAGTGTCTGCATCGTCGAATATATCAAGGGCGCCAATGGCGTCGCAGACAAACTTCACGAGATTGGTCGCCATTATCAGACCGTGTGGAGTACGGCCGTTGCCTCTGTTGGTGACGATACATTGCTTGTTAGCGAGGCACAGGGCAACCTAATTGTTCTGTCGCGGAACACAAATGGCGTCACCGAGCAAGACAAGCACCGTCTCGTCCCAACAAGCGAGATCTGCCTAGGAGAGATGGTGAACCGCATTCGAACGATCCAAATCCCCCAGATAGCCAGTCTCGCGGTAACACCGCGGGCGTTTATGGGAACGGTATGCTCTACTTTGTTATATCCTTCGACCAAAAGAACACATGCTAACCTCTCATCCTAGGTCGAGGGATCAATCTATCTTTTTGCATTGATAAATCCCGATTATCAGGACTTCCTAATGACTCTCCAAACCGTGATCGCCAGCAAGGTCGAGTCCCTAGGTGATCTACCTTTCGATAAATTCCGCGCATTCCGAACATTAGTCCGCTCAGCCGAAGCACCATATCGGTTTGTGGATGGCGAGCTGATCGAGCAATTCTTGACTTGCGATCTGGAGCTGCAAGAGGAGATTGTGGACGAGGTTGGTTGGGGTGATGTGGAGAAAGTCAAGGGAACGATCGAAGCTTTGAGGAGACTGCATTAAACAGAGGCGCGCCCAAATATTCGAAGGTTGTTTTTTTTATTTGAATTGTCACGTTTAATGACCAACTACCCATGGTAGATTTTACGCAATGAAAGGATGAATATCGAGATGCGACGATTACTTCAAGGTTTTAATCGCCTATCAACGGGGGATAACCCCTGGTATATAGTAATCGTAATGGTGTGATATTATACAAATTAGATCTAAAGCCGTCTATTTTTCCAATACCCCAAAGTTTCCCAAGCGATCCGATAACACAACAAGCTGTTACATAGCAAGTAGCAAGTAGACCAGACCATCCATCTAAGCATCCTTCTTAGCAGCCTCTTCATCACTCCAATCCAAGAGCTCCATAATCTGCTCCTCAGAAAGCTTCTCTGCCTTCTGCCCTTGCTTCTGGAGGTTCTTGATGTACTTCTTTTGGCGCTTCCGCGCCATACCATGCCACTCCGGAACACCACTCGCAGCCGCAAGGATATCCTCCTCACCCTCCTCAGCAACAAGATCATCATCACTATCGTCGACTTCGCCAAGAACCTTGCCGCTCTCGCCGCCGCGCAGCGCATTGGCAGACATCTTAGGCTTCTTCTTGCCAAAGGCAGCGCGCTCGGCCTCCTTCTTCGCCTTCTCCTTCTTGCGATCACGGTCGTGCATCCACTTGAAGAGTTTCTCAATGTAGGGCCGCACGCAGAGGTAGAACACGACGCTGAGAATGACCTTTGTCCAGCGCTTGCCGCTCATCTCGGCGACAGAGGCCCAGGAGTTCTTGAAGAAGCGCTTGATGACGGTTTCGATCAGCGAGTAGATTTGGGCGAAGAAATCGGTCGCGGCCTCGACGGCCTTGTCGCTGATGTCGGCTTGCTCATTGCGGGCTTGAGCTTGAGCCATGGTGGGTGGTTGGAGGGGGAAGTTTTGTCGAGAAACTTTTGTGTGCTTGTTTCAGCGTAGGTGGATTGGAGGGTGATCGGGGGAGGTGGTAGGTGGGAGGTGGGATACCCTGGGATACCCTGAGCAAGAATTGAATTGGGTGGGAGAGAGAAGGGAGAGAAGAGTGAGAAGAAAAATATAAAAGGGAAGAGACTCGAAGGTTCGACCGCAAGGACCCGTTTTGATGTCCCAGTAATTCCCACTTGGGAAGGCGCGAAATACGGTTGTCCGGCAGGAGCGGCTCGCGCCGGATCAATAGTTTGGCCGATGCGCCAATCAGCGGTTGCGGGTTGCTGTATGCTGTATGGGACGCGACAACCCTTAACACCGTTGTCTATCACGATCACTACCACTATCAACATCAACTGCCTCTCCAATCTTCACTGCCTGTCCTAATCCCGAAACCATGGCTGATAACGAGGAAATTGGCCTTGAGGAGGTGAGTCCGTTCCATCAATCATATGATTCTCGCTCTGATCGCTATGACCGCTAGCGTTTGAAATCAGCTTTGTGGCTGTCAATTGGCAAGATCGTGGACGAGGAGACTATCAAGCTGGGCGTCAACGCAACCCCCCAATTTATTGGTGCGCTCACAGAGATGGTTTGGGCTCAGATTGGTACGTACCTTGATTTTGCAGTCAAGGTGGTCCTGCATTTGACTGCCATATATTGTCCAATGCCTGTCACTTTCACCACTCTAGATGACGCGTAACTAACAACCCGCAGAGACGGTCAGCCAGGATCTTGAATCGTTCGCCAAGTGAGTCAATCCAGTATTGATTGTACCTGAACTCCCGGGATCATACTGATCGGTATTACCATTTTAGGCATGCCGGGCGTTCAACCGTTAACGTCTCAGACGTGATGTTGCTGGCCCGCCGTAACGAAGGCCTGGAATCTATCCTCACGGCCTTTGTCGAACAGCAGCGGAAAGAGACATCCTGAATGGTGGACAATGAGCCCGCAGAGTCTCTGCCCTACTAATTCACAGCCAAATATCGCTGGGCACGGTCAACTACTGCCTTGCGAGGGTCTATTGACCACCCCGGACCCGCTGATTGGCGGGTTCTTGCCAGCCTCACCAGTGGCCCGCCCCCGCATCATAACCCAAGTCATTAGCTACCCATGATGTATTCAGACCTAATTTCAACAACCATGTCACGACGCACCTGACCATCGTGTCACCGTTATGCAAGATGTCTCTGCCAAGCTCGAATTGACTTATCCGATGGCGTTCGATGGCGCTTCGAACGTTCTACTACAAGGTTGTGTGCTTGGTCTCTACGCATCCTTGAATCCTGTTCGATCAATACGATTCAGGATTGCTAGCATTTTTAAATCCATCTCAATGACGCCATTATCAACGCTCGAATGTGGCGCCTACTCGAAGACTAGGCTACCCTTTGCCGCCCCGTTTCCTATGCTATGGGTGGCTTTCCACCTCTCGGTCAACCGAGACGCGTTGGAAAAAGGATTGCTATGCCAACCACTTGATCACCTCACCATCTCCAGAGAGAATGCCTGGAGCTCTACCTTTTCCGTGATCTTGACCAATCGGATCTCTTCCCAGGCCCTGTGATATTTGGTATCATTGACTCTTGTCATGATCCTACCTTGTTTTCATACTTGGATGTTCTTGTACATCTACATGCTAGGCTGTCTCCCCTATGTAAAGGCAGATGACGTTTTTCAAAAAAAAAATACATTCCAGCGTCTATAAAGCTCCAAATAAATACCCCGACCAGCTGCTACCAGTAACACTGACCCCGAGATATTGATCCTATTTGTCACTTTATAAACCCAGTATCCAATATACATCTCAACTCGCCGTACACAAGCCACTTGCAAACTCTCGAGTCATCTACACCAGACGCGTTAGCCATCTTCAAAATGAGATCGCAACCCACGCCCATACGATCTATGTCCACGACAATGTTGAGCACAACTGCACGAAAACCACCCTTTGAACACAAAATACAACCCTTGCTCATGAGATCTGCAACAATGACAAATACGTCTACGGAGACCGACGCGTTGCGAACCACGCTCAAAAGTGCACCGAAGATGCAATCAGTTCGCTTCCACGGGCCTGGTGATATCCGCGTTGAAGAACTTGATGAACCTACCTGTGGCAAAGGCCAAGTTAAAGTTTGTCTTTACAACATGCATTTCATACCGGAGACTGCGCTAACAAATGATATCAAGATGAGACCTGCTTACGTCGGCATATGCGGCAGTGGTAGGTGATCCAACTACATCTTGTAGATGCCAGTATGACATGACATTCTGACATCTCTAGATCTACACGAATTCACCAGTGGCCCAATATTGATCCCAGAAACTCCACATAATATCACAGGCTGTACGCATCCAGCAACATTGGGCCACGAATTTGGCGGAATTATCGAAGAAGTCGGCGAAGGCGTCACAAATGTTTCGCCCGGGCAACGTGCCGTCGTGCGTCCGACCATTTTCGATGGATCTTGCGCTGCGTGTAAACAGGGCAACTACCATTGCTGTGAGAATATTGGATTTATCGGGCTAAGCGGTCCGTTCTCCTCCTTCTAGTTGTCTAAAAAATGCCCGAGGAATGCAATGATATGCTAATTCTAACAGGCTATGGTGGGGGTATGGCTCATAAAATTGTCGCTCCGGCAGGTCACTTCTATACCCCTCCCTGATAAAGTATCCCTCGAGACTGCTTCTCTTATTGAACCCCTTGCCGTATCATGGCACGCTGTCCACTCGTCCCCTTTCAAAAAAGGAGACAGTGTCCTCATAGTCGGCGGGGGCCCGATAGGGCTCGGTATTGTTCAAGTCTTGAAGCTACAGGGCGCAGGCCAAATCATAGTAGCCGAACCAATGGACAACCGCAAGAAATTCTGCACGGATTACGGAGCGACAGCAATTCTCGATCCTGGCGAGGTGGATGTCACGAAACGAGTTCGAGAGCTGACTGGCGATGTTGGAGCAGATGTTGTGTTTGATACGGCTGGCGTGGAGAAAGCGCTGCCAGGGGCGATAGCCGCTGTCCGCGTTCAGGGGACGATTGTGAATCTTGCTGTTTGGGAGGGCAACCCTTCTCTTCCTGTAAATGATTTAATGTATAAGGAGGTGCGGTATATGGGGGCAGCTTTATATGACGAGCAATCTTTCTTGGATGTGATCCAGGCACTGAATGCAGGTGAGTGCTATCTTGATGCGATGATTGTGGAATTCTTCTGATTAATTATTGGTAGGCCATTTGCGACCTGAGAAGATGATTACTGGTAGGGTTCCACTGCGCGATGCGGTAGACAAAGGAATTCTGGCACTGTTGAATCATCGTGATGAGCATTGCAAGATTCTTGTCGATGTGCAAGAATAAGATGGAAGAACGAAATAGGGCCTACCTTTTGATAGAGAAGCATGTTAGTTGAGCGCCACTTTTATTTGCTATGCGTCATCCCCGTCCGCAAGTTGAAATACAAATCGTGGTATCTAGCGATGGCCTTGGCTTTCCTCTCACCTCAATGAGTGCTTGAACTTGTTGCAGTAGTATTAGTTGGAGTAGGAGCGTCGGGCTCGTTCTTCTCCAGCTGAAGAAAATTCGAAATTATTTGTGAAATTCCAGCTGGCCCATTGAAGCTTATTTGGTATTTCAAGCTTTGTATCGCCGGTGGACCCTGCCCGGCCATCATGCCATTCTTACCAATACGCCAGAGCGCCCTTGATTGACGAGCCTCCGCTTGCTGGGCGTGGATTTTCTGCCACGTAATCCGTCCAAATTTTTACCATTCCGTATCTTAACATCCTTAATGAGTTGTCCATGATCTTTTGTGGAACCAAATGAAATGTGCCCTCGAGATCCAATGATAATCTCACCATTTCTAGAGTCTTAGGGCCATTGCCACCCAGTTTGATCATATTGCCCAATACAGTATTGCCATTCTCCAAATAATGATTAGGATCTGCTCCATATTTCATGAGAAGTCTCACGATTCTCGGCTGTCCTGACTGTGCGGCAACGAGCAACGTCAGATTTTTCCGATCCTTGGCCCCGTTTTCTAGAAGTAGACTGACAACCTCTTCATGGCCCCCTCAGCAGCAGCATCTATGATTTGATAACTGCGCGTGATATTCAACAGGCAACTTTCAAAATTCAAAGAAGCACCACGTTTCAGTAAAGCAGAAACCATCGGCGTCTGTCCGCCTGAGGCAGCAGCAAGTAATGCGCTGTTTTTGTCATCCCGATACTGTAATAGCAGACTTACGGCATTTGTGTGTCCCTCCACTGCTGCTACACGCAAAGCAGTCTGATCAAATACTCGTCTGAGCCTAGAATTCCGATAGACCAACAGATTATCAAGGTTTTTTTGGTGGTGGCTCAGAATGTATTCAACCACTCCTGGATGTCCCATCTTGGCAGCCCACCATAGTGCTTCTCCCAGCTGTCTTTTAGAGGACCCAGGCATAAGTAAAGCAACAAGTTCTTGATGCCCGAAACTGGCATTAACGCTTATAATCGAGGAGCCATCGAAGTATAATTCATCCGAGTCGCTTGCACCTTTTGCTAGCAACTGCTTAACTTTGACACAGTTCCCCTCCCTTGCCGCGGAGAACAAGTCGGCGCCAGTATGAATGGACGCATATAGGATCCGAACCAAGCGATTAGGTTTCTTGATAGATGTCATTGGAGGGTTGATTCCTCGATCTTGAATGTTCGATTTTGGCTGTGATGTTTGTAATTCTGTAGCAGGCCGGGAGCAGTCTCAGATATGCGAGTTTGGTCTGCAAGAAGATTACCCTCAATATATTGGTGTTCCTGATGTTCTTGATCTAAGAAGTCCCGAATAGTCGATATGATAAATTCACGATGTTGGGTGAAAAGGTTTGGACTGGCTCCAATTTCTTATAATTCCTTTCGGATCTCTCTCCAAGCCTCTTTATCTGGTAAATCGAGCGATTCAATTGAGATGCACGAGCCAGCCGAGTCCCAACGATCCCTCATTTCGTCCATGAGTTTCTTCAATTTTCGCTCGATGCTCGCTTGTGATGCCGCAACAACGCTAGAATTCAATAACTTCAACGTCTGCATATAAGAGAAAAGCCTCCTTTCCAGATCCCTTAAGTCGTCATGCACTGAAGTCATCCTCTCCCAGCTAATCTGAGTCTGTCGATTTCCACTATCAAAGTGCTCCATCTGTGAAAACGTCACCAGCACCTCATAACGATTTTGTAGTACTCCATTAATCTCTTTTTGATCTCGATTTCCCGAAGGAATATTCTGGGTTGCTTTTAGTATGGATGATAACCGGCCAAGCTGATCTTGAATTTGGCCAAAAAGGTCAGAAGAGTTAAAGAGCGATTCGTAAAAAGAGTCTGCCAGCGGGTAGATCTCCGTGATATGTCCTGTTACTCGTTAGATAACCACCACAGGACGACTCGGTATTTGCGCTCATACTGATATTGATGTCACGGCCCGCTCTGACATTGCTGATTACTGCACCCGCCGTGCGTGTATGTCACACCTGAATGAAGTGTTTCGCGGAGGGCTATGACGGCCGACGTTTCAGTTTCCACCAAGTGACTGCTATATTACGAACCGCATGGACTACGATGATAGACTTCGGGAGTTGTACAGATGGAAAGAAAGTCATTTCCTGATCGCTCGCTCATTCTCTCAGCTCATCGCCCGGGCTAATGTATAACCTATCACATGACCTCGTATTGTCTATCCAATAATGGCGCTGAGATACTAGTATATAGGCGAAATATACAAAGTACTACTAGTAGTAGATTGGGAAACGAAATATCCAACATGTTTCTATTTCCTATATATGGGGTCACGTTGGGGGGATACACCTCCACTATCTATTAGTGGTTGATGAGCGGAGAAGTAATGGAAGCGATGGTGACGACATCAATGTTCAGGAGCATTAAGTATACCAGATATGGGATAAAGCTTACATGTGATCCATCGAAATACGAATGAGCTTAAATTAAACGTAGTTCTATGCATACCTTGTCCTGCTTCTCAAAAGGGCCCCGGCCTGCTTAGAAAGTATTTTCTAATTTTCTGTGACGGAGTCGGCCCATTTCTATTTACTATTGGAATTCAAATCATTTCCAGATTTATTGTATCCAAATGAAATTGAGTATTACCGTAAACTACGTCAAAGCAGAGGCGATTTCGTCAATATATGAGCATCCATGAAGGTTCTGAGTATTTTCACCCATAGTTGAACGGGAATAAAAATTGCTTTTACCTGTCTCTAAAAGAGAGAGGCGACCTATGAATTATAGCAAAAGTGGTCCACTCGATGGGGGATGTTCTAGAACGCTTACGAGCCGTGGCATGGCGGGGTGGCGGGGATAAGCTATGGGGTCCTTCATAGTTGTTTCAGTTAGGATGGATGGGTGGGTAGCAAGCTCAAAAAAAGACCACAGTTGATCGGTGACTGTAGACCGGCCATTTAATAAACAATGGCCATTGTGTACAAGGCTGCATTATTGATTTTACCATCGGAAGCTAATGCCCTGAAGAGCTAGTCTCAACTCCGGTATAACAAAAGATTGTTCTGCATATTGTCACTATCTGGATATCCCCCGCATTTTGAGATTCCAACCCCTCCCCCCTCGCATCTCAATATCACGATCTTCCAATGGTGAATGGGTCTTCTGGAGCTTTTCAACGGCCTCCCTTACATAGGTCCCGCCCTTGACACGGCGTGGCGTGGAACGAGCACATTCGATGGGGTACACTACAGTACTGCAGTTGCCTTCGTGTGAATAATTCGTCACCAAAGGCTCCCATTTTTAGAACCCGCTTCTAATTTGTTTAACCGAGGCCGAACCACTCCTAATTAATAATTGTATGGAATACTTAATTGCCTGATAATAGGCGTGGCGCAGCCACTGAAAAGTAGTGTGGCTGGAGGAGCTACCAATTCGATTATTGAACTTTCTTTTTTTCCGCATTTTGAAATTTCGACCTTCTTCACATGCGGTGGCGGGCTGAAGTGACCAACCAGAGAGTTCATCACAGCAAAGGTGGAGTTGAGGTGGAGTAGAACCCTTCCCAAAGGTTAGGAAGTAGAGATTTGTGGAACTTGATGATGTCAAAGTGGACGGGTGGAACCACAACCAAGCCAGTCACACCCCACGAAGCATCCAGGGATCACCACGCCAGCACCCACCGATTTCCACTGATCTTCGACTATTGCGTCGACATCAGGGTCATTCTTATAACCCGCCCTGAATCCTGTTGCCTTCCTCAGGTCTTTTAACCTTAACCGCTCCCGGGTCCAACCAACTCATCTACACATCACATACATACAAACCTCCATTATGGGTATCGGAGGCGTCATTCTACGCTTCTGCAGTCTCGCTATACGCGTACTGCAATTCCTCGCATCTGCCGTCATACTCGGCATCTTCTCCTACTACCTCGCCATTCTTTCTCGCCATGACCAGCACATCGCCACATGGCTGAAAGCTGTCGAGGGTCTCGCTGGCGCGAGTGCTCTATACGGTCTCCTCGGCATCATTTTCACTTGCTGCCTTGGTGGGAAAGCATTCTTTGCTTTCCTAGGTGTTGTTTTCGATGTCCTCTTCACCGGCGCGATGGTCGCTATCGCGGTCCTGACGCGCAATGGCGTCGATCAGTGCTCTGGAACTGTCGACACCCCAATTGGTGAAGGCAACGCCTCAGACGAGTCCAAAGCCAATCTTTCTTTTGGCATGGCCTGCAAACTGGAGAAGGTCTCTTTTGCAGTGGCCATCATTGGAATGTGAGTATCCTAACCCCTCCGCACCAAACACCGCTGTCAACTTGAAAACCACGTGCTAACCGCGACAATTTAGTTTCCTCTTCCTGATCTCCATCCTCTTCCAGGTCCTGCTTGCCCGTCACCATAAGCGCGAGAAGCGCTTCGGTCCCTCGCCCGCAAACGGCTACACATCTGGTAGCCGTCGCCGCTGGTGGCGCCGCAACAGATCTCCCGATGCGGTCGGGGGTGACAATGCCCTACCCGGCCACCCCACCCCCGGTGAAGTCGAGATGGGTGCCGAGCCCAAGAACGAGAAGAACTGGTTTGGCTCTTGGGGTCGCAAGAAGGAACCCCCCCACCGTCGCTCTTGCTAATGGCGGAGGTGCTCCCCAAGGCACCTATGGCTACGGCAACTCCGCCTACACTGGTAACATTTAAGTGAACGATTTGTGACCACTTAGCTATTTGGTGGGATCGGTCGTGTCGACTGGTCCATGATTGTATGACCATTTTGTCTCTTTGAACTGTGATACCATGTTATGTAATAGGATTGGCGTGTACACTAGACGTCGGGGGTCATTGCCTTAATTGAATGTAGGCGTCTGAATGCCTCATGGGGATATAATATAAGACAGAAATCTATCGCTGATTTGAGTTTGTTGAACAAGAAAACTATAATTTATTGAGCAGGATGGAGTGACTAGTAGAGCTGGGATTGATAAAGTTTTGTATTGTTTCCGAAACTAAAGGTACAGATGTAAGACTGCTGCCGCACGCCTCATAACATTACCATCGACTCCAAACGCCAGCCAATCATTAAGAATACAGATTACGATCATTAACATAACAAGACCACGAAGTGATCAAAAGGGTCCCCAAGCACGAAACACCGGGGTGATAGAAGGTTCAGGAAAGAACAACTGTTCGACCGACACAGTCGGGTGGAGTTAAACACTGGTGAAGAATTTACCAGCCCTGAGCGCGAACAATGGCGCCAAAGCGGCAGACAGTGCCAGCAGCGACAAGACCCATGTAGACAGGCTGGCTGTTGGAGCACATGGCCCAGCTATTTCCATCAGGAGCACAGAGGATCTCGCCGGAAGTACAGGTCCAGCGAGCAACGTAAGAAGAGAAAGCGTTTGTAGTGGAGGCCGCCTTCAACTCACTGGACTGTCCAGCCAGAACACGGGGATCAGCAGATGGGTTTCCGAAGGCAGAAGCGATCTTGGACATGGACTGAGAGGTGGTCTCAGTAGTGGTAGTGCTGCGGGTGGAGTTGGAGCTCTTGGAATCATTCTTGGAGTTGTTGCTCTTGGAGTTGTTGCTCTTGGTGTCGTTGCTCTTCGACTCGCTGTCCTTCGAGCTGCTATCCTTTGAGCTAGAGGAATCAGAGGAGCTGGAATCACTGCTGAGGAAAGGAGCCTTGCTGGAGCACTTGTAGCCCTTGCCGCTAGCCTTGCCCTCCACGTTGTCTCCGGGCATGGGGAAGTTCACAGCCTCGCCCTCAATGGTGACACACTTGCCGGCCTGGTCAACGTTGGCAACAAAAAGCTCGGGGAGGCTGCTGAAGCTGGTAGTCTTCATGGCTCCGTACACGTCACGCTGAGCGTGTTCGTGGACCATCTCCTTGTGCTTCTCCTCGTGGGGCATCTTGTCGGCCACGGGGGCATCCATCTCCTTCATGGGTGGGTGGTTGGGATGATTAGGGTGGTTAGGGTGGTCGGCTTGCTCAATGGTGTGCTTGTTTGCATGATGAGCAGGAACCTGCTTGCCCTTGGAGCCACCTCCAACGGTGACGAAGGCACAGTTCATGTACATCTCGCGATTGCCGACTTTGTTGAACCAGGTCCAGGCCAGAAGTGCCTCGCCGTCGGGGGCATCTGAGGGGATTGTGAAGTCATACTTCTTAGCAATAGGGCAATCTCCCAGGATCGACTCGATGACCTTGAAGGTCTCACCCTGGTCGTAGGTCAGAGCAAGCTGGCAAGAGCCACCGTCGTGAGTAGCACTGCCCTCGAGCTCCATGGTGTACTTCTGGCCCTGCTTGTAGGTGGCCTGGGAATCGAAGTCATCCTTCGCGTAGCCCTTGCAAGGGTAGTCACTGCCAGAGGTCTGCAGCGGGTTGGTGTAGGAGTAGTCCTTCTGGCCCTTGGAGTCCTTGTTGAGAGGACTACGAATGGGATAGGGCTTGGCCATCTGCATGTGGGCAGATGCTGAACCGGCCAACAAGCCAGCGATGAGAGCGAGACCCTTCATTTTGAATATACTATGACTTGTCAGTTCTGAGCCAACACAGCTAGAACATTGGGTACTCACAATTTGTTATAAGTAAAAATGGGGTATCTATCAGAAGGATAGGATCAACAGTCTGTCAGGCTCACAACCACCAGGGTTAAATCTTGTCCAGAACTAGAAGAGTGATGGACTCTTTGGTCCAAATGGCGAGCTCAAGCTATGATAAATACCTGGACGGTAAGTAGCATTCTCCAGTGTTGTTTAGAGGAATGGCGGATGCCATCAACTCGGGGCTCAAGCCCAAGCAACGAGCCGTCCAGCAACGAGGAATGTTGGCAACCATCGCGGCTGCCATCACAGAGATCCCGCGTGGACTACTCGGAGACTGGAGAGAAAATGGTCCAGACAAAGCTCAATTGTTTGAAGGACTCATGATCAATCAATCAATATTAAGGGCCATCGGTGCGTCAACTAGTGGCATAAACATCGAGTAGATGCAAATCTTGCTGCTGTCTGTTCAACCTCGCCCTTCCAATTCCCAGCCTGGCACCATCAACAACCGCAACGCCACGCCCAGGGGTAAGTTTGCATCGCACAGACGAGCATGAAAGCCACCACCAGGGGTAACTCTCATTCCGCATCGAAATTAATCTCCGCCAGTCGAGTTGAACGGGGAATTCGGTGATGTCAGTCGCAGAACACGCGTTGCTCTATCGGCAATGGTACATACTCTTCCATATCTCACGCAGACTCCCTCTCGTCCATTCTTGAAAGAATTCAAGCACTGCCATGATAACGTGGCCCCAATGGAAACCGGTTTTCGAATGGTCTCGGTGTGCCAATTTAACTCTCGAGGCTCCTAGGGATCCCCTTATACCCCTGGTTCGCCCTGCATGCCAGTAGAGGACGGCTCATTTTGGTGAGATCCGTGTCCATTCGCTCAATATCACTAACTACATACTATGTATACCATCTCGAAGAGTTAGCTAGAGCTAGCTGGATCGCTGTGGTATTGGGCAAGTATGGTGGTTGAAACCGCATGTGTGGATCTATCAGTCTCGACCATTCATATTGGTGTTACTTACTAGGGTAGTCCTGGCTCTCCTCCGCCATATTGATCTCCGATCTAGCAATAGAAATCCATCAACTGTAAACCAATAGCCATGACCAGTCAAAAACACTTTAATTCTTCTGTGTTGTTGTGAAAGGTCAACTTTCGGTCACGCCGACACGTGAAAGTCGCGATTCACGCGTCATCAACCGCAACCAAGTGGGATGTTTCCTGAACATGCCCCAGGGTACCCTCAACCTCCCAGTCACCCCGCTTAATCCCTCGACTCGATCCCTGATATATTCTTCCAAGAGGTTCGCTGGATGTGTCGGCCTTTTCGACTGTCGCGTGCCCTGTCTGTCCAGCATGCCGGTTTCAGGGCTGGCTCGAGGGGTTGCCACCTCTCGTCATTGAGCCTCCTCGATCGATCGAGATCGATTGTCGTGGCGAACGTCAGATCGCCTGCCCCGGCTCAAGACCACCTTCTCCATTCGTCGAAACCTGTTCCTCTCTCCCCTTTCCAACTTTCCAGTTTCCATCGCCAATCTACTCGCCCATTTCTCAACCTTGTCACATCGCGTCGCGCATACTCTCAGAGCACTGTTCGACATCTTGATAGCTCACTGATTGCCGAAGACGTGCCAATGGTGACTGATACGCTGGATATCGATGCGAAACCCGCTGATATTCTCAATGGCGACGTGACTTTGCCTGCTGGTCGGGCAGAAGGTTCATTAGACCCGGAGTCAGACCAAGAGGTCCCAGTCGATGCGGACGAGCTCAAAGATGCGCTGGGGCGCCCGCCACCAGTTCACAGCGACTATCTTCCTCTCCCCTGGAAAGGACGCCTTGGATATGTAAGTTCTCGCGCTCAACCATCTTCCGGTAGGCATCTCGTTTACGTACTAACATGGTTAGGCCTGTTTGAACACCTACCTGCGCTACTCCACCCCATCCGTCTTTTGCTCGCGAACATGCCGCATTGCGTCGATTCTCGAAAATAGGCACCCTCTCCAAGATCCCGATCAGCCCCCACACCCGACAAAGAATCGCCCAGATCGAGATCAGCCCGCGGATATCGCACGCGGCCAGGCCTTCGTCGAGTCACTGGGATTGGCAAATGCAGGCGACCTGGTGAAACTTATCCGCTGGAATGATAAGTACGGCATCAAGTTCATGCGACTAAGCAGTGAGATGTTTCCATTTGCTAGTCACAAGGAATATGGGTATAAATTGGCCCCTTTTGCCTCCGACGTACTAGCTGAGGCAGGGCGTGTTGTAGGTGAACTTGGCCACCGAGTGTCTGTTCACCCTGGCCAGTTTACGCAGCTAGGCTCCCCCAAACGGGAAGTGGTTGAAAGCTCTTATCGTGACTTGGAATACCACTCGGAAATGCTGCAACTGCTCAAGCTTCCTCCTCAGCAAGATCGCGATGCTATCATGATTCTGCACATGGGAGGAGTCTTCGGTGACAAGGCTGCTACTCTGGACCGGTTCCGAGAAAATTATGCGGTCTTGTCAGAGGATATCAAGAAACGACTCGTCCTCGAGAACGATGATGTCAGCTGGACTGTGCATGATCTATTGCCCATCTGCGAGGAGCTAAATATCCCCCTCGTCCTCGATTATCATCACCATAATATTCTTTTTGACCCCAATGAGGTTCGCGAGGGCACGCAGGATATCATCCCTCTATACGACCGCATAGCTGCGACATGGTCGCGCAAGAACATCACGCAGAAAATGCACTATTCAGAGCAAACCGCTCCCGCTATTACACCCCGCCAGCGCCGCAAACACAGTGATAGAGTGGCCACCCTGCCACCCTGCATTCCCACCATGGACCTCATGATTGAGGCCAAAGACAAGGAACAAGCCGTTTTCGAGCTGATGCGAACATTCAAACTCCCCGGTCACAATCTTTTCAACGACTTGATTCCCTACATACGGACAGACGAGAACAAGGTTTTCAAACCCCCCTCGCAAGTCCAAAAAGAATGGCGAGTTCGTTGATCTAGAAGGTTCCGTACCACCGCCCCGTACCATCCCCGACGAGGAAGTTGGGATGGGAGGTCCAGAAGGAAGAGTCTTTTGGCCTCGCGGGATGGAGGAATGGCTTCGACCGGCAAAGAAAGTCGTCAAGCCGAAGGCTGCATCCAGTCCAGCAAAGAAAATCAAGGCCGAGCCCGCTGATACAAATGGCTCCATGGGGACGCCAGCGAAGAAATCAGCTCGCGCCCCCAAGCGAACTCCAACCAAGCCCCGGACCAAGCGCAAAGCGGAAGAGATGGAATCCAGCCCGGAGTCCGAGCTAAGCAGTTTGTCTGTGGATCAGGAGACAGTGGCTACGAATACCACTACATCTACGTCTCGGAAAAGTAGTCGAGCGAAGAAAGTCAACTATGCCGAAGAATCTACCTAGTTGATCTTCCGGTCATTGTATAATCATGAATCATGTTCGATATATTGCTATAGATACCAATAAGCTTCAATTGCCAATGGTTAGAGTATAATGATGTAACTTCCAAGGTTGAACTTGAATTTGATCCAATAGATGAACTCATCCATAAAAGTAGTACTGTAGTCTGTACATACTAACTATTAGTAGGTACTAGGTACTAGTCGTAGTATGCGCAGGTGTAAACACCGTGACTTGCCAGTGGGCACCTGGGCAGCTTCGGCTTGAAGTTCAAGTTCAAGTTCGTTTCTACACCCTGGAGCCCGTGATCATGATGGATATATACAATAGCCATCGCTGCGAAACTCGATCGCTGGAGGGAATGATTTTGCCAATATTTACCAACTGCAAAGCTGATAGTATCATGAGCTTGGATGTTTCACATTAAAATGCCGAGAAAAACGAGTCATGTGTGTGTCCAAGACTTGGTCAGCCCTGTGAGATTGGCGTCATGGGAGGAACTTCTACCTCTTAGCAGGGACCGGGGCTGATCCACTCCCGCAAGGCACGACGTTTCAACCTTCACCCCTCCATATTCTTTATGACAACTCCTCTCCATCTTCGGGGTCAGTAAAATTTAGGGTGTATCCAAGAATATCGCGCTGACCCATACTTTCCTTGTCACAGACCATCCTTAATCAATCAGTCGTGAGACTGAACTCCTCCTACCAAACCATCAACCGTCCTCGGACGACTCGAGATCCTGGCTCCTAAACGTTTTCGCTGGCCAATATTCCCTCTCGAAACCTAACCTATTCAAACGTCTTCCCCAAACCGGCTTCCAACCTGCATTGCGATCGCTCTTCCGCCGCGACGCCAGACCCGACAAGTTATCAACATTCCTCCGCGTCCTAGTCGGTCCACTTAGGACTCGTCGAGCACAGAACCATCTGTGGAACTTTCGACACGAAGCCCTCCCCGCACTCCGACACCGAGCACAGTCCCGAATCTACCGTGCAATTGTCAAACGTCAAGCGCGACTCGCGGCACGCAACCGCAGATTCGGCGGCTTCATTGCCTACCTTCTAGGGCCTCGGCGACGGCTGCGGGGTGGGAGACTGGGTCTTGGTATCTGGGCGCGCCCTCTTGCAAGACGCTCGAGAACGATCAAGGGCCGAACAGAGGGGCCAGGCGAGGCTGTGAGAAGCCCGATGGCACAGTCTGGGCTGTCTTCGACATGGGGACAAGGAAATGGTGATGGAACTGCCCCCGGTAGTCGTCGCAAGAAGGCCTACGAGTGGTTGAAGGCTGCCAACGAATTAGGACAAGCATATACCTCCCGATGGACTAGCCAAAGAAGTGACTCCCAGGACGATTATTACCATACCCCTGGTGCTTTCCCCGACGTGGAGATTGCTCGGTCCGGCGATGAGGAAATGGTGCTATTCCCAAGCTATGGACGACGACTCCCAGAAAAGAAAATTGATGATACCAAGACGCGCCCACGACGGGACTCATGGTCCGAAACGATTGATGACTACCGGGGTGTCTCTGAAGATAGTAACGGCCGTCCTGGCGATGACTGGCCCAACCCCGATCTTGAAAATGCCATGGTGGACGTTGACGTACGTGGTTGGATCTACGCACCAAACCGAGGTCCCATGAACCGAAAACATCGCTTGATGGTCAAGCTGGCTCGAACTTTAAGCGGTATTCCGACTCCTACGGGCACGGCTAGTGAGGATAGCCCAGATCCGCTACCCGCGAAGGGCGAGGATGAATACGTGGACAAGCAGATGAAGACTCTGGTCGATACAGCAGAACGAGATGCCGATCAGGCATGGAAGAGTTCCAAAACCGAGCGGGCTAAAGACGGCCTCAAAGAAGCTGCGCAGCTGACCAAGGATGAGATTTCCATGGCAAATGCTCATTTAATGGAACGACTTCGCCCTTTCTTGACAAACCCCGTTGCTGGTATGCCGGTCACGATATTCTTCTTCGACAATGATCAGAGCGAATCTCGCAACCTCATGACTGACGAGTCCGGTCATTTCAATGTGCGGGTTCCCTTGCCATTTGTACCAACCCACGTCCGAGTGCTCGCGTCTGAGGATCTATCGGCTGCAAAGCCGATTGAGATTATTGAGCCATCTGGTATCAGCATGATCAGTGATATTGACGATACAGTGAAGCACTCTGCCATTGCAAGTGGTGCCAAGGAGATGTTCCGAAACACTTTCGTTCGCGAGTTGGCTGAACTTCAGGTTGCCGGAGTCAGCGAATGGTATACACAAGCTGCTAAACGCGGTGTGGAAATGCATTACGTATCCAACGCTCCATGGCAATTATATCCTCTGCTTGAGAGATACTTTAAAATGGCCGGGTTGCCACCGGGCTCCTTCCACCTTAAACAATACTCTGGCATGCTACAGGGTATTTTTGAGCCTACCGCCGAGAGAAAAACGGGGTTCACTTGAACAGATTTTACGAGATTTCCCCGATCGCAAGTTCATTCTCGTCGGCGACAGCGGAGAAGCCGATCTGGAGGTCTACACTGATATTGTTCTGGCAAACCGTGGCCGGATTCTTGGTATTTTCATCCGTGATGTGACCACCCCCCCTAAGGACAAGCCATTCTTTGATAAATCCACTGAGCACCTTGAAACGGGACCTGGTCGAAGTCGCAGCACTCCGCAACTTGTGGAACATTCGGATTCTGCTGCGAGGAGGCCTGTTTTGCCCCCACGGCGAAACTTTGAGAAACCTGACACCACCTCGGAAACAGCTTCAAAAAGTCTGGACAATGGGGACTTGATTGATCTACGAGACGAAGAAGAGCCCAAGCCACAGACCCCTGATGCTAATACATCTGGCAAACCGCGTGTCCCTCCCATGAAGCCTTCAAAGCCGTCTACGCTACGCACATCATCAGGGGCAGCTGACACCCTCGAGCCCCCGGCAGGCATCTCAAGAACACCATCTCAAGAAGCGATCCGCCGCAAGCCAGTTCCCCCTCTACCACCCCGGCGGACCTCGACAGCCAAGACGGATTCTTTGATCGACCTAGACCCGTCCCCGCCCCTTTCTCGCACACAGACCGAGCCGGTTACAGATGGGAGTAAGCAGACACCGTCGGCTTCATCTCGCAGTAGAGCACCACCACCAGTGCCACCTCCTCGACGAACAAACACTGCGTCATCATCAACAACCGCTAGCTCCACACCTACTAACACGGGCTCATCGCGACCTACACCAGCTGCCAAGCCATCGTACCCCATGGCGGCAGCGCAGGCCACTCTACAGTATGCCACCGAGCGCCTCAACTTATCATCCGCAGCGCCAAACCCTGGATTGCGATCGGCGGCATCGAACCAGTCTCTGGGAAGGACAAACACCAGCACTACCACCGACTCAGGAATGCCACCTGCGCCACTCCCCAATAAACGCGAAGAACTGTGGCGACGTCGCTGGGAGCGAGCGACTGAAATTCTCGAAGATCATGGTGTCGTACTAGGTAGCTGGCGTGTCGGAAGTGACGCTCAGTCTGTTTGTATGTGGCTGATAGAGGAGCAGCTGAAGAAGGTGCCAAAGAAACGCGATAACTGAAGACCACCGAGGGAAATCTTCGGAAATTTTGAGCGTTTCAAGTTGTCAATGGGCGCTGGACGCTGTGCTCAGGAGTAAAGACCTGACCTGACCTGGCCTGGCAGTGCTGGGACTAAGTTATTGTACATATGCATATATCAAAAACAGTATCTATATCTCCATACTTGAATTGTATGTTATTCTCAAATTTAGGATGGCAACCTCGGTCGACGATAGAGATTCGAGTGGAAATATCCGAGTCGATCGTAGTGGGTCGCTGGTGGCTGCGGGCTGCAAAGTGACGATGACAATTCTACGCGTTTCTATTCGTGCAGAGGCCAAGTCTCCGCAATAGCCTAGGGTATGGGCCCATCTTTTTCAGTCTGATTGTGGGGGCACGCTGCAACGTGAATTATGGACCTCGGCCGTTGAGCTTGGGCAACCTTGGAATTCTGGTAGGGCACAGTTGGGAAGGAATACACATCTCTGCGGTGGTTCGGATTATTTGTAGCAGGGCAATACCTGTATAGGGTCATCATGATGGCAGTGCAAAGAATCTTCAAGTTATCATCTGACTGCCAGTGTACTGCAGCCATGCTCTGCAGCTAGTACTGCTGGAAAGATCCTCGGTTCACGCGCAAGTTTTACACCTCGGCTGAACATCACGCCGACTGTCATTGGTCTATGAAATCTGGGGAACTCATTTGCTATTTACTTCCCCATTCCCGTCGGTTTCCGCCCCGAGTTCCTTCACCTTGTTCTTCTCCACCCACGTCCTTCACGATGCCTGAAGTCCTTACCCGCGCCGAGGTCGCAAAGCACAACACCGAGGACTCCCTCTGGTGCATTATCGATCACCGCGTCTATGATCTCACCGATTTTGTCGATGCCCATCCCGGCGGTAGCGTCGTACTCGCACAGGTTGCTGGCCAGGATGCCACCGTCGATTTCTACAACTTGCACCGACAGGAGGTTTTAGAAAAGTACCGGGACCAACTCTGTATTGGTACCCTGGAAGGCGAGAAGTCTGAGGTCATCGAGCCCAAGCCCGGTGCCCTGAGCCCCGTTCCCTATGCCGAGCCGCTGTGGCTGCGTCCCCAGTTCAAGAGTCCTTATTTCAAGGAAAGCCACCGCCGTTTGCAGAAGGCCATTCGCGAATTCACCGATCTACATGTCACCCCGGAAGCACAAGAGAAGGAGAGGGACGGCACCTATATCAGCCAGGAGCTGATTGACAAGATGGCTGCCAACGGCGTACTGGCTATGCGGCTGGGCCCGGGCAAGCACCTCCACGGACTGAACTTGCTGAATGGTGCCGTCGATGGCAAGGATTTTGACTACCTCCACGACATGATTGTCACCCAAGAGTTGGTTCGGGCCAATGCCCGCGGCTTCCAAGATGGCAATATGGCAGGTATGGCGATCAGTTTGTCTGCCGTGAAGGAGTGGCTCCGCAATCCCGCGTTGAAGGAAAAGGTTACCGCCGAAGTTTTGTCTGGGCAAAAGAAGATGTGCCTTGCCATCACCGAGGCGTTCGCTGGTAGCGATGTTGCCGGTCTCAAGACCACGGCCGTGAAGACCCCAGATGGCAAACACTATATTGTCAACGGTACCAAGTGAGTGTATCCTTCTGCGGAATCTATCTGGCATTTGAAACTAATACATTGACTCAAGGAAATGGATCACAAATGGTATGTTCGCCGATTACTTCGTAACAGGCTGCAAGACCGAGAAGGGATTTTCAGTACTACTGATCCCCCGCGGCGAGGGCATCGAAACAAAACAAATCAAGACGTCTTACTCCACCGCCGCCGCGACAGCCTACGTGACATACGAGAATGTCAAGGTCCCTGTCGAGAACCTGCTAGGCGAAGAACACAAGGGGTTCATCGTAATTATGAGCAACTTCAACCACGAGCGATTCATGATGGTGGCCGCCGTGGTCCGCATGTCCATGACGATCGTCGAGGAGTGTCTGAAATGGTGCAACCAACGCATCGTCTTCGGAAAGAAGCTCTCCGAACAAGCCGCCATCCGCCAAAAGCTCGCCCGCATGATTTCACTCACCGAATCCTGCCAAGCCTGGCTCGAGTCTGTCGCCTATCAGATGTGCAACATGTCCTACGCCGAGCAGTCCGCGCACCTGGGTGGACCGATCGGTCTACTTAAGTCGCACGCTACTCGATCCGCACAAGAGATTGCTGATCACTCCATAAACATCTTCGGTGGCCGTGGCTTAACCCAGACTGGTATGGGTAAGGTTATCGAGATGTTCCACCGCACGTATAAGTTTGACGCTATTCTTGGTGGCACTGAGGAAATCTTGGCCGATTTGGGAGTGCGACAGGCGATGAAGAAATTCCCCAAATCGATGTTGTAGAGGTCGATCCATATAAATTTGTTAGCAGTGTATACCATCCAATTAATGCAATCTACTATGATTATATCCATTGGGGCATTGGGCGAAAATGACTCGACCGAGGATGGTTGTTTTGTTGTGCCCGCGTATTGTAACAAGATATTAGTTCATTTTGGAAGAAAGATCTCCACTAAAATACATGATATTCTTGATTCAGAAAGTGTTATGATAATTACAAGCACAAGTCACTTCAAATAATTCGTGCTACTAGTAGTAATCCGTAATTACTAACTATACTTAGGTAGTCAATGAGCAGAGCCTCAATCTGCCTTGGGCATCGACCGTATTACGTCAGCGGATTTATTGCATCACCTTCTGCGCCTCAACGTCGTCTCCGATTACTTCTTCTTTTCTGCAACTTACATTCGTGTACTTCCAGAAACCGAAGAAGAAGCACAGTCAACATGGCAAGAACAGAAACACTGGACCCTCAACGCGTCCTCGACCTAGCCACCAAAGCTCTTGGCGAGGGGCAGCCGAGTCTCAAAACACCCTATGAAGCCGTCGCGCTGGTCGGACACACCTGTATGGTGGCCGTGGGCTTCAGATTGGTAGGACTCGGAGAAGACCACAATCTGGGTAAGTACCTTCTGCTTTCTCGCGACTTATAGCTTCGTCGCTAACTGTAACAGAATCATCTACAGACAGCCCCGCCCTCCCCGCAGAATGGAATACTAACGATACATTTGCCTTCCGATACGCGCACGAACAATCGTCCATGCAGTACCTGCTCAAAGTGAGCCGCCTCGGTAGCAATGTCGTTGTGAATGCGCTGGCTTTAGGCGATGATCGTACCAGCTCCTTCGACCTCCCCGTCAAAGACTATATCTCCGGATCGGCAGTTCCATTGCCCGCTACTGAGAATGTCGCCAGTGCCCTGCAGGATGTATTCATCTCCTCTGCGCGACTAAATGACTTGATCGGATTATTCAAAATCAACGTGATTCAAAAACTTGCGCCGGGACTATACAAGGAAGGATACGAGGATACCAACCGACATATTCGGCCAGAGGCAGAGCCACGACGTGATCCCCTCCGCGAGGACTTCCCACAGCCCGCACGTCCATACCCATTCAACGACCCCCTGGCCGCAGGACCGCGCATGCCAAACCCACCGGATTTCGCCCCGCCCGGATTCGAGGATGAATTTGAGATCCATCGGCCTCCTCGTGGATATCCCCCAGGTCTAGGCGGAGGAAGAAGCCCCTACAATATCGGAGACAGAGATCTATACCCCGCTGGAATGGCTCCTCATGATCCACTCCGTGGGACTATGGGTCCTGGGTTTGGGGGTGGCGGTGGTATGCATCCCACCTTTGATGATCCTCTCTTCGGTGGCCCAGGTGGTGGCAGTGGAGCGTATGATCCTCGTGCTCCGCCGGGTGCGAGATATGACCCTGTTGGTCCTGGTGATCCTCCCATGGGCCGCAACCAAGGACCCCGAGGGCCATTTGGCCGAGGGGGGTCCTGGCGGAGGCTTTGGGGGGAGGCTTCGGTGGATTTGGAGGAGGGTTTGGAGGAGGCGACATCATTTAAGCTTTCTTGGGCTACCGGCACGACTTGGAATGAAATGAACCATGATGATGATTGCTATGAAAATAAATGTATTTCGTGTATTAATGAATGAGCTTGTAAATTAAACAAATATTATTAATGATATCCCACGTCCTCTCAATGCTCTTCGGCCCCGGAAGATGATTTATTGCTTGGCGAAAGCACTCTCAGTCTCCAACCAAGTCCCAAAGTCCTTCAAGCCAGGATGAATCTTGCGGACCTCCTCCACATTGGCCCCGAATCCTTCGTCATGGAACCATCTGAACATGTAACCCATATCCTTGACCATAAACATGAAACCCGAGACCAGGAACTGGAACGTAGTGGGAACGGAGGACTTCCCAGTCTTTTCCTTGAATATCTTCTCGAATTGGGTGTATGTCAGCTCATCGCCAGCGAGCGATATCTCCTGTCCCTTGTACACGTCAGGATTCAAGAAAACCTCTGCAGCCACAGCGCCAATATCATTAACTCCGATCATTTGCAGGGGAGCACCCTTTAACGACATCCTGAAAGCAGTCGCAAAGACCTTTCCGAAGAAATTCGGTTCAAGGTTCTCATAAAATGCAACCGGTCGTAAGATCGTCCAGTCCATGTCTTCATGTTGGGTCTTCTCGATTAGATGTTTCTCGATGTTGTGCTTGCTGATGAAGTGCGGGACGTCGGTCGGGTTATTGATTGATTTAGAGCCACCGCGGTCGGCGGAGCTGTATACAAAGTGTTTTACGCCGTGATTGAGAGCCTCGTCGATGAGATTCTTGCCCTGGGATTCTTCAGAGGAAGTATTTCCGATTGCCAGCTGCAAGTATTCTTATGATTAGTATTATGATTCGCAGGAAGATCCGCCGGGGATTGTCTACCTGAACACTGAACACACTCGATATCGGGTTAGAGCTTAGACTCTGTGCCTTGTTGAAGAGCTCTGCTGGATGGTCCAGATCTCCTTGGACCAGAATAATATCGGGATACTTCTGAGTCAACTTTTGTGCAGATGGAGATTGAGTGTTGCGAGTTACGGCCAGGACCTGATAAGGGGCATTTTTCCGAAGAAGGTTCTGTATCAGGGAGCTTCCCTGCTTGCCAGTGGCGCCTGTGATCAATATACTGGACATTGTGCTGTGTGTGAAAGTGATGATGTTGTTGGAAAGTGATTCAATAGTAAGGAAGTGATTGCCTTGGAAACTGAAAACTGATTGAGGAAGTATACTCTTGTCAAGCCGTGCAACTCAGGCATTTAAATAATATTTCTATCAACTGGATAATGCTAGCTTCGGAGATTCGCAGCAAAGATGACAAAATTCCTTATTCGCAGGCCGAACCCCGATAACTTGCTGGTGGGCCGATGATGACGGAGCTCGGGGTCGAGGTCAACGCCGGCTGACATGCGGGTGAACAACCCTCAAATCATAGACTGCGGGGCATCTGGGCATAAGCACGATCATTCGAAATAATTACAAGGTAGCAAAGGCGATAGGAGATAATTATCCGAGGAACTTAAAATGCCTTATCTTTTTCGGACCTAAAGCTCACTATGTACGCTGATGTATCGGAAAAGGTGTCGGGTTGATGGATGTTAACTTTATCTAAAATCAGCCAAAAGTGCCAATGTGTATGTCATTTATTCCATCATCCTTCGTATTTTAGAATGGATAGCTGGTACACAATTCCCAGATCTTATTTCTTATGCGGAAAGCCCCTCGACCTTCTCAATCTCATCTCTGCTCAGGCACCACTTGTTCTGCAGAGCGGTATCCAAGCTCATTTGAATAACATCTTTAGACCACCACTCGCCCCAGCTAGTCAACATGACTTGTTCAGGGTCTTCAGGGAAGTCATTGATGGTCCAGGCACGGAGGAGGTTCTGAGCGCCTACAATGTAAAAAAGAATGTTAGTGGGTTCTATTGCATTGATCACAAGCCGGGAATGGCTACCTTCAGGGACGGTTTTGGCATCAGGCATGCTCATAGATAATCCCAAATCTTTGCCAGCGAGCTTCGTGTCGGGGATCAGACCAGGGGAGACTGCCACGACTCTACACTCGGGAAGCGTACGACGCCAATACTGCGCACCTAGTAGTTGGACGAACTTGGAGGCACTGTATACGACGCCGCGGTCTGCTCCGGAGTTTGCCTTGAGATCGACATCCAGGGTTTCTGAAACAATTTCGTAAGCAAAAGTTCCAAATCAATGGTCTTCCAGACGCAGAAATACTTACTCGGGTCTTGGTTTCGAACGTTACGGATTGCTCCAGATGATACCACGACAATGCGCGACTTGCAAGCAGCCAGGGTCTCACGAAGCTGATGAAGCAGATAATGCTGGGCTTTTGCATTGATGTCATGTCAGGCATACTTCTCTGGCACTTTTGATGCGCTGGGTTAACCTACATAGATGGTTCACGACATAGCTGGTGCACCACTGCGAACCGTGAGGTCCTGGCCCTTCGGCACTAGCAACCATGCCAGCACAGAGGAACAGCAGATCCAGCTTGTTAGGACCTAGCTTAGTGAGAGCATTCTGTGCGAATAGCTGGACACTGCGCAGATCGGTAAGATCAAGTGGCACAAGGGAGATGGTATGCTTGGAGGCGTCAAATTTGACCTCGTCAAACGCGGCCTGAGTTCTCTCAATGTCTCGAGCACCGAGGATAAAGTTATAAGGCTCGGATTTCTCGAGTAATTGTTTGATTACTTCGAATCCCTGTTTTGATGTTAGCCGAACTCCCAAGTTGTGATTTGGAAGCGGGATTGCGATATACCAGGCCTGAGGAAGTGCCCGTGGCAATCACGTTCTTTGCTGTGGCTGGCATGTTGAGCGATGACGATGATCTATCAATAATATTTTTTCCGACTCGAGTTAGATAGTGTTTACTATTTGTTTTGCGGTGAAAGATGAGCTGAACTGCCCCTCCTTCTGCTGACAAAGCTGATTTTACTCTTGTTGTGTTGACGTCATGTTTCCAGAATCAACCGTGAAGGAATATGTATACCTGATTGATAGCAGTATTCTGTTGAGAGTAATTGGTCAGTCCTGGAGTGTATGTGTTTTGAGCCAGAGATCTGTGATCTGCTCAATTGAAAGTGATAACCAGTATTAAGGAAGCAAGTCTCCACGAGTAGTAGTCGAGTACAACAGGAATGAACCATCTCTCCAAAAGAGCTTATATCCCAACTTCAAGTTGAAGCCATTCAGAGATAGGGTACTTTCAACCTTCAGGACTGCCAAAATTTCAACTCTTTGTGGTACATACCTAGTTACTCACTGGGGCACTTTCTAAATTATTTCTTTGTTGTACTTCGATAAGCTATAAATAGGAAGCCGCGGTATAAAGATCAGGTGACTATTACCTAGGTATCTGGCCAAGATCACTAGCAGGGAGGTAGTATCTTGAATGGGGGCTTCTAGAAAATATCAGACGAGCATTGAATTAAGAGATATCTAAACATCTAGATATTTACGAAAGTAGTGGGTATTAACTAGTTACTACTTCGTAGTTTCGTAGTAACTAGTGCTGGTGCGTCTGTGGCTGTGCGGAGCTTGTGTGGCTGACTGTGGCGGCATCTTCACCTCCAAAGCCAAACCTGAACCTGAACCTCCCGCGCTTTCTCCCTTTCTCCTTGTGTTCTCCCCTTCAGCCCCCTCATCGCCTGAGTCGCTCTTGGGATTCTGTTACATTTGTCGAATTGCTTCGAGCTGACTTTGATCCCATCTTCGTTACCCCTTCCGCCCCTCCTCGCTGCGCGAAAAATCCGTGTTCTTTTCTCACGAGACCGCCCCTCCCTCCCCAGCTGGCCCCTCCCCTCCTATTTCCGCCAGCTGTTGCCACCATGGACAACAACATGGAGATTGATACCGCGAGATCGCCTGAGCCACACCTCCTGTCCCCGACGAGCGATCCGGGTTCCATACCGACTCTGGATGGCTGGATCGAGAGCTTGATGACGTGCAAGCAATTAGCGGAGGAAGATGTGCGGCGCCTGTGCGATCGGGTTCGTTGCTTCACTGCAGGATTTGTTCAATTCTGAATTGTTAATTTACTCCTTTTATTCAGGCCAGAGAAGTATTGCAAGAAGAATCCAACGTTCAGCCAGTGGTATGTGTTGCTATCGTCGCCGTCGCCGCCGCTATGGCCCCCCCCCCTCCCCGCCGGTCGGTCGTGTTGGTCCTCAACAACTAACCCTTCTTCCAACAGAAATGCCCCGTGACAGTTTGCGGTGATATACACGGCCAGTTCCACGACCTAATGGAACTATTCCGCATCGGCGGCCCCAACCCTGACACAAACTACCTTTTCATGGGTGAGTGCTGATCCGTCCCTCGGTCGGAGGTGGGGGGCAAGAGCTGCCTGCTGGACAAATCTCTAACCACCGATTCTCTCGCCTCGCAGGTGATTATGTCGACCGAGGATACTACTCAGTCGAGACAGTAACCCTACTGGTCTGCCTGAAGATCCGTTACCCCCAGCGTATTACCATCCTTCGTGGAAACCACGAATCCCGCCAGATTACCCAGGTCTACGGCTTCTACGACGAGTGCCTCCGCAAATACGGCAATGCCAACGTGTGGAAATATTTCACCGACCTCTTCGACTACCTCCCCCTCACTGCTCTCATTGAAAACCAGATCTTCTGTCTGCACGGTGGGCTGAGCCCGTCCATTGATACCCTCGACAACATCCGATCCCTGGACCGCATTCAAGAAGTTCCCCACGAAGGACCTATGTGCGATTTGCTTTGGAGTGATCCCGATGATCGCTGTGGTTGGGGAATTTCTCCTCGCGGTGCGGGGTACACATTTGGACAGGATATTTCGGAAGCGTTCAACCACAACAACGGCTTGACTCTGGTTGCACGAGCACACCAACTGGTGATGGAGGGATATAACTGGTCTCAGGATCGAAACGTGGTCACCATTTTCTCAGGTATGATTGCCTTTCAGCGTGCGATTCTGTTTTTGTTGAGAAGAGCAAAATCTGACTTGGCCTCTAGCACCCAATTACTGTTACCGTTGCGGTAACCAGGCTGCTATTATGGAGATTGATGAGCATTTGAAGTACACATTGTGAGTTTTGCCCTACATTCACCTCCCCCGTCCACGTGTACCCCTCGCTGGACCTGGGCATGGACCTTGCTAATACAATCACCCCCATTCATAGTCTACAATTTGACCCCTGCCCCCGAGCGGGCGAACCGATGGTATCGAGACGCACACCCGACTACTTCCTGTGATAGATTTCATCTTTGTCCTTCAGAAGGTTACGGGGCTGGCGGAGGAAGGGGGCTGCATACGAACTGGGCTCTCCCCTACTTAATTCTGTATGGTTCGATGCCTTGCCGTCTGTTGATACCAATCATGAAAATAAAAGACCCTTTTGCGAGATTAAGAATTTTCTTGCACCACGACTTTGTAGGGGGGAATGGAGGGCCTCGGAAACACAACATAGCAGGGAATTCGATGCAGCTCAGCAGGGCTGGCTGGGTTTGGGCCAATATTTACACCAAGAATGTTATTAATTAGACGAGAAATTTGATAGTCGCATTTTATGGAATAGGAAGACTTGGTTCCTCTCGGTGATATGGGAGTTATAATCCTAGTACTGTGCGCCCTGAGTTCGGAAGGTTTTGAGCCGTACCAAGTAGCCTACCGAATCGTCGGAAGGGACGAAGTGACTGATGCAGATGCTAGTGCGCTGCCAATAATTTCTACAATGCTACAAAGCTCCGCAGACCTGATACTCAAACTAGCCATCGCCAGTCTAGTATCTGTGCCCTCATGAGGTGTGAGATACGTACTACTGAGGTCATTACCACCATCAATTAACTTCAGCAATTAACTTTTCTGACATTCCATTCCATGTACAGAGTAAAAACTCTGTATTCTAATATTAAAAATTATGCAATATCTATACATAGTCCATAGTACAACGCTCAATGTAAATGCTCGCAACGCCGAGAAGATCACAATGCATACAGGGCAGTCTCGCGCTTTAATTCAAATCATATATTCGCGGCCTTTATGCTTCGATTTTCACAGGGGCCGGGTAACCAGACAAGGCACCATCACTGCCCTCGAGGTCGTGGTTACCAGCACCCTGACCAAACTGTGCACCTTTAGGCTCATCTTCTGAGCCGCGGTAGTGGCGGACAGCCGAGCTACCATTCGGCACCCAGAACCGTCGATCAACGCGGGCAATCAAGAACAAGGCAACAACCGAGATGTCGATTCCGAAGTTAAAGACGTAGAAGCAAGCTTTGTGGTCGTACCAGGGTGGATTGGTCGCTAGATGAGGAGGCATCCAGGAAGTTCCAGCGCGGAACGAGGAGCCTAGACACAAGAGGACGGCAGCGGAGAGGACAATGACGGCTTTTGTGGACCATTTCCCAGAGCCAGGATGTTCAATGTCCTGGCCGTGGGAGAATAACAGAACTAGAAGTGTGATGGGGATCGGAAGGAAGGAGACGATCGCAAAATAGGTTACGCCGTACAGCTGAATGTCACGGTCGATGCGGAGAGTGTTTGCATTGAGAGTGTATTGGCTCTGAACCACACAGGTAATAACCATGATGATAGTCAAGACGACCAGAACGTAGAACACCTTGAAAGCGTATGAGACGGCTCGCGACCAGCCGAGGCGTGGGAGAGCTGCACGGAGCATCCGTTGCGAGTAGAGGAGGTTCAGAATGAAGAGGAGTAGGATTCCTGCGGCGACGAAGATCTGGGCGGCAATTGCGATTCGAACGTTATTTGGTCGACAGGCCCAAGCTATGCGCATGATATTGGCGACGACTCGCGACATGCAGAATCCGAATGTTACGGCGGATGGGATGAACTTGTGACCCCTGGCCAGATTGCGGCGGAATATGACCATGTGCGAGATTCCAAAACTGAGGAAGAGAGCGAGGAAGACTGCGCAGACCGGGACATCGACGTCGACTGTCGGTCGGCCACCGAGCAAGGCGACACGAGGGGCGTAGGGGCCTCCCATTGTTTTGTTTGGATTGGAGAGCTGGAGAGCTGGTTTCGAGTAAAGTCACTGCTCAGATGAACAATGAGTGATCAGTAGTACCCCGAGTTGAGTTCTTTTGTCGTTAGTCTGCAACATCAGCAGGTCTGTCGCTATCCCTATATACCATTACCAGCATCTGTTGGATCGGGGTTAGGTTCATCTTGGCGTGACCGAAAAACACTAAAGTCACCGGAGGACGCGCTTTAGATATCCCGATCTGAACGAAGCAGCGCTTGTTTGGGTGCTGTTAAGGGGTCCATGCTGTAGAAAAGCACCGCGATCAGGGGGAGTGTCGACCTGTTGGCGTGATGTTTAAAGGTCGGCGTCGGTGGACACAACCCCCGATGCCTCAACCCGGAAGGCCGAAGGCCCGACCCCGAGAAGACCAGTAGGAAATGATACATAATTCGAACCTTGCCCTCTATTATTTGATATAATATCAGGTATTCTGGAACCATCGATAGATCACAGGGTGAAGATCGTCATGATGATTTTTTTCAGTTGATAGATTGAGGTGGAGGTGGGGTTGATCCTGGTACGGGTCGGCGCCGCCGCTACCTTGTACTAACTACGATCTGGGCACCTTTTCCAGGTATAATGGGCCACCTCGACGCTGTTTTGGACGTTGGGAGTACCTTCTTTCACCCTACTCAGGCTTTCGCCATCACCATCACCATCATCATCACCACTTTCCAAATTTACTCGTTTTCATGATACTTTACGAGCATTGATATTCCGTTAGCACTCGATTAAATGGAGTGAAGCTGCCCTTGAAACAGTCGCATTGTTTCGAGCGCCTGTCATCACTTATTGTCAGAAATGCTAACCGATCATCAAGCCCCTAAATCGATTTCCATCGGTGATTTCCGCTTCAACATTGATCTCGCCGGGTTACGCTGGGACAATGGGTCCATGAGAAAGTAACAAACGGTCTTGAATGCCCGTCGGCCCTTTTTTCGGATGATGTTCGGGTTGGAGTCTAGCCCTAGGGACAGTGTCGATTTTGATGAAGATTGAGACCATGATATCTTCGGTCACGATGCTTATGAAGAAAACTAGAATGACTGCAGAAAAACTAAAGCTAGCCAAAAGCATTGGCAAAATCTTTTCTTGACCTCAAAGAATCAAACTCTGCGAGCGGTCCAGTGAGACGAGTTCCATTGCGCTCCAGGCTCGTTCTATGGAGAGCTTGTGGGAGAGAAATTCATCGAGAAAGGCCAAGGGCGCTTCGACAACTGCTCCTGCATGAGTTATAACCATTGCCGAAGATGTATCTTGCCATTCCTCATCAGGGCACTGGCTAGGTATAAATCACACATTCGGACAGCTTAATTTAGAAATGATACTAGAAATATTACATCACATCACTGATGCCAGGCAACTGTTAGGACTAGCGCTCGCTGATAATAGAAACGAACATTGTGAATGGTCGATTTTCTCCCTCAATCCATGGCATCCACAGAGTACTCCGTATAGCCTGAAGCAATACAGCATGAGCAGTATTCTCGTCTACGATTGCCAAAAGAGTGGTGGTGGCGGAGTGCTAACGAGATGGAGACATTGATTCCCTTGGCTCGTATAGGGAGTACTTCCGTACTTTGTGATTCATTCTGCAAGAAGTGTAGAATAATAGAAAGGTTAGATGTCAGTGGCCGATGGTCATGACTGGTAGCCAATGGGAAGTTAAGAATCGTTCGCTCGGTCCTCCGAGCCGCACGACGCCAACATTTCTCCGCCCCAACGATCGATCTGTATTTCCCCACGTGCGCTGCCAAAAGGTATGTAGAAGGTAAAACCATGTGGCTAGGGCAGTGCAAACTAGAAGCAGGGCCAGGGCGCTTTTGTTTCAGTCCGGGCGGTTACTGTTCCTTCATGATAAGACCGCAGTTTAACCCGGGCTGACGGTAGTAAAGGTCATGTGGTAAAGTGACTCGATTTCCCTGGTTCCTGACCGATGGACGTCAATCAGCGATCATCACATCTCCCAGGGTCCCAGGGTGGGCAACTCCCGTCATATACCGCCCATTGTACTCACGAATTGCGACTGTCGGAAGGGTCAGAAATGACATCCACTTCCCCACCCTTGTATTCTCCGAGCGCATCAAGCTATCGTGCATCCACTGCAAGCTCAGGAAGCCACATGCAATCAATTACTACAGCAAGCAGCGAAGTCTCTCGTCGTGCTCACTCAAATCCCGTCATCGAGGCATCCAAGGCCCGCGCTCAAGATGAGCAGGATACAAAGGCCCTCCTTCTTACCGCCCAGCGTTTCTGTCGGATCTACAATCCAGAAATCGAGCCAGAGCATGAAACGACCATGCTCTGCGAGTGCGCAGTTCACAAGTACTGGGAGCGCAAGTTAGACCGACTCGATGTTCAAGACACCTGGTCAAGAGCCGTCATGTACCCCGGAGAGAAGCCATACCATGATTGCACCCGCCTACGATTCAAGAACCAGAATCCATATTCCTTTAAGATCACCTCGCCCTTCAGCCTTGTCAACTTTTTGACCGGAATGGCGAAACCTGACCCAATTTACCATCTACAATTCCTCGAGGAAACTCGAGCCATGAATTCAACTCTGAATGCAGCCGCGGAAGAAGCCATCCAAACGCTGGAGCCAGGATTCAATATTTGGGACCTCGAGCAGCTGGAGTCCCTAGTATCCAATATGTCCATCCATCGTCGCACATCCCTTGGAATCGATGGCGAAGTCGACAAGACATCAAAGCGCTCCGGGTTCAGAAAAGCATTCTTGATGAAATCCTCTGATGAGCGCACCGCAATCAAAATGAAAAAGAAATTCGCCGGGCCATCAGAGTTACGTGATGAAATCCTCGCAGAAGAGCAAGGCAGATGGCAAGATGACAACGACAAATATATTGTGACCGCTTACCAAGAGAGCATCGGCATCATCCAAGAGGTCGCTGAGTTGCGAACGAAACGGCCTGTGCAATATCTACACCTTCTACGAGCGGGATATTTCGAACCGATCATCACATCCTGGGAAGGTCAGGTTCCGAGTTTACTCAGCTTCAGCATCGATTCCGCGGCCGGATGGAGAGGATTCACACCTACATGGAGAGGCTTTAAAACGATCGCCGAGGAGCGACTTTATTGGGTACTCAGTCATCGAAAAGGGCAAAAGGCATATTCAAAACCATCCTCGACTGCAGAAATTGATCAGGCTCGGGAGCGGATTGCTACCGCTATTCAGCCTGCACAAATATACGAGCGGCCCGATGAAGTCAGCTTGGTCTCCGGCGGCTCTCAACGTTATTCAAGTCAAGTTCCCATGCCGATTCACACAAGGGGGGGCCCCTATATCACCACGAGACGAGACGATGATTCTTCTAGACACCTCTAGCTCGATGGACACTTTTCCCATGTGTCCAGAATACACTCAGTATCTGATTACATCACACACGAAGGTCGATCAACCAAGGAGCAAAGGTAATATATACATCTTTTTACTGCAAGCATCCAAAAGCTAATATCTGTCTAGAAGTTGCCAAGTCTATAGTACGGGACTTCGTCAGCGCAATGTTGAACCATGACGGCGGCGGACGAGGTTATCCACTAGTAACATTTTCTCAATCATCGGCATACATCGGAACTGTCCACGGTTGGGATGTGAATGAAATCTGGAGAGAATTGAGGTTCATAGGACGCCCCCGACTCATGATGGGATGGCAGAAACTCAAGGAGCTGCATTTCCGGAAACATTCTGCAACAGCAACATACCACACGAATTATGGATGGCAAGCAGGCCCACGCACACCTATACTGAGGACTCTGTTGGTCTTGAGTGTCGAGCCAAGCGACATGGATGAATTCGAACTGGAGCTTCTCAGTCTACCCTGGGCCTATGTAACAATATTCCTGATCGGCGTGGAAGGATCCATCGACCATCATCGCTATGCAAACCGGCTCAGCCGAATGAGCGAGGTCAATAACAGGGTATCACTTGTCGCAGCCCAAGGAAATATCCCAGAACGCCTGGTCACCCATGAACTCCTCAAGCGGCATCTCTGCTCTGATCTTCCAATGTCTCGTTTCCGGGAGCTCGAGCGGCCATTACCCGTGGAGTTACCCTCACCATCGCCAGGCCAACGCGGGAGAACGTTTTCCAATTCAACAGACCTAGATGATCTTCCGGTGGAATTGCCGTCGCCCGAAGAAACATCAGTCTGGCAGTCTGAACAGCAATCATTGTCCATACGAGGCATAGCAGAGCTCTCAGGAGAACGAGAGTTTGCCGAATTGCCCGCTCCAGGACAATATGAACCAGAGCGGTATGTCAATCGTACGCTAACAGATCATATTTCACAACGAGGGCCCCCACCCCCGTATTTAGAGAGCATGTAATAAAAATAATTCACATTCTGATGACCATCAATATGCTTTGAACCGCCAAAATAGTATTGTAAAATATGGAATGTGACATGACACGCTTAGTAGCTTACATAGAAAGATTCTTAGCCTTGTTCGCTAAGATCTCCTCAACTTCTTTGGCGTGCTTGGAGAAGTTATCAACCAGATTATCCCACATCTTCGGTTCATGCTCGTGCCTTTTATCGCTGTTCCATGCGTAGTCCGTGATAGTAAAAGGCCTACTGGACTCGAACATGAAAGCAATCGATGCTTCAGAGATCTGCATAACGGGAGGCACATTGTCGCTAGCTGCCCTGAACTCTTCGTATGCAACGCCGTGGGGGACCACTGTTTATGAATTAGAGACAAATTGCCAAAAGGAGGTATAATACAATGTAACATACTGCCACATTCAAAGGAAACACTGCCAGGCTTGAAGGCATCCGATCGACCGGCATAATCGCCATAGATGAGACCCATCAATTCCGAGGCGGCATTGCGGTGATAGTAAGGAGGGCGATAAGTGTCTAAAGTACGCGTCAGTCAATGGAGCTCAGACAAAGCACGAAAAACAAGCTCTGTTCTTACGAGATGCAACATCCCACCGTGGTGAGAAAATAAGAAAGTCGGCCAGCGGCGCCGTCAAATCGCGCGACTTGGCCGTGAGAACACAGAAAATCGAAGGATCAATATGATCCACGGAAATAGAGCCAACATTAACAAACTTGGTCAGATCATATTTATAGGGGACCTGAGAAGTAAAATTATCAGCTGGGAAACACACAATGCACGGGATTCCGGGGACATACATAGTTTCCATGCCAAGCAACAACATCGAAGGGGTTGTGGTTTTGAGTACTCTTGAAAAACTTGCCACCCAGCTTGTAAATAATCTCCCACGGCTCCTGAGCAATCTCATAATGAGCATTTGGGCTCAAGAAGTCCCTTGCATTAGCCAAGCCGTTCGCGCCCAGGGGTCCGAGTTCAGGAAGTTCAAAGGAGGTTCCCCAGACCTCGAGAATATAGCCCCGAGAAGGACCATCTGGCACCTCCACGCGGAATCGGAGACCGCGTTGAATAACAACAATCTCTCCTGGTTGCACGTAAAGAGGTCCAAATTCAGTCTGGATGTCCAGAGCACCTTGTTGAGGAACAATCAAGAATTCTCCATCCGAGTTGACGAATGCCTTCTTCTTCATACTTGTGTTGGCGACGTAGACGTGTGTGGCTATACCCTCACGAAGAGTAGGCTCTCCCGAGCCGGCAATGGTCTTTAGACCAGAGACAAAGTCCACCTCGCCCGTAGCAGGGATGTCAAACGGATGCCACGCGAGCTGGGTGGGAGAAACGTGGATTCGAGGGTTTAAGGGAAGGAAGTTGCACTCGGTATCTTTATTATCGGGCATTTCAGTCTATACAATTGTCAGCGATTTCATTCAGCATACTCTGCACGCCTTCCAACTCGTCATAGCCATACAAATCCTTGATGAGCTACTGCAGGGCGTGCACGGTAGAGCCACGCCTTCTTGTTTGCATGCCTCGGCGCAATGAACGCAGTGGCAGTCAACTGCTCGGCGTAAAGTCCGAATCTAACATTTCGAGGGCTGTTCTGGCCGTGGGGAATGGTGCCAGGAACTGCTTCAGACTCGAAGCTGTTCAAAGAATTCTACATCAGCATGTTGAATCGCGAGATGTGAGAAAAAAAGCAAAAACATACGTGTTGCCGAAGCCAGATTGATACTGCATAAGATGTTAGTTCACGTGTGCCATAAATTCAGGTTTGCGGGACGGTGATCAAGTACTTTATAAGGGTCATTGCGTCGTGTGTTGAAAGAAGGAATCGTTCCATTCTTTTGAGTCTCTGCCCAGTGGAAGATCTTCTGATATTCCTCTGGGTCTGGCAGTGAACTTGTGGAGGCCATGGTGAATGATCGCTTAAGCAGCGTTTGTAGTATTGGTACTAAGAATATTCAACAACTTCAAGTTGTTAAGTCAGGGCCGGGGGGTCCACGCTCGTCTATATAATGAGAATGTAGGCCCCCCGAGGCTGAGGTCTGTGGGGTCCGAGTCAGATACCACAACTTATCAAGGAAGAGCGAGCACCGAAAGTTACGTACAATTGCGTATGACCCTGAACAGAGAGGGCAAATTACATCTGCCCAAAATGTGGGGTGAATCTTCATGGCGGAGCTCCATCAGCTGAGCTGGAAGAGGGACGTGGCCGCGAATGGCCTCATCAGCCCGGCCACAACTGTTCCAAAAGAGCAACATCGGCATGTCAGTAGAAGCTCGCTCTGCCGACCTCCCCGGGCAGTGGATCTCGATTCGTGCACTACAGTGGAGCAAGCGATTTGGGTCCTTACTGACCGCTGGCACTGGATTCGCGGGTGAACGCGACCCCACATGAGTCAGGTCTGAGTAACGGTGGCGCGTGGGGAAGGCCGACGACAAGGAGATCTCCTGAACCAATTCACCGTCCTTCTTCAATGCCCGAATTTCGTCCTGGACAAAAACAGTGGGTCGTATCGGTTTGCTCTCAGATTCTCAGATGGCCCGAGAAGTGCATTACGGGAACCGTCGAACTCCTCAACTGCCGACGATGTTGGAAATTGGGCGACGACGGCCTGGATCGACAGGGACAAATGCAATAAACGTTCAATTCATTCTAAATTGCAGCCAAAAAAAATTTAGCCGGCTCAAATTATGCACATACTAATCGGGAGACGGTGCCGATAGTCAACCGTGAGAAAGATGGAGAACAGGAAGCCTTCAAATTCAATAACCGAGGCTCAATGCATTTGATTGCCTACCGTGCTGTCTAATTGAGTAAATTGATGCGCCCAGCCGTCAGCGCAAACAGAATGGGCATGTACACACCGGCCCCAGCCTCCTGAAGCACTTTACAATGCTCGACCCGACGTCGGGCAGCGAATTGAGCTTCGTTGATCTCCTTGCACTCACCGACTGGCCCAAAAGCGAATCGGTTATTCACAGACCAAGGTGCCTGTCCAGAAACAAAGCTGGTCCAACGCTGTCGCATCTCTTGACCGACCGCGGCCGCGGCCATGTTAAAAGACAGATCCACACCATCGAACAGGAGCAGTAGATCTACTGCATGATGGGCGCGACTGGAAGCTTGAAATGGGTTGGCCTGATCAACCACGTACTTGAATACACGCTTATTGGCAGCTTCCAATTTCTTCGAGATGACCTCCACGGGGAGTGTGTAGCGTGCGTCATTGACAATATCCAGGGCGCCTAGTTTTGCGGCGGTTGGACGATCGCTTACCACATGGTATAACTTGCGAAGCTTTGTGCCCCATTCCTTGTCGTTCTCAAATGCTGCAGCGATGGTTTCTCCCTCTAGCTCCTCAATACCGTTGCGCCAGATGACCGACTGTCGAGAGAGATTAGAATCGCAAATTCACGCTGTAAGGAAGAGATGACAGCGTACCTCATATTCAGTATCTCCAATCATAAGCTCTTCCACCTGTTCCGGTTTCTTTTCCCAATCTGCCAGGTCGGGCTCTTCTTGAATCCACATAGTGTTGACGTTGCATTCTTTGAGCGCTTGGATGAGAACTGGGACGGAAGATGTCCGAAGTGAAGACTGGCCTAGTGCTTTCACTTTCGCCTCCAGTGTTTGAATAAGGCCGTTGCCGCGCTCTACCGGCAGTGGCGACGAGAGGTACAGAGTACCTGATGCTAACACAGCTCGCTTCACAGGCGGACCCGTGATGAGGTGTGCATGGGTATAGATAGCCCCAGCACTTTCACCGGACAAGGTGATATTGTTCTTGATGGGAATGAGTGGTCTGTAACGCAGGCGGAAGTGGAAGAAGTACTCACTGGGTCACCTCCGAACGATGCGATGTTCTTTCGCACCCATTCAATTCCGAGTCGCTGATCCTTCAGCGCAAGATTCTTCTCTTTGCCATCGCCGAAACTGAAGATATTCAAGCGATAGTTGATAGAGACAAATAACATTGGCTTTCCAGCCTTGACGGAATCCGCCACGAGTTTAATGGGGTCTTTTGCAATGCGTCAGTCCTAAAAGATGAGGAATAGAGTGTGTTTTGAACTTACCGCAGATTTTGGAAGCAGCCGAACAGAAAGTGACTATCTGAGAGCCCCCCTAGATTACTTTAGAGATGAATAGATCTAGTAGGAGTTGTTTGTTAAATACCGTGAATCCAAACGAGAACTGGAAGCGGCTCGGTAGCCAATGACGCCGGCGGACTTGTGATTTCAAGATTCAAACATTCGAATTCATCCTCCGCTTCTGGAGCAATTGGAAAGTCCTCGGGGATTCGAAGTAAGTGACGAACATCCACATCCACCTGAGGACACCTCGGACTTCATATCGAGTTAGCATCTGGAAGAATATCTCTATCAGAACAGCAGAACTTACCCATATTTAGTAGCATCAACAATAGCACCTTCGAAGCCACCGACCGGCTCCGCTTTCTCGAATCTCGCAGGCACATTTGCGTATTTTATTCCGAGAAATTGATGGATCTTTTTACCCTGTTCCTCTCGCAGAATGCCTTTGAAAGTGGCATTCAATGCGGCGTGGTGGACATCTGGGTTTGCCATATCGAGTGCGAAGTGTATGGAGATGGGTTGTGATGATACTCAGGTGGGTTGAGATGTATCGTCACCGATAAAGAGAGTGAGGGATGCCAGGTCAAAACACGGCTAAGTCGGTCTCCTTCAACTCCCGAGCATCCCCCACTCTGTAGCTCCATCGTGCATCCAGCCCAAGGATTCCCAGTCAGATCGGCGTGGGGCTCTTGCGGGGAGCCCACCTTGTGGGGTTTACGCTTCAGGCCGGGCGGGAAACACGGAGATAAAATGATTTGTTGGATGGCATCTTGAAAATGAGATTTTTGACAAATGAACCTTGGAATACGCCTATTGAAGAGCACTTAGGCTCGAATATCTGGTTCATTCTTCGGAAACAAAGCAGCAATGCCACCCATCCGAATTTTGGAACTTGTTGTCATGGAAGTTGTGAAAAGAACCCGTGGACGTTAAACACTATTATTTCTAGTATGCAATTATTTATTATACTATACATGAGTTGAGTATGTATCATTCAAGTTTGAACGTGAAATAAGAAACTCTGTAGATGTGCATTTTTGCATCACCATGACCTTGGAATAACCACTTATTGAAGGTCCGACGGATCTTCAGTATTCACAGGGGCGGGATTTTTCAAGATCCAACCACCGATTAAAAGCAGGCAAGGCAGGGCAGTCACTCCGGATATCAATCCCATGGCCCATCCCATCGTTCCCCAGCCGGCACTCTGACGGATGAATCCAGCAAAGAACGGACCGATGAGACTGCCCGTTGCAAAGCCCATATTCGACAGGCCGAAGGCCAGAGCCATTGCACCCCCACGTCCGAAGATATTGGGAGACCTGTCTTCTATCTCCTTGACGGCGTGGAATACTTCGGCGACAATCGGAGTCATCACGGTCACAAGACAAACCCCAATCAAAGCGAGTAGAGCACATAGTAAAATCTTGTGATGCATCGTGTTGTCTGTGACAAGCCGTAAAAGAACGGTAAAAGGAACTGCAGCAAGAAAGCCGGCAGTGATGAGATAACGGGGTGATTTGGGAAATCGATCGATGATGCACCCAATGACCGGGTCTAGGACGTGTGGTACCATCAGTGGAATGAAGATCAGTCCTTGTGCTGTCTGTTGCCATCCAAACGTCTCGTTGACAAAAAGAGGTAGGACGCTGTCGAAAGAGGTCATGACTAAGGACATGACAAAGTAGCCCCAGAACGCCACGACTAGACGATACGACTTGAGCAGCGTTGTGACCTGTCGTAAGAGACCTGGGGATGCCTTTTCGGCTGTTTCCTGAGACTGTGGCTTCGAGTCGACGGAGACGGCGGGGGATTCGATTGTATCAGGAGCCGGGGAAGAATTTTCTTTGCTGATCTGTGTCGAGCTCGCCGTTGGTGTTTCTTCTGATGCAAGCCACGGGAGAGCATGCCGCCTCTCAATCAATGCCAAGCGGAGAAGAATGTCGATAGCAATAAACCCAAAGGCTATCCCGAAGACAGAATAGTAGCCGCCGTTTTGATAAAGGACACCACCCAAAAGAGGGCCGCCTAACGTCCCTACGCTGATGGACATGGATACATATCCAATAGCCTGGCCAAGTCCCTCTTCACCAACCGTGTCAATTAACAATGCCAGACCGACGGTCCAGACCACAGCGGCGGCTGCGCCTTGGAAAATTCGACCAGCGATCCAAAGGCCGAGGTTGGTTCCAACACATAGCAGAGCAGTTGCAGCACCGAGTGCTATAAGACCCGAAAGTAGTGGCCATCGTCTAGATCCGGCTCGGTCTGCTATATGTCCGATAATTGCTGCTGACAGTTAGAAATTGTTTCACATCGCGCGCGTGTGGAACATACGAGAAAAGGCCAAAAGAGATGCAGAGTATAAGGCTAACAGAATGGAAGTCCATGATTGAACTTTGCGGGTGTTAGCCTGGCTACTAGTATGTTGGGATCTGGCACGACCACAAAAACTCACCATTACCTGACGGTAGTCCAACTTTATCTTCTAGCGCGGTTGGGGTAACGGGGACGATCTTTTTGGTGGTTAGAAACTTGAACTTGAAATAATATTGATCCATGGATGTTGGGCCGAAGGAAAAGAAAATCATATCAGGGACTGCATACCAGACCGTACATAAAAATATCCTATTAGGTAGTTAGTCAAGCTGTCGGGCGACCCGGGGGGAGATCGCATGTTCTCGTGTAGGAAAATAGTACTGACGGTGCCTATAGCAAAAGAAACCGCGGACAGAACAAATAACCGGGACGATCTGATTTCAACGAACTTCGGCCGTGTGGGCTCACGATGGCCGCGAAACAGCAACAAATTCCAAACTCCCATGATAGAGTGAATCTCCTGCTCTGTTTTGTCTTCTGCTCTGTTTTGATCGGATGTGACCTTTGATCAGCAATGCAGGGGAAGTGGGTCCAAACGTAATATCATCCGGCGAAGATACAGCAGAGCAAGTAGATTCAAATAGTATCAACGCAGGAGACAGTCATGTTTAAATAAAAGGGCGGATTATCTTCAACGGTGTTTGAGAGTCATGGAGAAGAAATAGAAGCAAGTTTGGAATTTGGAGTTGGCAGTGGCAGTTGGCCTATCGAAGGGCGATCGGGGCCCGCGGGTCCCGAGCGCCGAAAAATTGAAGAATGTTGGAATGCAAATGTACCATCACACTAGTAGGACTTATTAATTATTGATTATAGTTATTCTCAGTGCGTAACCACTCGGAACATTACCGAACATCTGTGTTGGCTCGTATTTATTTTAATCTCGATCTTTCGTGCAGGATACGGTTGACGTGCAGGACATTATGTTGCAGGTTACGTGGGATTGAGATCCTGATTGAGAAGTAGTTCGAAACTTGCAACTGGTATTCATCGTATAGGTCTTAGGATCATCCCGTCTATTAAACCCCACAAGATCACAGTTGAGCCTTGAGTTTCTTGCTTTTCAGAATTTCTTTCAGCTGTCTCCGCAGAATCTTACCACTAGGGCTCTTCGGGATCTGATCCAGCACATGTATCCCACCACGTAGCCGCTTGTGGTTGGCGATCTTCGGATTTAGCCAAGAATGAATCTCGCAGAGGACAGCACTGACCTCCCGGCCTCGGGCTTGACCACTCAGCACCACAAATCCAACTGGCAGCTCAGTGGCCATCTCATCCACCCACATACCGACCACTCCCGCATCTTCAACGTCCGGATGATCGATCAGCTTTCCTTCCAACTCACTCGGGACAACCTGCAGACCCTTGTATTTGATCATTTCCTTGATGCGATCCTGGATGGTGACATATCCCTCCTTATCGATGACTCCAATATCGCCTGTACGGAACCACTTTGTCCCATCAGGGTCAACGTGGAAGGCTCCTTTGGTAGCGTCTTCATTGTTATAGTAACCTTGAGTCACATTAGGTCCCCGACACCAGATCTCAGCGGGCTCTGTCGATCCATCCGACTTGGTGGCTGCATCTTCCATTGTTTCAGGATCCACGAATCGAAACTCCATATTATGAGTGATACACCCGACACCCGACTCTCTCTTGTCCATGCGATTATTAGGGATAGCAGTTGCCATTGGAGAAGTCTCAGTCAGCCCCCAGGATTGAGTACAGAATACCTCGGTGTCGCAAAGCTCCTTAAACTTGGCCTCCAAGGCCGAGGATAATTCATTTGTAAGAGGTGCAGCGGCTGACAGAATGTGTTTGACGCTGCTCAGGTCGTACTTCTTCACGCGGGGATCCTTCACCATCATCAAAGCGATTGGTGGCACTAATGCAAGCTCATCCGGGCGATACTTTTCGATGCAGCCGAGATACGTATCCAAGTCGAAGCGGGGCATAATGACCACTGTTGCTCCCCATATAAGGCATTGGCACATATACAGATTCAGACCGTAGATGTGACTGAATGGGAGAAATGCGATGGCGGCGTTACGTTTGACTTGCTGAGAAGGCTGGCCTGAATCCATCATGTGAGCCCGCCATTGCTGCAGGTTGGATGTGAGATTCTGATGCGTAGTAATAACGCCTTTTGATGGCCCTGAAGTGCCCGAAGAAAAGCAGATGAAGATTGTTTTCGTCGAGGCTTCCCTGGGTGAGATCTCCTTCAGGGGAGCAGGGGTGGATGTGGTAGCAAGGTATTCGCAAGTCGCTTGACCATCCACGGGCGAGGGGCCATCCAAGAGGATTATCTTCTCCACCGAAGTTCCCTTAACTGCCTTCCTCGCTGTTTCCAGAAGTGTTGAGTGCACGATGATCAGACGGGCACCACTCGTTTTCAGTTGTGCGTTCAACTCCAATGGGGTTAAAGCTGCACTGGTAGGCGCGAGAATAGAGCCCGAGCCGATAATCGAGTAGCATGCAAGCGGATATTCAATCGTGTTTGGACTGAAAAGTGCCACGATCTCGTTGGGCTTCAACTCGAAATTCTGCTGGAGGCCGTTGGCCAGCGACCGTGTACGCTGAATCACATCTCCAAATGTATATTGCCTTTCTGACTGAGCGTCGACAAAAATGGGCTTATTCAGAGGAGTATTGAAAGGGTTGGAGAACAAATATTTGACCAGATCGACCGACTCAATTTTGATATCTGGGTATGGCGACCGGTAGACCTTGGACGGCATATCGAGGAAAAGGTCGCAGAGTGATGATTAATAGTTCAAGATAATTCGAGGCATGTGGGGTACCTGGGAGGAAATGAATGATTTAAATCAATTCCAGATAGACAATCAGGGAATGAGTGATGTTCAAGTTGTTTCTCGGATGGGGGTATCGGTATGGTCCTTTACCGACGCTAATGCCGACAGTGCAGAGGCCCGCCTGGATCAGCGAAGTGAACCTATGAGAACCCCAGATTCTTGGGAAAGCGTCCTTTTCCCCCACAATTTAAAGCTAAAACATAAATCGCCTAAGGGCTATTCCCAAAGATCCTCGGTCTGATCACCCCAGTTTCCTCGGCTAGATTACTCATCTTCTCAGTCCTAGCCTAGGTATAACTTTGACCTATCCTCATTCGACAAAAGCTTCACAGGTCATCGTTTAGTACAACTCTGATGTGGAAGTTTTTTTTAGCATTCGAGTGCGGGCTACTAAAGTTATACCTAGACAAATGCCAGCGCATTTGAATCTACTACTATCCGCTCGCGGTGTGTTCTTCGATGGTGTTAAAAGTACCAAACTGGGATAATATTTGATCCTTAGCAATAAAATTGAAGCAAATTGTGCTGCGCATCATCTTTCAAGTATAGTAGCATTGCGCGATCCAACTGACACGCGATTAACAGCTAGCAACACTGGGAACATTCTCACAGCTGCCATATGTCTTGCCGCCGGTGACCGTGACACTGGACCAGGTCCAGTCGGAACAAGAACCAGAGCCACACACAATAGCAACGTTATAGCCGCTGGAGCTGACAGCGCCAGATCCGGAGATATTCTTGATCGTGAGATCAGTGATAGGGATACCGGTGGTCGGATCGCCCTTGAGGTCACCACCATCATAGTTTTGCTCGATGAGAATACCGTATCTAGGGATTATTAGCCATCTTCAACAGTCAAATTATTTATGGATGCTGAAACATACTTAGAGATGCTGGCCAGAGTGATTCCGGAATAAGTAACGCCTGTGATGGTACCGGTATCTCCACTGGATGCCTTGATGCGAATTCCTACGTAGTACACATTAGTTCATGCCATTCTCAGAAGTTGGGTCATAGATTTACCGTTGGTAGAGGCCTTGACCTCTGAGTTTGTGAAGGTCACTGTGTCAACTGTGTTGTCGGAGCGTCCACCAACGCTACCAATGGATAGTCCGTGACCGCCAGAACAGACACCATCGCTGAAAGTAATGTCCTAATAGAGAAGGTCAGTGCTATACATCTATAGGCGATATTTTGTACATACCGTTCCAGAATTAACCGCAACGCAATCGTCTTGATTGTAGACATTGGCGCCGGTAATAACCACATTGCTACTACTTCCAATATCAAAGCCGTCCGTGTTATGGCCTCCAGCATCGTCGCCATCCGAGTTGTCGATGGTCATGTCAGTAATGGTCAATCCATCACAGCCATTGACGCTGACAGCCTGAACGGGGGTGTTCTGAATGTAAAGATCCGTGATAGTGGACGAAATCAGGTCATGAGCATAGAAAAACTTGGGCTTGGTTTTTCCGCCATTAGATCCTTCTCCATCCCACCAAAGTGCACCCTGGCCATCGAGGTATGCGCCACTGGCACCCTTGACAGTGATTCCAGTACCGGAGATCTGCAGCAAGGGACCAGACCATTCCTTATAGCCCCAGGTAGTCTTACCCTCGAAAATAACCTGACCATGAATTGTCAGTATACCGAAATATAACCGGATTGTGATTCTTGCGTACCGTGGTATCATCTGCTAGATCACTGAGGTCCAGAGTGGTGCCGGAAGGAACCGCAACGCTAGAAAGAACGATCGTGGAGCAAGACTTCTGCGATTTACTGGCTGAAGCTGCACCAGACGATCCCGAGAACGTGCAGGAGGTAGCTCGCTTTGCCAGGTTAGGCGCCGCGGTGATAGCAGGCTGGGGAGGAGACGAGGCTAAGGCGCAAGCTGCCAAGCTGGCCAGAACGGTAGATCCAAAAAGCTTATGGATTTGCATGGTGATTCCGAGTTATCTGATTGATCCGACTAGGGTTCGTGTCTAGTTCCCATCCATCGTTGACCAAGAGGACTTGGCCTTTTATCTGCATTTGAAGATCTGCAATAAAACTGCTGGCTGATTTGTGCTACTTTGAAGCATGTTTCATAAAGCCATAAACATGTGGAATTATCCTCCAATGGGGCTAAGATGGTGTTCTTTTTCGGACATTGATTGGTGGTACAACACGATGCCGCTGCTAGTTAATGCCGCGGGGAAATTATGCAGGGCCATGGCGGAGAAGGTTCCCTGCATGCAGAAGCATCTTCAGAAGCAATCCAAGGCTATCGAATGAAACAAGCTAAAGCCAAGAGAATTTAAACGACTTGCGGAGAACCCCATAATGTCCCGCAGATGTCTTGAATAAATCATCAGCCATCGTAATCCAAGGGAACGATCGGCCATCCTTAGCAAACTAGGCTAGCATGGCGCGAGTGCAGTTGCTCATTGGTCATCGGTTCAAATTTCTACTTGAAAAACAGATAATTTGCGACGCGCACTCCGTATATGAAATGAACATCCAAGATAACCTCCTATTTAATGCCTTGGCTCCTTTTAAAATAACCAAGGTGACCTGGTGAATTATTCGAATCATCCGGATTTGAAAACAGCAACCACATTTGCCAGTCGATCTAGAGAAACCTTCGATGCACAGTCAAATACGACACTTCGGCGTCGGCTTTCTTCACCGAATGCTTTCGTTGCCACCCCCGTAATTTCTCCTTGGTGGCTGGGCCCGTAGACTCGTGCCGAAAAGCCGGCGCTAATGTCTCCAGGGGTAATTGCCGGCCATGCGGGGACTCCGTGACAAAACTTGAAAAAGTCTTCTGCAAAAGAAGTAGCAACCTTGTTTTGTTCCGAGCTAAGGCACTCCTGGAAGTTCTGGAAGAGATACGCAACGTCAAGGATATGGTTTGCACGGCCCTTCCACGGCCCATCCCAGGGGTTGCCCTCGTTGAAATGATATACGTATGCATTCCCGTTCCAGCCAAGGGCGAATGTTAGCGCCGGCGCATGGAAACTAATGTCCGTGATAAAATTGAGCACAGAATATATCGCCTCGTCATCAGGGGTCTCTTGGGTGATATTGTACTCGTCCAAGATGCGTTGCGCTTCATCGGGATATGATTCCAACACCTTCCTCACCGCGGATATGAACTTCTTTGCAGATTCAACTCTCATTTGAGGCGCAAGGAACTCAAGGATACTGGCCTATTTCCCAGCATTGCGTTAGCAAAGCTCTTTGAAGAATTATCAAAGAACACATACATCCATTTCCGCATCTCCAATAAGAAGGTTTGAGCACCAACTTTTCCCTGGGAGAAGAGTGGACTGAGTATTTCCAATCTCAGCATATGTCACGCCGGGAAGAACGATATCATTGTCCACAGCCGGTGATGGCGATATGGAAGGAGGCAGTTTGCCTATGAGCTCGCTGCCGGGCATGTCCAGGATCGCCTTGACACGCTCATCGGGGCTCGAAGTAGACAGTCCTAAGGCGGCAATTGCAGCGGTGTAGTTCTTCTCGTGCTCATCGTATGACAGTGCCTTGATGTTTAGACAAGTCCCACTCATCGAAATCGCACGTTTGAACAGAGGCTCCTTGGAGTGAAGATGGTAAGTGACCGAAGCTAGAAAGAACTTAGTTCAAAAATGAATTCCCCTGGAATCGAGTCGCTGGATTTTGTATTTACCTCCACCGGCACTCATGCCTGCTGCTGTTATATTGTCCGGATTTCCGCCAAAGTCACGAATATGCCTGTGTACCCATTGTAGGGCGACGCGTTGATCTCGCAGTCCGTTGTTCGCGTTGAATCCGGCATCGCGCAGCTCTTCCGATGTCAGAAACCCGGGGGCGCCAAGGCGATAGCTTCAGATGCCCAGTTGATCAGCACTTCACCAAAAGAAGTATCATTAAGGGAACTCTTACTTGATAGCAACCATCACAACAGGCACGTCTCTTTCGACGGATAAGCTCACCATGCGTTCGATATCGGACTGTGGCCAGGAATTGGCGCCAATAAAGAGCCCACCTCCATGGATGAAGAAAAGAACGGGAAGATTCGACGACGGGGTGGCATTGGAAGGAATCGCAATGTTGAGGTTGAGACAATCAATATCAGATTGGGACAGATATTTCGGGGGAAGGCTCTGCTGAACGTGTTTGAGCTCGAGCTGACAGCCAATTGGAGGTGATAAAGCAGTCGGCCTATCTCAAGTTCCATATTAGCGAACATCTTGTTGTTTGTCGAAGAGGGATACGCGCATACCCGTCTTTAGTTGCATCCAAAATATCACCATGTCGTCGTTCGACCAGCTCCGCGTCCGCGAGCCGATTTTTCAGAGTGGCGTATTGGATACCCAAGAATTGAGACACGACTCCATCGCTTTTGCCGCGAATATCCCCCAGAGCCGCAGTTTTCAAAATAGTAGTCATGATGAATGTAAAGCTCCGTGTTTATGGTATACGGACAGTGAAATTGAGAGGAATAGACGTAAGCGGTAAGGCAGCACCAAGCTCTCTCGAAAAATTAGGAACGAAGGAGTTCGCCATTTCGTAAACCCCGTGCGTCAGAAGTCCTGACTCAGAACTGTCTAACGAGTGGGGGGAAGTGGGGAGAATGGGGAAAAGTAGGGAGGAGAAGGAGTGGAGGCTGTCATCCGCGGGGGTTTTCCGTTCCGCGGTTGTTATTAGCGTATTCAACTAGTAGGCTCCCTAAGGAAGTATTGGTATGGAAGGTTGGAATCTATACTTACTTCAGTACTATCTTTGAAGAACAATGTTCTTTTTTTACAACAAATAAAGGGTGACGAGGAGATTGTGATTACGCAATACGGAATTTGACCATATGACTTCACCATTTAAAGCTATAGAAATTTAATCACTATATATCCTCCAGTAGCTACTTCAAATCCACTTCATGCAATGCAATTTCATATCATATCTCAGTCTTCTCAGGATTGGAAGTTCATACTATAACCCCCAGTCTTGGGATCCTGTACAAAGTTGAAGTTATCTGTCGACAACCCAAACGGTTTGAGAAGACCGTTTCCAAGCTGGAGGTATATCATGATTAGCGAATTCCCCGAGTAGACAACAAGAAGGGCGATCGCCCACACTCACATCTTTCATCTTAGACATCATCTCACCCATCTCCTTGTCCTTCGCTTGGTTGAGACGTTCGGGCAGCTCGCGAAGGGCCCGCTGAACAATCCGTTTCTCGTCCTGAGGCAGTGTGTCCATACCCGCAAGGACTTGGTAATCCTCCATTGCGCCCTGCAGGTTGGCCCAGCCACCCAATTGGGACTTCGCCTTCGCCCGTCGCATCAGAGCCTTGGCCCGAATTCGGCTGACGTTGGTCCGCTGCTCGTCTTGTTCTTTCAAGCGCTTCAATTGGATTTCCTCCGCCTCTTCGTCGTCACCCGATATCTCGACTACCTCGTCGGTTGATTGTGTCTTGGTGGGCGCGGTAGATTCACTTGAGGATTCCGCGGCCTTTTCTTGCGAGGACGGGGAAATTACCTTGTCCAGACGCTCAATCGATGCCGTTGCCGAATCCACTGCCGCTTTCCAGTCTTCCAGCTTCAGGTAACAAGCGGCGATGTTGCTCCGGAGCACAGCAACATCGTAGTCGAGATAGTTGGGGCATGATGACAGGGCACGGTCGTAGCAGGAGATGGCCTGGTCGTAGCATTTCGAGCCAAAGAGTTGATTGGCCTCGACTTTGATCTCGTGGGCTTCTTTCAGTAACCTCTGCGACAAGTTTGAATCGAGATTAGCTCTGCAATGGGAGTTCGGTCTCAGAGGTCAACTCACCTTTTCTTCTTCGGCTGGGAAGCGCGCATCATGGAAGATGTCCTCTCCATCGCTTTCGTCTCCATCTGCCACGACCTTCTCCGTTGGATGTGTTCGCGCAGGCAGGGAATCGCCGGAACTCGTCATTTTGAGCGGAATGCGAAGCGCAGCTAAGGTACTGGGTAACCTTTTGGGGGCGGTCGGGGCTATCACGGAAATCCGATAAGGCCGCCCCGCGTCTTATCAACAACCAACTCCGCCCGCAACAGCCTCGAGGTTCCCCAACAGCCTCGCTTTCTTCCACGTCAAATCAAGGCCAAACTACGTTGTACAGCATGGCGCAGAGCAAAGAGTGCGTTACACCCGTTCAGTTCCCCCAATCAGCACTTCAATTGACTCGCATGACAGTCTCCCCCGCATCCGGGCGTGTCTGTTTGACATGGACGGATTGCTCATCGATTCCGAAGACAAGTACACTATGATCACAAATGAGGTGCTGGAGATGTACGGCAAGCCCAAGCTTCCTTGGTCTATCAAGGCGCAGCTACAGGGACGCCCGCAACCAGAGGTACCGCCCCAATTCTACAGGCCAGAACAACCGAGCAGAGCAGTAATTGACAATTGGTCCAGGCAAGCAAGATCTTCCACGACTGGGCAAAGCTCCCAATTACCCCCGAGGAGACGGCCGTGAAGCAACTTTCTCTGCAGCAGAAGTACTTCCCGCAGTGCTCACCCCTGCCAGGAGTCCCGACTTTGCTGGACAACCTCGTATCAACACAATCCACCAACCAGCCCGTCCACATCGCTCTGGCAACCTCATCGCATAGCAAGAACTTCGAGCTCAAGTCGGGCCATCTGAAAGAGCTCTTCAAGGCGTTCTCTGAGCCCCACCGTGTTCTGGGTGATGATCCTCGCATTGGAAAGGGCAGAGGCAAGCCCTTGCCTGATATCTATCTTCTCGCCCTGGAGACCATCAACGAGGACCTCCGCAACAAGGGTGAGGCCGAGATCAAGCCCGAGGAGTGTCTTGTCTTCGAGGATGCCGTCCCCGGTGTCGAGGCGGGTCGCCGTGCTGGCATGCAAGTTGTCTGGGTTCCTCATCCCGGTCTTCTGGAGGCATACAAGGGCCGTGAAGGAGAGGTGCTGGCAGGCCGCACAGGAGCGCACAAAGAGGAGGAAAAGACAGCAGCGGAGAAGGAAGCCGAGGAGCTGCAATCTTCGCGGGTTCAGGGTGCCGGGCAGCCGGGTGAAATTGGTGATGGATTTGGTCAAATCTTGTCCACTTTGGAGGATTTCCCATATGCGCGATATGGTATTCAGCTGCCATGAAGCTGGTGATCCCCTACTAGTAAAATCTATAAATACACTGATTCCATTATTTTTCAATCGCTGATTATTTCAATCCCCTGTAATGATGGGTTACTTTGGTGCAAGGTTACTTGAATTCCGAGGAGCAGGTTAGTTTCGATATGAGGCTTTTACTTTTGAGGGCTTCAAGCTTGCTCGTTTTGAATGTTTTTCAATTTTCGCAGCCTCTCATAAATGTTTGATTAACATCCTCGTCACAAATTCATCTAACATCAACCTCTCCATCGCCCTTTCCGCCTCCTTTTCTCCCTCCATACATTAACCGTAAGGTCATCAATCATGTGTCATCATTTGTAAAAACTCATGAGTCGTGGGAAGTGCCATCTCCTGGGCAGCAACAAGTCATTATTCTGACTTCCCGGCGTTCTTGCGCGAACACTTAGAAGGGCTGTCAGCCTCTGAGTCAGGCGCCGGGCGCTTTGAGGGACTTTCGGTTGCAAGAGAGGCAATTGTCTTTCGGATCTCCTCTGGCGACTTATTCTTGGTCAAGGCCTTTTCCATCGCCAGGCGCTCTGCCTTCCGGTCGTTGACTCCCTTGTTTTGCTTGATGCTCTCGCGGACCGCAACCGCGTTACTCGCAACGGCCATGGGGCCACTCGGGCCCACGATGCGCTTTGCCATGTTCTTAGAAGTCTTGAGGTAGGCAAGGACCGACAGGAACCGCTCCCCGAAGGTGTCGTATCGTCTCTTCGGGTAGCCGGATCCGACGAAAGGGTCGGCGCTCTGTTGGGATAGGATCATGTCCTCCTAGAGGAAGAGATTGATGTGAGAACCAGGGGTGCCTAGTAATACGGAAATGAAAAGAAAAGTCACTTACCAGAGCCGCCCAGGCACTCTGCTCGATGTGCTCGTCGGTGTAAACCTTCCTCTTCCACGGGCTTGTAGCCTTCTTGCCATCGTTGGTAACTTCAAGGTCTTTCATGGCAACCATAAGGAAGCCGACCAGAACCTTCTTTTGAGCCACGGTGGTGGGAATTGTGCTGTCGTGCTCGTTCGCAAGAAGGTGGTCGAATTGCGCATGCTTGGCCTCGTCCAGAGAGTTGTAGATAGTCGGGTGAGGGGACCGGCCCTCGTCTTGCATCTTCCGGACATAACTGAACCCGAAGCCCATGACTTCCACTGCCTCGATCTCAATGAGTTTATCCTTGGCAGTCAGTGCTTTGGCGCCTCGTCCCTTGGGGGGCACATTGGTATTGCCATTTCGGCACGTTGTCGCATCAGGAGAGAACGCCTCGGACCCAGAGCTTTCCCCTCCATAGGAGTTGACAGACTCAGGAGTCTTAGCCAAAGAATGCTTCCCGGTCTTCGAACGGGTCTGTCTGCAAGGTGTTGCAGGAGTTGAGTTACGAGGCTTCACAGTTGAATTGCGAGCTTTAGTTGGCGTGATCAACTCATTGGAAACGAGAGAACTAGCGGCCCCGGAATGATGAATGGCACCATTCTTGGCGTGCGTCGACTTGCAGGAGTGTCCCGGGGTCATAATTCCATCAGAGAGGATAGCATCTGGAGTCATGAGTCGATGAATGCCACAACCCATCGTGGGGAGGTGATTTGGGCCCATTTGGCTCAGCTGAGCCCAGTTCGTGGGCTCGTAAGCGATGCTGTCAGGAAAAAGGAACGGCTCCGAAAACTGAGCTCCATGGCGTAGAATATCGGCGTTGCAAAGGGCATCCATTGTGTCTACGCCGGGTGAGGGGAAGAGACGGTGGTTAGGGGCAACAGAATAGCTCGATGCCGGTTCGTAGCCGGTAGTGAAAGTCAATGAAGGATCGACGAATTGCGGAACGTTTTCGGGAATTCCGTCGCAGCCATAGCCATGGCCATAGCCGTAACCGTGGCCATGGCTGTAACCCAACTCGTTGCTGTTTCTGGGGATCTCGGACGAAAGATAGGTGGCATCAAGATGGAAGCTCGAGGTTGGGGAGTTGGATTTGCCAATTCCGGAGATTGACTCAATCTCCTGCTGCATCTGAACTTCAAGCTCCTCGGGCTGTTGGCTCATCATACCCGACATTTGGCCGAGCACAACAGGATCAATTTCCAGTTTGAGGGCCTTGGGCCAGTTGGCCATCACGGCTTCCTCGACATTGCGACCAAAGGGTGCAAAAGCAGGACCGTTGTTCGAAGTGCTTTCACAGTTGCCCTCGCGGTTGCCCTCGCAGTTGCCAGCGAAGCCAGTGGCAGAGCTGGTCGACGCCATGGTTTTGGCGACGATATGTGACAGGGAAAGGATGGATGGGGAAGTTGCGATACAGGGAAACGTTCAGGATGAGACAAAAGGTTGATGGTGACAGTTTCTGGAGAAGAAAAGGTTGGAGGTGTTGAAGATGGTGGAATTGGAGAGATCAAGAAGGAAGGAACGATGAAGAAGGAAGGAAGTGGAAGAGGAGAACAAAGAGGCGAATTGACAGAAGGAGCAATTGGGGAATTGAAGTGAAATGAGAGCTGTAGATGTAGATGTAGTCCATAGTCCGTACTTGCGCGAATAGATTGAAGGTTGTTGCAAAGAAGACTTGACGAGAACAAATCGCTATGGAAAGCAATTGGAAATCCAATTTGGCCGATCAGTGAATAGACTCGAAGCCTTCAAGAATGATCGATCTTCTCTCTTCGTCCTCCTCCATTGAAGCGTCTCTTCAACATTTCAATTGAGATTGAAACTCGAGAGCATTTCACAGACTGCACCCTGGCAATTGTGAAGCCATTCAGTCGATATGGACCCAGGTATTCGGAACTATAAAGCGGGTCCCCTTCTCCATATCGGCCAATCAGGCGCCATAATTGACCAGGTCATTCACTGTGCACCTGGTGACCATCCTGGGGCACCCTCAAGAGGAGGCTGGGGATTGACTCACGCCAATTGAGATAAGCGTTGCCTAGAGCGGCCCTTGGTCCAAAGCGGGTCCGGGCTGTGGCTGGTGTTGCGGAGTGGTGGCAGGCACCTTCCATTCTGCAGTTTGCAGTTGCGTTGCGATGGCAGTAGTTTGCGATAGCAGCTTCCAATTGTATTCCTGCATTGTTGTATTGACTGTTCGTGATTGTTTGCCTAGACAGTATAGCACCTGCCAGTGGTTGGCGTACTTGAGGGAACCTCGACGAGAATAGCATCATGAGTCTTGCTCTTGTTTGGAAGTCTGCTCTGGGTCGTCTGCTAGAAATGGCATCGACCAAACCTTGAGGATGTTTTCCCCGGGGGTTTCATTCTTGGGTGGGTTGTCGTCGTCGGAATCATCAGGTGTTTGTCGACGACGCTGACCAGAGCAGCTGGCCACCACAGTCCCCATCGGGTGAAAGACAGCGCCTGTAACAGCATCTACGATGTGTTAGCCTCAATCCTATCGTGAGCAATGTAAGTAATTTTTCAAATCTGCGCTCACCATCATGTATCTGAAACTCCGCACCCGGGTCTTGACAGCCAACAGAATACGTCGGATCTCTCCAAACCCTCATAAAGCCATCAGTACCTCCCGCCCAGATCTCATGGGAGCCATCATTCCCTGATGGAACAAGATCAATCTTCATGCGCTGATTCGTGAACGCCTTCCGACCACGGAGATATCCCAGCATCTGACCCGTCACCCGGATGTCATACACAAGAACACCATCACTCTTGCGCTCCGCAATATAAAGATACCTTCCACACGGGCTCCATAATAACTGGGTGACTCCCTTGCCGCCGATATCACGGTTTGCCTCGGTCTTTGCAATGTTGAACGTACCAAGGCTTTCTCCGGCACCATTCGAACTATACAACCCCACGTGTCGCGTAAATGTCCCAGCGGCCAGGATCCCATCACCAAGCGGATTGCTGGCCATGGCCGACACGATACCTTTCATACCGACGCCTCCACCGACCATCTGCTTCCTTTTACTCGGAATGGTTGGCATCCAGGATACAGGCCCGCTACTACCGGCTCGCGAGACATCGAAGAGGCAGATGAGAGAATCCGAACCCGTGAGGAAGTGGGTTCCGCCAAGTGTTTTGGGGTAGATAATGGAGTGGGGGGTGATGAAGGCTTCTGTGGTTGGATTCACGAGTGAATAGCTTGCTACAAGCGATGGAGCGAGAGCAGACGACAATCGAATGGGGTGATCTCGAACAGAAGACAGCAGCAGGGTGGTTGATGGGTCCTGCAAGTTGAAGTACGGATAGATCGCCGTGGCATATGTTGGTTCCGCTGATGGAAGAGTCGAATATGGGTGAATCTCATGAGGCGAGGAAGACTCCAGCAAGTCCGGGGGCCTGGAAGGCAAGTCAATTTCATTTTTGAAGCGACGGGCATTGATCTGTACACTTACAGTATGAAAGTTCGAATATGATGATCAGCCGAATCCGTCAGAAGTGTCGTACCATCTGGAGACCTTGATGTGATTGAATATTGATCAGTGAACCGGTCATATAAAAAAAATTGGATTGGAACGTGCTATTGATAGCTTCAATGGGCGATGGGTCTTCAAACATATGACAAGCGCTGATGAAGGGGCATGTTCCGCCAGAAATGAATGATATCCAAGACATGATCTTACCATTCGACACTTTTGAAGTGATTCTCGCTTGGAGGAGTGGAAGCCACACAATGGGGCTCATTGCTAGCCATTGTATGTAGTAGTAGACTGGTCCCTAACTTCCTGGACGAAATGGACCGCTAAATAGCTGCCCAGGTCAACATTTAATCGTGTGCATATGTAAAGCTGAATATGACCAAGCTAATCTTAATTTCAAAAGCCAGCTCCGATGAACTATATCTATTGAAAATAGGCGACCGACAAGAAGTGTATTATCTTAGTGAAGTTCTTTGATGTCGATGCCAGTGGATATTTCGGGCCGCGGAAAAACCCCCACTCCGCAACGCCGCAAATCTTATCGCGCCTGCAGCTGAGGAGGTTGTTGTTTCTCTTAAGGGCGTGGTATTTGAACATTCCGATCGTCAAGATGTTTGCCCCAAAGACTTCCGCTCCATCAACTGGCGGTCTTTCAATCAACACGAACTCCGCCAATTCCCTTTTGTGAGTGAATCCCCTCGACCATCTGCTTGGTTCGCCCATGCTCTACTGCTCCCGGGTGTCGGAGCTCCATCGATGCCCAAAAATATCATTTGGTCATCGCAAGGGACCTGTGATTGAATTGGTGCAGATCAACATCCCTGTCTATGTCACCTGCAAGGTGGTTTTCAATTATGAGCCGCAGGAGCAGAGTAATCTTCATTGATATGGATTCCTTTGAAAGCTAACAACTATCTTTCTTTTCTCACGACAGTGGCAATAATACCCAAAACACATCTACACCTACACTTGGTGGGGCGAGCACTGGAGGTGGTCTGTTTGGAAATACGAATTCTGCGACTCAAGCTAAGCCCGCCGGGGGACTGTTCGGAGGAAACACAGCGCAACCACAAACCACCGGAGGCAGCATGTTTTCAGGCTTAGGTGGCCAGCAACAAAATAGCACCACCAGTACTGGTGGGGGTCTATTCGGAAAACCTGCGACCACAACTGCACAGCCTGCGGCAGGCGGTCTTTTTGGCACAGCTGGTGCCGGCGCCGGTGCTGGCACCGCGCAGACTGGAGCGACGGGAGGTGGCTTGTTCGGCGGTGCATCCAACACTAGTGCTACACCAACAGGAAACACAGGAGGTGGTTTGTTCGGCGGGGCGGCCAACGCCAGTACGACTCAGACAGGCACAACGGGAGGTGGTCTATTTGGCGGCGGTCTGGGTTCGACCACGCAGACCCAGGCCAAGCCAACCCTCGGGCTCGGCACATCAACCACCGGGGGGTGGTCTCTTGTAAGTCACAGAATACAATTGACTTCTTGCATACAGACTTCTAATCATATGCCCTGCAGTGGAGGTGGTGGTGCTGCTCAGAACACCCAACAGCAACAGCCAGCTCAGAAGCCAACACTCTCGCTCTTCGGCAACCCAGGCACAACACAAGGAGCCCCGCAACCACTACAGCAAAGTGTGGCTGGAGGGACGGTAGCTCCCGGCGTCACGCTCAACCTCGACGAGCTTCTGCCCACAACCAAGTTTGAGAGCTGTGCCGAGCCGGTGCGAAAGGGAATCGAAAACATTGACAACTACATTCTAGAGCAGATCAAGCTATGCAATGAGGTCTCCGACATGCTCCCGACAATTGAATCACAAGGTTCGACCATTCCCAACGATGTGGAGTTCGTGCAGAGCAAGTTAGAGACAATCCAGCATGCGCTAGAGAACGACGCGGGGGACATTGACCAACTACGCGGCCTCGTCACCCGGGACGCGGCCGAGGCGCAGGTTGCATTCCGTGCCATCGACACTCTGAAACTACCTTTGCAATACCAGTCCGCGGGTGGAAGCGGGTGGTGGTCCATGCAGGACCAAAAGGTCCCAGACCGACGCTCTACTCGCAAGAACACCCTTGCTCTTCCCGACGACGTGGAGGCGGACCCCTCCACCGCTACAGCCGTCCATGGCGTGCCTGTCAACCTGGTTGACTACTTCTCCCACCGCTCCGATGAAATGGGCGGTGTACTCGACCGCTACAAGGGCAACCTGAAGGAGATTGAAGATCATTTGCATGGAGTCGAGCTCACTCTGAGCCGCCAGATGAGCGAGTTTGCCAGCTCTCGCTCTCGCGATGGTGCCGGCCCTCGGAACCCCCAGTCTACTGTCAATGATCTGGCTGCTGTGCTGGGCGACGTTGAAGCTGGAATCCTGGGCGTCGCCAACCGATTGGGTAGTGTGTCCGAGCAGGTGCAGGAAGTAACTCTCGGACCATTGGTAAATGGGGAGAGCAGACTCGGATTTTGAGACTCAAGGGGTCTGATCAATTATGTACACTAATGCAATGAGCGGTTTTTAACACGAAACGATATTTTCCCTGCTTACTCCAGGCTGCTTACGTGCCCCAGACCCTAATTCTCGTGACGTACGTAGAACTTGAACCGAGGTTCTATAACTGACAAGTAGCTTAACGGCTTTACTGATTGATAATGCTCGGGAATTTAAGCACCCGTTATCAGACCATGATTGATCAACAAACCTAGATATTCTAGACCAGATTAGGAGAGTATTTCCCATGGTTCTCCCCAGTTCTACATTAATTCCCAGTGTTGTGGCGGTGGTAGGTGCAAAAGTCCGCAAGAACCCGCCACTCTTGCGTGATCGCCCCTTAGCGCGCGAGTCATGCGGCAACGGCTTAATATCAACCTCCACTTCCTCCACGATCGTCAGAACCCATACCACGACCTTTGAACAAATTCGTCTCACATACGTAAGCTTGGAAGAATGCATCTTAAGTATTTAAGAAAAGCAGCGGTGAGATTAATGTCTCTTAGGGTGAAAACCAACCAGTTGTCGATGACAAATGTTGCCATCGACGTCAGTAAGATTGCGTGATCTGAACCCTTACCCGGACTCCAGAATCTCTGGGGGAAACAGCAAGGCTTGGCCTGAAGGAATAATTCTCAGCAATCACTGGCGAATCCTGAGGAACCGGTGGAATTCATACTGGACAATTATTCATTCCGTTCCCCGCCGTTCCGTGTTTTAGGGTAATCCACCCTGTCGATGGCGCGATCTCCGTCAAGTCCGGCCTGATCACGCAAGATCTTCAAGACGCATTCTGGGGTTGACTCATCCACAATGGAATTCAGTCGAGCTGTTCTCACGCCATCGCTCCTATTTATGGGTCGTCCATCGATATAAAGAGCCCTGGCCCTCCACCCGAACTTTTGTACCATTCTTCCTACCATTCGTCATCTCAAAGTTCCTGGTTCGAGCTCTATCTGATCAACTGTGGATCGATCATAAACCTTCGCCATGGCTCCTTCTTTGGTAGACCCTATCTTCTCTTCGACAACTCCAAACCTGGGGAAGGTCGTTGTACCTTCCAAAGGCATCATTGCCGGAGATAACAAGTTTGGCTACGTCCCTGGACGCACCATTGTTGAGAACCACGACAACTATCCCCATGAGGACTTCCTGCCTTCTTTCCCCAACGTTCACTGGGATCCGATTGAGGAACACACATATGAAGACCGTGGTCTCAAGGGAGACCCCAAGTTCCGCAACCTGCTGAAGGATGCCACCGCTGTTTTCGACTACAACCCGAAGATTGGAACAGAAGTTCATGGCGTCGACTTGGCCACCCTCACAGATGCACAGAAGGACGACTTAGCTCGTCTGATCGCCTACCGGGGTGTTGTCTTTTTCCGATCTCAGAAGAACTTCGATATTCAAGCCCAACGGGGCCTCGGACAACACTTTGGCAAGCTCCACAAGGTACGCTGATTTCAAGAAATGCATAGATTTTATGATCATTGACTGACAATAACTAGCATGCAACTACATCTGTGCCTCGCGTAGGAGGGCTCGAAGACGTTCATGTTGTTTACACTGGCGATAACTCGGGTGACAACCGTGCCCTGTTCAGTCCCAGCTTCTTGTGGCATTCAGATGTTACATATGAGATTCAACCACCGTCTTACACTACACTGAAGCTTCTCGCGGGTCCACCCAGCGGTGGCGGTGGTGACACCCTCTGGTCATCTCAATACGCCGCCTATGACGTTCTCTCCCCATTTATGCAGACCTACCTAAAGAGTCTATCAGCCCTGCACTCCGCGAACATGCAAGCCAGTGACTCAAAGGCCCTCGGCCGACCAGTCCGCAGGGACCCTATCACCACAGTACACCCTCTCATCCGAACAAACCCAGTCACCGGCTGGAATGCCCTATTCTTCAACCCCGGTTTCGTGACCAAGATCATCGGTATCCCCAAGGCCGAGAGCGATGCCATCTTGAAATACCTCACCGATGTGGTCGCCACCACACAAGAAATGCACGCCCGTTTCCAGTGGAACAAAGATGACGTTGCTCTCTGGGACAACCGCACAACCGTAAGTTTCTCCTGCAACTTATTCAATTGAGATTTGTATCAATTACTAATTGAACCCCAGACTCACTCTGCCTCATACGGCTTCACTCCCCACCGACGACACGCAGTTCGCGTTGCAAGCCACGCCGAGCGCCCTGTCCTAGAAGCTTCCGGTAAATCTCAGGAAGATGAGCTGAACGCTTTGTATGGACTGCCGGCAGTCAACAAAGATGGATCACGACAGTCTAACTACAATGACTGAATAAAGCGTAGACCTCATCACATCCACTTAGCGTTCCTTTCAGCAAAATTAGCGAAAATTTATTCCCATCATCTTTCTTCATTTTATTTCTTTTGTGTAAAGTTTATCTGAGATAGAGACTATGGTAATCGCACCAGTGACAGCCCACTAGTAAGTTGAAGTTGTCCTACCTCATCATGGAGACTCCAGACTTCAAGGTCCAAGGCTGTGAATTCGTACTTCCACTGGCAGGTGTGGCCTGAAGGATTACTACCACTGTGATCTAACTCGAAGGTGGCAAAATGATCTCACTTCTATTTTTGCCTCAACGCTCGACCAAGCCACCTGGGCATACAATAATGGTTCTAAACCAGAGCACGTGGCTCCGCACTTAAATCGGCGCATTCAAGTTCAATCTACCACGAATCCAGCAGAGATACTATTATACACCTGTCTATCTGCGCATACTACAATTCGAAACTTGAAACCAATTCATCTCACTATAAAAATGTCCTCCTCAGAAACCCCCGAAATCTGCCAACTCCTCCACTACGCCCGTCTACACGGCCTCGCAAGCAAAACCGAATCATCCCTGGGACCCACAGTCGGCGATAACTACCGAGAAAACTACGCGACGTTTCTCAATGCTCTGAATGTGCAGAGACTTGACATCTCAATTGCGGCGAAGGATCTCCTGGCTTCTGTGTTGAAAGAAGAGATGGTCGATACTCGGGTGGAATGGGAGAATATACTTCCTCCGGCGCCTGTTATTGGAGGTCAAAGCGATATAGTACTGTTCGTTACGGAGAAGGAAGAAGGTGAACACACTGCAAATAAAGTATGTTTCTTGACACGGGATAGCAGCTTCGTCTACCTACCTAGGCAGGTACTGGCAACTAACTCATTCCAGCAGAAAGTGTCTCGGACCTAGTCAAAATGCCAGTACTGGTGCAACGCGTGGGAGTGGAGCAAGTCCGGGGAAACCAAATGTTGGAGCAATCTGTTCCAGAGCAGAATTTGTGTACCGGAGCAGTGAATACAATATCATGGGATCGAGACGAATTTGATCGGTTACTTGTAGAACTTGGAGCGTAGTGCCTGAGAGGAGATTCTTCTGAATTACTCAACCGCCACCCTGGCGTATAACACGGGGCGAATGCGAGTTGTGATTTGTTTTAATAGTACAGTGGACAAAGACATGCAAGACCCAGGGCCAACCCAGCGCTTCAAAAACTCATTATGCAAAGGAACCCGAGGACGAGGTGATGCGCATCACTCCGCCTAGGTGTATTGGTGATTTCAGAAAAGTTTTCTTGGTTTTTTTGTTCTTGTTATTGAGATCGTTGAGAATGGTCGAGCTCGTGACTTCGCTTCGATATTATACACGTCGAATGCCATTCAGTCATCTACCTGGCAATTTCACAGCCGTGTAGATGGGAAGGGCCAACAACAGGGTTTGGGGGGAAGGCGACATGAAACGAGAAACAATGCTGATTGTTCAATCCATTTATTCGTTGATCTTGGCCAGGATCCTGTGAAAGGCATTAGTGAGATTCCAAGATGATAGACTGGGATAGGTGCAACGTACTCGGAGTCCCGGAAAAGGGTGTACTCGTCCTCGCCAACCTTGATGGGGCTGCCACCGAACTGATGAGAAAGGCACGTTAGCATTGAGTCGATAAACTCATAGGAGGTAAGTGTCCTCGAGGCGATGTGTTGCATCACTGATGCGATGCGGAAGGACACGGAGATGAGAAGGGCGCAACGTACCTGAGGAATCAGAACCTTGTCACCGGAAGTGACACCCATGGGAAGGCGCTTGCCATCCTTGTCGAAGGCACCGGGGCCGACGGCGAGAACCTTGGCCTCGTTCTGCTCCTTGACACTGCTCTCAGGGAGGAAGATACCGGAGGCGGTCTTGGCCTCGGGCTTGATGCGCTGAACCAGGACGCGGTCCAGGAGGGGGGCGAGGGCCTTGATGTTACGGAGGACAGACTAATGGACATAATGTCAGTATCTTTGAGATGCGCAAAGGCGGGTGCCGCGTGTTGGATCGGAGGTAGGGAAAAAAATGCGGAGGGCCGTCAACCCCCAAATCAGAAGCAGGCGAGTGAGATTGGCAATGTGGTTGATGATGCGATAGACATGAGCAGACGAGCTGCCTCGGGTTGTAGACATACCATTGTGATGAGGGATGGAGTCTTAAGGCCAAGAAGTGATGTGCGTGGGATGGGGAGAGGGAAGAGAGAAGCCGTCCGGGGGAATCCAGACTTGAGAAATTTCCAGAATGCCAAGCCGCGCGAGCTCTCCCGAGGACCAACCCGATTACCCCGATTAACCGGCTTCACTCAACATGACTACAAGCTACAAGTACAGCTTTATCACGCTAATAACCTCTAGTTCTTCCACCGGTTCTACTACTTTCGAGGTCAATTGATTTAGATGTTCAAATAACACCACAGTTGGCACATTGATTTCCGCCATTCTACAGCTACAGCTACAACTCCGTTCTTCCGAGCCGAAAGCTCAAACACAAATACCCCGGCTATCACTGGCTCGAAACTAAGCTTCATAAATTTCCCGTGAAATAATGGTTTAAACGCCAGAGCACCAAATTTCCTCATCCGAAAGAAACCTACAAGACTATTATAGGAACTGCAAGCCCGACCTTAAAAACTACCATCTCCTCCCACGGCCGCGGCCTCCGCCTCCATAGTTCCCACGCTGCTCGTAGCCTCCGTATCCCATCTGTCCCTGCCCCTGTCCCTGTGCCTGTCCCTGTCCAAACCCGGGTCCTTGTCCCTGGCCGCCAAACCCGGATTGCGGTTGTTGACCACCGCCACCGGGTTGTCCTCCCATCATCGCTTGCGCATGTTGCATAAACGCCATGGGGTCCATACTCGAAGGGTCTATGCCCTGGGCCATCATGGCCTGTAGCATACCCTGCATCATGTCGGGGTTCATATCCGGCATACCGGGCATGCCAGGCATAGCCTGTGGGGGGGTTGGCCGCTGGAGCTGGTCCCGGAGGCGCCCCGGGCATCGGGGGCATGCCCATTCCTAGGAAGGATTGCATGTCGTCCATCTGCCTCTTCTGATCCTCAACCTCCTTCCGCGTCCCTTGTTGTTTCAGACAATAGCTGACCCAAGTGAATTCATCGAAACCGTAGTTGAAGAAGTCCGAAATATCGGAGCCAGGACGGCGCCAGGGCTTGTCGTCTGTTGGAAAGTCGACATCCATGTCGGTGGCCATGATTGGCTTCCCTGTTGTCGGGTGCACTGGGTTCCCGTTCACATCAATTGTAGAGGTGTGGATTCCTGGATACGCAGAGCCAGGCTTCTGAGGCGCGGTAGGTTTCGTGGCTGCCGCTGCGGCCGGCGCGGTTGCAGGAGTCGAGGCATCTAGACGGGGTGTCGCAGAAGGAGTGCCGGATTTCGAGACGACAGATGAGTCGGCTGAGGAAGGCCGTTGTGGCTCTTGTCGTAAGCTTGCATGACGCGGATGGGAGCTTGAAAAGGTTAGATAACAGGACGTGTCGCACCCGCAGGGAGGTCAGCTTACGCTTCTTGAGGAGGCGCGTCAGCAGGTGCCTCTGTGATAATATTGAAATCGTCCTGTGGAAAGTCAGCATATGCCGCAGAGATAGTAGAATTAATCACGAACGTCGTCCGATTCAAGCTCGACCTCTTCCTCTTCCATCTCGTCGCTCTCCTGCGGTTGGCCTGCGGCAGCATCGGGGCCGTCATTCGCGATCTGGGTGGTCGACACCGAGTCGACAGGGTCGTAAAAGTCGTCTTCTTCTTCGTCCATGGCTAATTGTGTCCAGTATCGAGAAATGACAGCCAAAAAGTGTAGCTAAAGGATCAAGAGGCTCCCGCAAGTGAGCGCATGCGCGAGAGAGTTTGGACTGTTTGCACCGCCTTTGGTCGGCGTTGGGAGGAGACAAGAGTGAGACTTGGAGAGTTACAATTCCACAAAGCAAGTTAGTCCATTATCTCACAAAGGAACTTGAATCCTAATCAAATCATTATGTTTCTTCTACCTTTTATCATGTACAACCTCCATAGTGCAAACATATTTGGTTCGAATTTTGCCTCTAATACGCAGCATCAAGATAACCTCTGACCCAGGATGGCATTCAAAGTATCAATTGCACTTCTACTGAAGCCAAATAAGAAATATTCTTTTTAATAGGCACAATTGACATTCAGAATACCAGAGATGATCATAATTCCGGTCTCACCTCTCAATATATGTAGGTCCGCTATGTTCATACATCCCAAAACGGTGAGATCACGTGCTCACCAGCAAAGACGTCAGAGGCGAGACTATAACATACCCTTTAAACCTGCGATAATTCTGTCACCTAAAGTACCATTCAGCCGAAGCTGATCCAGTGTTCGATATGGCATCCGAACAGGACAGCCAGGCTTCCACACCCCGGTCCTTCGCGGGCCAGAGCGCCTCCGCGGAGGAGATGCTCAAGTCGCAAACCGTTGGTCTCGTGCACCTGTCCGACTTTCGCAAGCGACGCGCAGAGGTCCTGGAGCAAAAGGAGCGCGAAGCGCATGATAAGTCGCTAGGGCGATTGGCATCCGGTAATTCAAGAAGTGCAACTCCTTCCACAGGCGACGTGACTGACGGGTAAGTTTTCCAAGGCGCCTTATTCTCGTCTCGTCTCCCCGCATAAACTGATCACAGCATCATGTCGCAGATCCTCGACACCAAAGAGTGACGCTCCGCCCAAGAAGAAGAAAAAGAAGGCTCTCGCTAAGAGCAAACTCTCATTTGGCGACGATCACGAGGATACAGGGGAGGAATCGGCCGTCGCCACGCCGCGCGACTCCAGTATCTCCCGATCCGGCTCGAAAACACCAAACGATGAAGGCACACCCTCCTCTTCGATCCGTATGAAAGCGAACCCCAATGCTCGAGCTCCCCCCCCAAGGCAATGACTAAAGCATCTATCGAGGCCGAGGCGGCGACACGCGATGCTCTGCGTAAGGAATTCCTGGTGATGCAAGAGGCAGTCAAGAACACCGAGATCCTGATTCCATTTGTGCTCTTTGACGGAACAAGCGTCCCGGCTGGATCGGTGAAAATCAAAAAAGGAGATCCGATCTGGCTGTTTTTGGACAGGTGTCGCAAAGTTGGTGCTGAACTGGGTGGCCGTACTGCCAGCGGTGCGGCCAAGGCTCGCCGAGAATGGGCGCGTGTCAGTGTTGATGACCTGATGTTGGTCAAAGGCGATGTCATTGTTCCTCATGTAAGTTCCACTGTCTTTATTTTGGGGGGGCATCGACTAACTATTCTCAGCACTACGAGTTCTACTACTTTATCGCAAACCGCGTACAGAGTTTCTCGAAATCTGGTGGTCTGTTGTTCGATTATTCGGATAAACCACCCCCAGCCCAATCAAATGATAAGCTTCCCGAGGGTCTGTATCATCCCAACGAAGAGAAGCTCGAAGGTTTCGACAAGGACGCTGCAGATACCAAGGTGGTTGACCGTCGGTGGTATGAAAAGAACAAGCACATCTACCCGGCCAGTCTCTGGAACGAGTATGAGCCTGGTAAGGAGTTTGAAGAGAAGATGACATCGACCCGAAGAGATGCACAAGGAAATACGTTCTTCTTCTAATGGACTTTTTTTTATACCTGGAGAATTTTCTGGTTTGCATAGGCGTTATGAGATAAATTAGATCTACTGAAATGATACCACTTGGCTCTGCACTCGAGGATCTTGACCTCGCGTGACCTCACCACCTCCCAGCACTTCAACTTCAACCTTTAACTTTACCTTCCCACACCACATTGGAACACGCACAATGGACTTTCATATGAGATGTAACTCTCTCAGGTGCCGGGCCCAGCTAAAGGAAAGAGCAGTGGTTACAACTTGCTCGTGAGTCGCTTGGCTGGTTCGTTTGGGCTTCACTGATGTCGCAGCCACATCTTCTGTCTAGGATGCGCTGGCGACCTTGGACTTGCACATCCAACAAATGGCGACCGACGTTGTCCCGCTTGCTCAACCGTCCTTTCCAACCCCGATGATGCAGTTTCGACCATTTTGAACCCCACAGAGGACTACAAGACAAGCGTTCTGAGTGGTCTTGATCCTAATACTATCATGGAGTGCGCCGGGCGTGCCTTGGGATTCTGGGCATATCAGAGCACGCAGGAAATGTATGTTACCCTTCAACAGTAGTTTGGAGATTGTAGCGACTAATTGCTTCAGATTCTACCAAGAATTTCTCGGCAAAAGCCTCACTGAGAAATACGCGGGCCTGAGCACGCAGATGGACAAAGTCATCCACAACGCCAATTCCGAGATCGCAACTCTACACGAAAAAGTCTCCGGTTTGTCTCGTTTACTTTTTCTATCCTGTTCCAGCTAACGCAATATGCAGACCTGCAAGACTCACGCGAACAGCTGGAGAAGAAGAATCAAGAACTGATCAACCTCAATCGGGAACGATCCAAGAAACTCACCCAGATAACAAACCTCTACAACATCCTGAAAGCGCGCGCAATGCGAACTCAGCTGCAAAACGCCGCCTCGGACACGGTCACTCAGACCATCAACACATTCACATCTCGAACCGAACCTGCTGAGCAAACAGCTCACGCCAATAACCATACCTATCCAAAGGTTCGAACCACCAGTGGGAGTGGGCCAAAGACGCCGGTCTTTCCAATGAGTCCTGAAGGAGTCGAACAACTTCATCGGTACCAACGAAGTGGTACAGGCAGCTCCAAACAAGCGGGTAATAAGAGATCTGGCGGGAAAGCTATGGCGGCCCCGACAGGTCGATTGAACTGGAAGTCGCCCGGGGGTGAGTATTCGCGATTTCCTAACTGGGGAGGGTTTGAGTTGACGTTTTTGTTTAGTCCCACCTTCCATGAACCCACAGCACCGTACTCGTCTGCCGCAGACAACTCGGCAGTCAACTATCATGTCCAACCTCCCATCTGGTGAAGCTATGCTTGCGCGATTCGGAAACTGATTGTTTGGTATTGTTTAATTTGACTCCGATAGTTTCGGATGGTAGTCTCTGCGCTCCAAGTAGTCCAGCATATTATTGATTATGGGGAGGGTATGGCTTGACGGCCAGACTGTGGCCGATGTATTGCGGGAGCTTCGATACTATTATACTAGTACAATCGTATATACCTATTCTTTCCTGTCGGTGCCAATGATTGATTATATACTAGTACCCACTCCAGGGTACTACTGATACTCACCTGAGGCTGTCGAGGTATCTCACTTGGAATTTTTGATTAGTTCCAAGTTTTGTCAATTTCTCAAGCGCTGCAGCTGCGGCGATATATAACAGCGTGAGCCAATTTTGAACAAATTCCAATTTGACTTGAACCAATACGAACAACACTACAGCATTCGCATACCTAGGTATACAAGGCCCAATTCAAGCTATTCCAGTGGACTTCGAGTCCCCAGATTGCAGTGCATCGATCGTGATTGTGAGCAAGTCCAAACAAGCCAGGTACCCAGGCGCGTAACCGCTGTAATTTATCCCGCCAGCCGCCAGCATACTTCATACCGGACCTGGAACCAGCCAGCGATTTATTACTACAAGTTTCTCTCTCAAACCTTGGAATCCATCTGTGCAAAGCAATCCAAACCAAAACACCGCTCACATATCCTACTCCATCAACAACAATTCACACCCCTGCTCTACTACCAACCCTATCCGGAAAAGCCTCCCCTCGTCCGGCCCGCCGCTCGGTTCAGCGGAAGTACACCCGCACCACAACCCGCAACCCTCGGTCCAAGACACCATCCAGTCCACAACCACGAACACACGACCCCCAGCCCCCTCCAGCACGGTCCCTACCTTATCTCTTGATCCGTTCCTGGCGATCGCATCGCGGGAGCTAAATCGATTTCCTGGGATCCGGGGTGCAGGATCCATTCTAGCTGGAGCTTGTGTGGAGTTGTTTCTGTATACTATACATACATCGGTATTTTTGGTATTGTATTTTATTTTTTGAGGCTCGCAATATGCGATGCACTTTTAGTCGCCAGTTGCTCAAGGGAAATTTGCTTTGGTTTAAGAGTAACACATAACAGTGGATGTCAAATTCTTATGTACGGAGTAGTAGGATATTGATTGTCTTTTATTTCGTCTTCTCTACTGTATGCAAATCCATCTACTGGTCGCTACTACGCTACTACGCTACATTTTATCTACACTCTACACTTGAAAAATCCTCGTATCATCTTGATAAATTATTCGGGACATCACGATCTAAATCTCCCGGGTGAAACATAAAAGGAAATCTAATCATGTACGTCGGCACCAAGCATCCGGTCTTTTCGTCCGGGCGAGAAGAAACGCCATACCCTCGATTAGAGGGGGAGAGAGGGCCAGGGACCCCTCAGCTTCTTGCGAGGGGACCCCGCCACAAAGTTCATATCATGCCATGCATTATACCACAAACCCATGCAACGATGGAGACGCTGCAGAAACAAGAAAACAAGGGACAAAACACCAGTGTGGGGGAGGAACAAGTCTTTTTTGTGCGTGTCACATTTAAGCACCGAACTCCTTGATGTCGGTCTTCTTGCCCTGCAGAGCCAGCGGCACGATACCGCTGACGTGCATCTCAGGGCCGTACACGTGCATGTCCAGACCCAGCTCGATACCGGCGGACTTGATGTTCTTCAGACCCTCCTGGTAGTTGGGGCCAGCGCGGCGGACCCAGATCTGGACCTTGTGCTCGACCAGGACAGGGGCGACATCGCGGATGGCGCGGATGACACCCTTGAAGGTGGAGGCAACGTTGGTGAAGTTGGCAATACCACCACCAATGAAGAGGACCTTGCCCTCGGGGTGCTGGGGAGCACGCAGCATCAGGTCCAGAACGGTCTTAGCGTAGGAGTAGGTCTGGCCCTCGGAGGGAGCACCGGAGTACTCGCCGTAGTTAGCCAGCTCGGAGACGAAACCAGCAGAGGCAATGGCATCGGCGTAGACGACGGAAGCACCACCACCGGCAACCAGGGTCCAGACACGGCCGCTGGAGTTCAGGACGGTCAGCTTCAGGGAAGCACCGGTCTTGGCGTCCATGTCGGAGATGAACTTCTCCTCCTTGCTCATCTCACGACCGAAAGGAGCAGGGAAGTCAATTGGCGGACCAGCGTCAATGTTGACCTTGCCATCGGCAGAGGGAATGGAGGGGAGGCCCAGGGCGGCGGGGCTGCGGGCAATAGCCCACTTGGTGCCGCACTCGAACTCGGCAGTCTGGTCAAGCTTGGCAGCCAGGTCCAGGAAGAAGACATCAGCGGAGGTGGCATCGGCGTTGGGGATGACAACCAGGGGGTTGATCTCGAGGTAGGTGAACTGGCAGTCGACGTAGACGGCGTACAGGCGGACAATGAAGTCGACCAGGACGTTGTGGAGACCCTGGGGAACCTTGCTCAGGAGGCCAGAGGCAATCTCCTCGTTGGAGGGGAACTTCTTCAGGTCGACGGGAATCAGGAGCTTCTCAGCCTTGGCGTCAACATCACCGACATCAACACCACCCTCGTGGTAGAAGAGGATCCAATCACCCTGTTTTTTTGTTCGAGTTAGTTTTTGGACTCAATTGGGGCAATTGGAGGGATGAGATATCCCCCCCATTGAAGCTATAATCACGTACCTCACGGACGGAGTTGATGCAGACGTAGGACTCAGTTTCTTGAGCGTGGGGAACCATGGGCTCAACGAGGAAGTTACGGAGAACACCAACGACGTGCTCAACCTGGACATCCTTGCCAGCGCGGGCCTCAACCCACTCACGAGCCTCAGCCCAGGTCTTGTTCAGGGCAAGCAGACCGCTCTTACCACGGCGCTTGATCAATTGATCGGGCTTCGCGACGAACTTGGCGCCGGGGGTAAGCAGCCATGGGTAGTTGACCTCAGCCTGGTCAAGGACATCCTTGGGGGCCTTATCCTCGGGGAAGTGAAGGGCGGCCAGACGAGGAGGAGGGTTGTGTGTGGAGGAGCGAGGGAGAGGAGAGGGCTTGATAACGGGGGCACGAGTGAGGTGGTAGTTGAGGATGGCCTTGCCGTCGGCCTCGAAGATTGACTTGGCGGACATGATGTGAGTGTGTGATGGGAGGTTGTTTTGGGAGAAAAGTGGAAGGGAGAGAAGGAGGAGGGGAGGTTATTTTTTGGGGATGGGAAGCGGGACTGAGAGTACGTCGGGGAAAAGTTGTGCTGGAGAGTACAGCGTACAATTGAGGGAAGTACGGTTGAGAACAAAAAAAGGTGGAAGGTGGGGTGGGGTGTTGGGGCAGCAGTCGGTGTACGGAGTATACTTTGTACAGTGTGTACAGTGTAGTGTACAGGGGACAGGGGACAGGGGACAGTGTATACTTAGTGTACTCCGTAGTTAGAGTACACAGGTTACTCGGTAGAGCTGATCATGCCCCCCACTTGTTTTGCCCCTCGTCCAGTTTGTTGGGTTCACCGCCGAATTGACTTTTGTACACTCCGAACTGGATACAGAGTACCTATAGATCTAGGATATAGACAATGAAAGAGATTTAATTATATACATACTATGTATAATAAACGATACTGACTATACTCAGTATAATATAGTTTAAACTATATTATACTATATTATATATATACATACCTAGGTACATAGTATATACAGTGTATACAATACCATATACTGTACTGTATGGTACAGTGGGGCGGTATAAACGCTACCCGTACTTTGGGGACCGCAACTGTTGAGCTGCTTAGCCCCAGGGAGGAGCTGTACACCGTACTTGCGAGTATTCATCCCGCGCTTTTTTCTTGTCTTCTCTCCTTTCCCCTTCCCCCTCCTCCTTTCTCCATCAATTCATCTTTCAGCGGGTGTTTAACACATAGGTATGTTCTCCATTCTCACACCTTTCAATCCAATTCAACTTTCTTGTCCTCGCCGCATTCTTCAACCCCTCCAACCCACACATCCCACCAACCGCTATTCTACCATCGTGTGAACATCAAATTTTGACTGGGAACAACCATACTAGATTCACAATGCCTGCCACTTCACTGTCCGCCGGCGGCGCTAACGCCAACGACAACATCACACGCTTCGAGCCTCCCAGCCGTGCCCTCTCTCCCCTCAACCACGCCCTCTTCCACAACAAGACACGATGCTTCGTATAGTGAGTGATTCCTCTCAAATGACCGGTCACACCCGGTCTACTCCATTCAACAGACTCCTAATCCTAACAATCACCCAGTGGCATGCAACCCCGAGCCGTGCAGGGCATGCTCGACTTTGACTTCATCTGCAAGCGCACCACCCCCTCCGTGGCCGGTATCATCTACACCTTCGGCGGTCAATTCGTCAGCAAGATGTACTGGGGTACCAGCGAGACCCTCCTCCCCGTCTACCAGGACGTTGAGAAGGCCATGGCCAAGCACCCCGACGTTGACACTGTTGTCAACTTCGCCTCTTCCCGTTCCGTCTACTCCTCCACCATGGAGTTGATGAACTGCCCCCCAGATCCGCTCCATTGCCATCATTGCCGAGGGTGTCCCCGAGCGTCGTGCTCGTGAGATCCTGGTTGCTGCCAAGGAGAAGGGTATCACCATCATTGGCCCTGCCACCGTTGGTGGTATCAAGCCTGGTTCCTACAAGATCGGTAACACTGGTGGTATGATGGACAACATTGTCGCCTCCAAGCTGTACCGCAAGGGTTCCGTCGGCTACGTCTCCAAGTCCGGTGGTATGTCCAACGAGCTGAACAACATCATCTCCCAGAACACCGACGGTGTCTACGAGGGTGTTGCCATCGGTGGTGACCGTTACCCCGGTACCACCTTCATCGACCACCTGATCCGTTACCAGGCCGAGCCTGAGTGTAAGATCCTCGTCCTCCTCGGTGAGGTCGGTGGTGTCGAGGAGTACCGTGTCATTGAGGCTGTCAAGAACGGCACCATCACCAAGCCCATTGTTGCTTGGGCTATCGGTACTTGCGCCAGCCTGTTCAAGACCGAGGTTCAGTTCGGCCACGCCGGTGCCTCTGCCAATTCCGAGCTTGAGACTGCCGTCCACAAGAACAAGGCCATGCGTGAGGCCGGCATCCACGTCCCCGAGACCTTCGAGGACCTCCCCCAGACCCTGAAGGCCGTCTACGACGCTGAGCTCCAGAAGGGCAACATCAACCCCGCCCCCGAGCCCGTTGTTCCCAAGATCCCCATTGACTACTCTTGGGCCCAGGAGCTGGGCCTTGTCCGCAAGCCCGCTGCCTTCATCTCTACCATTTCCGACGACCGTGGCCAGGAGCTGCTGTATGCCGGTATGCCCATCTCTGATGTCTTCCGTGAGGACATTGGTATCGGTGGTGTCATGTCCCTGCTGTGGTTCCGTCGCCGTCTCCCCAAGTACGCCAGCAAGTTCCTGGAGATGGTTCTCATGCTCACTGCCGACCACGGTCCCGCCGTGTCCGGTGCCATGAACACCATCATCACCACCCGTGCCGGCAAGGACCTGATCTCCGCTCTGGTCTCCGGTCTCCTGACCATTGGTTCCCGCTTCGGTGGTGCGCTGGACGGCGCCGCTGAGGAGTTCACCAAGGCCTTCGACAAGGGTCTCAGCCCCCGTGACTTCGTCGACACCATGCGTAAGGAGAACAAGCTCATCCCCGGTATTGGCCACAAGGTCAAGTCCCGCAACAACCCCGATCTGCGTGTCGAGCTCGTCAAGGAGTTCGCCAAGAAGCACTTCCCCAGCACCAAGCTGCTCGACTACGCCATTGCCGTCGAGACTGTCACCACCTCCAAGAAGGACAACCTGATTCTGAACGTCGACGGTTGCGTTGCTGTCTGCTTCATTGATATGATTAAGAACTGCGGTGCTTTCACCCCCGAGGAGTCTGAGGACTACCTGAAGATGGGTGTCCTGAACGGTCTCTTCGTTCTCGGCCGTTCCATCGGTCTGATTGCCCACTACCTCGACCAGAAGCGCCTGCGCACCGGTCTGTACCGCCACCCCTGGGACGACATCACCTACCTGCTCCCCACCCTGGAGAAGGGTGGTAACGAGGGCCGTGTTGAGGTCAGCATTTGATTTTCTTGCACATGACATGATTTGCAGCGCCGTCCGCCGGTGGCATTTAGTCCGTCTGAAAAGGACGGTGGAGTTTGGTTGATCCCTTGTGTTTTGTTTCTCAGCAGTTTTGTATCCATGTACTGCGCTACCCAGCATGACCGGGTTAACGGTGGGCGATGCCAGAGCGCTCGTCCATGGAAAAAACGGTGCAACGCCCGACTACGGATCTTGATTTAATTTGTTTAGATGACTAGACCTCTTTGGGGACCTAATGAACGTACCCATTGCATGATGACATTATATTCCCAGTTTATTGAGTATTTTCACTTTCAGATCGTAAAATTTCCTAGCTTAGTACCTACCTATGCTGGCTTCAAGGTCATATCATTGGTTACTGAGATCCATGGATAGCACTGGTACATACTCAGTGACCTACCTAGCGGTGAGAAAGTAAAATTATGGTTTCCTATTGTAGCTCGTGATAATATATACCTATACAGCATCTTTTCTAAAGAGGTAGGATAGGATGTTCAGATAGCGAAAGGGGGTGTCTACTTAGTAGCTCCCAAATATTGTCATTGCATGGGAAGGTCAGGTCGGTGCTGCATCCTAGTGGTAAGGACGAGGCCGGGGCGGATGATTCTTATCGGCTTATCAGCGCCCGCAACTTCACCTCCAATTTTGCTCCGCAGCCTTAACACACCCACCTTCAAACAAGACTACACAATACACAATGGTCCGCCTTAAAAACCGATATCTCCTCCTCGACATTCTCTACCCGGACCCAAAAACATGGCCGACTACAACCCAATCCACGAAGAACAACCCGCAATCCGCGCAACTGGCCATCCACTCCCCAACCTCCGACGCGTTGACGCCAGGCCTTCTCGCCAAAATGGTGCGCGAGGAAGTAGCTGAATTATATGGGGATTGGGGCGTTGGAAAGCTTGGCGGCGCATCTGCCACCGGACTTAACGGTGTGTTCTTAGTTCCTAGCTTTTGCAGCTCGGGGTGCTTGCATATGCACTCATCACTCGTCGAAAAAGCTTTCATATATTGACAAAGGCTGATTTGTCTACAGTGAAATATCTCTCCCCAGCAACCTCGACCGCAATTCTTCGCTGCCCACGATCATCATTCCGAATTGTTTGGTCTGCACTGACATACATGTCCCACGTGCCAGAACCTGGTTCCGCGGCACAAAAAAGGCCCAATGGAGGCCGTGAACGGCCGTGTGTATTCCGCGTGCTGAGGGTCTCGGGTACAATGAAGAAGGCAGAGGAAGAAGCCATTCGTCGCGCCAGAAGGGAGATTGTGCGCATTCGAGGCGTGGAAGAGAAGGGTGTTTTGGGAGATTTGATATCCGGCGCTGAGGATGTGAAGGGTAAAGTTGAACGCACTGTGCCTCTTACCAAGGATATTATGGATGAGAGCGAGGACGAGGATATGGATGATGATTGAGCAGGGTTGCTCTACTTTTGATTGTATATTAATGATACCCCACCTGAAATGCATATTGTACAATGAGTAGTATGTGGATGATCCAGACCCAGTTCCACTGGCAGGTCGCGGCCAAAAAAAACTACGATAACCATTTCGTATATCATGAGGGCGTCTTTCGTCGCACCTTGATCCCGCTATCCGGCAACGGACCCTTCCAATCCGCCATATCCTCATCGTCATCGTCATCCCCATTCAAGGCCTGGTCCTGGGCCATAGCCTCCTCATTGGCCGCTTCGTGCATACGAGCCACCTCTTCCAGCTCCTCCTTCTCCAACTCATCATATTCATCCTTATTATCCAACCACCGCTCCTGGACATCCCTGACATCCGTAACCCCCATACCCTCCCGCACAGCAACCTGCCATACGGTATCATTCGCGCCCTCGGCCGAACCAAACGCATACCCTGAGGCGCGATCAATAGACCTGAGCAAACTCATCATACTCTTCTTATCCTCGACGGCCAGCGTCTCGAACGCGACGAGTCCGAATTCCTCAACTAAATCCATGATGGCTGTATTGAGGGCGCCGAATTTGCTATGCGGAAGACGCGAGGATTCGGATTCCAGGTGCGGGAGGAGGAAATTGAGGTCTTGCACCTCGGTGTAGTAGTCTAGATTGAAAGGGAGGTCGGGGTAGTTCGATAGGTTGTCGATTTTTGTGAGGACGTTTAGGTGTGGAAGATCGAGTTGGAGCATTGCGCGGAGGGAGAGGAGGAGCGCGGATATATACATTGACGGTAAAGTGAGGGCGTAGCTGTCGACAAGATGAATGACGATCAACTGAGTAGGACTGTGTTAGTGGTATCGCATCTTTGACAGGGTGAATGAATCATGTCGAACGAACCCGATACCCTAGCTTCTGGATTTGGAAGAAGATATTCCGCAATGAGTCATGATGCGTAAAGAGCTCGACCTGGCCGGGACAGTCGAACAAAACATAATCCTCTATATACCGAGTGATCAGCCAAGACATCCCTCACAAAAGTTTCCCGGAATAGTGTGAACAAACCTCCAAGTTCCTTCAACCCCGCCTCCAACCAAGAATAATTCTCCTCCAACTCTTCAAGAGCATATAGCGTCGCCCCATTCGGTCCTAGCTTATCCTCCTCCATGATCTCTTCGAGCGTAACGAGATCGCGCACGTCCAGCGCACACGGATAAGAAGTTCTATCGTTGGCGGGGTCAAGATTCACGATGGAGCATTTGCGCCCGATCGCCCCGAGGAACTGGTGCATTCCATTGCAGTAGGTGGATTTTCCTGCGCCCGGTGGGCCGATGACCAATTGTGCGAAGGGCATTTTGGAGAATATGGGCGTCTCGCTGGTAGATTTGAGAGCTGGGAGAGCTGCGGCGCGGAGGTGAGGCGGGATGTATTTTCTGGATAAGCTTGGATGATAAAGCAGACCCACTTCCAGGTGCGAACCAATCACAACTGTAGATCTATACATTACCATCGTCACGTCAAGTTATCTCTTCTCTAACACATTTTATTCTTTATATGGTATTTTATATGCCAAAGAATCCACATAAGACACAATCATTGACTGATATGCCGGTGATTAGCGACTCGCGTCATGATTAGTAATGATGGAGGACTCGGAGTTGGCACAAGTCGCTCTTTCCAATTTTGGGCATCGGAGGTCTTGCCAACATTGGAACTTGAAGAGATAAACATGGTACCTGGGTGGAAAAGATAACTAAACAACAATTTCATGTCCCAACTTCAAGTTCAAGTTCCAATCACAAGTCTCAAGCATCTGCCATCATGCCTACTAGTAGGTATTGAATTTCAAACCACCCGAAAAGTCTCCCGCTAAACCAAAATGGCCGACCTTCGCTATACAGAAGGGGCAGATAACCCTGACCCGCCTCTCCGAAACAAATCAACAAGTGAACTTCAAGGTGGAATGAGCCTCATCTGGCACCTTGGGAAGCCCCTCATCGGAGAATTCATCAATTCAAACCTATCCGAGTGGGTGAAGAAAGCAGTACCAATCAGCTCAATCACAGCCTCACACAAATCAACAAGAAGCCAGATTATCTCCGCAAACTTCAGCATGACGATGTTGCCCCTTGAGCAACTCGATAGAGACACCACAGCAGAGCTTCTGAGAACTTTCGTTCAAGATAATAAAGCGTGGTGCAAGCAGCTTGCTGCGCAATCGATCAAGGCCAACACGGCAAAATTTATAATCAGCAAACAACTGGAAGAAGCGGAGTCCGAAAAGAAAGAAACCCCAGGAAGAGTTAGAGGGGGAAAATCAAACATCCGCAAGTCAAATTGCAAGCTTTTGTAAGGGAAGGACTAGATTTTTGCAAGAATTGGGACGGAAAGGGGAAGAGGAAGAGGAAAAATGGCAAATATTGGCCCGAGTATCGAAACTCATGCAAGTGGCACTTGGAAGTTCATTAGGCAATGTTGAAAGCAGGAATTGGAATACGGTACCAGGACTAAGTAACGTGAGCCTTTGTACATTTTTATTATCACAACCCACTTATTGGATCGGATATCTACTGCTTCCATAAGATCCTTTTGATCCCTCGGAGGTGCCATATCTGTCTCGGCAGGACAAAATCTGTTTAGCAATCGTATTGTCTCTAGTATGGCTGCCAGGGTCCCGGAGCTAGATCTATCTGTTATCCTCTAGGCTGGCGTAACTGAATTACAGCAGACGGTGAAACGATCTTTATGCAGGACGGAGTTGCGATAATGTTTTCGAGGCGCGGGTCATACAAGAGTGGATTGAAGATGTTACCGCTGGAAAAATCCCTGAGAGCCTGTGTGAAAGGATCGATAAGGCTCAGGAACTGCTAGACCATCCTCATGGCCCTATGTTATAGAATGGGCGGGCAAGCACCTCTGCCTTTTCCAGGTACCTAGGTATGCGCTTTTTACACGACTCACTTCTCATTCCCCAAAGCAGATCGGGGCAGGTTAAGTGTGCTGGAATTATCTCATCGCTTGGGACCATCTCACGAGATGCATGAGAGAAGTTACTAGCATTACGCAAATTGGTGCTTGAGAGAGCATACCTACGTACTACATACTAGTACACAATTTATGCTGCCGTCCTGTTGAATAGTATGTTCCCTCTTACGGTTGTTCACCTGGGCAGCACATTTGATGGGTGGCGAGGGAAAAGTAGTATATGATAAAAAAGGTCCACGAGCGAAAAATCACAAAATAATATAATTTGGTCAAAATATCTATTCCAGATATCAAATATAACGCCTTACCGTAATCCTTTCCATTCGCCTGTACCGTTGCCTTGTCGTCCTATTGACACAAGGCCATATCAAATCAAAATGATTTCCCAAACACGCAAATTGATGAGCCATAAATTCATTCCGAGGTCTCCAGCAAATTTGATTCTTGCATCGGTAGATTTCAAGGTAAATCAAACTTTCTGTTCGATTGTCTCGATAGGCAGTGTATTCCCCTTAGGCAAATAGGGCTCCAGTTCGCTTGGATACCAAACAGCGAAACATACCATTGCCAGAAACATAGGGAGTGCATCGAGGATGTATGTTGGCCATTCGTTTGACAGCAGGTACCCATCATTTCCAAGCCCATATTCGACAACACGGAAAATTGATCGAAGGAGAATCATGGAGCTTATAGCATACATGCTGTAAAGATGTTTCTTCCATGGCACATCACTATGCATAGTCGCAATCGTCGGATGACGATCCATACGTAGCTTGAAGACCGTCGCCGTGGTGAGAAACAAAACGAACGTGGCAATTTGCAAGATCAGACCCGCAAGAACAATATATTGTCCAGCGTTTGTCATACTACCCTGCGACATCAGGCCAGCACCCCCACCTTGGATAAAAAAGGTGAGGACATCACAGGTGACAAAAGCCTTGGTGACGAATCTGATAGGAATAGGGGAGAGGCTTTCAGCCCTGACACTCCGAATAATTCGCGCCAGAACCATATAGACAGCAGCAGCGAAGAGAGTAGGCGCGATGAGAATAAAGACGCTCTGGATGATATACGGCATCAGACGGCCAGTTTTCTCATAGGCGCTGGCCCGAGCAGCGTAGCCGATGAATTCAACTAAATCAACCCACACTTGTTCAGCATATTTTCATTTTCATGAAATAGAGATTATTACGGCAAGAACTTACACAAGCCTCCAATAGCGAATGGCAAGGTGAAGCGAACTTTTGTTCGGAATATCTTCCAGAAGTGGACAGCGGTAACAGCGAGGAAGAGGAGAATAAAAACGACAGATGCGCCTATTGATGGCACATAGTGCCACACATAGTATCCACTCTTCAACGGCTCGAGTTGGGGCATCTTCAAACAACTTGAAAGTAGTAGTATGACAACTTGGTATATAGAGACTCGGAATAGACTCTTCGACGAAACTCGGATCAATTGAGGATATAAAAGGGGGTTTTAATAAAGTTGCAATCGTGAATAAGTTTAAGTTGAAAATTACTTATACCTGAATGCAAGCTGAATGGCCCCTTTTGAAGGACGAGGATTCCAAGGGAGGCTGTACAAAATTTGCTACACCTCTATACGCGTATTCGAGATCGCATAGTAGCCACCAGTTGTGGTCCGTGCATACGCGTACAGAAGGCTTCCAAATATATATAGAGGCCACTAGCCGTACTCGGCTAGCGTTGCCGCCCGCCAAGTGGAACCGGAGCCCCTCATATGAAATCTCCATACATTACCGTGTTTTGTCGTATAATAGGTATTGCGTACCTTAACTATCGCAATTTCCGGATGTTAGCACCGATACCAGCTACCGGTCACCATGCTTGCGGTTGAATTTCTAGCATGCTCTAGAGTGGAAGAGATATCAGGCATCACTCCCCCAGTGAACTCTGAGGTGCTTTGATATAAGCTTCAAGTAGGCATATCTTCAAATCAACCCAAAGAATAAAACGAGATTGAGAATATGCGTTTTTAATTTGTAGGTTTGCTCATCTTCTTCAATTATAAGACTGATCTCACCTTGACATATAAATATCGTACTCTGGTGCCGACGTCATCTTTAAGCCTTTGAAAAACAAGGAGACAAAACTAGCAAACGTAGGATACAGGGAGAAAATCATATTGCCAAGACTAGTTTCAACCTTGGACGCCAACTTGAAAGAGATATTCCGAGGTTACCTATTCAAGTTCGAATAGCTGTGAGCAAGCGGAATACTTCCCTCAATATCTTTGTTTCGCTGCAACTCGCTGGGATACCAAACGAAGAAAACTGCCATGACAATGACCATGGGAACAGAATCAAAGATGTATAGTGTCCACTCATGCTCCAAAGGATAGCCACTATTCCCAAGGACATACTCAATGACGCGAAAGATGGAACGAATCATGATCAAGGCACTGACTGTATAAAGCATATACAATGACTTCTGCCATGGTGTTCCAGGTAGGAGACATTCGGGGGTCGGCGAGCGGCGAATTCTCTTCTCAAATATAATGGCTGTGAGCCAAAAAATAGAGAAAGATATAAGTTGTATCGCGAGTCCCCCAACAACTGCAACCTTAGCCCACGTCGTATATCCCAAGATCGAAAGCGAGGAGGAATTTCCTTGGATGACAAATGACAGAACGTCACCCCAGACAAAAGTTTTCGTCAAACGCGAGACTCTGATCACGGAAAGGTGTTCGCCCCCAACAGAACGAATTATACGACCCAAGGTCATATAAATAGAAGCAGCGAAAAGGGTGGGACTCAGGAGGATGAAGATGTTGGCGACTATGTATGGTCCCATAGTGGTCGTATTATTATGTGCCACGGCACGACCTATGTATCCAATGACCTGAACTGGTTTGTATTAGATTTCAAGAATTCTTCAGATCTTGCGACTCGCTCCCTCATTCATGTGCACTTACAAAGACCCCCTATAGTGAAAGCGATGCAAAACCATGTCCTCGTCTTGAACAACTTCCAAGAATGAAGCACAGTCAAAACAAGGAATAGGAGCATAAAGATGACTGCTGCAGGGATCGATGGAGCATAGTTCCAAAATTTGTAAGAGCGAGGAATCAACTGCATTATGAATGAAATATAGGTCCAAAGCGCCAGATATTGAAAATAGAATGGAAAAGAGAATGAATGGAAAAGAGAATGAATGGAAAAGAGAATGAATGGAAAAGAGAATGAATGGAAAATAGAATGAATGGAAAAGATAATCAATGGAAAAGATAATCAATGGAAAAGATAATCAATGGAAAAGAGAATGAATGGAAAAGAGAGTGAGAGAAAGATGAGAATTAAATCCGAAGCGACCTTCGACGTGGAAGCATATGGGGTCGGCTTTTATTTTGAAAATTCGTTATTTATCAAGCAGCACCTTCTTATACGGGCACCTAAGTAACAAAAATGTGGCGCATAACCTTAACTAGCTCCTTTGATAATTAGAACCTAGCTGAGTCCACTTAGTCCCCAAGGACCCACAAAGCAGATCTGCAATATTAATACGCGTATAGATTCCGATTTCGCAAATAACTTAAACTCGTGTTAAACCTCCAAAAGGTTGTGACAAACCCCTTCCGCACGAAATCTGATAGTGTAGAGAATTTTCGTGATAAATAACAAATGAGCGTGAATGATACGTTTGAACACATGCGAATGTAAATCTGTTGGACAAAGATTCGGCGAGAATCAACCTTATTCGAAGGAGTTCAGGTAGACTTGGGAGAAAGCTAGTATTATAGTACTATTTTGAATTGCTCTTAGAGATTCAGAAATAAATCTTTGTTGTGTTTTGTATCTGATTTAGATATACTAGTACTAATATACATAGAGAAGTAAAAGATATGAATGTGAAGGTGGAAAAGGTCGACAGAGATCTTTTCCCGGGAACTTTGCTACCGGAATCCCGGAGAAAAAGAATTATCCAATACAAGTAAAAGATGTTGCGTTTCTGGAGTCTCCTCCAATATACCCTTGGCGAAGAGGATATGGGCAAAGGTCTCTTGCTGTATTGTTGCTGCCTTTCGTAGCGTGCAAAACAGCAGGGGCATGGCCGTTCTCTACCCAGTCAACCAGCTGAGACATTGCTCCATTTGGGACTGGCCCGAGTCCACCAAAGCAGTGTCCAACACCAGGTGCTTCAAAGAAACGAGAAAAGCTGTGGGCATTGGGGTCGCCCTTCAGCAAGTTTTCGTAGTATTCAATGGTTCCGTTTGGAGGGATAACTTCATCCGCTAGTCCATGCCAAGTGATCATTTTCCCACCAGAACCCTTGAAATTAGAGAGATCTGGGTCATTGTTGCCAATCATAGATGTATAGTCGCTGATAGAAGTATGCAAGGCGTCAAAAAACTGCTTCTCAGTCATGCTGTTGGTAGCGAATGTGGGATCCTTAGCGACAAGATACTTAAAGTAGCTACCAAAGAGGTCACTTTCTGTCGCATGGCAAGTTCCGTTATTAGAACACGAAGTAGACACATAGTAACCGCTGATCTGCGCGTCCTTATTGAGTCCATGCCAGCCGTACTGCTTAGACACCAGCTTTGAACCAGACCATGCAGCTTGGATTACCTTTGCGCTGGAAGCAGTAAAGGTATGTCGGACCCCATGACAAGAATAGTTCTTCCCAACAAAATCAGAAGCCTTGATCTCACAGAGTCCCGGAGAACTGATGATGCCATCCTCCACACCATCTAGCCTGTCACAAGCCCTTGTCGCTGCCTCGGTGAAAGCGCTGATCTCACACGGTGCCGGATAAGTGCCAGTATCGTGCATGACTTGAGAAGCCCAATAGCCCGCAGGTATAAATCTCTGTAAATTTATAGCGGGGGCCACAGCAAGAATGCCATCGAATACGTCTGGGTATTTTTGCGCCATCATCAGTGCCTGCCGCCCACCACCAGAACATCCCGCAAAGTAGGAATATTTGGGGCGCTGTTTGTAGTAGGATTTCGTGATCTGTTGTCCAATAATAGCCATATCGTTTGTTGCTTTAGTCGCGTAATTATCGAGAAGGCCCCAGTTGACGTTACCCACACTACTCAGGGCCCACGAGAGATCCGTAGGAATGGTGGACGTGCCAAAACCTGTACCCAGCCCTCCATCCGTGGAGGCAGATGCAAATCCTTGAGCGACTGCGTATGTGAGGTAGATGGAGCCAAAACCTGTGCTGTATCCTCCACCACCCAGGCCTTGAAACCTGCCATTCCATCCTTTAAGTGGAAGCCAGATTTCAGTGTGGATCGTGTCATTCCAGTCAGGATGAGTGTGTGTAACTGTCACGTTGCAGAAGCTGATGTTGTATCGGCCGACGTCGTTTCTTCCAGGTCCAAGGCTAGTTGCAGAGTAGTTGTGGATTTCCTGGGCTTGTATTTGAAGGATAGAAGCCCCGACTAGTTTAGGCGTTTGAATGACGGATGGTGAGCAGCGAGATGCAGATGATAATTCAAAAAGCATCGCGCTCAGAGAGAGCAAGGTGCTGAAGAGGTTGATCATTGTACCTTGAAGAAGGAAGAGATAAATAATTCCAAAAATTTAAAGCTGGGTTCAAGCATAAAATATAAAGCAATACCACGTAACTGGAGTTCAACAAGTTTGCTCCTGCTCAAGTCACCGTGGAGACAGAATTGCCATACAATTCATTTGAAGAACAAGAGAAGCCCATTTATACGCGTATAGATAACTTCCGGAAGCCAGTATAGCCTAAAATTGTCCTAAAAAATGTTTTCTCAAATCAGTGGCTTATTATGGCTCTAGTAAGATCAGCTTATTCGAGTTCGTTGTTCGGTCATTTCTTAATTATGGACCATGTATTGTATTGTCACAACAAGAAAGTTTCCCGGGGGGTGGATCGAACTTCGGAGATCGTCCATTTCTTCCCTGAGAAATTCTTTGATTGAGTGGGGCAAAGTTAAACATTGCCTCTATACGCGTATTCCAACACTCTCCATACTGCGTAGGGTGGGACCCGGGGCTCAAAAAGTGAAATTCATGGATTCTGTGTACAGTTTCTTTCCCAAACCCATTCTTTCCTGAAAGATTTCTTCACGAAAATTGCTGCCTTGGAAGGCTACTTCATTTATGGTGCCACGGTCAATGTTAGAAAAGGAGGAATAGGTAAAATGAAACTCGAACGATCCAGAGGCGAGCCGAGGCCAATTGATGGCTAGCTTCCTTCATGAAACGCCGGCCCAGAACTCATGGGAGCTTCCGTGCAATGGCTTTGAAAGGAAGACACTCTTTTTGATTCCTCTCGGGATTGAGACCAAGGCCACAATCAGTTACTAGATGATGGCCGCACCTCCAATGATGCGTCTTCGATAATTCCAGTCCATCGAATCACCCATAGCTTCGCCTCAGGTAAATTCAAGTTTTGCATGAACATTAGTAGATTCCGACCAACCAATCCTTATGTATCCAGCGCGTATGTGATCCGCTTTGCTGCCGCGCTCACGAGTATAGCAAAACGAAGAAGTCTAACGTGCTCGGAAGACCCATGGATGGTAATGAGTTGTTCAATAATATGGGAGGCTGTCATGTTATAGTTCATTCAACAGATATGACTTCGATTGGCCAGCGTAGCCAGTGCGACCATTCATTTCCCAAGTGATCACAGATCAATCTTACCAGAAACTGGCCTCCATCACCACATATCCACAAGTCACGCCGTAAGTGTATCAGCGCGGCATAATGAGCCAAAACCACCAACCCATGTGGCTCTCTCATTCTCAGAAGATCAATGTAACCTTTGCATACCATGGCTGGCCAAGCCCGGATGGAAATGATGCTGGGTCTTTGGGAAACTTCCCGGTCAGACTCGTCGAGGACAGGCTGTAAGGCCAAAATGGCTTGCTTACAGCTATCCTTGTATTCTTGGACAAGGTTCGCCGTCGTAATGAGCCCCAGAAGCCGCGAGCAAGTTTCGCCGGAAACTGTTCCAGTAGGCGTCACAGCCTTCTCTCCTTGCTTAAACATCGTTCCCAGGATGCTTTCTTTCAATAAGTTCCATGAACTGCCCGTGACTGCCCGAACTCCCTGATTCAAACATAGAGAACGTATAAAGTTGTCTAAGAAGTGCTCAAATGTTGTTTCTCGGAAGAACAATGTCTCGCACATCTCATGCATTCCAAGAGCGGAAGAAAAAATAGCCAATGGCACGCATGTTTCCGCATTAACTTCGGGTGCTATCTGGTTAAATATTGATAAGGCGTGGGTCTGTAGCTCTTTCGCTTGGTGATGATAAATGTTCTGGTCGGAGGTCAAAGTGCTCAGATGCAAGGCAGCAAGCGCCAAGAGCTCATTCAAGACGTACGGTGAGGATAACACCTCTTTAAACACGTCTCGGAACGAAACGTCAGGAAGGTCGATTTCGTCGCGCAGTGAATCAAACGTTTCAGTGCATAGGTGGTAGAACAGTTTCACGTGCTCCATATCAACTGGAGAAGTTTGGGGTTTCTCTTGATGATTTTGCTGTCGCTCCCGAGGGCTTTGGCTTGATTCCCGTGAGCCATGCACATCGTCGGGCAAAAGTGACCCCCTTGAGATTCGGCTGGAAGAACGAGAGGTATTCCGTGGCCTGGCAGTGAGAATAGGGGATGCGAAATCACAGTTTCGTTCTGAGCTTATGCAGTTGGAACAGACTGGTTTATTCTCATCGCACTTTCAATTAATCAGTAACTTGAATCACCAAACGGGTCAAGTTCTTCCGGAGGGTGGCACCTTTATATGACGACGCTTGCATTCCACACATCCTCCGCGGGACTTTTTATGTGTTCGACGGACCATTTCATGCCGACGTATCTGTTGCTTTCGCGTTTAAACAAGGCGATATTTCCTGGCGTTGCCGGACGCGAATGGAAGCGCTGCAAGAATAACCTGAGAGCAGCGGTTACATCGGCTATGTAAGCAGATTCAAGTTTCAGCAGAAATAACCTTTGGAACTTACCCGTCGCCCACCGCCTACGGAACCGCACCGCGCCGATCTTTGAGGTGCTATTCGTCACTTTCCCAAGGGTTACTTTGACTCTGGTTTATAACTCCGCAGCAAGCAGAGCCTCGTGAAAGGACTCCTTTCAATACTTTCATTCTATTTTTCCTACCCCGTTTTGAAATGGACTTCAAAAATTCCCCATACAGCTTAAAATATCCTCATACTATTAATTTTCAATGCCTGGCTATTTTTAGAAATCAAAGCCTCGAATGACTGCAGGTGTACTTAGGCATGCAAGATGCGCGGGAATTGGGAAATGATCATCTCCCCAAGCTGAACGACCAAATATTCATCAAAATTATGCTAGATTTTGAGAACCTACAGGAACTGTGACCGAGTGTCTCGGCTAACTGGTCAGGTGATAAATACGAACAACGCTGCCTCAACGTTGAAAATGGTTTGATCTTCTCGAGGGGTTAGGGCCGGGGGGCTGCTCGAGAGAGATCGGTTGTAAAGCTGGACTTCCAGAACCATGATGGAGCTGCGGATGCGTATATTGCCCACAAGATATTATAGTTGAAAAGTGAATTCACTTTCAATTCTTACCTCGTAGCAAAGCACAGCCTTGGAATGTCATATACTTCTTCTCAGCTTCTCTGTCCTCAATATGATCCAATTCCATCCTAAAAATTCGTCATACACAAGTAGTCGATAGTCCGTGGTATCATTCAGTCAGACAAGTACCTTGCATGAACTGGGCCTCCGTCTCGGGAGCACCGGAGTTGCTTTGCACCCCGCTATTGACTCTTTTTCTCGTCATTCCGGGTCGTAAACGTTGGAAAGATCCCAAGGCATGGTACTCCTAGAACATCATGATAATTTTGATTTTATTTGGTTTGCATGAGTCGAATTCCTACTTAGTATGCTTGATCTATTCAACAAAAATTTTCAATTGTACTACGGAGTTTCTGTTGGGTAGTATGGGGTATCTTAGAGGCACAGGCCCTAATTACAGGGCTAGCATTCCTTCAGTCTATCACTTCGTCCTAGACATGTCGATGAATGTTCCCGAGGCAGACTCGGTGTTGATGAGTAATTTTGGAAGTAGACCGGAATATGTCTCCGCTGATGCAAAGCTGGAGAAAACATTACGTAGTACTCCTGAAAACAAAATGCCTCACCAGAATTCAATCGCGATGATTTCGAGGAAAGCAAAGTTATAAATAAGAGGTTTTCACTCATCGTCCACTGGTTCTTTTTATTACACTCATCTACTGAATCACAACAGCTATCCAAGTTCATACTTCCCATAAGTGATTTGCTAGCATATCACCATTGTCAACATGCACTATAACACTATCATCGGCTACATTCTTGCCACTTCTTGCCTGGCTATGGCTAAATTCGATTCCGACTCTGATTCCGATTCCGATTCCGATTCTAATCCCAATAGAAGATGGGGCTTAGAATTTTTCACCGACGGGGGATGCGGAAAAGGTCATTCCTCTTTCGGTGATAGCAAAACATGGGAGTGTATCAACATTGACCCCGGCTCGGATGCGAAAATCTCATCCTTTGGTTGGGATGCGGATGATTGTGACTTCGATCTCGATGTATTCTTTGAAGAAGATTGCAAGGGTTTTTCGGATAAGAGCTGGGGAAGGTGTAAGGACGCCAATTCTTTCAAGGGCCAGTCATACAAGTCTTTCGTGGTGAGTTTCAGCCTTCTGGATATGGAAGCATGAAGTGAAAACAGATAACTAATTTATCGGCAAAACTGACAGGTTGGAGAGTCTTTCTTGGGTCCAATCCGATGTGGAAAAAGATGGACGTAGGTCTCCAAAAGGATATATCAGGATACAAGACCCTCTGAGTCCAGGCCTAGCTTTTGAGAGTACCTACCTAGGTAGTATTGGCTTTCAAAATTGAACTCTCTCACCTTCGGAGCATATCTGATGCTTTCAAGTAAATTGTGTACCGCTATAAATATCCCTTCTTAGACTAAATTCTGTGGAAACTTTGGAATACACAGGGACTTGAAGATTTATAATATTCATCTCATACTAGACCAAACCCCTTGGTTACTGGAAGCGAGGTGTAGTACCCAGGGTATTGTGAAACAATGATATGCTCCTGACAAAGGCCCGTGCAGCAGCGAGAAGCTCAATTCTCTCGTGGCCTGGATGTGCAGTCCTTTCTCGCATCCCCCGACAGCGAAAGTCCTTTCATCCACGTCAACAAGTTTGATGGGACGGATGATTTGCCCGGCCTAGCCTAGGACAACCACGGCTCGAATCTGCACCCTGTTTTAGTACTAATGGTATTTTCTGCACGTTCACTGACAATTTATAGACTCACCCTTCAAAACAAACATAGTTGTTTTTCATTTTCTTTTGATTTTGCATTATCGGAATCCCATTGGGTACATTGGAACTTGAAGTATACAAATGGCCCTTCTTATCAGCGGAGTCGGTGGACGCCGGCAAAATTAGAGAGGCCAAAAGAAGCTCCGCTCACTGCGCTGCTTCAACTCCGCCTACAGCAGCCCACCATGTCATCAAGTGAGTCTCACATCCCGCCATGAGCTGTAATATACTGAATCGATGACTGACTCATCTCTGCCAGATCAATTCACAGTAGCATCACCGCCAGCGGACGCCATTTCCGCCTTGAAATTCTCCCCCGATCCCAACTCCACGAGAATCGTTGTTTCGTCATGGGACAAAAACGTTTACCTTTACGACTTGCGCGATGAGAACGGTGTGGTGGGAGAGGGCAAGCTACTTCAGAAGTTCGAGCACCGTGCACCAGTACTGGATGTGTGCTTCGGAGAGAATGAGAACGAGGTCTACACAGCTGGTCTAGATTGGGATGTTCGCAAGTAAGTGCTGCTAGGGACTGCGCGCAAGCCATATAGAGCTCCGCGAAGCTTCACCATTCAGCGAAGATGCTAATGACTCTAGGATTGATCTCAACACATCCGAACAAACCGTCCTAAGCAGCCACGAAGCCGGCGTACGCAACGTCGTTTACAGTCGCGAACACAACCTCGTCATTTCCGGCTCCTGGGACTCAACCCTCCACATCCACCGCCCCGACGCAATCCCCGTCACCGTTCCTCTCCCCTCGAAACCATTCTCGCTCTCTCTAACAGCTACCAAGCTAGTCGTGGCCATGGCGTCGCGATCATTGCACATCTACGACCTGAAGGCTTTAGCCCTCCTCACGGCACAGGCGGATAGCGCCAGCGAAAACGGGAATAAGGTCGAGATCGAGCCGTGGCAACGGCGTGAGAGCAGCCTGAAGTTCATGACCAGATGTGTCGCATGTATGCCCGATGACGCCGGGTACGCTTCATCTAGCATTGAAGGCCGTGTGGCTGTTGAATGGTTCGACCCGTCTCCCGAGTCGCAAGCGCGCAAGTATGCCTTCAAGTGTCATCGCCAGACTGGCGAGGACAATGTGGATGTTGTCTACCCGGTCAATGCGCTCGCGTTCCACCCCGTGCACGGCACATTTGCTTCCGGAGGTGGTGATGGTGTTGTGGCTCTGTGGGATGGCATTTCTAAGCGCCGTATTCGTCAGTACCAAAAGTACACCTCTAGTGTGGCGGCCGTCGCATTTAGTGGCAATGGTAAGTACCTTGCGATTGCAGTCAGCCCTGGTTTTGAAGATGGCAAGGACGAGATGCCGGAGGGTATCGTTAAGATCTATGTCCGCGAATTAGGCGAGACAGAAGCCAAGGGCAAGGGAGCCAAATAAGTTCCCGAGGTGTAAATGCTGAATGGAAAAGTGAGGTCCTCTTGATACCAAACACAATCTAATGACTCAAATGCGCAATTCCTACACGTAGACATCGATAGTGCACCATTTTTTCAGGCACTAGCTTGCATTCAAGTTCCTTTCTCGACCCGTTCGGGCATCACATCTTGGTATCATCTATATGTATCCTTCATAACATCAAACCTGGGAATCCCAAATCTATTGAATAGCATTGCGCACCGAGACAGAGCCGTCGGGCATACCGAAGTAAGCAGCAACAGGGCGCTGACCACCAACACCTCCAGCGGCGGTAGCCTGGGGTCCAGTCTGGCCGTAGAAGATGCCAACCTCAAGAACACCAGCAATCTGCTTGATCTCGCGCGCAAGACGACTAACCTCCCAGACACCGCCAGTACCAGTTCCGTTAAGGCCGCCGTCGAGATCAGCCTGAATAAGCAAGGGCGGGAAGGGCGCATCGATGAGGAAGAAGTCCTGATCGGTCTTCAAGTTGCCCTCCTTGAGGGTGGAGTTGGGGCGGATGGTGGGGTTGATGGAGCCCAGCTCGGTCAGTTTTCTAAGGACGCGGAAAGCGGCGATGGGGGCGACCTCGATAGGGATGTACTTCCAGTTGGTGAGGAGGCGGGATTGAAGCTTGCGGGAGTCTATTGAGTAGAAACGAAAGTTAGTGGATTTTGTATAGGACGTTTGGTTGTTCGCATAAATGCAACTGCTGCTGTTCTCTGGAGGGGCAATTCCTACCAGCGACGCAAATGAACTCCTTCGCTTGCATGGCAACCAGCTTCTCCTGGAAAAGGCAGGCACCGCCACCCTTGATGCAGTTTAGCTCATCATCAACCTCGTCCGCGCCGTCAAATGCGACATCCAGGACGACGCCGCGGGGGATAGCATCGAACTCGACGGCTGTCAACCCCGCGTTGACGATCAACTGGCGGGACTGGTATCCCGTGGGAACGTAGCGAGTGGCAGAGGTATCGACACCAAGGGCCTTGATTGCCTCGACGACGTAGACAATGGTTGTACCACTGCCGATACCAACCCACTGCGCGTTCTTGGGGTAGTGGTTGGCGACGGCGGTGGTCGCGGCAGCGCGCTTTGCCTCTTCGACGTTGGACATGGTGGATTGCAGGCGGGCGGAGAGTGAGAAGGGAGTGCGCTGGAGGGGAAGAGGGAGAGGGAGAGGGAGAGGGAGAGAACGGAGGCGAGGGTTAATGCGAAGAGGAGAGAGAATAGACGAGCAGAAAAGTCGGCCCATGGAGGATTCCGGGGTTGAGTCAAGCACGTCCAGACTGGTCGATTGCCGTCGCAGAACATCGTCATGTGGGGTTGACAACTTCATAACTAGTGAACTACAGTTGCCACCTACACATGACACTTTCAGGTTGATTTTTGCGATTTTACGAGTTTTTGATGTAGTTTACCTATATGCTAAATATGTTTTGAGATCGCAATTTTTTGGCTCTTCCAATCGCTGTGGCTCCTCTAGATCTTGCCATCCCGTCACTGTATAGCATCACTCTATAGAAACCACTCACTCCCCCGCCGATACTAGCACATGAAAGTCGTCCCTCCGCACTCACCGGCTCCATGCAAGCGCATGGACACTCAATTGACGTGGTTTAGTGCGCGCAGCTCCAAGAGCCAACCGGGTGGTTTGTAGTGGAGTCGGTGGGATTGCCATCCACGGAAGGACTAAGCGCCTCTGGTAACCCCTAGAATGACTAGACTGACTTTCCAAGCGTGCAATTTCCTCGATATTAATCTGTTCGATGAATCAGTCGACGATGGAGAATCTGGCGATGGTAGCGACCGTTCATCGCCTGTTTGAATGATTTCCATGTATTGGCGCGCGTAATTTTTTCACAATCTGATACCCAGATCCTTAGTCGTCACCTCGGATCAGTTGCAAGGCTAAGTAGACTCTGAATATACGAATCCCAAGGCAAACAAGAGAAGCAATGAAAATATTCCTGCTATCATGCAATCCGACGTCCTTGTCGAGATCATTCTTCCAACCAATGCCAAAGTAGACACCGAAAGCAGCAACTGTAGAATAGATTGACGTAGCTAGCAAAACTATGGGGATAGACATGAATCTCATTGGATAAAATATCAGGTTTAAAGCATTTGCTTATGAGGGAGTAGTCGAAAGATTCGCAGCTGATGCGGTCAAAAAACTAGAGAATATTATTGTCTTGGTCAGTGGCTTAGAGCTGCAGTCGGGATGGATACATTGATATGGTATTCAGATTGAAACTATTGACTACTAGTATCAGACTGGGTGTGGACTTGTACACAGAGCTTGACATTCGATGCTTTCGAATTTCAACTATTTTAGTTATTTGATTCATATACAAGGGATAGTCTCCACATCACCTCCTTCACAACTGTTTCCAAGCTGGATCTATTACACAGTGCTGTCCCCGCTGGCGCGGTTCGGTTAAGGATTTCAAGACTGAAAGAAATATAGAAAAGTAGCTTTATAGCTCCAGCTCAAGTATTTCCGGGGCTGTGATTTCCATATCCTAAGTTAGCATCTATTTATTTACTTTTGAAATCGCAAGCACCCACACACACATGGCAACCTTAGATGCAAATATTGACGCCTCGGTGATCAGGCATAAATAAAGCCCGCCGCTTAGTCAAAACAACGACGCATCAACAACGCCGCAACGTACCTCATCAACAATCAAACAACATACAGAATTTCTTAAGTTTGGTGAACACAAATTCCTGGAAATTCGCAAAGCCCGCCCATCTGGTTGAATTTTCCCCTCCGAAATCCCCCAGATTTCATTCCCAGCCCCGCCACATTCACATCATACCATGGCGGACGCCTTCCCCGCGACCCTGGCAGGACCAACCTCCAAGGAGCGCAGATACGATCGACAGCTTCGACTATGGGCCGCCAGTGGCCAGCAAGCACTTGAAGATGCCCGCGTTTTGTTGGTCAACTCGGACGGCCCCCTCGGTTCAAGCAGCACTGGAGTCTCCGGCGTAGCGGGCGTTGAGACGCTCAAGAACCTTGTTCTGCCTGGCATCGGTGGCTTCACCATCGTCGATCCAGCGATGGTCACCGAGGCTGACCTGGGTGTCAACTTCTTCCTCGAGCAGGACTCTCTTGGCAAGTCTCGCGCCGATGAAACATGCCGTCTGCTCCGAGAGCTGAATCCCGACGTGCAGGGTTATTCGTATTCAACGGTACGCTTTCGCTCTCACTTCGAGAACCACAATAACTAACGCCCTTTCAGCCAATTACTGAACTACTTCAAGATCCTGCATTTCTCCCCCAGCACAAGCTGATCATTATCTCTGGCCCAGCCAAGCGCTCTACCCTGGATCCGCTTTGCCTAGAGGCCCAGGAATTGGGCATCCCAGTGCTTTACACACACTCAGTGGGATTCTACGCGACCTTCTCCTCTCAACTAGCCGCAGAATTCCCCATCGTAGAAACTCACCCAGACCCAGAAACAACGCAAGACCTGCGTCTGCTAAATCCCTGGCCTGAACTCGCCGGCGCAGCAGCAGCCTTGCCTAACCTAGAGGCCATGGACGATCACCAACATGGCCACGTCCCATACATCCTCCTTCTCCTACACTTCGTCGAGGAATGGAAGCAATCTCACGAAGGCAACGCACCGGCAAACTACAAGGAGAAGACCGAGTTCCGCGAATTCGTCCGATCCAAGACCCGCACTGACAACCCCGAAGGCGGCGAGGAGAACTTCGACGAAGCGGTAGCTGCCGTATTGAAAACCATCTCACCATTCACCCTGCGCAGCACAATCCGGGAAATCTTCGAAATGGAGCAGTGCCAAACGCTCACGGCCGACTCGGCCGACTTCTGGATCATCGCATCTGCCATCAACACATTCTATACCAAGCACAACGTCCTCCCCTTGCCTGGATCCCTCCCAGATATGAAAGCCCAGTCAGCAGACTACGTCTCTCTCCAGAATATCTATAAGAGCAAAGCACGCGCAGACGTGGAAGAAGTCCTTGCCACAGTGCGCCAGCTCGAATCACAGCTAAACCGACCAATGGCACCGATTCCAGACCGAGATGTGGAAGTATTCTGCAAAAATGCCGCACACATCAAGGTCGTGCGTGGCCGGGCGATCCCACAAATAAACAGCAACAGTGATCCCGAAACGCTGAGTGCCATTCGCAACCAGCTCGGCCTGTCTCAATTGGGTCTGCCGGACTCGCTTGTCTCCGTTTTCATTGCGACGCAGATCCTCGATGCGGTCGTCGATGAGATTCAAAGTTCGGCGCAGAGTAGCTCGTTCTCTGTCGATGACGAGGCTCTCTGGAAAAGTCATACTGAGCGGATTCTGGCTCTTTTGCAGAGAGATGATCCCACGCCTTTGGACGAGGAGGCGAGAGAGTCGATTGAGAATGCTATCTTGGAATTGCGGAGGGCGGAGGGTGGTGAGTTGCACAATATTGCTTCTCTGGCTGGTGGTCTCGTTGCACAGGAGGCTCTCAAGGTGTTGACCAGACAATATGTTCCCATGGATAACACCTGTGTCTTTGATGGAGCCCGCAGTCGGAGCGAGATGTACAGGCTGTGAGGAATTGGCTATGATGCATATTCGACAGGGGTATTCCTACGAGGGAACTCTAGGTGTAGCCTGAAGACATACGCGTTACATTATGAATTATGAGTGATTTGAGTGGTATTCGCTGTTAGAATAAAAAATACCAAGTAAAATGGCCTAGGGTGGATTAAGACCCGATTCGATTCATTCCATCGTAGCGTTCTTTACATCGGGGTTCACGTAAGTCACGTAAGTGCCAGAGCTTCAGAGTCCTTTGCAAGTTGCATTGACTCGTTCTGTCAACGTCCATGTTTCTTACTGATGAACCGCGGGGGACATTACCACAGTCACTTAAACCTTCGTGGCCGACTTGATTGGGCGGGGAAAGGGAAATCAACCCCTAGAGTGTACCCCCATCTGCCGAGTAAAGCCGACCAACTTGATGCTGATGTTGGTGTTAGAAGAGGTGCAGGTAGCCTCACTAGAGGCACTCATGTATCACCTCTTCTTTCCACGGAAATTTCCATTCCGTTTATTACCCATCGAAGCACTCTGCGTCTCATGAAGTTTTTCTTTTCCAAACGCCGCATCGGAGATTCTCAGATAGCTGACAATACCTTGGTCCACCACGGCCATGACAACGTTCCGATATCCATGTCGCAAACGCATATAGACTAATCGCTTCATTTTCTCGCCGCTCGGTGGGTCCAGCGGTGTACTTTCCAGCAGTGCACCGAGTTGAGCGAGAGTAGGAATAGAGGCCGTCTCGCGTGTATTCACCACAGCAATGCGGAAATCCGGAGCTGGCCAGGCGGACTTCTTGATCGGGGTGGAAGGTCTGTATGCGTGGAACACCACTCGGAATGGAGGGCAAGTGTCAAGGGGATCTCTCTCAATTGCGAGACTGGGGTCGTACCATGGGATCATGGCTAGTTGGCGGTATATGTTATCTGCGCAGCTTGTTAGAAGAGGGCTGAAAGCAACACCGGGGAATTAGAAGAAACTCACTATAGCTGCGATGCATGCCGCACCCCACGACCGGACCAGCGGCCGTAGACCTAGTGGACAAAGGATCCTGAGCCCAGCTAAAAATCTGCTCCAGGATACCCGCCAGACCGGCCCCACGCTTCAGAGGACGCTGCGAGGCACATTCTTGACTTTGATCCTTCAATCCCTCCACCTGCGCCGAGTCATCCCACCCCGGCGCCCGGGCCAGGGCATACCCAGTCCTCTTCAGCCCAGTGTAGACAGTATACCGCTCCAGCGTCAGTCCAGCCCGCCCCATAAAACACGCATAAGCCGCCTGCAAGCTCATCGGGATAGACAATTCCTCAGGACTCTCATCGTCCGGCGCAGCGGTCATTTCAATCGGCCAGCGAATATCCAAGCTCCCGCGCTCGATCAAAAACAGTGCTTCTTCGGGCAATAACCAGACTCTATTCCAACGATCCGACTGGCCCGTAGTTTTAAAATATTGCCCCTTCGGGTTGGGCACGTAGACACAGCTATCCGGGTGCACATTTACACCAACGCCCTTGTAGCCAAATCTGGCTGGGTCTTCGATATCGATACCGGGCGGGGGCGCGGGACCGTCTGGCGCATAATACGCAATAACTCTACTGTTGAGATTATGCAGACGTGGGTGCGCGAGGGCATCGTGCATTGCCTGGCGGGATTTGGAGAGGACATCGGCTTGGTGTTCGGTTGGGTTTGGTTCGAAGTCTTTTTCGCCGCGCTTGGGGAGGCCCGGGGAGGATGTGTCAGTTAGACTAGATCGGATGTGAGTATTAGCATTGGCTTGGAGAGGGTGACCTTGGTCTGCATTGCGCGCATACAAATTGAGGTGACTCAGTAGGCGGAAGTCCTGAGTCTCGTCAGAGAGGTCGGTCTCGACTTGGGTTGGTTCGACTGAGGTGCCTCGGACGGCGTCCTCATCTTTGTCCTCCATATCAGCAGGTGATTACCAGGTCAGGTCAATTCTGGTGTGAGCTTTAACTGGAGTTGTGTAGTTATATCCTAGGATGCGGTGGAGGCGACGAGAAAATTGGAGATTCCCAATGATTGGGGTTTATCGATAAGCGGTGGCCCGAGCCCGCCTTCCACATTCCCATGGCACTTGGACATGAACTACACTCTTGAAATGCCAAGATCTAACATGATATCCACGGATTCAACTGTCAAGGACTATAATGAGACTCTACGAAAGGTAACATTGTCTTCGAGTGCCCCAAGGGCTCAAAATTCAACCCATTCGTGCCACGGCTCACAACATATATTCAGATATCAAGGAGTCTCGAAAATGCCCTCGAAACATTCGGGCCCTCTTCATTTCAATATCATGCCATACTCGAGCTCCTCCACGACTGCCTACACGATATCGAAGAAGCAAAGAAAACACCAGTTCAACCAACCGTCGACCCCGATGTGCTCACCTTAGCGATGGGATTCCTAAATATTGCAGAGTAGCCCAAGCGGGGTTGGTTATGTCTTGTGTTTGCTTTTTTGATACCCCCACGCGCACTGGCACTCGATTACTACTACAAAGTACAACTTGCATACGACCGAGGTTGCCCTGGTGTCCTGATGTAAGATTGTCAGTGGATAGTATATTGGATATATTGGACCATTATTGCATTTTAATTAGTCATCCATGGATTTATATTGAGCTTCCAAGGTTACTTGCTCAACTTGAAGCTCAAGCTCAAGCTCAGATACTAAAACGCGGAAGCAAGAAAAATACGCCTCCTGCCCCAACCGGAGCGAATCTGAGTAAATTGAGATCGCCGCAAGAGCGAGTGTCTTCAAGATGAGACTGGTCAAAATGCCTCCCGAGGCACGAAGTGGAAACCCGCAACACCCCCGAACGAGCAAGCTTTCATGATGCCATGCAACAAACTCCAAGCTCTATGCAATCATAAGACATGATATGATATGAGGCCTCTGGCCCCGGTACAGAGGGGCTCAACTCAGTAGTGGCGGCCGTCAGGCCGTCGGTGCTATGTAGATCCGATCGACGATGCGATCTCTCTGTTCATTGAGCCTTCTTGGCGTCGACACAAATCGGGTTCAATTAAATGTACTCTGTTCATTTCCAGAGCGGAATATTTTCGGTATAGATCGTTGTTCACATAAGCCGTTTCCTCAGTCGATCAGTGGTTTCTTTTGGTTGCCAACCAGAGCCACGCCCAGATAATTGAGGGCATTGAGGTCGTGCGGTCGTACAATTGCTGGCAGAGGAAGCATTGGATTGTCTGGGTTCACGTGGGCTGCATCGCGCGCAGCTTGTTCGATGGCTTCCATTTCTTCTTTGCAGCCTGCGTGGTCGAGTGGGCAGACGACGATCGGTTGTCGGATGGTGATATCTCTCGCGGATGTTAAATGAGCCTGCCATTTATCACGTTAGCTTTGAATCCGGAGTATACAAGACCGCATATCGTTGGAAGACCCACCCGCACTGTGAGGTAGTATTCGATTTTATACAGGCTGGCCGTAGTGGTGAATCCGCTGACGCCATACATCGGAAATGCTGCGCGACTTCGCGGCAAGATACCCTCCGAGTCCCGCATGTCCTTGGCGGGAAATACCAAGCCTAGATTCGTCAGGTATCCCGACTGGGGTAATCGGACCCCCACCGCCTCGGTTTTCTTGGTGAGAGTCTTAATCTTGCGTTGGGGCTCGTCGCCTTCGTGGTTGTATATGATTTCTTCGTCGATACCGATGGTGATTTTGTTGATGGTGACTTTTCGGGCCTTGCCCATCCAGTCTTGGTTCGGAGATAATTTGACGTATACGCTGACAGGATCGAGAGGTCCATAGGACCACCGGGGTAATGAGATGGCCAATGTGACCAGGTGATCTGATACCCGCTCTGCTGACTCGGGGCGGTTATACATGCCGAAGGTGGATAGTGTATCGTAGCGAGCGATGGGGACGGGGAATGTATATTTCCGTTGCTCTGACTGGCCTTGTTGTACCATCACCACCATTTCGTAGTATGTTTCGGCCGTGCGACTGGGTAGCTGTAGACTTGCGGGAGGTACTCGCCGAGAGGCATCGCGGCCCCCACGACCAAATGGGATGAAGAGGACGAATGGGAGATCCATAGCGATGACTTCTTCAAACTCCTTGCCGGCGGGGCATCGAAATAAGAGCATTTCTTTGCCGACGATATCTGCGACTTCCTTTCGAGGGGGGGGCAAGGCGTTTTTTGGTGACGGAGTCGGCCGAGGGATGGATGGTTTCGCGACGAAGAAGGGAGATGGTGACTAGGGAGACATTGACGGGAGCTGATATGCCGACGCTGGGCCGGATCTCGACTTTACCCTCGACTCGAGGCTGGGTGAAGGGCGGGATTGTTTAGCATTCAGTACTTGAGCTGAGTTGAGCTCGAGTCCAGGGGATCGCGCAACGCAACTGCCCCCGGTGGGGGATAAAGGATTCAAGACGAAAAGGGCTTACCATAGTAGCCGAGATGCCCGGGTAGCCGATTAGAAAATTGCCATTTGCCGGACCTGAAACGCGCACGAAGGCGGCCATCTCGAAAGCGCAGTTCCCACACTAGCATGGACATGCGGTGGAGGAGGCGCAGGGAAGTTGTGGGGAATCGGCAATCTGGACCCTGTCGCACAGATCATAGAGGCCTGACCAGAGGGCGCGATAAGGTGGAGATGGGTTTGAAGGGGGTAGGAGGAATTAGGAGTTGGGGGGGGGGGTCGTTTGAGATTGAAGGTGAAGTTGAAGGTGGAGGGGGAGAGGAAGGGTGAGGCTGATGATTGAGCTGAGCTTGGATGATGTGGATGTGGTCGATGTGGGGGGTGAGCCTTGTCCAGCCGAGTTGGCGCTTAGAGTATTACTATAGAGCTAGTTTCTTTACGGTTATTCAGTGCGGACATTTCTATTTCTATTGATTAGTATTGATCTACTGATCTATTATCTACGGAGTACTGATCTAGAAAATGTAATATAATGCCGGTCTCCAGTTGTCTCAGTCCAACCGACGTCATTGTCAGCACACAAGGTGTACTCTGTAGTACATAATTAGTTAGTACTCTGTCCACGTCAAAGTCAATCTCGTCTCTCCTTTTTGGGGGCCATTCTCTCCTCAAGCCAGATCCAGAGATCACAGAAATTCCCCATTGAACCAGCCCTAGAGATCAACAAAGAACTTGAAGTGGTCAACTTGAACTTGAACCACGGGACTTCCGCGTGCGGCCAAGCTTTCCTTTCCACTGGTTCTCGTTGCGGTTGCCAGTGCAACACGAACCATTGCCATCTTCCCTCCACTTCACCTTTGACCTTATCTTCCTGCATATCTTGATTGGATCTACCCTTGCCTCAACTCCTACTCCTACTAGTTACTACTCACACCATGCCTCCCCGTCGCCGCACGGCTGCCTCCACCGGCCAGTCTACTCTCTCCTTCGGTACAAAGTCCCGGGTGACCAAACCATCAACTGCTCCTCAACTGGGGAAGAATCTCGACAAGTCAGCAAGTGAAACTCCAGAGCCCCAGGATGTGACAGCCTCCCAGCCTCCAATCCCCCATGTCGCCGAGTTTGTCGTTCGCCAGCAGACCAAGCCATCAACCCAAGAACCTCTCTCCGAAGAGGATAAGCGGGCCTTGAAGATGAGCAAGCAGGACCTGAACCGTTACTGGAAGAAGGAAGAACAAGGCCGCTTGGCCCCCCAGGGTGGGTACTTCGCCAGCGTGGCATCGATCAGAAATCACTAACTTCCCTGATTCCATAGTCCACCAGAGGGATCTAGCCATGGAGGAGAAGATTCTCCGCCACTTTGATCTATCGAATCAATATGGGGTGTGATACCTTACCCCCTCCCCGATAATGATACTCCTTATCACACTGTGCCTCTTTCTACGAAGTCCTGTACCGCAGGAAATATATCGACGATTGTTGCTAACCACTTCCAGCCTTGTATCGGTATTGCTCGACTGAAGCGCTGGCGCCGTGCTAACAAGCTCAAGCTCAACCCACCTCTCGAAGTTCTCGCGGTTCTTTTGAAAAATGAGGATATCGAGGAACGGGCCCATATGGATGCGTTACTTTCATAACCTGAAGAGGGTTGAGTGGAGTATGGTTCTTTCTCAAGGAGCCATGGCCAACTACTCACCGATTGAACAGCAAGGCGTGGGCACTGTACATATATCAACGAGTCATGAATGAATGGGCGTTCAAAATCTCCCTCTCAACCCTCATCGGGAAACTGCATGACCCCTTCTCAATCTTTTAGCCCCTTATTTGTCCGGTTTGTTAACACATGAGATGAATGTCCGGGGTGAGAACATGCTCGACCGAGGCGTGGCGGAGTATTCTCTCTCATATGTCGCCAGTACTCCAAGGGAGTTTGAATCCTGTGAAGATGCAACAGTACGAGTAAGCCTTAAAATTAGCAGTCAGAAGAACGGAAATGAGAGCCAAGGCTGTACTAGGGTGGTGCTGGGATCTTTAATTGCAGATTAATCTCGTTGAACCTTGAGATAATATCCAGGCTGACCCTACCACTGCAGGTACTAAGTTAGTGGTAGTACTAGTCGGATTGTCGGATATTCCCAGATGGTCAAAACCTTCCCCTGTCTCATCTGGACGGGATGGAAGTTACAATAGAATCCGAATAGGCAATTCTCTTCGATCGGATCTGTCGATCGCTAGGTCCAGTTCTAGTCTGGCAGATCGCCTGCTGTACTCCGTAGATTCTCTTCTTTCCACTTCGTCTCCTTCCATTCCCCATTTCCCCATCTTCATCTCCACACTCCCCACCGTTTCCCCCACCAGACCTTCAAAAACTATAACTTGCTAAAATTTCAACTTTTGGAGACTAGCCAAGTCACAAGTCACTGGATGGTTTGTGCTTTCCTGCAATCTCGCGACGCCGCAGGGTCCACCTCCAGCCCCAGCCGCCACCAACCCATTGACTTCAAAATAGATTAAATCCCTCCATCTAAGCCAGTTGCAGCTCTTGACCCCGTCCAGGCACCTCATGTGGGACTTGCTGCACTGCGCTGTGGCGATAACATACGCCGAAACAGAATGGTCGTCCCATGTGATTCTCCTTCTCCGCTACCAGGCTTAGCGCTCCTTGGCCACCAACAAGAAACAACGGCCATGCCAGTCACAAGAAGGACGAGCAGGCGAGAAGGCGACCTTTGCTCCACCATCGCCGCCACCCCCAAGAAGAATGTCTCACTTAGTTGGATCAAGTGGATGTCTGGCCCTGTCAACCCCGGGCTCAGTGCTCTAGCCCCCGTCCAACATGAGTTCGTCCCTGAACATACCGCCAACAATCTCAGGGGAATGTACCCCGTACGGAGTACAGAGTTCTTCGTGGGTCAAGAGCCACAGCTGACATTGCTGCTTAGCCGATGGCCGATGGTAATCGCGACCATGCAGGTACGAGGCCCTCCGATCGAGCAGATTAGCTGGTAAGACGCCTAGACTGCGATCCCATCTCGCTAGACCGCGGGTTTTCACCTCCAAAATCCCCGGACAAAGACAATCAGTCGAAGACCCACGGACCCAATTGTCGCTCCCCGCGGACCCACCCCCGGTTGGCCCATGCCTGGCATCTAAACAGAACAGGCTCGGGGGACCCGGATCGTCCGAGTTATCTAGTAGATCAAAGAAATTGATCTTCTTGCTGCTAAATAAAACTTCCAATGGTGATCGCCGTGGCCCGAAATGGCTCAGAACGCGTAATCATTTCCAGTTGAATGCATCCGAGACCCTTGGTGTGACTTACCAGTACAATAACCATTATTAATGGATTGATGGCGCTGATGGGCTGACGGGTGTCGGCCAAGGGCCTACTTTGGGATAGTTGGATGCTACGCTACCAGAACCCTGTCGTTAGCCCTGCCACTGTTGGCGCTTTTGATTGGGCCTGAGTTCCCCGGATTTGCTTCGGACTGGTACTTCCGTGGCATGAATAACTAGGGTCCACTTTCTGAGCAGTTCTCGAACAAGGTCTTGCGGGGGTGCTCTTGTTGCTCTTGTTGGGTCAGATGCCCCCCCAAATCAGTGTGGTTCGCAATGACTGAAGGAACTATGGATTTTCACCGGTACACAAATCACGAGGATTGCGTACGCAGCACTTGGGCTTGTGGGAAGTACTTTGTCTTTGCTTGTTGCAGTCATCCCGTGCATGTACCATGATGCAGGTGTGCTGTTCTACCAAACCTGATACCTACAAGGGCACTCTGCAAGATCTGCAAAAACAATGCCGCATGTGCTACCTCCATATTGTCTGGTTACTGGTATTTGGATCACACCAAGGTCTAGCGACCAGTGGAAAGTGGAAATTAAAGCCTGCTGCCGTGTGACTAGCTCGAAAACCACCTGCATTGGCTAGTACGCTTACACTAATCCATGCCCTCTTCTCCATATTCGCCCAACCCCATTCAGATGGGGCCGACGTGCATCGCGCGGACCTGTGATACGCACATCGTACACTGCATACCGAATACGCAGTCTATAGACCAGCCCCCGAGCGATATTAATTTACCCCTCTACTCAATCGGGTGCATGAAGCCAGGATCCGGCGCCCGCCATGGTGGCTTGGCCTGCAATGAGATACCCCAGTTAGGACATGGGTGATCTGAGTCAACCGCGGCCATGGGCTCTTCTCGATTCCTGCTTCTTTGTACAAGCGGACATGTGATCTTTATAGTTAGTGCTACCCTGAGCGGAGCCCACGGCACCATATCAAAGCTTATAAAAGGGCAGATGCACCCCAGCCTTGGATGAAGCTCTTCTTGTTACTCGACTACCCAACTCACTCGTTATCCTTAACTGTCGTTTCCAGCACGCTATATTATAATCCCTTTCCAAAAGAGTTCTCATTATAATCGACAAGATGCAGTTCTCTCACGCTCTGATTGCCCTCGTTGCCGCCAGCCTGGCCAACGCTCAGCTCCCCGATGTCCCCTCGTGCTCGGTATGCCTCTCTCAAACCAATGAAGGTTCAAAAGGTGGCCGGGAGTACTAACGATACTCTAGCTCAACTGCTTCGTCACCGCTCTGACCACTGATGGTTGCAGCGCGTTGACCGACTTTGCCTGCCATTGCCAGAAGACCTCGTTGGTCAGCAGCATCACTCCTTGCGTCCAGAAGGCCTGTGAGGTCGCCGACCAGATCTGTATGTTCTTTGAGATATCGATCAATCCTCCCCCACTATGCCACGCCATTGTTTACTAACTGTCACTAGCCGTCTCCAACGCCGTCGTCGCCCAGTGCTCTTCCGCCGGCCACCCCATCTCCGTTCCTCCCATCGAGACCGCCACCTCGGAGAGCTCTACCACCTCCAAGAGCTCTGCCACCGAGACCAGCTCTGGCTCTGAGACCACTGCCACTAGCTCGGACTCTTCCAGCGCCTCGAGCTCTGCCTCTGGCTCCAGCTCTGCCACTGGTGGTGCCACCACCCCTGCTGCCACCCCCTCCGGCTCCGGAGCTGCTGGCTCTACCCCGGCTGGAACTTCCACCCCTCTGGCCACTGGCACCAAGACCAGCGGTGGATCCGGCGGCTCTGGCGCTGCCACCACCTCCCCCGCTTTCAACGGTGCCGCCGGCGTCAAGGGTAACATGGCTGGTGTTGCTGCCATTGCTGCTGCCGCTGCCTACATCCTGTAAATATACATACCTTAATTCGTGCTATTGTTGACCTCGCCGTCGGCTTTCTTTGGATAGGCATGGCAACAAGTTGTATCATTGGCCTGCGGTGGAGGTGATTGCAATAGTGACTCTGTATAGTGGACTCGGACTTAATATAACTGCCCCAGGAGGGGCTTTATGCGATATTCTTCTTCAATTCTATTTGATCCTATTTTATTGTGAATTAAACCTGATGATCAGTTTCTGAAGATCTGAAATCTAAATCTAAAGTTGATCGACAGTCTATCAAATGTTGGTCGCCTTAGAACGCCCCACTTTGATCGTCCCGCAATGGGATGGGCACACAATGGGGCGAAGCCAAGTCTCCGCCCCTAGACATCTCTCCGAGTCCACGACATACAACATACTATACTCGGCAGCAAGAAACAGCAACACGACTGATGCTCAACCCCGAGTGAGGAAGTAGTTTCTGATGGGGTTCAGAGGGAAACCATCACCAGGGTGCGCACCTTGCCGTCAACGACGCATAAAGGTAGGCCACAAGATTCGAACGAGGTTCTGACCTCAGCTCATTCCTTCGATCAGTGCGATGGAAAACTTCCCGCATGTACGCAGTGCCTCAGGGTGCAAGGGAAATGCCATGGATACCGTGATAGACTGGACTTGTTGTTCATGCACCAAACAGACACAACCGTCAAAAAGGCGAATCCACCACATTCATCGAAATTGAAACTGGGTTCCCCCCCCCTAGTTCTTCCAAATCTGATAAAAACGAAGAGGAAAATAATAGCAGCTCCGACCAAGTGATCGGCCCAGTACTGATGCAGGGTCTTGTAGAGCCAGTAAGCTCAAGAGCTGTCAACCTTTTCATGTTTGCTTTTTCCGGTGGCGTCTACCTGGACTATCTTCCTGCTATGTACGGATATCAGGAGAAGCCTGGCTGCTTGCACATCAGCCTCGAAGCCACAGCCTTGGCCTACATGGCAAAGGAGCATCATCGGAAAGATTTGCGACAGATGGCACTGCAGAGCTACGGTACTGCATTATCACAAACGAACCTCGCATTACAAAATCTCAAACCGGCCATGAAACTAGAGACGGCGACGTCTGTACTTCTCTTGGCTCTTTTCACAGTGATATCACCGCAGAATTCAAGTCAGCCGCAAAATATCTGGTCAGAGCATGTACGTGGAGCCTTGGCGATACTGGGTTCTTGTGGTCCGGACATGTTCAACAGTCTTCCTGCCCAAGGCATTCTCCACCATGTCATTTCAACTGTCCAAATTGATTGTCTGGACCGCCGTGTTCAGATGCCCTCTCAATTACAGGCTCTATATTATTTGTCATGGCTGAATCCTGGACCCCAAGTACAACTTTGGTCTTTGATAGATCGCCTTGCCGAGCTCGCTGCTTCAATTGGTAGAATGCCAATATGCCTATCAGAAATCGAGAAAATACGCGATCTCGACTCAAGCTTCGAAGAACTAATGAAATGCATGCCAGAAGCCTATAGCAATTGCTTCGAATTCGAAGAATGCACAGCCACCGCTACTCAACTATTGGAAGGAGAGGCCATTGAGCGAATCCCAGTCCTCAAGTTCAGTAGCTTCAGAATGGCTCAGAGATGGAATACCCTACGACTTTTACGTCTACGCAGCATAGATCTTCTCACATTTGCAACGTCCGCTTATCTCTCATTCAGCCCAGAGAGGACTAATCTGGATGGGGACCTCAAATCATGCCTCGACAATGCATCTGAAACAGCAAAGCAAATCACCATCGAGATTTGCGCCACAGTACCAGAATATCTCAGGCCTGACCAGTTCACTCGATTGCATAATATTGGTGTCGAGGAATCTGCCTGGGCGCGATCACTTGGATGGCCATTAAGCATGGCAAAGGCCAATGCACATAATTCGAAATCCCTACAAGACTATGTCGAGAGGCAATTTCAGGTTATTCGGGGAATTTCGCGCACACGGGATCTAGATTTTGCACCGGGTTGCCAGCCTGGCTCGCTTGTTATGGATGGGTAAGTCCCTTTGCCGGATGTCAGAACCTAGTGCTTTGATTTTCTAACCTTTATTCCTAGAGTACATGCAATATATCTCTCCTGAATTTTTACCTTTGCTGTAAATAGTGAAGTATGAGAAATCCAGAAAAGATTATTCCAAAAAAAAAGAAGATTCCCTCGTTCAGCTGCGGTGCAACGTTACGCGGAAAGCAGAAAGTGTCACCTCATCCACACCCGAGTTGGAACCATTAGCAGATCTCCAAAAGACAAGCTCATTCACGGGAACATTGGCGTAGGATATGGGATCGATATTGACAACGCAGTAGTCATTCCAGACAGTTGTAGCATTGATGGGATGGTCGTAATCATCAATAACATTGATGAATCGCCAAATATCACCAATACGACCATCGGAAGATCGTTTGGTGCGGAAAGTCGGCATCAATTGGAAGTAGAGATCGCCCGTCGTACCGGCCTTTTGCGAGACAAAACTACCCAGGGCGGCGAGAACCTCTGTCGAGTTGGAGACCCAGGATGTAATATGGAGGGCCCTGGCATCGGTATGAGAGAAGGTGATTGAGGAGTTCAACTTCTTATCCGTTGAGACGTAGACACCGCCATAGTTGTCCTTTAGCTGACGCTGGGCTTCCGATTCCGCTGCAATAACAAGTGGATTGAGGACCTTTGTGTAAAGGTTACTCAACCCAGCGAGCTCACCAGCAACGGACATGAAAATAACCAAGTCATATTGCGGGATGATGATGCTGTAGCTGTAATATCCTTCCAAGCCTCCGCCCTTTGTGTAGAAAGTCACCGGGCGCCGAGTATTGGGAAGAATCTCCGTGCTCCGAAAAATCTCCCAGGGATATCCAAGAAGCGAGTGCGAGCCGGAGTTCCAGGCACTGGGCTGGAACCAGTTTATCGTGGGCGTAATCTTGTCGTGGTTTTTGAGGGTCCATCGAAGGAATTTCATCATATCAGAGGAGCTACTATACATTCCGCCGGAACTTCGTAAAATGTCAGCACGCGATCATCAAGCGAGGCTGGATGTCAGGACTTCATAAACTTACGGGATACCGACAGCCAGATCGAAATCCCAGTAGGAGCCTGGCCCGGCATTTGCGGCCACAGAATTGTCGGGAACCTCGAATGTACTATCTTTCATACCGAGAGGGTTCAAGATGGATGTGCTTATGTAGTCCTCGTATTTGAGACCAGTGACATTGCTCAGAATCTCTCCGAGAATATTGAAGCCCACATTGCTGTATGATGTTTCTTTCTGTGGTGCAAATACAGGGTTCACTTGGTGGAGGTCGTGATTCAAATCTAGGTTGTAAGTCAGTTGGGTATCATGAAATCTGTATCTTTTTTCAACATACCAGCAGTGGTACATGAATTAGTCCAATTGCTATACAATCCACATTTGGGAAGATCGTGGAGCTGGGCCGCGGTAGCTGGAGGTAATCCAATAATAGATGGATCGGCCAGGGTGAGGAGTAGATCTTCATCACCAACTTTTTAAACAAAATTAGTTGATGTTTGAATGGGTACAAGCCCCACCGGGGAGATACTCACAGTTATCTGGCAATCCACCGGCATGTGCAAGCAGTGATCGAATTGTGATGCCTTTCCATGAGATCTTGCTAGATCCAGTGGACAGTGAAGAGACGTATCTTGTAACTTCATCGTCAAGATTTAGCTTCCCAAGAGCTTCCTGCTTGAGAATCCCCAAAGCAGTGAAGAGCTTCGTGCCGCTAGCGATCCGGTACACCGAGGAGCCATTGATTGGGCTACCACCTAGAGACTTATCGGTGTGGTACTTTGTATAAAGAGTTTTGCTCGAGGACGAAATCTCCAAGGAAAAAGACGTTTTGGCAAAGTCTCCGGCGTTGATGAGGCTGTCGAGATTCTTGGTAATATCACTCAGGGGCTCTCGCAAAGTATGCTTCCCATAATTTGGAACAGGGAATGATATCTCCGGCTCACAGGCTGCATGGACGGTTTCTAGTACCGCTAGGAATAGACTGGTTGAAAGAAGTAGCTTGATTAATGCCATGGTGATGGCGAAAAGAGGATGAAGTGCTTGCAAAAGCTAATATTCTCGGGATACCTTGAGCTTTATATGCCAACGAAAGGAAGGGATCCTATCCAAGACGTTCGAAGATCCTTCAAAGTCCCCTTAATATCTCCAAAAAGGCACCAGAATTATGCTATTATTGGGAATCTGCCATGACATCGCCGTGGCTTATGCTACAGTATTCTGATTGGCACCAGTACTCTAGAGAATGATCAATTTGCTATGGTATAACAAGGCTGCTAATTTCGACTTGGACATAGTCCGAGACTAATGAGATGCATGCCAGATTGAGCAAAGCTCCTCTCCACCTCCAGCCCCAAGTGTTATTTTAAAACTGTGGATCTAATGACGGCCCCCACTAGACTGACACGAGGTTCCCAAAAGCAGTTAGGCCTCTCCGTAGCTTCCATCCAATTTAGGTTAGGAATATTTCTAGCAGAGAAGCTCATTCGTCCGATCGTATTTTGCAAAATGTTCTCGATATTTTGAACAAGGTGCGCAGATGAGTGACTTTGTGAGCTTTTTAATAACCTACTAGGTCTAGGATGTAGGCCCAGCCACCGTGATGGCTGTCTCCCCTAAAAAAGTAGAAACCGCATGACTAGTAGAGTTGAATACCCGTATGTACATCAACTGATTGACCTTGAATCTATTGCAAAATAACTAGTTGGTGGGTGGTGCTCTTAGATTTTTTATGCGTTGTGTATTCAAGTCTTTACCTATCGACACTTGGAATATGGAGCCGCAATACGCCCCATATCTTCAACATGCGACTCAGCGTCGGTCAATGCAATGAATAATGTTCTCTCATCTCGTACTACTTGGCAAGTGATTTGAGATATAGACTTTAATTACCATGAATACCACGTGATTGAGGCTCGGCGTGCGGTGCACTGCCTCTGCCCCTCGCTTGGTGGCAGACTCGTCCCTCCACGCCCCAACTTTGTTTCTTGTCTTCTCCAGCTAACCTCAAGCACGATGTCTGGTTTAGAGATAATCGGAGTAGTCGCTAGTACTCTCCAGATTGCGGAAATTGGCATGAGACTTTCGGTCAAGCTTTGCTCTTTCTACCGTCAAATTAAAGATGCGGATCGGTCTGCGGAACGTCTTGCAAATGATGTTTCACTTACCTGCAGCATTCTGCATCAATTAGGCAGAATTCTAGAGCAAGATATTGAGACGAAAGTTTGCTCAGAGCAAGCATTTTTGACGGCACGGGAAGTCTTAAATGAGTGCAAGAAAATCTTCAAGCAAATAGAGGATGCGGTCGAAAAGAAAGACCCTGGATCAGGAAAGACTAAATGGGAACGTGGGACACGAAGACTGACGATTGTGGTTCTTGGGCCCGATCTTGACGTGCTAAAGTCCCACCTGGATAGATTGAAATCTACTATGCTGCTAATGCTCAATGTCATCATATATGCAAGAGATATTAAACGGTAATGCTGAACTCATTAAAAGCTAGGAAACCGTACATGTATTGATAACAATCTTCAATAGGTCATGTCATGATTCACACCTTGAATCCCAACGACAGCTAATAGAGACTCTTCTCCATGAGAAGACCAAAGCTGATGCTGGAACAAATCATCCAAATGAGCCGGGCAGTGGCAATTCACCCCAATTTACAATGATGGCAGAGCCTATCCAAGCAACCTCTCACGGATTCTCTCCTGACAGTGAAATCGACAAGTATCATAATCTTGTCCGAAGTCTTTTGAAGGAAATTGATGCCTGTCAAACCATCCTTCCTCAAGATCGGCATGTGAGGATCAGGGATGGAGTACTTGCTATTCATGAGGCTGAATTGGCAATATTTCTGGATTCTCATGGCGAGGCGGCGATGCGGACTTTTGATAGTCCTCTTTTCAAGGTACGTATAAAGAAATGTCTCAGGACTCTCAGTTCGAATCACACGCCAAGAAAGCAAGATTCACTGACGAAAGAATGTTTTAGAGGAGGGAGCCATTCAAGTTTAATAAAGGAGACCATAGCCATCCGGCCTCCAGACCACCTCGGAAGAAATCTTCAGGGAGGTCTCACAGCATCTTCACACCTGTTGATGATCAGCAATCAATGCTTAGTTTTCATTCTGCGAATCCACCGCGCTCTAAGTCCTCGCAAGATGACCCCAAAACAGACACCGTTCAAAAGCACCCTCCTGATCGGATACCCGCATCGCGAACAGACACTGGGGTTGCCCCGCCCCGACGACCTAAACTAATCATAGATATTCCAAGCGAGAGCTGTGTTCAAAGAAGTGCAACAAAAAAACCGTTCCTCGCCATATTGTTGCCCTCTTCATCACCACCGATGGAAGAAAACCCCAGCGCTGGCGTTCATGGCCCTTCCAATCCATCTTCGCCTAATATGCGTCCAGTCTCTACGGATAGCCTGGACCTTGGACCTAGAGATACGCGAATAATCAGCGGGTATAACTCTGGAGATTCGACAAACAGGTTAAAGCGCACGACCTCCCAAGACTTCTACGTACTTGATAAAATACCAGACAGCTTTGGTGATTTCTCCGGCTCATATGGAGTCAAGGCGGCGTTTCCACCAGCCCCTGTCCCAATGAATGACCTTTACGATTCGGATGATGCCATGAACCGGTCACCTCTACCGGTGGTGGTTTCCCCGAAATTTGAGCCCGGGCCTTCATTTGATCCTTTTCCAGGTGCTGATGCTACCCAAACGAGCGGCAGGGAAAGATCAGGTCGCTCCGATCAGCTACACCAGCCGGAAACTCAAATTCAAACTTGCTACGGCGAATCAGTACTGGCCAGCCGCTTTGTTCCGAGCTATCCCGAGATAAAAAATATACTGCTATCCTGGACAACCATTGCCCCGGAAGATATTCATCTATGAATACCCATTCGTGATGAAAGACATCTCTGACATTGAATTTTGCGAACAATTACTCTGATTTTGATCTAAGGCAGTATCTAAATTATTCGCCGAGTATCTGAAAAACTTACCTAAGCATCTGGGTTGGTTCTTGGCGGGTGAATAGGCTCATATTCAATGTTGTCCCAAGTCGAGCCTGAGGCAGTGATACTACTAGTTAGTATCTTCAGGTATTCAGGCCACCAACAGTAGTGTCTACATGTAAACACTCAACTATGCTCCTAATGGTTTGTAGGAAGGAGGAGGTCCCTATTTTCATATTTTATGTATAGAGTTTGGAATGCGTGAACCCTCCGCTACTTACGGAGTATACCTCTGCTTTGGCCTGCCAAAATTACTGTTCCCCATTAGAACGATCAGTGCAGATGGCCAGTGTTGGAGATACGAAAATTGGACTACTCCGTATTAGATATTCGATCTACTACTATGTATCTATGTATTGCCCTGAATCGCCCACATTAAATTACTAGTATCTAAGTGTTAACTGGTAGAAACGGAAGCGCGGTAATCGCGGGGAAATGACATCAGCGCTCTTGTTTGTTTCCTTTTGTTCCCCCCCAAACTTGAACGTGAACTTCCCACATCGCCAAGACAATTTGTATGTTCTGCGTACTAGTATTGTGAGGGTTCATATCTGTGTTTGCTGATCTCACCCCTACTGTCCATTCTAGAAACAACCCCTCATTTTACTTGCCAGCCACCTCTGTGACCATGGTCGGCTCCAACATCGCTCCACGTCAGGCAACAAGCTCTTTAATATGTCCCCACGAAGTACGTGATCGAAATCTTCACTGATTATTCCAAGGAACGAGATACTCATATTCCCACTCGCAGGGCGAAGGACTACTACTATCGTCCCGATTCAACAAGGGAACTGCATTTTCCGAGGAAGAACGGACTACGTTCAAGCTGCATGGACTACTCCCGCCAAACCACCAGTCTTTAGACGAACAGGTCAAACGTGCCTATCAGCAATACAGCAGTCGGCAAGACGATCTGGCCAAAAATACATTTCTGGCTAGTATGAAAGCGCAGAATGAAGTTCTGTACTACCGGGTATGTGATCATTCATTCCATCGCTGTAATTCAATCCGGCAACTTTCCGCTGACAAAGATTTCAGCTTCTACAAACCCACCTCAAGGAGATGTTTAATATTATCTATACACCGACTGAAGGCGATGCGATCCAGAATTATTCCCGGTTGTTCCGAAAACCAGAAGGATGTTTCCTCAACATCAAAGACCAAGGCATGATCGAACAGTCACTCGCCAATTTCGGGAATGAGGAGGATATCGACTATATTGTTGTCAGCGATGGAGAAGAGGTATGTTACAAAGCACCTAACTCTGCTCCTTCTCAGGCTAAAGGCTGGGTAGATTCTTGGCATCGGCGATCAGGGTGTAGGCGCCATACTCATCTCAGTTGCCAAGCTTGTGATCACGACTCTATGTGCCGGTATCAACCCTGCCCGACAACTCCCAGTGGTGCTGGATTGCGGAACAGATGTATGTACTGGTACTTTTGGGGCTTTTTGCCATAAGATTGACGCAGCTAACGTCGTATTTAGAATGAGGAGCTCTTGAATGACGAGCTGTATCTAGGGTTACGACAGCATCGGGCAAGAGGCGAGGAATATGACGATTTTGTGGAAAGATTTGTGAAAAGTGCTCGCAAGCGTTTCCCAAAGGCCTATATCCATTTGTGAGTCGCGAAATGCACCCCTTCAGATCCAAAGCTAATAGGTATATGTAGCGAGGACTTTGGTCTCCACAACGCCCGTCGCATCCTGGACAGGTATCAATCTCAGATTCCCTGCTTCAATGATGATATCCAGGGCACTGGATGCGTCACTCTCGCTGCCATGATGGCGGCTCTGCATGTCAGCCAAGTTAAGATGGAGGATGTCCGCGTGGTGATCTTTGGCTCCGGTACGGCTGGCACAGGCATCGCAGATCAAATCGCCGATACAATTGCGACGGAGACAGGGAAGCCGAAACCCGAGGCATCAAAGCAAATTTGGTATGTTTTCACCGCCACATGACCTAGTCAGTCCGGCCGGAGCTTGTCGTCTGATAATTGTGAATAGGTGCATCGATAAACCAGGTCTTCTCTTGAAGTCTCAAGGCAATGATCTAACCCCGGCCCAGGTTCCATTTGCGCGGGAAGATCCCACCTGGCAAAGCGGCCAGCAATATGATCTTCTTTCCGTGATTCAGCAAGTCAAGCCACATGTTCTTATCGGTACATCGACGAAACCCAAAGCCTTCACAGAAGAAATAATCCGAGAAATGGCAAGCCATGTGGACAGACCTATTGTGTTCCCACTCAGCAATCCAACACGTCTCCATGAAGCGCAACCTCAGGATCTCTACGAGTGGACTGACGGCAAGGCCCTTGTCGCAACAGGCAGTCCCTTCCCACCTGTTAAGTATGGAGGCGTTGAATATGACATCGGTGAGTTTGGGTCCAGTTCAAATCGAATCTTAAAGCTTTCACTAAGTCTATGGCAGCGGAATGCAATAATTCCACCTGCTTCCCAGGAATCGGTCTCGGGGCAATCCTCTCACGAAGCCGCCTTCTATCAAAGAAGATGCTCGTGGCAGCCGTGGAGGCCCTCAAGGCCCAATCACCCGCCTTACAAGATCCCGACAAGCCTCTACTACCTGATGTTGAGGATGTTCGAGAGATTAGCGTTGATATAGCAGCTGGTGTGATCAAGTGTGCCGTGGCAGAGGGACTTGCCCAGCAAGAGGACATTCCCTCTGAGGATTCCGAGCTCAAGGTATGGATTCGTGAGCGGATGTGGGAGGCTGTTTATCAGCCTCTAGTCAAAGCATAGGCCTGCACAAGTGTCAGAAAGTCTCCCTCTCCCTTTGAAGTTTGTGCTTGAGCGATGTGAACACGATATCCTTCTAGTTGATGATCTCGGAGTTTATTAAATTTGAATTCATTCAAGTTGTTATCCTAACAGTCAGTCTTAATTAATCCGAACCCCTAAAGATGAAATATAACTCTGTACAAGAAAAGAAACCGCGCGCTGACGATTGCCGGGAATCCAGTTCGCAGGGTGAAACTGGACTGAAGTATCAATGAACTTGGAGTGACGCAGATGCAATATGTTACACGCTTCCCAATGCGGATAACAGCTGAAGTGAGATGAAGCCTTGGGGACCTCGCAAGTCCTTGCATTTCTATAAAAATAAGGTGGCGGTGCAAGGGGGTGCGAGATCACGGAACCCATAGCCGCATGAATCCACCAACCTCTTGACGGCAAGTCACGCAGCTACCGAAGTTGTTCATGGCTAGACTAACGCGGCAGTCTTCGCAAATGCAGAGACAGCGGCAGGGCCAGGTGATGATCGATCGAGGGCTTGTTTGGCAGACAACACAAGGAGGGCCGTTTTCGCCTAAGCCCATCGCACCAGACTTCCAGGTATTGGGATCATCACTGGCAGCTGATTCAGACCGACGGGAAAGGATCAATTTTTCAAGTACTTCGGATTCTTCTTCTGCGGTTGGTTTTCGCTTTTCGGGTGAAGACTGAGAATCCACATGCAAGCGAGAGGAAAGCAAAACACGGGATCTTTCTCTTTCCACTTGTTGGCGATACTGGCTGCGAGTCATAATACCACTGGAAGCCTGGGCTGGGCGAAGATGCGCTGCGAGAATTCGAGCTTCCTCCCTACTTTCACCATCCTGGGGATCAAGGAGGCGAGCAAGATGACCCATGTCTAGAATGGGATCCTGAAGTGGGGTACCTTCCCTCGAAAACGAGGGGAAGGGCCGTTTCTGAGTTGGAGTACGACGTCCATCTTCATCCTCATCCTCCCAGTCATTCTCTGAAGCGTTGGTAGACATGGATATCACGCTGGTAGTGTCATCGTCATCAGCCACGGAAGGATCATAATCCGATGTGTGATCTTGGTTGCCCCATGAGCCACCACGTTTCCACCAGTCATATAATTTATCATCCATTCTCGTCTCATCGTTGCGTTCCCAATCCGAGTTGCTAGGGCGCACTCGCTTTCGCATTTCCAGCTCAACATCATACTCTCGGTTATCAGGAAGCTCAAGCTCCCCTTTTTCGGAGAGAATCCAAAAATCCAGACCCGGTGGGGTGTCACTGCGAGGGCCTTTTTTATCTTGCTGATTCCGAGAAAAGCGTTTAAGCCATTGGGGGCGAGCACGGATTCCCAGTCGGTCAAGGGCGCGATTAGCACCGTATGCGATCCACCGTACTATAAGCCAGAAGATGGAGCGGAAAAAGGACATGACGTGCCAAAGACGGAGTGATGCTTGCACAGCACCAACACCTCCTATCTCAGCATGAGGGCGCATCTGTCTCGTACCGTTCTTTGGTTTCTCCGGTTTCTTTTCATGCTTGTATCCGCTTTCCCATGACGTGGACTGCATAGGTAAGTCGAACCCTGAGTATCCTACCGCGTCGAAAGGAGAACCTCGAGATTGTCTGGACCAATTTCCGTCGTGGGAATTCCGTTGGCGAGAGGCTTCGATCTCGGCCAGTCGGTCTTTCTCGAGCCAGGTCATTTTCCTGGCAACAACAGCTGTGCCTTCATTCAAGAAAACAGCCTCGCTGGCGGCCGTTAAAGCAATGTAGCCAATCCGAAGCAAAGTTGTATAAAAGTCTTCGTGTCTATTTATACGAATGCTACGGATCTGGTTGGCGCCTTGCATATTCTCATGGGCTAGGGCGAATCGCTGTCGGATGGAGATAGATCGACCCTCTTCGACTGGTAAAGAGAAGGCTGTTATGGTCAAAGCAAGCCCGTATATGGCTAAGCAAACGGTGATACCTAGCAAGACAAGTAGGTGTGGGATGAAGCCGACAATGCAGACAGTAGGGAACCTGAGAACACCGGGCTCGATGCTCACCGGACCATTCTCCAGACCCCATGACATGGCGCCCATGAAACAGAGGCCCCAAAGGGCGGTGTTAAAGAGACGATATCGGCTTTGCTTGCCAAGTACGTCAAGAATATGGGAACTCAAGCTGTTGGAGCAAGATATCAGGGCAATCAGTAGTAACTCAGGAGTCACGTTCATTCGGTCAAGGACCTGCGCTCTCGTTAGGAGTCGTAGCGGAGAAACGGGACCATCGTCAGTGCCATCCGAGGTAAGAGGGCTTTGTTTTGGAAGACCAAATAGCCCAAGTCCGATCGACTTGCTGATCATCGACTCGGCCTCCGCAAAGGCAAGCGAGTGCTCAAATATCGACATTCCAGTTTCGGTCATCACAGGTTTGCCCTGCAATGCACATGAAAGAGTTTCCGTGAAGTGGCTAAAGCAGAGTAGTAAGAAAGTAGGCCACAGCAAATTAAATGATCCGAAGGGAATGTCCGGCGTGCCGGGTATCCGTGCCATATTCAGGGCACTGCAGGCCTGCTCGTCGGTTTCCCACGATAGCATATTCGAAGACAGCCAGTGGAGGGTGCCTCCACCAGATGCGTAGTCGAAACTCAATGGTGTTGTAGGTCGACCATATCGCATTGTAGGATAGGATGGAGCGGTCTGGCAACGGATTCCCCGCAACAGAGACAATATCTGTGACCCGAGGAAAAGTATGGGTATTAAGCGCAAAGCCAGGCGCCTTTCCCAGCCAAGTCGAAGATGGCGACGAGTCGAGGCGTAGATCGTGATCCGGTTGAGGACCAGGGCCTAAACAAGTACATGTATCAGCGATGCTTCCACAGAAAGTCGGACCGGACAGTATTTACCTCCACCAAACAAGCAAACGACCACACGCTGGTCAGGTACCCAAAAAAGCCTCCAATCCTCTTCGCAGCCATCAAGAACTCGCCCAAGTACCAGTTATCACCAAAAGCCGCAGCACCACCGCCACCTGCCAGATCCGCTGCCGCCTGCGCTGCGTCGCCCGCATCGCCCGCTGCCGCGGCAGCTCCGCCCCAGAAGTTCATTTCGATGTTCGAGATCCCCGCGATCCGAAGAAGGTGTCTCGGGACGGTGCTAAACGCGAAAGTTTCGGCCTGGTTGAGGACGCGCAGGGGGAAGGTAATCAGAGCGAGCGGGGATGTGGGGAGGAACGAGCTTCCGGATGTCGCGGAGGCGGTCGCGTTCAGAGCCTGGACGAGGGAGGCATCGGTGGTGCTTGGCACCACTGCTGGGCCAAGAACACTAGACATGATGTTTTGTTGTCGACGGTGTTCCTCTATCAGTCGCTATCAACGATCCGGGGAGTCGGGGACGGAATGGAATGGGGCAGCCCCCACGCCACGTTCGATTTCGGCAGACGAGGAGTTTGGGGGTGAACAAGTGAGGATTTATATTATGAAAAGGTCGACTGAGGGGTCATAGAGAGCCCTGCTCTTGCAAAGTTCATGCCGTGAAGGAGTCCAGAGTAGTACATTGTATAGGGATGGCCCTGGTTGATGGCTGGACCCGCCTTCCGGATGTGTATGTAAGCAATGCCGAGGTCCGGAATGCCTTTAATTGCCAATATATTGAAATCTAGTACTCTTGATAATGACAATGGAGAATTGTATTGCAAAGAGATCATTAAACTTCGCACTAAGTGATGAAAGACTGGGTAAAACATCTATCAATTGATCTGTTGCTCTGAAACGCCAAATCAGCATTGGATGCCGAGGTGGGCCGAAGATCTCGTGCGCATTTACTACGAGAGAATGTAATAACTATAGAAAAACCAACTACTCGTACTAGTTCATGTCTCCTCTACAAATCCCAAAAATTGCTCGAAGCCCAGGTACTTGGGCCCACAGCACCGGGGACACAAAATATGCGGAGCATTTCTTTAATTTGCCATCCATTTTAGACAATTCCGACCATTGAGATATTAGATCGAATGTTTTGATGCTTGAATGGCATTGCATCTACTTGATACCAATCAAGCGTTGCACGGGGAGAGTGAAAGAGAAAGAAAAAAAAGCAATGACCGATCTAATATTTTTCGGCAGCTGTATGGATCAATAAATGACGATGCGAAGCGGTAGAGTATTTCACACAAAAAAACGCCCTAGTCCAGTACCTTTCTGGAAATGGAAAAAACCGTAACTCCTCATAATCAACTGTCGTGGTAGGACATTTTTCGTGTGTCGTATAGACCTCTGTGGTCCGTTTTTGATTTAAGAGCAAAGGTGCCAGTCGTTGTAGCTCGGTTCCTTCAGACCCCATGCTTCAGATCAATCAAGTGTCCAGGTAATCAGCAGCCATCAAAAGCTCCAGACATAGCTCGGGAGGAATATCCATATCCGACACATTGGCCTGATCCTTGTGTTTTTCGTTGAAGAGAAGATATTCGCAGACCTTCTCCAAGACAATACCACTAAAAAGGGCCGAAGGTCAGAATTCGCGGTGGGCCGGATTAAAAGACGCAGCACAGCCACAACAACGAGGGGATATTTCGGGAGACACATACGTCAAGGTTTCGAGAGTACATCTTCCGGTTATGGCTTCGGAAAATTTGCCTGTAATTCAAGGTGAATTCATTAGCAATAGCTTTGAGAGCACGAGTTAGAAAACCGAAAATTGATCCACCTACTGGATGGGTCAAGCATGCGGCGGATAGTGCCCGATACGCATGCCGCACTGCGCGGAATTATGAACTCAAAGCCATCGCAGGACACAAGAGTCACATATTCGGAGATGGTGGATGCCATACTGGTACGAGTCGAGGCATGCAGGTCGCGAAGGCGGCGGTCCTCGACCGGTTTGTAGACATGGCGACTGGGTGGTCCGTGCCACATTGTTATCGATAAGGCGAGGCACGTCGAGGAAGAGAAGTTGGATGCCTCAGGTCGTGTCACTTGAATGTTTGTTCACCTATGAGATGAGTTGGTGAGACTTTTCTTTGATTAGAGGAAATTGAGAAGTGAAAGGTCCACAGCCATGACCCCTTCACTGGTTTCCCCAGCACGGGCGTGCGCACTTTCCCCCATCTTTGCCCACTCTATGAATGACATCAGAAGAGGATGTCTTTCAATCACCCGGACAAGAACAAAAGATTGCCGCTTTTTCTCGTCGTCTCGCCCTGTTCAAACATCAGCAGCAACACGATTTCAGCCTGCGAACCGGTTGACTGGTCGCACATGTATGGTCACCGGTGGATCATCCGGGATTGGCTACGCCATCGCAGAGCGGTTTCTACAAGAAGGCGCATCATCTATCATTCTCGTCGGCCGATCACAGAAACGTTTACAGGATGCGGCCGATAATCTCAATGCCTCTACGGGTATCTCCACTGGTGCTACCATCACTACAGGGGAGCTCAATGTTGGAAAGGATGCACCGAGTCGGATTCGTCTCCTTGTTGGTGATATCGGAGAAGCAGCCTCGTGGATGCGTGAGCTGGAGAAGGAAATGGTAATCACCACCCTTTGCGCGGTACCATTGCCTCAATTCTGTTAAGCATAGTTTACTGACTACGGTACAGGCCACAGTAGATATCCTCGTCAACGCCGCAGGGATCTCCATTTCAAGTATTCTCCCCAGATCCGAACTGGCAGACATCTCCCAGATTCTACGCACAAACCTCGAAGGCGCAGTGCTCACTTCCCGCGCTCTAATCCGTGCTGCGATTCGCAGCCGGGTCCGAACCCGCAAGAATGATGCCACGGGGGCAAACCCCCCTCTCAAAGTGTATAATCAACGTTTCCTCATTACTGGCATTGAAGGCTGGTACCGGTGCTGTGCCGTACGCTGCATCCAAGGCCGGCGTGCTAGGCTTGACTCGCTCTGTGGCCGTGGAGGCGGCAGCCTCGCTGAAGGATTTGGCCATTCGGTCAAACGCCATTGTGCCAGGATACATCGAGACGCCCATGATTGCAGGTGATAACTCTCTATCAATCCCTCAGAGAAACGAATCGTACTGACGAGAGGCTGCAGACTTTACACCTGGCGAAATTACCCGCTTAAAGGACACGATACCCCTACATCGATTCGGAGATCCACGAGAGGTGGCAGATGCGGCGGTCTTCCTTGCACAGAATGAGTATGCCAATAACTGCGTGCTCAACATCGATGGCGGTCTCAGTGCTGTCTAGGTGGGGACATTAGAAAAGAGCCGTAGATAACCACATCTTCGATCATGAGTTGGACGTCTTTGTAATTTGAAAAGGCTAATAATGCAATGCCATATGATACAAGTAAAGAATGATCTAGAAGATCGTGTATCAAGTCGTATGCTGCTGTCTTTTAGCTATCCCGTCAAGGTGCATGGCCGCTCTAGTCGATCAAGATGGCACCCCCATCCTTCCCATTCTCTTCATCTAAAACAATCACATCTTCACCATCACCATTTGCCTGGTCAGCAGCAACCTTCTTTGCAACGTGGCCATTGGTCATTTCTTCATCTTCTCCGTCTCTTTTGCGTTTTCCTGGCCCGCTCATGCCATTCGTTATTGAATTATCTTCAGACGATGTGATCGTGGATTTCTTGGCTTTCCGGGGAATTTCTAGCCCTTGCTGTAAGGTGACTGGCTTCGTTTCTTCAGACGAAGCCTCCGCTCTGTAAATGAAAGTTAGAAAACCGCTGATCTGTATTGCAATCCCGGGAGTCAAGTCACCTTTCAACAAAAAAGAGTTCTAAATTGACACGTGGAACTTGAGCCACATCATCTTCGTCCACAACCGTGATGTAATCAAGGTTGTTGGTGATATCCCGTAACCTCGCGGGGAGGTTATCTTCGAGATCAGGGTCGTAAACCAGGTTTCCTCCGTGGTTCAGGATCGAAAATTCTTCACCGTAATCAAGTTCGGAGCGCAGCACGTTGACCAGGTCATGAAGTGTAGCACGCTCAGCATCGACGGACACACTGCCATGCACAGCAGAACATACTGAGCAACTGGGCTTGGGAGGATCAAGAGAATCGGAATTAATTGCTCTTGCACCTGATCTTTCGAGGAAAACCTTTACATATCAAAGTTAGTTGCTGTAAGGAAGAAGGGCATCGGAAGTTGGTGCTTGAAATTACCATTTTGGCCTGGTCTAGCTCGTGCTGTAGAACTTTGAAAGCCTGTAGAACACAAAGGCCTGCTGTCATGGCATTTGTAGTCGCAATTGCAGGAATGATGTTGCCAGCCATTTCTGGAATTATATTAGTGTTACTGCCACCCGGCTGCTTTAGAGCATGTTTGCTTGTATGAGCTTACGTTTAATATCAAACTTAGTTTTTCTCTCGATGTGAAAAGCCGTGGATCGTAGATTTGCTGCGGCAGTGACGAAATCCAATGTGTCCTCATCATCCTTGTCAAATGACAAGATGGGCTTTTTGGAGCCAGTCCAGTCAGACTGGAGCTCATTCAGACGCTTGGTCAAGCGGTCCATGCTAGCTTCTGGTCAGTGAAAGATCTTCTCAGGGGAGGCGGGGGCCTATTGGCCTTACCTGTCCTTGAAAACGGCGAAATTTTCCTCAATCGACCATTCTTTCCGGCTCAATTCTGAGACTGTTGGTTCGATTTGTGCTGAGTCGCTCTCTAGTTTGTCATAGTCGAGAACATCTGGTGGCTGACGCTCTTTCCACATATCCTCCATCCCGCGCAACCGCTCGATGTCAATTTTGAATACCTTTTCAAAAACCTTGCGGCAGAAATTGTCGGATCCCATAGACTCAAGAATCTCCTTGAGCTCCAATGCTTCCTTCTTCAGCGTCGCTATTTCATCAGCTGCTTCGACATTAGCAATCAAACCACAAATTGTGGACATTTCCAGCCAAACTAACCGTTCCCCGCGTCTTCTGTGCTATCAATGACATCGGAGTCTTCCCCCTCGCTTTCGCCGAACAATTCACTAGAGTATTCTCAGCCAAGTATCGAGAGCAATAGGGACGTGGGATCTTACGGCATCAACCAACTCTTGGCCCAAGCGATGCAGTGTATTGGTTGAGACGGGTTGCTGCGGATTGTGCATAAGGGAAATGTTGTGGGAGTTGCCTTCTCGTTGCAGTCATAACATTCCGTTTTCCCCTTTGCAAGTCAGCGATTACCAACAAAAGCTCGGTTAGACTGAGATGTTCTGCAAATTCATCTTACCTTCTTAATCACTTGTACCTGACCGTTGAAACCCGTAGTTCCACTTTCAATCAGCGGAACACCCGCCGCAAGGCACATGTGATTCACATGTCGTCTCGCAGCAAGGTTATCCAGCGCATTGAAGACGATATTGAAACCCTTGAACCAGTCGATGTTGAATTGTCTATCCATGATATTCGCGTGGTATGCTTCGAGCTTCGCATTGGGCTGAAACTTTTGCGCAACTTCCTTCGCTACCTGCATTCCATAGTGTAAATATCAGCGTATGCTCGTCTCGGCAAGAAAAGGTTTGCGCGTACGGCGCGGGGGAAGGGGAGCGGTCTCGCAAGGGAGCGAAAGGGTGTCTGAGGGATAGGGTGACGGACCGAGGCCTTGGGTTTCTTGATGTGCTCATGGCGAAAGAGAAATTGGCGATTGAGGTTACTTAGGTCGATTGTATCAAGGTCGATGATGTGAATGTCTCCAAAGCCGGTGAGCACGAGGTTTTTTAGGAGCTCACAGCCGATGCCGCCAGCGCCGACGAGGAGAACGCGAGACTAGAATGAAAGAAAATATCAGTATCCGAGACTATCAAGATCGCTTGGGATCTCCGACAGGTGGTCCCTGATCGAATTGGGGTAGGTACCTCTTGAATCTGGTCGGCGAGCTCCACTCCGAGAGAGCGTTTAATTGAACTTGGCCGCATGATGGCGGATGCTGATGCGCCAGCGATATGCGCAGGGTAGTGCAATCGAGCGAGGTGGATGTGAAGAGATGAAAGGTGAGGGTTGGAGCAGTCGATAACAGGAGGAAAGGGTGGAGGAGAAAATGGAGTAAGAGAAAGAGAGAGAAGCGGAAGCGCAGGCCGGGCCCGGAGTGAAGGTTGTCGATGACGGCAAAGCTGGGCGGAGCGGAGCCTCGAGCTGCGATTTGCGATGGCAGGTGCGACTGCCAACAGAGTACTTACTCATTTAAATACTCACTACTCTCACTACTCAGTATTTGACTCTATTTCCAATACCTCTACTACTTTTAAGTCCATCCCATCTATAGTATACCTCCACTTCTTACTATCACTCTTACTATCACTCTCATTGTATGTTTGCTACTCTTTCCCTGTTCGCCCTGCGCGATTGCCTATGCATTCCATGCAGCCCGCTTCCGGCCGACATCGCCTTGCATCTCTCATACCACTTCAATCGCCAATGGCTCCAGGGGTAGAACTACCCCTTGGATCGCTCTCTTGAAGCTCTTCAAGTTTGCTTAACCCATTCTTTCCATTGGAACTTATATTCCATCGCTGGCGTTCTATCGAAGGTTTGACACCCCTGATCAAACAGCTAAACACGTTTAGGTCATTATGATTGTCACTTGTGCCAGTGGAGTACATTCAACTTGCTCAACATATTCCTGCATTTAACAATCGGATGGTCTACAACAAAACAAGATAACTTGAACATTGCTCCATTCCTTATGCCCCAGGTTTTCTCGTTCCCATCGCTGTTCAATGATCGATGAGTGTTTACAAGCGGACTATCGATAACCCAGACCCTACCAGGACTCTCATTCATCTCCAATCATGGGCATATATAGATTGATTGGTACTAGTATTAGCCTGTCATTATTTTAATGCTTTCGGACTGTCAAGCTCCAAGTACCAAATATCCCGTATAGATTCGCGGTCGGCCTCAAAGACAATCCCGAGCCAAGCTTCCCTGGGGGGTCGGTGCTGGGAGTTAAGGTAGAGTTCCCGGAGCCAGATCTCTTATCTCCCCCGAAAAAAGGCCTTGCGATTATAATGGCCCAATGATGGTCTTCTCGACCGCATGAGCTATCTGTTTCTAGTAAGTCATCTTCCCACCTGGAAGCAGCAAGTCCAAGCGTGATAGCCAAAGTCAACTCCGCTCAGGCGCGGAGAAGCCGATGCGGGGAAATCAGTTCAATCAGCTATCCCATTGCTTGTCTTTTGCCGATAGCGTCACAGGCGATAGAGATGTTCAATTCAAAGAGGGACTCCTGAGAGTCTAATCGCCGATCGCATGGGAAATAAATATGATCTTGTTTAAAAGGCCCCAGGCCCCGTTCATCATCCTATCTCGACATATTCCCTTATTCCATGTCTATTGCAATTTCCAACCATCACTATGGACCTGGAAACAAATCCTCCCCTGAAACCCTGCGATTCAATTGATCAAGCCGCTCTCGATGCGCACGATCTGGCTACTTTGGGACATGACCAGGTTTTGTCTCGGAAGTTCAGCTTAGGCAGTATGCTTGCGCTCGGATTTTGCGTTCTGGGCACTTGGGGCACTTTCGCTCAAGATCTTGCTACGGGCTTGGAGAGTGGAGGTCCTGTGGGCATTCTGTGGGGACTTGTTCTTGTCACTATTTGCAATCTATGTGTTGCATTATCACTCGGGGAACTGTGCAGTAGCATGCCAACTGCATTGGGACAGGCATACTGGGTTTATAGACTTTGGAACACCCCGACAGGTCGTTTTGCCTCATATATGTGTGCTTGGATCAATACCTTTGGGTGGTGGACGCTGACAGCTTCGGCGGTTGCATTCATGACGAATTTCCTGCTGGGGACGAAGGTCATGTTTGATAACTCCTGGGCTGGCGCATCTGAGGGTTGGGTTCAATTTATCCTCTACGTTGGCGTTACTGCCATGCTCATTGTGGCCAATTTGGTCTCTTGTCGGAGCGACAAGACGCTACCAATTTTCAACAACATTATTGGTATTTGGTTTGCTGGGCTGTTCATCGTAATGAGCATCGTGATGGTGGTCTGCGTGGCGACCCAAGCAGATCTATCCTTTCAGCCTGCTCGGTTCGTGTTTAGCGGATGGATTAATCAGACAGGCTGGAGCGACGGAGTCACATGGTTTATCGGTCTTGTCCAAGCTGCATACGGATTGACAGCTTTCGATTCCGTGATTCACCTTGCAGAGGAGATCCCCGCACCTCGAAAGAATGTTCCAAAAACGATATATCTATCGGTTATTTCGGGTGCCATCACGGGTTTTATCTTCATGGTCATCTGTCTCTACTGCATTCAAGATTTGGATCAGGTTTTGGATTCGCCTACTGGACTTCCATTCATGGAGCTAATCACAAGCACAGTCGGACTCAAAGGTGGTCTTGTGCTGATGGTCTTATTCATTGGTAATGGCCTTGGACAAGCAGTCAGCATTATGACCACCTCCTCTCGACTCACTTGGGGGTTTGCCCGGGATGGCGGGCTACCCTGGAGCCAATACTTTACCCATGTTGATACAACATGGAAGATGCCAGTTCGAGCCCTTTGGCTCCAGGGGCTTCTGATTGCACTGGTAGGAGTCCTATATTTCGGCGTAGACACGGTGCTCCAGGCCATTCTAAGTGTCAGCACGATCGCACTCACAATCTCATACTGCATTCCTATTCTATCTTTGCTGCTCGTGGGCCGTGACAAACTACCTCCCGGGGAATTTCGATTGGGGGGGGGTTGGGACCGATAATCAACTGGATCAGCGTAGTATACTGCGTGGTTACCACGGTGTTTTTCTTCTTCCCCGACAGCCCTACTCCTTCGGCAAGCGACATGAATTATGCAATCGCAGTTTTTGGGGTTATGATCATCATTGCGGTGGGATTTTGGATCTTCAAGGGTCATCGGACTTACTTGAAATCAGAAGATTCTTTGAACGCTGTCATCAACGCGCGCTGTGAGGAGGAGACTATTGAGCCGGTGTATGAACAGAAGAAGGGTTCAAGTTGATTCATTATCTGACTTGGTAATAAGGATCTAGGTAACTTGTGCAACCATTGATACTTGCCAACCATTTTCGTTTGTCCACCTACTAGTACGAGGGGCACATGAGCAATCAATCCTAACCTGCCAGTGTTCAATATTCATCAACACCCTAGTGTGCTGCTAGTACTACTAGTATTAGTAGTACCCGACTTCAAGTTGAACTTAGTTATATCATACTACCTACTAGTCAGTACTAGTACTACGCGTCGGATCCATGGATGAACCTTGGATGTGAAATCAGACCCTCACCGGCCCGGGAACTTGAATATACATTCAGGCTACTAGCTGGAGCCCTGGAGTGTATTATTTTTGTGCCCCACTGTCACCAAGCTCCCCAAAAGATCCTTCGCATACATGAAAACAAGTACGAAAGAGAGTTTGAACAATCGCCATCTATATATCCTTCATAAATAGTCTGTTGTGATTTAATATATTGCCCCCTGAATCAGTCTGGTCCTGCTTACATAAGACATGTTGGACCTGAATTTTCTCCGTGGCGACAAGAAAGGACAGAATCAACAAGCAATTGTACATAATCTGTTGGCCTGACGATTATTACCTCATCGGAGCCATTGTTCCTGTCAAAGACAACTTCGATTCAGTCTTCTAACCCGATCTTGAAGCTTATTGAACGGTCGGTTGTCCAACTCTCCTGTCCCACAGAGGTGGCCAAATATCCAGTCACCTACGATTATCAACACAAAATGCCATCCCTGGAGCCAATTCCCGCCAGGAACCCCAATCTACCGGATGGAGGCTCCGACGACGAGGCCGACCCAGAACTAGTGGAGCTCCTCCGGCAGCACCTCGGACTGGGCGGCAAACAGAATAATGATCTTCCTCCAGAGACTAGAGTCCTGGAGAGCGCTCAGTACATTTTTGACAATGCTATCGATGTGGCCCTGAGCCCGGCACAAACCAAAGAAGCCGCCGAAACCATATGGCGAATGATGCAGAAGAAGGCCTATTCGACAAAGACCTGGTCGGAGCATGAGCTGCACCCCAAAACTAAAGACGAAAGCACCGTTGATTTTATTTTCACCATGGACCTTTTAAACTTTAGCTTCTGGTCCGAGGAGAAGGACGAAGCCAAGCGTTTCTGCATTGAATATCGCGGCAAGAGGTGGACAGGCTACTGGAGTTTGGTTGCTGCCTTGCAACGAGCTCTTGATGAGAAAATCCCCATTACAACTCCGGACTTCTGGATTGACGAGGAGGAATGCACAGATGAGGTCCTGAGACATGTGTTTCGATCCGCCACTGATGAGGAGATCCCCCTGTTCCAAGAGCGAGTGCAATGCCTGCGAGAAGCAGGTGAAGTTCTCTGCAATGTGAGTTATATGACGGACCCCGATACTTGCCTACTCCGGTGCTAATGGAATCATGATTAGGAATTTGGCGGAAGCTTCGTCAATTGCATCGATGACGCAAATTTCTCCGCAGCAGGTCTTGTAAACTTGCTCACCGAGAACTTCGCCTGTTTCCGCGACGAGACAAGGTTCAATGGCAAACGAGTTCGGCTTTACAAGCGTGCTCAGATTCTCGTCGCAGATCTGTGGGCCTGCTTTGACGGCGAGGATTTTGGAGAATTCAACGATATCGATAAGATCACTATGTTTGCGGGTGCGTACTACCTTTATTCTTAACCAACTCAATTTCCAACACAGCTCTTCTGACCTTGTTTTGAAGATTATCGCATCCCGCAAATGCTCCACCAACTGGGTTGTCTTCGACTATCCCCGCCGCTGGAAAATACCATTCGAGACCGGAAACTGATCCCAGCGGGCTCAAACTGGGAAGTTGAACTCCGCGGCGCGAGCATCTGGTGCGTGGAGCTTATCAAACGGGAGATCGAGAAACGCCACCCAGAAGTGAAGAATGCCGGACACAAAGGCATCTTTACCCCGTCTGAGGAAAATACTCCCCAGGACTCGGAGACCGAGGCTGAAGTCGAGAAAGTCAAGGCTGAGAAGCCACCGAAGACATACGGAATCAACGCTATTCTGATTGATTTCTTTTTGTATGATACCATGAAGAACTTGGAAGAGGAACACAACGAGAGTATTCCTCACCATCGGACTCGCAGCATTTGGTACTAGTGTTTTTGGGATTGCTTGGTTTTTCAAGAGGTTCAATCTGCACTTTCATGTGGCCATTGGATGGCTCTGGAAGCCTACGGCCCGGTGGTGAAAAGGCATATAGATTCATTGATAGGGACGGAGGGATGTTAGACATTTATTCTTTCGCGATAGGGGAAAATTTACTACAATATGGTGTATGGCGCAAAGGCTGAGCTTATTTGATTGTTTTATTACTGGAGATAAAACCAAGCATTTCATGTTTCATGTAAAGGGTATCAATTCTTCCTAGCGCCAAGTATGCTAACCAAATAAAGTTCCCAGATCCCCGTAAAAATTAAGCAGCTGCTTGTCCAATGCGAGACATGATTTCCGCTTTCCATTCCACAAAGTCTTCCTGGCGATCCTCACTCAACCAATCCACCCGATCCTGCATCATAGTGCCCAGGCCAGGCAAAAGGCCACCTCGAGAAGCACTTCCTGACCCTGAACGAGGACCGGCAGCGTCTTCACGGCGCTTGGGCAATTTCACGCCTCGAAGAGCCGCGTCCTCCTCATCAAGATTCCGGTAAGAATTACCTTCCTCGTCTTCGCCATCCAACTCCCCAGCATGTGGGATATTGTCGAACCATTCTTGCCCGTTCGCCCACCCTTGTTCCATGATAAGCGCAATCCATTGGTCAACATCATCGCGATGCCGCCGGTCATTCGGAAGACCCAAGCTAGTCAAAGCGGTTTGGCGCATCTCAGTGAACGTCTTTTTATCCATCTTCTGCGCATCGGCATTCGCCTCGTCGGTTTCATCAGAGGGTGCCGAGCTACGCCGTCTTGCTAGCACGAGGAAGTAAACAGCAACAGCCATAGCGTAGACCAATTCCTTGAAGTCGTCGTCATTTCCGACGGGGTTGATAGAGACGATGGGCTCGAGGAAATCTAGAATCTCCTCGTCGAATCCCTCTTCGTCGATTGACATGCTTGATGTCAGGAAGAGGATGGATGAAACACCAGCAAAGATGTGCGGAGGCAGGGTTCTAGAAATCGGCGGGCGAGACCAAGTCGTTGTTCGTGGGGCCGGGGTCGCGAGTGTCTTGCACACATTTCGGATGGCGGTCATCGCCCAGGCTGGAGCATCGGGAATAATTGTAGAGGCGGTGATGCCCCGTGGATGGGCGGCGAACGATTTGCGCGCTGACTTAGATGGTGAGCCCAGTTTGTTAGCTACACTAACGCTCCTTTTCAGTGGGGTGGACTTGGAGGGTGTATTTTGGAGACCGCGTTGTGTTGGCGCTACTTTCGTAGGGGATTGTGCAAGGGTAGATGCCTTGGTTGGGGTAGTTTTAGAAGCTCCTGATCGGGATGGAGAGCCAGCGACAGATCCACTTGCTGAGCGCTTCATTCCTGTTGAACTGGCCGAGAGAGACTTATCCAGATATGCATAAAGCTTCTTGTATACGCGCGGTGGGCATGGCGCATGGCCGAGTAACGGTGGAAGTGAAAGTGCGCGAGTCAACCTAGAGGTTATTCATCGAGATTAGCATTGTCTCTGGGATTGGAAAGGTGAAGTTGGTCATACCTCCTGCAAGCAATTTCGGCGCAAGCATAGGGACGGGCGATTTCTTCCTCCGGCTTCAAGCTGCTTGAGAAGCTCCGTGATTGAGCGACAAGATTCAAGGCCAAACTAAGGAGTTCTTGAGGTAGATCTGCTGCATGGGTTGGCACCAAAATCCCCAACGCTTGTTCTACTGGTCGGTTGTTCATTCTGGCGATGTGCTTTAGACCTTGACGGCCTGGCGGAAAGTAGGGGACTGGCGATGGGTAATGAGCGAAATGATATTTTTCGTAGATGGCTGGACAAGAGGCAGTTCTTGGGTCGTTATTGCAGCCAGCCAAAGGGTTCGAGTGTCTCACCCTGGAATTGAAGCTTCAATTGTTGTAAACAATCGAGGGTCTTCGACGAAAGCGCCGCATGCCATGACTAAGCGTCATATCGATAGGCGGGTCCAACTGTGCTGAGATCGGAGCATCGGCGCTTTTGACCTTGAATACCAATACTCTCACCACAAACATGTCTGTCACGGTACGTGGACACTCCATGACCAGAGAGGGCGCTTCCTTTCAATTTATAGAAAGGCGCAATACCATGTCAAAAGCTAACGCTACCTCGTATCTAGCTCCACACGACTCAAGGCGACCTCAAGGTCGAGCTATTCTGCGAAGCAGTCCCTCAAACCACCGAAAATTTCATCGCGCTGTGCGCATGCGGTGCATACAATGATATCCCCTTCCACCGAATTATGCCGGGCTTCATGATCCAGACCGGAGACATCTCCTTGGGTCCCGCAGCGAAGCCCTCCGCCTCCAGCAAGCCCGTGCTCGACTTCGAAATTCCCAAGGGCGGCACTTCCATATACCACCCCTCCGCATTGAATCAAGAAATAAACCTCCCTGCTCTCCGACACAATGCGCGTGGTGTTCTCTCAATGGCTTCTCGTCCAGTCAAGGACAAGACTGCACCGGGTTCTCAAAATGCGACGGGTCCGACTATCAACGGCAGTCAGTTCTTTATTACATTTGCTCCCGCACCGCATTTGGACGGCGCAAGCACGGTCTTTGGCAAAGTGTTGAATCTGAGTGCTCAGGATGAGGGTGGTGATGTTCTGTCCAAGTTGGAGAAGGCCAACGCCAAGGTGGATAAAAAGGGCAAGGTTTCGCAGCCCAAGGAGGGTGATACATTCGAAGCACTTCGCATTAACAACGTTACCATACATGCCAACCCATTTGCCAAGTGAGACACCATTTGTTTGATTAAACCTACACGGCTAGGTGAGTTGGACATCTGGTCTAGGAACTATACTTGGGCGGGTTACTATGCAGCCCCTTGCCCTCATGCCAGCTATCTTTCCGGAATCAAAGATCACACATCGGTACAACGACCCAGTCCTACATCATGCCGATGTAAATTTGGAATGCTGGCCCGCGAAGAGTTCCAGCATACGAGCAATGCGCTACCGCAAATTCCCAGGCCAGACCTTGTTCGACCTTGAAGAAAAGGGCATCGCGGGGAAATGAAGAGGAATCCACACAACGACTGGCTCGGATATATGAACTATGAGAGGGGGGGCTACAATTGAAACGCGAGGAGGGAATGGCAATCTGGAGAGATGCAACACTAAAGTGATCGATGAAATAGTGGAATAATCTATACGATACCCAATAAAATTTTGATTCAGAAAACACCCAAACACTTTTCAGTCATTCCCGTCCCCTCATCGCCGGATATCTAAAAGCCTGTACAGAAAAAGTATCGTCAAGACGCCATCATGCAAATAAACATAAAACAGATCGCATCGTCATGAAAATGGATATAAAAGAAAGTCACTGAACGTCATCGAGCAGGGCATGAATCATGACTTCTGCTCCTCCTTCTGCTCCTCCTGGGCATCGTCCTCATAGCCCTCAGTCTTCATGTCCTTGAGACCAAGATCATCCTCCTCCTCGTCAGTGCGCTTGTACTCCTCGGTGGTGATCTGGGGATCCGCAGCAGGCGCACACAGATCCTGGACGTAGCTGTTGGCCAGCGGATCGCTGAGAGTAATACTGAACTGGCCGCCAAACTTCTCGAAGTCACCGTTGATAGCGCATTCAAGACGCTCGAAGAAGCGATCCCACTTTGCCTTCTCGTTAGACTCGAGACTGTCACCACCGCCACCACCAATATCGAACAGGTGACCCTTCAGACTGTCGCGCACCTCGGTGAGCAAGCCCTCAAGGGTAGTGAAACGGCCACCAAGGGTACCGGCCTGGATCGAGATCTCAAGCTCGTCACTGTGCACGGCACAAGTGTCAGACTTGAGGATATCGCGGGAAAGATCAACCTGCTCCTTGACGATCAAGGTGATGCGCTTGCCGAGCTCGGGGACTTCTCCACCGGTCTTGACATCAGATGAGCGCAGTCCGCAGTGCTCGCAGACGTTGCTCCACAAGTAGACTTCCTTGAAGTAAGGAATGTTGACCTTCTTGATGAGCAGCTCGCATTGCTTGGTGCAGCCAGGGCACTCAGCAGGCAAACAGTATTCCTTGCCATCCACGATCTCCGAATCGGGGTCCTCCTCCGTTTGCGTAGCCTCGGGGTCAGCGGAGATTCCGAGCTCCTCGTTCTGCTCGTGGGTGCGGTAGTAGAGCTTGGTGCGGTACTTGTTGCCACGGTCCAGGGTGTTAGGGGCGATCCAAGAGTTTCCAGTGGGGTCGTCGAGGGAGATGGTGAAGGGGAAACCGGTGCCATCCAAGAAGCTCTTGAGGCGGTCGACCAGGGGCTGGAGGGCTTCATAGAGCTCGGGGGCTTGCTCCTTGCGAGCGGGCTGGTCGTTGGAAAGACCCTCGTGGACACGCTGGATTGCGCCCTCAACGTTGGTCAAGGTACCCTCACGGGGGGGCTTCAATTCCAAGAGTATCGATAGTCAAAATTCCTTGATCCGACTTGACCAATTGTCTTTGCATATCGTCTAGGCTTTCGACTTCGAGCGTATACTTTGCGCCTTGGGTTTGGACTAGAGTGAAAACATTGTCAGCATCTGCTTTGTCCAGGAAGGCCAGGCAAGATTGTCACATACTTTGACCAGCTGCCTTGATAGAATTGTTGGTGAAGTGGCAGTGTTCGCACTCGAAAGACTCAAGGATGACATCGCGGAAGTAGGGAATGCGAATGAGAAGTAGACGGGTGACTCCCTGTCATGAAGAATTGATGTTAGTATCTGGAGCTATGCGACATGGCTCAAGATTGCTACACTTGCAATGACGACTTACATTATCGTGGCAGTTCATGCAGAGAGACTCGACCGACATGGGACCCAGCTCCTCATCGTCACCTTCTCCCTTCTCAACGATCTCTCCAATGTTCTTGAACTGCGACTGCGACACGACATTGTCGAATTCGGACTTGGCCGCTTGCTGCTCCTCGGCGGACATCTTGTAGGAAGATAGACAGGGGTATTATAAGAAAAAAAAGAATGAAAGTATTGAAGAGCACGAAGGATCTTCAGGTAACTCAAATGAAGAGAGGGGTGGTTGCGGAGGGGTGGAGATAAAGCGGCAGAATTTCTCTTATCGCAAAAAAAGTTCCTTTTTGTTCTTTTTTTTGCTTTGGAGGGGCAACACCGATGACTAATTCTTTAATGCCCGATCTCTACATGACGTCCCGCCAAGACACTGGAAGCTTCGTGACTCTTTTGAGAACAGAGTAAAATGATATCTAAAACGTGAAAATGACAGCCTGTGAATGCATATCAAGCCATCTGTGTTGATTGGCAAAAAGCGGCAAAAAGCCCTATTTGAACATCTTTCTAGTTGCCCCCGCGCAACAACCCCCCAAAAAGGTCGCAGTTTTGCCTAGCAAGTAGTTAGCTGCTGTCAGATCCAGTGTTCAACATGAAGGAATACGTATCAAAAAAAAGTATGCCGTTTCCTCCACCGAAGCAGAGAAAACAGCAAGCCATCAGCCGTCGCCTGGTTCCAATATTCTGCCCCATGTCGAGTCAAGTCAAACAGAGATTCGATCCCAGCGTCTGGCAGCGATTACTTGATAGCTAAAGTCAAAGGCAATTCTATCCCGTCGCTCTAGGACCCACTCCGTATCGACACCGACTAGAATACTTAGCCGAGGGCATGCAGCAACAGGAATAACGTAGACAAGCCAAAGCTTTGATCCTCACTCGAGAGAGGTCCCACATTACTCTATAGACCGCGTACATGCCGAAAGCGACGAAACACTGCAAGCCGGATCGATCGGATGATGAAGACACCGGAAAAAGGAATCGGGAGACATGAATGCCCTTGAACTTCGGCCGGAAAGACTGTGATGCGTGAGACAATATTGAGCGCTCTGCCGACCATGACAAGATGGAAAGGGTTGAGGATTATATGGTGATCAGGTGAAGCTATGATGGTCGTGAATGCAGCCACCTTCTTTCCGCGCCCCGTAGAGATAAATCGTGATTGGGCCGAGACCTGGTGATAAATCGAATAACGCTTGCAAGGTCTTCATCTCCGCGGAATTGCACAGACAGCCATGCATTCGCATCGGCATCTAATCGAATAAATGGAGCCAGTTTCTTGTGTGTGGTACAGTACCCTCTGGGACAAGTTTTTGTTTCCTCCCCTGGCCAACTGCAAGGTATCCCAGGGGGGCGTTAGATAAATGAAGCGAACAAAGAGCATCCAGAAAAAACCGCTTCCGTCTTCCCAAGGAAGGAGCAATGAACATATGAGCATATGCTATTGTTGATGTAGTCGGCGCCCATCAATCGATCTGCAAACTGATTCACAGAGAGATGGCTGACACGGGGGGTCTGGATCTTCCGAGGAAGTCGAATTGGTGGCTAGTGCCGTAAAACGAGGTTCCTAGCTGCTCGGAGCTGAAGAATAGCGGTACCGGAGGGGTGAAAGGAGGGTGCAAGATTTTCCAGGAATCTTCCTTGTGGGAACACGCACGGGGGGGACAACAGCTTTCGCATACAGAGACGAAGCCAACGCAAACAAACAGATTCGAAAAACACCAAGCCAAGATGGGGAAATGCATTGTCGGGCCGGAACGTGACAACAGCCCAGAAGCTTTGATAGTGAAATCAAAGAGTCATGGAGACAAACAAAATAGAAGAACCTCGCGACATTCATCACTATGAGAGTGCCTGGGACACAATCAGGGAGAAATGGAATGATTCCGACGAGTGGATTCTTTTGAATTGCAGCAACCATGCTGTGTGTAATGGGAGCGGGTGTGTTCTAGACGCCGCATTTCTGAACCATATTAGTTGATGCCCTAGGTATTCGATATCTGAACGCCGCAATTGACTCCGATGTGTCGCACTGTCGTTTGATCCCCCCAAAGAAATCCTCTCATGCCGAGGCTTCCGGCGCATTCCACCTTCCTTTTCCTTCTGGTAATACGCCATTCAAAGCACAGGGTGACCATCCGATTGTGACTAGCATGCAAATCCAGCATTGGCAGAACCGACGCATCGCCCGTAAGAACGCTTGCATAGTAAGGCCGTCTTTTGTGCTCCGAAGAGCTCTGGCATTGTCGAGCAACTTTCGCGTAAGTGACCCATCACAGATCAATTGCACTAGTCATGATACCCGGCACGCTTTTTCTCCGTGAAACTGAGTCTCGAGAGACAACCGACTGAATAAGTCTTAGGGTTAGATCCCAACATCGCCCGGACGACAAATTGAGTTCAACTGAACAGAAAGTGACGAGGTCGGGTGATAGCCGGATCAAAGAAGGATTCGCTGTACTTGGATGCCTCGAAGGCAAGAAACTTGGGGGCTCCACATCCTCGATAAGATGTGACCGGACAACGGCGTTCGTAAACAAAACTTTGGAAACAATGAAGATTTTGGCGATTCCAGCGAGATTGAAGTGATTGATCAATAGGGGCGTTGCCATCGCGTTTTAATATCTTTGGGGTCGTCGAAGAAAGTCAGGGAAAGCATTGAAGTAAACAAAAGGAGAGAGACTGGGCGTCACCCTCTTCAAGCTATGGGGAAGGCGCGTCGCCAGGCACGGTCACGCGACGGGTGTTCACGTGATCATTTCATCTGCCAATCGCCAAGTGTGCTTACATAAGCAATATTGAACCGCCAAGGCCTGCGCCCTCTTGGAGAAGCATTTATGCTGGAAGAATCACCATCAGCGATGGATTCCGTGATGCTTTATCCCTTCCACTGTTCATGATGGAAGAACTCAGTAGGGTGCGGAAGGCGTTTGATGCCGCCAATGACTTTTTGAACCCGGTGCTGAATCGAGGTATGCGGCCGGAGCTCGTAATTTGATTTTGAACTTCGAGCTAATTCGATTCCAAGATGAAATACAAAAGTCCCAAGGCAGGGCACTTCTAGATATCCTCAGCCAATCTCCAGAAAATTTAGACATTCAGGATGATCTCAAAAGGCGGACTGTCATCGGTCAGGCATTAGATATCCTGAACCGCATCCATATGTCCTTCGCAACGCCACTGGCAGCTGGGGATCAAGAGCCGCTGGAAAATGTAATCCCCATGAGTGAAGATCCGGCATTGGAAGATGCAAAGCGCCGTCGTCTTCTACATGCATTACTCGACTTGATATCCTTAGAGGGAATTTATCCATCTCTTTCATCAGGAGTTGGCATTCCATTGCAACAGAGAGTGATCTCAGTGCTGCCAGCTGGGGTGATTGCGAAGCAAACTGCTATCCCAGCTAGCAGCAGACCTCACGATGAAGTTCTTTTACGTCAGATTATAAGTGTTATTCTCAACATAATGCTAGACCCCACGCCAAGCATCCAGCCAGTCATTCAAGGGCGCATTTTGAGTGACATGATCAGCGCTACGGCGGACCTGGCGTTCAACCCAAATATTATTTCGTCCTCGGATCGAGCCGACTTCAAGAACGGATTTCTTAAGATCATCGAAGAGTATGATATGCCGCGATCAACTTGAATACCAATTCGGATGCTGACCCATTGAAGGACACCTAGCGCCGCCCTTTTGCCGACATTGTCCAGCTTTCTCCAATCTGATCCAACCAATTGGTTCAAAGCCACAATTTCGGGCCAGATTGCGAGGGTACCACTGCGCCAGGGCGGGGTTATACAAACAATCATGTTTATCGCATCTCAGTTTGCACCATCTCTGGGACAAGAAGCTCAGAGCGAGTCATCCAACGGGCCACATTTCACAGTTCAAGCCATTATGCAAATATCTCGATTGTTATCGTCTGTTCCCCAGGATATCGAGCCCACTTCATACTTCACCACAATCGCTCCCCAACTCCTGGCCTTACTAGATGGTCCTGACCCGGATTTGAAGAAAACGGCTTCTTATACTATTGGAAATGGAATACTGGGAAAACGTGCTTATGGCGCACCTGGAACAATCGGTCATTCAATTTTTGTCGAGCCGGTATTCGCGGCTTTGACTGCCGAGCTAAACGACGGATTAATACCATGGATGGCACATTACGCAGATATTGAGGGGTCCTCTTCAATGAAAATGGAAGAAATCAACTCAGAATACACCATAGTGGATGGAGACATGGTCAACCTCGCGATAGAGCGACTGAGAAGTCTGGCTCTCCAACATCCGAACCCCGGTCTTGTTAAGAGAATTGTTTATCCAATTCTTCTTCACCTTTGGGGCTTGATTTGTTATGCCCAAGAGAAACAACTCAAGGCATACCAGGATAAAATATTTGAACTTCTGCAGACATATTTCAGCATATCCGTGGGCGTGCAGCCCCTCAAGAAGCTTGTTGATCACCTTCTCTGGGATGGAGGTGCAACTTGGACCTATGCCACGAATCAACAAGGACAAATTATTTTGAGCAAGCGAATGGAACAACAAGATAACCATTCGAACATCATTCGAATGGTCGACTCTTTGCAAAGTCGCACGGAACTTTTCGTCAGTCTGCTTGGCTCTGACCCTAGTGTCGAGGAACACACTGGTGATATTTTCCTCTACGTGAGCGAGAAATGGCTGGTGAAATCAAACAACACTGGTGGCCCCGGCGAGCCCGAGAGAATTGGCGAGTCGGAAAATATCATCCAAAAGCTTGTTAGCGCCAAGGTGGCCGAGAAATTACTCGACAATTTTAAAGACACTTTGTCTCGTCGACCTTTGCGAGTGCTGGAGCTCATCAAACAAGTCGTTGACGGTGAATTGCACAGGCTTGGTGGTAAATCATCAACCAAAGAAGATCAGAAGGGCAAAGTTTCATTATCATCTCTTGCCAGCATCGTTCCAGAAGAGGGTGCACAGGAAGAAAGCACATCTGACAATGAAACATCTGAATCCCTTTCTACCGCGTTCAGCCTCCTGTCTACTATTATCGCATCTCCCGAATTCACCACCTCGCTCGAGACCCAGCCTCCGCTACAGGCCGTCAAGGACCGCCTGGATCAACTCATCCCTCTCCTCCCGCCCGCACTAGCGAAACCAGCAACCACATCATCCATGCTGATAGAGATCCAGCTCACCCACCCGGAACATGACGAAACAAAGCCACCACCGCCGCACCTCGCCGATCTAGATACACACCGACAAGCATTGACGAACCTCAATTCGGACCTCCCACCCGTGCAAGCAGAGGGATTCTCGCTGCTATCAAAGCTAGTCCTGAAGGGATCACCCGTCCTCGACATCCCATCTACATTGACCCTCCTCCTATCAATAATCACGGACACCAGCTCCCCAGCCGCAAATGAAGAATTCATCTACCTCAACGCGATAAAACTAATCGGAACCCTCGCCTCGCGCCATCCCCGCACAGTAGTCAAAACCCTCGTCGAAAGCTACGCCGACAAAACCGAGCAAAGAACCCTAGACCAGCGCCTCAAAATAGGCGAATCACTCCTCCGAACAGTCCAAGACCTCGGCGAAGCACTATCCGGCCCAACAGCCAAAATCCTCGGCGAAATCATGATAGCAGTCGCAGGACGACGAGGCCGCAAGCCCGAATCGCAAAAGGAGCGTAAATCACAACTGGAAAAGGAGCGGCGCCAAAGAGAGCGCGAGGAGCGCAAACAGAGAGAACCAGCCATGCCTGAAGGGTGGAAGTTCTCAACTGGGCCGACTGACTCTCGAAACGGTGCAGACGAGGATGAAGATTCTGACACTGAGACCCCGGAACAATCCGCCCACGCTGCTAATATAGTCGCCGCATGGGCGGCGGGTGCATCGTCGGACGATGAGCCGGATGATCTCCGTGTCCGTGCATCTGCACTCTCGATTCTTGCCTCTGCAGCCCAGGTAAATATCGTCGGCCTCGGACCAAGAATATTATCGTCTGCAGTGGATCTCGCCATGTCAACGCTGACACTGGAGCAATCGCCCGAGAGCGCCATTCTGCGTCGCGCGAGCGTGATTCTTATCCTCGATGTTCTCAAAGCGCTCGACTCGACCCGGGAAGCGAAACGAGGTAAGGAGATTGGCTTTGGATTCTCCTTGACGGATTCCATGGCTGGCTTTGGCTCGAAGGACACCGACACGCATGGTGTATCGTCCATTGGAAATATACCTCACATGCTGCGGACCCTTGGCTATGTCGAGACCAAAGAGACGGATCCGATTGTGCGTGGGCATTTGCGTGTTCTGATCGAGAGTTTGGAGGCTTGGTTGGAGAAGTCCTTGATGTGGGGGATTGGTGTTCAATCTGATGGCGATGAACCAAGGCTTGAACTGGGTGATCGGATTGCTGGGTTGAATGTTGATCCTTTGGCTGGAGGGGCCGGTAGGCCACGCATCGAAGAGATCGAGTAGATAAATGTTTTCGTACCCAAATGCATCTCGTTAGCTTTCACAGACCATACGATACTAGTAATGCTCCGGTAAGGGTAAAGTTGTAGATGGACCGAGCTTAGCAGTGCTTGTTACTCGGGAGTTGATTTGAAAAATAACGTTCATTTTGCAAAAATGTGGAAATATGAAAACTAGAGGGGGAATAAAACTTGACAGGCACGAAATCATTTCCACGAAAGAGACTCCAAACCTGGAGCCGATCCACGCAAAGAGAAGAAGACGAAAAGGGAGGATAATGGGTAGAAAACAATCCCAGAACACAGTAGTAACAATCCCCATTACCGGCTCCAAACCTGGAGCCTATCCACATCAAGACAACACGACGTAAAAGGCATATTACGGGTGCACAACCCCCGATGAAAAAGACAAGTAACCAATCCACATGAGAACAATAAGACGAAAAGGCTAGATTATGGGTAGAAAGAAAAAAACCGCAGAAAGGTAAAATAACAACACGGGAGAAAGAGAAGCATTGGCCATAAACATAATCACGGGAAAAGAATTCGCACCAAATTGCTAGACAAACCGGTAGCTTGGATACTCGAAGGGCAATGTGTCAGCTGGTTGGACTTTTCAGTTGGTTCCACGTCCGGATCCACGGTGGTGACCACGGTGGCCACGACCCCTGTGGCCGCGACCCCGGTGGCCACCACGGCGGCCTGTGCCTCGCTGGCGCTCATCGTCAGCGTTCGCCATCTGTTTGGTAGGCACGCTTTGATAATTGATGATGCGCTGCTCATCGTTCAAGAAAAACTTATTCTCGATTTGGAGCAACTCACAGAACTCGGCGGTCTGGAGGTTTGGAAACTCCATCGGCATGGCAGGGTGCTGGATGTCGCCGGCAGGAGTGGACCGGGGGGCGGAGCGGGTGAAATTGTAGGGGATGTTCATCAGTCCCTTTTTCACCAGGTTCTCTTCAACCCATTCTTCTTCCTTTTGGATAAGAGGAAGGTATTCGTCTTCACCGAGATCATCTGGCACCTTGGCATTCTTGTCACCAAGGACTAGGTCGCCGGCGAAGACACGAGTAATCGCAAGCCATTCCTTGTCGTACTGGAGACGATCAGGCTCGGAAACATTGACGTTTTCCCGGTTCGAGACGGGGATACTCAGCAGCTTGAAAAAGGGGTCGTGATTGTTGGGCTTGTCCAAAGCTAAGAACTTGGTGAGCTTGTTGTGGATCGCGGCGGGATGCGACATGGGCTGGCGGGTAGCCTTGGCGGGGGGCCGGGCAAAAGCGGCGGGCAGCTTGGTTCGCAAGCTGTCGGAAACCGCCTGGTCGACAAGTGACATTTTAGGGTCTTGACTGGAGGGCGCCCAATCATCAGCACCGTCGGCACCACTTTCGAGGCAAATATTGCGCGTGGCGGTGGTGGTAGCTTCAATCGCAGATTGTCCATCCGTTTCGAATGAGGTAGGCTTGCATGCCTTGTCCTCACGAGGAGAATCATCCTCGGAGTCGAGGTCGATTTCGTCGTCATTCTTAACTCGCTTGTTGGCATAAACAAGGGAATCTTGCTGACCTGCAGACTTTCCAGAAGCCATGTGCTTCCATGTCACGTCGACGTTGGAGCTACGACGCTCATCACTCATGTGTTGAGATGCTTCGACAAATTGCTGTTCGCGGACCTTGATGTCGTCCTCCTGGAATGTTCCCCAGGCGGCAAGGCGATCGGCTTCGTTGTTGAGAAAGGAAAGACTCTTGTTTTCGTACGCAGCCATCATGGTATTAGGCGCCGGACCGCCCGAAGGAACGGGGCGGGAATTCTCAGAGGAGACTCCAACAGCTGCGGAGGGCTTAGGAGCGGGTAGAGCCACGGGAGCAGCCACGGGAGCAGCGATGGGGGCAGCTACGGGGGAAGCCACTTCGACAGCCCAAACAGCGGGCATGCCTTTGCTTGGTTCGATTGCCTTCGTTTTGACGTTGTCGTGAGGGACAGTTGCGGCGAACTCGACATGAAGGTGCGCGGCAAACCAATAGAATGGTCGGAGACGGTCCATGACCTCGCGAGCGGCCGGGTTTCCGAGTTTACCGTGCTTCGAGTCTTCTTCGAAGTCCTTCTTTTTGCGGAAGAGCCGCTTAAAGTCGCCGAAGTTTTCGACCAGGCGAGGCCAATCGTGGGACAAACAGATGTCAATTTGGGTTCGGATTTGCAGGAGCTTGCGAATATCCAGTTCGCGGACGTGGAAGACAGAATGAAGGTCTTCGGGACGGTAGGGGATGCGTTCATAGTGAGTCTTACGGTAGTCGTATCCTTTCCAGATACCTGACATGCCGGAGATGCGCAGACCGCGGAAGCGAACGACATTCGCCGCACCGAGATAGTAGATGTTGTGAGCAATCCAACCACCGTAGTAAAGCTCGAACAAGTGATTGCTCGCTTCATGGTTGCCACCACAGAAGATGGTCAGGTAGGGAGCAAGACGCTGACCACTGTAGTACTCGTGGTAGTCTCCCATCTTACGAAACTTGTTCGGAACAGAGAGGCATGCCGCATCGTCGGCATTGCGAAGGGCCTGTTGGAATTAGCTGAAGTCTTTTCCCCCCCACGAAATGAAGGAATCGGCAAGGAGCATACCTGGAAATCGCCACCGATAATGACAATGTCAATATGGTACCAGCCACGCTGAGCAGCAGCTTCGGCGACAGCACCGTAGATTAGGTTCAGACCACCGTGGCCCTGCAGTATAATCAGTATTAGAACAAACAAAGACGAGATGAGAAGCATGCGGCCTTCTCGACAGGTTCTGGGGGTAAAAAGTTGAACCTACGCAGCCAACGGTCACCACGCGCACCTCGCCTACCTCGTACGCATTGTACACCTCAGGGGCGTCCATGGTACAGTCAGGAGAGAGGGATGAACAGAAGAGTTCAGGATGGGGTCAAAATGGGGACAAAATGGGGACAAAATGGGGCAAGATGAGAGATATCGTTTAAACGGATGCGTAAACGAAGAAGTTTGGGGGAGGGTGCGAGAAAGAGAAAGAAAAGAAGCAAGAGGTAAGCATTAGAGGGGGGTGGAGAGGGGGAGAGAGGGGGGAGAGAGAGAGAGAAAGTGAATGGAAAGGGCGACGGTGTAAGTGAGAGATAGCGACAGTCAAAGTCGCCAGTGAATGTTGTGAATGCAGTGAATTGCACTTACGGAAGGTCCGAATTTCGATCGATCCCGTCGGTCAAGTGGAACCCGAATGTCGGAGAGTCGGACATAAGAGTCCCTCTTCCGAATTTGTTATCAAATTTAGTATTCATGATACATCTACACACCCTTGCTCGCCACACTTGATATTCCAGTGTTCGGATATTCATTCTTACTTCATCACAATCTACAATATCATGCCTCCTATCGAGCCACCTCAATTGCGCTTCCTTAGTGACGCTGCCAATCTCCTGGGGTCAAGCAGCCCATCCACATCGGCCCATCTCTTAACGGCCCATACTCATATCCTGCATGAAGAATCCAAGTCACTGAATCCGCGTCAAATCAAGCATCATTGTGCTGGCTGTGGTAGGCTTAGGATATGTAAAGCTTCTAAGCCGACAGTGGTAAAGCCCAAACAGAAATCTCGCACCGCAATTCGCGGCATTGCTACAGTCCACAAATGCGTAGGCTGTAATCAACGTGCTGTGATTTCACGCAAGAGATCTGCCCCAAGGGCTCCTTCAAAGGCTTCAAGTTCTTCTCGTGTGTCTACACCTTTGGCCATGGATTCTACAGTGTCTACACCCTCAATCTCTTCACAGCAGGATCTTCCCGTCATCGTGTCCACCACCACCGCCACTGAAAAAGCCGTGGACAATGCCAGCAGTAAGAAAAGAGCCAAGGCTAGAAAGCAAGGAGGTCTCCAAGCTCTGCTAGCTTCAAAGAAAAGCACACAACCCTCACTCAACCTGCTCGACTTTTTGCAGTAGTCCTGGAGGCATCAAACTCGGTCAAACCTTATTCCGACCCTGGTTGTCGGCGCGGGGCCATGACCGCGGAGCTTCCTCTCTTGACCTCCGCCAGCTTTGGTGTTGATTCTAAACCTCCACCTTTTGTTCTTTTCCCGGAATAATCATTTTTAACTCCGTCTCTACGATTGTGTGGAATTAACAATCATGTCAGTCTACTCGCATGACGAGGAACATGACCCTCAAGCAGACGAGCTCCGCGAGACAGCGCTGGTCACGCTTGAGGCCTTGATTAGCTCGTGCAACCAGCAAATGCAGCCATACCTGGCCAACACGACCCAAGCTGCCCTCCGATTCCTCAAATACGACCCCAATGTCGCTGAAAACGAAGACGATGAAGAAATGGGTGGGACCCAGGACGACGGGAGCGACGACGATGCCACCGAGGAGCCTGATATGAGCGACGATGAATTTGAAGATTTTGAAGAGGAGGATGGATACAGCGACATTGATGATATGAGTTGGAAGGTCCGCCGTTGTGCTGCCAAGCTTCTTTACTCCCTGATCTCCACCTATGGCCACAGTCGTGCCCTGGATGACGCCGCCTTATACCAGAAGATTTCGCCCGCCTTGATCTCTCGGATCAGTAAAGAACGGGAGGAGAGTGTGAAGCTGGAGGTTGTGTCAACTCTCACTGCTCTCGTCCGCAAGACCAGTGAGGGCAGTGTGATCGTCACCTCGAACGGATTTCTAGAGGCTGTCGGAGGATCCAAAAACTCCCGCAAGCGCCGTCGTCAGGATAGCGATGCCAGTATGGTCGACTTCGAACCCAGCGTTGGCACATCCTCTGCAATCGACTCGCCTTTTGCTCCATCTTCGCCCAAATCTGGCCCCCAGGCTGACCTGGCTCGATCCGTGCCTTTGATTGTCCAGAGTCTGGTGAAGGTGTGGAAGCAAGCCTCCATGCCCCTCCGCCAGGCCGTCATTGTTCTTTTGAAAAGCCTCTCCCTGGTTCGATACGGCGGACTGGCCGACCACTTGCAACAAATCGAGGATCTCATCGCGGATGCGCTCAAGACATCTTCTCTGTCGGGGAGCTCGACTACCCATGCCGGCGCCGCTGTCAGTGCAGGCACCTTGCAGATTGAAACCCTGGGCCTTGTCTCGGCCATTGCCGAAACGCACATGTCCGACGCTCTCCTTCCTTTCCTCATAGCTCTGGTCCCCGGTGTGGTGGCAGCCGTCAATGAACGGAACTACAAGGTCAGCAGCGAGGCACTTGGTGCAGTCGAGCAAATAGTCAAAGCTCTTACACCTCCTCGCGTGTCTGCCAATGCTTCTGATGTGTCTATGCAGCTAGTGAAACTCTACGACGTCATCCTGGCTCGCATTACTGACACCAGTGCCGACTTGGAAGTTCGACAGCGCGCTATCCATGTCTTTGGTGTGCTTCTAGCGCGTACGTCTGGTGATAGAGGCGTTGACTACCTCTCTGGAGACCACCGTTCCAGAGGTCTTGCCGTGTTGGTAGACCGCGCGAAGAATGAAACTACTCGTCTGGCAGCTGTTCGAGCAATCGACGACGTGCTTGTCTTGGCTAGTCGCGACGAGGATATCGAGGCCAACTGGGTCAACGATGTGACCCATGAGCTTGGCTCTAACCTCAGAAAGTCCGATCGCGCACTGCGGGGCTCATGTCTCGAGGCTCTTCGAAGTTTGGCTATGAACCCCTACACCCGAACTCACCTCACTCCTCAAACAATGACATCTCTTGAGACCGCCCTCTTGCCTTTGCTCTCGGCACCTGATTTCCATCTCCTCACCCCGACATTAATTATCATCGCCAAACTTGTGCCTGCCGATTCCAAGTCTCTTGTGAACGAGGCTTTGATTGTCGCCATTTGCTCTATCGTGAAGCAGCCGCTCATCGGCACTGTTCTGAAAGCTCTTCTTCTCCTTGTTAAGGTCATTGGAGAGCAAGGTGCGGGCGCACAGCTGATGCAAAATCTCCTACAAAATGTCGGCATTACGGGTGATTCTTCCGTCGTAGGAAGGGCAATTGGTACACTGTTGGTGCACGGCGGGTCTAACCTGGGTGTTACAATGGATGATTTCTCCACCGAGCTTCGCACCGCGGAGGACGATAGTCGCAAATGTCTTGCTCTTGCTATTCTGGGCGAAATCGGTCTACGCATGGGTGCCGAATGCTCCCTTACCCCCGATCTTTTCATCGCTCATTTTGGGTCTTCTTCCGACCATGTCCGCTTGGCTGCCGCGACAGCGCTCGGAAATGCCGCGGCCGGCAGTGTCAAGGCATACATTCCAATAATCCTCAACGGGCTCGACAAATCCAACGGCCAAAGTTACCTCCTCCTGCATTCCGTGCGGGAGCTGCTGCAGCACCCCGAAGTTGTTCGTCCCGATCTTGCTCCATCCGCACTCAAGCTATGGCAAGCACTTCTCGTCGTCTCGGAAGAAGAAGATAACCGTGCCGTTGGCGCCGAGTGCGTTGGCCGACTTGCTCTGATTGACCCAGCGTCGTACATCTTCCATTTCCAGGTATGTTTCCTCAAGTTCTTCCCTCTCTATCTAAAGCTCCTTTCTAACCCCACTATCTCAGGAGTACATGAATAACACCAACCCTGTCATCCGGGGCGTCGTCATCTCCGCCTTCCGCTACACGCTTGCCGACTCTAGCACCGCCTACAATAATGTGCTGCGCCCGGTCATAGTACCCCTCCTCACCAGTATGCTCGGCGAGAAGGATCTGGGCAACCACCGCCTCGCGTTGACCACACTCAATTCTGCGATCCATAACAAGATGTCACTGTTGCTACCCCACCTGGGCGAGTTGCTTCCAGCGGTCTTTGGTGATACCCAGATCAAGCCGGAGCTCATTCGCGAGGTGCAGATGGGACCATTCAAGCACAAGGTCGACGATGGTCTCGATCTACGAAAGAGCGCCTATGAAACCCTCTACGCATCATTGGACACCTCTTTCGCGCGGACCCACATGGCAGAGCTGTTCGACCGGGTCATTGCCGGAGTGGAGGATGAGCAGGATATCCGGGCGATTAGCAACTTGATGACAGTTCGACTCATTAAGATTGCACCGGAGGAGACGCAACGCCGACTAGACGCATTATCGGAGCGATACACGACCGTGCTCTCCTTCAAGCCGAAGGACAACGCTGTCAAGCAGGAGCTGGAGAAGGCGCAAGAGGCGTCTTTGGGAATCCTCAAGATCACCAAGGAGCTTAGCAAGGCGTTCCCGGGTGCCGAGGCATCGAGCGAGCTTCACAAGTGGAGGGGATATCTGGAGTGGGTTCGTAAAACCTTTGGGTCGCAGTACCAGACGCTGGAGACGGAATTTTGAATTACAAAAGTTGTTGCCTAGTCACGTCAGGGGTTGGCGTAGAGCCTTGTAAGGACCAGTATGGTCGCAATGATGATGATGATGATGAATGAATACATATTTTTTTGTGATTTGAATTCAAGGTTTCTAGGTGTTCCTGTGGGATTTCAAGTTACAATTAGTGAAATGCTTGGCCAAGCGATTGTACGAGGGAAGGATAAGACGATCGCATAGCCTTGGACCCTCGAAGGTGGGGGCCAAACTTTCGGGCAGAGCGTGCGCAGTGATCCCTAGCAGTGATGTACAGAGTACGGAGTATACCGGGCTATTATGTACCTACAGGTATTTATTCTACTCGTAGTCAAGGCATATTGTGTCAAATGAGAATGCTGGCGAGAGAATACAAGTACTAGGTCCCAAGTACGGAGGCCCCGAGTATGGAGTACAGTATACAGCCCCACTATTTATAGAAACACGCAGCATAATGGATCAACATGCGTTCGATCGGGATAGTCAATACAGTATTAGTGTCATACTAGTACCCGCAACTTGAATGAAATGATGAAAGGACCTGGAATATTTCTATTTAGCAAAGTCAGCAATTGATGCTACTCCAGTCTACCTATAGCGTACCCTGGAGTAGTCTTTGGGACACTTTAATGACAAGACGGTGATTGGTGGACAAGTCGGGCGCAGCAGAGGTCTGAGAGTTTGACATGGGCGAGGCTCACAATGGAATACGGTCTTGTGGGGGCTAATACCGTACTTAATACACAATACACACCAGACGAGGCTGTCTATGGCCCCCAAAAGGGGCAATGAAGCACCCGTACCCTCAGTACCCTCAGTACCTTGCGGATGTACCCTATGGTAAGACCCTGAAGATCCCGCCATCCAAACCCATGCATCCTCCCTCGTACTCCGTACTCCGTCTCCGTACTCCACTGCTTACCCTCTCCTTTCCCTTTTCTTCAATCGTTTTTTTCAATCTCCTTTCGTTTCATCCCCTGATCCCCGAGGAATGGAGTCTTGCGCCTAGTCGACTTGATTCCGCATCGCGATGATCACCATGAAATACCAGTTACCGCACTTCCTGCGGGAATTTATCCGGCTCTTCGTGAACCCCATTACTTGGGTTGACGTATATTGGCCTGCATCACGAAAATATTTCTTCTCGCTCCTCTTCATCGGAGTCGTCTGCGCCAAAGCCCTCCATCTTTACTCTCATATCACCTCCCTCACCCTCGGTCGCTTCCTCCTCTGGGGTCCAACATTTGTTGTCCAGGATGTCGCTTGTATTCTCGTCTCCCAACTCCTCTGCCAAAAATTCCACAATCGGTGGTTCCGGGCGCTGGCCGCCCCTATTATGATTTTTGCGAGGTATGCTCATGTTCATCTTCTCCCTGATTGCCGGGGGATTGCCCGGGCGGAAGAAGAACCCGCCGATTCGCAACCTCCTCCAATGATGCCAAATGAAGCTAATTGTCGCGTGTCAAACTCTCCAGCTTGATGATCTCCGGATTGGCCGCGGCCAATATTTCCTTCTACTTCCAAACCGGTGCCGAAATTCACTGGCGACAAGCCCACTCCTTCCACCGCGACGCCGCCTCCGTGAAAACCCTCCTGACCGGCCTGACTGGCATTGTTATTGGCGAGGTCATCTTTACCGCGACCGCCTGGTTCGCCACTCCCTACTTGTATAATTGGGTTCGCGCAGGGGTCCGCATCCTAAGGGCCGCCGTCGAACCCGCCTTTGTCTGCTGCAAGCGCCGATCAAAGTCCACCCCGAAGACTTACGAACGGGTGGCCTATGATGATTGGGATGAAGAGAACGGCGAGTCCGGGGCCATGCTCGGTCTCGATGACCCAACGAAGCCCTTGCCTCCACTCCCGGAATCGTCGCAAAAAAGGAAGCCTGGTTTGCTTCTCCGAATTATCGTGGGTGTGGCCTTCCTGACCCTGATAGCGCTCCGCATCGCTCGCCCTTCGGAGAACGCCTATACTTTCCTGTCACAAACCGTCATTATCACGCCTTTCGAGAGGATCGAGCGGAACCAGACCTCCACTGTCGACGTACCCGAATTGCCAGGTGACTGGAGCTGGCTATTCAACCACACCGCGCTGGGTGAACCCCCCCAAATTCGACTGGCTGCCGGAGAAGAAACTCAAGGGGGGATTCCGGGATTGGTATACCGACAAACATGGCAAGAAACACCTCCACTACGACCCGGCCAAGGACCCGCTGAAGATCTCCAACCTCGACAATGAGATTCTCGAGCCGCTTCGTGAGGCGCTCAAGGGAGACGTGAAGATCAAGCACGTCTTTTTGCTCAAGCTGGAGAGTACCCGTGCGGATGTTTTCCCCCTTCGCAAGGAATCCTATCTGGGCGAGCTCATTCAAAAGTCATATGGTGGGGAGATCCCCGAAGAAGTCGAGGAGCGACTCGCCAACTTGACCCGCAACGCGCAGCGATACACCAACACCCCCTCCGGTTTCAATGGCCAGGACACGGTCAACCCGTACGGAGGTATGTACATGCGCAATGCGTATACCGGTGATACCTTCACCCTGAAGAGTATCACAGCCAGTGTTTGCGGCGTTGCACCCCTGGTGGCCGACTTCAACCGCGAATACTTGAACCACATCTACGAGCCTTGTCTGCCCCAGGTCCTAACCGCTTTGAACCACATCGACAATCACACCCATCACAACCAGACCACGGATGATTTTAGGACCTGGCCATGGCACTCGACCTTCATGCAGAGTATCACCGACGACTACGATAACCAGGATAAGCTCATCCCTGTTCTCGGCTTCAAGGATAAGATCACCGATGTGAAAATCACTGAGGACTATGAGCACTCCAATAAGACCACGCCTGAGAAATACAATTTTTGGGGTTACCGTATGTGTTCAGTCTGCAATCCTGCGTTCACCCGTCAAAGCTAACTATTCGCAGCGGAACACGAACTCCGGGACTACTTCCTCCATGCCCTCAAGCATGCCGAAAAGAAGCACGAACGTGTTTTCATCACCCACTTGACCGGTCAAACCCACCACCCCTGGGATATGCCCGTCGGTGACGAGTACGAAGAACTTATCCACTCTAGCCTGTTCAACCACAACGGCCGAGTCAACAAATACTTCAACACAATCGGAGTGAATGACAAATGGCTGGGTGAAATTGCCGAGGTCTTGGAAGAGGCCGGCGTGGCCGATGAAACTCTGGTCGTGATGGTGGGTGACCATGGCATCTCCCTAATCGAGGACGGTGGTGTCACGCCTTACGATAACCCCCACGTCTCCAACTTCCACGTCCCATTGGTATTCGCTCACCCGAAGCTCCCGCCCATCAACATCGATTCCCGCGTCACTTCTATGCAGATCGTGCCTACTATCATGGATCTGCTTAAGGAGTCTGGGTCCCTGGGCCAGGACCAGGCAAAGGCCATCCAGGACATTCTCCCTCTCTATGAAGGCCAATCGATGATTCGTGAAACGATAGCTTCCCAGGGAAATAAGCGTGATTGGCAGTTCACTGTGATGAACACAGGTTGGTCTTTCTTGCTGATATATAACCTCCAATACTTGGTATACTTACTTTCATATAGGTGCTACCTGGCTGGCGGTTCGATCAGCCGACAAGCCCTACCGGCTCGTCGTTCCCTTGGTTCCTGATGTCCCTTGGCGCTTTAGCAATCCCGATACGGATGCTCATGAACTGAATATTCAAAATTCATTCGAACTATTCCCTCTCCTCTTTCAAATTGCCCGTGACCACGACGAAGAGGCCGTCGAGTGGACGAAAGAGGCAGCCCAAGTCACCAAGTGGTGGGTCGGTGAGAACTGGCGCCGCTACGAGTATGAGCCTGAATCTGACTCATGATTGCTCGGAGACATTAACTCCAGCGATTACTCGAGCACCAAGGTGGAGAAGAAGAATATTTAGCTCTTCCTGATTAGCAATTGCTTTTCAAATCTTGCTTACTCTTGCTTGACACTGGAGCATGGCTTGGAGCCCTTGGCACGCGAGCTTTGAGCTCCGATGCCCGAGGACAATGGCTGTGCCCAGTCTGCATTACCTTTATCCGGCGTTCTGGGATGGTGTACATATCAGGTGATTAGGGGAACCATGTTTTGTACATTTAACGGCGACGATCTGCATCAGATAATGACGCCTACGGCACCAATGATAATAGACTTTGATTGATTCAATTGATTCCTTACCAGTAACCGCTTCCACCGCCACCGACCAATAACATCCTCTATTTCTTGAAGGACAAAATCTCAGCACTAGGGATCGACAACCAAGCATCCTGGTCCTCCCCCCCACTGCTTCCAAGCCTCCGAAACCCGTTCCAGATCCTCCATTTTTGCCAGGCCCCCCTCCAACGCGGTCGTCGCAAACGAAGAGTGCAACGCCCTATCCTTCCAAGAATCGGACCACCACCGCGTCTCTTCATCAGTCGAAAAGCACCAGTTTGACACGGAACACTGAATCTCTGAAAGACCAGCCTTCCTGGCCCAAACATGCAGGAATTTTCCTGCGTTGGGCTCTCCACCGTTATGCCGAGCAACCCGCTGCGAATAGTTAGCTTTGAGCGATGAACGCCGCCGTGCAGGCTTTTATACATACATCATACAACTCCTGCCACTCACTCAATCCCCTCGACTCAGGATACCAAGAGAAAACCGAATAATCAGCCTCCCTCGCTGCAATGATCCCGCCAGGCTTGACCACTCGTCTCATCTCCTCCAAAACAAGGATGGGATTTCCAACATGTTGTAATAATTGATGACAACAGCATACATCGAACGTCCCACTTTCGAAAGGAAGCTCATTCGCATCCCCGTCGATAAATTCTATATTCGTCACGCCGCGACTGGACGCTAATTCTCTTGCTTGATCGAGGATGACCGCTCGATCGAGGCCGACCACGTGTCCCTCAGGTACGTACTCGGCCAGGTCGGTGGTTATACTGCCAGGTCCGCATCCAAGGTCGAGGATCTTCATGGAGGGTTTGAGGTGCGGTAGCAGGAAGGCCATACTGTTCTTTGCAGTGCGTTGGCTGTGGTTTCGGATGACAGAGGCATGATGTCCGTGAGAATATACCGCAGATTCAACTTGGGGCATTGTTGCGGTGGTGTTCAACTTGAAGTTGGTTTTCGGGGTGTAGTACTAGGTAGAATGTTCGATAAGAAAAATATTGGGTTTTTGAATTTGCTTCCAGTTCCAAAGCTTGCTTTGGTTTGGGTATCGTATTACTGGTTGTGAAGTTGGGTTTCTGGGTTTATATACCTTGAGCTGGAGAGGGATGTAGTCCTTTGGCAGCCTCCGACATCGGCGCCGTGTCTGCCTGGATGTCCTTATTGGTTGAATGGGTGTGGATTATTCATAGATGATTCGGCGCTCCGGGGCGGACTTCTACACAAGCAGACTGGGACGTCGCATGCTTTCCAAGGGTTCTTTTTTGGATTTGGTGGTTGGTTCCAATTGGTTCCCATGGTGCCTGCTTGTATGTAGCAGGGATGGGTATACAGACACGCATGCGCATGATCCTGCACATTTTGGCTACTGGTTTAAAAGAATCATCGCTTTACTCTTGGAGATTGTGTTACTAATAATCCATACTATTATTTCCATGCTAGTAGAATCCACCTGGGCAGGTATTGCCAAGTCCTTTGCCTGAGGCTCCGTGGCCATGTTCTGTTTTATAGATACCCGGTACATCGATACTTTTTGACAGTGAGTGAGCTACTACCCACGATCTAATCATCCGGTAAGTTAAAACTCGAAATAGCCTCGGATGAATTCCCTTCCGTGGAGATCTGCGGGTGAAGAAGCTACGCTACTACTAGTAGTAAGCTACCCCGCTGTGACTACTAGTAGTGAAACAATACAGCATTGCCCCTCGAACATCACCCCTCAATCATCCTAGACCCAAGCAAATAAATACACAACAGCGTACAAACGAAGATCAAATCACAATGTCCACTCAAGAAAGTGTCTTCCTTCTCGTCCCGGGCTCCTTCGCCACTCCCAAGGCATACACCACACTGGTTGACGCTCTTCGTGCCCAAGGTCAAAATGTTGTCCAAATGGAGCTTCTCTCCGTGAACGATGGCTCCCGCCAACCACCCGCAACAATGGAAGACGATACAGCCCACATCCGACAAGCAGTCATCTCAATCTTAGACGATCCAATCGCACCCAAGAACGTCATCGTGGTCCCGCATTCTTACGGCGGCATACCAACAACGTGTGCCTTGGAATCGCTGTCCAAAGAGGCTCGAAAATCTGCAGGCAAAGTTACCGCGGTCACTGGCATCATCTACCTCGCTTCCTTCCTGCTCTCAGAGGGCGAGTCCCTACGCGGAATCATGGGCGAATTCGAGGCTCTCCAGGAACCCATGAAAACAGGAGTACCCGGTGGATATTTGCCGGGATTTACCCCTGAACTGGCCCAGCTTGTGTTCAATGATCTTCCTGAAGAGGCAGCACTGAATTTCATCGGGTCTCTGTCCCTCCATTCGTCGGATAGTTATAATGGGGAAGTGTCCTATGTTGCGTGGAGGGATATCCCGAGTCTTACTATCATCCCTAGTAATGACATTGTTGTGCCGACGCCGATGCAGGAGGTTATGTATGAGCGTTCTGTGAAGGCTGGTGGGAAAATTGAGAGAGTCTTGATTGATGGGGCTGGTCATGGTCTCCCTGTAAGTCGGTTGGATGACGTTGTTGAGGAGATGGTCAAATTCGCGCGGCGGGGGTAGAGGACCGTTCCCTATGCCACTTTGACGTCTCTTACCCATTACCATCGCTTCTGCTACTTGAACTGCCATAACCCATTGTTTCCGATTGATATTCACCACTATCCTCTTTTATCATTATCCAATGACCGATTTTAGCTCGTTCATCCGCTCGTACTGGCACTGCGTGTATCTCGCTGCGTCGATATCTCTTCTCGATATAACTGACATGCCAGTGCCAACCAAGTAACTACTTCCTCTCCTTGATACAGGTATTCTCAAGCTATTGACGGAAGATAATAGTATGTGTCCAAACTTGTACCAGTAATTTTGGGACGCTTCCACTGTGACATAAACACTGGGTCGATTACCAGTATGGAGCGCCATAGGCGAGTTATGGGTGACTGACAAACCTTTCAAAAGCAATTAGAAACTGCGACCTGAACATTTATCTATTAAACTGGCGGCACGGACACGTGAACCTCCCGTTTCCGATGTCATATCCATGACAGATACAACAATCACGCAGTTGCCATTCGCAAGTTGTGGCTCAACAGTAGCATCTTTGAACGTCTGTCCAGGTGCTGGCCAGACTCACGGGGCCCAGAAAAGCAAGAGCGGAGGAGATGCCATCATTCGCGTAGACAATGGAGCCATCATATGCGGAAGTCCATTCGATTGAACGACCAGTTGATTCACCCATCTTGCAGAAGTTGAGTGGCAGGATTCGGGAGCTGAATTCGATTAAATGACCATTTTCGGAGACCCACCAATAGCACCCGTCGTATCGTGGAACTTGACGTCACGCAGATGGTCCACACTCGAGGAGATTATGTGAGTGAGAGGACTCGAATCCATGGCTGCTCGGTAACATGAGGACTGTCTCTTGAAGCCAGTGTATCGCGGAGAGGAGAGAGAACCAGGGCATCGGAGCGAATGTATCAAGGTCACGGACGTGGATTGAAGAGCATGCCAATGAAAGCGTCCCCAATCCTGAACTTTTCGTAGGGAAAGAACCCGCCGGCCCTATCTGTCATGAATGCTGAAGTGCAAGCTGAAAAGTGAGAATTTGCCGAGTTGGGGTTGCTGTTATTGTCTGTCGCTGTCGTGCCCGGTTTTTCAAGGTTGCAATATTGGAAACATATGTCGTGCCCTAGAAGTTAGTACCATTTTTCATTCAAGTTGCCTCCTACCCACCACCCGGCAATTCACGGGCCAGGAGAAACCCGGCCTGTATTCTCTGTGATGTAGATATTAGAGATTCAGCGGTGCTGTTGGCTTTCGACTCGATGAGTTGCAGCAAGGCTGCACTGCATTCTCCTCTTCAAGCCCAGGAACCTCCTTCTGTTCCTGCATGGCTCGATTTTCTTTCTCTTCGTCGGATTGTGATTGTTTGCTGGGTTTTCTCCTCTTCATATCCGCAGCAGTTGGTAGCCTGCCATTGTGACTGAGGCAAAATCTATAGCAGGGATCACAGATAAAAACTCCGTCCAGATGTTGAGCTCGGAGAGTTTCAAAAGCTTCAATCCAAGCATCTCTTGGTCGATGCGAGCTAGCCATCAGTGTAAGACAGCCTGAAATCATACATGGCTTCCCTTTTTGCTCTTTCATGGTTGTCGGTATCCTTCTATGCTCAATAAATCCAGGACCAGGTACCTTGCCATCATGAGTTAAAGACTAGTTAAAGCAGGCGTCGCAGATGAAAACTCGATCAGGGTGTTGAGCTTCCAGGATATCAAAGCCCCCCCCCCACTGCTTCTGCGGCCATAATACTGCGAGCATACCAGCGCCACAGCTTGAATCATACATGGCTTTCCTTTTTGTTCCGCGGCCATCAGTCTGCCCTTTTCTTTCGCGATATTCCGCACTGGGCATCTTGCCATCATGTTTTGAAGACCATTGAAAACAGGGACGGCAGATGAAAACTCCGTCCGGATTTTCGAGCTCGGAGAGTTCCAAAGCTTCAATCCAAGTATCACTTGGTCTTGTTGCTTTGTCCATCAGGTTATTACAGCCTGGAACCATGTATGGCTTTCCTTGCTGCGTCTTGGGGGATGGTCTGTCCCTCACTTTGAAATATTCAGCACTGGGCACTCTGCCATCATGGTTTTGAGACCATTGATCTATTTCCGTCAGAATGCTTTCAAAGAGAAGATTATGAGACGATTACGATCTCCTATACGATTGCCACCCCGGTCGGCACAACATCTGAATGCGTGTCTGCAGCTCTTTTGAAGGGCAACCGCCACGGAAGATGATTGACAAGCTATGTCGATCGGAGTCTCGACACTATCCCGGGACTCTATCACAAACCTTGCCACGTACACCAACTCGGACATGTTATACAATAGCTCGCCCCGGAGTCTGCAAGATATCGTTCCACGGGGCTTCCAAACCAGGGCAATCGACTACATCCCTTGGAGCCATACCTTACAAGTCAATCTACCTATCCTTGCCAGCATTCTTCGACTCGATATCGTCAAACTGTTCTTTCCGAAGCCTAGGCTGCACTGTTCTGCATTGCGTCCGATCGCGACGGAAATCGCTATCATGATTTCATCAAAAAGTGGTGTTGGTTCTGCTCATTGGCCTTTCATGCCCAACGATTTGAATGTTTACTGGCACCTTCATCCCGTCTGCAGAATGTCCGAACCGTCAACTCTGTTGCATTCGAAGTACTGTACCAATCCAGGACCTTTGCCGCCGGATACTCAAAACGCAGGGTGTATCTTCTTGGAGCTTCGAATGACGCGATTGATGCGGAAATGATGGTGAATCACACCCCCAAGCTCTCCTCATCGCATTACTTTTGCTGTATGAGATCTGGGTGCGGTCAGCAAACAAGGCTCACTCTACGCAGCAGCTCAGAGTGGTAGCTTGGTCGAAAATTCGACCGATGATCCGGCGAGCGATTCGGAAGAACGCCAATAAAAGCAAATTTGATCAACATCAAATTTGAAACTCGAGGGGGGCACTGGGGTTCCACATAGTCCTCGGGTTTGTTTGGATGTAGGTCTCAGGTAGTACTGTAGTCCGAGCCTCATTTTCCTAGATATCCGAATGCATACACCACTTCCTGGTTTCCATCTTCCATAAAATGTGATATCGCCTGTGACCCTTGGTTGGTCGTGCTGCCATCTCTCATAGCTGCGGGCATCTTTGCGTTGTGTCACGACCAACAGAACTTAATTTATCGAGTTAGACGTGATCACAGCTGGTCTTTGTACGGTTGTAAATAGTATTTCATAGTAGGGAGATCGACTTTGAACACCATTTGTTCTAAAATCTTATAAATTGTCCATGTGTGCTCGGTGCTACCAACACGACGGTTTTGGGGGGTATTTCGAATCTGAAATTAGAAACTACATCGAAATTCTAATAACTCTTAAATGCCCGGAGCGCAAGCAGAATAGATGTAAAGCCGATGGCTAAGTACAGGTGCGAATTTTTCATATACCATATCCCAACAACACCACTTTTATACAGGCCATGAATAAAGGAGGATAGCACTATTTGATGGGTAACTCACCGAATCTCCTTTTTTGTTTCTGCCTTAATATCCCATTATTGACTCTATGGTCCGTAAGCTATGAGGAAGTTCATACGCGGCATGGCATCCGCAATCACGATTCAAGGTCGTGAATCATTCCACCAAACTGTAGAGTAAGAAGGAGCCTCTAGAAGAATATCTGTATACACTGAAAGAAATACTAGTATCTATCAGCTTCACGTTGAGGGCATATTACAGTTGTGAATTGGTACAATTCCTTCTGCTGACCAGTTCATTCTGCTCTACGATGAGATAGATGGATGCGGAGTGGTTAAAAGTAGAATTAATGGTGTCGTGGGGGTGGCAAGGCCCCAGGATATACCTGGTTCTGGAAATGTATACATGAAGAGAACAAGAACAAGGAGAAACCCCTTACGGCTTCATTGGAGCATCCGGGGCCGCGGCCTGTTGCTGGAAAAATGGGTGTTGTTGGACGAGCCGGCGTTGCCAGATGGACCAGGGCCACTGGATGACACTGGAGTGGTAGAGGAGTTTGGATGGGCTGGTGCATGAGCCAGAACTTGAAAGACCTTGCTCTCATCGGCCAAGGAGCCTCGTCTGCTACCCCGATCTATCATCTCAAAAGTTTTCGCGATGCCCTCAACAATCCAACAAGACACAGGGAGGTTAGACGCAGCAGCCAGACAGCAAAAATATAGTACTCCATGAAAAAAGAAATCCACTGCTCCATTGGAGCCTCCTCAACCTCGCCGGCGGCGGCTGGCGATTCAACAGTTAACCTAAAAGGTCAACGATCCTCTCCAACAACACCCTGATGGGGGGAGGTTGGCCGCAGCAACCAGACAATAAAAATATAGTACTGCATGAAAAAAAAGGATCGAGGAATGCATACCCATTTACGGACGCGCTTGGCGCCCGCGGCCTCGCCGGCCCGGGGGAGGAGGGAGGGGGGGGATTCCCCATTTTTTTCCTTCAGTATAAATTGTCAGTCTCTTCAACAAGACCGGCATCAGATTGGGTCAGATTGGGTAATACTTACAAGAGGGCTTGGAAGATACCAAGAGAAGACAGCGCCAGGGAGCAGCGAGGAGTTGAAGAAGTTGAAGAGAGAAAGAGGGTGAAAGTGTTAAAAAATCATCTGTTTACAGAAAAGACTCCAAATCAACAAAGCACTCAGATCGACAGGAACGCAGAAGACAGCCATGGAAAGAACAACAGACCAGCAGGAACGTGTAAAAGGAAGGAGCTCTGAAATCTAAACTTGGAAAGTGCACCCACAAGAGTCAACATCTTCAGTAAAATTATGATATTGGGATATGTGTAGATGGAAGAAGACAAAGAGCAAAAAGAACCTGAAGCTACTGGTATTTAAGTAACTGGAAGCAAAGCAAAGAGCAAAGTTAAAAGTATCACGGATAGCCTGAGGCATACCAGCCTCAACATACCCCTTCAATGCCTCTGGCACATATACTATGTCGTCGACACTCTCAGTCGGCATAGTATTAGCCGTACTAGTATTTTCGGACTTCAAGTTCGCTTCTTCGATTTTGGTATCTTCGCTTCGTTTGGTAGTAGCGTTGGTCGGATGATTATCGTGATATTGCGTTGCCACATATCAGATGCAGGAATCGTCAGTTTCGTAACATTTTCGGGCTCAATTATTCCGTCAAGTAGATTCGTGGCGAACTGTTGTCTATGCCGAGATCTTGATATAAGACTCGGGCCGAATGGATGGTCGCATGGGTACGGAGTATATTTGTTTGCATTCAAACCGGAAAATTCGAGTTCTAACCTGTGGACTGTACGCATAGGGCTCAACATCCATCTCCTACGAGAAGGTGGGAAGATAGAGAGCGGTGGCCGAAGGGAGGTATTTTTGAAAGAGAAACGCTGTGGCTACTAGTAGGAGAGAGTAGCCGGGATTCAAGATGTGAGACCGGACCTATAACTTAAGCCCGGGCTAGATTAGCAAGAACTGGCGACGGGAGATTCCGAGTCGGACAGCCCCCGAGTGGAGAGGAGTCGGTTTCTGCACCACGGGTTTACCGAGAACCATGTAGCACTGGAGATCAAAACCCTCCCGAAAGGATTTGTTGGAAAGAATCCAACAAATCTATAGCGTCGGACGCACCTATTCTTCCACCAGTGAGATACAGCTAACGGCCCCTGAATGTGAAACAACATAATCTACAGTGGAGCTTCGAAATGACGCTGCGGCGCCGCACTAGCAATTTGAGGGCGTGCGTGGGCAAGCTTGGTTCTGACTATCCACGGTACAAGGGTTACGCCCAGGAGAAAAGTCAAAAACGCCAACCGCAAGAGGCGTTATCTGAACAGCCCGAATTACATCATTTGGGTAGAGCTAAGCATCGGCTGTCGCTAGGATCGGCGGATTTGGTCTGGTCTGTGCTGTAGAGCTGAGGGCTTTGTTAAATTCCTTTCGAGTTGGGCTAAGGTGCTGCAATTCTAAAGGTGAGGTGTTGACGACTTCTCTACAGGTTAAGCGAGGCCTGAACACAGTGACCCGATATTTCCCCGCCTTGTTCTCCGCGTGGAGAGAAAAGTGGAAGAGATTCAAGGTCTGGGGAACTCCCGGTGTGCGAATGCGGTGATATGAGTGCATCTGGGGAGGGCGGAGAAAATGAGGAGAAGTAGTATCTCGGCCTCTGCTCGAGAACCGTGCCATATTCAGTTGCATTATTCTTAGCAAATACACGGCCCACATCGCGCAAGACAGGTTAGCTTAACACCTTGCGAGTTCTCGAATTGACGACTTGAGACCCTCTCGGCTCGATGAAACCCCGTGAACCAGCAGCAAGGGGGACAACAAGGAAGAGCCGAATGGACCCTCCCAGTCCACTTCGGCGGGCGCCGGCCAGTGAGAACGCATCAAAGCCGCGCGATGCCGTGCGATGCCGTACCCGCATCTCCTGTTCTGGGTAAATGGCCGTCAGTTGGGGCCCCGGACTGGACTCGGGGGCAGAAAATTCTGTTGCAAGTGGGCTGGCCGGCTAATTGTTATTATCGTGAGAGCGGACATGGTAATTCCGGTTTTCCATGGAATGATTACGGGACTTTGTACGGAGCAGAGTAGGATGTCCCGGGGTTGGGAGTTGGATTGTCGGCCTGCGCCGAGTCGGTTAGGGCAGATGTCGGAATGGCATGGGTTTCCTGTGTGTGGGTGCTGGTCCCTTTCTCCATTTCTTTATTCTCTCCACTTTCTTAATTTCCTTTATTTCGGATCAACTCTACACACCTCGTCGAGGTGTTTGTATCTTCCCTTGTTCATCTCGGGAGGATGAGGAATGCCGTGCCGTGCCGAACGCAGCCACGTCGGGTTCCCACTGACCAACCCCGAACACGGCATGCATCCTTCACGGCATAGTTGTGGCTTCGAATAATTCCTCTCGGGGAGGGGGCGCCATGCTGTTTTCGGTCTAGAACTGTCACCTCGTGGCCGATTCCCCGGATCCTTTCAGCGATCGACTTGGGTGAACCAATGATCGAGAAGGCTGAGGCCCTAGGTGGGGGGGTCTGTGGAGACAGTATGGACTGTCTTATCCAATGATATTTCCCAGTCCCTCCCCAGGTTGCGAACGGGACATTGGTCATGAGAAGTGTTGCACCCGGATTCTCCCCGTTTATTCGCTCTCCCCAGACTGACTTTACCCGATGAGAGTGGGAACTGGAAGTCAACAACTAATTTCCTGGTTTCGGCCCTAGTAACACGTATGGGAATCCACCCTCTAGAATAGGAAAGGGATAAATGAATTAAAAAAATTAGGAAAAAATTGAAAGTGCAATTCCCCTGTAGGCTGTTTGCCATGAGATACGTCTATTTAAGGACTGCCCCCCTGCTGCAGTCGCGAGAACGCCACAGAGTCCCGAGTGAAGCTTTTCTTTCTAATTTCGATCTTCCCATACCTCAGCCAACATGGTTGTCGGGAACATCTACGCCATTGCGGCGGTCTCCGTCATTGGAGGTGGTCTATTTGGATTTGACATTAGTTCTATGTCTGCAATCATCAGTACACCGGCATACAAATGTTACTTCAATCACGGCCCCGATGGCCCTCCCTTTAACGATAGTCTGACTTGCAGTGGTCTCAGCTCTCTGGCGCAGGGTGGTGTCACTGCTTCCATGCCCGCTGGTTCGTGGCTCGGTGCTCTGATTTCCGGTTTTATCTCGGATCGTCTTGGTCGCAAGTATGCTATCATGAGTGGATGTATTGTCTGGTATGTGACTATCTTCTCTCCCATTCTGTATAGAGCAACAGTTGACCGTTCTTGTTCCTGCTTAGGATTATTGGTTCCATTATCGTCTGTGCTTCCCAGAACATGGGTATGCTGATCGCTGGACGTATCATCAACGGTCTCTCTGTCGGTATTGAGTCCGCCCAAGTCCCCGTCTATATCTCCGAGATTGCGCCCCCCCTCGAAGCGTGGTCGTTTGGTCGGTTCCCAGCAGTGGGCTATCACCTGGGGTATCCTGATCATGTACTATATCTCCTTCGGCTGCTCCTACATCGGCGGCGGAGACTCCACCAACTATAGCGAGAAAGTCTTCCGTATCCCCTGGGGTCTGCAGATGCTTCCCGCCGTCCTACTTTTCGTCGGTATGATGTTTTTGCCCGAGTCACCCCGCTGGCTCGCTCGCAAAGACCGCTGGGAGGAGTGCCAATCCGTCCTCACTCTCATCCACGGAAAGGGTGACCCCAACAGCCCATTCGTCGTCGCTGAGATGCAGGAAATCGGTGATATGTGCGAGTTTGAACGCCAGAATGCCGATGTTTCGTACTTGGAGCTGTTCCAGCCAAAGATGATCAACCGTACTATCACCGGTATGTTCTGCCAGATCTGGTCTCAGCTTACCGGTATGAACGTCATGATGTACTACATCAACTACGTATTCGAAATGGCTGGATACGAGGGTAACGCTGCCCTGCTGGCTTCCTCGATTCAATATGTTATCAATGTTGTCATGACCGTCCCCGCCCTTATCTGGGTTGACACCTGGGGCCGTCGCCCAACTCTCCTGATCGGTGCCCTGTTTATGATGACCTGGATGTTCGCCAACGCCGGTCTCATGGCTTCTTACGGTGTGGTCGTTCCGGGAGGTATCAAAGGTGTCGCTGAAGAGTCTATGCGCCTCAGCGGCGCCCCTGCCAAGGGCTTGATTGCATGCACTTATCTCTTCGTTGCTTCTTACGCGCCAACCTGGGGACCGGTCTCTTGGGTCTACCCCCCCTGAGCTGTACCCTCTCCGTGTCCGTGGTAAGGCTGTTGCACTGGCTACATCTGCTAACTGGGCTTTCAACACTGCTCTCGGTCTTTTCGTGCCTGTCGCCTTTGCCACCATCCGCTGGCAGACTTACCTGATCTTCGGTGTTTTCCTGGTTGTCATGACTATTCATGTCTTCTTCATGTTCCCTGAGACTGCTGGAAAGACTCTGGAAGAGATCGAGGCCATCTTTGAGGACCCTCACGGTATTCCTTACATTGGTACTCCTGCCTGGAAGACTTTCCACGATACCAAGCGCACCGCTGCTGCTGAGCAGGGCGATGTCGAGGTTCTCGGTGATAAGCTTGCTGGCAACAAGGCTGCCGTCGTGCACAGCGAGACAAACGAGACCAAGGCCTAGACTGTCGTGCTTTTAATTAATACCTGCTGGTTTGCGAGGACGGGGCATCTTCCAATTGCTCTTCTGGCTTGATGAGTTGCATTGCCGTGGCATTTCAATGCATATACAAGGATGATATTATGTAAAAACGACGAGATAAACTTAGATATATCTCAATCTATGTTGATGTTTAATTGACTATTTCAATGTATAATTTATTATATACTACTAGTAGTAATTGATAATGATCATAGAGTAGAGTAAGCATTTTCGTAGATGGTCGTGATTTTATACTTCCCCAGACCGAGTTACGTAATGCGTTGCCTGGGCATTTCCACGCGTTAAGTGTTTGTCGCGTCAGGCGACCTTTCCCCACAACCAAATCTCCGCCCAACGGCGATGACGGATGCCTTCAAGGCCCTTATTGAACTGACTCCTTTGCCCGGAGATCATGATTACCAGATACAACTCTTTATACGATCTCAAAATCGAAACCGATCTCGATGCCACAACCGCGGGCCGTCTCCCCGCTCACCTTTGAGACATGCGCAACTCTCCCCTCAGATTCCAGTGATGACGACCTTTTAGCATCCGACGATGATCTCGACGAACCTGCTCGTGCGGCAAAGCGGCAAAAAATCGAAAGAATTGCGGAATCGTGCCAAAGGGGAGCTCCAGTCTTTATTCTCTCCGCTTCCCTACGAGGTCCGTTCGAACACAACTGGAAGAACCCGTGGAAGAAAGATAGGACTCGTGGAGCAAAGGCCACAATAGCAGGGAGAACCAAGGCTGGCGGTGATCAGGAGAATGCACCTGTGATACAAGAAACGGACCCGCAAGATGCAAAGCATCGAAAAGACTTGTCCATTGCTTCACGCAAAACAACCGATGTGCCTTCACCGTTCCACCGTTCAAGCGTGTCAGCATTGCAAAAAGGACCAGGCCGGTCTTCTTCAGTCAAAGCGAAGCTTAGCGATAAGCCTCGGCTTCCACCGAAATCTACAGGTGGGCAAAGTGCAGTGTCTCGGAGAGAAGCTTCTGTTTCCGTGGAGGACCAAACGTCCAATGCACCAGGGACAGCAGACTGGTTGAGAAAGGGTGGGAAGAGATTGAACTTTGGCAAATTTGAGCCACCGAGCTCACCAACACCGAAAGCCGAACTACGCAGAGAAAGGTATAAATCTCATTCGGTATCTCATGCAATTGGAAAGCAGGATACACGGTCACCCACCAGGACTCGATCGCCAACGACACCTAAAGTATCAGAAAAGCCACCCGTGGAATGTGCCCCGCCGACGTCACTCTCGTCTGCTTTATCGAAATCGCAAACCAAGTGTTCGGGCTCGGTAGCTGCGAGGGAAGATGTGCAGAAGAACTCACCCATCACGAAGAATCATGCCGCGCTATCAGTTCGTGTTGCGTCTTCTACATCCCAGCTACCACGCTTCCAATATCAGCGATGGAATGCACAAGACTCTAGTCCAAGTGACATGTCAAATCTGCCCGTCCCACATCCTGCCGATAGGGCCCCATCACTGCCCACAGCCGAAGACCCAGATGATGACATGGCTCCATCAAAAATGCTTCTTCCGCAGGAGAATGCCATGAGAACAGCTCCTGTACGAACAGATCAACTAATCGGGTCTTCAAATGATGTTCAAGTTGCCAACCTAGGGGCCGAGTCAACTGATACGGGTACCTTTGGCCAGACTTCTATAGAACAGAACACTTGCGAGCAGCTTCCATCTGCCCAGCAGGCACCAGTTGCCCCGGGGGTTTCGGATCGTGTGACATCGTTGCACTCAACAGCCGTGCCCAAAGAAGGCAACACTGCCTCAGGTGGAAGCTATGATACGCAGCTATCAACACAAGCAGCCCTTCGTCACGTTCAACAGTCTTTCCAAGCCGACCTCGAAAGCTCAGAGCCTGATTACGATATGCACTCCGAGAACGACGACGGGAATGCTGATGAATCACTCCTAGCGCATGAGACGCCATTTCTCAACCCTGCCGCTTCCGATCGAATCATGACTTCGAATTTCTCTCGCTGGGATAAAGAGAAGGCGCAGGCGATGAGTACACAGTGTATGATTGATGCCGCCACGCCATTTACATTTAGCACGGGAGAGAAGCCCAATCAATTTCGTGACCTGTCGCCAGACGCTACCGGAATTAGTCCGGGAGTCCCTGGGATGGGCGCAGCTTTCTCTTCAGCGAGATCCTCTCCATCCGCCGTGGACGACTACCACACCGCACCGACAACTGACGGCCAATACCCTCCCACTGGCCAACAGCAACCAGAGCTTGCGCTGGGTCAACAATCAACTACACAAAACTCCGCCCTGCCGTTTGCTTTAACCGGGTCAACCCCCACTACTGCACAAGACGGACAGGGCGGGTTTCAAAGGGGCGAGAGTTTCAACCTTAGTCAGGCAATTGCTGACGCCGGTAGCTGGCTGCAGCAGAGCTTTGATTTTATGAACGACGCCAACCATCCCCGCCCGAGTACAAAGACAACATCATCTACAGCGGAAAACCCCTCTGCTATGGATTTGGATATATCCTAACGCTCTTTGCTTTACGACCATCATTAGCGGCTTGCATATGCTTGTGATTCCCCATTTTGTGACATTTCCAGTGCGTGCTTTTAAGCACCAGATTGTTGGTGATGATGTCCCCTTGACGAATAAATGATATCCAATAGAATTATGTTTTTCCAAGAACATGCCTGCCCAATCGGTAGACCATAACCATCACCAAATACTCCTTTCTAGGTAATAATATTGTAAATAGTCGAACTGTTGATGTTGTACTACTCGGTTGGCCAGGAACCGCAGGTGGTCCGAGCGTCGGCGGGGAGAGCTCCAACTCCGCCTCATCGCCAGCTCCATCTCATCTTCCATGGCCCGCCGAAATGGCTTTGACATCAGTAAGAGCGCGATAAATCTCTCACCGGAGATTCCTACTAACACCGCATCTAGTGGAAAGCGTTCAACTTTGTCGACGTCTCCCCCGTCAAGGTTCCGGAGGACAGCTCTGCGCTGTTCGGGGTAAGGCACCCTTCAACTCCCCGCTAACATGCGCTGGCTGACATGACTTATAGAGCGATCTCTCTAGTCTCTGCACCGGATCCTCGAACCTATTCCTCGGCACCAACGATGGCTTCGTTCATATCGTCACCTCGACCTTCCGCGTCATTCGCTCGTTCAAGGCGCATGATGCCGGCTCGATTCGACATATGAAACAAATCAATGGCACTTCCTTGCTCGTTACGGTTGCGGAGGACCTCTCAAATGAGCCGGTGCTAAAAGTCTGGGCATTGGATACGGAGCTTAAGGACGGAACACCTCGCTGTCTATCGACAGTGTCAGTACAGAATGCTAGGCGGCAGTTTCCGGTACGAATTCCCCATCGCGTAGAGGAGTACAGTGAAGAGCTGATCAGGAATACAGATATCGGCCTTTGCAGTTGTAGAAGACCTTTCGCAGGTTGCGGTTGGATTCGCCAACGGCTCTGTGACGATCATCCGGGGTGATCTGATTCACGATCGCGGGGCGCGGCAGCGGATTGTTTTTGAGTCAGAGGAGCCGATCACCGGCCTGGAGACCCAGAGTGGTGCCGTAACGGCACTTTACATCTCGACAACAAATCGAATCTTGACACTGGTCATCGCAGGGAGGGGACAGGGTCAGCCGGCGCGGATTTTGGAGGACACGGGCTGTGGTTTGGGTTGTATGACTCTGGATGGTGAAACTGGGGATATTCTCATCGCGCGAGAGGATGCAATTTACACATACGGTCCCCGTGGTCGAGGTCCCAGCTACGCTTTCGAGAGTTCCAAGACTTCCATCAATTCCTTCCGAGATTATGTTGCACTGGTTTGTCCACCAAGGCCTGAGTCCGGCAAGGGTGAGACACTTCGGAAGTATGGTGTTAACCCCGGAGGTGACATCTTGGGTGCTACGACATTCACATTGTTGGATACCGATCTCAAGTTCATTGCGCATAGCGAGGCGTTGGTTGCGCCTATGAAGTACATTTTCATGGAATGGGGGGGATTTGTTTCTGCTCACAACAGAAGGAAAGGTTTGTGACTTCTCAGTCTTGCGTATTTATCCCGATTTGTGCATTTTTCTAACCTCGCCCAGATATTTCGCTATCGGGAAAAGAGCCTCCAACAGAGGCTTGAGATTCTGTATGAGCGCAACCTCTACATACTTGCCATCAACCTCGCGCAGAAGATCGGCATCAACACTCTGCAGCAGAACGCAATTTATCGCAAATATGGCGACTTCTTATACCAGCGCGGTGACTACGATACGGCAATGCAACAATATCTCCGGGCGATTGACAATACCGAACCATCACAGGTTATTCGCAAGGTAGACTTGCCATTAAATCCGAATTATCAATTAATTGCTAACCCGTGGCTCAGTACCTTGACACCCAACGCATCCACAACTTAATTGAATATCTGGAGGAATTACACGATCATGGCCGTGCGACAGTCGACCACACGACTCTTCTTCTCAACTGCTATGCGAAGCTCAAAGATACAAGCAAACTGGACTCGTTCATCAAAGCTCCTGGCGAGCTGAAGTTCGATCTGGAGACCGCTATTGCGATGTGCCGACAAGGTGGATACTATGAACAGGCTGCTTACCTGGCCACAAAGCACGGCGAAAATGATATGGTCGTGGACATCCTGATTGAAGATTCAAAGAAATATGCTGAGGCCGTTGAATATATTTGGAGATTAGAGCCTGAAGCGGTATGTGAACCCTGGCATCTGCTTGTCATCGCGAAACTAATGTAGTAGGCCTATCACAACTTGATGAAATATGCCCGAGTATTACTTGCTCACTGTCCTGAGCGGACGACCGAAATCTTCAAGATCTACTACACTGGTCAATACCGACCACGCACAGAGGTGGCTGAGGTCGAACCGCAAGAACAGCAAACGAGCACAGTACAGAGTCTTGCCAATCTTTTGCCATTGCGCTACGTGACTGGTGGTGGAGGAACTCAAACTCAACCACCGATACCCGAAACAGACCCTATCAACCGAGAAGCGGAGGCAGATTCAGCACAACAGTATCAGGTTCCCAGGCCACGTACAGCTTTCTCCGCTTTCGTGGACCATCCGAATGAGTTTATCGGTTTCCTGGAGACGCTCACAGAACAACCTGGTCTCAAGCAAGATGCCAAGGTGGACCTCTTTACCACGCTGTTTGAGATGTATCTAGACACCGCGAAAAGCAGGAAGGACGCGGCTGAAAAACAAGAATGGGAGAACAAAGCCAAGAAACTCATTGAAGGGAAAGATGTGAGTTTTCCCGAGGCAGCCATCTACATCCATTTTCCGAAAGAAAACTAACCACACCAGATCCCCATCTCGACTTCGAATGTCCTTCTGCTCTCCGACCTATCCAACTTCCGCGAGGGCTCCACACTTGTGCGCGAGCAAGAAGGCCTTCGCCTCGACATCTTCCGCTCCTTCACCTCGGCCAAGGATACACAGGGTGCCATCCAAGCATTGCGTCGCTATGGACCCGATGAGCCGCAGCTATACATCGACGCGCTAACATATTTCGCCTCCAGCCCACAGATCCTCGAGGAGGCAGGCGACGAGCTCGACGCCGTTCTCCAACGTATTGATCAAGACGGTCTTCTCTCCCCACTTCAAGTGATCCAAGCCCTGAGCAACAACGCAGTCGTTACAATGGGCCGTGTAAAGAAGTATCTCAGCACAAACATTGACCGTGAACACAAGGAGATCTCAACGGTACGTACAACACCCCCGCCAGCCTATTCCATCCCGCCCCGTCACACCTACTTGCCAATAGCTCCGATCTAACACTCACATAGAACCGCCGTCTAATCTCAAGCTACAAAGCCGAAACAGCCGCCAAGCAACAAGAGCTCTCAAACCTCTCTTCCCAACCCGTCGTCTTCCAATCTCGCCGCTGCCAATCCTGTGGCGGAACCCTCGACCTACCAACAGTCCATTTCCTCTGCCGCCACTCCTTCCACGAGCGCTGTCTCAACAATGTAGACGACGACGCCCAGTGTCCCGTCTGCGGTCCGCAGAATTCTACGCTCCGCGCCATTCGGCAGCGACAGGTTGACTCGGCGGATCAGCATGATCTGTTTAAGGCGGAGTTGTCGCGGTCGAGGGATCGGTTTGGCGTTGTTAGTGACTTTTTTGGGAGGGGAGTTATGAGGTCGCAGGCGACGATGGATGAGGTGTAGTTGTACTTTTGATTTCTGGTTTGGATTTGGATTTGGTCTTGGGTGAACGTTGTCGTTTTAGAGGCTTTTGTTCTGGGTTTATTGATACCTCTGGTTTGATCTAATGATATCGATATTCTGTATACCGTGGACGTGCTGTGCCGATGCGAGCTCAGCTTAATGTAGATTGACTTCGAATCAGTTAACTTTTGATTCTTCACTACATGTACTGGTAACATGAATACCACACTATGGAAGACGTGATGTATGCAAAGCAAATGCATTCAGAAATGACTACGCTATTCTAGCAATATTCCAATCATAACAGTAAGCAAACAACTAGTATCAAACACAAGGAGACCCGCTCCGCTCGTCGGGTCAATTATATCCCAGGAATAATGGCAGTATGCACAGATAGGAAGGGGAAGAAGATACAGGAAGAGTGGTCAACATAAAGCGAGGGGGGTGGCATGTCGACAGGAAGAAAATCATGTACTAAACCATCACGGCAAGGAACGATCTACCCAGTTGACGATAGAAATTCGTGAAAGTGAACAAAGCGGATAAATATCATATCGTTGATGGGCTCTTTGACTTTTTTTGCGCGCCGAATTCATAAATCTATCGGAAGGATAGGAGCGAGTAAGATGAGGCGACATGAGAGGTGACTGTGTTTTTACAGTTCACGGCCCTTCTCACCTCCCCATGAAACACGCGGGCGGTGTCCGGGCGTGAACTTGGAAGAACTGGAGCCGGAGCCTGAGCCGGAACCAGAGGGAGAAGACTGCTCACCACTTTGGGCAGCTTCTGAAGGCTTGATCGAGTCGGTAAACTGTACTTTGCCGGCTGTTTGGTTATCATCATCCTTTTCGTCACTCTCTGAATCATCCTCGATAGCTCCGTCATCATCGGAGTCGGAGTCGTCATCGTTGTCATCTTGGCCAAGAGCATCAAGACGACGACGACGTTCGGCAGGTGTCTCGCCAGTATCATCGTCAGCCTGGCGAGATGGGGCAGGGATACCGGCAGCTTGACGGAGACGCGAGGGAGGGATACGCTCTGTTCCATCGTCATCGGAATCACGACGGGCACGGAAACGAGGAGGTGCAGGACTGAGGTTGCTGCGGCGTTCTTGGGCAGAGCTGCCGCGGGTAAACTTGGCCAGGGAGCTGGCGACGTCGGGAGTCGGGACTCCGTTACCAGACTCATCATCGCTGATTTCGCTCTCGGTGACAGATTCGAGATCCTCGGCCGCTTCTTCGGGGATGGCACCGGTAGTGGCGACGGCAGAGGCAGCTGCAGCGGCGGAGATTCGGCTATCTTTGCGTTCCTCTTGCTTCACGTCGTCCTTGGCGGCTTGCTGGATCGCGGGTGGCGCGTCCGTCTGTTGTACGACGTCACGGCGCTCCTTGGCATCAAGGCCCTTGAGCTGCTGGAAGAACTCTAGCTTGTTCATGCGGCGGCCCTTGTGTCCGATACCGCCGCTAGCGTCAATCTCGGTATTTTGGGCCAGAGTGAAACGCAGACCGTCATCGGTGGTCCAGTCGTCAGTCTCGGTTCTCGGAGCAGGCTTAGTCTTCTTCGCGCCAGCCTGGGATGACTCCCCTTCCTCTTCCATTCCAAACCAGGTACCCATACGGGTGAGACCACGCCGGATCGGTGCGTGACCAGGGGGAGCAGCGGGTTCCTCTTCAGGCGGGGGCTTGGGCTTTGGTCCCTTGTCATTCGATGGAATGGTGTACTTCTTGATCACCTCTCCGTCCTCATCCTCGACGATAATAGTGTTACCAAACTGGTAGGCATGCGCGGATCGGTGCTTGGGCTTGGGGGTATCGGCCTTGGGTGGCTTTTCCTGTGCAGACGTCTCCTTGTCCTTTCCAAGTCCAATCCAGCTGGTCCATCCCTTGCGGGCCTTACCCGAAGAGAGCCCCGCCTTCTCGGCAATGGCTTGCTTAGCTTCCTCGCCGTCATTCTTGGGGTGAGGCTGGTTGAGAGACGGGGCAAATTCTCCAGTCTTGTCCTCCTCCAAACGCTTGCGCTGCTTCTCGATTTCTTGAATCTTTTGTTCGGGTGTCATGTTGGTAGTATCCGCGGTCTCGAGAACATTGCCTTCTTCATCCTCGATAATCATGTTGTGGCCCTCTTGGTAGGCTTCAATCTCTGGCTCGTGTCCGAAGCGATCGCGCTCCGCACTCGGAGGCGAGGCACCACGTTCAACAGCATCCCGTTCAGCAAGCTCTTCGTTGACCTTCTCGTCAATACCCTCGGCCTCAGCGGGTCGCGGGGCCGGCATGATTGCAGATTGACTAATGGGTCCACCGGCGGGGTGCTTGCGGCGCTTGCGACGGCGAACGGGCTTGGTCTGGGCCGCAGAAGTCTGGGATTCACTATCCTCCTCGCGCTGGCGACGTAAGAAGTTGTTGGGCAAACCGATAGGCGGCAAGGTTCCAGGTGGGTATTCAGGCAGCCTCTCGTCCGAAGAATCTACCTCATCCGCCTTGCGGAACGACATAGAGCCCTTGGCAATTGACTGGACACGGGGCAGACGGTTCATCCATGAAGGACCATCCTCGTTGGCCTGGGTATATGAAAGTGTGACTGTCAGGGTATTGATGCGTTTTCCGAGGGTAAACACGGCGATGGAAGATCCGTGGACAAGGATGGATGAAATAACCATAAACGTGGTTATGGGCCAAATCAGCTTAATAAGGTAGTAATCTTTGTCTCCTGGCGAGGGTAAGCTGTCTTCTGGAGAGGGCTGTGTGCTATCGTTTTCCAATTCGGCTCTGGCGAGAATTGCAGCAAAGATGGCACCGACACCAATAGGACCGAAGTGACCCGCAAACAAAGCTTCTCGCCATGTTTTAACGTCCGGTATGAGTGGTTTCAAGAGAAGCATGATGGGTATGCGACGGAAGAAAATGACCAACAACGCTATGACTACCAAGCGCCAGGGCACAAGGCCGAGCTCAACGTTGTTGAAGTCCTCCCAGGGAATGATGGCTCCAAAGTAGACAAAATAAGCCAAGTTGAGCAGTAAATCGATGACGTTGGAGACATGCGACTCTTCGGTCTTTTCTGTGAACCATCCGTCGTTACTGAAACCGACACCACAGGAGAATCCAATAAGCAAGTCGTCCATGCCCAACAGACTACCGGAGCCGGCACAGAAGACTGCAAGGACGAAGTAGAACACTAGGAAACTCTCACGATCAATGAGACCCTTGCGCTCGGCCAGCTTGATGGCATGGCGAGCAAAATAACCGATAGCGAAACCAAAGATCGCGCCAAAGATGCACTCGTACAGAATAGTCACACAGAACCAATTGAGGGAGACTTCCCCAGCATTAGGTCTGTAACGCAAAATGTAGAATGAGAGGTAGATGAATGGGAAGGCCATGCCATCGTTACAACCGGACTCGGCAGAGAGAAGATCTCGCAAATGCTTGGGCACACGCTTGGCGAACTTACCCTTACCGACGACGGACGAGGCCAGGACAGGATCGGTGGCAGTGACACAGGCGGCACAAACAAGACTGTCGAGCCAGTTCAATGGCGGCACCATCCACCAGATGAATAGACTAGTGATCAGCCAGCCCCAGGTCATGACAGGGACAAGCAAGAGGGTGACCGATTTCCAGTGACGCTCCATGTAGGCCTTTGGCAATTCGACACCGACGGCGAAACATTGTACGACCAGGACAATGCGTGAACACTCGAGGGTGATTTTGTCGACGTTCCCCCATTCATGGGGGTTGAATAGATTGGCGGCATGCGGGCCGAAGATGATACCGCAAAGGGTGGCGACGGTAGCTTCGCCGATGTAGAGCTTCTCTTTCACAAAGAGCGAGCACAGCATGAACAATCCAGTGAATCCACCTAGAATCATGTACGCCAGATGCGGCTTATCGATGTCCAAGTGATGCCACGCCATGTTGTGTTTGAGAATCGATCTCGGCGAGTTTCCTCACGCTCGTCGCTCCTTTGGTATCGATGTAGGTGTTGCAGGGTTGTTCCCTCTGCTCTGCAATACTCTGCAGAGTAACGCCCGTCCTGCGCCAATCAATTACCAGATCGATTTCCGCCTCAGATGTTGGTGGTCCGCGTAGCTCCTCATGCCTTGGGGGGGGTTCGAATCTCGAGAGTGGGGATTGGGCTCGGGGAGAGCGGTCGTCGAGCCCTGTAGGGCTGAAGGTAGGCACGTTGCCTTTCTCGGAGATTGGTTGTGTCGGAAGTCCACGGGACTGGAAACGATAGAGTCGGAGATAGGTAGTCCGAGCGCAACGGTGATACGGCCGAGCTTGAAGGGGATCGGAGATCGATAGAGAGGAGATGGAGAAGGAGATGCAGACGTCGGAGAAAGTCAAGCAAGGACAAGCAGTCTCGGCGGCTTGGGAGGAGAAGAAAGAGAAAAGAAAAAGGAAAGAACAGGGCAGAGGAAGAGTCCTGGATGGGGTAGGGGGACTCTTGGACTCTTGGCTGGGAAGAAAGCGAGGTATTGCGCGGGCGGGAGAGATTTGCCCAGCAAGAAAGGCAACTCTTGAGGCGGCGGGATTCGTCAGCCCAGACTTCGCGCCCCACGCTAACAAGCGGAGCGAGTCTTGGCTGGCGGAGGTAAATACGATTGTAGTATTAATGTATTTATGTAGTAGGAAGGGTAACACCCATTCAATGCCAATGTCAATGTCAATGTTAATTGAGTTGTCACTTCAAGAGTCATATCAAACAAACAAATAGACAGAGACTGAATGCAAACAGCAAGGGCGCCACCACCTATACTCCGAGAACCCAATTCGATGCCGATCGGCATGTGGTTAGAGCGTATGGTATTCCTGGTATTTGTGGTACTGCCTGGTAATCCAGCCAAGTCTGTGCCCAGCCCTGCCAACCGCCAAGTCTCCATTTATGATCTATCCCAACCCCATTGGACTGTCCGTGTCTGGATGTCCACAGTTATCCACTCGGAATCACGGCACTGGCCTTCTGGAAGACTGTGCTTCGTACGAAGTACGAAGTACATACTCATACATATATACTTGGTTCAAGTTGGTACGGTGCATTCATGTATAGTGAAGATTAGAATCCAGGTATGTACGTGCCAGGCTGAGACACTAAATTTAGAATCACATTTCAAAACACCCTGACGGTACAAACGATGGTGGGGAATTGGTAATTGAGAAGAAAAAAAAGGGAGATCACAATCCACATCGCAGCAAAGACCCGAACAACAAACGACAGCAAAGCAGACATTAGATGCAGCTCCCGGGCGTATGGCAGATACATAGGTGGAGCTCAAGAGGCATGCATGGTCCAGGCTTCCATATAGAACATGTCAAAGCATTTGCAGGTGAACAACAAGGTTCGCGGTAAACTTGGGCAAAAAGACAACGACACGAGAAATAAAGGTAAAAAGCGAAAAAAAAGAAGCAAATATCTATCAACCATCTTCAGTTTGCCGATTCCGATCGCGGCTGCCGCGCACACCGCGCGGAGGGCAAGTATCAATCGAATCGAATCGATGCGGGGAAGAAGAGATGGATTTGCTCTTCACGAGTTTATGTACGCCGCAGGCCTGGTCTGGCCTCTCTATTCACCTGTCGGCATGCTTTCGACCTCATCACTCAGACGACGCCAGTTCTCCGCCTGCAGCTCGGAATATTTCACCCGCTCCTGGCTCCAGTCTTGGTGCAGCCGACTGATGTGATACTGGCTTTGTTGGAAGTGAAGAAGCTCGTCGCGAATACACTCCTTGATAAATACTCCACGGGCATGCTGCTCCACGATCGACTCCTTGTCCTGCACAGCCACTGATGTTAGTCGATCCGAGCCGGCGGACAGAACTTGCGGGTGGGGTCAAGTCACATACCTTGAAGATCGCATCCTCCACCTTTTCAATCTCCCCTGGCTTTACAGTGCCAGCGGGCCGGCTTCGCAGTTCCTGGAGCTTACGCTCATTGGTCTCGATGCGTCGCTCCAGTTGAGGGATATTGTTCCGTGCATACCGATCACGTCGGTCAAACATCTCACGAACGCTGACGAGACAGTCCCGCTGTCTCTTGAGATCTTCAAGAACCCCCGCGGACCAGGCCCGTGCTTCGTCTTCCAGCAAACTCTGACTCACCGAGAGATGGCGAGCCGTTGCTGTGATTCCCATGTTTAGGGAAGGTATATCATTGGTCTCCACTGAGTAAGTATCCTTGGTGACCTCGGTCAGAGACTGCAGGGCAAGTGAGAACCGCAGATGATCAGCAGCCAAACCATCGTTGCGCTTGGCCAATCGCTCAAGTAGGGTACACAGGTTGATATAGACTTCGGCCGATCGCTTGACGCCGCTTCGGACAGTATCAAAGGTTTCGTCGAGAGTAGGCGGCAGGGAGTCCTCGAGATCTGGAGGCAGCGCCCGACCGACGAATTCATCTTGGACAGAAATGGTGGCTTGCTTTCGCCAAACAGAAAGTTCCTGGTTGTGCATTAGAAACATTCTCAACTATTCGCTTATCATATCCAAAACCAGCACACTTACGGTGGGAACTGTCAAGAACATCACAACGAGTTGCTCTTGGCCGAGGATAGGATGGCGAACGAGGGAATTGGTAAATCTGATGAGTCCACGGCGACGCTTCTCAAGGAAAGAGCTCGAATCCGCTGAAAGGTGAGTGCCATTAACTTAATTAAGGTGAGCAAGCAATTTGGCGCTTTGATCAGCAGAGGGACATACCTGAGACGCGCTTGGGGGGGGAGAAGAGGCAATTGACGAAAGGGAAATCGTTTCTGCAGGCAATCGAGTAGCCAAACAAAGTCACTGTATCGACGTACGACTGTGCTTCCTCGTCTAGCCGATTTGACCTCGTAGTTTCTGTGTTGGAACATAAACATCCCCTCCTTCTCTGGGAGGAGAGTGATGGTGACAGTCTCCTCGACATTGGGGTTTGTAGTTCGGGCAATTCCCAAAGACCGTCGTCGCGGTGCAGGCTCAATAGGATCGTCGGCTGGAGGACCAAAGCCACCCAGCGCCGGACGTGATGCGCTCGGAAAAGGAGCATCGTCACCAGATGGTCCTGGTGCACCAAAGTTGCCACCCCAGCCAGAGCCAGAGCTACTCGGCTCTACCGGTTCGGGCGGAACGCTAGTCGGTTCTTGCGATAGGCCCAATTGGGCAGGCTCCTCCACCGGCTTGCTGGTCCATGCATTTGTTGTAGATCGCATGCTACCATATCCATTAATTATACGCTGCTCGGAGGTCACTGCGGAAGTGACTGTGGCGTGAGCGTGATTCCGATGTAGCTCCGGGCTTGCCCAGGGATCCGATTCCAGCCCGCCGAGTGACTCTCGCCTTGACTGTCGAGATCGCGCGGAGTTGGGTTCTTGTAGAGGTGAAGGCTGGGGAGGGGGAGTGGTTGGTCGCTCGTTCGCGGGGCCATCGGATGTATCATGGCTCGGGGATCGCAATCGGTCAAGGAAGCCGCTGTGGGGTTGAGGTAGCTCTGTAGAAATATGCGTTAGAACGTGACGATCGCATGGGCAGGGAATAATAAGACAGAGCTCGACTAGAAAGCCACTGTTTCTGTGTGAGGCAAAGGACTTACTCTTGCGGTGGTCATCGACTGCATCGAAGGACAAGTCTTCACCCTCTTGCGCGAGGCCAATCAACGCTAGTAGTACATTGAACTCGGCACGTCCAAGACCACCCGAAGTCTCATTATCACCAGATACAACCAGATTAAGAATCTTGCCCTGGTCAGACGCGGTAAGGTTACTGCTAGACAGGATCTCCCGAATCGAGGACAGGCCGACGCCCGAGCCGACCCTATCGCCGCTATTCAGGATCAGGTCGTAAGCGTCCACATAGCTTTCTGGGACATCGGTAGCAGGAAGAAGCGTTCGGACAAGATCGCGGCGAGCGGTTCGTTTCGCAGTGTTGTTCTGGATGTTCCAGGAGGAGCTGTCATCACCGGTGTCATCGGCGAAGAGGGACGAGGAACCACCGGCTGGCTCGTCGGCAAACAGGGAAGCCTTGGACTTTTGGGTCGAGGACACAGCGGAGGGATCCTCCGGAGATGTTCCAAACAGCGACATTGGATCACCGGGGGTAGGAAGGGTGCGCGGGGGAGTGTGGATGGGAGGTGTCGGGGGAGTGGAGGTGATGGCCGCGATGACGAATGAGCTCGACGATCGGGCGGAGCTTGACCGGAGGTGGCTGGTACAATACCCTACACCTTCAACTTGGTCCAAGCTTTTTCTGATATCATGAATCAAGTTCACGGATGTATAGCGAGTATCACTGCACAATTGTACAGTAGAACAGATCTAATTTGGAATTTGCTGTAAATAGAGCAACTGAAGTTCTGCTATGTAGCTGGGCACGTCCTTCTACTAGTAGTAGTAGTAGTAGTAGTAGTAGTAGTAGTAGTAGTAGTAGCTGGTCACCCCGTGCCTGGGCAGGTATATACTAATCCAAGTACATTGTTAGTACTAGATAGGTACCAAAATTGAATATCTATTTTTAACACTCACCTGCCCATTGCCAGGTGAGAAATACCAGGTTGCTTTGGAAAAGAGCGGTCAACAGGAGACCACCGTGACTGTCCTATGTGCTTACCGTCCTTATACATAACAAGCAACAGAACCCAATTTACTGTGGCCAATCGCGGAAGACTACGTCAATACCCAATCGTAAAAGCCTGCCTATCTGAAGTAGTTGTGCCTATGGGTCCGGCTGAGCAACGTGGGGTTTCTTATCAACGTCGGGACGCTCCCCCGACCTTCCAAGACTCTGGCATGAATCGCCGATCTCCATCTTCCCCGCAATTGTGGGACTCACATCATAGATGCAGAAGGGAGACAAGTGTTATCGTATCTGTGGAATCGGTAGGGGCCTCCGACACGCTGCGTGCTTCACATGGTACACATGGAGCTGTCGTTATTTAAATAAGTACGGGAGGGGAGTCCCCTTGAACATTTCAAGTTGATAGTTGGCTATTTTCGTTTATTTTGACAGTACAGATTAATTCAAGATGCGGCCTACAACAATTACTCGAGCCGCTGGGCTCAACAGGCTAAAGACTTTCGCTCGCATTGGAGCTGGTCGTCGGTACCTGACCATGTTGAATCCGCCGAAATTTGAGAATGAAAAGATGGTGAGTCAATACCACAACTTAAAGTTGATAATTGCGCTAATAACCATAAGTTTGATTATGCAAAAGGATCACCGGAAAGAGCATTGCTCACTAAGACCATTCAGCAACTCAAGAGTGAATTCCCAGTCACCATTCCCCTCAAGATCAATGGCACCGAGGTATGAAAATTGTCTTATGGCATAGAACCTGTCTTTGTGAGCTCCCCATTGACACTATTGTGTAACCAGATCGAAACCAAAGAATCCCGAACACAATTAAACCCTTCAAAGCACAGTGAAATTATCGCAACCTACGCATCTGCCACACCCGAACAAGTCAATGCGTCCATTGATGCTGCGATGAAAGCTAAGCCCGCGTGGGAGGCTACACCATTTGAAGACCGGGCAGCAATCTTCCTCCGTGCTTCCGAGTTGGTGACTGGGAAATACCGCTCCGAGATAGTTGCGGCAACCATGCTTGGCCAAGGCAAGAATATTTGGCAAGCTGAGATTGATGCCGCTGCGGAGACGGCTGATTTCTTCCGGCATTATATCCACGAAGCCTGGGCTTTGTTTGCCCAACAGCCAAAGGTCCACCTTGATGGACACTGGAATAAGATGGAGTATCGGCCTCTAGAAGGCTTTACCTACGCAATTGCTCCTTTCAACTTCACCGCGCTCGGAGCCACATTGATCGGCCCCGCTGCCCTTCTTGGCAACGTTGTTATCTGGAAGCCTTCAGACTCGGCACTGCATGCTAGCTGGCTACTCCATAAGATCTTGATTGAAGCTGGCCTTCCAAAAGATGTAATCCAGTTCCTCCCGGGCGATGCTGAGGAGGTTACCAACACGGTTCTCAAGCGGCCAGAGTTCGGCGCATTGACCTTCATCGGTGCCACTGCCACATTCAAGGGCATCCAGAAGAAGATTGGCGACGGTATCGGTCAGGGCATCTATAATTCGTACCCACGAGTTGTCGGTGAAACCGGCGGCAAAAACTGGGGTGTTGTTCATCCTTCCGCCGATGTGCGAAGCGCAGCTTTGAACACAATCAGAGCCTCTTTCGAATATCAAGGCCAAAAGTGCTCTGCCAACTCGCGCGTGTACGTTGCAGAGTCTGTTTGGCCCGAGTTCCAAAAGGTCCTGGCTGAAGAAACTTCCGCCTTGAAGGTTGGAAACGTCGAAAACTATGGAAACTTTGTCAACCCCGTCATCCACGAGCGTTCGTTTGATAAATTGAACGGATTTATTGAGAATGCCAAGACAGATTCCGAATTGGAGCTGATTGTCGGCGGCAAAGCATCCAAGGAGGAGGGATACTACGTGCACCCTACTGTGTATCGTACCTCCAACCCTCGTCACGAGATCATGTCGCAAGAGCTATTTGGACCGATCTTGGGTGTTTATGTCTACCCAGATGCTGAATGGGAACAAACATTGAAGCTCATTGATACCACATCGCGATATGCCCTTACCGGAAGTATTTTTGCTAAGGATCCATACGTCAGCCGTCAAGCTCAGACGAGCCTCAAACATGCCGCTGGCATGCTTTATTTGAACACCAAGTGCACCGGATCCACGGTCGCTCAGCAGCCCTTTGGTGGTAGCCGAGATTCAGGCACTAATGATAAGACTGGAACGATGGCTCACTTGCAGAGATTTGTTAGCACTCGGACTATCAAGGAGGAGTTTGTCCCTCTGGAAAAAGTGACATACCCTTCAAACGAGGTATAGTTCTGTACATGAAAATTTAGCTTTTTGATTACGCCAGCCAATCCCATGTTGTGATAGAAATAGCCTATATTTATCTAAATGGATCTTTGAATGAAACTTATTCTAGCATACTAGTATGAGAGGCTGTTCGCAAGTAAGATGAGTTTCAGATGCTGATCCCCACATAAATCAGTGCTAGAGTTTGCATTGTCGACGGATACGTGGGCTCGTAGGTAGAGTTGAGCACGATCTTGACTAGCCTATAAAAGCTCGACACGTAGAATCACCATATTAGAGATTGAGAGTGCATGTCATCTGCATGGGCGTCAAATTCATGGTCATCCGACTATCGGGTTCTTGCTGCTGTGTCCCAAAATGCAACGGTGACAATACCGAATATACCCAATTGGCCGGTCTGGTATTGATAGATGTTGGAGATCGGTAGATAGAACGTCCGCAATTAGAAATCTATTGATAACAGAATACCCCTCCCCCGCCTGACCTTGTGGCTCCCACGAGAACGAACGCTTGGTCCGATACTTACCCCTCCTACTGTCGGAGGATCATCCCGACTATACTTGATTGCCCAAAAAGGCAATATCGGTAGGGTTTAGCGACTCGGAACCATGTAGATAGCGGTCAGCGAGGACAAGTTCCCGGTGGTATATAGCATGTCGAGTGACCTGATCATATAACTTTAATGAGAAGCCTTTCCCGCTCGCCACTATTTGCAGACAAACAACCTGGGCAAAAGGCAAACCCCATATTTCGAAGTTTAATTTTATTGTGAGATATCTGGCTCAGATTTGATCCCCCCCCAGGATCCATGATGCCAATGAGACCAACATCCATCCCACATATTGGGTTGAAGGCCCGCCATTTCCCACCTTGCAACCAGATCTTCAGGAGACACCACTCGACTAAGAAAGGATTCCACAATGCGGTCATCACAAACCCGCCGCCTTCTGTTCAACCACCTCTGAGGATGTCCTCGATGGCAAGGCTGCCAACAAAGCTGGTCCTAAGATCACTACTTCTGACATCCCTCATGTCGTCAAAGCTATTTCTTAAGCCCGCCCTGGCTATACTGAATGTTGTCACGAACTCGAAATCGGCCATCCTCAACCCCGATCGCAATAGAATGCTCAACAAGCTGCTTCGATGGACAGTATACAATCACTTCTGTGCTGGCACGAACCGACAGGAGGTCTCGAAGACCGTGGCAGAAATAAAGAAAATTGGATATCAGGGTGTTATCTTGGGCTATTCGAAGGAGATAGTGGTGGACCCAAACGAGAAGTTGGCGCACGATGAGTCTGGATCAGTAAACTACAGCTATAAGTGTTATGATATTGTGGAAGAATGGAAACAGGGAACCTTGGAGACTCTCCGTATGGTTGGTGCTGGTGACTATCTGGCAGTCAAGTGAGTGCTCAGATACCACAGCTTCAGTTAACTTCTTACTAACACTTTCCACAAGACTGACAGGAGCCGGTCCAATTTCAATCGATGCAATGGCTGATAAAAGACCCATGCCCGAAGTCTTGGCGAAGGCGATGGATGAAATATGTATCGCTACTCAAGAGCAAGGGTCACGGTTATGGCTGGACGCTGAGCAACAGGTTCTCCAACAAGGGCTTGACAAATGGGCTATTGATATTATGCGTAAACATAATACTTCCGCCACCCCATTAGTTTATAACACCATTCAGGGATACTTGAAGGGATCCAAGGCAAATCTCGATCATCACCTCACTCTGGCTGCACAGCAGGGATTTTCCGCAGGAATCAAGCTGGTCAGAGGAGCGTATATCGAGCATGAAACACGTTCCGTTATTCACGATACCAAAGAGGAAACAGACCATTCTTACGATCTTATCGCTGACACGATGCTCTGCCGACGCATGCCAGAGGGGGTTGATCTTCCCTTCCCAAATGCGGCACTTTTCCTGGCAACCCACAATGCTGCGAGTGCAGCCAAAGCAATTTCAAAGCACCAAGAGCTTCTGCTCTCAAAGCAACCAACTATACTACTTGAATGTGGACAGATCCAAGGCATGGCAGATGAGTTGAGCTGTGAGCTAGTAGAAAACTACGAGCGAGCTCTGAAAAACTCCACGGCGAGCAATGTCTCGGTGCCAAAAGCTTTCAAGTGCATGGCCTGGGGCTCGGTTGCGGAGTGTATGCAATATCTTCATCGACGGGCCATTGAAAATAAGGGCGCTGTTGAGAGAACCAAGCATATGGGGCTTGCACTAAGACAAGAGCTATGGCGTCGGATAGTTGGTTGATACTAGTAGTTATTATTGACGAAATAATGCACCTTCACGATGCATATGAATTATTAGACCTCATTATATCCATCTCTAAATATATAGTAGTTATATCTCTACCAGATACTGTGCTGCATCTTAATCGCTCTTCCTAGTCTTAGAACGTTCGTCTCTTTCCTCCTTGATCTTTGAGGACAGATCAAGTCCAACTTAGTCTGGGAAGAGTGACTTACAAAAGCCTCAGAAACTCCTCTATATTGTATGCACAAGTTATTGGTGAATCGAACCTTGGAATGAACTTGAAATTTTTCAAGGTGACTAATTTTTGCTCAAAAAAAAATATATATTTCATCATTGTATTTTGTGGTTGTAGACGAAATCAAACTAAACTTCAATCATGATGCCAATTCCAGTGAACCGCTTCGGTTTCAATATCTACAAGGCACAGCAAACCAGATTAGACCACCATATGAAGGCTAATCCTAAATAGTGAAATTACACCTTTTCTTCATATCTCATTTCCTTCATCGACATGACGATATTTGCCCGGCCGACCCTTCCCCGGCCCGGGACTGTGGGGCACTAGGACAGGGAAGCTCCACAATTTGGAGATAACACTGATAAGCAAATGTCGGATGGCCATCCCGACCTATTCTTCTCGACACTTACCCCGCGAAACCTCACATCTGGAATATTATGAAGATCGGGGAGAGTCACCGGACATTTTCACTTTCACAATACATATTCACATTTTTAAATCTCGGTAGTGCAAACCGAAATGCCTGCCACTTCAAACCGAGCAAAGTCGAAGAAATGTCAAAAAGCGTACGTCTCATTTTCTAAGGGTGGCGATGAATTTATGCTAACGTGCCGCGAAGTTGCATACGATGCCGGGGGATGAAAGTCAAGTGTTCGGGATCTGATCCTTGTACTAGATGTGCTCGCAAGAAACAACCTTGTCGTTTCCCAGCGGAGGATAATCGTGTCTCGGTTTCGGAGCGGTATGTTCTTCACTTCAATTGCATCATAGTACGCGAACTAATATTGCGTACAAGATACTTGCGACAATTGGAGGCGCAATTGATGACGAGTAGCAGAACATCTCGCCATTCTAATGCCCTGGATACTCACAATCTTGCTACGTCGCCCTTTGCTGCTGGTGATGATGATGCTATTTTATCACCCTCTCAAGGGCCGTCGTTTCTCTTGGACGATCGTACGGCAGACCAGTGGGGAGAACTGTCTGATGGTGAGTATCTACAGGTCATTTATTTGCCACATATTTATTGGCTGACTTCATTGCTTCCACAGGGCTTGAATCGACGTTCGTTGCCAATCAAACTAGACAGATCGAAAATGGACAGCCAAGGGAGGACGTCTATGTAGAGCATGATGGGCAAAGGTCACGGTTTTCACGGAATCCCTTGGTAGATAGGGATCCTTCTTTTGCAATGACGCCCGATGGTCGATTTTGTAAGTTCTCACTAAAGTGCCGTCCATAAAATGTTTCAAGGCCCCAAGATAGTTACTAATTGACTTGCTTAGGGTATATGGGACCGACTTCCTCATGGTCATTTTGTCGGCGTGTCTTGGCGCTTATAGGAAGACGTGTGCCGGAAGCCAATTGTCCTCCTGATCCTTGGCATCTAGATGGAATGGCATTCAAACTGCACTGGAGACCAGTGCCTTCGGATGAAGTGCCCGATGTCACGAATCTACCACCCTTGGATTATGCACTATTTTTATTCAACACAGTCAAGTTCTACTTTGGCTTTTTATCTTTCATGATCGACGAAGAATCATATCTACGAAATCTGTACGAGTTTTACGAAAATCCATCGAGCAAAGCCGCTTCTTCGAGGTATTGGTATGCGCAATATCTTCTTGTTCTTGCATTTGGGAAGGCATTCCTAACTGCTAGAAATCCATCTGGTACACCGCCTGGACATCAATATGCATCAAGAGCAATGTCCCTTCTCCCAGATCTCTCTGGAATGCATGAAGATCCTCTCACATGCATTCAGGCATTGAGCTTGGGTGCAGTCTATCTGCAATCCATTGATATGAGACGTGCAGCATTCCAACATGTCAGTATCCCCATTCCTAAAAGCAAATATGTTTGAAACATAGGCTCATTCTAATCTCAAACAGATCGGCCAAGCATTGCGTGGTTGTATAATCGAGGGAATTCACCGCCACGTGCCAGAGGAATTGTGTGGGCCCGAATTATCTAGCCGGTCCAGAACGATATTCTGGGTAGTTTATATGCTTGATCGCGAATTTTCAGCTCTAATAGGGGCCCCTAGCTCTATCAGAGATGAAGACATCTCTGTGAGGCTACCTGCAGAAATGGAAAGTTCTGTGGAGCACAGTAATTTGACGCTGCACGTGCGACTTTCTCGATTGATGGCTCAGACTTTGACTAGTAAGTTGACGAAGACTGCGTGTACATATTTTCGCTGAATCTCACACTCTATAGCTGTTTATGGAGTGGGTGATGAGTTCAATGGAACTCTAATAAGAAACACTCAATCTATTCTCCACAGTATGGCTGAGCTTTCGCACGACTTGACTGCTTTCTTGAATGAGAATTTCCACGGATTAATCAGCAGAGCTTCGAAAATGGCAATTCGTCTGATGCTCGCACACCACCATGTATGTATTGAGAAAATCTCAAATTCTCACATGGAAGCTAATTTTAAAAGTGTGTTGTACTTACAACAAGACCACTGGTCATGTGTGCTCTTCATATGCACATTGAAAAGACGGAGAGAAAGACCTCACAAACACTTTCGCTGTCCCCTCCCGTTGCGTCCCTTTTACAGTGCTGTGCCGATTCTGCCCAGACGATTCTACAAACCCTTCAGACCTTGGCAGACGATGACTTAATGGGCAAGTCCATCCCATAATTGATATTCTATCACTCAGAACACTTTACTAACTACCTAGTGCAGATGCATTTTTACCATTCCAAATCGAGGACGCGTCTTCATCTGCTTTTGTTTTATACTTGATTCGCGCGATTGCACCAACCCTCATTCATAGCAGCACCTGGTGTGACCATCTAGAATGTGTTTTGGATAAACTTATTTCAAAGGGGAACCCGGCTGCCCCACTCCGAAGAAAGGAGCTCCGACAACTTGAACAAATATTGGCACCACTAACACCCAAATCTAATCCACTCCCTTTGCCATCAGTCAATGTCAACTCGGACACACAAAATGATAACGAATTTCATGGATTGGATCATGTTGATGTGGAAGAGGCATTTGAATGGGACCTTCTGGGGCTAAATTCCTCGGTCAGTCTTCCACCACGGGAGCTATTGGATCTCGCCGATCAATTGGATGTCGAAAGTATAATGCAGTCTGTCGGTGGAGCTGTTGGATAGATCTTCCTGGGATGCCTTTATAACCTTCCATATAAATTCAATAATCATAGCTCGTTAAATGAAGATATAGCCATGGTTTTTTTCAAGAGACTTTCGAACAACGAACTCCGTTCCTCTTCTTATCAATTTCGCATACCAAACTTTTCAATTGTGCAATATATCATTTATGACGTTGAAAACTAAATTACACGGTAGCTGTGATATGGTAAAACAAATTAATGTACAAGCAGAAGACCCTCGAAATAAAACTGCTTCGGCATCGCGAAGTCTAGTTTTATTGAAGCAGCATCGTGTTCGGGTCCTCAAGATATCCTTTGACCAGAGTCAGAAATTTCACTGCTTCCCTACCATCAATAATCCGGTGATCATATGTTAGTGCAATGTACATCATCTGAGCATGCGTTCATTAGTTTTTGCTTTCACACCATTCAGAACTGCGTCTGGGCTTACCGGTCGAATTGCGACTTGGCCATTGATAGCCACTGGTCGATCCTGGATGCCATACACTCCAAGAACCGCCATCTGGGGCATGTTGATGATCGGTGTACCAAACAAAGAGCCCCATACTCCACTGTTGCTGATTGTAAAGCTGCCTCCTGTCAGATCATCCATTGTGAGTTTTCCATCTCGGGCCTACGCAAGGTTAGCAAACATAAATAACACGAAACTTTCGGTGTATTCACTTTTGCCACTAGGCTCGAGATATTCTTTTCGATCTCGACCAGGCCCATTGACTCGATATTTCGGAGAACGGGGGTAACAAGACCCTTCGGAATGGCGGCGGCAATGCTGAGATCTACATAGTCACGATAAACGATAGTATCGCCATTTTCAATGGCTGCATTAACAGCTGGGATCTCTTTCAGGGCCAAAGATGATGCCCGAGCCATTGCGCCCATATATCCTAGCTTGATGCCATGTTGTTCCATAATCGAATCTTTGTTCATTTTCCGGAAGTCCATCAGTTTAGACATATCCACTTCGTTGAATGTCGTCAAAAATGCTGCGGTATTCTGAGACTGTTTCAGGTGTTCGGCGGTCTTCTTTCGAATTCGAGTCATTTTGACCTGCAAAGAACTCAAATCAGCTTCTTATAAAAGTGTCACAGCGGATATGAATAATAGAATGGGTAATACATACTCTATTCTCCCCACGCACATGCTTAGATCCGGGCCTAGGCTCCGCCTGAACAGCATCCTGAATCGGATGACTTCCCTTCATCGGGGGTGATGCATTGTTTTGAAATCCCGTACTTGTTGCAGGCTTTGTTGGAGATGCTAAGGGTTCTGTTACCGTTTCCTTTTCTTTGTCAAGTGTTTCTGAACCCAATTCTTGCGTTTTGGTAGATGAACTCTGGATGCTTTCCGATGATGTGCTATCTGCTCGCTGGAGTTTCACGATAGTCTGGTCCACAGTCACTGTATCCCCCTCGCTCACGAGGAGCCGTTTTATGATCCCGGAGTGGGGTGCATTCACCACGACATCAATTTTGTCAGTTTCAATCGTGGCAAGCTCTTCATCCTGTTCCACATAGTCTCCGACTTGCTTGGTGAGTTGGACGAGAGTTCCCTCGGTGATAGACTCGGCCATGGCTGGCACTCGTACAACAGTGTTTGCGCTGCATTTTTGAACCGAAGAAGAGAAAAGGCGATAGGGCGGCGACTTTATGAGTATATTGTTGAACTTTTGTCCAAGGCTCGAGTCTTTTGATGGGAAAGATCGGCTTGAGGAAATCAATCGGCGCGGGATTTGCGGCACGCGCAACATGCGCACAGTGCGAGGGGCCGCGCCCAAAGGAAAGAGTACTGGCATTTTATTCCGATGGGTATGAGATTTGAGGTTGAAATGGAAATGATAGCGGAAAAATTGCAGGTCCAAATATGTGTTGCTATCTGTTTTGAATGGTGTCGGGCGTGATCCGATACCCAGATCCGACGCTCGGCATCCTGACAAGTCACCGAATATGGTGAACAGTCTTGAAAAACCGGCTACATGCCCTTTCAAATAGCCTTAATGCGATTTTGTGTGCAAAATGATCAGACTGCAGTTTATGAATGGAATCATTATCTCAGAATTCACAGTATCAGGGTGGCAGGCATTCACACTGATCGACACCATGCGATCTCCCATATTTGTGATATTCGGGAGCCCTCTAACAAACTTTAATTGCTATCTTTCGCCTAATAAAGACTAGCTTTTTCAAACATCTCTTTCATGTTGTTTCAACTACTCTCGGACTGCCATATGTTCTTATTACCCTAGCTCCTAGCTTTGTGGACGACTGTACTCAGCTTCCTCCAACAAAAGATCAGTTCCAGCTCCAACCAGGAGAAGAGTGAATCAGTGCATTTGTAGAGAGACTTGCAGATGCTACTTCTTTGTCGGCGAGATCTAAGTTCTCATAGTAGTCTGGCGAGGGCCACATGTTGCAAGTCGAAAAGTTGTTGCGATCTACGCTAATGGTAGCTTCGTCATCCTATTTTTGAGCAAATAAAATGCTTTGTAGAGCCTTCAAGTTTTCTGATAAGAGGTCTATCATCAGCTCCATGCTTGGAATGTGAATTTCTCCATCTGGAGTACGTTGAGCAGTCGTGGCAGAATGTCGGATGAGCTATCCGAGAGTCGGAGGCCACCCCCGACTTCTTTTTGGCCATGAGTAAATTTATGCCACTTGATTAGCAAGCATCTTCGCTCCAAGGCACTGTTACGATTGTATTTCTACAAGCTTGCAATATTTTCAGCGCGGTACTACGTTATGCTGTCCATTAAGAGTGTTGCGCGCCTTTCTTCAAGGCAGTACGAGAAGTCATTTTTTATCAGCAGCGAAAAAAAACTAACACCACCTCAGATTTGGCAATCCCTACCGAAACCTACAATGTTCCAACCAATCTTTCAGATCTATTCGAATGAATTCTTCTGCAGCCGCTGCCGCGGTTTCGCAGGATAACACCGACACTGCGGTAGCGCAAAAAAATTACAAAATCGTTCAAGATGTCGATAATTTTGCTGAGACTGAAGCAAACCGTCCTGATTTCGACCATGAAAAGCCAATTGAGGTCACCAAGTCGCCATACCCCAAGTGGAAATACGGACAAGGTGTACCAGACAATGGCGCGAGTCTGGCTCAAAAACACCACGAGATCGACCCATACGCGCCTGATCGCCCGATGATCAACAATTATCGTCTTCTGGTCTCAGGAATCGCACCTCGACCGGTAGGCTTTCTCAGCACAATAAGCTCCCAAGGGCAGAAGAACCTCTCGCCTTTCAGCTATTTCCAAGTAATTGATCATGACCCCCCAATGTTCATTGTGGGTTTCTCATCGCGCCCCGGTCGCGTCAAGGACACATATCGCAACTTGAAGGATACGAAAGAATGCGTGATTAACACCGTATCCGAAAATATGATTGAGGCTGTCAATGCTACTTCTATTGATGCGCCATACGGTGTCTCTGAGTGGAAAGTTTCAGGTCTTCACGAGGCGCCTTCCACGACGGTGAAACCCTCGCGTGTTGAGGAGTCGGTCTTTAATATTGAAGGCAAAGTGATCGACATCAAAGAATTCACCGATCATCAACAACCTGGAATGAGCATCGCCGCTACGGTGCTCATCAAGGCCACTCGATTCTGGGTCAAGGAGGGTACAGCTGATCCGGAATACAGCCATATCGACCTGGATAAATTGCGTCCAGTCGGACAACTTGGTGGAGTCTCTTATGGCCGAATTACATCGACTTTTGAGCGACCACGTGCCAGATGGGCCGATGAAGTTCCCAAGAGCCAGTTATTAGCAGATTTGGACGCTACCAAGCCTGAGTGATTCTCCTTTTCGGTGTACATTAGCGTCTTACTAGACATGAACCTGGGGTCTTGCTTGAGTCCTGGGGATATTAGAATTTTGTTACTTGGTCTCTACTCTCAAAGTATATTAAATTAAACACTTGAGTCCGAATAACCCTCTTGCAATTCACTGAATATAGTCGTATCCTTGAATTTCAAGGTTCATCAACCCACGGCAGACATTTAATGTGTTTAACAAAGTCGCTGGCCTTTTTGCTTCGGAGTTTTGATTATGAGTTTGGTCATGTTTATCTACATACTACTCATCGTCGTATTTACTTGCCGGTTTTCTCCTTTCGAATTGCCTAGATGTAAAGATCAAGTCGCTCCGAAGTTGTAATCGGTCTTCAAGTTTGACATGATGTGCGATCCACTTCTTCTCATCGGGACTGCCCTCCGACATCATCAATTTGCAGACGATTACAAGCAACGTCGGAAACTTGTCGTTATATCTATTAGCCCGAACATGAAATTTTCGTTGGAATAATTCACTACCGTCATGTTTCGGAGTCAAATAGTTCCAGCTGCAGTGCCTTTGGTTCGTGTTCAACGACCTGCTCAAAGGCCTTTCTTTTTCTCGAGAGCCATGACATCAGCAAGCAACTCGAAGAGAAAAGAATTCTTATGCATTATGCCGGACTGGCCTGATGTTCTAGCCAAACGAAAAAAGGCCAAAAGGTAAGCCTGCCGTGCCTTGTGCTTGAAAAATACCTGAGGCTAACCACCAGTCAAGCGGTCACTATCAAGGGATTCAACCGTTAATTGCCACTGGAAAACTTGTCGATGGAGGTAATATTGGCTTGCACTGATTCATTTTCATTAAATATTACCTATTTATAGTACCTTACTCATGCTAAGGACTTTGTATAGGTGCAATCTTTGCAGAACATCCCCAGGAGGGTAAGGACCCCCGGTTTCTCGGCAGTGTCGTAGTTTACACGGGCGAAAGTATCGAGGATGTCCGGCAAATTATCAAGAATGATATATACGCCACCAGTGGAGTTTGGGATATTGAAAAAGTTCAAATCTACCCAGTAAGCTGATATTTGGACTCATTGTTTGGCTTTCAGCTAACTATTCGTCGTGCAGTACATGCCAGCTGTGAGACAGCCACTCCCATGAACAAATAGTACTACCACCTAGGTAGTACTAGCTGCTCGCGGGTCTCTGGGAGTTGTTCTCCTTCAAGTTCAAGTTGTGAAGATCAATGAGATCTATGAGATGGACGATTCATTACTTCAAGTTTTATCGGCCGACCTTGACAAGTCGGGAGCGAAGGCATCGGAAGTGGCTTTTTCTTGATGTCTCTAGTATGCTGCTGCGGGGTGAACTCAAGCACTAGCAATAATTAATACTTGAGATATGCTCGGTTGCATATCCATCTTTTTATGCATATATTTTCCAAAGTTGGTACTTGTACTAGTTACTACCCGCGGAACGGTTTGCAAACTACTACATGCTCCTCTATCCTGGAACCTTGGAAAGGTTTACTGGTACTGGCCCTAGAGTAGTAGCACTTAGGTATTGAGTTGCGGTTACTGGTTATTACCTAGTACCTAAGTACTAGGTAGTAGGTAGATGATAGTGTTACGAAGTTATACTTGAGAGCTAAGCTTATTATATACATCAAAATTTGTTGGCATTTGTCGTAAATCGGGTCAACGGGTATATGGGGTTGTGAAGAGAGCCTAATGCTCCTCTGAGGCGTCGGAAACTTGCTCGCTACCGGTTTCGCTCTGTTGTATAACCGGCTGGACCTGGAAATGCCCCATCTGAAACAAGATGCTTTGCCATTCAGGCTTCCCAGTTCCTTGTACCAAAAAGTAGTTCGTATCATCGGGGAACCACCTCTCTTTTCGGACCGAAGCCTTGTTGCCCCCTTCCAGTGCTGCTCGGCTGGCCCGAGTACTTCTCTGCTTCTTCTCGCCATGAGGATTCTGCTGGTCCGATAGTGCGCTGAGGTAGTCGCGATAATGCTTCAAGCGCGCGTCAAACACCATGATGGAGCGAATATAAGGTGCGAGGTCCTCCGTGATAGGCGACAACGTGTTTTCAAAAGAGGGAGCGAGTCGGCCGGTCACCAATGTCATTGTATAGTTAAACCTGGTGAGAGGTTCAAAAACTTTTTGAAACTCGGTTAATTTTGAGGGAAAGACCTGTCGACGAGCGCCAGACTGCCGCCAGCCATTGAAAATTTGACTGGCGTACGCCGATTCCATGTCATCATGGCGCGCGCGGAAAACCCTGGAGATTGACGCTGAGAACCAGAGTCCAATATTCTCACTGAGCGCAGTGTATTCAGGCTCGAGACTGGCTTGGAGAAGTGGATAAGCCTCTATATAGTTCGATCGGTGGGAGTCGGGAATCGGAGGTGCGGATACGTCAAGAGAATCCTAATAATTGGTTAGTTAAAGCTCGGTCACCGAGTCGGAATGAGCTTGCCTTTGAAATGTCTATTTGACATCGAGAGGAAAGAATATCCAGAGAGCTTCTCATATCTAGATAATCCATCTCCCGGTCAAGGATATCGAGTTGCTCGATTTTCGACTTTGCGTGATAGTTATCCCGAGGCAGCTTTTCAGCCTCGCTGAATCCAGCTGCATCCTCGGAGTCCTGAATTCCGAGTCTCCACCAGTGCAAGGTATTCTTCAAAGCTTCCGTCTCTTTATCTTCGGAATCCTCGCCCAGCAAGAGGTCACGGTTAAACCAGCCCATGTAGGACTCGTATGTATTGAGACTTAGAACGCGCATCCGATCACCATTTTCGTCGATGTTTCGCTCCGGGGGCCATGAAGGAAGAATCCAGTCGAGACCTGCTTTGTCACTGCCAACACCGATTTGACACCAAAAATTGAGATCCATGAGCGATCTTCGAACATCCATGCCAGACGCGTCGAAAAGCTTGCTGACTGCATCTCTCTTCAAGACATGTCCTTCGTTTGCAGCAACAAGAAGCAGGTAGTCTATTGCAAGGTCGCGAGCCGGCTTTTGATATCGTAAGATGGCATGCAATGATAGATTTTGAAGAGGTAGGAGGCTCTCGTCATTGCATGTGATGACGATCGGTCGTCTTGATTGGCTGATTAATGTCAAGACACCCGTCCAGAATTGTTTATCATCTTCAAAAAGAACATCCACTTCCTCAAGAAGAATCAACGATTGTTTCTGTTCACGAAGGGGCTTTTCATCGGTCTGCCGTTTGGGACTCGTTTTGGCGGAAGTTGTATCGGGCCCAGTGTCCTTTGACGGTTTGCCTTTGAAGAAGCTCTTGAGCCTGTTCTGTTTGGTTTCATGAGCAGGTTCTGAGGGTCGTGGCTTGGTGGGCATGTCGTCGGATTCGTTCAGAAGGTGCACCAGGTGGTTTTGTGTCATGTCCCCGACCTTCTCCAACATATCTCGGGCACTTCGTCGAGTACCTGCGTTGATTTCAAATACTTCAAAATCAAGTTCTTTAGCCACGGCGTAAATCGAGGCTGTCTTTCCAGATCCCGGTGGGCCACTTAAGAGTATCGCATTGGTGAGTCGGCTCTTCTCCGCGGGCCTCGCAAGATCCCCTGATCGAATAACAGTTTTCTGAGCAGACACGGTTACAGGACCCGCCAATTCATCGTCCGAACCAGAGAGATTATCCATTTCGGACTCTTCTTCTTCACTGGAGATGATAAACCCGTCGAGTTTGTCCGCTTTCTTCTTCTTCTTTTTGCGTTTCTTTTCTGCGTTCGATTTCGCGGTATCTTTTGATGATTTCCCCGTGTCAACGGCAGTGATTTTGAGATGCCTTAACCAGTCACGGAGTACATGAGCCTCACGTCCCACTTGAAGGACATCTTCTGCTGCTTTAGGAGCATATTTATGTGCCCAGAGCTGTGCTTCGTACTTGCCACAATCAAAGGCTGAGAAGGATGAAAGTAAAGACGATCGAAGATTTGAGATGACCGGAAGAGACAAGTATTTCGCTGAACGTGGGTCGCTTGTCCAAGACATCTGATTGTCGATCGCTGTCTGGAGGACTCGACCACTTGAAATATAGCGCCCGGGGATACGAAGAGTCGAACGGGGGCTGTTATCTTCCCTTGAAGCGAGAGCTGCAGCCTTCCGTGCCCGGGAAGTACTAACAAGCAGGGCGTTCTCGTCGTCGTTAATCGAAACCACTCGTAATTTTGATTTCTTCTGATCATTCTGAGAATCCCTGAAGGTACATTCGCAGGTCTGAGCGGAATCAGCAGACCTAATGTGAACCAGATCCCGAGGCGGCCAGAGTGGTTCAACAAGCTCTGGAAATTTTGCTGTCCGGCTAGTAAACGAAGACTGGATAGAGCTCCAAGCCCGGGGCTCACGCTTCGCGACTGGGGTGTCATGTGGTGGTTGATTGGTGGTTGGTTTTTGGAGTGGCGTTTCCTTGTTAGTTTTGGACTCGAATATGAGGTCTGGTTGGGCGTCTTGCGTGGGTTTCTTGAGAAAGAAAGGATGTGTAGGTTTCGCAGGCTTCGTCACTTTGGGCGGCGGCGCCGTCAATGGACGAACAGGCGCAGGTTTATGTGTTGAACGACCGTGAATGATGTCCTCAACTAATCTTGCTAGCCTTTTGTCATCTTCAACGCCGTATTTGAGAATTGCTAGTCTGCTTTCAATCTTTCGGGGTCGTCCACGTTTCCCTGTTGTTCGTTTTTGCTCTGTAACCTCCACCTGCATCGGGGGAGAAGAGCTAAGTAGCCTCCCATTCAAATTAAGCTTCACTATTTTTCGCTTCCTATCTGGCGCAGGGTCTGGTATTGCGTTGTCGGAGACGGCTGACGATTTCTCGGGGGCAGTGTCAACAGAGGTCGGCTCCGTCAGTAATTGTGGAGGCAGGGCTGCTGTGGTATCGATCGCCGGGTCGATAGAAGCTTCAGCTGAAACTGCAGGTGTCGATATATCTTTACCCAACCATCCTGCTAGCCCAGTTTGAAGCGGCGCATCATCGCCGGATGGTTTGGGCTTCTCAGTCCTACGTCTCTTTCGGCGACTTGCATTCAGGTCTTCCTCCGGGCTGCGCGGGACCGGATGATTGGCAAGCAAACTCTCGTCAATTCCCTGTACCATGGGTTCAAGGTCGGCTTTATTTTCGGTATTTGAGTATTGGGTGCCTACGGAGGCAGATTCGGAAGTGAAGGCATTCGGGGGAGGAATCGCTGCTGTCTCGGGCTCCGAGGGAGTTGTCTGTGAGGTGATACCAAAATCTAAAAGATTTCATTAATTGATGGAATACTTGAATGGCTCAGCTCATCTCACCTTGACGGAAGAAAGGGTGAACTGCTGGCTGCTGGCTGTGCCCCATGGCCACTGACGGGTTGGAGACGATGTCCATGGGCATATTCTCACTTCCACCTCAAGAGAAGAACATTGGAGAGATGTGAGTCCAGGGATATATCACATTGACGAGTAGGAAGTATTCAAGGCTGAGACCGGCTGCAGCATATACGTAGAGAGTCCGGAGTAACGAGAGTAACCACTTCCACTCTACACGCAGATCACCCTCCAACACGTCCAGACGCGCCTGTCGCGTCGAAATTGATTATGTCAGTTGTATTATGTCAGCCAATACTGTAAAGCAACTTGAAAACTGAGAGGAGGAATTTTTACTAATAGAATTTATCAATCAGTGTGTTGATTAGGGATCGGAAATTATTTCAAGCTTGGCTTGATCTCCCTTTGATGTATCTATTAAGATATCCCCTAAGCTACAAAAGTTTTGTTTGAAAATCAGTAACTCTTATGTAGTACATAACTATGGAGTCGGTTGTCGCTATGGACCGCCGTAGTCCTTGGATACGCTAGTCTGTATTAGGCCTAGTCTCTAGTGGATCCGGGCCGTTGTTTGGCCGAAGATTTTTTTGCGGATTGAGACTTGCAGCTTCACTCGGATCAGAGAAGGGAGCAGATATCAAGGCTTTGTGAAGCTGAGATCTTGATCGTGATTGTGATCTCTGTCGCTATGGATCTACAGTCCCCGTCCATTCTGGCACAATTGCCTCGCCCCCTCCACGCCTCCACGGGTAAAACCCATATCGGTGATGTCTACAGTCTCGCCGATGCGAAAAAGCGCAAGCGTTATGAAGTCGCTGTCGCCGTTGATGGCGAGGCTGTGAACATTTACAATGTACGAATCACGCCGCTAAATCCTTTCTGTACATTTTACTAACATTTTTCCCTCGCTCTAGGTTCAAACTCCCAAACTCGTGACCTCGTACGCCGTGCCGCCGCAGTCTTCATTTTCTTGCCGACCATGCTCCGTCCGTCGCAAGCTATCCAAGAAGTCTATTGTCAAGAGACAAACCTACACCGTTGCAACGAAGCCTGACCATCAAATTAAATGCTTTGTGGAGGAGATTGGGAATGGTTTGAGCGCACCCGTGATCACCTCTTCAAATGCCACCATCACCGACTCCAGCAGCCCCGCAAAATTCGTTGGAATCGTCCCTTTCAGCACCGAAGATGAGGATAAGGTCGATCCCTTTGACATCCTCGCTGTGCACGAGGATGGTCGTGTCCGCCGATTGTCCTCCGATTTGAAGACTCAGCACTGGAGTATTCAACACAGTGAGATCGCGAAAGTGTGCACCACCCACCTGGTTCACTCGTCCTTTTTGATCGACCTGGAGGATGCGAAAAAGACTATGTTCAAGAGGCGACAAGATTTGGCTGCCCTTGCCCTCAGCGATTCCCCAGCTTCCAGCACCGATGAACCATCCATCCTGCTTGTCGTGTCCCACCCGCAAAATTCCGACCAAATTACCTTGGACGATGTCATTGTCCAAATGTTTTCTGTTCCTGCGAACTCAAAGTCAAGCGGTCATGAAGAGAGCCAGCGCCTTCGCCACCTTCAAACTATCCAAGTTCCCGCGCCTACCGGACTCGACAAAGTCAATACGAAAGCGCTTCAGTGGAGCTTCCACGCCGGTTCTGCCGGGCTCCAGTTCTCCTTTGAGAACGGATTCGTGAATATTGATCTTTCTCAATACTCCCCCTCTGTCACATCTCAATTCGTACTGGACGAGAAGTTCTCATCAGTCATGCGCGTCTCCCCTCAGTGTGTTATTGGCGCAAGCGAATCTCTGGTCGCGGTGTACGATACTCAGTACCAATCCATTCAGCGCAGTATCGCAGCCAGCGATGTCCTCTCTGCAGGGGGGGTGACCACTGAGCCTACAGTCTTTATCAGTTATTTTGCCAAACTTGGCATGGCCGTTGCGGCTAAAGGAAACACCCTTGTCGGATTCGATCTGACTTCTTTGCATAGCCACTCCGGTCCATCTCTGAAGCGATCGCGCGATGGCTTGCTCATTGATGCTATTGGACGAGGCATCGGTTCATCCGCTGCGCAGTGGGATACGGCATCCAAGAAGCACCGCTCTGAGAATATGGCATCCCTCCACTTGACTTCTCCTGAGCAGGTTGAGAAATGGGATCAATTTACCAAAGATATTAACCAGGCGACAAAGTCACGCGATGGCGCAAAGTTCGACAAGACCGTTCGCGATTACTTCGGTGCCTCCGAGTCTCAGCAACTCCCCGCACGAGGACAATACGTCAACCCCGAATCCACTCTATTCTTGCTGTCTAAGATCTTCGCAATTGAGGATTCTGCTGCTCAAGATAAAGCCTCGGCATCTTCTTCGTCTCAACTGCGCATTGTCCTATGGCCTTCCGTTACATGCGGATGGCTTGTGCGTTTAGGTCACCTGTCGCCGGACAATGTTGAAATCGCGCTCCGTCGTGCTCACAAGCCTCGCATCCTCCAGTCGCTCCCGACTGGTTCCTTCGTGCAAGCTTTGATCGACTCGGATCCTTCCTTGAAGCAGGTCAACCAGGTGCTCCGTGGTCCTGCTGTTATTTCGCCCAATGAACTTGCCTACGCCTTGAAATACTTCCTTGGTCAGGCCCGCCTGCACTCCGGTGCCTTGGAGGAGACGGCTCGTGCTATCACAAATGGAGACGTAGCTACCCCAACCCAAGAATTGACCCGCCATCTTGGTGCCGAGGAGGCCGCTTTGAAGTACATCTTCTTCGGCTTGAATCACACTCTCAGAAAGATTCACTCACAGCCCCAGGTCTCTATTGTTCAGTCCCTCCGATCAAACCTGTCGCGTGCAGACCTTCTTACTATGGTCCATCACCTTCGTCTTTCTCTCGCTACTGGTGGCTCTACCTCTCGTTTTACCGAAAACCCCCCAACCCCGATCACTCTTGATCAAATCACTCCCTCTCTTTCCCTTAATACCATCATCGATCTGATTACTGCATCCGTGGATGCCGTTGGCCCATCTGGCTGGGTCTCGGCTCTCCCAGCCGTGAACGACCTCGACGACGAATCGGACTCGGCTATTGCCTCCGCCAGCCGCGAAGCGGAGCTCATTGCCGATATGAAATCCGAGGTTTCAGCAGCCCTTGCCGGCGTTGAAGAAGCTACCTACCTCAAGGGTATCCTCCGTGAGTATCTCAGCTTCGCCAGCCAGGCTGCCACCTCGGCCAAGCCCACAGACGCTACCAACGGTACGGTCAGCGAAGCTACGGCTGCTCCTGAGTCACAACTGGTCCGCCATGAGAAACTTAACGGAGCCGATCTGATGGTCTTCACTCTCCCGGGCGAGGGCGAGGATGGGTATGACGGTGACGCTAGTGGCAAGATGCTGCCACTGTCTCTTAAGCCTACTTCGGGCGATGTTTCACTCTCCAAGAAGAAGTCTACTGGTGAGACCAAGGCCCGTAGCAGTCGTGAGATTGGATACCTTCGCCGCAAGGCTGTTGGGCAATACTCTTTCGAAAAGCTCGTTGTCTAAGGTTATGGTCTCTGGTAGACATGCTTTTCGTTTCGATCTCATATTGTAACATTCACGAACCAAGTATCATAGGAGTCGGGTGGGGAAAATAAATATTGGAATTTCTTACCAACTTGAATTGAACTACCTACTAGTAGTAGACACTGAGGCATTCATTTTGCTGGTAGTAAAGCCATGGAGGGCTATTAGTACAAGTACTTGTAGTACCTAGGTAATGATATATCCGAGTCCTTCGAGTCCTCAGGGCCTGGAGTCTTAACACCCGAGCCATCGAATGAGTACCTATCTAGGTAGGTACCCGTGATTACTAGTAATTCATGATGATAAACCGAAAGAATACTAGTAAAAGGTGATATCCCAACCCCCCCTCGCATAGATTCAAGGCGCGAGGGTCAATAATGGGCTGGGATGGGGCGGAAATAGCAATATCCCATCGGTCAGGAAGGGATTGTGGGGGAGGATGGGGCCAATGGGAGATGAGGGAACAACAAAACAATAACAATAAGACAATAAGAGAATAAGAGAATCAAGTCCAGGTTGAAGAAGTCCAGTAACTTACTGAGTACTAATACCTGGGTACTAGTATACACAATTGACTGATCTGTGCGGTACCTAGGTAAAGCACAAACAAACAAGGAGCTCCAGTGGAGCTGAACTAAGGACCCAGCGCATCTCAGCTCATCTTTCGTTTCATCTCCGCACATCCACAGTTCCCCAATCCAGTTCAAGTTTCACATCAATGCCTCCATGTTCGATTGACCTGCTGTTTGGTTTTACCCTTTTACGTACCATTGGAGCGCGACCCGGTCCTAACGCGCGCGGGTGCTGCATAGCAACAGCATCTACCCACAACATCACATCATAACAAAGGGAAGATGAGCCAACCATGGCTCGACAGCCTGTCTGACGACTGGCCATCGGTGCCTGCGACACCCACTACTCCAGCTCCAGCTCCAGCTTCGGCTTCAACAACTCCAGCCCCAGCTCCAGCTACGACCACCCCCTCCAAGTCGGAACTCTTCCCCTCCTCGCCAGGGCAAAGTGTGCAGAATTCAGTCCAGAATTCCCCGAGTCGCATTCCAGTGCCGGCCCGCCGCTCAATCGACCAACCTTCACCCGCTCGCTCAACGCCCGCACGAAGACAGCAGCGCGATTTTTCGAAAAAAGTAACCCGACCCTGTCACTTCATCAAACGAGAACCTCCGACCCCCAAGACCCCTCGCACTCCCAAGACACCGGCGAAAGTCCAGTCACCGACCCCCGCCAAATCCAAAACCACAACTCCCAAATCCCCCAAATCTCCCAGATCACCCAGATCCACCTCGAAACCCAGCGCGAAACCGAACAGCAAGCGCAGCCCTAGGCCGGCCCCCATCGCGGCGGGAAAACAGCCGCAGACGATGGAAACGCGTTCCCCGCTTCGATCCGTCTCAAATATCTCCAGCCAATCCAGTTTTCAGAGCACAGATACCGTTCAGATCAAACCCCCAAAGATCAAGGATGAAGGTGCAGCCACCCCCGAATGGCGGAGACGATTGGTACAGGGTGAGATTGCAGCGGGCGAACAGCGGGACCTGTTCGCGCCCATGGGCCTCGAGAGCGTGTTCAAACCGCCGACGCCTGGTTCTGCGACCGCCAAACAACCGGGCTCCATTCGATTCACCAAGCAGGAGGACGACCAGCTGTGGGATTTTACCGACACCCCATCGAGACGCGACAGCGCGGCCGGAGTGGAGGAGCTCACTGAGGAAGAGATCTATGCCTACCACGATGACGCGCAACGCGACGGCGAGGTCAAGGACGAGGATGAACCCTGGGGCACCGGGATCGAATCGCCCTTGGGCACGGTAAATCGGGCACCATGGGCAAAGAAGCGGGATCATGACGAAGATGGACTATCTCACACAGATCTCAACGATACGGGGATTCGAACCGCAAGTGGATTGGAGGACCTTCGTAATGAGGGCATCACACCCATCACCTTCACCCGACCCAACACACTCGAAGGCAATGCAACGTCGGAGGTGATCAAATCAGCATTGAAGCAAGTCACCAACAAATTGGAGAGTCTGTCGGTGGATAATAGTCGGCCAGACTCTCCGGCCAGCGATAGCTTGCTTTTCTATAATAACAGCCAGCCCCGACCCGACGGTTCACCTCACGATGATAGTTTGCTAGATGTAACAAGCCACTCTCTTCCGCAGGACTTGTCAATGGGGACTCTCGATTTTAGCCGCCGAGTGACCAGTCGTCCCAACAACAAAAACCACAACAATCGACGCTTCTCACCTTCGCCCTTTCCTTCCCACCGCTTGTCCCCCGCGACTCTTGCGAACGCCAAAATTCGCAGCTCGCCACTTTTCAACCCTTCACGTTCTCGTTCCCCGAATTTACCTCGCCCCTCCTCGTCTCATGTTCGCCCATCGACATCTGGGGATGCCGATGAAGCCTCGAAGGAAACAGCAATGCCTTCATCGGGTAGCCCGTTGAAGCTCTTTGGAGAGCATGATACATTTACGAACAATCGTCTTCTACGTCGCATGAGCCAGTTTGAGGAGACGTTTGAAGATGGATCGGATGGTGACGAACCCCCATCTCCCTCGGAAGAGGCTCGACGCAAGGGAGAGAGTCGCAGCTTCTTGAATGCCCGCCATGAGCCGTTGAGTGAGATTACACCAAGACGAAACGAACGACTGGCGTCGCGGAATGTCTCTCGCCCCCGGATCAGTAGATTCGGAGATGGGGAACTTGATCAATTCGACTTCTCCGATGCAAGCCCATATGAGCACCAGCTGGTCTACGATGAGTCTAATGGGTTTGGATCCCGCCCTACATCTCGAAGACAGGTTTCCATCCGCCAGCAATATCTCCGCCATCCCTCTTCCCAGCTAGGCTCCTTGCACTATGCCCACTCTGCGAGTTCAGGTTTCACACGAAAGCCCTCAGCTTGGACGCGACAAAGCTACTTTGAAAATAGGCGCGATGTGTCGTGGTCTTCACGTGCCAATCAAAAGGAGAACATCGGCCCCGAAACCAAACGGGTCCCCAAAACCGCTGCCGACCCAATCGCCAAGCGCCGCCGAACGATATTGCGAGATGAAAACGTCGAGCCTGACCATACCCACAAGAGTCCCGAGCATAATCAAAAATATGGCGACAGTATGTCTCTACTGCAACGCAGCTTGATGCAACACAAAGTTCAAATGGAGAACGGTGACTACCTGGCACCCCCCGGCCTCTCCAAATCCATGCAGCGACCCCGAACACCTACTCCAAGCCAAATCCGATCTGCACTAGAGTCAACAAATGGACCGACAAGAGACTTTTCGGAATCCAATTACAACGAGCTTGACTATTCGGACTCATTTTCAATTGAAGGTGATATTCCAATGCTTAAAATCACCGGCACCAGTGATTCATCCCGAAAAGGATCCATTACCACCCAGGATTATTTGAACGAAGCGACGAAAGTCATGGACCTCATCCGCGCTAAAGGCCGGCCAGCCGCTGTGATGACTAGCTTGCAAGAATCGGATGGAGACAGCGACGAGGAAAACTTCAGTTACGAAGACGAATCTACGCGCGAGGCATTCTCTCGGCCACCTAGCCGAGATGGCACCGATTTGCGCAAAATCCGAGAGCTGAAAGAAATGAGCCCGCAGATTCTGAACCATCTTAAAAAATATCAAGAAAACGAGGACCTAGAGATGGGCGCTCACGACGTGTTGTTGAATATAAATGCGGAGCTCAAAGCCGCGGGCGAACCAAGTATGGGCTGGTTGGGCAGAGAACAAAGAAAACGGAAAGTTAGTGGCCCGATTGATGATGTTGCAGCCAACATTGCAGAGGATCTCATGACAATCAATACCCAAATGTCCGGCTTTAGCATCAACTCGGTCCCGACCGGCTCTTCTCAGAACTCACAAGCGAAGGGGATCCTTTCATCTGATTTGGTATCGCATCTCATTCCCGAAGAGGTGAATGGGTTCACTTATGATCGATCTAAGCATCAATGGGTCAAAGGCGATGAAAGACAACCGGCGAGGAGGATTCCCAGAGAGGATGGAGACGAGGACCCCTTCCAAGACATTCCGGACCTTAGCGTGGATGAACTTCAGGAAATGATGAGAGTCCATGGATTGAACTCTCCGTTGAAAAGTGCTGACGGCCAAAATTCTCGAACTCCATCTGGGGCAGGAAGCTCGCCCAGGAAACTCGAAAAGAGGCCTCATACAAGAGATGGCGATCTATCGGACAACACAAATTCCGCGGAATCAGGAACTTCGCGACTCACAGCAAGTGTTCCTAATTCCGGTACTCGTCCAACTTCCCAGGAGACGAACGCAGTGCGCGGTAGCGGCGACACCGAAGACAATGCCATCGATCTGGAATCGGAGCCAACTACTCAACCGCGAACTAAGCAAAATCGGGTCCCCACCATTTCATTCTCGTCTCCTCTCGTCTCACATATTGCGTATCGAGACGACTCAGATGTCCCCGAATCTCCTGCCGACCCAGAGGACTCGAATCATGCAGCTCCAGCCGGTGCAAACCAGCAAAACGGTTCAACACATCATGTTCCTCGCCCTGCCGGTCGTCAATCCTCGGTTGCTGGCCAGCCATTCGTTCGACGTCCGATTTCCCGGATCGAGGAACGCAACGAAGACGGAATGGATGAACTAAGCCTTGTTCAGAGAAATGAAGCAATGGCTGTTCAGCAAACGCCTCATGGCGCAACAAAGTCTCTGGTCCCCGTCCAGAGCGAGGGGCAAGATACAACCTATAGCTTTCATATGAGCCCACTCCCTGATTTCTCAGTCAACGAGCCAGACAACTCATTGAACCGTGAGATGACCTATGTTGCGCAGCGTACGAATCCTGGTTCTTTGCGCCAGGTGCATGGCACTTTTGCCCTTGCAACGGAAGAATTGATCAAGCACATCACTGACGTTGAGCCCTACGAACCCTACTGGGAACATGTTCGCCGATTGGTGCTCCGTCAGAAAAACCTGATCACGCTGCACAAGCTGAGCGACTTCTGTCCACGTCTTGAAGAGCTGGATGTCTCCGATAATGACATTGGTCAGTTGAGTGGCGTTCCTTCGTCTCTCCGAACTTTAAAGATTCCTCGTAACTGCCTGTCCAATCTCACACCTTGGAGCCACCTTCACAACCTGCAGTATCTTGACATATCCGGAAATGACATCGAGACATTGGACGGCTTTTCCAGCTTGATACACTTGAGAGAGCTGAAGGCAAACGACAACCAAATCCGCAACATCGATGGAATTCTTGACATGAATGGACTGTTGAGTTTGAAGCTCAGTAATAACTCGGTGACAGCTGTGGATTTCGAAGGGGCCGAGCTGTAAGTTATTTGTCTGACAGATGGAAATGAAAATGCTAACATGAAAATAGAACGCGTCTTCGCGATCTCGACTTGAGCCATAACTGTCTGACCTCCGTTCACAACATCGAGTGGCTTCCCTCGCTTGTTACCCTTGATCTCAGTGCCAACCAGATCTCTCAACTTGAGTCGCCCAGCTCACTTATAAGTCTACGTGCCCTCAAGCTCTCCGAGAATAATTTGGACATTTTTGATGTCACGCCTTTTTCATCCGTGAGCCTGCTCTATCTCGATCAAAACTCCCTGGCGAGTATCGGTGGTCTGCAGCATTGTCATAACCTGGAGGTCCTTTCCGTCCGAGATCAGACGCGTCCGTCATTGGATTCTGCCTTCGAGATTGACCTGGGATTAGTGAAAGACACCCGGAAAGTCTTCTTGTCATCCAACAAGCTCTCACCCACTTGTTTATCGCCATCATCTCCTTTGCTTCGGCTGCAACTTCTTGACCTTGCGGGCTGTACTTTGAGCGCCCTGCCAAGCGCATTTTCTGCCAACTACCCGAACCTCAAAGTTCTCAACCTGAACTTCAATTCGATCACCGAGCTGGAGCCATTAGTTGGAATGAACTGTCTCGCTCGTCTCACGGTAGTGAACAATCGCCTCGAAAGAATGCGCCGGGTTTGCCAAATTCTGAGTCGTCTTGGTCGGACAGGTCGGGGAAGCGCATGTTCACTCCGCAAACTTGACCTACGTGGCAACCCTCTCACCATCGGCTTCTATCCCCCGGCTGTTACTGGGAATGGCTCAAACGTGGATCGTAAGAAGCTGAAAGACCAGGACAGGGCTGTCGTTCAGCAACAAGAAGATCGAAGAGATCTTTCAGACGCTCTCGCTGATATGGACCGCAATGACTCCGTCGGTCATCCGGTCAGTTGGGAAGACGGAGCCAAGTCTGACCCTGAAGTGGAAATCAATGATCCATTCACGTTACCACCCGCCGACCCTCAGGCGGATCAAAAATATCTGGCTCGTCTAGATAAAGCCACGAGACTACGCCGTAGTGTCCTCGAGCTACTCTTATACGCTGGAACCAGCGGCTCATTACACAACATGGACGGGCTCGATCTCCGGCCATCCCTGGGCGAAGACTCGCCGGACATGGAAAGAGCGTGGAAAAAATTGGAGCAATTGGGGGTGCTTCGTCGGAAAGCAATTACAAATAAGCCATGAAGTCAATAGCTGGCGACTTCTATTTTTGGTATAAAGAGCGGTGGATTTGATTTGTGCATGGGAGCGTTGTGTGTATGGAGTTTCTGTTCTTTACTTCGACATTGGTTGGACCGGGGCCTGGGTCTAGGCCTGGTGTTGGTTTGGTTGGGTTGGATTGGATTTGTACACAGCATGCATGATTGCATTGCATCACTGGAGTTTGATTTTTATATGCCGTCCAAAGTCTTGAGTCATAGCGACAGCATCTTAACATTTGGATGAATAATATCATTCTTCATAATCGTCTGCATATTTGAAGTAATCAGGTGTAATGGAATTTGTCACCGATTTCTTGGCTAATTGCCATATCTGCGGCAGTTTCAGGCAGCCCACATGACGACACATCGCTTCCGAGAAGGAGGCCAATAAAAAGAGCCGCAGATTGATCGTCATGAGCTGTACCTAATGTAGAAAGGGGGGAGGGGGAGCTCTACAGGTACTTTTGGAAAGTGAACTGAGGGGGGCAGAGGACCTTGACCAAAAGCAATGGGGCGCAGCTGGGACAGATCAGTTTCCGGGGTCAAGGAGCGAAGCGCTGGTTGAAGAACGGAGAACAGAATTCCATTTAATCACCGAATCTAAGAGAGAGTATTCGAAGAGTTTGGCCTTCATTCTAGTATCCCCCTCCCATGTAAATGGTAAGTTCCCAGCCATCTGGTCCTCGTAGACCCGGTGGGATGGTAAGTGTGAACGGCCCGGCGGTAGTTCGGCCTCGGGCCCGAGACGCTGGGACCACATCACTCTGTCGCGAACGGACACGCAGGACTGCGGATAAATTTCTCATAAAAGCATCCCTGATTGATCCGGGGAGACGCGGAAATGACCCGGCATGCACACTAAGTGTTTCGACTCGGAGGGAGCTGGGCTTTGCGCTCTTTTGCATGCGTGTGCATAGGCTATAGCCAACTTGGTAATAGTTAATGCAAATCGGAATATCAGGAGGGCTCCGCGGAGGATTTTATTGGCGTTAGTGTCGTTTTGATACGATGTATTGTTCTGCTTTTCTGTCCCAGAAAGGGATCTGTCTTTCTGATTTTAGTTGTTGTGTCCAACCGGATCAATGCACGCTTGTGCCCAGATGCAATGGCCCTGCAGAGCGGAGCGGGATAATGCGGTTCAACGGAACTGACGAATTTATCTTCCCGGTGTCCCAGTGCTCTGGTTTAGATTTCATGATCCGTTGTCCTGGGACTGAGCTTCGGGGATGCCAGTGGTTGAATGTGTGAGTAATTCTGTTTTATTTACCACACCGCTGGTCAGGAATTCGACCACGGTCTGAATGCAGAACTGGTATTTCCAGCTATTAATTAAGGAGAGGAATTTCGGAATTTGGAACTTTTGTGCCATGCAGTCTAAGATTGGAAAGGAATGATCTATCATTTTCTGTGTCAAGATCCTTGTCTGTTGGGTTCGCGGGCGTGGCCTTTGGCCAGGGAGCGCCAGTATAAGTTCGAAATGTCTGTATTTTATTGATTTACTCTCCCTGTGAGGCTGCCATTTTTTCTCAATACTTCTCAATATCCAATATGTTTTCCATTTCATGCGTTCTTTATGCCATGTCTGTGGTCGTTCTGGCGTTGATACTATCGGGGATTGTTGTGGCCCACTCGGCCCCGACGGAGACTCGTTCGGGAAAGAAAGAGTTGGTAAGTAATAGGCATGGCTTCAAAATACTCTTTATGTATGATAAATGTGCTAACCGTTTGATGGTGCCATGAGCAGATACCAATATCAATCGTTATGCCGGGAATGGAATTCCCCAGGGACTTCGACGGCGAACACCTTTTGCATGTTAGCGGCAGCAAATATTTCCTTCTATCACATGATGATCTGACACAAACAGATCAAGACGCATGATAGACAGGCCTGGATCGGTAGGACTTTAGGTAGCCGGGAAAAAGGACGTGCTATTTGTTAGGGGATACACCAAGAAATCGCTATTATTCGATCGGGAACAAATATAGATTTGCGCAATCTTGTTGCTCACCATGAAGGGTGGCAGAAATTAGTGAGACCCATGAAAATGTGCGTGGCGACTTTCTTGATGATGATAAGAGCGAGACAGTCTGTTTTGTGATAACTTGATGTTTCCATTGTGCTAAGTAATGCAATGAGCTATCGTTAGAAGGCTTGCGAATTTGAATAATTGAGATGTGTAACGTAGAAATTAAGATCATTAACCCAACCCCTAAGCGACATGATTTCGATAATCCGTCTATCTCAACCTCAAGAGCTAGACGAGCGTTCCTTCTTTAACCTTCTCCTCAGCCACACTGGCAGTAGCAGCAGCATAGATATCGTTGTCAATGTGATGGAAGCGATACCAGAAGATCATGGTTTGTGGAAAAAGTGTAATAGGAGGCGCAGCCCAGATCCAGATAAGCCAGGGGTCCTTCGTGACAGGAATCATGATTTCGCCAAGAGCACTGGAGAGAGCGCTCATGAACAGGTATACGGCAACCACTGTACCTCTCATGCTTTTCGGGGCTCGGGAATAGGCAACTTCATAGGCGGTCACATTGCAGAAGCATTCACTCAACGCACTGAGAATGGTGGTGGGGAGCTGCCACCAGATGGAGATGGGGGCAACTCGATCGCAGGTCGAAGCAGAATATCCACAAGGAGACTGCTTGTAGACCTGCCACTGTACCAGGGCGCCACAGACACCACTGAGAACTGCTAGAATGAACCCAAGGGTCATTCGACTGATAGGGCCAAACTTGATGTTGCGTCTGTTCATCATCGGATAGATAATGAAAGTCAAAGTGGGGACCGCGGTTATCAAAGTTAACGCGTTGAAGTTGTCCAGCACATCGTTGGGTACGCCGTTGGTGATCATAGCGGCACCTTGGTTCGCCTGCACCGAGCCTATGCCCCCGGACAGATAATAGATTGGGAAGAAGCAGAAGATGTCGCATGCAGCTGTGATAAGTCAGTATAATTCAATAGTTGAGGAAGAAACGAGGATTATAGGATGAGAACCAAGACGCTTACTCATTGCTCGGGAAACATCGCTGACAGCATCATCCGTCCATCGAGTTGAAAGACCTTTGCTCTCAAGATGGGGCGATCGCGCGAAGTCCCAAAAGTCTTTGTGCCAGATCCGGAATCGACTTTGAATGAGGGCTGTTTTAGTAATCGACAATGCCTGAATGAAATCTGCTGTCCCACTAGGCGGCTGCTTGTACGTTCGCGTGTACATGCCCAGGAGCAGCAACGGTAGCATGAGGTAAATGACCGCCGTGAGGAGGAAGGACAGCCAGTATCCAACATACTTCTCGGAATAGGTACAAGGAAGCATGTAGAAAGCGCCGACGTTGACAAAGCCATAGAAAATAAGCGTAGTTCTCGTCATCGTGATGGGCGGGTCCACGATCACCTTCTCGCCTGATTTCAGCTGCTTCGTATATGGCCGCTGGTGGCGATTCTGGTCGAGGACCGTTGGGATAATGTTCGGTTTGAAGATTCCAGCGCCGAAGGCGAGCAAGAGAAGACCGATGATAAAGGGTGGTGCTGCGTGTGATTGTCCCTTCTGCAGTACGGAGGGGATGGCGCCTACAAGCTGAATGATATGCGCCAAACCGCAGATGAGAACACCCACCATGATTGCTTTGTATCTTCCAATGTGAACATCAGCCCACCAGCCTCCAAACAATGGAATAACGTATGCGAGGAAACTGAAGAGCAGAGTTAGAGCACTGCTGGCTTGTAACCCCATGCCCAAGGCTCCGGCCGTCTGTTGGGTTCCACGTGGAGGCGCTCCAGCTCCATTTCCCCCTGCACTTAGAAGTTAGCTTTCAAAGTTATAAGATAGATTTGGGAAAGGGGTGTCAAGAGAAGGCTCAAATGCGACTGACCATTGGGTAGAGGAAATTCGATGAAGTTGGCGAAAACTGTCCTTGCGCCATAGTAGGAGGCACGCTCGGCAAATTCGACAAGACACAGAGAAAACGAGACGAGGGGAACATTCGCGGAGACTTTTCGAAGAGTTCGATTTTCCTCATCGGTGGGAGGTGGATACTGGTCCTCCAAAGGGTCGCTGTTGGCTTCATTCAGGGTAGAATTCACAGTCTTTTTCTCATCACTGGGAGGGACAAGAGGTCCAACATGGTTGTGAGTCGATTGAAGTGAGACTTGCTCGCATCCCTCATCATCATCAACCAGTGGAGACGCTATATCATGGAATTTCAGTAGTTAATGGGAACTGGAAGGATCAAACCAGACTCACCCATGATCAACCGAGAAAGAGCATCAAGTAGAGACGAACAGTAGATTGGATGGAGGCAAGGTAAGTGAGAAACTAAGTGAGAGGAAGAGTATCTCCAAAAAGGACGGAAAGGGCATTGGCAGTGTAAAGCCCGATGGCGCCATTGGCCCCGGGGTGAATGCAGGAACCGACCAGGAACTTCAATCCTCTTGTATACTGGTATCCCATATAAACACAATACTAATAATTCTCCCTGGTGCCACCCAATTAAATCTATGTATTAGGTATGTGAAGGAGTGTGATATTTGCGAACTGCGAATTTTATTGGTGCAAAAAATGTAACATCACGGCTCATGGCCTGTCAGACTACAAAGATATGCCCATAAAAGTAGCCCATGCAAACTTTGTCGAATTCTCGGGGAAAATGAAAGAAGCCTACTTCTTCACTTTCGCTTTCGCTTTTTTGTCTTTCTTCATTTGGCCGGTATCGCCTTTAATTCGTGTCTTCTCCGGCCTCGGATCATTTGCGCCTTATTCCATTCTTCAACCATGATAATCTTTCGGTGACTTGCACTGCTGAAACCAAGATGAGAAATCTTGAGTAGCACATCTTCACACCAAGCAATTCGTTCAACACTTTGCATTTTGATGTAAGTCTGCGAGATCTGACCAAGGAGCAGAATTGAGAGATGAGCAAGGCAGGCTCGGTTCTTGTCACGTAGACAAAACTCAATCGATCGAGCAATCTGATCGGCATAGAAGCCCTCGAGAAGAACATTGTCCTCATCGGGTAGATCGCCGTGCACATGTGATGAGACGAGAGTTTTTGCGTGGTGTATCAAAATATGAACAAGTCGCATCGCGTTGAAAAACATCATATGTATCCTGGCGCTATCGAGAGATACAAATTGAGACGCCGGGCCGAATAGATCATCGGTGGGACGGAGATCACTATATGAGGTCTCCTCACCCGTGTTGCAAGACAATAACTCGCCGATATCTGTTTGCCTCAGTCTATACCATGTTCTCATACTCTCCTGCTGTGCGATGCAGCTTTCCAAGAACGATGAGCACGAAACGCTATCAGAGAGATCGACAGAGTGGAGAAGATTAGATAGCATCGCGGAGGAAGCCGAAAACCGAAGAAGCTCATCGAGGAGTGACGTTTCGTTGGAACACATAATATCATTATGTTGTTCCGGGGATATCCCATCGGTCATGATCGCGAGAATCTGAAATAGATATCAATTAGCAGAGGCACAAATATTGGGGTCCAGAGGCCTCTCACAGTGATAATCTTCTGAAACGGATTAAATACGTATCTCATGACCGCATTTGTGGGAAGTGGCCGTTGGCGTTGGTACTCCTTGACCAGTGTTTTGAATGCCGTCCAATGAGCCACCCACGCATCCAGACTATCAGGAAAGTAGTGCGACTGATTGAAATGTTAGATGATAAATCATGCATATCGAAAGGGGCGATATCAAAGAATCCAGGCTTACCTCCAATTCCGTCCAAATCATGAGCGAATAGATTATGTCATCCTGATAGGGGTCTCTACGCATCATGCTCGACATGAGCAAAATGGCTTGATTGTAAAGCCGAATGCCATTCTGAAGAAGAGTCTGATCACATTTGCTTGTCCCAAGGGAAATGCAAGCCCATGCTGTGAGGCTCTTCTGGAAAAGATCGGTGCTTGCCGGTAGGGTTGGCCAGCTCGTAACCACAGAGTGCCATGCATCATTAACACTGGTCGGAAAATAGACATCTAGAAAGGATGAATATAATTGAATTCGGAACATTGGCCCAAAAGCAATTGCATCAGGTAGCGTTGGACATTCATGCTGAACAAGGGGGATGTCATTATCCGAGTCTCGTATGGAAGCGAGAGCTCTAGCCTTGTACGGTCTGTTCGGGGTAAAGACCACGAAGGTCTTAGGCTCATTATAGCCTGGGCATTCAAGCCCTCGTTTGATACAACGAGAACATTGAGGTTTTTGCAAATCACACTAGACTAAAGTATCAGCGAAGGTTATGCCATAATTCGATTTTCCCCGACCTTAATCCTGCGCTTTTTGCATGTTTTACAGGCTGGAGACTGAAAGGGCGTCGCAGCCATAATTCACGTGAAATTCTCCATTCATCCACCTAGCAGCGGGCAGTCGGAGATCGCTTGGAGATCGTGTCGCGTCCGTCGCGGAATATCATCATGCACGAGTTCAAGGATTGGCGAGTTGGTCGAATTTCGGTGGGGGCCATCTTCTCGCTTGATGACGTCAGCCACCAATAGCGACATTCGGGAATTCTTTAGTTATGGCGGGTAGAAATGGGGTTTTCAAAATAAATTTGACGCTGAAATTGAATATAAGTAGCAAGGAAAAATTCATGACATGGCGTTAGGCTGAAAAAGGGGGATAGCGTGGTACTACCTACCAAAGCATAGAGGCCAAATGAGGGGGTTCGAACCAAACTCCAATCATTTGACTAGTGGGCGTCTTTTACTAGTTTATTTATCGAGATAAAATCACAAATACTCCGTGGAAACCTCCGAGCTGTGACTTGCATTTCAATAGATCTTAGACCAGGCAGTAGGATATCATTTCTTCTCTGACCATGCCCTCGAAAATACGACTCGGCGTAGTTTGAGCCTTGCAAGAATACTGGCATCAAGAAATGCTTGGAAGATTGATGGTTTGACAAGGATGGATCACAATCTGGACTGCGAACCCGTGAAATTAAATGAATCAATTCCTACCAAAGAGAGATAATTGAAAATCAGCCTGTTCTAGTAATATAGCCAATCCAGGACGCTCTCATCATCCTCCTGCACCGGAGAGTAATTACAAGCTAGAATTGCGTCACAAAGGCTCCACCGGCCGAAATGCTTATCCTCCAATGAAGATATCAAGATTTGTACATAAAATAACATCTAGTGACAGCTATTATGGCGACAACGTGGGCAAATTTTACATCTTACATTAATATTCAACCTTGGCAATGCCTCTCAAAACACATAAAATGGTCCGCGCCGCCAGAAAGAACGATCTATTTCTCGAAAATTCAACTTCGGGTTGGACACTTCAATTGATTGAGTTCATACCTTCATCCAATTATTTGGAGCAAAAATAGAGGCGTGTCATGGCTTCTCGCTACCAGAGTGTTGCTGTGATTGGGGGCGGCCCGTCGGGAATCTCAGCTGTCAAGGCCCTCCAAGAAGAGAAAATATTCAAGACAGTGCGTCTTTTCGAGCGCCGAGACCGCGTCGGTGGAATTTGGCATTATGACCCGGTCCCCGATGTTTTCCCTCTCAAAACACAGGCAGATTCAAAGCCGACAAGCATTCCGTCAAAACTTCCACACCTATCGCCTCCAACTCCGGAGGATGTTACTGCTCGAACGGCGATCTACGATACTCTTGATAGCAATGTCGGTGCAAAGGCAATGTCCTTTTCTCATACCCCATTCCCGCCTGTGAACTCAGCTCACTCCACGAAATACCTTGGACATTCCAACCCTACGAGGCCCTTTCGTGTGGTTGCAAAATATCTTGAAGACCTGTTCAAAGATTATCTCCATCTAGCTTCCTTCAATACCACTGTCGTGAAGGCGGAGAAAAAGTCTGGAAAATGGAATTTGACCCTGCGACAGTCTGGACATTTAGTCAATGGCGAATTGAAGGACTATTGGTGGGAAGAACAATTCGATGCAGTGATTGTAGCATCTGGACATTACAGTGTTCCTTTCGTTCCCGAAATCCCCGGGCTGAAGAATGCCGTCGCTAAATATCCGAACCACTTCGAACATTCGAAAGAATTTCGCAATCCCGATGACTACGTTGATAAGAAGGTGCTGGTTGTTGGTGGGAACGTGTCTTCTGCGGACCTCGTGGCCGACCTTCATGCCATTGTCAAAGCGCCCCTAGAGCTCTCCCAGCGAGGCCACAACGAGGCCCTGGATTCGGCTTGGAATTTACCGCATGTCAAGGTGCGGCCAACCGTGAGCGAAATCAAAACATCGACTCGGGGAATCAATGTGCATTATTCAGATGGATCGGTGACCGAAAGCGTGGACAAAGTCCTCTTCGCTACTGGCTATAAGCTGTCGTATCCATTCATCACACCAGATCCGGTAACTCCCAACAACCGTGTGGCCGGATTCTATCAGCATATATTCAAAATCGGCGATCCATCGCTTGCATTGGTTGGACAAGTCCGTGCAGCTATAAGCTTTCGAGTTTACGAGTATCAAGCCGTTGCTGTTGCTCGATATTTTGCAGGCAGAAACAAGGCATCTTTACCTTCGCCTAGAGAGCAAGATCAGTGGGAAGTAGACCGATTGCAATACAAAGGGAATTCGCCGATATTTCACGAAATCAAACCCGACTTCAAGGATTACTTTGATTTCTTAACGGAATTGGCTGGTCCACCCGCACCGGAATCGAATAGTTATTTATTGGCACCGTGGGAAGACAAATGGGCAGAATATGCATTCGAAATTTTGCAATTGAAGGACAAGTACTGGAGATCGTTGCACAGGAAGAAAGAAGATTTTGTGTCGGCTAAGCTGTGAGACTCGGAGTTTAATGATACAATTTCCAATCTACTGTCCCAGGTGTTCATTGCGAAGGATCCATTAGCCACACTATCTCCTTCTTAGCTATCTCTCATCACTAGAACAGTACTATAATTATTAGAATTATGTAGTAACAGTGTAGCCTGGGAATGTACTATGTAGCGAAGCATAGTACATCTGGAAATGTAGAAGAATGAGAATTTGGACTGAGGCAGAAGCTAATTTATTATCGAGCATTCTTAGTATGAGTGTGCATGCATAAATTTTGGGCGCTCCCTGGTGTTGGCAACAGCTAAAGCTCTGTTTGCTATACCTTCACGTCCTGCTCATTGGCCTCTCGGATTATCAGTAAATCAAAGCTTTGACCGCTGTATCATAGCCTCCGATCGCAGAAGAGCGATGACATTTTGGGCAGCTTGCTGACCCTGCTCGATTGCTCCATCAACGAAACCTCTCCATCCATCTGCCCAATCAGCGCTTGCAAAAAGAATTCTCCCATCAGGCTTTTGGAGTTCCTGAAGAAAGGTCGACGCACACCCGGGCCCCCAACAAGCCCAGCCACCCTTTGAGTAAGGATCATTGACCCAGTCATGAGAGGCGTATGCTTCGACTCGAGCACCCGGGCGGACATCCTTCTGAAAGCGATTTATAATATCCTTGGAATTTTTCGGATCTTTCAAGCCCATGTTGTATCCAAATCCAATGCACCAAGTGCCCGATGTATCCGACCCCTGAGTGCCATTGTGGTCGGAGAAGGCAAATACATAAGCCGAATCCTGAGAGTCAGCGGTTGCAAACCAGCCTGATTCAATATCCCCGAGTTTGAAGTGCACTTTTGCCCCCTTGTTGATATGTCCCTTGGCGATTGCAGACTGCCGGATGGACTGGGAAGAGATTGAGTTCCTGAATGTCACGTCGGCCAAACAATTCCTGTTATAAATTAACTCTGGTTGCAACCGCCTCTTCAATAATAGTGCACTCACAATGGAATAGTCGATATGAGGTATATCGCTTTGATAGAGTGGCCAAGCTTCGTGATAACCTCGACCGCTGAGTTGCTTTGTCTGATCTCTTTCACAGTCGTCTCAAACACCATATGCCCTCTGTATTCGCCTAAAATTGCTCGCGCAAAAGAAGTCATACCCCCATTGCCAATTTTGTATGTGCCAGCTAATTCGAATACACCAGCCATGCTGTGTCCGCTTAGAGCATACCACCGAAGTGCTTCTGTGAACGCGATGTCTTTTCCGGGTGCACTGCCGAAAGTGCTCACATTCGACTCGAATAGCGCCTTCTCCCAGTCGGAAAATTCAGACAAATTGACCAGTCTATCTTTCACGGAAAGATGATCATACTTTGACCATGGGGCACCTCCCTTGAAGGGGTCATGAGGGTATGGCATGAGCTGGCGACTGTTGTTCCCTTCAATCGTGAAGAATGCTTCGGCAAGTCGTTCCAAAGTATCCAGTGAATCCTCAAGAGATATCTCCTGGGGAGGAGCCGACCCGTGTTTGAATATTTGCTTTGTGGGTGTAGCGGTTCCTGCTGAGGTCTTCAGATTGGTGTGGAGTCCATACCGGCGAAGTTCGCTATACAGATGGGGTTGTGCCCAGTGAACCCAAGTCCCTCCCATCTCCACCTCTTCCCCAAAGCTTTAGCCGTCCATGTGCGTCCGCCAATCCGATCTCTTGCTTCCAAAATGAGCACCTTGAGATTGTGTCTTTGACTCAATTCTCGTGCTGCGATTAGACCTGTGAAGCCTGCTCCTATGACGATAACATCGTAGCTTTCATGAATGTTTGCGGAGCTACTTTGTACTGCATTGGTTTCTAAGCCATCTTGACATCCTTCCGGTGTCCATAAAAATCCCTCCTTTGAAAATGATGTCATTTCGAAGTGAGATTCATGAAGATCTGGAGTAAGATATGAAGAAAAATAGAGAGGGGGGATATTATTAATTATATGTGTATTGTACTAGATAGCAAAGATCAAAATGGTAATTTAGTGCGTTGCTAGTGGGCACTGCTAATCGCGGTACGAACCAATCGCGTTTGTCCCTCGCACTAATTTCTCTGACTAGGACGTCCACCTAGCGGGTCTACTTGATTGCTTTCAGAGCGAAAGAGTCCTGTTGATTTTTGCCTATCACTGATTTACTGATACAACATAACATAATCTCTCAAAGCTTGCTCGACCTTCCCCCGCATTTCCAGGCAATCCCATGGGCATCAGACGAGAACGTTATAGTACTGCCACGTGGGAAAAAGAAGGTATCCCCAGCGCGAACTGTTGTTCTCTGACCAGTGGCATCTTTCAAATTGATTTCTCCTAGATTTAGTTAGACTTCCGTAAATCGCGTTTTGAGAGACTAAATCACCCTCTATGACAACTCCGATTTCATCATACTCGTACTTGGGAGGAGTAGCCTCGGGTCCCTTTTCAATTCGAAACCAGGAGCCAGTAATTGGGCTCGAGGCCTTGTCATTTTGCGTCCCAAGATAGTCAGCTTCAAGAACTAGTCTGTAAACTCGTGCAATGTGATCATGGGCCACTGGCAGTCTTACCAAAGAAAACGTTAGATATTCCCCCCAAAATTGGGGATGTTGAAAATATCTGTCTTGCTCCTAACTCGAAATGCCATGGTGTATAGAACTCGGGGGAATCCTTCTAAGATCGAGATTTTTGACAAAGTTCTTGAGATTATGAGCTGCTTTCTTCTCTCTAACTTCTCCTTTTATCTCATTTAATCATACCACCAAACATCGGAAGCCAATCGCTGCAAAGAATAAACTTGTCTCCACTCTCTGAACTTGACGATTCCCAAATGAGACAATTTTTGCGAACATTACTACTGTGAGATTCGAGCGACAATTTATCCAAATATAGTCTCCAGTCGCTCATCAACCATAACATTTGTCCAGTGAACAAATTGCTCCCTAATACCCTGTTGACCGGCCAGTCTTTGCAGATCTGAAACCAACCATGTCTTCTCTACCACCTCCAAACCACGCATGACCGAAGCGAGGCCAACAAATCGATGGATATTTTTCAGTCTTTCTCTCACAAACGGTCGCCAATGCTCATGTACCCCTTGTTCATTGTGAATATTGGCAAGCTCGCCACATAGATCGGTTTCTTGGGATGTGCAGATAGGAGCAGGCGGTTGTAAAGCACTCCCAGCCACGATAAGAGGAAGGGAGAGTATCACATTTGTGCCTGAGTCCAACGGCAAAGTTGATATAATTGTTAGAATGCCCGTCGCTAGAGACAGCATTTTGGAAGACTTTGAAGTTTCGAGACGATATGAACCATCGAATTCGGAGTGACTGGACCCTTTTTCACGTGGTCTCAACAGTTCTGGAAATGAAAGATAGAGTTCTAGCAGAGTTGTGAGTCGGAATATTTTCGCAGTCTTTTGAAGATGAATCTCTGGTGTTTTTGTATCATCGGTCTTCTCGATCTTATCCAATGGGGGAATACAGTACCCCAGCAGCAGTGTCTCAATTTCACAGGCTTTGTTAATCAGTTTCACTTGAATTTGTTCCTCAACATCCGAGACGAGACTTGATAGGTTCATTTTTCGCAGCGTATCTCGCTGTCTTCCTAAAGCTCCCACGCGAGCCAGGTATATAAATAGGGGTGTAGATATCCCTGTCCAGGGATTGGGCGGAATAGTGTCATAACTCTCGTCCACATATGAGGATAGATATGACGTGATATCAAGCGGTTGATCTCGCAGAAAGGAGACCAAAGCTTCCCAGTATGCCATAATACCGGCAACAAAGTGAACTGATTTTCGTTCTTCTGTCGATTGGACGGATTCAATGACTACTGGACGCCATCTTTGAAACAATACACGGGCACTGTGTAGATGTTTCAGACCAAGCATGGTCGGATGATGCCAGCTCTGTATTTTTGCATATTAAATTAGCCAAAATTCATTTTGAATCCGAGAAAGTTTATAAAACGTACATCGGTCATCCCAAGTAGTATGCAAGTAAACAGAGCCACCGAATTGAAGCCACTAGGGACGGGCTCCATCAACCGACTTGCCTCACATGTCCCAAGTATTTCGCGTTCGAGTCTGGAGACGGCCTCGGCTCTGTGATCAGATGCCACACGTTTAAGACCATTATCTTTTTCTGCAAGATGTGCGGCAGACATTGATAGTATACAGTGGTATACCAAAGGTGAATGGGATATACTGTCCGCAACCCAGGCCCGAAACGGGTTGGTCGAGGAGTCGACGACGCAATTAATGCGACATATAGTAGAGAAGTAGTGACTGGATAAATACGTGTCTTGGCTGGTCAGAGATTTTGATATTAATTGGATGTCATCGTGAAATGCTGGAAGCTCGTAATTATCATTCTGAGCATCCGTAATAAACTGGTCCCAGATAGTATGAATAGGAATCAGGGATGGTTCCATGAGGTAGTCCTGGTTATTGACGGGTATTTGTTCATCTGTCGAAGATCCGATGCCATGATAAACTTGTTCTAGGTCTAGATGTGTCGTGTCGGTCGAAGTATCATCCCCGCTCGGCGGCCCACGAAATTGAGGGTGGGTTACTTGGTCTATCGAATTCTCACGGTTTCTTGTTGCATCTGGCCGCTTAGTAGTTTCATATTTGGATGACCACTTTAGAGGACGAGTAAACCCGGGGCAGTCGTAGCCTCTTCTCGTGCATTGATTACATGCAGGGTTGGTCTCGTCACATTTAATTCTCTGCCAAGCCGTCAATTAAGCAAAATTTGCGTTCAACTCATTTTGTGGGGCAAGCTTACCCTTTGCTTGCAACGAAGACATCCGGCTGCTCACGTTGGACAATTAGTTAATGCACAGTCAATTTACCAGTCTAGCGACCCAGTTGAAATCAGCATACTCCTAGTTTTTCGCCGATTGCGGGGGGCCTTTCGGCAATCTGTAATAGAAGTTGGAGACTCCATAGTCAGGAGTTGGATAGCTTGCAAGCAATCAAAGTTAACAGAACAAAACGTCTTTCAGTGGAATCCAAGTCGTGATGGGCGTGAGGGGGGTTCAAACACGCCCGGATGACCCACATGACTGTCCAATCGCATTGCCGCGTACCTCTTATCCCAATGAAGTTAAGCGCAGGATGTCCCAAAGGGGAAACGTAAACGGAGATCGGTGTATCGGGGCCTGGTTTCAACGATGGTACAATTGTATAACCTGAAAGAAGCTCAATACTAATCCAAATCAAATCGTCTGAAGGGTTCCGCCGGCGGGTGTGTAAAAATATCAGTCAAGTCCTCCGAGTCGTTACCGGCATCACGCCGCCCAGTCGGGTTTTCAGTTACCTCCTGGAGTGCCTACTAGTTAGTAAAAATGCGATCTGATGACATTGGTTGCAAATATATTCAAGTTGTCAAGCCTAACTTAAACATGGTATTCAAGCTATCTAGTATTAGTACCAGGTACCTACATACTACCTAGGAGTCACTAGCACTAGGTTATCAACTTCAAGTTGAAGCCCACCTATGCATCATTCCAGCTTCGAAGAATATTCAGAGCCCTCAGGCTGGAGGCTGTAGTATTAAAGCCCTGGAGGGTACCAAATAGGTATCATTCCAAGCTTCCAAGACTGAATCCAAGTACTAACTACTTAGTAGTTACTAGTACAAGTGCGATAGTAGTGTATTGAATCTCGATGCTGAAAACAAATATAGAAATTTTCTCCTCTCTTGAAAACCAGACGTATAGGTTAGATCACTAGGTGCCTAGGGTAATTTCCCGAGGAAGTGGGAGTATCGAGTCCTACAGAACATTTGGCAGTGGGCATTCTTCGGAATCAACAGTCCTAGTCTCCGAGTGCTCCTGAAAATTATGAGGTTGGGGAATATGCTCATAAGATCCACAAGTATCCACAATCTAGTAGGAACACATGTTTTATTTACGTCAAGTTTGGCGCGGCGGGGGTTCCAATTCGATCATGATTGTTGGAAAATACTATCATCGGTTCATTTCAAGTGCCATTGTCACAGTGCCTAGACTATTATTTCAAAAATAAAAATTGTGTATATTAAGTAGGAAGTAGAAGAGAATGTACAACAAAATCTCCATAGGGAGATTGTCGGCTCGAATGACAGAATCCATTGTGGTCCAGTTACGAGACGGCCTCGGTCTATTTCTTGCCCTGAATGAGAAGTTGCTTCTCCTTCTTGATATTCTCCACAACTTCGATGTCAACCTTCAGAACGTTGGCAACAGTGTCGGATGGGGTCAGTGCAAGCCACTGGGCCAGCGAAATATCAGCAACCCGGTCGCTTTTGTAGAGCTCGATCCAGATAAGCTTCTCGGTTTCGGAGGTGTTTTCGATATAGTGACCTTTGAGAGAGGAGGCTATTAGGGCACTATTTTCAGAATATCGGAAATTCAAATACTTACCAGAGTTATCAGGGAAGACTGCGGTGTCACCAGCCGTGAAGTCGAAAGTTCGGGCATTGGAGCCACCGATGAAGATAGTGGCGCGGGCCTGTCCCTGGTGGAAGTACAGCCACTCCTCAGCCTGGACATGGATGTCAGTATTACAGAAATCACGTCTTAAGGGAAAGAAGGTAACCTACGTTAGGGTGCCAGTGAAGCTCACGAAGACCCTTGGGCTCAAGCTCGATGACAGCAGCAGCAATGGTCTTCGAGATGGGGAAGTTCCTCGAGTCAATCTTGCGCAAGGTTCCGCCGTGTCCTGGGACAGGCTCAGATGGGTGGTCATAGGTGTGATAGACGTATGAGCTGTTACCCTTGAGAGTTCCCTCGGGCGCCTTCTTCAGGTCGGCACTGACGGTGCCATTCAGGATGTAAGGGAACTTGGTTGGGACTTTGTCAAAGACATCAGGGCTAACGCCAAAGTTCTTCGCAAGCACATCCCGGGGGGTGTGGGTAATCCAGTCATCAACCATGAAAGTGGTTCTAGTCCATCAGCAAAAAGATTCTAAGAGAATGAGGAAATAGTGCACCTACCCGACTTTCTCGAAGTCACCGTCATCAAAGGCAAGAAGATACTCGTTCTCATCATCAAGACCCTGGACATTATGGGCAACACCCTTAGGGAAGTACCAAATGTCACCAGTCTTCAGGACCTCAGTTGTGAAACCGCCATCCTCGTCAACTCCGGTAAGGAGCAGGGAGCCATTGTAAACAAAACCCCACTCAGCCTATATGGAATAAATATTAGCGTGGAGGTAGGTAATAGATGCATAAATGTACTCACCACTCTGTGCCAGTGAAGCTCACGAATGGCACCTTTCTTGAGATGCTGCTGGGCACCAGCAATATCATGGCTCTGGGGCAGATCTTGAATCACTTGCTCTCTGGACCAACCACCAGGGAAAAGCTTAGTCTGAGACTGAGAGAAACTCCACTTGACATTGGGCACAAAGCCGTTGTCAGTGCTCGGGGTCCTGAGCTGATCCGGGTTCTGGAGGTCATTGGCCTTGTTGGTTCCGCCTTGACAAGGGGTCAAGTTAGCAAAAGAGAATTTTGAAAAGAAACCCCAGACCCTTTACTTACCCAGCAAAGGAGCGCCCTTGCCACTGTCGTTGATGGGTTGAGAAGGGTCGAGAGCTCGCTTGGCCTTAGGAACAGCCAAGGCAGAGGATGCAAATAGCAAGAAGGCGAGATTTTCGAAACGCATTATGAACTCGCGTTAAAAGAACGTGGTGAATAAAAGTCTTGGCTTGACATTGTTCATTGCAAGGATAAAAGTACTATAGTTATATACCCCACTGAAGGGCGCAAACGTTCAAATTCCAAAATCAATGCACGGAGCTTCTTGGATCACAACATGTTCAATAATTATCGCGATCGCGCAGATCGTGATGAAAAGCAGGCGGATAATTTCGTGGCGTTGGACTATATCGCGCCTCATAAGAGAAGAGAAGAGGGGAAATGGTGCAATAAAGCGATCAAAAGCAAATCTACTATCCCGTGGATAGACTTTGGGGAAAAGCTAAGCCCTGCATGACCATATGGCTATCCAGCGAAAGAGTGGCAAGTGCAAAGCAATTTTGGCTTTTATAACAACATCCTTGGCATGTTGGCGAAATCGATGAGGGCTCCCCCGTAGTCCCCATGGGGAAATGTCAGCGCTGATCCAGGGACCAAACAGGGTCCGAAGAACCCTAAGTTATCATTACCGAGATTTAGGAAAATGTGAATTGGGAATGAGGTTTTCAGCCGGCATGCAATCACCTCATCTGCCCCCCGACTGGAGGGTTCCTTGATATCTTGGCAGCTCTTGGCAGGCATGGATTGACATCACGGTCCACGCGATGGTTCACGAGGAACACAGGTAAGCTTCGCTTTGACCCATCAAAACGCCAGAAACTGGGAAGGCTGAAAAGTCGAAGATTATCTATCAATTCTTCAAAACTCACTGCTAGTCATTTAACTCCGTCCCTCGTGTGCAGATACCCCGTGCATGTAACCAAATGTATGGGCATAGAGGTTCCTTTTATTTTCCGACCTGCACAAGAAATGGTGCCAAGTATGAAGAGTTGTGGGAACCTGGAAGACGAAGCATCAATACTCGTAGCTAGAAAATTGCATGTAATTACTTCTCATGCCGTAAATCACCAATCGGCGCAAAATCAAGACCATCGCCAGCCAGTACTCCTCCACGAAAGGGCGTTCTCGTATCCTTAGCGTTGGAACTATTAGTTCTTAGACTCCCCGGTCCCTGCAGGAGTTCATGACTCTACACCCAGGCACCGGGGTTTGACCTCGATCACGACATCCTGTTGATCCTAGTGTGGCTTGGCTCTGCATGGCCGGGCACTGTATAGGAAATAAACCATCAGATCATCACTCAGAAGAGATGAGAGAGTCATCTAGTATCCTGTCTTGGGCCAAAAGTCGCCATCTAGTAGATCAAAATCGTCGTGAATAATTTGAAAGAAAGTTTTCAGCCACGGAATGAATTCATTGCGTGCGATATGTTCCAGATGATTCAGAGCGAAGGGTTCCTGAAAATCACAGAAATCCTGAGAGAGATATGGCGAGCAGGACCTGTATATAAGACATCTCAATTCCCTCAAATTTGCTCACCAGAAAACGCAAGGGCTTTCCTCTTCTTCTGATTTGTTCATTCGCTCGAGAGTTCTCAAGATGAAGTACTCTGTTGCATCCATTGCGTACCTGATCTCCATTGCGGAGTGTCTTTCGCTTCCTCCGCTTATTCCCAGCATTCCGGGTGTTACTGAGCCTCTGACTACCAATGCTCCTCCTCTGCCTATCCTGCAGGTCCCTACCCCGCCTCTGGAGAGCCCTCCCTTCACTCCCAGCGACATCAAGCCCAAGAAGATTGGTTACTTCTGGACTGGAGCTGGTGACAAGTTCCACAAGGGTAATTTATCAATAAATCATTGGTTCACTGCCTATGCTAATATTTAATTCTTAGATTTCCTTGCGACCTACAGTCTTGACGATGTACGAAAACTCTATCATGCTTCTCAATGCTTTTCTACTTTCTTTCTTTTCTTTGCAAGCTGACTGGTCAAATTTAGGACACCTTCGGTACACTTCTGTGGGTGACTGATGTTCCATCCAGTGGTAATGACCCTCACCATTTGGGACCCTCGCTTGATGGCAAGACCCTATTTGGTGGTGGCCTCCTTTCGCTCTTGAAGACTCAGGTCAGTAATTCCTTAGATCTTTGATGGCGAAATATAACTGACCCTATATTCTATAGGACACTGGTTTCTACTTTGATACCTCCAACCCCTACCGTCCCAAGTTCTTAAAGAGCAACCGAGCCGTTCTGGGATCCATTGCCGATGAAGTCCGTGCTAAACCTGATGGTGGATTCTTTATCACCTACATGGGATCTGCAGTTGGAACCAGCCCCGGTCGTCTCATTGAGACTGATGCTGATTTCAACATCATCCATGAGTACCCCGAGGATGTTGAGGGCACCCTCAACATCCTGGGCGAGCAATTCTCCCCCCCATGGTCTCAGCATCGACTGGGAGAAGAAGCTCATTCTCACTTCCGATTTTGTGGTTCCTATCACTATTCTGAAGCCTAGCTTGGGAATTCAACACGCCAACACTCTCCGTCTTTGGGACCTAGACACCAAAAAGATTCTGAGCACCTTGACTATCCCCAACGTGAGCTCTCACTCTATTCGAAACGCGATTTATTTACCGTCATGCTAACAAATTTAATAGGGAGGTGGTATTCAGGATGTCAAGTTCATCCCTGGTAACAAGGAGTCTGCTGCTCTCGCTACTGCCGTGCACCTTGGACAAGTCTGGATTATCTACCCTCTCCGCAAGGATGAGAATGGCAACCAGGGTGTTATTGAGCTACTGTACGATCTTGGTCCCAAGGCTCGTGACACCATTGCTATCTAGTAAGTAACTCGAGCACCCGAGGCCCTTAGGTGACATAAACTAACCTTTCTACAGCTCCGACATCACCCAAGACGGAAAGTTTATCTACCTCACTTTGACAACTGCCAACCACATCGCCGCTCTGGACATTAGCGACCTCAACAACGTCAAGCGTCTCGATGACCCCAATGAGGACCAACCGACTATTGGTCCCCACTACATCAAGGTTACTCCTGACCAGAAGCACTTGGTTGTCACGGACTACTTCGTCCAGACCGGAGATATCGGTATCATCAACACCCCGGCTGATTTCAAGGCTCTGTACATCGACCTTAATGAGGATGGTGGCCTTAGCTTCAACCGTAGCATCGATTTCCCCAGAGAGTTCGCCAGCCGTGGCGGCGCTAAGCCCCATTCTAGTGTCGTCTTTGACCTCACTGACCCCGAGGACCCCAAATACTACTAGATGCGACTATAGAGCACGAGCACGGGGACGGATTGACTGAAGGAGTTGTACTGTGAGGGCAGTTTGCATTCTCCAATTCTGGCAAAAGCGCTCTGCGCTGTTCTAACTTGAACTTTTATCTTCTAATTCTACTACACTCATTAATATACCTATTTTCTTTTGGATTGTCTATTCTAATGGTACCTCAGGCCCATAGCGCTACTAACTCAGCCCGCACCCGCCACTTGTTGTAGATATCGAGCTTGGTATTCAACTTAATTTAAACTTCATCTACTCTTGTTTTGTTTCTAGTCTTGTGATCCACACCTGATGATGACTCTCCTCGAGTATCTGGGCCATCGCATCGATCTGATACGCTATCCTTTCCACCCACCACCTCAGCCTCCAGCGTAGCATGAAATGCGACCCGTTTAGGCAGCAGATATCTCACATCGATAAAGCGTAACGCACACGTCATTATAATGACCAAAACGAGCAAGGCCAATGCAGTCTGCCAGCCGTACCTATAGTACGGTGCCTCTGATGCCGGCCAAACTAGAACCTGGGACCAGGCGGAAATCGCATAATAACCAGCGACCGAGACTCCGACCACAAGTGTGCGTGCCTCGGGGTCTTGTGGAATGAGATCCGACAGCCACGCGAAAATTAGAGGCGCAGTCCCAAGACAAATATATGAAATAAAATATGAGGCGTATGCGCCTGACAGAGGAACAGCGCTGGGATGGGAAGTCCAAACGCTCATGATGATGCACGGGATGATGCCAATGATTCCTTGGGCTACGACGAGGGTCCATCGCGTGCGAAGGAAATCGGATAATAGAGCCCAGATCCAAACAAAGACTACATTGATGGCTGAGCCCCCGATTGGAATCGCGTTGACTTGTGTGACAGACCACCTTGCACTTCCATCTGGGTTCTTGAGTGACTTCAAGAATAGTGAGAAATACACATAGCCGTAGGTACCAAGCACTGTCGCAATGTACAGAATGGCAATGAAGTAGACGACCCAACCGGAGAATGTGCGCCGAACACCGGCCCATGTCATCTTTTCCGGCTCGGCGCGACCGTTGCGAGCAAGGCGTTCCATAGAAAGCTCAGCGTGAGCCTTTTTGAACCAGAATGCGCGCGGGTTAGGGTTGTTCGGAGTATCTGGAATCATGAAGAAGCCCGCAAACCCCCAAACGACTGTCATGATAGCGTTGATGACAAAAAGCCACCGCCACCCGGCAAGGCCTCCATGTCCATTCAAAGTATCAGAAATTGCAGCCTGGAGGGCGCCCGACATCATTTGGCCGACAGCTTGACATGAATGATAGAAACCCATTCGTTTGGCAAGCTCGGTTGGGGTATACCAGTACACTGAGAAAGATTAGTGCTGAGTGCCACATTGAAAGGAAGATGTTTCTTACTGAACAAGGTCATCATTCCGGGCCATGCACTGCTCTCACAAAGCCCCAGAAAAACACGAAGAGCATAAACTTGCTTGGCGTTCGTTGTCATTGCGATCAGGCCCGTAAGAACTCCCCAAACAATCTCCAAAGTGGGCAACCAGAAGCTTGGCCGAATATACGTCAAAACGACCTGAGAGGGGATGACCATGATGCAGTAGGCGGCATTGAAATATGTCGTGAAACTATACAGGTTAGATTTCCCCTTGAAAATAATGGCTCCCTGGGTGCAACATGACTTACAGGTTCAATTCGTTGCCGTGGAGGTTAAGATCCTCTTGCATGCCGGAGACATAAGCATTGTTAATATTTTGCTGGTCGAGATATTTGATGACTGGGCTATGTTAGTCTTAAGTTCCCTTCGTAAAGCTTCAGTTTGGAGAAATCTGATTTACCTTGAGAGATACAACCAAAGGTCAGTAGAAAAATATCGAGACGTCGCACGAGGGCCTTCTCCTCCGAAGATCGCACATAGCTGGGTTCTGTCTCATCGCGACGGAGAAACGAGAGAAGTCCCATGGCAGGCCAGGTAGTGTGAAGAGCACACAGCAAAGTGAAAGGGAGAAGCAGCGTCCTACCCCTCGCTTCTAAATATTGGAGATTCTGCCCAGCTGCGTGACCGGTGTGATAAGCACCTTAATCGGGAGCGATTCTTGTCTGGGGGGTCAATGCAGATCGAAGGAGGGGGAAGTTGGCGCGTGATAAGCAGCCATCCAATGGTTGTATTCCATTGCGAGGTGGGCGCGCGATGCCGGAGTCATTCCGGTGGACAAGGGGGGGAGATATTGTCGAATCTCCAACTTCGACCCCACCAAGAAATGTTGCATCGGAGCCTCAGCCGACATTTGGTGCAGGTCGAGACGAAGTTTTGAGCGGGATCCAAGCTTGAGAAGGGCCGGGCGCCGAGATAGGAGACCAAGGAGAGACCTTCACGGGTACGCTAGACCCCACGGAGGGTTAGTCCGGGGGTAGTCTCCATAAATTTGGACCAAACTTGGACTGTTTTGAGGTTAGTGGCTTGTTAGAAGGGATTCCGTGGCGGGGGAGAAGAAAGTAACGTGAATGGGGGAGTGGTTGAATGGAAAAGTTGAAGGTGAAGGCGATGGCGATGGCAAAGCAAAGGTGTGACTTGAACTTCCCCGCACACAACACAACCTTCAACCTTTCCAACTACATTCATTGGCATCGCTGTGTATTAAACCCAGGGGAGATCCAGGTGAATATTCTATCCTGATCGTACAATACTATCGCTGACACAGCCTAGCTTAGGATTGACCCATCATATTGCAGTCATGTCCGAGCCTCGCACCAGCCCAGATGGGTCCAGCAGGAGCCTTCCTCGAGAAGCGCCTGGCTTGAGCTACTGGCAACGCACTACGCGCGCCTTTGATCATCTCTTCGCCAATCGAGACACCGCACTCCCATCAATCAGCAAATATGTGATCATTGGCTCTGGCATCTCGGGTGGCCTCACTGCGTTCGAGCTGATAGAGGCGGGCGTGAAGGGGGAGGATATTCTGATTCTCGAGGCCAGGGAAGCAGCTTCTGGGGCCAGCTCTAGGAACGCTGGCCACGTTCGACCAGGTATGTTCAGTCATACGAGCAAAGTAACGACATATTAATCTGCTACTATTTAGATGCATTCCGGGGTTTCAGTGCCTATTCCAAAGTCCATGGCGTCGAACAAGCGCTGAAAATCATCCAGAATGAAAGGCTAGTGCTCGAGAAGGTCGCCCAGTTCGTGAAAAAGCACAACGTTCAATGCGACTTCGATTTGACAACCACCTTCGACGTTTGCATGACCTCGCAGTTCGCGAAATACGAGGCCGAAAGCCTTGAAGCTTACAAACAGGCTGGTGGCGATGCTTCACATATCAAGTTCTATGAAGGGAAAGATGCACAAGAAAAGACCAAAATCCCCGGTGCTGTTGCTGCGTACGAATGGCCCGGTGGTTCAAGTCATCCGGCAAAGCTGGCACAGTTCCTTCTCAAATCCGTGATTGACCAGGGCGCTCGCCTTTTCACATTTTGCCCTGCGATCAAAGTCGAGAAATCTTCAGAGTCGTCAGATTTGTGGGATATTCACACCACCCGTGGAGTTTTGAAAGCCGAAAAGGTCATACATTGCACAAATGCACATGCAGCGTTACTTCTCCCACAACTCGAGCCTTATATTCGGCCCAATCGAGCCCAGGCCCACACTTTGATCCCTTCTCCTGCCCTTGCCGCCGCAGAATGTCTCCAGAGCACCTTTTCTCTACGTTATAGTCTCCATCATTTCTACTCGCTTATTCAACGTAAGGGTGATGGCACACTTGTTCTAGGTGTTTCCCGAACGAATCCCACGCTGAGCGAAGAGACTGTCGCAAGCCGTTTCAGTACCGATGACAGTCGATATAACGAGGAAATTGCTGAAGATGCGTTGCGGAGCTTCGAAAAAATCTTCCCACAATATGCTTCCGAGTCATTGGTGCATGGCGAAGGTCTTGATCATGCTTGGACAGGGGTCATTGCAATGACTACTGACAGCGTTCCATTCGTTGGTGCTATCGACTCGCTACCAGGGCAATATATTTGTGCCGGATTTAATGGACATGGTAGGTGGAACGATGAATCTCATATTCCATTGGATCTCTCTTTACTGACTAATCTCCCTGTAGGCATGGCTCGTATATTCACATGCGCCCCTGGTGTTGCAAAGCTGGTTTCAAGTCCCCAGGGAGACTGGAAGGATACGGGGCTCCCTGAATGCTTTCAGTTTAGCCCCGAGAGGCTTGCAAAACTGTCTGCAGGAAACATGCCTTCGATTTGGTAGATACTGAAGATCGAGGTGAATGATTGGGGTTTAAATATTGGATTTGGATTAGAAATTTAGAGATAGAATTTAGTTCCCATTCATCTTCTCGGTCTTTCACTTTAGCACTTCATCTCAAGTTGTTTGCCATTTATTGCCACTAGGCCGGATCTCAGCGAAATCAAACTAGGTTTGATGCGCCGCAGTTTGAAAGAGGCAGCGATTTCTATTGCGAATCAATCCTATGCCAACTCACTCTAGACTGAACCTGAGATTCTAAAGCGCTGCCCGTCTTGGTTAACAAAATTTACGATGCAATTGGAGGGGTCAGCCGATGTCGCTACGGAGTGAAGATAATATTAAATCAGCCTGGGACGAACAGCCATTTCCCTTCCTTTCTGATCTTGTCAGTCACCAACCTAGAATGAATAAGGCTACATTGAGTGTTTCCGGATTTTGATAATTTGAACTGATATGACTTCAAGTTCGAGGTTGTTCTTTGGTTTTGTTGTCGATATTACAAATATGCTACAATTCATATCTGCCAATTTTATGCCAACCTACTAGACTCTATCAAGTGATTTGGATGAAAATTGTATTCTTTGCCTTGCAGGACTCTTATCACGCCTAAACCGTCACAGGGTATTTATTTAGCAACGGTATCGTCGGCATTGAGAATCAGAGTTGCAAAGAAGAGTGGCTCTCTCACGAATTCCTCTGCCACAATGAATTCGTCGGTGGTATGCGCTCGGTTGAGATTGTGGACCAAATTAATCGGCGTAAATCGATATATGTTCTGCGTGAGTTTCCAGAAGAATTTCGTATCTGTATTCGCAGGCATCAGATACGGAGTCACGACGAGACTCTGACCTGTAATGAGAGGCTTCAAAGTATTCCGAATTGTTCCGGACAGAACTCGGAAAGCCTCTGCATTGACTGGTGAAACTGGGGCGGGCTCCAAGGCGTCGATGGCAGATAAACTGATTTTCCGTCGGTCATCAGGAGTTTCTGTGTAGAACCCTTGGAAGGACATGCCATGTTTGCGAGAAATGGGTCTGATTAGGTTCTCGTAGTGGTTCTGGACCTCTGCAACCGAGCTGTCCACAGCCAGGCGTAAATTAACCATGGTTGAGGCCAACTCAGGGATAGCATTGATTTTGACTCCGCCATTGATTTTCCCAACAGATTGACTTGTTCGGAAAAAATATCGCATGTTATCCAACGCCTGAGCCAGTTGAACTTGTGCGGTTACTTCGCCATTCTCGACTCTTTGCAGTTTATTCCGAATGTTCAATGGGAAGCTGCGCTCCGGAGCATGCACCGCAGCACATTCCAAGAAATTGAAGATTGGGTTCTTTGTTGTGACTTTTCCGGGGAACGGATGGTTTTCAATACTCATGATGATCTCCGAAAGGACCCCGATCGCATTATGATCAGGGGGATTCGCCGCATGTCCACCAGGAGATGTAACATTAATTTGCACATCCATATACCCCTTCTCCGCGACACTAACCATGGCGAATGACTGATCAAATTGAGTCTGAAGTCCGAAAGACCCTTCATCCATCATCATGTAGATTCCTTGGTCTCCATACCGATCGTGAAGCAGTTCAGAAATTGGCCGGGCGCAGTTTCGGCCGCTGATTTCTTCGTCGCAGCCAAATGCCAAAATTATCGTTCGCTTTGGCTTGAAACCGCTCTTCATTAGAAGATCCATACTTTCAATTATCGAGATCAGATAACCCTTGTCATCGGTGGAGCCTCTCCCCCAGATGGTCTTTCCATCAAAATGACCTTCGTAAGGCGGATGCGTCCAATCGGGCACATTCTCGGTCAGTACTGGGACAACATCCTGGTGAGCAAGCAACAGGATGGGCTTGCTTGATTCAGTGGACACGCTGCCCTCCCAGGTAAATATCAAACCATGCGTGTTAACATGGTCGAGTTTAGCATGTTTTAAAACCGTAGGGTATTTAGTTTTGATGTATTTCTCGACCTGATAGAAAATATCCCAACGAGCATCTTGCCCAATAGGACCGAGGTCATCATAGCTTTCGGAGGGAATTTGAATCAGCCCTGACAGCTTCTCGATGATCTCGGTCTGATATTTTGGATCTTCCACTTTATCGCGAATCAATTGTTCGACTTGCGTGTTTGTTGGTGACAGGATTGGCGCCTGCTTGCAGACTGACTCAGAACCGAAAAGATATTTTGGCGAAACAGATGATTCGAAGAACTTGAATTGATAAATTCCTTGAAGGCTGGCAGAATCTTGGAAGGCCAAAAATAAAGATGCGAGTGCGACTGTGAGTGATCCCAGAATCCACCAAGGTATGTTATTTTTTGTCGCCATATTCTGATCGGGATAAAAATCTGAATTCTGGCCAAGTATGTAGAAGAGCGTGTTCATTTAACCGAAACAAAATCATTAGTAGGGGCTCAACAACATTCTTTAGCTCACTCGCCCTTTCATCCCTTGTGGAGGGGCGGAGACCGTTCGGTCACCAACTATGTTCACGGCCAATGAATGCGACCAAGCGGAACTATGGGCTATACAAGCTCGTATACTCCTTTCATATTTTAGTTCAGTCATTAGGCGATTACTACAGACCGCAATACGGGAGACAATTCCATCATAAAGCTTTGTAGCTGAGCGTTATCTAGTCGTCTGAATAGGGTCCTCCTCTAACACAGGGCTTCCCTGCAAGGACAGGCACTCATTATCCCTGGCCAAGGTAGATACCGGATTTGCCGATCACCAATCAATTCTAGCCCTGGTACTCCGTACATAGTAAAACATTGCGAGTACTCCGCACTTTCAATCAGATTTCATAGTGCCTTCCTTTTGTTCAATCTCGTCAATTTACTAATAGTAGCGTCAGGTAGTACACAACCGTTCCTGCTAATCTGAGACTGTCCCTAATCGTTCTTGCCTTGGTATACAAGTAAACAGTACCTTAAAAGGTCTCCCATCCCACCAGAATTCATCTTTTTACACACCACAAATTGTCCCACAGCGCTGTAGGATGGCGCCGTTTTCAGGATCTCTTGTTCCTCGGTGTTCAACAAGCTTAGCCCGTTTGTCGTACTCTGTGTCCGAACTCACAGTTTCCAAGTCCAACTGGTCACCCTCCTTGGGAAAACGATGAAGGCCTAGTTCTTGACTCTTGATGAGCTTACAGAACCCGTTCAAGTTCTGAACTCGGGCTGAGGCTCAGCCTCTCTCCCTCTCTCTCTTATTACTGCATACAAGTAACAACTTTTTTTTGCAATTAGTAAGTCCGATCCAATCCGATCCTTGTCTGATGGTCTTGTTGGACTTGGACTGACAATTTCTGATGAAGAAAAGACTCGGAAATTGTCAAAATTGGTGTCGAAAAGGTCGCATTGGCCTTATTATACGAGCCTACACTCCGCGTCCCCGCCCCTCAGTTGTATGTTTCACACACATTTTCTCACCTGTACATCTTCTGATTTCATTGTATCAGTGTTCTCGTTGCGCTGCCCGGGCCATCGGGTGGGGTGGAAGATTGCGGGTCGCACTTTGCGGCGCGGCTCTGGGCCTTTATGGCCGAAAATAGTATGTAGAATACAATCCAAAATCTCTCTATCTCTTCCATTTCTAAGTGTCTTGATCAGAACCTGCTGCAAACCGAATGTATAGGCTCCAACGCGAAATAGATGTGCTCAAGAGGAACAGTTGGAGATGCTGCGAGGGCAGTCAAAGATGATCCAAGGGCAGTTAGAGGCCCTTCGGGATGATATGAATGAGGGTAACTGAGTTCTCAATCAAGAAGTTCTATTCATTCAAAACATTCTCAATATAATTACGAATTAGATGTAAGGAAATGTAGTATCTCTATTTACCATTATCCCCAGATCAAGTGTAGGCTAGATGCGACCTGCCAGCGGGTTAAACGTTAGGTATCGAGTGGCGATGGGCTCAATTACAGCGCACCTTAAGTACAAGTGGCACAATATGCCGAGAGCCTGTGGGGAGCCCACCCGTAAGAACAGTGTCCCAGAATTGCTGGCGTTCCCTAAACAAATTTGGACCTCTGCCTCATATGCCACTTTACTGCCTGCATTTACCTATAAGTCCAATTACCATTGCTTTAATACAGTTTCGGTAGTTCAATCTCAGACTCTATCACCGAAGCAAGTGTTCTGTGATCTTGAAAAACGAAGATCAGCGCCTACTGGTCGTCGATAGGAGGATCAACTCCAGGATCTGACCCAGCAATGTCTTAAATAACAGCAGGAAGAGCAAGACAAGAAGACAATGAAACAGCGGGCAAAACATACAGACCCGAGCCTACTGCTCAGGGTCGATACAGCCCTTGCTGATCGGGATAACGAGGCTGAAATAGACCATTAGTTAATACAACCATAACAGCAGTGAGACGCGGGAGATCCACAACGGCTCCACAGTGCCTTCGCGCGCACTTCCTGATTAGGTTAGAATGTTTTTGAATGCCTATGTACGCAGACAGCAAATCATTTTCATCGAGCTTTCATTGCCATTGGGTAAGAAAAAATAGATGATACGTATTTAGTCTCGTGAGGTCATGTTCGCCCCAGACGAAAATTTCACCGGTGTCCCGAAAACCCTGAGACCAGGTATTGACTTTTGAGGACGTGGCCCACCTAGTAGCTAAGGAGAGTTCCTTTGATTTTTGCATTCATTCCCTGTGGACAGATGAATACCTAGGTATGAATGTTCTATTCCATTTAATATTCCACTACAATATTTCAAGCTACCAGACAGTTGAAACGGAGCTAGATGGTTTATTAATGACAAAGTCAGCCTGGGGATTGACGCAGGAGTCTGCGAACGCATTTCCTAAGTACGTTTAGCGCAGATGATTCTGTGGATCAGAGTGATGAAGTGGAGCTTTATTGGAGACTAAAAATGTTTGTCTGCGATACCCAAGTGACAATGGATTTTCAATACAGCCCAGTTTCTATTTAAGTCCACATATGCCCCTCGGAGTGCCTTCGTGAATCACCCTTCTATCTTCTCTCTACTTTATAGCCATTCTGTTATCACGCATCCAAGTTCTTGGCAAGATGGCCGAAATACAAGACCACAAGAAGGCATTTGAAGTCCTTGCAGAATATCGTTCTAGGGACGGTCTGCATATAGACTCGTTGCTCGACTCAGAAAAACACGGCGCTCTGACGTACAACGACTTTCTCATTTTGCCAGGATCTATCAGTAAGAAATTGATGGCCCTTGATTCTTATGCGTTTCTAATTCTTTGATCAGCTTTCTCAGCACAGGATGTCACCTTGGATACCAAGGTTACTAGGCGATTCACCCTCAAAGCTCCCCTCCTCTCCTCTCCAATGGACACCGTGACGGAACACAACATGGCTATCCACATGGCTCTCCTGGGCGGTCTTGGTGTTATCCACAATAACTGCACCGCCGAAGAGCAGGCTGATATGGTGAAAAAGGTGAAGCGCTATGAGAATGGCTTCATCCAAGACCCTGTTGTTCTGTCTCCGAAGGCAACCGTTGGAGATGCAAAGCAATTGAAAGAAAAGTGGGGGTTTGGTGGTTTCCCTGTTACTGGTTAGTTTGAAAGCTGAACTTTTCTTGACGATAATCTCTCCCCCACGGCCGATTCTAATGAGATGACCTTCGTTCACAGAAAATGGGACACTCCACTCCAAGCTCCTCGGAATGATCACCAGCCGGGATATTCAATTTCACGATCAACCGAATGACCCAGTCACTGTAGTCATGTCTACAAATCTTGTCACTGCGCCGGCGGAGACAACACTTGCCCAGGCCAACGAAGTTCTTCGAAAATCAAAGAAGGGGAAGCTGCCAATCGTCAATGAACAAGGAGCTCTGATTTCATTGCTATCCCGGTCGGATTTGATGAAAAACATCCATTATCCACTGGCATCAAAGCTCGAATCCAAACAACTACTTTGCGCGGCAGCTATCAGCACTCACGAGGCAGACAAGGAACGACTACGAAAGCTAGTCAATGCCGGCCTAGATATTGTTGTCGTGGATAGCAGCCAAGGAAACAGCATGTACCAGATCGCCATGATCAAATACATCAAACAGAACTTCCCCCAAATCGACGTGATCGCGGGAAATATCGTCACTCGAGAGCAGGCTGCGTCACTCATCGCTGCTGGTGCAGATGGCCTCAGAATCGGCATGGGCAGTGGCAGCGCGTGCATTACGCAGGAAGTCATGGCTGTTGGCCGCCCTCAAGCCGCAGCAGTACGCAGTGTTTGCTCATTTGCTGCCCGGTTCGGTGTCCCTTGTATTGCGGATGGTGGAGTTCAAAACCTCGGCCATATTGTGAAGGGACTTGCGCTCGGAGCATCAACGGTGATGATGGGAGGCCTTCTTGCCGGCACCACTGAATCCCCCGGTGACTACTTCGTGAGCAATGAAGGACAGTTAGTCAAAGCTTACCGGGGAATGGGAAGCATTGCAGTCATGGAGGACAAGAGAGAAAGCGGCGGCAATGCTGGTGCCTCCCGTTACTTCTCTGAAAATGACAAGGTCAAGGTTGCGCAGGGGGTTGCGGGCTCGGTTGTTGATCGCGGCTCTATTACCAAATTTGTCCCTTATCTTTTGACCGGCATTCAGCACTCTCTTCAAGATATTGGAGTCCAAAATCTTGATGCCTTACGCGACGAGGTCAACAGTGGACTTGTTCGGTTCGAGATGAGAAGTGGAAGCGCACAGGCCGAGGGAAACGTGAACGGTTTGCATACCCATGAAAAGAAACTATACGTTTGAATTGCCGCAGGTCTTTCTAGATTCGTGGTTCTTTCTTTCTTGCTCCATTTTTGAAAAGTTCTGTTTTGGCTCAAGATCGATTACATACAAAAAAGTCTCGAAGACTCATATGACCTTCTACTATTTTTGCTCTTCTACCTGTGCGAATCCATGTAGTCAATCTAAATATGCGGAAGTTGGCCACTTGAATAGAAAGTTCTATTGCATTCGATTAGAGCTGAATTCAATTTGAAAGGAGTTTCAGGTAACAGAGGCCTTCGTTCAATAGAAAACAGATTCCAATCAAACTGATTTTCTCCATTTGAAGGTTGCATCGGACCTGTGTAATGGCTGATTATAGGTCGACTGGCACCTGAGCAGCTAGTTAATTACTTGGGCACCTACCGGGGCACTGCGCTTACCGATAGTACCAAGTTATCAGAACTGGTTACTCAACTCAGCTATCGCAAGCGGGTGGTGAGAGCCAAAGAAGGAAAAGAAAAACATGATTTGAAATGGAAGGATTTAAAGTTCATCCCGGGTTTACCAATTCCAAGTTAGTTTGAAAGCTTGACCGTGCGGCTGAGCCTCGCTTTAGTATAGTCACACAATACCCCTTTAGATCATCCGTAATCCGTAATATTATAAAGAGGCTCTCATCCCCACTACCTAGCCAGGAAGAATTTCCAACTATTTCATGCTGATCTTCCCCGAAATCTCATCAAGCGAAGAGGGGCCCCATATTGCTAGCGCCTACAAAGTTCATCTCAGCCTTCAGCTTCACTCTAGTGCTGACGCTGACAGCTAGCGCAAGAAAAACCTTAATCCCAGGAGTCCGCTTTCCCAACTTCGTATCCTGCTTATTTCTGCGACCATATCGCGAGAGTTTAATCTTTCTTCTTCTGTCTCCCTGGAGTATTCACAAGCAATGCGGTTCTTTGAAAATAATGTCGCCCCTGACCAGACGGTCCAAACCAGGTTGCAGGTGCTTGGTGCCGGTCTCCCTCGCTGCGCAACAAGCTCTCTTCAAACCGCTCTTGAATCGCAGCACATCGGGCTGTCTCCCTGCATGCACTTCGCCCATGTTGCACCCAATGCCGAACGTGGCGACATCGTTTTAGCTGCCCTTCGGGAGAAGGAGACCGCACGGCGTCACAAGCTTCTTTACAAATTATTCAACGGATTTCTAGCAACTAGCGACTTCCCTGCGTCCATTTTTATGGATGATCTTATGGACATGTATCCGGATGCCAAGATTGTGCTGAACAAGCGGCCTGGTGGCGCCTCTCAGTGGGTGGAGTCGATCAAGTTGCTCACCTTCGGAGCATCACCGGTGTACCGCACTCTCTGCTTTCTGTGGAAAACAGACCGCAACGTGGCCGCTATGTGGGACGGGATAATGGAGCTCTGTCAGAGCAAATTGGACCTAGCTCCGCACGAGCTTTTGACAGAGAAGCATTATGACGCGCATAATGCTTGGATTCATGCCGAGGCAGCTAAGCGCGGGCGGAAGGTCTTGGAATTTGAACCTCGTGATGGATGGGAGCCTTTGTGCGCATTTCTCGACAAAGAGGCCCCGAGAGACGAGCCGTTCCCTCACCGCAACGATGCATCTGAAGTTCGCATGGTCGTGAGGATTCTATATACCCGGGGTGCGATTTCCTGGCTTGCTCTAGGTGCGGCGTTGTATGGCACTACAAGATGGCTCTTAAACATGCAGTTCCTCTAACTCACCAGAGAGCAAATGAAAATTCTCGAAGTCTCGCGCGTGATAAGCAATTCGAGGAAACAACAGTGGTAATCGGTACCGCAAGAGGATGGCAAAATATGGAGTTACTAGTAAGAACTTGAAGAAAGCGCAGTATTTTGCTAACAAGATCAGATTCTTGATAAAGATGAGAGCTTTTATTGGTGGGGATTAAGTCTTATATGTAATTTATTCAATGTTAAACCCTGGTTTCGAGGGTTTCTAGCTTAGCCACTTCAACTTGTTAGTTTACTAAATAGTGACCCGTGCACGGACGAGTCCGTTAGATTTCAGCAACTCTAGTACGGGCAAGGTATTTATTTACCTGAATCTGGACGCCTTGAATTTTCAGGATCGCGACCGTAAAAATCCCACTTCATCTGAGACACTCACTCCAATACTGTCTCAAAAAGGCATTCATGACGCTTTCTCGAAAGGCTCTCACGACGCCTTCTCCACCTTTTCTCGGGGATGGAGCATGCCGAGCCAATGAAGAGTGATAAGACCACCAATCGAGACAAAGAATTGGCAATACTTAAGAAAAAGGCTAAAAATATACCTCGGGTGGCGGGATCAGCTGCTCCAAGGTTTGAAGAGTGGTCTTCTTTGAATCTGGCCAAGTAGCTGCCCAAGTCCACTGCTTTCTATTTTCTCGATATCCTGCCCGGCTCATATGAGAGTCCAGTGTGACAACCTTGGAACCCATCTAACAAGAATCCGACTAACAGAGAAATACACCTTTCAAAACTACGCGTGAGCAATAAATCCTGAAGGTAAGACACCTAATTAAGGTCAGCGATGACTTTGACGTTCATAGGGAAATTCTAACCGAGTGACAATCTGTCAGATTACCAGACCACCACAACAAGCCGACTTTCAGGTGATTCATCGAGAGTAAATAAAAGTCCTGTTTCGTTTCGCCAAGTCTCCGACATTGAAACCTTCAAGGGGTTTCCTATTCCAAACTCCCAAGGCGCACGCGGTGGCCGTTCCGGTTTGGGTGCGGGTCCGACGAAAGCGGCGTTTGCGGGGGAAATTCCAGGTCGCATCAGTCATTGATCATCACAGATGCCATTTCATTCATAATTTCGGGTCGCGACTACCCAGAACTCTTCTTCTATCTTCTTTTATTTCGGTTACCTGCATCTTGATCTCTTCACATCTTAATTCATGCGTGGGTGAACAAACCCCAACCCTACTCCGAATCCCCCGCCGATCATCGAAGGGCCAGACCCCCCTTGCATCCAATTGAACCGTTGGCATTCGCCACCTCGCCACTATATGCCAGTATAACAATACCGGCGATATGGGGAAAAAGGGCGGGTTGAAAGAGATCAAGCTACACCATAGGCGACCGAGGAGGGTATTTGTGCAGATCGCCCTCATCGCTTCTGTAGTATGGGTCTTCTACCATACATTGTCGAGCTTGGGGGGTGAGTAATATCTTGATCAACGACTCAGACCGATTATACCTTTAGCTTCAGAGAACATACTAAATCCTCACAGGTACATTATACCCTGATCTCCCAGCAGAGAAACTTCCACAGCCAAAGGAATCGGAGAACCACTCGGCTTTCACACAGAGCCTTTCCAATGTTTTGGCGCTACTTCCAGACGAGCAGCAGACACAGCGGCTGCTCACACCTATCGAGTCCACTGGAGAACAGAGAATGAAAGAATTCGGAATCCGGACTCGCCAGTACAAGCAGCTCTTTGATGTATGGGAAACATTACATACCAACAAAACAAAGTCCCAAAGGTTCGTCCAGGATGATGTGCTCCAACGCCTCTATCAAAATCCTTCAATCGCAACTTTGCTCGATCGCGACATGGCCCAGATCGTTCATAGCTATGAGTCTTATCGCTCGATAGTAACTCAGCTTTCGACTCTCCTCTTCCCATGGACAGCACCATATTTCGCGGACCATCTCCAACTGCGCCAACAACTACAGTCCGCCCCTCGCGGACTGGTATTTTCAGCCGGGAATGACCAAGTTCGCTTCTTACTCACTTCAATCCCGGCAATTCGTCGATTAGGGTGTCAACTCCCGATCGAGGTGATGTACCTCGGCGACGATGATCTCCGCCCAGCATCACGGACCGCGCTGGAGGAACTGCCGGGCGTCATTACGCGCGATCTTCGCAAAATGGTCAATGACAAAGGCTGGGCCTTGAAAGGATGGGCCGGCAAACCATTTGCAGTTTTGTTCTCCAGTTTCCGCGAGGTTATCTTCATCGACGCCGATTCTTTGTTCCTTCAAAACCCGGAGACACTATTCGATGACTTCGCATACCGCGAAACAGGCGCGCTGTTCTTCAAAGACCGATTGATGTTCCCAGAATCCAAGCGGGAGTGGATGCAGAAGGTCCTTCCAGAGCCTATTTCCAGCAAAGCGCAACAGACTCGCCTATGGGATGGGCAGAGCGGCCATATGCAGGAGTCTGGGGTATTGGTGCTCGATACCTATAGGCACTTTTTGTCACTTCTTTTGGTGACGAGGATGAATGGGCCGGATCGAGATGGTAATGAGAAGAATGGTATTCGGGGCGTATATGATATGCTATTTGGTGAGTCTCCGTTCTGCTTGGTGTTGGGAACAAGTTCTAACGAGGAAATAGGCGACAAGGAAACTTTTTGGCTGGGCTGGGAGTTAGCCGGAGACACAGATTATGCATTCCACAACGGCAGTGTTGGTACAATCGGAGTTGCTCATGCTGAAACTCCTCGACCAGCGCCCAGTGCGGCGGCTGGGCTAAGCACTCCATCCAAAGAATACACCATCTGTGCGCCTCAGTTACTGCATCTTGACCGGATGGGACGACCTCTCTGGTTCAATGGATGGTTGCTTGAGAATAAGTTTGCCAAAGCCGGGGAAAAGAGACCTGCCAAGTTCGAGGCCTATGTTCGCGAAGAAGGAAGAGTCCCAGATTGGCAATTGAAAGAGAGTAACATGGCATGCTTAACATCAAAGAAGATGTTTAGTCTTTCGCAAGAGGAGAGTGATGTTCTGGACATGACAATTGAAATGGGGAGACGATGTGAAGCATTCTGAACAGTCCCCTATAGTTCAAATACTACTAGCACCCAAATACATTGTGGATAATACCATATTTTTCGTCAACTCTGGTGGATTACAAACTCCCAGGTGTACGTGTCTTCACCTCTAGCCTTATTCACATCTTCTTTCTCACTGTTATGTACAATCTGTCCAGTTTCCTCTCGTGCAAAATAATGGGAGTTAGGTCTGCATGGCATTAAATACCATGTCTCAGATGGTTGATACAACGCCTTGCGTGCCCCGTTGTAAAAGATCTTCCGTGTTATTCTTCGAAATCAGTTTGGTAATAGCACAGTAGATCCAGAAACTGTCTCAACCGGTTCTTTCTCAGTCAGGGCCAGGCCATGGTATTCTTAAACGTTTCAACAACAACGGAAAACTTACAAGACAATGAATTCTGTATCAGTGTTTTAACAACAACAGCAGCAACACTCATCTTCACCACAACAATCACAACAATCCGAGTCATTCTCATCTTTTCTACCACGATACCTGTTGTGACTATTATGGCTCCTACTACCATGATAGGTGTTGTGATCACGATCATTATGATGTCTGTGACTATCATAGTCCCTGCGGCCGTGGCCATGATGATCCCTGTGACCTCCGTGACCACGTTGAAGTGATGGCGGGGGTGTCGGGAGATATTCCTCAACCCAGCTTTGAGCTCAGCAGATTAATTAAAATGAATATTCAAAGACCAATTTTGCGCCTGGTATTAGTTTTGCTTACCATTCCTCATGATAAATAATTTCAGGTTGATACAGGGTTCTATCCTGCGAGCGTTTTGCGGGGGCCGACGGTCTCGAATGATGATGCTTCGAAGGATGCTTCGAATGATGCCTCGGGTGACGCCTCGGGTGATGGTGATTACCTGTCATCTTGAAATGGGGGAGGATAGAAGATTGGGAAAATCGAGTTTAAGCCTTGGACTCGGAGCTAATGGTTTCAATCCACCCAGAAGGACCACGCTGAAGTAAAAGTATATCGATTTGGGAAGGATAAAGCAAAGAAGATTCGTGAGCGACTTGATGATTATTGCGGTTGCCCTGGATATATGGGCTTTTATAATAATCTTCTGCCCGGGTGATTGACGAAGAAGTGAGGCTGAATGATGGTTATCTGAAGCTTTCTCCTAGTTGCTGCATGGCAAGTTTCATCTTACGCGCCCAGTTTAAGTATATTTCGTTGACGTATACCTATTCCTTTTGAGATTGGAGTTGTTTGTTTTCCATTGGAGGGTAGTTTGAGAGACTATCATCTGCTGCAGTGAGCGCCTAGGTCATGCCCAGGTGCTGAAACATGGACCTCGATAGGCGTCACGAAAAACACTTCCATCTCCCCCAGTTCGTAGTTGAAAATAATTCAGGTATTCACAGCAGACAGAATTAGCGCCCATGCCGTGAGATTACATATCTCGTGGCAAGTAGAAGGCCAACCAGATTCTGAAACAGGGTAGAGTCCTGCGCCAAAGGTAACTGACCCCAGCCCCAGGGCGTCGCCCTGCACATTCACAACCTGGCCCGTACAATTGACGCGCCCCCTGCGCCCGGGCGTCGGCCTTTCGCAAGGCCTTCGTGACTTGCGTGACCCCCTCCCTCTCTTTATCGTCGAATCCTGGGACGCACCGAGCCCGCCCACCACACCTAGAACGGCCTAACAACTAGCGACCGAGTCGGGTGGTACGTGGAACAAATTTCCATGGCCCTCGCGCTGATGGTTGTACCCCCTGTTTTCTGAACAACACTTACAGCGACTTGCATGTGGCCAGTGGGTGCCGCCTGGGGAAGAACAACCTTTGCGCTTATGGATGTCATTGGGGATGACAAGGGATGAGGCTGAGATTCGCCCCTGGGAGCACGACTACGTATTTACCGGATAATGTCCGGCAACTTTTGACGGTCCCCTTCCGTTCTGAGACGGTCATGGAAATGCGGGGGTTCCATCATAGTCAAATGGATCTTCTAGGCTATGACCATAGGACAGGGCGTCTTCTACACTTTCCTTCACACACATTCTGAGTCAGTCAACCCGCCGCCCTGAGCTGCCCTCCGAGCGACCTTGGGCTGCTTACCGAGCGGTTCTGAGTTACTCAAACATCAACGCAGAGATGATTCCATCTATAATTCAAACTAAGTGGAATCAGTGGGAGACGCTATTGGGAGCATACAATGAAGAAAACGAACTGTGATTTAAAAGTTGAATGAATTTAACATGAGAGTATAGTGATATTTGATTCTAATAACAAAGAGCTGATCATGAAAACCAAAGCTGATCATGACTATTTTAATAACCGTGCGACTATTACGGAAAACGAGGACAGCCGAATCGATAACACCGGGTCTTTCTGTTGATGAGTTCAGAACTAGATAGCTAAAGATAGTGGCCCGGTCCATTAGTTGGCCTAAACTATATTACTGCAACCGTGACAACCGCTCTCCAGATTATGCAGTTCAGAATGCCCATGGTTTGTTCTCAGTGTCAGAACATTTCGCCCGTGAGCGTCCTTCTTTCTCCGTAGGATATTACTTCTCTGTAAACTTTTGGGAATCGGGCGTTTCGTTGACAATCGAGGGTAGTAGTGAGAGGCTGCTCACTGCAAGAAGGTCTTCGATGTTGGTGCTTCCACTCGGGGCAAGCCCACCACAGTCTTCGAAATCTTTTAGGACCTTGTCGATTATCTCCGCCTGGCCACTCAAATGTAAAAACTTTCCAATACAAGCGTGTATTTCGAGAAGTTTAGGGTCTGGAAGTTCCCAACTACCTTTGTGAATCCTGAACTTGACAAGCCGATTTTTAGGTAAATTTCGTATTGGCCCTGTGGCGGTATCTGGAAAGGTCTTGATTCGATATTGGTGGGTAACTCCGGTTGCTTCAAAAATGAGTCTGAATTGACCGAATTCCCTGTGAATTTGGGAGTCTAGCATTAGGATGTTCTTTTCTGAATTGATCTGCTCTGATGTAAAGGACATATTGCAAAGGACTGGAAAGTAGCGCCTTAGGTTGACCCAAATCTTTGTATGTCTGTCCACTGCCTCACTGTTATTAGCTTGAAAGGATCCAAGTGCAAATGGCATAATGTGGGCAGCTTCAAGATGGGTCGTTATTGCGTTCCGTGGATGGGCGTGGCTGTGACTGTATTGCCCCGTTGCAAGACATTTATTACTATCTCTTTCTAAACCGTGATGCCGGAGTTGTGACTGAGAGCTTCTACTGATAGGCTCGATATTTAGGCTTTTGGGATTCTCGATTGAATCTTCAACGCCAGAGCGCGGAGACGGAGTGATTTCAGTGAGTGTTTTTCCACCCTGTGCTTTCAGAGGAATCAATAACCCAGTTCTGATACTTTGGACCAGTTGCCGAAGCTTCTCATCGTTTGCACACCCTGAAACGTCCTCCGCCAAGTTTTTTTTTCAGTCAGGAGCAAGGATCTTAAAGAAGTCACAGAGGAAGTCCTTGGTTTTGTCCGTGGGTTCAAGTGGTGCGTAATTACTCAGCTTTCGATCCAGCTTCTAGCTTGATTATGAGTATCGAGAAGATTAGAAGACACAGAAGGACTCACCGTCTTTGAGGATGATGACATTCTGCCGATTACCCAGGCTTGGGTGCGCTTGGGGCCAGTCTGAAGGGTATGGTAGTTCCAGTAGAAGTAAGGTGGCCGAATCGCTGGGTGACAGTTGAGAAGGGGATTGATGATAGATGAGTACAATTAGTTGAAGCCTTGCAAGGAGATGATGAATGAGTGCGATTGGATGAAGGAAAGTTGAGTGGGGGCGGGGAGGCTTGAAGTCACTTTCTCACCGCTTTCCATATTCACTCTTGCTCAGTTAGATAGGCTGAAAGAAGAGGTATAGCTCGCCGACTGGACAATGAGAGCTGGTGACTGACCAGATCACTGAGCATGAGCGCCGTGCTGACATTTACTCGGTGAGCCTGAGCCTGATCGCCCTCATTAAAGCGGCGTCAACACTGGATTTGCAAGATTGACCGAATGAACGGCAAGGCAAGGCGAGGCTGACTTGAAACTAGTGTGCGCATACCAAATCTTCTATCTGTTCCGTATATTAATTGAGGTATTCCATGTTCTCAAAGAAGCAGCCCTGTAAGACAACGAACAATTTCTGAAGGATAGAACTTCGACGTACGTTGTGAGGATCCAAATACATAAAATGGGTGTCCATTTCACAGTTCTCGAAATACCCCACAAGGTTTAAAGTTATGACTTGAAGAAGAAAGGTTTATACATGATGAGAATAGATTGAGAGAGGTTCGAGAAGTATTTCAAGCAAAAAGAAAAAGATAAAATCAAAATTATCAAGAATTCACACGATATCCTAAAGCATTTGCTACAACTTGAATTGAGAATCACGCAAAAACAACGCTGGCATAGTAGCATCATCAAACCCCCCCTAGGATCGTTCCTCTAGCTCCACGCCACACCAGGGCAGACGATACTCTACCACCTATCTGGAAGATCTCCACCCCGTAGTTCCGTAATATGTCCATCCTGATGATGCCGCAGACTAACCCTGTCAAATTCGTGCTTTTTGCCATTCGACAAGATGATATAGCCGCTAAATTGTCTGATAGCGGGCCTATATACAGCTGGCACCACCTCCCCGGTCTTTCCCTTGCGCAAGGAAGGCAACCCATTCATGTGGAACAGCTTAGGGCCCCGGCGAGCCCGGACGTTGGTGAAGTGCGAGACTTCACCATAGACGTTGAAAATCTTGAGATGAGCATGGCCTCGGCTAGGAAACGGTAGTTCAGGGCTGCTTAGGTAGGATGCAAGCGGTTTAACGTTTTCTCGCTCTGAATCTGGTTCACAATTAGTTATATATCGCCCCGACGGAGAACTTGGAAGATTACTACCCGACTCACCTTGACTACCAGTAGAATGGGGGACAAAGTTGTTGTGGGTGTGGCTGATTTGACCGTAATTCCCGCCCACCTGCGATCCGCTGTTGTTTCTACCGAAACGTGTGGAGCGACTCATAGTTATTGAACCTGTTTCAAGGTTAAGAGTCTAATTGACTTCCAAGGTTTAGGACTTCCAAGGTTGGAGGGATAAGTCGGAGTTAGCTCTAGGTATATATAGTACGAGTACGATCGCGCTACCTAGGTACCTTAGTATCAGGGTTGGCTACGCCGTTCTTATTAATTACCTATTCAGGCCCTGGAGTTGCTGTTTCATCCATGGATGACTCGGACCTCTAATTTAAGTTTCTGCTATAGTTAAACAATATCCAATCATTTGAAGGAGGGTGAAGCAACCTGAATATCAAGCGAGACGCCAGCGCCAACTTGAAGTGCGAAGATGTTTTTCCTACTACATGCTTGCCCTGTGATAGGATGTGGAACTCAAGCGCTAAGAAAAAAGTGTGGCCGTTCAAAATGAGTCTTGAAATGACTTTTCGTTTCATCTTGGGATAGCGGCCTAATGCTTACCTAGGTAGTCTAAGATCAGCAGGTCAAGCGCTAAAAGCCTATAGCCGACTGATTTCGGGTGGAAATGTCACAAATTTTAGAAGCCAGTGTCATGCGCAATTGTGTCTTTCTCATCGCCACCTCTGAGTACTATCAGTCCACGCCCCGGGTTTCATGCCCCGGGGGTCGATGGTTTCATTTACCCTGACCCCTCGCAAAGATAGTGCCAACTTCAAGTTGATGTTTGGTTTACCCAAGTAGACCGGATATGAATCCGTTCTTTGACTAGGTAGCACTACTACTAGTAGTGGGTAATGTTCATAATTAACCTTGGAACTATGAAAGCGATATATACCTGGGCAGGCTAGTATACTACATAATATAGGCCGGGCTGGCCTTGGGGTAGAGATTTACATTCTTTGCTAGTTTCTCAAATTGAATATCCTCACGTAAAATCCACTTGTATGCGTACTACTAGTAGTAGTATGGAAGCCCCAGCTCAGGTATCCAGCTACCGATGCCCAGGCGATAAATCCCACACCAAACTCCGAATCTTAGGCTAGTGAGATTCCCAACAAAATACATTAAGCTTGATAGTTTGAGAAAAGCAAACTCATGTCCAAAAAGTAGAAGAAAACGATGCGGGAACGACTCCGCTCGATTCAATGCACAGATATAGGTATTGATATTGTGAATCCCAAGTTCAAAAGAGTGACTGAATGACTGAATGATCTTCAATTACCGCACCAGTTCCCACTCGCAAATATATTGCCACGACATGCCCACGCGGCCTTCCTTAGCAAGGTATTCATCCCTTGTAACCCCGCGACAATCCGTTCGATCTCCGAATGTCATCAAAACCAGAAGAATCACCTTCTGTCCAGGCGCACCCAGCATTCGCGCGTCAGGAACGTCCACATACCAGCACGCCCCACCACCGCCGGGTCCAGACCCGGGCACGTAATGGAAAGGAAGACGTTCCTCTTTGCGACCATCAATACCCTTTATGGCCAGCAAGAAGAGTGCGGGTTCCATCCGGCTATGATGCGCCAACGTCCAATGCTCACAGACCAATCCGAACTGGAAACGCACCGGGCTAGCCAAGTTGTAAACAGAAAGACGGCCATCAGCCGGGCGCATAGTCGACTGACCGATATCGTTCTTATCCGCGAAGCTGTAGAATTTAATCGGAGAGCCACCAAGAGGATTGTCCGGGTTGGTGCGCATGTATTCTTCCCAACCGATCTCGGGCCGGCCATCATCTCGGAAGAAATGCTCTTTGTTCGAAGGGAAGTGCTTGAGACCAAATTCATCGTTTGACATGGTGAACTGTCGCGGATGGAATTCCTGCTTGTACAATCCACCCGAAGGCTCGCAGATATGACCGCCACCCCAGCAGGGATCGACCAGTTTCCATTGACCCCCGTCGATTCTGACTGCATTCCAGGCGTGACCGGCATCGAAAGGTGGAATGGCGGCTCCCGGCGTGAGCTCTTTGTGACCGTAACCTTTACCATGGCCTCCTACCACAACGGCTTCTAGCCCCGCCTTTGTAGCTAGAGCAGCGAAGAGCCCGGCGAATCCCTCACAGACAGCCAGACCAGAAGCTAGTGTGCTGCTTGGAGTGGAAGGCTTTACACAATTATTGAAGAATGAATATGTATCATAAATGAGATTATGGTGCAGCCACTTGAAGATGACTCGTGCTTTGTCCGTGGCGGAGGGAAAGGGTGCAGTCAGCTCATTGGCCAGCCAACCGATATCGTGTGAAGGAAGTGTTTCTCGCGGATACCGCTCAGCGTGTGCGTCAGGGGCCGAAAAATCTCGACAGGCCAAGCAGCAAGTGTCTGATATTCCCACCGGAGCAACAGGCTGAGATGAAGCACCGAATCGTGGCTTTGTTGCCATGATCTTTGAGAGATCTGGTCGTGAGCCATGTGGAATAGGCGGGGGTGTTCCGTTATTAGTCGGCGTACTGCTGGGTCTTCCAGGCATCGCAGGTGCTTTATTGAGGTCTCCAAAGCCGGTCTTTCGAATATTATTGAGGTCTGAAGCAGATGCCTTAGGAGGTAGTCGGCGAACTGGAAGAGCCGGCCTTGATTCCTCTGTATCACTTCCTCCGTTTGATTGCGGCTCCAGGCCAGAAGGTCGTCGTGGTGGTAACTGTGGGAGAGGAGGAGCATTTCCATTGGCCTGCGGACGTGAAGGTAAGGTGGGAGTTGAAGATTCACTTGGCCGAGAGGGTAGACTGGGGCGAGATGGTAAATTAGGGCGAGAGGATGAAGAGGACGAGGAAGGGGCCGGGGCTTTCCCTCGCATGGAATTGAATTTGGCAGTAAGGCCGCCGGACAGGCCTCCGAGAGTTGAGGTCGACTTGGATTCGGAACGTGGAGGTGGTCTCAGGTCGATCTCCTCCTTTGGACGTTTCGGAGGCAGCGCAGGAAGCGCAGTCTCGCCCCAGGCAGGTGCTTTGATTCTGCCATTTGCTGTACCCGTTGAGTTCACAGAGGTTGTCGAGGCGCCTCGGACGCTTGTCGCCGTGGTGTTTGCGGTGGAGTGTGACGCGTCGGAGTTGACCGACTCCAGAGAAGGCCGTCGGTGTTGCTCGGTCGGCCTACGGGGTGGTAGACTAGGCCGAGACTCTGCATATGATGGTGGCGGATCTGCACGAGAGGGTGGAGGAGGGGGAGGCGCCCTCTCTCTCTTTGTTGGCAATGGTGGAGGGACTTTAGGCTTGGGTTTCAGTTCCGGCCTCGGGGATGGGATTGGAGGTGGAGGTGCTCGCGCCGGCCTGGACGTTCGATCGTCTGCAGGCTGGTTGCCGATGGTCGCAGTGTCTATCACGGAGCCGGTGACATGGTAGGAGGGTGGATTGTTGGCCGATCTGCTTCGTTCGGTGGGAGGTCGAGGATATGAAGGTGGTTCAGAGGCCGCCGGGGTGGCCTGTGATTGTCGCAGGGCGGCGATCCGCTCCTGAATCGAACCCAGCTGGGGTTCTTCGGTAGCCATGGCGTCTACTCGTCTCTCACAACTCCTCTGCAGGTTCGGTGGAAGACAAACAGGTTGACAGAGAGTGGAGATAAGATCAGGGAGTTATAGCGACAGTTGTGCAAATAATGGCTTGGCAGAGGGGTAGCCTTGTTGGGGCTAAAATTTGCAGGACACCAATGCTAGACGAGGAAACGACCGAGACGGAGCTAGCAGAATAGAGCAGACGTAGCCGATGCGAAAGAAATGGGAGGCTCAACAGGGCGGGGCTGCGTGTTTCTAAGATTGGGGGCGAGATGGGCGGGTGGAGAGGAAAGAAGTGGACCATGGGACACCACAACTCCCCAGGCACAGGCACAGGTACAGGTAATAAACTACTGAGGTTGCAGAGACACATGATGTGCTCTACAAAATCTGAATGGAATGAATATTTGAGTATGGATTTATTTCCGGCATGTCCCTCCATCATTCGGATTCCCAAACGCCTCGAGGCGGCGAGCGGAGCGCCGTCTAGGGAAAGACATAAAATCAAGAAAGAAGAAGAAAAAGGAAAGACCTAGGTGCGTCCAGATGCGAATGGGAATTACCCAATAAAAAAAAGAAGAGACATAATGCACAAAAGAAGGGGAAATCACCAGTTGAATCTGTCCTCGGAGATCACAGTCTTCATCGGACCATGCAAGATCAGCCAAAGAGCCAGAGACACTGCCATGGGCATAAGAAAAAGAAGACCGTGGAATACATCGTAGGAGAAAGGAAAAGGATTCACAGGGAAGAGAAAGACAAAGTAGGTTAGGAGTTAGGGTTGATCATCAAGAGCATCACTTCATCCCAATGTACAAAAACGGTCACCCGGCGGGTCATATTTAAACGTTTTTATACAGGAGTAGCGGCTCGCCAACATTTTCGATTTCGGGGATTGTGCATTTGAGATCGAATGCCTTGGCCAGGACAATCTTGAAAATCTTTTCAGAGTAAAATTGATTAGCAGGGCTCGACGCCAGAGTCGCAGATATCGGAGGTTTACCTTTTGAACATTGATGCTATGGCTGGTACTGCTGAAGATCAAGCTTGCCTTCATAGCCTTCGCAAAACGTTTTGCCTGGAGGGAGATTTCCTCCTGGTCTTCCCTGGGAAAGTTCACAAAGTGATCATATTTCGTGCCGACCAGGAAGGGGATGGCAGTCTTGTTAAAGCCCCGGCCTTGGCGATACCATTCCTTAATGGAGTTCAGCGTGCTCTTGCGGGTCAAGTCGAACATAAATAGAATAGCAACGGCGTCATTGCAGACCAGCGGCAACATATTGACGAATTCGCGTTGACCACCAAGATCCCAGATAGAGAAGGTGATCTCGGTATTCCGGATCGAAATCGTCTTTTCCATGAAATTGACACCTATTATGATTTCCCACGTTAGAACCGTAGTGGGATGAAATTGCTTTGAGCCACACTTACCAAGAGTTTGAATATAATCTTCGTCCCAGCTGCCCTCTACATACTTGACCATGAGACTGGTCTTGCCGATCTGGGCATCTCCTACCATACCCACCTTGATAACGACGCTGTTCTTCGAAGATTGGCTTGGCTGTCGCTGAGCAGCGTCCGAGGGCTGCATCTGCGAGAAACCGGGGCGTTCTGTGCCACTGGACACACCAGAGCCAGGTCTCGAGCCAGGGTGAAGTTGAGGCTGCTGGTTCAATGAGGGGGAGGAGTTGAGGCGAGAAGCATGTTCGGCATCTTGAGGGTGGTATTCAGGAGCAGCATTGTGGAAATCGGTCGATCGGGAATGATAGTGGGCTTTGGAATCGCTGTTATAGCCGTGGTCAATGGCCGGGCGGCTAGCGGGACGCTCTGTGACGGGCTCTTCCACATTGACGCTGACGGCAGCCGGCTGCTCGACGGGGAGTGGTTCAGGAGATTCCAGAGGTTGTTGTTGTTGTTCTTGTTCAATTTGTGCAATTTGTTCGGGGTGAGCCACAGGCTGATGTTGGAAGTCGGAGACAGGCGCTGGTGCTGGTGTCGGTGCTGGTGCTGACTCCTCAACAGGGAGCTGCTCTGGCTCATCGACTGCAGGCGCCTCCGGGACTGGCTGTTGTAGCGGCTCCATGACAATTATCGGGAATCGGATCGGGGAAAAGGATATCGCTTTTCTATTCCTTGCGAGTGGGACCTGTTCACGGAGGTTTCATTAGTATCTGCGGGGAAAGGAGACACTGTGATATATCACCCACCGATTCGGACCAATGAGATGGAAAATGAGGCCGGTTTCAAACAACTGGACAATTCGGACAAAATCAAGATTTTTTTTTAGGAAGCTGAACTCATCAGATGGGGTCTCTAACTGTGCGACTGCTGAGGGGGCAGATTGGGAGCACAGAATCGGGTAGTGCGTAAACACAAACCTGTGAAGCAGCGGTAGCGGTAGCGGTAGTGGCAACGGGTGGACGGAAAGGCGAGGGAAGGGAGAGTCGGCCCAAGTTGCAAAATGAAATGAGATCGGACGAGATGCAAACGAGGGCACGGCAAACGCAGGAACCAGCAAGGAGAAAGAAAGCTCGCGACTTTGCGACGACCTGCAACCTGCTCAGCTCACTTGGAAGCGGCCACGATCTGCGCTAGTCCCTAATCGGGCTTAGTGGTTCCCTTCGGGCAGTCACTCTTTCTCTGCGAAAAAAAGAGAAAAAAAAGTTCTTATCGTGCTTCCCCTCTTAATCCCCACCCCGCCCTTTTAGAAGAGGCTCCCATTTGTCTTTTCAAATATGTCGAAGAGATCCGCGGATGCCTCAGACGACCAGTCGGCTGCGCTGAAGGCCGGAGAGCGCCCTATTGTCGATGCCACCCCGGACGAAGTGGGGGAGTTTGAAGATGAGTACGAGGACGAATTCGAGAGTGAAGATGAGATCCTAGAGGCTGGTGTCGATGGTCGCCCCGATGCTGAGCGTGAGGAGGAAGAGAGAGGTATGTAGAATACTTTTGCTCATTGTACAATGGCTCTGTGAACTGACTGAAAACTAGCGGAGGCTATGGAAGTCGACAAGGAAACATTCATCCCCGGCCGCACGAAATTGGCCCCCGGCGAGACACTTTCGCCCGATCCTTCTACTTATGACATGCTTCACACCCTCAGTACACCCTGGCCATGCCTGTCCTTCGATATTGTGCGCGACTCGCTGGGCGACAACCGCAAGACCTTCCCCGCAACCGTCTACGCCGTCGCCGGAACCCAGGCTGAGGGAGGCCGTGCCAAGGACAATGAATTGATGGTTCTGAAGATGAGCAGTCTGAGCAAAATGGAGAGAGACAACCAAGACGAGGAGAGCGATTCGGATGATGACGACGACATGGGCGAGCCCATCCTCGAGCACAAGTCGATCCCCCTCGGCTCGACTACAAACCGCATTCGCGCCCACCAAACGCCCTCTCAGTCCGCCGATTATTCGAAGCCCCCTCAAACTCTCACAGCTACCATGTTGGAGAACTCGCAGATTCTGATCCACGACGTCACCCCCTACCTCTCCAGCTTCGACGTCCCCGGCACCATTCTACCCCCCCTCCGCCTCCAAACCTCTTTCCACTCTTCGCATGCACAAGTCGGAAGGTTATGCTCTGGACTGGTCTCCGCTCAACCCTCTCGGCAAGCTCCTGACTGGTGATAACGACGGTCTGATCTACGCGACTTCCCGCACTGAGGGCGGCGGCTGGGTGACCGACACCCGGCCATTCACCGGCCACACCTCCTCGGTGGAGGAGCTCCAGTGGTCCCCCCAATGAGAAGAACGTGTTTGCCTCTGCCAGCAGCGACGGCAGTGTCAAGGTGTGGGATGTGCGGTCCAAGTCTCGCAAGCCCGCAGTGGACATTCACATCTCCAAGACCGATGTCAACGTCATGAGCTGGTCGAACCAGACCTTCCACCTTCTCGCAACTGGCGCGGACGATGGCCAGTGGGCTGTTTGGGATCTGCGTCACTGGAAGCCGAATGCCGCGGCCCCCAATGCCCAGATCACCGCTGCACCCGTCGCTTCATTCGACTTCCACTCGGAGCCTGTGACTAGCATCGAGTGGCACCCAACTGACGACAGTGTCGTTGCCGTTGGATCGGCTGACAACACCGTCACCCTGTGGGATCTGGCTGTCGAGCTGGATGACGAGGAGAGCCGCCAGGCTGGCATGGCCGATATCCCCCCCGCAATTGCTGTTTGTGCACTACATGGAATCAGTCAAGGAGGTGCACTGGCAAGCCCAGATGCCCGGTACGCTGATGGCAACTGGTGGTAATGGATTTAGGTATGTTCTACGAGTTTGCCCTTCCTTTATCTTTACCGCGGATACTAATATGTCTCTTCTTCGCGCAGTGTCTTCAAGACCATCAGTGTCTAAACGAATTGAGAGTTACATTCGACCAAAAGTATTAACGTGTGATGTCCTGTTCATATACCAGTCGAGTACAGTTAGAGGTGCTCGGCACACTGGAATGGATTATGCAGTCGCCATCAGAGAAGAAGAGATGAGCGACATGACCAAAATAATCCTTTTTCTTATCTATATTTCTTCTATACATTTTTGGCGTCCCTCGATAGAAATTCATTCAAGTTCCCATTTTGTGATCAACGCTGAGTAGTAGCTGAGCTAGTAGACAGCCAATCCCATTGTAGCGGAAAGCAAGCATACCCAATTCCGCCCGCGAGGACCTCGGCCGAGGTGATATGATAGCACATCGAGGGGGAGGGGCAATCCAAGAATGCCTTGATGTAATCCGGGACCTTCAATGCAATGCACAACATTCCAGACCCCCACTAGCGTGGCAGAAAGCTTCCTGGCGGGAGGAGGGTCCTCCGGACGACGCACCTGCGCACCCTGTATCCGTACCTGTAACTGTACCTGTTGTACCCGTATCTCAGCCTACACTGGATGCAGCAAGAGTGATTTTCTCGTGCAGGAAAATGCTAGTGCGAGGCTACGCTAACCAGTAGAGGTAAAGCGTTAGTAGAAGAGTGAATTCAGAGTGGAAGAGGATGTCAAGGGCCGTGTCAGATCGTCGTGCGCCATTTCGCTCGGCGCCGTCGTGGGCCCGAGTCGGGTGCGACTTGGCGCCAGTCGGTTCTCTGATCCTGGTGTACCTTTAGTCGAGATGAGGTACTGTAAAAAGTCCTCCGTAAATTACTCATGTATTGATGGTCATGGTGAATGTACTCTAGGTACGGGGTACAGTCTGCAGAATACCTTCCGAGAGCGCTTTGCATGGCGATCGTGATCGACTCGCTCAACTACATAAACAGCGAAGGAGGCTTCAGGGTGTGGCGATTAGATGTGCTGGTCAAAGCTGATTCGAACAATATGATCCGCCGTTGGTGTCTGTGCGAGTTGACTAACGCTGGAATTTAGTTTGTATGTCTGTATTGGAGTATGTTGGAGCTTTGGTTTGGCCGACATTCGCCGTGGAACAAGTGGGTTCAGAGGCAGGTATGACATGCATGGATTTGATTGTGGATTTGGACTTGGGGAGAGCAACTAAGTACCACTCGGTACATATCTTTTTGCGCAGACCCGGATGTATGTCGCTTCCGACTCTCGGGCATGTTCATCTTGACCAGCTCCCAGTGCTGGTGGAGAGAGCACCTGTGTTGCCTTTGATGATTCATTCGTGCTATACTAGTAACTCTTCACGCAAGGTACCATCTGTCGTGTACCTATATGCAACAGCCAAGTATAGAAGAGAGATTACACCAAGTACTTGTACATCCTGTACTCCGTACATGCCGTACGAGTAGCACTCGGGCTGTATGGATTACATACCCAGTGTATTCTCTGTACTTACATACACGAGTAATTGGAATGTATCTACGGAGTACACACATACAGTATCCACGGAGAAAGCTACATCCGACCCAAATACCACTACTGCACGACGAGAAACCAGGCAATCACATCAGATATAGCCACTGCACGTTCTATGGAGATCATGCACTACGACCAAGTAGAGTTTGGTGGATATCCATCGGCATTTCTCCGGTGAATCATGGATAATCGAGCCTTCACGGAGTCTTAGTACTAATACGTCCTTCGTGCTCGACTCGGACGATGTCGCGATTGTCTTGATTAGCTTGATTAAGACACCGGGCCGGGCCACTGGCCATCCTCGACCCATCGAACTAGTAGAAGAGAGCAACCTGTGAAGCGCCAGCCTTGGGAGCATATAGTAGCCGGATCCACATAGCGTGTTTGGAATGTGCTCATGGCTTGTTCCTAATAATAAGTTCTTCACACGGAGAGAGATGAAGATAAAATGGAGCTGGGTATTGGACATCGCGTTGGATAGACTTTGGAGCTGCTGGGGCTACGTAGATCCACCCTCGACAATTTGCCCTGTAGATGCAGAGTCGATAGTATGTATACGCTTGCCACCAATGATTGGGATCCAGGATTTGCACTGTACTCTGGTTTCTGGTCCCATCACCTCTTTGGATTGATTGGTCCTGATCCGATGCTACATGAACCTACATACATACTGTACGTTGGAAGGTTGATCGTCGCGCAGGGACTCAGATGCGGGAGCTAGGACCAGCGCCTATACCTGGCGAGTAATGAGCGTGGACCATATGCACCTTCACATCATCGTGTTCCGTGGAGATATCGACTGTGGTATTACCAAATTGTCTGGTCTCATTATTCTTACTCAATACAGAGAAGGGTTGAGCAATGATCCGTCGAGGCCGACCGTGAATCTCACAGTCAAGTAGAGTATAGAAGTGCCTAATACATTTCTGTAGCCCGCAAAACAAACCCATTTATCTATTACTCCAACTCAAGCTTATCTATGGAGTAATCATTCCAGGAAGAGAAGTCCAGACGAAAGCTAATCGAACCAGTAGGGTGACATCGCCGGGTGAAATTCCTTTGTTTCCGTCGCTGGTATCCACCCTCAAAGAAGGCGGCCGTCTAGACTCCACGAATGGCGCGCGTTTCAAGTTAAGGCTAGCCAGTTGATTTCATCCACGCTCGGCATTAGTATCTTACAGAATGCCGGCCTTCGTCACTCTCAGCCACAGCAATAAGCGCACCGCGGCGTTGTCAGGGCGTTGTTCAAGTGCACAGTGTAACAGAATCCAAAGTACTAGTACGAAATGGGTGGATATGTACCAACAGGACGGTTGAAATAGAGTGCCTAGGTAATAGGTACGGAGACAATACGGAGCATACAACACCACCTGGGCACTAAACTATACCATGACCTAGGTACTTTCCAAGACTCCCTTATCGTCTCCTACGTGGGAATTGCGGATCATGGCCTGAGCCTGACAGGAGGGATCCTCTTGAATCCACAATCCACCCCTGCCGCAGTGGGACGGGTCATCCTCGTTATCGCCCGGGGGGGCATGACGCATAGGGCCGCAGGAGGCTCAGAAGGTCCACCGATTGATGGCGAAGTCAGCACCTGTAGCCGGTCGCAGGGCTCGACTCGAGATGAATTAAGAGCTCCCCAGCTGATCCAATGTCCAGGGGAGGTGCATGGCCAGACAGGGCCCATTTCTTCACCACGGAGACTTCCCTGTTCAAGATGGTCTGGGGTGACCAGTAGCCACTAGTTGGCGGCACGGGCTGAAGTCCGATCATCTTGGACTAATATCCGAGCCGCGCACTTGATGCCATCGTGCACAAGCGGCGAGCACAGGCCATGGGGTGATCCCGCGAGGACGGGGATGGGGAGATGACTACTGTATCTACTGTATCGGAGAATTTTAATCATATTCATGACATTCTATGGCGCGAATGTGTTTCATTACATGGCGTGGTAATTACCGCCCTGTTAGAGGGCAACCGGCTTAATTCCGAGTCGGTTGGCTATCACCCGGAAATGCGAACGTGGGTTACGCGAGAATCTTGACTCTGAGCTGCCTTACTACCTACATGCATGTATTACCTCTGATTCACTAGAGTCAATGTCTCTACTTCGGACGCGACGGACTTCGAAGCCGGAGACTAGAATGTGTCCATGGTGTTTGTGGCGTTGACTGGCTTTGGTTAGGGCGCCTCGTTTAAAAAGGCTAGTCTCTGCGCTCACAAAGGTTTGATTTCCATTGGGGACCTGCATCGCCGCATTGAAAGAAAAAAAAAGACGAGTCAAAAGAAAGGGCCAACAGTTTTGAATGTGTACAATGCATTCAATTGTTGCCTCGTGTTCGCACATTCATGCAGGTGCGTCTTCCACAATAAGTTGCACAAAACTGGCACAAAAGTAACCATCATAATAAATTCCTGTGTAGTTCGACCAGTTATAATTATAGTTTACCCTCTACTCTCTACTTATGGTAACAATTAAATTACTACTAGTATACTCAACGCAACGAGTGTTAATCGCTCAGGTCAGGCGGCCAACGCCAGCAGTCACTTTCCCCCCCAGGCCCATTCTAATCTGGAAGTATTATCAAGCAAGCATTATTCTGATCCCTTGGGCAGTGATCCAGTGGCTTGCCGAGCGACCGTTTCATTTGCCTAATCTGCGTCGTCTCGGGTCACCTGCAGCTCTCAGAGACTCATACTAGTGGCTAGTTCGACCTAGCGCGCATGGGCACGTCTGGGGATTCTGCAAACGAGCTGTCCGTGCGAGGACGGGTGTCCAGGAAAGCGGGATTAGCGCTAGGAAAATCATTGTCAAATGGAATCAATCAACATGGAGCTGGTGGCATTACTTCATGTCCTGGAGATTGAATTGAAAACGAAGGACCACCGTGTCAACTCCGTGGCAGAGCTAGGGACGGCTCGCAAGTCTCTCGGTACCATGTTATGACACTCCGAAGTTCAGGAGCAGGCGCTCGCATTTGCACACCACTCGCCCTCCGCAAGGATCCGGGAATTCCCAATGCTCGCGAGACGAATCACACGGGGGGGATCGTCACGCACCGGCACCCCCCAGATCCAGCCGCATACTCGATCCGTCGATGGGCCGCGCCAATGAGTGATCCCAATCAATCCTGGGGACGGCCTCGCTCCGTACGGCCAAACTCAAACCGGGCTGCAACGTGCGTCGAATGTTGAGCGGGTGAGATTCTAGAAAGTTTGGATCCGGGGTTTCTCCAGCTTCATTCAAAGAATGTCCGGATGCATCCTCTCCTTTCCTATCTTTGTGGATATCACCCCACGTTTGTTTCATTTTGCCACATTCGAACCATGAGTGAGACACACCATGTGCGCAGGAACCGGAGGAAGTGCACCAACGGTATTGCCAACCCACATCTCAATGGGTGGGAGTGACCAGCAGCATTTTGCAGTGCAGGACAAAAGTAATAGTCCAAAATCCAGAGTACAGTACTCCATCCTCTGTACCGTGTAAGAGCCAAGGCAGGAGACCTATCGTGAGCCGGACAATCCCCCACACGATCCCTTTTCAGGCAGAGCGTCTGTCCCCCACAAAAATGGCGCAAGGCCTCTTAATTGGGGAGACATTTTGCGGATCCATCCGCCAAAGCTCAGCGCCCCAGCCTCGCAAGTGGATCCAATAGGTACCTGGCCACATCATAGGCAACGTCCAGCGTTCCAGTTCCCAGTTCTAGCGTGCCAGTATTTCTAGTCTGCCAATGGTAGCCTTTGGATGGAGGCCTGGAGAGACTTTGCCTTTTTGCCCCTTACCCTAGTGCTGGGCGGTACGAGGGAGTTTGTAATCTGTTCTGTACTTAGCCTGAGATGTGCCCCAGGGTGTATGTACCTAGATCAGGATCAGGCGACTATACTCCGTACTGTAGTATGCTGTAAGCAAACACCGTGACAGTACGATACATACCGAGTACAGGGTCAGGGCCGTTTCTCGCCGATCGCGGTCACGAGGAATTGCATTCTCGTATGGTGGTGGCAGGGGCGAATGGCAAGGCAGCCCCACTGCAGGCTAATGCAGCTAGAATCCGTGGGTAAAGGATGGAGTATACAGATATGTCCGGAGATTGAGCCATTGATTCAGAACTCATTCAGGAATGAGTGGTGACTGTTGACTTTATTAGAAATTATTGACTCTATGTGTGTATATATGGGTAGACCTAGAGTATACACCATGTACTCCATACTCCGTACTCCGTACTACATCATTCCACAATGACAAAATCTACACTTACTGCCAGTGGGCAGGTGCAGGGTGCAGGTGTAGGTGCAGGTGCAGACCAGTGCAGGCCAGTGCGTGCGCCCAAGATTGGAGCTAGCCCATTTGGAGTATCACCCTGGGTAATCGTTGACTTCTGATTGGTGGCATCTGCCGCTGGTCCCACTATGGGGAACTGGTATTGAAACCGTTACAATACACTATTCTGTACCATGCTGCACTCTACACTCTAGTAAGGGAGTATGGACTACCTCGTGCGTGGCGCGTGGCAGATAACCCTGTTCATCCCATACCATACACTCAACGGCAGGCCCACCCCCAGGCCAACGTGTGTATTCTAATCTCCCGGCTGCACGTACCTCCACGAGGCCCCGTTACTTCCACCCCCCCCCTCGGCGTATCGTGCCCGGGGGTTGTCTGGGTATGTTAAGCCAGTACCTCGCTCCAAAGTCAAAAGGTTGAGAGGCAACTTTCGATCAACTTCAACCTCTCCTTTCATCCTTCCCCTGTGCTTGCTTCCCTCCCCCTTCAACTCCTTCCCTTACTCGTGGTTCCCGCTGCCTCCGACTGTGTCGCGCCATTCGCATCGTCCTCTTATCTGCAATTGTCCGCTATCTCGGTTATCTCCGGCTTATCCTTAAGGTACCGGCGGTCCATGCTTCCTGACAAGACGGCCACCGACTGCCTCGAAGCTTGACAACTTTTTGCTCTCGCAATTTGTTCTAGTCTCCGTGAGTCTTCTTCGTCTCCCGATTATACTCTATCCGAGTCGCATCCCCTGTGGCGAGGTATCGATGTGCCTTGTGCCTTGAGCTGAACGACGTCAACACTAGAATCCGCCCCCAGAACGAACCCGCCCACCGGCCGCAGGTCCCCATATCCTGTCTACATACCAATAACTCACACCTGGGCGACTCATTAAATTCGAGCCGATTTACTTTACCCTTGGTGGAATCGTAGGGAAAGAGAAGAATTCCTCTTACCACTACCAGCCTCCCTTTCCCAATCAACTTGTTGTACAAGCTGGGCTTGCGCTTCCTGGTGGGTCCTCCTGTTACGCTTTACGCTCTCCGGCACGCGGTCCATGATAAGCACCTCACTCGCTCCCCTGGGCCCGACCGACTTGAAAGACTGGCGCTTCCGCACCTTTTGCTCGCTGTCTCGAAGAAAAATAACTAATCTGATGTCATTCCGCCCCAAATAGTCGTTGATGCTCTGACGATAATATCTATCGTCCGTTGTACCGCCCCGTCATCCTCCACCCTGTGACGAAAGTGTACATTCGATTGCGTCTTCTCGCAACCTCGGACGACACTTCTCCATTTTTCCTCTTCCTCTCTTGTTAACGTGACCGGTGTTTTTTGACACCCTGGTCCAAAAGAGAACAAGTCTCCCCCTGATGCTGTTAGGTGCTATGGTCGCTCAACATCCCGATAACAGCTCCCAAGTCGCAGACCTCGCTAGCATTAACGAGATTCCTGGAAATATGCCTGGTAAGCCTTCGCCCCACCATCACTCGCAGTTCCTGGAATTCTGAACTCCTACCGGTAGCTCCATCAAAGGAGAACAAGAAGGCCGAGGTCAATGGCCAGCCCGCCGCCGCCAATGGCAACATCCCTCCTCCCAAAACTGATAAGCCGAGACCACACGTCTGTACCACTTGCGGTCGCTCATTCGCCCGATTGGAGCACCTGAAGCGCCATGAACGTTCCCATACCAAGGAGAAGCCCTTTGAATGCCCTGACTGTGCGCGTTGCTTTGCTCGCCGCGATCTGTTGCTGCGACACCAGCAGAAGCTACACATGACCTCCACTCCGTCCTCTCGACCCCGAAATGGCCGTCGTGAGAGTACTTCTGGGGCCCCAGCTGGCGCGGGGGCCAATAGGGTGCGCAAGAACTCCATCGCTAACAACTCATCATCTTCATCAATGCGCCCCCGGGCCAACACCATCAGTCACATTGGTGGATCCGCCTTAGGACTGGCCGAGGGAGCTAACCCATCGTCCGCCCCGAGCCAATCGGGTCATGCATACCACCCCAGCCTAGGATCTTCGGTCGGCTCCAGCATTGACTACAGGGGCTTCAGCTCAGGACACCCGCCTGTGAATGGATTGGCTAAGCTTGAAACATCCGGACTCCCGCTGGACATGTCTGGTAGTCTTCGGACGGCCCCCGTTTACGGGAGCTTCGACATGGGCATTGATGGTATGCTGATGGGTCATGGCAGCACAATAAACCCCGCACAACTTCATTTCGCAGGTTCCCCCCAGGGCTTTGGTGACTCCCCATCTTCCCCATTCGGCCACAATGTCCACGGTATGCACCCCGCAGCGGATCCCATGATGGACGAGGATATGAACTTCGACTGGATGAGTGGGTTCGACGCGGCTGTGGCGCTTGGAAATGGTAACGACTCGGTCATCGATGAGTCGTCACCCTCTGCGATGAGCACGGGTAGCCAGAGTGGGATCAGCGAAGCCATGCTCGATGGCCCTAACCGCATTCCCATCTCCAACGGTTGGCACAACCCGTTCCCCGCACACCACCCAGCCGCCAATCAATTTGCAATCGACTTCTCCCCGAACACCCTCAACGAATTGGGTATCCCCCCCAGAGACCGTGTCGCCGAAGTCGCTGATGGCCCAGAATCCTTTTGCTGAAACCTACGCCACTCCTCCCTCCATGACTTCGGTCGGCCAACCCATCGTGGGAGGACATTCGCAGAGTATGTTTCCATCCTCAACAAGCGGAGAATCTCCTAATCCTCTCAACGTTCCTTTCCCGAATAGTGCCCTACGAAATCAACATTCCTCAGTCTCAACGGATACATTTACAGACTCCACACGACAGGCTCTATTAGCGAGCATGTCGCAACCCACTGGCTTCAATCATCGCAAGTATTCCCAGCCCGCGAGTGGCCTCCTCAATAGCCGTGAGTTGTTCGCCCGCTCGAATGGTTTCAACAGCACCGGTCAATTACCAAGCACTTCGGATATGCAGCGGTACATTTCGGCCTACATCACCTATTTTCACCCTCATTCGCCCTTTCTCCACATTCCTACCCTCAATTTCCAGGCCCCAGAGTACACCAACAACCTGCGAACACCTAGTGGTCATCTCAATCTCTGTTCCACCGGCGTTGCAGGTGGCGGGGGCTGTCTGATCCTCTCGATGGCAGCCATCGGTGCACTCTACGAATACGAAACTGCCGCATCCAAAGATCTGTTCGAAGCTGCGAAGAAGATGATCCAATTATATCTCGAAGAACGACGCAAGGCCGACATGTCTGCCGCGCTAAGTCGTTCAAGTTCTCATCGAGATAGTTCAGTGCATAACACTCCACTCTGGTTGGTGCAAGCGATGCTACTCAATGTGATCTACGGTCACACCTGTGGTGATAAGACTTCCGCGGATATCGCCAGCACACATTGCGCTGCACTGGTTAGTTTGGCACGAGCAGCGGAGTTAACTCACCACCTGGATCCGAAGAACCTGCCGCAGGATCACCTCAATGCAAATTTCAACACAGCCGACTCAGACTCTGCCGATAACGATAACTGGACATCATCATCCTACAACCAACCGAAGGAGAGACGCGACTGGTTAAACTGGAAAGTGGTCGAAGAACGCAAACGCACCCTTTATGCCATCTTCGTTCTGTCCAGCTTCCTCGTCTCCGCATACAACCACGCACCTGCTCTGACAAACTCCGAGATAAGGCTTGAGCTCCCCTGTGAAGAGGATCTCTGGGCTGCCGAGTCCCCACAGGCATGGAAGAAAATGGGAGGACATACGTCCTCTATGCAGAGCGTGTCCTTCTCTTCCGCCCTCACATCTCTTCTAACCGCCAGTCAACGAGAGCAACAACAGCAATCATCGAATCTTTTCTTCAACGAGGACCCCTCAAACCCAGAAAATCGGCCTAGTACTTTTGGCTGTCTTGTTTTAATTTACTCTTTGCACAATTACATATGGGAAACCCGCCAACGACACATGGGTCGACAATGGACCGCACAAGAAACCGAAGCCATGCAATCGCACATCGAGCCCGCTTTACGAGCTTGGCAAGCGGCGTGGGCAGGTAACCCTGTTCACAGCCTGGAGCGACCCAATCCCTTCGGCGCGGGTCCATTGTCAGCAGATAGCATTCCCTTGTTGGATTTAGCCTATGTCCGATTGTTCGTTAATCTGGGTCGAACGAAGGAAGCCTTCTGGCAGCGTGATTGGAATGGCATGGCAGACGAGCTTGCGCGAGGTACGGAAGTATTCCACCAGGTTGACACGGCCATGAGCGACGCGGTTGATTCAGCATTGGGCTCACTCGGTAATCGTCGTGAGTCGATCAACGACCTTGGTGTTGGTGATCTAGCCATCTCACAAATCCCGACGCAAGACCAATCCATGCAATCCCTTTCCAACGTGTACAAGACCGGTCAATCCAAACGGGAAAAGCACCTTCGAAAAGCAGCTTTTTACGCCGCCGATTCCATCTCCATGTCCGACCGACTTGGTAATACATTTGCCGAATTCTCATCGCGAGAACTTCCCATCCAGTGCGCCATGTGCGTCTTTGACTGCTCACAAGTACTGGCGGAGTGGATCACAACCGTTCAAGAGCGCGTGGGGCCATACCTGGGTATCCTGGGCCGCGAGGATGTCGACCTCACCCAGGTGCCAGGAGTAATGCTGCTTGAGGATGAAGATTGCAAGCTGGTGGATAAAATAACGGAGATTCTCAATAGCATTGAAACGAAAATGCGGCGCCAGGTGCAGAATAGCAATTCCATGTCTGCGCTTAGTGTGATGCAACGATTGCCTAGTGTGGTGGAAGGTGGATACGGGTGTAAAATATTGATTGCGACAGCGAGCTTATTGGATCGAGCTGCTGTTTGGCCAGGTAAGAGCCCTCCCACAACATTTCCAGATTCTATCACTGTGCTAACCTTATTCTCCTGCTCCTAGTGACCAAATTAATGGCCCGCTCCCTAGAAGCTCAGGCCATGCGGATGAAAGAACGAGCCGAACACTCCGTTATGATGAACACTTAATGACCTCTCATGTCTTCCGAATCCGATCTTTGAACTCATCCATATATGCGTCATCCTGCTTTATATGCCCAGTCGATTCATTTATTAAATTCTCGGGGCATCCAATCACCAAAATTCCCCCCCTGGACCCTGCTGCTTATTCTGGTGACACTTCCAACACCCGACTTGATGACTTGACTCCTCCGATACCGATACCCCGATCGATTGAATCTGTGATAGACGAATGCCATGCCACGATTACCTTTGCCTTTTCCTTTACTGTGATACTGCTGTCCCAATTCCATGTTTCCCCACCTAGCGATGATTGACGTTTTCTTCTGTGTTGTCCTGTTGATTTCTGTTACACTTATCCGACTCTCGAAAGAGCTCGGTCCCGATACCGATGTGCCGTGGTTGATTGACTTTTGCTGGTGCTTTCATTCAAATGTCAGTTGTATTGTGATTTGAATTTCGTTGGAGTTGGCCTGGGACCTTTTTTAACCATCTCTCTTTTTCTTTTTTCTTCACTCTGGTCTCCATGTCTAATTATGCCGCTTTACTTCATGTGAATATGATTATCTTTATTTGAATGATTTTGTGCGTACTAGTAATTTTGTCATGTTATCCCTTGCCCCTGCTCAACATTCCAAGGTTGAATACAGTTCCAGTTGAGTTGTCACTGAGAACTTGAATTTTCAACTTTAGGCATCTGGCACACTTTCGGCTGCTGGTGTTGTGGCGAAAGTACTTGACCTCGGGAATAGATGGCAAGGACCGGACGGGCCAGCCATTTACACTCAAGTCCCTGCATTTCCATTCGATTAATCCCCAATCCAATTTTACCAAACTTAAAGCACTTGGACATGTCTTTAGAAATTTGACTATGCCGCGAGATTTATTGCTGGTCACATGACTGTCCCTAGATTCGACGCGAACAAACAAGGCGTTCCATCGAGAGTCGTCCAGAGACCTCCAAGTTACTATCTACCAACGCGATACGAATCGGTCAGATCTAGCTCTCTCTTCTCCATCTTCGCCGGCCATCTGAAGGCCCCGGTTTATTCCTCAGATGTCTCCAACAGTAGCGCAAATCATCGCGCCTTATGAATACAAACCCGAGCGCGTGGAGCGCATAGCATTCCGAACGGTGCAGCCTCCCATTACCATTCTCGAGCCAAACCCAGTCTGGCATCAACGCTTCGAAGAAACCAAAGAGCGAATTCAGAGCGCTCTCGGGGAAATAATCATTGACATCGCGCATTCCGGCTCTACCAGTGTTCCAGGCCTACCAGCCAAAGACATTATAGATATTGACCTCTCTCTAAAGGACGCAGCGGACGAACAATCATACGTGAAGCTGCTCGAGGCAGCAGGGTTTCTATTTCTTCTCCGTGAGCCTGGATGGCATCAACATCGATTCTTTGTGGAGGACTGGCCCGGCGCATATCATGTTAATCTCCACGTTTGGGGTCCCGACTCGCCAGAGGTTGTCCGGCATCGTATCTTTCGTGACTGGCTTTTTAAGAATCCGGAGGATCTTCAATTATATGCGAAAGTGAAACGTGAAGCGGCTGAGCAATCGGCTATTGCTGGGGATTCGATGATGGATTATACACAGCGGAAAGATAAAACCATTCAGGATATCCTTGGAAGAGCGTTCCGAGATCTGGGTTACATTCAGTGAAATCTTCGAGTGTTTTGAGTAAGCTCATTTTGACATTGTTCAGAATGAACGTAGCGAGGCATAGAAACAATGGATTGAGTGATATGGAAATGAGAGGTGTGGAAGGAAGGAGGCGAGGAAGCTAGCTGCCCAAAAGATGTTGGAGAATAGTCGGGCCATAAGTCGCTGACTGTTCAGCTTTGATTTCTTTACTTCAAGACCTTTCATTACCTATGAGATCCCATTTGGAGTCGCATGAGTTTCCACCCGACATTTTTGACTTATCGATCTCCGGATGCCCAGGCCTGTTGGCCTCAGGCATCCTACATGCCGCCCCTCTGTCATCGATGGTATCCCTTTCCATCCACACAAAACACGCACGTTCGTGCTATTCGCTTCCTCTGCAAAAACCCCAGCACTTTCATGCTTGCTCGTTGTACCTGAATCTGTTCAGAGCAGATAGGGGGTGCAACAATAAAACAACTCATGATGTGGTGGTGGCTGCTGCTTACCATAATATTGGCAGGCTACTACATATCAACATCATTCTCCGAATTGGCAGCCATCTTCTTCGGATCAAGCTCTTTCGTCATTAGAGCTGCAGATAATCCCGGTGTATTGGTGAAGATGAGCTGGCATCCGCCGATTTCCTCAAGAATCAACAGCCTCAGTTCAGCGATCAATGGCACAGGAACCTATGGCTTTGTATTCAATTCTTCTCTACTACCAGAAGGAACTCCATATGGTATCTAAATCTTCTTCCTGTTTTTTAAAAAGGAATTTATAGCTAACTTTGACCCAGGAACGTACAACTGGTGCAATATGCCGCATGTCCGACCCACTGAATATCCAAAAGTGAACTCTTCGTATGTTCTCGAATACGTCGAAGTAATTCACCGACACCATAAGCGCACTCCGTACGCCGCCAATACTTTCCCAGTCGAGGTCTACCAATGGCACTGTGATAACGAGGCCCTCTTCTATTACGGTGCCCCCTTGCCAACTCACGGTGCCAACCATTCTGCCAATACCTACTGGAGTGTATACACCTCCCCATCCAATCCCCTGGTACTGCGAGGATTTGAAGGAAACTGTCAGTTTCCACAGATTACCCGCGGGGGGCTTGATGATAGCTGGCAGCATGGCCATGATTTGTACAAAGTCTACCACCACCTGCTTGGGTTTCTACCGGAAAAATACGATTCAAATCTTGTCGGTTTCCGTGTCACAAACAATGTCATCACCTCTCAGGTCGCCAGCATGGTCACATCTGGAATGTTTGGCAGCGATCTGGCTCAGCAGAACCTGCCCTTGCTCGTCCAACCCGTCAGCATCGACAGTCTCGAGCCCTCATACCCCTGCCCAGCGGCAGCTAGAAATTTCTCCGCGTATGGTCCCGGGAGCAGCGACCCAGGCTGGACCTCGCATCTGAAGGCTGCATCTGACCTATTCGCAAACCTCGATAAAATCTCCGGTATTTCACCTACAGATTCAGGCTTCCACATGTCCTTCGACCATTATTTCGACAATCTTTCCTCACGACTCTGCCACGAAAAGCCGCTCCCCTGCAACGCCAGCAACACGTCCCTCTGTGTTACGCAGGAGATGGCTGATGAGGTATTTCGATTAGGGCAGTACGAATACAGCTACCTCTATCGAGACGCCGGGCCACGCACGCTGGAGTATAGCGTTGGCCGTTTTGGCATATGGATCGCAGAATTGGCGGAAAATTTACGACACGCAATGCATGCAACCGGCCCAGCGATTACCGGCGACAGAACGAATGGCGGCATGAGATATCGACACAATGTTGCCCATGATGGGAGTATTAGCTATATATTGAGCATTTTGCAGGTAGAAAAGATGGTATGGCCTGGGATGGGCAGTGAGCTGATATTCGAGCTATATAGAGGGAAAGTGGACCACAAGTACTATATTAGAGTACTGTGGGGTGGCCAAGTGCTGAAAAGTAGCAACCCAACACTTGGTGATTTTGCTATGCTCGAAGCTGAGATCCTTCTTGCCTATTTTGATGGGCTTGTAGGTCAAAGAGCAGCGAAGATACCTCACCTGTGTAGCTTGTGAATTCCGAACATGTTCCAGTTTATACCAAGTTGGTATTATCTAGCAAGCTTAATCCACCGGTCATCGTGATGAACAAACAGGGAATCCACATTAGTCTTGCCTGGCTCAAATCGAGCAAAAAGGGGCTTGCATGGACCCTCTTGTCCAGGAGGGTGCAAGAAATAATTTGACGGCATCACAATCACAGCTACAATTTAAACATAAATAATAGGCACCTCCATATCTCAAGGAATCCGAAGTATTATTCGCAACTGCATCCAAACCTAGGGACTAGTCTCTCAAGTTGTCCTCATCATGATTACCACAAACAGCAAATATTAGCAGTTACATTTAGCAAAGCTCTTCTCACGATAACAACAAATGTACTAGAAAGGCTGTCACATATTGTTGCCTACTAGTACCAATTCAAAGAAAAGCTACTAATGTGTTTCACCACCGAGTCGCCACCCCCATGAAATGCAGTAAATATCGAAATTATAACTTCAAATATCTCAACAACTAAACAATTTTTTTTATTATATCTTAGAACATAGGTTTGAATTATAGTAGAGAATAATATAACGAAAAATAAATTATTTTACATAATTATATTAGAACATTACACCACAACGTTAAGTGACGGTAAATCGAACGCCCAAGACGGCAACACTCGACGCCAGTTTAAGCGTTCATTTTACCAAAATCATAGTCATATCTCTATCACGTGATCTAAATCATCTTATCGCCTGGTCCGGGATTGCTCCCTGAGCCCTCCCGGAGCCCTCATAGCTGCTTAGGGATCAACTCTACTGTACTCAGGGCGCTCTGGGTAGACGATCAGGCATGTTATCAGTATCTCTCTTCTCTGTCTACCGATTGTAACCGCTCTTACAAATGTTAAAGGATCTCTTTGTCAAGTTAGTGTCTGAGCCTAGTCAAGATTTCGACGATACATAAATAGCCTATGCTTTAACTTCCTCGTAAGCTCTTTTTTTTTATGAAAATATTTATCTAGTGCTCTTTCTTCCAACTATTATATCTCTTTGTCTTTCTCTCGTTTGCTTGCTTGCTTCTTCTTCTTCTATTTGATTATGTAATATTAATCTTCCTCTTCGATTCTCTCTATCTACCTACTAATTATCTATAAAATTACTTACGTTTTTATCTTCTTCCTCTCTTATTGGCTTTCTAGTTTGATTGTTGCGTTTATTATCCCAGATATGTCTATCCTTGAATCTGCTGCCACTAGAATAGCTAAAAAGCCTAGTCCCGAGTACTACTGGTGATACTTGTAATGGCAAATACTAAGGGACAGGCTAGAGACCTGTGACTAGGCAAGACTTCGGATGGTAATTAAAGAGTAGAAGAATCAACCAATAATATGTATGAATAGTAACAGAGACTAATTCTTGAAGAAAACTTCAAGAGAAAAGGAAACACTGCGTCAAGTCAGTTATCCTGACTATCACGTGAATCAGGCACGAATCGACATCGAATCGGGCACGAACCCCTAGCGTGGCTGAGACAAGATCGGATTGCCAAAGGGAATATAAAGAGAGTTAGTTGCTTCTTACCGAAGCTCACCCTCTTTGACACGAGCCCCGTGACAAGCATACTCGAAAACATCTTCGTTAGGCCCAACAATATAAACACTTTTCTCTAGATAATTAGAAATAAGTCTACTAGTCTGATAAATATACTATTAAGCGAGGTAAAAGCCAAGGCAAAGAGTACTCATTTCTTCAATAAAAGGATTAGATAAAAACTCACAATTTAATATTAGTTCCTCCTAGAAAGCAGATATCTCAGATATTCTGGGCCTGTTTCTCTGGAGACTATTATCGTTCTGGATTAATCCCTCTTTTTAGAGATGACTGAGGGAATAGTAGCCAAAATGGCATTAATCGGTTTACAATTCATGATCTCTATCAGCGAATCCTACCAGCATTGATCCAATCTATTACTGGTGAACAGGGTATATTCATATATAATAATGCTCCTACTTACTGAGTATATATTATACGTGACTTATTGACTGAATCAGGCCTTCTTATCATAGAATGGCCTCCTTATTCATCAGATCTTAATCCAATTGAGAATATCTAGGCATTTTTGAAACGCAAAATATACAAAATTGAACCTCGACTTCGTGGCTATTTACCAAAGAATAAGGCTACCAGACAGCTATTGGAGGATACCGCATGTGAGGCATGGCAACAGCTGGATATAGATATGTTTGAGAGCCTTACTACCACTATACCTCACCGTATTAAGGCAGTTATTAAGGCGGAAGGCTGGTATACAGATTATAAGATAGTATTGGGTAGGAGGAATGCGAGGTTTTTGGCCGGCAGAATATTACGTAATAATAGGGGGTGGTCACAAACTTACAAGCACTCACTGTATTGTATTCCTACAATAATGTGCTGAGCGGACGAACAAAACTTTATCTGGGACTATGTGACCGTCCCTTAATCCACGAGAAACTTCTCTAGAAGGCACGAGAGGTGGCAATCTTCTCTACGGCCTCGTCAAAGATGTTGACGTCCCAGCGAGGTTTGTCTGCGCAGAATCAATATTCAGCTCCAGAGCACAAAAAAGCCGGTTGAAAACTTACAGTAACAAAAGGGAATATTGTATCGCTTTCTATCTTTCCCAATAGCATCGACTGCCTGAATTTCTTCCTCCGTCAAAACAATTTCTTTGAAATTGTCCAGAATGCGCGATGGTTTCACGGATTTCGGAATGACACTATGGCCACCAACTTGAGCCCAGGCAATGCTTGATAACAATAGTCAGTAACAGAAATCTGCAAGTTAAAGCCGTTTGCTGGTAACAAAAGGAATTGCAGGTAACGTACACAACATTCGCACCAGTGACTGTCTGACCTAGGCGTTTGGAAGCAGACTCGGCAACTTCCTTCACGACAGGGTGATTGATGACAAGAGGATCCCCGATAACGTTATTTCCAAGAGGCTATCATCAAATTAGCATAGTTCAATGTGCTTTTAATATGGGAACTGACAGAATACGCGGTGACGTGGATGCCATGCTCGGCACAGTAGTCGATCAGATCGTCGCTTCGTAAGTGAGGATGGCGCTCAATCTGATTGACTGACGGGGTAACGCCGGATCCCTTGATAATATTCTCCAGCTAAACCTACAGTCAGGAATGCATCATTTAGTATATTATAGGATGGAACCCGCCTGACCTGGTGAACATTGTGATTGGCAACGCCAACGGAGCGGACCTTTTGTTTCGGGAGCTCGGTCATAGCTGTATAGGTCAGTCTGTGATTTTCATGACTTGCAATTAATACTGCCTACCTTTCCAAGTGTCCACCATGGAAATACTATCATCAATCAGCACATCCCCCCGATCGGAGCTGCTAGAAGACGCGACAGGTAGTAACAAATCGCCTCGTTGGAAGGCAACGGGCCAATGGACCAGATAAAGCTGGCCAGTCAGCACAGTAGATCACTCAAAGGGTAGTGAAAACATACGTCCAAATATTCGGTGCCGATTTGCTCAAGACAAATGTCGAGTGCGGCTGCAACATCTTCAGGGTGGTGCTGGCTGTGTGAAATGTTAGTCAATTGTAGCGACGCTGAAATCAATAAGAATTTAGACTTACCTGTTCCAAAGTTTCGAGGTCTAGACAAAGCAATCATTAATATTACTGCTGAAAGGTACGGTCAAGTGAGTTCATACAATAAAAAGATCCTCTCGCTTGAGTCCGGGAATATCTTTATATGCCTTTTGGATCCCATTTGCGATCTCTTTCTGATTGCGGTAACTTATGATGGCATGAAGATTAGTGATCGACCCAGAAGGAGAAAACTTTGAGCTCGAGCCAGCAAGGCCAGGGGAAAGAAATCCAGGAACATACATCAACGCCAGATCCTAGAAGATATTAGTAAGAATTAGAAAATAATCGGGGGCTCAAAAAGTGTGCTATTACCAGGTGGCGATATCCTGCCTTGAGCGCTTCATAAACGGCCGTACCAACTTCACCAGGAGCTGATTGCCAGGTGCCAAATCCCAGCTGGCTGCAAAGTAGTCAGCATTGAATTGGAGTATGGGTTGAATTACTAAAGACCAACGGGATCGGGAAGCCCGAATTGAGGATTCGTTTGCCCGGAGACATAGCGAGTCTGAATGCCGTCTTAAATATGAATAGCGTTTCCAATAAAAGCAAAAGGATACCAGAAACTAGAATCTTTTCTTTGGATGATAGGATCTACTTAAAATTTAAGCATCGACAGCCTTTTAAGATTAGTGATATCCGACCACTCACCAAGTCATTAAAATTGGTACGTATCAGTAATCATTACGCCACAAACCCCGGTTAAATAATCAAGCACGAGGGTAATCCGTGATTACTGAACATATTCGCTGTTCGGTGTGCTGGTTTGTCTAGTCTTACGGTACCTTCGAAAACCCTTCCAAAATCCGACAATCTGCAAATGTCTGGGCAGACTTAAATACCCAGCGAACATCCCACGATCATCCAAGCTACCACTGGCTATCATCAAAAGCACACAGCATGGCGCTCCAAGTTGATGTTTTCGTTTCCCCTCCCATTCCCGCAGCAACAGGCTCCGACAATCCTGCCAAAAAGTGGTGGTCGCCCATTTCTTGCACTTTGATTCAAGGACCCACGTCCGCCGTCTTGATCGATACACCCATCTCCATACATCAATCCGAGCAACTCGCTGCCTGGATCAAGGAGACAGCCCCTGGGAAGGACCTGAAGTACATCTATACCACCCACGCCCATGGCGACCACTTTTTCGGAAATCCTTTGATACTGAAGCATTTCTCGAATGCGACTTGTATTTCCACTTCGCGTGTCACACAAGGTATCAAGAAAACACTGGCCACAGCTCTACCAAGGTGGGAGAACTGGTTTCCAAATGGCCAAATTCTCTCCAAAGAGCAAATTGTTCCAAATTCACTTCCCGAGCAGGGAAAATTCTTGATCGACGGACATAGTTTATTTGGCATCGACGTCGTCCACTCGGATACAGACGCTTCGTCATTTGTCCATGTGCCTGACCTCAAGCTCGTGGTAGCTGGTGATATCGTTACGGAGACTGTTTTCAGTTTCTGGCGGAGGCTCGCACAGCTCAGAAACGGAAGAATTGGCTTGAGGCGCTTGACCATATTGCCTCATTAAATCCCCATATCGTTATTCCGGGGCATAAGAGAGCTTCACAAGTGGACGGTTCGTATTTGATCGATGCTACCAGGGAGTACATCTTGGCATTTGAAGCAGAACTGGGAATATCTGACGAGGCCGAAAAGGTGGAAATGGCTATGAAGAAGCGTTATCCGCAAAGATGGAATGAGTACCTTCTGGAAAGGAGCTGTGCGAGCTCTGTTAGGACTGCATGAGAAGTTCAATCGAAAGAAAGCTTCAACGAAGGTTCCGATATCCTTCGGGGGATAATATGGAATCAACATAAGTTCATAAAACGTGGTTAAATTGCAGACTGCTATCGTCAATCGATGTATCTCAACTTCTGCTTAGCTACTAGTAAATATTGTAAATTCATAGATTCATCTCAGTCGAGTCGAAAACTCCAGACGCGCAATCATGCTGGTTTTGCTCTTTATTAGGCTCAGTTCTAAGCAAATGAGATGTATCTCAACATTCTTTCAGCATATCAAAAGAAGGCCTATAGCCATGAAACCTACTCGGATACTTTTTCTTTATATAAATGTGTCTCGGCCCTTGAAATAAAAGTAATGTGTCTTAACCATTTAAATAAAGATCGTATTGATTACATCTTGTAAATATTTGGTAGCCCCTTTGATATATTTCAATTCGAAAGGAACATTTGAATGGAAACATCCAAATCTTCTTGAGGCAAGCCGAGTTTCTCATTCCAAAGTCCGCGCGACTTGGAAAAGTTTGCCAGGTTGCCTTTTCCGTAAACGGCACCAGCAATCATTTTAAGCACACCTAGTACTTGTCCTTCCTTCACCTGGTTGGCTCCATCTTGCCACAACTCGTCGACCGTGCTATTTGTCACATTGAACTTTTCACCCTTAGCTCGCTCAAGAGCCTTCAGTACCTCATTCTGAGTGACCGTGAAGCTGTTCACGTATACATGGCGGTTCGCGGTTCGACCCGGATTCTTAAGACACTTCGCCAGGGCTTTGCCCACTTGGTCCAGGTTGGTGGCCTCAAAAGGGATATCGCCGCCATCGAAGATAGTCGCAGAGCGCTTTGAGATATCCCAACCGCCGAATCCCGGAATTCTCAAACCCCAGTCAAACATGCAGCCCGTAATCACTGCTATCCAGGAGATCTTGTTCTGGTGTTTCTTGAGATACGACACTGTATCGATTTTGTCGACTAGAAAGGGAATGTATGAAGATGCAGAGGAATCTGCGGTATCGATGCCAAACTCGGAGGGACAAAACACCTTGACCTGGGCCGCGATGGCGGCGTCCACGAGTAAATTCTGAGAAGCGAGTGCAGTACCCGGGGTGACACTGGAAATGGTGCTTATCACAGCATCCTGACCTTTGAATACGTCGGTAAGGGATCCCAAAGAGAAGTCAGATCTGACGTGATCAGCCTCTGCTGGCAGCGAAGCGGTAGATGACTCTCGAGTGAGTCCAGTAACCTTAAACCCCTCGTCGAGCAGAGCGCGGACAGTGGATCTGCCGACGTTTCCGCCAGCACCAACAACAAGGACGTTATGAATTGAAGACATGATGGATGGAGATAGAAGGATTCGAATAGAATCTTGTATCCGATAAGAGGCGCCGTTTTCTGTCCGGGAGGTTGTGCTTTTATAAGCTTTGCTCGCGAGGTGGTGAAGGATAATTGATTAATGAACATCGGAGCGACTACGTAAACCAAGATCCAGCTTCGGTGTTCGCGCCAAACGCCACCTCAAGTAACTCGCGTTGATGAAGTAATCTTGGACAGGAATTCTACGTCAGCATAGTTATCACGTCATGCAATTTATCCCATACCAGACCAAGTCCCCAGAGCTACTCTGCGAACCGCTCATCGGGGAATTGTAGTGATCGTGAGTCTTCCTTCGGTACAGTCATCATATCAAACGATCACTAATCAAAAGATGAAGCCCAGCCTTTTCAAGAGCATCCCTGACTTTTGCGTAGACTGCGGAACTCAAGACATATTCCATACAACTACATACAAACAGTTGTAAGAGAGCCAGAAGTGGTAATAACTACCACTTGTCTTGACGATGCTGTGTATAACTGTGGATCCACTTTCTTCCTATTTTAGGCTTGCTCCTTTAGTATATCTCACTTTGCCCGCCATCCTCTACTCTGCTTGCTCCCTCCTTCCGTACTGAGTCCATGCAGCATACATCGTTTGTCTACATTCGGCTGTTTATCACCTGAATGGAACACTTGAGGAATCGGCCAAACGGCATCATCATTCATTGACATCTTTATTGTGAGACTTTTTGCATGGCCTCTCGAAATGATAAATACTGAGCTATAGCTTATTCTTTGCTGGAGACTTTGTCGAATTTCCCGAGGAAGAAAGCCCCTTGAATGAGAGCATTACCTCATTCGACTTTAGCAGTTGAAGCCGGAGCTTTTCGCCCAATGCTTCCCCCACTCGTTCAATTTCCCGTCGACCCATCTGCTGTAAATGAACTTCATCTGGGCCATCCACAATCCGCATGGTTCTAGTTGACGCCCACAAACGTGGCAAAGGTGTATCTTGACAAACTCCAGCGGCTCCCCAGGCTTGAATCGCATAATCGATTACCTTTAAAGCAGCACGAGGAACGCAGACCTTCGCTATTCCAATTTCCCGGAGAGCAGCCTTCGACCCCATCTGATCTATTTTGATGGCTGCGTTCAATACAGTCATCCTGGCCGCATCAATTTCAATCCTCGAATTGGCGACCCACTCGCGGATCACTCCATGCGAAGACAGCGGCTGCCCGAATGTCTGTTTCTTTTGATCGCCCACTCGCACAATCATCCATTCCAAGGCACTTTCCGCGGCGCCAACAGTACGCATTGCGTGATGAAGTCGACCGGGGCCCAGACGTCCCTGGACGATTTCAAAGCCTCGTCCTTGTCCTAGGACGATATTTGATGCGGGCACACGGACATTCTTTAGCATGATATGGCCATGCCCATGCGGTGCGTCGTCATATCCAAAGACAGACAGCATACGGTGAACTGTAACTCCTGGAGCAGAAGCAGGTACCAAAAGAATCGAATGCTGGCCATGATTGTGTGCGGGAGACGCGGTGACGTCTTTACCCATAACAATGAAAAGCCTGCAATTTGGATGCCCAGCGCCTGATGACCACCATTTCTAATCAAAATTAGACTCTGCAACTCGGATATCCAAGAAATGGCAAGGGGAAAGAAAGATAGCTACACACAGTTCCGTTCAAAACATACTCGTTCCCCTCACGCTTGATTTCACACTGAATATTTTGCGCATCGCTTGACGCAACATCCGGCTCTGTCATCAAGAACGCAGAGCGGATAGTCCCTTCCATCAATGGATGCAGCCATTGTTGCTTTTGTGCTTTGGTCCCGTATTTGAGCAGAAGCTCCATATTACCAGTATCAGGAGCCGAATTATTTGTTGCCTATATGATCCAGGAGTTATCAGCAACTGCTCTAGATGATAAATTGCTCCATAGCATACCTCAGACGCGATAGGGCTCTTCCCGAGGTACTCTGCCATCAATGCATACTCAACGTTGCTGAAACCTGCATCATGACCCTGAGACAGGAACATATTCCACAGCCCTAGCTTACGAGCTTTCTGTTTGAGTTTCTCTAGAATGGCGGGCTTGGTAGCCCAGCGGGATTCGCCGTGCCCCAGTTGAGCTTCGAATAGAGTATAGGCGGGAATACATTCTTCGTCCACAAATTTTTCAACCTTGAGATCGGTCAGCAATTGGGAATCCAACAGAAAGTATGAGTTGAGTGGAATTACAAGATCCAACGCCACTTTCGCGCGATTGCTAACGAACGGAAGTACAATCGGCGGAATATTGGCGGACGCAGGCATTTTGGATGGGACGGCGAACAATTAGATGAGGAGCCACAATGTGGAATTTGAGAGATCCTGTCATCAAGATATAGAGTCCCAGGTAGCGGCATTGAAGCTATGAGGCGCGTTCTCTTAATCTTGCATTGCGGGGTTGTTCAGTAAACCAATTTGACCAGCCCTCGGCAAAGCTGTGAGCACGACGATCCCTTCCCTGAGACGGACTTGAATAGCTTTCGGTACTAGGATATCATAAGTTCGTATGATGTAGCTGGAGGGATAATAGCCGAGCTTTTCCTCTGTTTTTGTTCCAAATTTGGAGGTTTGCTCCTTCTGCCAAATCCCACTGTGCTGCGAGCTCGCCCTTTCAACATTGATAAAGATTCACATGAGCCATTGATGCGACGAGGCTGTTGAGAAGGCTGAGCAAGAAGAGTTTTATATATCAAGAAAGGAAAAAGAAAACATTCAAAGGACCCTGGAGAGGACGGCGGACAATGGCTGTGTGTTGGATCCCTGCCTTGATGGTATTATCCTGTCACCTTGATACGCACTACTCATGAACTAGGTTTAGACCTGTATCTACATAACCGGGTCCAAGGTCCACATACAACACAGGCTGCAAGAATGTGAGATATGCTGGAGGGGCTAATTTGAAATAGAAAATGAGTGGGTCCGCTGGATATGAACCCTCACGTTTCTATCACCTGGGCACCACAGTGCGGAAAAAATCTCGAATATGGTGAAGAATTCTTAGGTATTTCAAGAGAAACGGTATTCTATATCGGTAAAGCGATAGATTTTTACAAAATTTGTTTCCGGGTGAACTTTCCAAGCTAAGTTGCTTTGCAACCTGCCAGTGAGTTACAGCCTATTTCCACTCGGACACCGGCCTCTTTTCTTTCGTGGAAAATATGTGATATTTTGTAAAATGCTACAACTTGCACCGGATGAAAATACTGATTTCGGAAATCTTGCTCAATCAAATTACCTCAGTCACAAAGTGAACCTTAAGCGGTAAGGTAGAATAATCATAATCCTTTACCGAGGCGAAAAGAAATCCCCTCAAACTGAGAGCCGAGCAAGTTACATACGTCAACCTTAAATATTGAGTTCAAGAAATGATGAATTCCCCATGAGTGTAATGATACAATCCCCAAGAAGTCACTTAGTTCTCCTCATCAGTGCTGGACGCAAATTCACGAGACACAATGCCTTTTTACGAAGTTTACCATGCTATTTCCATGAGCGATCAGCAACGAGAAGATCTCGCTGAAGCCCTCACAGTACTTCACACCTCTAAATTCCGAACCCCTCGCTTATTCGTGAACGTTTCATTAACAGATATATCAAGGGCTCACACCTACATTGGTGGGAAGAGACGCAAGGCGAATCATATACGGGCAAGTGTGCGTCTGGGAAACCGGACCAATGAAGATTTCTTCGACCTTTGCCACTCTATCCAAAAGATCTGGAATGATATTGTTAGTGCACAGGTGGCGAAGCACCAGACTTCATTGAGTGATGCAAAACAGCATGATTTGCATTCGGTCATTATTCGGCCCTCAAACCCTGTGGGCCATGAGGCTGGGTTTGAGTTACCCTTGGCTGGCCAGGATCAAGAATGGCTTCGAAAAAAACTGGGCTGAGTTCAAAGGGAAGGCGGCGGATGGGGATGACGAGTTCTCTGATCTTGTTGCCGACGTTCTGGAGCGATCTCTTCTCTCTCAGTGAGATAATTCTCTAGAATACACTGTAAATTCTCAAATCAGCTGTCATTCAAAAGACATTGTTCAGTTCTGCTCCTGGAATACTAGTAGCCGCTACATATTCCAGATATTTGGGAGGTCAACTGGTCTATCTAACCTCAGTATCACCTAGTAAATCCGGTGTCTCCTAGCTGTCCCAAGATGCTTCTACTTCAGGTGAATAGGTTACCTTTGAGCTGTCGACCTACTGGCCCGAAAAACTTGGTTCAGGAGTCTAGATTTGAAGGATCAGAGAGTTATGCTCGTAATGACTCTTTTGCTCGTATTCTGGGGTTGTGAGATTGGATCCAGTAATTTCTCGGAGGCTCACTACCTAATGATTAGTGAACCGTTGCCACAACGATCAAATCATCTTCCCATTTCCAGACCCGATGCAATTTGTCATCCTCTAGCTCTCAGATAGCTATAAAGAGCTTCAAAATTATTCTTTTAACTCTTCGACTTACAAATTTGACCCTTTTGTTAATTCCCAAACTTTAATCATGCCATCCTCGCTTCAAGTTGACGTTTATGTTGCACCCGCTATTCAAACCGGGACAGGTCATGTCGACCCCTCGAAAAATTGGTTTTCGCCAATTTGTTGTACCCTCATTCAAGGACCCCAATCTGCTGTCCTTGTTGACACACCAGTAACAGGTGACCTTGCCGAAGAATTAGCCGAATGGGTGAAGCAAACGGCACCTGGAAAACAGCTCCGCTACATCTACACAACCCATGCCCATGGCGATCACTTTTTCGGGAATCCAGTTCTTCTCCGCCATTTCCCGGAGGCTGAGTGCGTGGCCACTCCTTCCGTTGCCCAGGCCATCGCCAAGCAACTGCCCGATGGCATTGATCTGTGGAAGCAAATGTTTCCTGGTGGACAAGTACCAGAGGGTCAATTTTCGCCGACCTCGTTGCCCCAAGGGGGCGGGTTTTTCATCGATGGAGTCCCTCTCTTCGGAATTGATGTACCCTACTCTGATACTGAAGCGTCTTCGTTTCTTCATGTCCCTGAGCTCAAATTGGTAGTTTGTGGCGATATTGTCTACGGTGATTGCTATCAATTCTTTGGCGAGGCTAGCACCTCAGAGAAAAGACATAAGTGGCTTCAATCGCTTGACCAGATCGCTAGTCTAGACCCTCACATTGTTGTTCCGGGACATAAGCGGCCTTCGCAGGTTAATGGGTCGTACTTGATTTCGGCCACGAGGGAATACATTTTGGCTTTCGAAGCCGAGTTGAAGCGATGTGATGATGCGGAGAACTTGGAAAAGAATATTGTCGCGCAATATCCCAATCGATTGAACAAGTTCCTTCTGGAGTGGAGTTGCAAGAGCTCTATCAGCGAAGTATGAGCTATACGAAAGATCGTTTTGAATATCTTTGATCGAAATTCCTGTTTCCATATACCTATCTTCTCATGGCTCTGCAATTACTCGTACCGGTCTGTGCTTACTCGGAAGGCTAGGCTTGAAATGGATCACAATTCGATTCGCATGACATGATGGGGCTTTATCACACGAATTAGAATTCATTTATTGGAGCTAATGCTCCTGCAAGCCCACAGATACTCGCTCGTTGGGAAATAAAAGATCGGATTTTGTCAAAGAAGCGCAGGGTGTAAATTAGTCATAAAATTCGATAAATTCCACCCATCAAGTAGGGTATTTTGCGAACGAACTTTTCATATATGATCGGATCATCACCAACATGACGATTTTAGCGCGCTCTCTACATCAACTGGTCTCCACCCGGGAGAGCGACCTAGACAAATGCATGATCGGACCAGTCCTGCGGAAACTTAGAATCTATTCAAAACGTCAAAGAACTTGAGAACTTGGGCTTACTGTTGAGAAGTTCCGACGCATTCACTACACGCAATCTTGTCGAGTTCAGTTCATTTACCGAAGCTGCTTCAATATATAACTGTATGCCGCGGATGTCAAGAAGTCTTTCTAGATCGGTTGAATCATACCACTCCCCATCCAAGAGATCCTGGCTACCAGAGGTATAATCAGACGAGCTAGTATCCCATATAGCGCGGAGGCTTTGATATGTCGGCGATGGCGATGAAACGAAATGTTTTCCCGCTCCACCAACACCGAAGAATGGAAGTTCGTCCCATTTGACCATACGCTCTGGATGTCGTTTGGCAGCCAAGCAATCCTCGAAATAGGAAAGAAGGTCTTCTCGATTCAAGAGGCTTAGGAGAAAACGGAATTTACGACGAAGATTTTCCAATGTCACACTAGGGTCGCGGAGTGAGACGACGGCATGGTAGACGCACGCTAAGCGAAGTTGCTGGATAAATTGCGAAAGGTCCAATCCGGAGTCACTGGTATCTTTTATTTGATCGAGGAAGTGTGAAAGATCATGGTCGATGGGTGAAGACGGGGCCTTGTCTCGGAAAATAGTGAAAGGAGACGGAAGAGGAGACAGAGGCCGAGGGTTGTCATCGGTCGACATGGCGGGAAGTGATGATGAATCTTGCGTTGTATCATGAAAGGCAGGCTCATAGTAGTCATTGGGCGGCGTAATAGATTGTTCATGAACGGGAAGACCAGCTTCGGAAACCAACGATCTGCAACTAGCCAAGCAATCACTCAACTGTTTCCCCAGTTCAGCATGTGAGATCAGCACGTCACTTTGCTTCAAGTTGGCACCGAGAGAGTTGATTGATAGAGACATTCTCTCGATGACCGTTTCCAAGTCCGTAATTCGGCTTTGCTGGTGAGATACGACACCCTTTTCTCGTTGTCGATAAGCTCGCTGTGCCAGTCGTATCTGTTTCCTACGTCTCTTTTGGAAGGTTAAGTCATCATCATGATCTTTCCCACAGGCTTGTCAAAAAGACACACCTCTTCTTGCGACTCCATTGGGTCACCACCATCTTTTTCTGGGTCTACCACGTTTTTTCCGAGGCGGACCCTTTGCCCTAGTGTTATCCCTCATATGCATAGCTCGATCGATTTGCGTAGCTGTCTGTGTTGCATCGGGCCTAATGGCTTCGGATATGGGATAGCAGATGCTGTCCGCGGATGTCGCGCGATAAACTCCATTGGATTGTAGAGGAATATTATCATCGCCGAGAACGCCTTCAGGACTGGACTCGGTGGGATCATATGACGGCAAGAGTGGGTTTGTGGAGACATTCATCGAGATAGAGCTGCTAGGAGGATCACTTTCGGACACTGTTGGATAATGATTCTTCGGTCGGAAGGAACTTCGCAGCTTCATCGTTTTTATCGGGTTATATTTGGCATTGTCTGCCAATTCGAACAATATTTGATATGTGCAAGTTCAACGACGAGAAGGGCATTGCTTGGGAGCAGGTGTTAGTCATCGTGACGTGGGGGGGATCGTCACGTGGATCTCTGATCATGCGCCACGCATCGCCGCAAGTCACGATTCCCCAGCAACAGAAACATGATCTATCCCGATTGTCTCGAAATTTCCAAGCCTGAGCGAATACTTGATCGACTAATCGAATTTATCGAATTATGTCAATTGACACGGTGCACTTTTTTGCGAAATTTTCGCTCAACAAACACTGCCGAACCTGATTAGTTCGGCACTTGGAAGGCGACCCACCTCGGTTCATGTCAATGTTCATTAATCAAAATCTTCTGTAAGCAGTAAAGCAAACGGTCCTACACCTTCAGAGTCTTCAAGATGCCGGTTTTTCACCACCCGTGGGAACTAAACCCCGCTTTCTCAGGATCTTCGGACGTTATAGAACTGTTCAGTAATCATTTCTCGGGATTTGCAACATGTACAATTGTTTTATAAGTTGGTTGACTGAGTGAGATAGATCTTGTAGTTTTTCACAAATCAAATCCTGGGCGGGCAATTTATTTGTCTTCATATGATAAAATGGAAAACACTCCAGTTGTGACGGCGGAGTTTTTAGGGAGAACCGCCATCATTACTCTGAACAATCCGAAGAAGCTGAATGCTCTCAGTCAAGATGACTATTATGAACTAGCTAAACTTCTACGCCAGATTGCCAAGCGAGATGAGGTATTGATCACGCTTCTTATCGGGAAGGGTCGTTTCTTTTCGGCGTAAGTTTCACATCACTTGCTCTTCACAAATACGCTTTCTGAGGCAATTGGACGATAGGGGCGCCGATGTGAATCGTCAGTCTTCCAATTCCGAAAAAGTCGAACTTCGCCGACAATGGATCCCGGCTCTTGCAATCAACAATCTGGAACTGGCCAATGCCTTCTATTCGCATCCGAAGATCCTGGTCACGGCTTTGAACGGGCCTGTCATCGGGCTCTCCGCAGCCATCGTCGCCCATTCGGATCTCATCTTTGCCACTCGCGATACGTACCTTTTAACGCCGTTTTCGTCTCTGGGATTAGTGACAGAGGGCGGTGCAAGTGTGGCCTTTGTGCGGCGGATGGGTCTCAGCAAATCAAAGGAGGCTCTACTGTTCAGTCACAGAATCAGTGTTGAGGAGTTGCAACAAACCGGATTCGTGAACTATATTCTTGACACCCCGGGTGATTGTGAAGGATTCCGTCAACTTGTGCTTCAGGAGTTGAATTCTCGTGTCGGTGATCATTTAGTCGGCTCTAGCATCTTGCAGATCAAGCAGCTTCTTCGCGGACCAAGTGACCGCGAGTTCAACGATCAGGCGATAAAAGAGTTTTTCGGGGGTCTGGGGAGGTTCGCAGAGGGGATTCCGCAAGCTGAATTCGAGAAGATTGCTTCTGGTAAAAAGAAGCACAAGCTTTGATCAAGGGAAGAGATAGTCTGTTCCATTGTCCTATGGAGAAAGTACTGGCAGACCCAATTTATTTCCAATTCCAGGCTAGTGCCTCTCCGTCTGTATCTCACTTTCCACCATCATTTTTCCTTGGCTCCTTTCTCCTCTCTCAGTTCAGTCAATACAGGCCTTTCTCGTTTGTCATTCCTATTACCCTGCTCATGGATATCATCTTTTCCTTTCTCTTTCTTTCTCATCACTTCTTTCATATCTTTCTCAAACCAAGGAATACGAGCTGTCTTCGTCGCGCATTCGCAAGTAGAAGATAACCTGCTGGGTGGCATGTTACAGTCACTATCTTTCTGGTATGCATGCGACCCAGATGGAATCGACAGAAGCAGTAGCGATTACACTAGCTTTAATTTGCAAAACATTGTCTCGAACCAAGCGGCAACAAATAAGGTGAGGAGCCTATAATGCCATACTTTCTTAGTGGTCCATGATGAGTCGGCAGTCTAATTTTGCCCAATACCCTGGTTGGGATTTCGTTCAAGATATGTAGAGTCTTTTCAGACTTCTAAGGCTGGTGGACGACCAATTCCTCGGCGGCATTTGTTCAGTAAATCACTTACCACCTGAAAAGGCATGTAGGTGTCCACTCAATTTTTTTTTTTAATTTTGAGCGGGAAAATGCGCCGACCCTGTGATTTCATGGCCATTGAGTAATCATATTGTCACCAAACGTTCTGGGCTTAAATCTGTTCAGTAATCTTTTTTCGAACACGGAAAGATGAGATTATGTCTCCACATATTGAGAGCTGCAGGCCTTGATTATTTCACGGGCTAGGATCCTCACTTTTCTTCCTACTATACTCGTCACATGCGGTGCTCAAGGGATCAAGCGGCACAGTTGGCTTCTCACACGATGTGCCATAACGACATTGATGGCATCAGCCCAGACCGAGGTCTGATTGGGATGGGATCATGTCGGCCATTCTCAAGGCAAACCGGTGAATCCTGCCAGGAAACCATCGCTCTGGAACGAATCAGTTCCTACCGTCTTCAACAGCGGGAAACAAGGGGATCATCTCGAGCATGTTCAGACCAGAAGCAATGGCTGCCTATGGGGGCGGGCAAGCCATACCCTCCTTCGCCAATAGACCCAGAAGTTTACGTGGTAGAGTTTGAAAATGCGGACGATCCTATGCATCCCCAAAACTGGCCGATGAAAGAAAAGTATACTTTGTCCTTAGCGAGTATCCTCTCTCCTCACTGAAGGGAAGCTTATCGAAGTTCTATTACACATCATTCACCCATATTGATGCGACGATATGGTTCCCATTCTTGATGAACAAACAACTCATACGGACAAGCAAGACTTGGACACTTCAACACTACCGCAACGGAGCGGGCGAACGATACGCTCCGCCTCGGTCTCAACTGCCATGAAGCTCCTTGAATACAATCCCGCTGGTGGGATGTGGCAAGCTACCGGCACTGCTATTGCGCATGCTCCGAACAGCAGTGATCTAAGATCGCCATACGAGGTGGATTTCAATGCGCACGGCCGCAGCGTGCGTCGCATCAGCACTCAAGATGAGTTCGGCAACATAAAAGACACTCAGGTCGAGCAAGTGCTAAATCTTCCATGGACCAAAGCATGCAAAAATGGATTCCTCGCAGAGTTCAAATTTCTGTGTACACCTACTAGCCTCTTCATCGCTATATACGGTCTCAATGTTGTCGCCTGGAGTGCTATGCTATTCTTTCTTTTGCTGAACGTCAGTACGATGAGCGCGGAGCGTAAAGAGATTTGGATCGAGATCGACTCGCAAATACTTAACGGGTTGTTCTGCTTAACCTCGTGGGGTCTAGCACCGTGGCGAGTCCGCGATACATATTGGCTGCTCGTATGGCGCTTGGGCTCAGAGAAAAGCTCGAACAGATCAATCAATCAGCTCGTCAGGCGAAACGTGAGCTGGTTTCGAATTATAAATTCTTGTGTTGATGAAGAGGCTCCCTGCGAAGAGCTGCCCCATAAAACCTCTACGGGAAATATTGCACCCCCTACCTCCAGCTGGAAAATGGACTTTGTCGTTATCAATATGTTGTTGAATAGTCTGTTTCAGATTGGCATGGCGACATTCATGTGGCAGTATAACCGCCACAATCGGCCGAGCTTTGGTGTTGGGCTGTTTATCGGGCTAGGCTGTCTCAGCTCCCTTTTTGCAGGTGTAATGTCGTGGTGGGAGGGACGAAAGGTCAAAAAGATTGAGGGCCCCATATTAGAGGAGCCCGAGAAAACCACACGTATGGAGGTCGAACAGATATGATTTGATGGCGACGAAATGGTTGGCTACTATCTATACCTCGCCTCTTAAATAATAGACATCAAATGAAGATGAAATAAAATCAGGCTGGCGAAATACGACATATGATAAAATTAAATAAACTTCACGTCCTACATCTGTGCTCATTCACTTAATGCAAACGTCGCTTTTCACCCCAGTTTTCTCCAATGATGGTTCTTGACAGTAGCCTTTGCCTTTTCCTCCCCATACTCTATCCGCGCCATGAGTTCCCAAGGGTTGTCTCGCTATCGTAAGTACGTAAGTACCGAGTACCGGTGCTAGAACCCCGAGTATCCAAAGCCTGTACTGTACGAGATGCGTGCGTGTGGGTCAAATTTACCCTGCCGATGTTGAATACGCGAGACCAAGAGCTGATCATCGGTTTACTCCTGGCAAAGTGGGGCATACGTGCCTAACAAGACCGTTTGAGTATACGAAGTAATACGAGGAAATCCCGAACCCCCACTGCGATTCGCTGGAGTGGGTATGTATCCGGGATATCTGGATTCGGAAGATCCGCTAATTCAATCCTCAAATGGCAAGCAGGTAGCTCAGCAATGCTGCAGCATTAGCCGTGCTATGTATCTTATGGCTGGCTTGAAACGAACGACATCGCAAAAGGATATTTATAAGCTAGATATACGAAGCAAAATTGCACAAGGGGTATTGTGGACTTCTTTGGTTTCAACTGTTGCCTAATTCTGAACGGAGATGGATTGACCTAATTACCCAGTCCCGCTATGGTCGTGGTATCGATTCTATCTCTGGAATTATAAATTATCATGTAGAATAGTAGTGTCTCATTGGCCTGTAGAAGAGTTTTAAACAAAAAGCCGCGAGTCAAGCAACTCTGCCTGCACATAACTTGTCCGTGTGATCGAACCAGCCCTCCCTCGGGATATATGGAAATGAATTTAGAGAAAGGTAAGTCTTGCCCGATGTTGGGTACTTAGAAAGGGATTGACTTGGCTCGTGTGTTCTTTGATAGATGGAGGCCTGCGCAACCTCGTCCCGAATGCTTGGTTTAAATCGATGGGTACAAAAGGTTATGGGAAAGAAATTCTACCGGGCACAAGGAAGATAGGAAATGTCACAGCAATCGTGGCTATCAATGTTTTTCTCGCCTTGTCAACTTGGGCGCTCAAGCAGCCTGGTTTGAATACACACCTTGTTCCAGTTCGCGTTTTTGTTGGCATGACGCTGGTCTCCTACTGGAAACAAAAGCAAATGGACACTTTACAGAAAGTAGCCCATGCATTGTGGTTAGTTGGAGATACCTTGGTGATTGCAAACACCCCTCATGCTCAATAATTTGGAGCGAACAATAAAGATTATCATTTTGGGAGTGAACCTTCTGGTTTGTCACTTTACCCAACTCAGCGTGCAAAGTGCTAACTTCTACCTGTGATGCTATTCTTATGTTGCCTAACACCATGCTGCTTGGCCATTTTCTCCGTACATGGGAAAACGCATGCAGTCTCGGTATTCGCAATCCATCTGATAGCCGAGGCTTCCGCTTTCATAGCAATACAAACATTCGTCGTGGACTATGATGGCAAATCTTTCACTGAAAGTCAGTGTGCTCAAGCGGTGGCTTATATCGCGCCTGCACTTACAGCTCTCATTGTTGACCGAGTATCACGCACTAGAGAGCAAAGTAAAGAGCCGTTCAGCTCTATGTAAGTCATTGACACTAGCTCCACGAGCACTGAGATGCTAACCCTTGAAGTGACGCACAACTTACCGGCTACCTTACATTGAGCTCCGTCCTACTGTCGGGTGCATCTTATGTGTTCCCAGAATCTGGTCCAACGAGCGGCATTATGGTATCTTCTGTTCTAAGTGGATTGATTGTCATGCTATCGGCGGTATACTTGCTTGCACATTCAGAAACGGGGGCTCAAATGCCATTTGGAAAATCTGACCGGCGGGCATCGAGCAAGTAAATTGAAATTGAAAACGCGATAAACTATGTGACCAAATTTATTGCAACGAATCAAAATGAAAAAAGTTGAGAAGTCTCATTATTTGAACTAGACAATGAATATCACTAGCGCCCTTTTTGGGTTTGATTTGCGAAAAATCTTGGGGTATCTAGTCCTTGAATCTCAATTTATTCCTTGACCAGCGCCATGAAGCTAAATTAAGCTTGTCAATATGAGAAACGAGAACAAAATTATAGGCTCTCTACAAAGGGGAGAGCTTTTTGATGAACATGAAGGCCAGGCTTCTTGTTTGGAAGGTGTTAGCCTGAAGATAAACTAGCTGCATCAACAGGCTTGCGATAGGCAGTCTCGAACTTTCGAATAGCAGACTGGCGATTCTCTTGACTCTTGACTGAATGTTCCACCAGGTACTTTCCTTCTTGAATTCGCGCCTGGATAACGAGTTTGCGAGTCTTAGAATGTGTGACGGTATACAAGCTCTTCATCATACCATGAGCAGGATATGCCACGAGCCCCAATGCCGCTGTCACTCGTTTAGTAAGAGTTCTTTTGGGAAAAAAATTTATGGTATCCACTGACCTGATGAAATCTTGGTCGTCATCCCGAGAGTCCCTTTGGCAATTCCTATCGCCACGCCCTTTGCTCCATCTTTTTGGCCTCCTTTGTATGGCTGTGTGACAACATCACTGAAACCATCTACCATACCGTGAACAAAGTTTTTCCCTGCAAACGTAGCGCCTGATTTCCAGCCGCGAACGTCCCCATGGTCTCGGACCTCGTCCCCATATAGCCGAGGAACGGCTCTCAGGCCCTCGGTCACAGCCAAAGGCATATCGATAAGCATTCCTTTATAACAGAACCCGACAGCCTTTCCGAGACTCTTCGCAGACCCTTCCATTGCCGCCCCTGTGGCTTTCAGCTTCGAAGAGCTTCTGCTTGAAGGGGCCAGAGAAACTGCGTCTGTGGTTGAGGTAATACTAGAGGACCGAGAACAGGAAGTCTCGGGTGGCACAAGCTGAGATTGACCTTTTGGAACACGACGAAACTCTTCGTATGGACGGTAAACAATATCACCTGTTGCTTTGAGGATGTCGGTACTGGTGCCTAAAAGCGATGAGGCAGTGCCAGTAACAGGGTCCCATCGTCGATTCTGGATGAAGACCGACCGAGTTTCATAGCTGCGGCATTTTAGCTTACTTTCTTTGTCACCTTGTGATTACGGATGGGGAGTGAACTTACGGTTGAAGGTCACTTATTTTGAAGCGGTGATGTTGTATCAAAATTTCTGCAGCGAGTTTTGATAAACGAATAGGACTCTTCGTTTTCTTCTTCAACCGCCAAACGGCAGGCTCTGAATGTAAAATATCACATTGCATGTCCTTCACTGGTAGGTTGCGGTGGAATGAGGCGACTGCTGTGGAAACACCACATTCACCACCCATTCGGTTTGCGACGTTGTAGGCTGCAGACTGAGCAGCTGGTTGAAGGCAGAACCGAATGGCTTCAGCTAAGTTCTCTGTGGTCAGGGACTGATATGGTATAGGCTTTGGGCCCAGCCCACATGACGCAACCATATTGCCCCAGAAGAGCTGACTATTGGAGTTGTTTAGTATGAACTAACAGTAAGATGTAGGGGAAGGGGCGACAAACTCTCCAAAAAATGGAATAATGGTAGTAGCTTTTCCAAAGCGCAGACCGCATGCTGTAGTTCCAGCACCACCGTGATGTACGACAGCGGCGACATGTTGGAATAACCACTCGTGTGGGCAGTCATCTAGATAGAGAATTTGATCATCGGATGATGCTTCTACATCTCCAAGTTTACTCCATCCACGAGAGATTATTGCACGAATGCCGAGTGCTCTCACGGCTTGAAGAACCATTTGAGTCATAGCCACTGGGTCGTCGATGACAATACTTCCGAACCCAATATATACCGGCCTGCTACCACTTCGGAGAAATAAATCAAGTTCGGGAACCGGTGTATAGTCCGGGAGAGACCGGAAGAAGAAGCCGCAGACATCGATATTTGATGGCCAGTCTAAGGGCTTTGGCATTAGACTTGGGGACCAACAATATGTGAAAGGCACTTTTAGTGTCTCAGTCAAGCAGGGTCCTTCAGTAGCCGGTATAGGTTCGAGATCAAGCGAAGCACGCCACTCATTAATAACATCCCCAAGTCTAAACAAGACAAATGTTAGTAATGAGATCATGGAAATAACCGAATAAGGAGAACCCACCCTTGCCATGTCATCCATTCAACGATGCCGTATGAAAGATAATTAGCCATTTTCGGTTCAGTGTCGGAGTACTTGAGATTTGCTAGTGGATGTGGGAAAGCCCTAGTGCTACTCCAAGGCATAGTAAACATCAGGTGTAAAGGAATCGACAAAGCCTGCGCACAGTGGATATGAGCAAAGCTTGGAGGGTTAGCAATAATCGCATCGGCCACAAAGGGTACTTGAGTAGATGGATCATCACTGATACATGAGTACCAACAGCCTTGAAGCATCTCGGCAACCATTGCACGCTTGCGTTGAATTTCACCGCTCCGTAAAGTTTTCATCCCCGGAATAAGACCGGGGTTCTTGACCATATATGCCATGAGCTCAGATGGATCACCTCCAATGGGATAAAACTCCAGGCCAGACTCAAGAACAAAGTTCTTGAATACCCCATGCGTTGCTAGCCTCACACGATGACCATGGAGTTGAAGCTCATTCCCCAATGCGATGAAGGGCTGGACATCCCCTCTACTGCCGACGACTTGTATGACGATATTTAGTTGTAGCTCGCAGGTATCTCCTAATGAGAGAATCGGTGGCGGTAGTGGAGCGCTCGGTTCCTCGTGTACTTTTGGGATCAGTTTGCTGACTGTCTTGCAGAGCTTCGAGTCGAGGTCAACTTCAATCCGGCCATCATCTGTGAAAATTCAATCAGCAAATGACTCAAAGCAACGTAGCTAGACATTTGGTACCTTTGACCTTGGCACCATCTTGAAACGAGCTATCTCGGGGCCAGCCAGCGGCTTCTAGCATGGAATATCTTGGGGGTTGCGGCCCCTCCATAACTGCCTTGGTGCGACTATGCTGTTGCGATAGCGATTTTGTTGAGCCGGACACCAGAGCAAAGCATGTGCTTGGGCTTAAGTAGACGCGACTCACGCGAGTGTGGATGCAGCATGAATTAGGTAAAAGTCATGAATTTCCGATAGTTGGGTTTGCTTTAGTTTTTAGGTTGGCGGCAGCGACGCTATTGATGTACACTAGTTCCAGTGCAGTAGTGGTGCGGCGTTCCAGGGCCAACCAATCAGAAGCGACAGATACTCTCACATTCGTTGAATATCACTGCACTAAGCCTTAGGAAGATGATATTGTAGGGAGGGGGGAAAAGGTTCGAATGGGAAAATTGAAAACCGAAACTAGACTGAGAACTTGGCAAAGCTATTTTGAGGGATTCCAGGCCCATGTTCTAATGGCTTGGCATCATCTGTTGTAAAATTTACCCTGAGGTGAGGTAGAGTTTTGCAGAGACCCATAATCATATGTACAAATGAATCGAGTTTGATTCATCGTACTCGTATGCACATTCCCACACGCTATAACGCGAGATGATTTTCTGCTCATAAACTTCCGCGTATTGCCGCTTGTCTGATTGGTTAATACAAGCAAAGAGACCCGCTGTGGATTTACTAAGATCTGCCGGGTAATACGGAGGAATGTACACCAGTACACTGTACATACATTACATACACCAATACAAACTACGATACATACAGTATCTCTGTCTTGACCCACGCCGCCTATGGGAAATCGCATTAGCACCCCTTCAGCTAAGAGCAAGAAAGTATTTCATTTATGTCGCTCATTCAGACCTCTCTTTTGTACTTATTTATTCACAACTTAGCGAATGGAATTTTTTTTTACCAGTACACCGCGTCGATTCATGCGGCTTATGATGGAAATGCTGTCTGTCGGTACCTTTTTGCAGTTTTTCATAGCTACCAATTTGGTAAATGGGCACTCATTCCACAGTAGGTACTGCGATCCATTGCCTCAATTTGCTGTTATATTCAAATAGATGTTGTGCACGCCCTTCTTCTGGAGATTTTACACCTCTTGGTCTCCATATTGGACTTGCACCCATTTGGCCAGTTGCTGGGTTCCGTGAATTCACCCTTGACAGCGCGTCTCCACTTGCTACCTTGACTATGGTGGTCATGTAGCTGGTCTGCCATCTTTTATAGTCACGGCTTTTTCTGGCCCTTGTGAGGTGGAATTCAAGTGTAGCGAACGGTCTTCTGGCCTCCATGAACCACTGAGCGATGGGCCAAGCACCTTCGTGTCAAGCCTGGCCAACTCCTATCGAGTCGAGAAATTCAATTTACGCAGCTGGGATGGGCGTACTCGGTACTGCTCCAGGGAGAACAACGCGGGCAAACCATCCGTTGGCTAACGAATGGGACCGTGACGTTCCGACGTGTTGCTTTCAAGCCGAGCGGTACGTGTAAGAACATCTCAGATCTCGCCGTAGCTCTCACATACTCAAATTCTCGATACAATCAAATTTGGAACCTTGGTGCTCACGCTGTATCTCTTGCGTGTTTTGATCAAGGGACCCAAAAATCCATTTGAAACGTGCCTCATGTCGGCGCTTTGGTCTCAAATAGCGTGCCTAGCTACACTGCGGCGGCATATAACTTTAGTGACTATACTCTTGAGTTTGACACTAAAATTGCCAGAGAGGGTCTTCACTGGTCCATGTGATACAACTTTTGTATCCCCTCCCAAGGATGAATCCAACTGAACCTTGCTGGGAACTATCCTGTCGAGACAACGTTCAAAAACGCCAACACAACCTTTTTTCCTCCTTCAACGGTCACTATGGGGCCATAGTTTTGCATTTGTCAATCAGAAGACACTAGAATCACATGTTCTCGACAGGTTTCCTGCTCCACTCGAGATTTAGGAAGATTTCTGGTATCGCATTTCGAGCACCACGAAGGCAAGACGTCTGGCCGTCGCCATCAATAGCCTGACGCGTTCAATCGAAGGACTATTTCCGATGCATTGCCCGTTGGCGTTACCAGTGGCCATGGACGCCTTTTCTGTGAGGTTCAGCCTGGCTATAAGATTGTTCGCTTTGGCTTTTGAGGAAGCTTATGTGACCGGGTCAATTGCATCTTCCGCTAAAATCTCAAGTTAGTCGAATATTCGTGAAAAATGTAGGGTTTTTGAAAGTGAAACACAGGATTCAATATACTGACACTCATCGAAGACTAACGTCTGTTGATTTACGTGCGGCACTCACAGCAGAAGCAGCAGGCGCTGCTCCCAAAGTCAAGTACATCTCTGTTCTTCTTCAATTGTTTTGCAAATTGGAAAGGTAAAAGAGTGGATGCCGGGTTTTCGAGTTACCATTCGCTTCCCTTGATGACTGACACCGGCCCAAGGTCTGCGATCAGGGAGCTTGCATGTCACTTGTATCATTCCAGCCCGTGCCGTAGACGTGCCGGGTGAAGTCCATCAATATTTCGCAGTTCCCGCTCTTGGCACGAATGGGTCTAGCAGCTTTGCCGTGACGTAGGTGTTAATCAAATAGTTCTTTTCATTTTACGACTTTCTCGTTTCTCGGACCCCCACCAAGTTACTGTTGCCTATTTGATTGACATGCAAATTCTTACAGTATCATTGGTAATCAGATGGGCCTTTTTATTTGAATTCTACAGTTTTGAACGTATTATCACCATACACTGAGTTCTATTTTAAAATACAAGATAGAAGATTTCAGATGCCAGAATTGGAGCTGTGTGAGCATCTACGGGGATTGTGTACAGCCTTGACCATAAATTTCAAGGTATCCAATCTTTTTGGCTTACGGAGGGAAATAATATTAAGTACAACAATCCTCATAGTATGATAGGAGACTAATTTCTACCTGCCCAGGTCTTCTTTCTTGGAACACAAAAAGGCAACAATGTATTGATCTATTCCGTACATCTGGATGTCGTAATCTCCATTACAATGACCAATGCAATCTTTTTATAAATTAACAGAAGGCGAAACTTTAGTGACTCGTCTATCATAAATGGCAATTAAATTTGCGTGATGAGAACCCCTGATGTGCGAACTCCATAAACCAAAGAAAGAACCAAAAAAGATGAAGGAAATGCAAGTCATTTGAAGAATGACGCATAAGAATTAAACACCTATAGAAACAAATACCCATACTCCAGGGCTCCCCTCCCGAAAAAGAAATCATTCCTTCGTTACAAAGTCTCGTTGCTGGTGTCTCCTTCATCGTTTAGGAATGGCTGTAGTTCGCTCGGGTAACAAATCCCAAAGATGACCATGGCAATAATCATTAATCATTGGCACAGAATCAAAAGTATAAAGTGTCCACTCGTTGCTCAGTGGATAACCTTCGTTTCCCATAGCGTACTCGACGACCCGGAATATGGATCGGAGCAGAATGAACCCGCTTATGACGTACAAACTGTTCACCTGCTTCCAGGGAACACATCCTTCAAACGCTTCGGGTGTTGGGTGGTCATGCACCCGTCTCTGAAACATCACTGCGGTCACGATGATCAACCCGAAGCTTAGGACTTGCAAGGCCAAACCGGCTATTATAACGGCCTGTCCAATGTTGGTGAGGCTGCTAGTGGCCATCATCCCAGATGCGCCGGCTTGAAGTAAGAAGGTGAGGACATCGGAGAAGACAAATGTCTGTCAGCCAGTCTATACGAATGACTGAGTGCTTCTCGGGCTTCGCGGAGCGGATAATGCGAGCGAGAACCATGTAGACCGACGCGGCAAAGAGGGCCGGGCCAAGGAGAATGAAGACAGCTTGAATGCAGTACGGCATGAGCTTGCCCGTGGTGCTGTGGGAATCGATACGTGTTGCATATCCAATAATTTCAACTAGATTGCCAACGGTCAGAAATGATATGGAATGATCACCGGGGGAGGAGCGTTGATCTTACAGATACCACCAATGGCGAACGAAAGTGTGAAAAGAACTTTCGTGCGAAATATTTTTCAAAAATGAAAGAATGCCGCGCCGAGAAAGAGGATTAATAAGATAATCGCTGCGAATATAGAGGATGCCAAACGTAGTATCCGCTCTTCAAAGATTCCAATTTCGCCATGTTTCGGGGATTTTCGAAGAATGAAGGATTGATATGCACTATCGAGGTATGCAGTTACCCCAGCGTCTTTCAAGGCAATCTTTATATCTCATTTAGGACCGGGCTAGCGCTATCGGAACTTAAAATAATGTTCCCATGTGGCGAGCACAAACAGTACAGCCGTGTAGCCTAAATCCAGGGGCCAATCATGTGGGTCCTTATCCGCGTATACGTATCTGAGCTTCGTTTGGTTCAACGAATCCCAGAAAGGGTAAAGTTACGAGTTAATTATGGCCCCGGTCAATATTCGCTTCAAAGCTTGACACGGGAGGCCCACCAAGATTCCGAAAACGATTCGAGCGACTCGGGGCCGCAAAGCCTGTACGCGTACTGGGGAGGCTATGATTGGCTATCAAGAGATGCGAAACAACCACGGATGTGCCAAGGTTGAGATGGCTGGCAATACGTATCCGTACGGAGTCCTCCGTAATTATCATCTGGGTACGATTGATACGAACACGGTACCGCGTGGATTACTCGTAATCTACTCCGTAAACCATTCCACATCTGTGTACGGAGTATCCGTGTTCGAATTCTGTCTTCTGTAAAAGGAAAGCCAAAGTTAGAAAGTCTGAACAAGTTCAAGGAACTAATTTTTCAATGCCCCATTTTGGCACAAATTATTCAATCCACTGAAACTACCATTTCTGGTTAAAAGGTTGGTTGGCATCCACACCCCTTTCCATTATCGTGCTTATTGTACCTCTTTCCATCATTCTGCCGTTTTTCCATGAGTTGCAGCTATCCATTGCATTCACTCTTCCGATCCGATAGCTCATAAACCTCCAGCCTCATTCATGTCGAATCGACCTCGTTTGCGTGTTGAGGGAAGATCTTTCCGAGACCCTCAAAACCGAGAAGTCTTTCTTAGGGGAATCAATGTGGCTGGTGATGCAAAGTATCCTCAGGAGCAAGGCCACCATTCCCAGGCCCCCGAGAAATTTTTCAAGGGTGAAGATGTATCGTTCGTGGGGCGACCATTTCCTCTAGAAGAGGCCGACATACACTTCAGTCGACTACGAAATTGGGGCTATAATACCATTCGTTATATCTTTACCTGGGAAGCCATTGAACATTCTGGACCTGGTGTCTATGACGAGGAATGGCTTGATTTCACCATCGATGTCCTTCGCATCGCAAAGAAGTATCAATTTTACATTTTTATGGACCCTCATCAAGATGTGGTAAGTAGATACTCTGTCTCTATCTTGAATCCCACCCTTACTAACTATTGCTAGTGGTCACGACTATCTGGAGGGTCCGGTGCACCCACGTGGACACTCTACGCAGCTGGTCTCAATCCAAGAAGCTTCAAAGCCACACAGGCTTCCCTCTTGCAGCACACCTGCGATAACCCTGCAGATTTCCCTAAGATGCTCTGGTGTACCAACTACACCAGGCTAGCTTGCCAAACAATGTTTACTCTGTTTTGGGCTGGGCGGGATTTCGCGCCAAACGCCATTATCGATGGTATGAATATTCAAGATTATTTGCAAAGCCATTTCATTGCGGCGTGTAAATATCTGGCACAGAAGATTCACAAAGCCGGTGACCTCGAGAACGACGTAGTAATCGGGTGGGAAAGTCTGAATGAGCCTCATAGAGGTCTGGTCGGTATTCAGGATATCTCTAAGATCCCAAAAGAGCAGCACCTACAACTTGGAACATCTCCGACGGCATTTCAGGGTATGTTGATTGGGTCCGGGCGGCCTTGCCGGGTCGCTACATGGTCCTTCAAATGCTTCGGTCCCCGTCAAATAGGCGACGAGCTTATAGATCCAAATAGTGAGTCTGTCTGGCTACCATCTGGATATGATGAAGGGCGTTATCCCTGGCGTCGCGATCCTCGCTGGCGGCTGGGTGAATGTCTTTGGGCACAGCATGGGGTTTGGGACCCTTGCAAGAACATTCTGTTGCGGAAAGATTACTTTTCAAAAGATCCTCTCAGCGGTGAAAAGCTCAACTATGAAAGGTTTACGAATTCATACTTCTTGAGTCACTACAGATCATACAAAGAAGCAATTCGCGGCGTTTCTAAAGATGCTATCATGTTTTGCCAGCCACCAGTCATGGAGATTCCACCGAAGCTTGAAGGCTCTGCTGATGATGAACCGAATATGGTCCATGCTGTACACTTTTACGATGGATTAACTCTCTTGACAAAGCGCTGGTGAGATTTCCCTTGTCTCACATTTTGATTTATGTTTATTGAAAAAAAAATTTCAGGAACCGCTTTTACAACCTCGATATCATTGGATTGCTCCGCGGCATACATCGTATGCCTATCTTTGCGCTGAAATTTGGAGAAACGTCCATTCGCAATAGCCTACGTGACCAGCTTCAGTTTCTTCGAGAGGAGAGTCTAAGGTTCATGGGCAACCACCCTGTCGTTTTTACTGAGATCGGGATCCCCTATGACCTTGATAAAAAGAGTGCATACAAGTCAGGTGACTACACTAGCCAGATCAAAGCAATGGATGCCAATCATTTTGCGTTGGAAGGAAGCGCCTCTAATGGGTTCACTTTGTGGGCTTATGTGGCTCAAGTATGTTCAATCAAATATTCATTATCATGGACGAGATTATGCTGACACAATTAGAATAACCATGAAAGGGGCGATCAGTGGAATGGGGAAGATCTTTCTATTTACTCGCGAGACGATCTGGAACTGCCAAGCAAGGCCATCAGCCCAACTGCTGCTGAAAAGCCCTTAGGCAATTTGGTTGAGGAGGAGAATATGAGAGTGGACTCACCGAGCTGCATAGGCACTTTCGCATCACAAGGAGTGCCATATCAGGGTCTTTCCTATAGAAATACGTCGTTTCAAAGACGTGGTCACCGCGCTGCTGAAGCTTATGTTCGCCCTAGTCCCATTCGTGTGCATGGAAAGCTAGAAAGCCACTCATTTGATCTGAAGAACTGTGTGTTCACAATGTCTTTGCAGGCAAAGAAAACGGATGCCCATTCCCCCAGTGAGATTTATCTCCCGGACTTCCACTTCCCGCCAACGGATACGATTGTCTCAGTAAGTGATGGGAGCTGGGAAATGACTGAGAGGGTATATGAAAAGGTCAAACTTCAGTGTTTACGGTGGTGGCACACTGAAGGATGGGTTGAGATCAAGGTCAAAGGGGTTAAGTTCAAAGCAAGGAAATCAGGGATCGATTGTTTTGAGAGTAGAAAACGTCAGAACTTATAGGATTCAATACAGCGCAATAATACTGTTTATTCTCATTGCATCTCCTCTTCTTTGTGTATGATGGCCGAATATTACAAACATGGTCAGGTGAGGATAGATATAGCTGCCAAAATAGACAAAATGTAGGGAAAATGCACTTAGCTCTAGTGACTTAAAATTTAGGTCACTAGCAGCAGCAGCAACCACAGCAACAACATTCAAAGCATGCTAGTCCGCAACATCTAAGAAGAAAACCGAGTAAGCTTTTTGGACATTCTCGGCTTTTTGCATTTCAAACAGTACTAACACTCCAAAGCATATGTCTAATGCTCCTCCTCCACGAAGCTTCATGCCCTCAGGATTATCTTGGGCCTATATAGATCAGCATGTTCCATTTGAGAGCTCGGTAAGACTCGAGGTCATGATTCTTGAAAGTATTCTGACCTGTTCTGCATCAACACGTTCTACAGCACTCATAGCTTCGGTACTTGTTGGTTGTTGTGCTATTGTCACAGTCTTTGCATCCCATTCTGGTTCCTGGACGGGCTGAGGCTTTTGCCGGCTTTTCAAACCAAACATTCCGGTTTTCTATAATGCAAGTGTGCGAGCAGAGGGCGATAGAAAAGTTCACACAGCTTAAAAGAGTCCGAGGTTGGTTCGGCAGTGGAGGACTTAAAACACTTCCAGAAAATTTGGAGGCCCACTCCTGATATAGTATTCGTATTCTCGCTCTTGAAATACTGTCTTGAGCGGGTCTAACGAGGTGCACCAACCTTGGAACCAATGGTAGGGTTGAGTGGGGACCCGGCAGCAAGATTTGGCAGCCTAGGCTTCGGATACCAAAGTACTTCCATCTCAAACACATGAACGAGGTATACAGCCTCATTGGCGGAGTCTTGAGGTTGAAGCTGGCAACATAGACATTCAATTATACATGTACAAGGACATCAGAAGTCTTTCTCTGGCACAAAGGCGATGTGGGGCGAGCACCCGTTTGGGCATGGCCGTAGCTAGGACTGGGTGCTCAATAGATGGCCTCGGGGGTTTCTGGGCAATCAGCGATCATCCAGTCAGAGTCAGTGAGCCTGAGTCTGAATGTCCTCGCGAAAGCGGCGGCAGATCGGATGGGAAAACCCAATCCGCCATAGGAAATCCCCTACGCAGAGCTACTTATGCTGGTATCAATTCTCCTTCAAGTTAGCACCCGCTTTGCTAGTACTATTCGGGCGTCTCTGCCATTGTCGTTCCATCTTAGTACCAAAACCGCATAGCCATCTGACTGATACTATTCCCATCCCAACCTTTCCCCGTCAAGTGGACTAATTCAGATTGAGACTTGAACTGTACAAGTTCGATCGCGGAATGACGTAGCCGGTAGAGAGGCCAATAGTTGACAAAAGCAGACTTATTCAATGAAAGCGGGCGTGCCGTTCCAAAGAATAGTGAGCGGTCATCCAGTTTAGATGCACGCAATGGATCTGGAGGCTGATCTTTAGAATCATCAGGCAGGTACTCCTTCAATAAATCCCGCCATTCATTATCTGTCACTGCGACGGATTTTCATAAGGTATTTTGCCCTTAGGATAATTCTCAAGTCGAAGATGCGTTGCGCTTAATTCATTCTCGACATTTTTTCTTTGTACCTCATACTGTTTAAGAAACAGCTACGTACTGTTGTCAAGGGGGAGACTATTCTGCCCGCGGAACTTCTGTTAGTCGGGTAGTTTCATGTATTTTGTCTCACTTTAGGTAAGCTCCTACAGTCTTGTACGAAGTACTAGTACCTAAGTGTCTTCAATAAGAGAAATATATCCCACTGCTTCAGGAGAAAGGTCGTGAGTATCCGAGTCTTTGGTAGATCCGTTGTAGTGCACTAGTGAGTCACAGTGGATATCGATATTATGCTCCTCTTGGGCCAAGAACATAGCCTCTTTGCGTATTTTACCAGTAAGCTCTGCTACTGATTAGGTAGTCCTCCAGGGGTACTAGTAATCAGTTACAACCCTACGAACGTGTCATATTTTATACAAGACTGCATATATTACGTGAGATGACACACAATATGAAGCTTCCAATATCGCAATTTTCCTTCATCAATTCCTGGCTCACCACTATCAATATGGCTTCAAGTTCACGACCTCAGCGTTCGAATACACAGCGAGACTATTTGGCTCTGGATCTTGGATACGAAGATGATGCCCCAGTCGAAGATCGATATCCAGATTTACTTACCGTTGAAACCTCCTTTTCTGACATTTGTGATACTATTCTGATATCCGATCCTGATCCTATCCTACCATCGGAATCCGCCTCCCAAACTCTCAATCCCGACCCTGAAATGTCCTTCCGGCAAGGCTACCCCTCATTTTTTTTGGCTATCTGGCTATGTAAGCCATTCATAGCAACTCAAATTGCCAATGGTACACATTGTTTCAGATACGCCTAAATAAATTAACACTGCACGTCCTGAGATTGAGGTACAGATTGGATGGGCAGCCATCCAGCATTTTAATGCAATTGGTCTTAACACGCTTATTGAATGGGCCGGCTTAGCATGGATGCCACTGTCAAACAATATATCTAGCCACTCTTCAAGCGCGTATGGATTCTCTGATAACTGCAGCTGAAGATATTGGCCGGCGAATGGCTCGGACGATGTTGAACGACAGCATCAATCATACTGCCCAACTAGATATTTCTGCGCCAGTGTTCAATATGACATTCATCGACACTGAGGACTTCACGGAATGAGTTCGTCGAGCCATGAATCGGCGCAGAGATCCCGAGAAGCATTATATGTCATTGCGAGGCCCATAATTAATGAGATTTTGGGATCTTCGGCAAGGATCACACGCAGTCAAGTATAAAGAGCCAGTTGTTCAGGCGAGGAGGTATGTTTGAGTAGATCCAACCTACTTGAAGGTTTTCAAGGTTCCGGCAGGTTGTTGGAGTGAGAGTGACTACTAGTAGTACCAGTAGTAATTAGAGACATTCAAGGTCAAGGAGTGTTTTGAGGGTTTCTCGCATAATTTTAAGTTCTTCAAGTTTTATTGTTCAAGTTCAAGTTCAAGTTTGTTAGGTTCTAGTACAATTCGCCGTACTGTTATTCAATGGATATTTGAATCAAAGAATGTTATACTCGTAGATGCGTCCCGTAGTATAGTATCCATTGCCAAGACCATCTCAGCTGTGGTTTGCTGAGACTCACGTGCGGGTGGAGCGGAGCGGAGGTGGACGGAAGCAAAAAGGGAAAAGCGAAGTCCCCAGTACCTTAGAATACCTTAGAGTGCCTGAGAGTAGCTGGAAGGAAAAAAGAAAAGGGGACCACAAAAAAAGTCACCCTCAAAAGGAACTCCTCTTCAACCTCGTACGAATACGAGTGAACCTGGAGGGTTGGTCTCGTTTATCTTCCGGTGCTTTTCCTTTTTCCCTTTTTCTTCTCCTCTCCTCTTCTCGTCTCTGCTCCTCCACATCGCCTATGCGATAACTGCGATAACTCTTCACGCATCACCCTCTCCGATCTCTAATCATCGCACACACCATGGTTCGGCCTCGTGGAAGCTCAAACCTCGGGGTGGACATTCGCGGCGACACCAGTGCCCCCGCGCTGTCCACCATGAACGAAGTCAGCCCGATTGAGCCCTCCTCGCCAGGCCTGGGAAAGGTACGTGTCCGCATTCGCATTTGCGCCCGCGCCCGCCACCGCCGTCGCAGCTGCAGCTGCAGCTGCAATGGCAGCAACAAAAGGATCCTAGGACTGACCCGATCGCGATGTAGCAATTGGACTCGCGATTACAGGCACAGGCCAACGACAAGTCCGGCAAGACACATTCGAAGCGCCGTCGGACACGCTCATACCTTCACCGTTTTGCCGATACCTGCCTCAAGTACACTTGGCTGCTTCCACTCTTGATCGTGATGTTCCTATTATCGCTATACGCCGTCAATCCGTCCCCGTCAAACCCCATGCACAGCGCCATCTTCCTCTCCTACCCGCAACCCTCGAAGACCCCCGGCGGTCCTACCATGTACGGAAAGGGAAAGAAGGATATCGCCTTCGTCGCCTTCTACACCATCGTGCTCTCCTTCACGCGCGAGTTCATGATGCAGCAGGTCATTCGTCCGTTGGCCAAACGGTGCGGCATCAAGGGCCGAGGCAAGACCGCCCGCTTCATGGAACAGGTCTACACAGCGATGTACTTTGGTATTTTCGGTCCGTTCGGTCTGTATGTCATGAAACGCTCAACTTTGTGGTACTTCAACACCACTGCCATGTTTGAGGGTTTCCCCCACCGTGAACACGAGTCGTATTTCAAGGCCTACTATCTGCTCGAGGCTAGTTACTGGGCACAGCAGGCGATTGTCCTGATGCTGCAGCTGGAGAAGCCTCGCAAGGATTTTAAGGAGCTCGTTGGACACCACATCATTACACTCGCTCTCATCGGATTGAGTTATCGTTTCCACTTCACTTATATCGGTCTGGCGGTATACATCACCCACGATATCTCGGACTTTTTCCTCGCGGTATGTATCCTATGCCCGCATAGCAAGCGAGCAATCCGAATCGCAGGACAATTACTAATCATTGAATTAGACTTCCAAAACGCTGAACTACCTCGATGCCTACATCACACCCCCTTACTTTGGTCTTTTCGTCGGAGTTTGGATCTACCTGCGCCACTTCCTCAATCTGAAGATTCTCTGGGCCATCCTGACCGAGTTCCGCACCGTTGGACCTTTCGAGTTGAACTGGGAGACACAGCAGTACAAGTGCTGGATCAGTCAATACATCACCTTCGGTCTGCTCGCCAGTCTGCAAGCTGTCAACCTGTTCTGGCTCTTCCTCATCCTACGCATTCTGGCAAACTATATCTTCACCAGCGAGACCAAGGACGAGCGAAGTGACGACGAGGAGGAAGATGAGGAGGAGTCCCAGGTCGAGACCGAGAGCAAGGCCACTCTGGCCACCGGCGCCCAGCAGGAGAACAAGGCACCCCAAGTGATGGTCAACGGCGAGCCCGTGACCGAGCAGCGCGGTCCCCGGACACGCAGCAGGAAGGCTTAAACAACCCGGTTTTCCCGCCCTTTGAATGACTGAACTCCCAGGGTCATACCGGCAATATTTCTCAAGGCCCGGTTTCTCTTGGAAAACTGCTCCGCGTCTCATTTCATATTTTTGTTCAACCCCCGGTTCCAATTTGGGTGGCCGCGCGTCAAAAGCGCCAGCCCTTGTTTATAATTACGCATGGTTCAAGGAAAGGTGTTTGTTCAGAGCGAGTCGTTTTCTTCTTCATATGGAGAAGGTGGCTTTGCTCATTTTTTCTGATTGTGATTGAATTGAATTGATGCATTGGGCTCGTGGGTGTGGGTGTAGTTGTATGTGTGGATTTTCCGGCTTTCCATGTTTCTTTTTTTGTTCGATTCGTGCACAGTCTGATTCGACTCTTGTTTTTATCACTACACTTTGACCCCCTGCTAGTTACTAATAATGATTAGGTATGGGTTGGCTATTCGGGCTTGATTGAGTCTCCGATTAATGCGGATGAAATGAATATATCGATGATTTTATATTTTACAACTTGAACTGGAACCTTAGGTAGTTCTAATACTAGTACCCCGACTCCGACCAGTAGTTAGTAGGTAATGCAACCAAGGAGTATCCAGCTAATGCACTAGATAGCGCTGGACCGTGTAAATTTGCGAAGGTTCCCACGCTGTAGCTTGAGAGGACGGCAAGTAGAGGTGCCACTGTTTGGAAGTATCAAAAATGGAATTGGTGCGATCCGGGAATGCTGTTTTACACTGAGGCCGTCCTAGTTTATGGCATTGGTACAGTTCAGGCGGGAGCTTAAGCAAGCGATTACTCCTGCGATTTAGCCTGGGCTGGCTCGGATTTATTCTCCTTCTCATTCTTGTCGGACTCATCAGTGGTCTTTGAGTCGTCTTCCTCCTTGGCGTTGGCCTAAAGCATGTCAATATGTACCAGAATTAACAAGAGTAATTGCAATTTATTTACTAACCTCATCATTTCCGGACTCCGAGCTCTCATTTGGCTTCTGGTTATCTTCTTTCTGCGACTCCTCGGAAGATTCTTGGGTCTGATTCTCTGATTCCGCCTTCTTGTTTTCCTCGGTGGAGGCAGGGGCAGCGTCAGACTCTTCAGGTTGTTTGGATTCGTCGGCGGGCTCGTCCTCAGACTCAGTAGGAGCAGACTGGGTCTCTGTTGATGTACCAGCCTCCTCCGATTCAGCATCCGGGGCAGGAGATTCCTTCTCCGCATCCTCCTTATGTTCATCGCCGTGATCATCGTGGCCATGGCCGTGGCCATGCGAGTCCTTCGCAGAGCCAGTAGGAAGCAGGAAGTAAATCATGGGAACAGTAACACCCAAAGAAGCGACCAACCTATCAAGAAAGAAAGAGGTTAGTTAGTTACTGGCAAGGGCGAAACCTGCAAATACAAAGATCCAACTTGAATCGATTGCAAATGATGAAGAACTGTCATACCAGGGCAGATCACTGGAGGCGTGCTCCTCATAGCCTTTCCCACTGGCGTAAAAGCGACGTCCGAGTACCTGTCCCGAACGACGGGTAACAGGAGAGGCACGGAAAGACCTGGCGGCCGTAGCGACACCACGAAGAGAACGACGTGCGAATACCATGGTGGACAAGGTGACACTGAAATGCGAGGAAATTTGAACCTTGGACGAAGAGGTACGAATGAGATGAAGGGATCAAGAATCGGATTGGCGTGATAGGGTGAGTGCAAGGAGAGGGTTCAAGTTGCCTCGCAGGAGCTACAGGCAGCTATAGCCGTGGAAACCGGTACCGGGCCATCGTGCTAGGCTAGCAGTCGCTTGTCATTCGTCACTCGTCGCTTTAGTGGTGGCTGGGCTGGTTGCTCCGACATCGTAAGACCAGTCCACTTCCGAGTCGGAGTATATCCCTGTTCCCTCCGTTGGTCTGTGCGCAGTGATGTAATAGTACTGGGGAATCGAGCCGGAATCTGAAGCCATTGTCATGGAATCTGAGATATCCGAGTCTTCCAAGGTTTGAAAATGCAGCCAATGGCAGCACTGGTCTTGGTACTAGTGCTATCAAACACAATCCAGTTCCAAGGTTGGGGCGTTTGGTGTGCCCTGCCCACTCCCAGGTGCCCAGGTGTGGAACGGGAGATGATCTGATTAGATTGACCCATTGCCATATCTTAGGATAACACTAGGATGGGATGGGACCGTCAGTGGCCTTGGAGGATGTCTGTAGTATTAGCAGTCGTACATTACAACTTCTATAAAGTCAGAATTAAGGTTGAGCTTAATCCAGGATTCAGGATTTTGGAGGTTGCACTGGCAGTTTGTTGCACTCATGCTGCCAGTATGCGGTGTGGACAATAATGCAAGCCATGTTAGTGGGGATATAGGAGAGCTTGAACATAGTTGGGGATAACTTGACATATTTTGCCTGGTGCAATGAGAAAGAGGAACAATTAAACCATCCCATGACTAGGGTTCTTTTAGCTATAGTGTAACTAGTGATAAAATAGTTTATGCCTCAGGCGTGAATCTCCGCCTGACTGCCGAGCTGCCTTAGTGCCTCAGGCCACTAAAACAACCCCACGTTTGCCTATCGACGCGGCTATCTTGATGCGTTCAAGTTCTCGGACAGCTCCAACTCCAACTCTCTTTACCTCTCTACACTCTCCACCCTCCTCCATTCAGCCACATTATACACATTCCCACCATGGCGGATCGACAAGTGACCCAGCAGACTATCTTCAGCTTGCTTTCCAAGCTGGATGATCCTGATGCCGACTTGAGATTCATGTCCTTGAACGACCTTTTCGGCATCCTGAGCAACCAGAGCTCGTCCTTCCTCACTAGCGACCGAACTTCCTCCACTAAAGTCGCCGAAGGACTGCTGAAAGCCTTGGACGATCAACATGGTGAAGTCCAGAATCAAGCCTTGAAATGGTATGGAGCAATCATGCATGCCCTGTCGCTTTCACTTTGAACCCGGCTAACCACCACGTCACAACAGTCTTGGTCCTCTCGCCACACGCGTGCCATTTGAAACACTCATGCCTCTTCTCGAGAAGCTGGCCAATCTGACCTCCTCTCAGACAATCGACACCTCCGTCCCCAATACCGCCCTGCGCGTCATCGTCGACACCCTCCCTCGCCCCCAAGCTGGACAGCCAGCTCCCCAGTCGGTCCTCTCTGCATACAACGCCGTATCTAAAGTACTGATTCCTCGACTGACGGGACCGACACCATCAGTCTCCGGCCGACGTGGCTCCGTCGTCAAGGGAATGCTCGAGAAGGACAGCTCTAAGGGATTCAGCAGCGATGCCATCGATGTGCTCATTAAAGTCGTCACTTGTTTCGGTCCGCTGCTCCAAGAAAGAGAGCTGGATGCTCTCCAAGAACCGGTCATGGCGATCATCCACAATGATACCGCCGGCACCGTGGTGACTAAGAGAGCCCTGGCTGCCATCTCTGCCTTGGTGCTCTACTTTTCCGACAGCCAGCTGAATGCTTTTGTGGGCCGCCTTTCCGATACTCTCTCCTCGCCCAATATCACAACTGTTCGCCGCCGCCATATCATAGCTGCTATTGGGGTGATTGCCCGGAGCGCGCCGGCCAAACTCGGCCCGCATCTCGATCGTCTGGCGCCGTTTGTCTTTGCTGCAGTGGGAGAGGACGGTGTTGGAAATTGAGTTAGCATTGCGTTGTGTTAATCTCCGCTAGAAATCAGCTCCTATTTATTGCAGGGGCCAGGGACAACACCGACTCTCTGGACCTAATGCAGTCTTTGTTAGTGTTGATGTTTTCACTCGTGCCTTCCTCCTTCCTCTTCCCTCTTCCCTTTTTCCCTTCTTCGCTCTTGCTATGTTGACCCTTCCCAATCTCCCCAATTTCCCCAATTTTTCCAATGCCCTCTTGGTCTTACAACTCTTCCTCTTCTCTCCTCCCCTCTCCTATTCTCTCCGCTACTCCTTCCTGTGTCCCCCCTTTTTAGCACGGATTATCATACATACATCCTCTTGCACCGTTATACATCGTTCCGCCAGGTTACAACATGCGACTATACCATCTCTTCCTACTCCTCGCCATTTTTTACGGCCTTGGAGCTTGCGTCTCATTTACATCGTCCCGGGAAGAGGAGCCCTTTCGAGATGCCCTGTGCGGTCCGCGGTGGGGAAGTGTTCCAGCGGCACCTGCTGCTCGAGTTCAGGTAGGTTCTAAAATCCCGCAAGCACTTGTATCCAGTACACGGGATAAAAGGCTCACCAGAAACTGCAGGCTTTTGCGGGACAAGCAAGGCGCACTGCCGCTCCCCAGATTGCATGATAGATTACGGTCACTGTGATGCTCATGAAAAGCCCAAGGGCCCTCCTACCAAAGACATCCCTCGGCCTCATCTCGGCCTTGTCCCATATGGCCCCACGGAGATCCGTTCGTGCACTGTGCCCGGAACGGTGGCCTTGACATTTGACGATGGTCCGACTCAATATACTGGCGACCTTCTCGATCTGCTTGACAAGTACGAAGCACCTGCCACTTTCTTCGTCACTGGAATCAACAACGGCAAAGGTCCGATTGATGATGAATCTCTGCCTTGGGCCTCTTTGATCGATCGCATGATATTGAGTGGTCATCAGATTGCCAGCCATACCTGGTCTCACCAGGACTTGAGCAAGGTCACACCCGAACAACGTACAGAACAACTGGAAAAAAACGAAGCGGCTCTTCGAAACATTATGGGTAGCTTCCCAACCTACATGCGTCCGCCTTATTCCAGCTGTCTTCCACGCTCTGGTTGTCGTGAAGATCTTGGTAAAATGGGCTACCACATCGTCCTCTATGATATCGATACGGAAGATTACAAAAACGACGACCCCAACTCGATTCAGCGATCGAAGGATATTTTTGATGGAGCGATATCGACCGGCAGCCCTCACACCAAATCGTGGCTCGTGATCGGCCACGATTCCCATGAGCAAACTGTATACAATCTCACCGAACACATGTTGCAAACAATCACGCGACTAGGGTATCGTCCTGTTACGCTGGGCGATTGCCTGAGTGATCCACGTAACAATTGGTATCGGCAGGATTTCAGTTGGTCCGGTCGTACGTTTCCGTAACTACTAGGGTACCTTACGAAATGAATACTCATATCCTATCCATACACATTACTTCATTAAAGACTCAGGTTACTTAGTAGATGACTGAGTAGATAATTGGGTATATAACTTAGTACATGACTGAGTACATGAGGTGGCTGGGTAGATAACTGACTAGTATATGACCGAGTATCTATAACTGCCTCATGGTGAGTAAATCACCGAGAAGATCACCAAGTACAGTGATATTCGAAATCAGATTTACCTCGATACTCTCTCTTCTTTTCTCACGGGGCCCCACTTTTCCATATTAGGCTAAGATCCCATCGTGCTATGTAGCTTTTATGAGTCATGATAAATTACCGTAAGTCAAATGTACACGCCTCCTCTCTGTCTGCAAGTACAGTCAATAGCGAAATCTTCTTCCACCCTGACGGCTGCTTTTCTTTTGTCGGGCCCCACTGGCAGACCCCTGGCGTCGATGATTTATTGAGCGGCCCATGCTATTACAGCACGTTGCCCTGTAAGAAAACACGATGTGTACCAAGAAAATTCCATAGAATTCTATAGAACATTGTGCAAAACATGGTGGAGTTTCAACCACCCCGCTTTCTTGTCAGGGTGATCATTCCAATGACATAAGTTTAAGTGCTTTACTCTACCTTCCCCCTTACGTACTAAACTACAAACCACATAGTTCATGGCTTATTGCCCATCATCAATTCTGCATTATGGAGTCCAGGATACGGCTATCCTATCACGATTACTCTGTCGGATGGATATGCGCCTTGCCGTTGGAGATGGCAGCTGCGAAACTGATGTTGGACGAAGAACATCCCCCTTTACCTCGTCAACCAACGGATCAGAATACCTATATTCTTGGGCGCATCGGGGGCCATAATATCGTCATTGCTAGCTTACCGAGTGGTGTATATGGCAATACGTCGGCTGCAACAGTTGGGATGCAGTTGTTGTCTAGTTTTCGCTCCATTCGCATTGGTCTACTGGTCGGTATCGGAGGAGGAGTACCAAGTGGCTTTGCAGATATTCGATTAGGGGATATAGTAGTGAGCCAACCAACAGACACTTGTGGAGGCGTAATTCAATACGATCTCGGTAAAACGTTGAACGAAGGTCAATTCCGGCGGATCGGAATGCTCAATCGGCCCCCTAAACTTTTGTTGACTGCCCTCACATCCCTCCGAGCAAATCACTACACGGGAGGTAGTAGAATACTTGAGTTCATCTCCGATGTTCAAGCCAAATTGATGCCCAACAACGCGGAAATATTCACACGACCAATCCAAAAGGACTGTTTATACGAAGCAGACTATGATCATGCCCAATCTGATTTGTGTTTCAATTGCGATCGATCTAAATTGCTTGTACGGCCCCCACGAGGCCACAAAGAACCAGTTATCCACTACGGACTTATTGGATCTGCTAATCAGGTGGTGAAGGATGGGAAGCGGCGGGATCAGCTGGCCCGGGAATTGGGCATATACTGTGTGGACATGGAAGCCGCGGGACTCATAAATGATTTTCCTTGTCTGGTCATTCGGGGAATCTGTGATTACGCCGACTCGCACAAAAATAAAGAATGGCAAGGATACGCAGCAGCCATAGCGGCAGCTTATGCGAAAGAGCTTCTGTTGATAGTCCCAATCGATCAAATCACCAGTGTTCCAACCGCACAAGAAGCACGTGCAGACTGTGGTAAGAGACCAAGCTTATGGTTTAAAGGGCTTCAAGAACTACTTCGAATTTACCGCTGAATGTTCTTTTTTATATTTAGTCACTTGTTTCAACGTCTCGTTCAACATAGCCGCTGTTCCAGTGATTGAGAATTTCTTAGGGCGACAGGACGAGCTAGACCAACTCTGGCGGTATTTGCGACCCACGGACTTGCAATCACGAAAAGTTGCTATTCTTTATGGCCTTGGGGGAATTGGGAAGACACAGCTAGCGATTCGTTTTGCGCGGGATCATAAACATGATTTCACTGCTATCTTTTGGCTAAATGGTAAAGACCGAGGCGTGCTTTTACAATCACTAAGCTCAATCTTGCCCCAGTTACCCGGACAGTCTTTGAATAACGAGAAGTCTAATAATGAGGAGATAGAGCAACGTGCTATGAGAGTGTTACGGTGGCTAGAAATAGAGGGAAACTCACACTGGCTAATTATTTTTGACAACATTGACCATTACTCTCCCTTCAGCGCTGTTGGCGATACATATGATATCGGAGAATTTTTCCCCGCCGCCGATCAGGGCTCTATTCTCATTACTACTCGACTTCAAAGCTTAAGTGATTTAGGGAAACCTTTCCCTATCAACAAACTTGAATCTAACGATGCAATCCAACTGCTCCTGCAAAGCAGTCGCCTCTCAGATGCCACTACGGGCCTTGAAAGCGATCCAGGTACATATTAAGTAATCTACATATCTCATTGATGATACTAATATGTATAGATATCCTTGATCTTACTGGTCGTCTAGATGGACTGCCATTAGCGATTGTCATCGCTGGGGCTTTTATGCGTGAAACAGGAATCAATGCCACTGAGTATTTGGAGTATTATCAAGAATCATGGTCCAACCTACAGTTACAGTCGAGTCCTTTGCGCCAGTATCAACAAGGCAACATGCTGCAAACATGGATGATCTCGTATCATGAGATCCAGAAGCGGGATTTGGACGCAGCGAAGCTGCTATTAGTGCTTGCCCACTTTGATAATCGAGATCTCTGGTATGAATTGATACAAGGCTGCTGTTATAGTTCAGATGTCCCTCTGTGGCTTAAGAGGATTACGGCAAGTAGCCTCGCATTTAAGATCAGTGTGAGAACTCTTCTCGAGTTCTCACTTCTTGAGATTAAGCCACATAGGGGGGGCTTATATGATGCATTCGGTGGTACAAAGTTGGTGTCTTCATGTTGCCAGCTTGGAAGAGAATATTCATCCACTCCAGCTGAGTAAGATGGCACTTATAGCTGTCGGATACGCTACCCATGAAGTAAGTGATGGCAATTACTATGTCCTTCAGCAACGGCTGATTCCACATGCACGTCACGTCTGTCGGGGGGATTGGTTAATTTGTGATGTTGAGATTTGGGGGGCACTCCATAGTTTAGGAGATCTATACTTCGAGCTGGGGAGTCTAAAAGAGGCAGAAGAGATGTACCAGCGAGCACTATTGGGCAGGGAAAATGCCCTTAGTCCGGAACATACATCCACTCTTAGCACAGTCAACTGCCTTGGTAATCTCTACAAAGAGCAGGGGAAGCTCAAAGAGGCAGAAGAGATGTACCAGCGAGCACTTTTGGGTCGGGAGAAGGTCCTTGGTCCGGAACATACGTCTACTCTTGGCACAGTCAACAATATTGGTAATCTCTACAAAGAGCAGGGGAAGCTCAAAGAGGCAGAAGAGATGTACCAGCGAGCACTGTCGGGTAGAGAGAAGACATTCGGCCCAGAATATCCGGCCACTCTTAGCATAGTCAACAACATTGGGAATCTCTTTAGAGCTCAGGGGAAGCTAGAGCTGGCCGAGCAGATGTACCAGCGAGCACTGTTGGGCAGGGAGAGGGCCCTCGGTCTTGAACACGCATTCACTCTTGCTACTGTCACCAACCTTGGGAACCTTTACAAGGATCAGGGAAAGCTAGAGCAGGCAGAAGAGCTGTACCAGCGAGCATTGACAGGCAGGGAGAAGGTTCTCGGTTTAGAACACATGTTTACCCTCAATACTGTCGGCAACCTTGGGCTTCTCTACCAAGATCAAGGGAAGCCGAAAAATGCAGAGGAGATGTACCAACGAGCGTTGGCAGGCTTTGAGAAAACCCTAGGCTCAGACCATGAAAGATCCCGGTGGGTTAGAGGCAAATTGAATGAGCTAAACATGCGGATGTAACAGTAGATAGCCCCTTTATAAAACGTTTCGACCTTGTTCTGAGAAAATCATAATGATGGGTTCATTATAGTGCGTTTAACCAAGGCTGGGTTTCTTGATTCAGAAAATAGATATTGAAAAATGGGAATGCTCGGTGGCTATCTGCGTTAATGGGTCGATCACAACAAAATCACCGCACTCGCAAAGTGCAGGAGCGTGTAATAGTAGACAAAGCAATGCCCTACTGAGATACAATATACTAAGGCATCCGAGCCTTCATGAACGATATACTGATACCGTTGCCGCCGCAGGAAAAGACAGAATCGCGAAACTCGAAAGGTGTGTCTTTTCTTAGAATGCTATCGAGCAAACTACTTACCTTCCAGAAAAATGGCCACCTTGTTGCCAGGGCTCCGATCACATGATTCCAACGTTGTGAACGGATATACCCATTACAATATGGAGCAAATATACATTGGCCAAGACGAGTTTATGAATAAATAATGCCCTGTATGCTGAGAGTAAGTTGAGGCCACTCAACTGATAGGCGTAAGTTTTACAACTTAAACACCAGGCGGCGCGTCTTCGCTTGGTCTGATTTGCGGTGATCACCTCTAGGGTTCCAAATATGTGTATATATACCTAGATATATACCTATAGTTACCACGTCAGTGATATGCTAACATACGAGGTGCATTTTACTATGTCACTCAAGTCAATGCGGCCATCTCAACAAATGATCGGCACTAATATCTTGGCGGCGGGGCTGGAAAAGAGTTTCTGAGAGTCAAGAAGATTTCAAGAATCACTGTAGCAATATGAGGTTATTTACAGTGGCACCGCAAAAGTCTGTGACCACCCTTATTGATTGCCTTCTTAAGATAGACTAGGCCTCGCTAGTACTAGAAGTGATAGACTACACCATACTACTTCAGGTAGATACTAGTCAAGCATAGGAAGGCGGAGACCAAAGCGGTCAATAAGGGGTCACAGACTTTTGCGGTGCCACTGTAATCTAATGCTCACGACGTTTTGGTGCGGCGGAAAAAGCCGCAGAAAACAAAAAGGGGTTTCAACCTTTTGCAACGCCACTGTAATAGTATGGAATAGATACATTACCGTACATGGGCATGGCACCTGGCCCATATGGAAAAGTGGGGCCCCGTGAGAAAAGAAGAGATAGTATCGAGGTAAATCTGATTTCGAATATCACTGTAGATGACAGGCAGGATCTTAAGTCCTATAATCTTTACACCTCCAACACCGGCCAGGTAGTATTCAGTCCCAAAAATCAAGAGCCCAATATCTGCATAATTATGCATTAACACTGGCACTCTTGGTCATCCCTATCCCCACTGCAGCTGTGGTTCCTGCGTCGACTGGTAAAATCACACCCGTCATCCATCGAGCATGTGGTCCTGCTAGAAAAACCACAGCACCGGCACAGTCCCATCCATTCCCCTCTGTTCCTAGCAGACTGCGCTTTCTGCGGGCTTCTCTGGCTTCTTCACTCATTCCATTTCCATACATCATTGGTGTGTACAACATCTGGCGATCAAGTCAACGACGGTGAACCTCTGGGAGGGAAGGGCCAACTTACCCCCGGACAAACACAATTTACTCTAATCCCATCTGCCGCATGATGCGCTGCCATTGCACGTGTGAGATTGACAATGGCGCCTTTGGATGTCGGGTAAAGCAAATGGGGTGTTCCACCCTTCTGACAATCAGCATTGAGGGCGATAGCTAATAGGTGAGATGAATTGACAGGATAGCCATACCTTGAGACCCGCTACGCTCCCCATATTGACAACATTTCCTTTATTTTCCCCTTCATTTCGAATCATTGCTGGAATGGCATACTTGCTCATTTGTACCATACTGCCCACATTAATATCCATGCTTTTTGCCCACTCCGCCATATCAACATCGACCGCCGTGCCTGGAGCGCCGCCAATTCCAACGTTATTGATGAGAATATCAAGACGACCGAATTTCTCGACAGCGAGCTTCACTGCTGCTTCACAGTCGTTGGCTGATGTGACATCGCCCTGAAATGGAAGAGCCCATCCTCGACCTGACTTCGATGATATCATCTCCACGGTCTTGGTTGCCCATTCTCCATTGAGATCAACGCATAGTACGTTGCAGCCATCATTTGCTAGAAGAATAGATATGGCGCGCCCGTTGCCAATTCCATCTCCTAAGCACCCAGCTCCAGTCACAATGGCTACTTTGCCACTCAGAGAGCGAGATGGTGGTTCGGAGGATATGCCGGGATCCATGGTTATGATCTAGATCTCGACCAAAAAAGATGTATACGTGTATAAGTGACTATAAAACCTTGAATAGAATCAATTCAAATCCAACCGAGATAAAGCTTCATTTCTTCGCAAATATCACCGGTATACCTATTTGGATCAACCTTGCGGGGGGGGTTGACCCCCCGCATAGCCGAACCGAGGCGTTTCGCGACTGCGGGGCCTATGATGTGATGTGATGTGAGAGATACTTGTTCACTACGACCTGAATAATCCAAGTCCTTCTTACCCACTTTTATCCCCTCACCCCTCTCGATCATACCTCACTTTAACCTACACCTTTCCACTGATTCTGAAAACCTTACTTCATCTAGCTTAACGTAATGGCTGACTTTTCGCAATATACCGGCCCCAGTGCGGACTGGGTAGCTCTTGAGCCTACATTACCGGCTATGCCCAATGTCGGTCTCGAGGAGTTAAAGCAGATCGTCAATAAAGGCCGAGAGGATATTGCCGCTCAGGGCATCGCCGATCAAGGTTGGTACCTGCATATCACCCTGCTATATGAGGAGATCACCAAAGTAATAAAGCGGATTCCGACATATCTAATGTTGAGTGGAGGTGTCGTGCATAAATACACCAACGATCTAACTAACATCTCCTCACAATAGGCCTAGCTTCCAAGGTGCATACCAAGGACTTCAAAATCCCTGCCCGCGACGGATATGTTCTCGAAGCGCGATCTTACCGTCCAGCGAACGTCTCCCATTCCCATGCCCTTCCCGTCTACATCCATCTCCACGGTGGTGGATATCTCTTCGGAACCCTCGGTTCAGAAGATGCAATTTGCTCTCGAATCGTCGCGGACCAACTCGAGAAGAATTTTCCCCTCGTTGTCTTCAATATCAACTACCGACACACTCCCGAATATAAATACCCCACCGCGTGGAACGATGTTGAGGACGCCTTCGTCTGGTTCCACGAAAACATCGCCGAGGTCGGCGGACGCGGGGAGAGGTCGTGGTCGGGGGTATCTCAGCCGGAGCCCAGCTGACAGCTTCTCTGACACTTGCTCAATATCGCGGTGATAATGAGAATTTGGCTGCCTGTCCACGAATCCGAGGACAGGTCCTGATGATCCCTTGCCTCGTCCAGCTGGATTATTATGCCCCGCGACAAGATAAATTGCGCAGTCCGGAACTATCGAGTCTAGTAGGCTGTGCCAATGCGCCGATCCTACCAATTGACAGAATCAAGCTTTTCGGGTCTCTGCTGGATGTCAATAAAGATGAAAACACCGGCGATGACCGCAGACTTAATCCCGGAAATGCCACCGCGGAAGAAGTGAAAGAACTTCCTCCGACGGTTTTTGGTATTGCTGGAAACGATCCTCTTCGCGATGAGGGTCTTTTCTACGCGCAGCTTCTGAATGAGAATGGGTAAGTGCTCTTCAGCCAGTTTTGCGATACTGAAGATCTTGTTTTAACCAGAATTAGGGTGCCTACTGATGTCCATGTCTTCCCTGGCGTTCCTCATGGATTCCGTCGGTACGGCGACAAGTTGGCTGCTTCGAGTAAGAGGTGGGATGAGGTTATGACTAATGGTATTTCTTGGGCGTTGTCTAGCCCCGAGGTTGGCTCTTTTGAGATCAAGGCAGAATGAGTGAGTCGTCAGCTAGGATAGAGTTGAAAGCGGACCATAGAAATATTGCTTTGAAGCAACTCCAAGCTCTTCATGTAGCCATTTAAGAGTGTGAAATCACAAGTGAAATCACATATGAGTTTGATTCAATTGTATTTTGGCTCTGATATCTCATACCCTATCGACTCATTACCATGGACCAATTTCTGCAGTATGGATTTGAGCCCGGGCAGCTAGGTACAACGTAAAATCCAGGTAATTGTTTGATTCTTAATGAATATTCACTCCTTCTTAGCGCCCTCCTGAGTCCGACCTTTACTCCATCCTACTTCCCATTTGTCCTCGATAATGGCCAATTGGATTTCCTGTGTTCTTTTGAAATATCCCTCCTCAATATGGTCGTCCATACCCACGTCCTTGTAGCCTTCCTTTGCAACTGATTTCGGAGTGATCATAAGAGAGTGCCCTGGAAAGTTAGCATTAAAAAAGCAAACACAGCTAGTCCAATATTTAAATTACTTACCATTAATCGTGCGGTCAGTTGCAAGTTTCATCATACATGTTGCCACATCTTCCTGCGGCGCAAACTCGACGCCCTTGGAAATAAGCTGAGCTTCGTAGGCAGCTGAGCGAATAGCACTTTTGATATAACTATTTTGGGATTCTTTAGTAGCCGATTGTTCATGGAAGTCCGTGATACCTACCAGGGCGCGACGTAGTTAATTCGGATTCCCTGCTCGTGCGAGTTTCTTCGGGCTGTTCGCATTAGCCCCCTCAGTCCGTACTTGCTGCTTGTATACTGCCAGTTCGCCTGTCCGTGAATGAAATCAATATGTGTGTAGCTTGTAGCGCAAAGAGATAGAAGTTCTTACTGGAGAATCAATCCAAGATACCATACTTCCAGTAATTATGAAGCAGCGATCTCGGTCTTCCGTGTCCGGCTGCTTTCGAAAATAATGGACAGCAAGTTTCCAGGTATACATTGTGCCGATGAGATTGACATTTACGATGCTAAGTTCCGGTTTCACCGGGGGGGAACTTGGATCTATAAAATCTAGTAAGTAACTCTAGAAGTTCAATGTGTGCTCAATCTTGCGACTAGGAACACTCACCATCCAAAGGCCATAGATCATCTCCAGAAGCACGGCTAATTCCAGCATTCGCGATGACGATGTCGCAACTTTTATGAGGAGAATTTTTGATCGCAGCCTCGAACATTTCAACTTGATCATCCCAAGATGTGATATTGCACTTCACAAACTGGGCATTTCTAGGATTTGTTAGCGATCACCGAAGATTCGGACATGGAAATTCACAGAACAAACGGACGGGCTCAGCTCCTCCGCAACTTGCTTCCCTCTTTCTTCGTTCAGATCAGCTATCGTTACATATGCTCTATAATTGTCATTCTTGTGAGTATTATCGTATTTATTCTTTCCCCTTCTTTCATTGAGGGGAAATTTACCCTTTGGCAGCAAAGGCGCGTGCCGTCTCTTCACCCATACCATTTGCTCCTAGCGAACTATCAGTCGGTCCTTGAAAATGACACGATTAATCTCGGGATATTACCTCCAGTCACAATGACACTCTTGTCCTTTAAAACCGCACAATCTGGCGGAATGGTACAATCAACCGGGCCAGTATATTCGTAGGGAGGGAGTTTCGGCATCTTGGGCAAGGTTATTCCGATATTCAATCTTTTGTGCTTTATCCTGAGCTCAGACTATCCTGGGTCACGGTGGGTTTGTTTGCGGACAATTATAAGTATTTCCTTACATTTTTCCCCCACTGATTCATGCATTCCCATTAGTATCCTCGGCCACTTCCCCGCGATTCCAGTCCGGATGATCGGCTACCCCAAATAAGTTAACCGGCGGGGTTGATGTGAAGAGGCATGCGACTACTCCGCCTCATCAGAAATGCCGTCAATTGTAATCGAGTACTTTTTTAAAAAAATCCAGGTAGATTTCCTCTTAGTAACCGCTTTCAAAAACCTCTCATCCTTAGTCAATGGATGGATGCTCGGGAACTTGATACATAAAAACTGCCAACTACTAGTAATAATTTTGCGACAGTCGGCACATATTTCAGGTGATTGAAAACTTCAAGTTGAATGACCTTGGTCTTTTGATTGTATTAACTACATATTCTACTAGGTATATCCAGTACTCTCAAGTTAAAGAGCTCTGGAGTAGCGGAAAAAGAGGATATCCAAACACACAGTACCGGAGCAGGAATCGAACTATTTCGCATCACTCGTTAAGGGTGCCAAGGGTCCCGCAGACTCATGAAGATTGTTTTCATCTTACTCTTCCTGGCGTTTTCTTTCTTTCTGGCTTCTTCCGGGTACGATTGTACTCAGATCGCCAACGGGTAGTGTTATAGGAAAGTCGACTGCGTCAAGAATTTGCGCAATGAAGATGTGCCAGATTGGTATGCAAAGAGCAAAATTAAAAGCGCCGGCAGCCTGTTACGTCCCAAAGTTAGCACCAGCATACTCATAAAATTTCGATGCTATTATATCAGTAATAAAAATACCTTTTGCAGCTTCGCCGCATTTTCAGCATTCTCCAGCGCCACCTGAAAGAATGTGGCCGCTGTTAGGGCGAAAGTGATAACAAGAAGAAACAATGCCAAGAAAAGGCAAATGTTTGTCCTAATAGAGCATATGAGGTAGACGAATGTGAGAACGCAGAGAATCACGTAATAAAGCCCCACGGTTGCATTGTATTCGGGAGTTTGTATACCCTCCAACGTATTCCCAGTTGGTGAGTAGTTGGTTCCTACTGCATAGGATGGCATATTTGAAGTACCCTGAACGATCCAAAAGGTTCCTATCAGTTTGAAAAGTCAGTGAAGCTCAGATTTTCTTGTGTACCTGTTTATTCTAGGTCTCCTTTCACTGGAATATTAGTACGTACCATAGGTAAAGAAGAGTGCACACGAGAAGGTGTTTCCAATAATCCATTCACCCACAGCACCAAAAATCTGGACCATACCTCCAAAGAAGATAAACACGGGTCTATCTCACAGCAAAGGTCAGTGTCTCGTAGGGCTCGGAAGCAAAATATGCAAGGCATAAATCTTACAAAATAGCACCACCATTTCCACCAGCGCCACGCCAGCCCATATTGATCATCGCGGCAGGAGTTGCAGCCAGCAAGAAGCCGAGTAGAGAAATTGGGGTCGGGTTGCCGAAAGTACGACGTAGATTTCCCGCCGTAGGTGTTTTAGGACTCAAATAAAGCTTCTCGAATACATCACGAGGGATAGGAAGAAGAACACTCTCTGCCGTCTGATAGCGGCGCAGCATCTCAGCAGTAGAAGCTTCCTGCTTTTCGCTAATATTTTCGTCTGACATGATGGAAAAATTTGAAGATAATTGGAACTTGAATGATATGTTGGGAAGCTGTCAATTGATCATCAACGAGAAATTTCGAAACTGACAACCTTATGTGCGAGTTATATTGAATATTCGAGGGGTTGATCCTTGTGTCTTCGCTTCCCCTTTTATCCACAGCGTAACCCCAACGAGCTGTCTCCACATTTTTTCCAATGTAAGTCATTCTAGACTCCAGAACTCCCGGACCCCATGTCTTCCTCATCGGTGTTTAGGCTGCAGTATCCCCGGGTCAGCTCCGATCGAGCTTTGAGCCCAGAGTACCTTGCATTTGATGCAATTGGAACTCCTGATTCGCAGGGCCGAATTACCATATCTCCCTCCAAGCCATCTTCGGGGACCAGTGGATCCGGGGGCCGAATTTTGTGGGGGAGATCGCGGGGGAGTGGCCATTTCATGACCCAAACTGGTTTCTTCCCCGCGAATGCGTCTGGGGGACCGAGGACTTCTTTCTGATCCACTCGGCTACATGTCGTCAATTCGCCTTTATCTGCATGAATCAGACTTGGAGTGGTCCGGGATATAAAGAAAGGTTACGCGCCCAGACTTTGCCAACACCTCGAGAGAGAAGGTGGCGCCGGTACAAAGTCTAATTCGAAGCTTCGCCTCACAGTCAAGCCTTGGACTCTTGACTCATGCCATGCTTGTTCTTATCAGTGCGATAATTGAGACTTAATCGAGTTTACCTGGCTTTTCATCCTAGGAATAATGCTGAGTATCGAAATTCAAAGGCAGTTTCTACAGGTTCTTCAAATCCAACAAAGTTGAAATTTCGAGCTTGGAAACGCCCCTCGACAAGTCGACGCTACGGAGCAACTCCGTGAGTCTGTGAGCGCATCAGCCCGATGTCCAAATCTAGAATTATGCACAAGCACTTCCGTGTACAAAGTCTCACTAAACGGCCTGATTTTGTTCCGACGGGATTGTACGCTGCCGGACAAACCCCTCGAGAACAACCGCGGTACTTTGGGCTCTCAGATAACCGGTTGTGGAGTTAAATTGCGAGAAACAACCCCACCATGAGAAGCGGGAAGAAAGATCTGCGTCATATTCGAGATCTTCGCCTTATTGTTTCAAGTCTATCCTTGTTGGGAAGGTGCTTAATATCGCTCGTAAGTTGCGCTCTCCAGAAAACCGAGGTTGTGGGGTCTGGCGGGTTTCGCCGTTTTTCAGTCAAACCACTGCCATAAAAAACCTAAAAACATACAAGGAGAACTTGAACGACTCCGATCTGGTTGAAATATGTTGGAATCCTGGGGCTCCAGGTCCCCACTCGACCGAGTCAACCTACACCACCTGGGCACTGAGCCATGGATAGCGACATGTGCTATAGACAGGAAGTCTAAACTGGAAGTTTTCTAACTAAATTCTGGCATCGACAATAGTCCATCAACGTGCAGCAGCGAAGAAGGCTACCTAGGTCTGAAATCTCAAGCCCCTGAATCCAATATGGTTGCCTTAGTAGGTGAATTAGATAGATGCACAAGTATTTCCAGATTTTCATTGACTGCATGGAAGTTGCGTGACGTCTCCAGGGCTTACTTGTAAACAAAAAGATCCCGACAATCGAGGATCTCAGATTATCATATGCCCGATTTGAAGGTCATCAAGCGACATATTCTCAGTCGCGGTAGTATACTGCTCTTGATTAAGCCGTCCTTTACCTCGGCCTTAGCAGTCTCCGCTCCTGCTTTGATTGCGTTCTTGGAGTCCTCGCTGATGACAATTCCTCTCTGTTGAACGGTATCCTTAAGAAGTTGGGTGGTCTCCAGCGCCTTATCTGCGCGGGCCCGAAGCCCTTTCAGAATCTCCTTTTGCTTCTGATCCACCATCTGGGCGACCTTCTTGGATCTGTTATCGGTGTATGTCTGGAGTTCCGCCTGAAGATCCGCCATGTTCTCATTGCCAGCAGCACCCTTGGACAGACGACTGTACAGATCCACACCGTAGGCGATGTACTCGCGATCCACCGGTGTACATGCCAGAGATGTCCTTTAAAGAGAGAAGTGGGCCTTGACCTGCAGGGTCGATGTGTAGATAAACTGCTTAGCGATATCATCGACCTTGACCAGACCTCGCTCGTTGGCCCGCGTGCCAGCCTCAGTCATCTCCTTGACAAAGCTCTGCGCGCGAGGCAGGACCACATTGTCGATGATGGTGGTCAGTATTGTGAAGAAACGCTGAAGCTTGCCAACTTAGACTCTCGGGTCAACCAGCACGTTAATGCAGTCACGCAGCACTGCCTTGATTTCATCCAGGGTAGCTGCGCTCTCCTTCAGGCGGTGAAGTCGCTTTTGATAACGCAGGATGCGAACAGGGGATAGTACTAGTATGTGAGTCCATTTCTTTTAGTGGATATGTGTATCATGGTGTTGTTCCTGTCGGCTGATATATGCTCAGGTTAAAAAATACAGGAACATTCACTTATGCCGACCTGGATAGCGGGAACTCCAATGATGGGCAAGTTGACCAGCAAAGTCCTCTGAGACATGCGTTCTAATCAGCGTACAGTTCGAGACTTTAAGGGTATCAGAAGAGCCCTGATTTACGGCCTAACCAGATGTGGAACATCCAATTTGTCTAAGACAGGCAGGCTCAGGGAACTAAGAGCGGGAAGGAGGTTCAAGTTCAGTATAATTTGGATATCTGAACTTGAATTTATAATTTCTATCTCGATATAGCTACTAGTAGCCCTAGAGAATCGAGATACTCGGCTCTCGATCCCTTTTGTCGGTGAATTCAAATATAGGTGACTGGTACCAGTAGCCCAAAGCCTAACCCCAGGAAAGGACGTAAGATTATTTGAAGGGAGAATCGCATTGCGGCGTGCATGTCGCTCGGATTCGCTTCCATATAATTTGGTCCAGGTTCGTTGAGAACGCAACTACAAAACCGATGGCAGTGGTTAGCTGCTGATCAGAAACGCTGAACGCCTCCAGGGCTCTTGGTAGAGATTATATTCAGTATTCGGCGTCGGCTGATCACCGAGGTAATGATAAAAGACGCAATGATCAATGAGAACAAATCCTATTCCCAGAGGAATGGAAAATCTAGCAACAATTCAATCATGCTTTTTTCGAAGATCTAAACAACGAGGGTAGTTCCATGCCAGAACTGTATAATGCCACAGTTTGATGACGCTGGTGCCACGCTTTGAAGGCTCACCGCCCGCTGCTTGAGGCTATCCACGCTCAGGACCGGTTCAAAGTTGACGGTCAAGTTCTGTTTCTTCCACATCCTCGTCAATTGACCTGCTCTCAATCCCTGGTTCTTTCTTTTCTTTTGTGTGCAATGGGTCTACTGATACCCTAACCCCCATTCCCCACTCTCTTGGTAACCCTTCTGCTGGGTTTCCCCTCTCCTAGTCCAACCCAATCCGATCCGATCCCGAGGAGCCTCCTCCACTCGGCCGCATCTCCGCAATCCGGGTCCCGTTTGCGCGACTACACCTTGTCGCAACCCATTTAAAAGTACCAGGTCAGTTTTCCTTACCAGTTGGGTGTGAATCTGCACCTCCGACGTATATACACCCCCTCGTTTGGACTTTTTACCTACAGCGCTAATTCGGTTGCCGCATTGACAGGCCGGACCGCGGAACCATCGTCATCTTCCATATCCACTTTTTTCCTCGCGCGCGCTGGTCTCGACCCCTCTTCCACCTCTCTTTAATTCTAATAGTTATCTCTTCAACTGAATCGCGCTTTCACCAGGGGCAGGTCCCCCTCCATCTCTCTATTACCGCCGCAAACCCCGCGCCCAGCAGTCGCCAGCGCATGAGCCTCGCCCCATTTTTCGACTCCGAGATCGCTACGACGGACTGCCCGACACCGATTGTCACCCCACGCTCTACGAAAAAGAGGACTCGCAGCTTATATACGAATTCAAATCAACTCTCTTTCAAAGCTCCGCTATTGCGTTATACCTGACACCATGCCATCCTCAACACCCGCCGGCACCTCCGCCACCCCCGATGCCCTCGAATCAGACCTCCTTACAAAGCTCTCTGCGACATCAGCACTGGAAGATCTGCAGGAAACTTTGCTGGGCTCGCTACACCGTGCCGGCTGGACTGAGCGGGTTACCAGCCTTGCTACCGAGCTCCTTCGCGCCGGCCGCTGCGAGACATTCGACGACGTGATGGATGCGGTGGTCGCCTCCGCGGAGGGCAGATCGCATCCGGCATTGGGATCCAAACACACATCAGACCATAACGGAACTGCGACTCCAAACGGGACGAAAGAAGGGAAAGCCAATGGCACCAAAAAGGGTAGCAACAAAGGCGCAGAAAGTCAACCCTACGACCCGGTGAAATACATTGAAGATGTGGACGTGCGTATCCCGGACACAGTTGTTGACGAGGGTGTCCGAGGATTAAAAGATATATTGCGGGAAATGGTGGACCTGGAAGATGAGAATACCCCGAACGGAGACAAAAAGTGATTCACCTGATTTCGGTGGAATTTTGGAATATGGATCTGCATGAAAGCGATTCCTTGGTGTGACTTCTTTTTTTGTTTGTCTGGAGTATTTAATTCGGGCTTCTGGAATAGCTTTGACATTGGAGCTGGCATGGGCCCATTCACGTTTCCTGGGTTCAAGTTTGCATGTATGAGACAGATCGAGTTCAATAGACAATTGCATTGCGCCGGGGTATATCGCCCGAGAATGAATCAATGTGTTGCGCGTTCTTCACATATCAAGTTTCTATTTCAATGATCCAGGGACCTGGGCGGTTGATTAATTTCCTTTTGTCTGGCACGGGAGTAATATTCAAGTTGTCAACTGATATCGGCCTCGTAATTCCAAGATTTTTCTTGCCGCCACCTAGGCAGCTCCTCCCAGTTTGAATGTGCCACTGGCAATTAGATCCCTGGGCCATTGTGTAAAATTTGCACTCATTTAAGTTCCCATCATCCATGGATGGTTGGCCCTGTTGGTATTAGTAGTATACAGCACGGCACTTCGAGTCATTCTCACCAAGTGCGTTCAATTTGTGGGCGTTGTCTCCAGTGTCCGTATACTGCTCTAGCCAACTTGAAGGGAAAGACTCGGACTAACTGGTTAGCTAGGTACTAGTTAGTACTACTAGTATAACAGTAAATTTCCGAAGTCTCAACATTTAGGGCTACGCAAAAAACCACCTACTCTTCCAAGGTTTCTACTACTTCGGTCAGAGCTCGGGAGAACAAGGGCAAAGATCCACTTCCAATTAAATTCCATCCACTTTGGATCTAGTAGTAATCCTCGAACTAAGATCGCAAAGCCATACGATGCCATGATGTAGTCTCTGTGGTTACTCGATGCTTTGGTCTACGTCAGAGTGGGCTATATACTTGGACCCCTAAGGTTGTGTTCCCCTTGAAACAACTATGGGACCAAAGTCCTGCAATCTCCGGACTGGACCCCATCGGATCTTTCTGGAGCCGTCGATCTAGATTCTAGAAGCTCGGGCAAGATGAGATCCCTGGTTCTGAAACCGCTAGTGGGAGATTCATTTTTGATCATCCTTCAAAGGTCCTTTCGGGCATCGTTGTGTCATATATTGCGATATAATAGTCTCAGTGATGTCTGTAGGGGTTAGTCACTAAGCTGGTAGGGTATCGGATCTTACGCCGATAAATTCCACCTCATTATTTAGATGAGAAAGGCGTCACTATCAATAGGAAACTATGAACATGATTAGGATCCTCTCGTTTAAGGTCCTAGTTAGTTCCGGGTGAGATCTAAGACATTCACTGGGTCCTGGGGTCCCAGTGCGGGCCAAGTACCGAAGGATGCAGAGACCTACTGCAGGTCCCCCTCCCGTGGCCCTACTGTCGATGTCGAGCGGATCGTCAAAGACAGGTTGTATCCAATCGAAGTTGCTGGATGAATGGAGATGAAGGAAAGAGAAGAGATTCAAGGCAAGAACAAAACAAGAGATCTCCATATGGCCGAGTCCAGACCTATATTCACGTGACCCCTCCTCGGCCGCGCAGGCTTAGACCACTTTCGATTCCACCTCCACCTTCATCTTGGTCTTCTTCCATTTGCGCCCTTTCAGCTGACGTCGCTCGTTCCAACTCGATTCGCAAGGCTATCTGACACGGACATCTCTGCGCAAATTCCCATCCCAACTTCAACCCGCAACTTGTTCACCCCTCGAAGCTTCCCCGCTTTTACCTCTGGCGCGTACCATCGGGCCAACCTCCACCTCTTTCGCCCAATATCATCACAGGGGGCCAAGCTACGGATCTAGCTTCTCGTCGCAGCGTCGCAACACTTTCCGATTCAAATTTCGCCTTCCCATAGAAACCGAAATCTTCAAAAGTACCCCTTTGTCAGTTGATGTCTGCCCGACGCGCTCGAACTTAGCCCGCGCCGCTCCAGCCGCCCGCCTAAGAACTTGAATCTGAGCCTGCCTACCCATCGAGCGCCTGAATCGCACACTTCCTTTGTCCAAAACGACTCCCTTCAATTCGCCCGCCCTGGCGGTGCTATCGGTGCACATTCATCTCGTCTCGCCTCGTCGCTTATCTCTCCCCAAATTTCACCCCCGCCGCCATGTCCCTCCATACCTCATACCATGCCGATTCAGATGCGGATGACGAGTATGAGCGGAGCGTGATCACCTCCCCGCATCTGCAAACAGATTCTGAGGCTTCCCCTATTGATTCCGATATTCCTTCATCCGAACACACTCCTACCAAGTTTGGTTATTCCAGCGAGGGGCCGCGTACCCCACGATCAATCATCTCGGACTGGACAGCAGATGAATGTGTGGAATTCTTAACCTCTCTCGGTCTACTGCAATACTGTGGATCTTTTCGAGGTGAGAATATTTCGTTCACAACCCTACCAGCTTTTACTGACACAGGTCTTCTACAGAGAACGGTATCGTGGGTGAGGCCCTTGTTGCGTTGAAGCACGACGAGCTGAAGGAGATGGGCATCAACAGTGTCGGCCACCGTCTAACAATCCTGAAGAGCGTCTATGAAATCAAAACCAGGCAACAGGTCCCGTTAGATGTGGATCACTACATCCCACTGTGTATGGTCCTCCCTTATTTTAATTGCTTGCAACTGGCTAACCTAGCGACACAGCGGCGGACCAGAGCATGAGTGAAAATGCGTCGCAGGAAGACATAGCTGCGCTTATAATGTCCATTCAACGCCGAGATGAGAAGCTTATGACTGTCGAAGCGGAAATGCGCCGCCTCGCAGAAGATTATAGACGGCTTCGCGAGGAAATTTTGCCCGTCATAAAAATGGCCAAAGATCGGTCCCAACCACTCCCCCCACCGTCAATGGCTGGGATGCCCGAGTCCTACCGTGACAGTACCACTCTCACATCTCCCTCTCAGCTTACTCTCGTGGACAACCCCTCCTCCTCTTCCTCTACTTCGAAGATCGCCCGAGCTTTCTCCAAGCGCACCTACACGGGCGGAAACACACCCAAGAATAATTCTCCAACTCATATTCCTCCTTCTATTTATGAAACACGCCCCTACGACGGGGGAAATCTGGATCCCTCTGCTGCGGCCATGGCTGCATCCTCGCATTTGACAGCATCTATGAATGGAAGCCAACAACACTCGCCCGGCGTTCCATCACCAACCTCCCCGAGCCATACCCAGCATCAAACTCTAAATCCAAGATCATATTCGCAGCCTAGCACCTCTCGTGGGCACGAGCACCCTGAAGATATACCAAGGACGTCCTCTCGAGCGGATCGCCTAACACCCAACCAACCGCCCACTCGTGCCGAGACACCCTCTTCTGCTTCTCGCATCGAGTCAAGAAGTAGCGGAGAACCCAGCAGTGTGGAAATATTCAAATCTTTCAGAGTATCATGGGAAGATCCATGCTATAAGGTTCTGCCTGCCGCTCTGAAGAAGTACAATATCCACTCCGACCCCAAACTCTACGCCCTTTACATTGTTTATGGTGACCAAGAAAGGTGCTTGGCACTGGATGAGAAACCGTTGCTTCTATTCAAACAACTTGAAAAGGAAGGACGAAAACCAATGTTCATGCTTCGCAAAATCCATCCAGACAATCCCTCCTATCCTATCCCTGGCTCAGCTCCCAATAGCGCTGGGTTTGACAGCGGAAGGCCGAGTGGCGTGGGCCAAATCCATCTACCCGGCGGTGTTCTTTGATCAGCTTTATTTGATGCATTTTGTGATGTGGCTTGTGATACCCGGTGTCTTCTGACGAGGCCTTGTCTGCATCTTTGATCGCATTTGATTGGATCCACGCAACTTTTAACTTTTTTTCTTCTTTCTTGAGCAGCGCCCGTTGATACTAGCATTTCACCTTCACTCGTAGCGTGGATGCATCAGGCGTTTCTCTTCTCTTGGCAGCGATGATATCCTGTCTACATTTCTTTTACCCACATCTTGCATAAGCATTCTTCATTTCTCTCTAGATACTTGTCCTATGGACTCCGTGAATGTCAATAACCTACTAGTAGTATCTGATATGCCTTGTCACTACAGGCTCTCTTTTCTAAACAATGACTATGTAACTTTGTTTTTTTTTTTTGGTTTTTTGCTTCGCCGTGGAAGGTGAACATGGAAGCATGCGCTCAGCTTGTTTTCTACCACATTCGTTCACTGTGTTGAAATTTCCATTCCCCGCAGAGAAGAGGTCCATCTAAACTCGGCCTTTAATAATATCAGCTGCCTTCTCGGCAACTGCATACACCGTTGCCTGAATATTGCCAGTCGGTTCGAGTGGGAAAATACTAGCATCCACCACTCTTAAGTTCTTGGTCCCGTAGACCTTAAGCTCGGAATCAACCACCCCGCCCATTTCCTTTGGCAGCATGGCACAAGATCCAGCCGGGTGGAAGCAGGTGTACAGTCTCTCCTTCACTACTTCCTTGGCGTGGTCGAGATTACTCAAATCCTTCGTATTTTCCGGCATGCGCTTGCCCGGCTTGAGAAGTGTCGATAATGGCCCTGTCTCCACAATACGCTCAACGTATTGCATTTGTCTCGCCATGATCTCGATGTCAAGTGGATGCGAGAGGAGGTTCGGGTCGTATGTTGGCTTGTCTTCGCTCCTGTTAGAACGGATGTGAACTGATCCCCGAGAAAATGGATGATTGTGGAGCATCATGATCGAGATGTAGTTCTCTGGAAGAGTTTTGGCCAGGACATCAGTAAGAGTGGTCTTTCCTGGATTCATATGCAGCTGTGCTGGGAGGAATAGATAGTGAGAGGAGCCATTCTCGGTGGAAGCGAGCATCTTGCGAATATGAGAATACTGAGCTCGCAGGTTTTCTGGAATCTTTTCATCTTCAAGGTGTTTTGAGAGCAGTGATTCGATATCCTTCTGTGGAATAATGCCGTTTCCATCGACGAATGGAAGATACGCCATGCTGATAGGCATGCCTGCCAGCGGGCCTCCTCGGGTTTCTTCATAAAGCTTGATCAGTGCCTGGACGACGTTTGGATCACGTAGGATATCTCCCGAAACCTGACCATCAGCAACTTCAAAATTAATGGTGGTGATGGCGTGGTCTTGGAGATTCTCGCCAACAGATGGATTGTCGATTACTACCGGGATGTCATGTCTCTTAAGCAAATCTGCACCACCGATACCCGAGAGCTCGAGGAGTTGAGGCGAGTTCAGACTCCCTCCACAGATAATAACTTCCTTCTTCGCCTTGATTTGTTGAGTTTCGTGGCCAGTCTTGACTTGCACCCCAGTCGCGGTAACCTCTCCATCTTGATGCGAAAGCAAAACACGCTCAACGATCGTTTCCGTCAGCAGACGCAGATTTGGTCGCGCTGCAATCTCGGCAGAGTAATATGCTGCTGCATATCCCCGAGTTCCCATCTTGGAATCGACACTCAATGGCGAAGCGAAGGCCCCCAGCTTGCGGCCCTGGATGGGGTCGGCGTCTGTTTCCCAACCCAACTGCGCGAATGTCTCATCCCACGCCTTGTTGAAGGGCCCAAAAACATCTGGCAGAGACACAGGTACAGGCCCGTTGGATCCTTGATTTGCGTCTTTCATATAGCGGGCTGTGCCCAGAAGCTCTGCCGTGGCCTCGCTAGGTGGGGTGTAGGAGTGGAATTTCTGGAGATAGGGCACCATATCCTCCGATCCCCAACCTGTGTTGCCCAATCCCTTCCAAGCCTCAAAGTTCGAGGCATTGGGGTACACGATGCATGAGAAGTTCATAGCGGAGGACCCACCGACGACACGCCCGCGGGGCTGTCCAATTTGTCGGTTGTTTGCATTGACCTACGCATCTGTTAGCATGTGAGGGCTGGAACAGGTATGAATTCGCCTACCTGCGGAACGCTCATATAATCCCAGTCGAAATCTGGGCTGCCATACAAAGTTCCCAGAAAGCCGGGCGTGTCAATCCGAGGATCTCCCATGCGATTGGCACCAGCCTCGATGAGTAGGACGTTGACAGAGGCATCTTCACTCAGTCGATTCGCGAGAACCAACCCGCCGATGCCTGCCCCGACAATAATATAATCATACTCCTGCTTTTCCATGTTGATTTGTGCTTCAATTTCTCTATCTCCTTCCCAGGCTCGAATTTTGCCTGGACGTCCGGTGGAAGAGGGGGGGGGTGGAAAACAGGTGTGCTGGTTTCGAAGAGACTAGCCTAAGCCAGCTTTGGCAGGAGGGTCCTCTGCAACATTTGTTCAACAAGTAAAAAATAACTCACGGCAGTGAATGATTGTCTCAGTTCAACAATTTCCAATCATATTCATTTATTTCAGCCCTCGTGGGCCGACTAAATCTTTCGGGCCGCCCTAACGGTCCGCCAAGGCCCACTACACTGTTGATCAATGGATATCATTTGCCCCTGTACTCCGTAAATTGTCACAAATTTGACAGCCGGCTGACAGCCAGCTCTCCTTTATAAGCTTTTTGGCTTTCTGAAGAAAATCCTTCTTCACCTGCGCAGCTACATCAATTTTCCGACCCGGTAGCCGGGGAAATGGCACGATGCAGCTTTATGGCATCTTCACCTACCCTATCGTCCGCGACCAGCTCATCGCTAACACAATCCTTGTCCTCATCGCCACCCTTCTAGTTATACTCCGATTTGTCTCCCGGCGCGTTCGGAAAAGTCGGATATGGTGGGATGATGGATTTTGTGTGGCTGGGATGCTACATACCTATGGGATGTTAGCCATGCAGTTCCATTATGCTCGGGTTGGAATGCGACATAAGGTTACCGATCTTCCCCCCCGAGAATACCGTGATCATTGTGAAGATGCTCATTGTCTACCAAATTGTGTACTACAATGCTATGGTACTGGCCAAGTTTACCTATCTTTTCTTCTATTTGCGAATCTTCGTCTCAAAGGAATTTCGGATCCTTACGTGGATCTGCATGGGTTGTGCCGCGGCATATTGGACTGGAAGTATACTCCAGATCTTCTTGATCTGCAGGCCCTTTGCCAAAAACTGGAATCCTCTCCTACCCGGCCACTGTGCAAGTCAGAACGTGGCATTCTCGACAATCGGGGCGTTCAATCTTGTCACCGATATCATGATTATGTTACTGCCGATCCGTTTCATTTGGAAATTGCAAATGTCCTTCGGGACCAAGATGGCACTGTACGGAATATTTGGACTCGGAATATTGTATGCATATTCTACCCCTCCATTATTTTCTTTCTAATATTGGTCTGATTGAACCCTAGCATTTCTTCAATCACGATCATCCGCATTCACGTCCTCACAACCGTCGACTTTCAAGATCTATCTTATTCAATGATTTGGGCCGCTTTTTGGAGTGTGACCGAGCCCGCATTGGCAATTTCTAATTCTTGTGCGCCTATGCTACGACCTATTCTCAAGGTTGTCTTTCCGAACCTGTTCGCCAGCGCTAAAGCCGAATATACTACTCAGCCCATATCTGGGCCTAAGTCAAGTAAGAATCGGACGGCCGAGCGGATGGATGAAATGGACAGTGAGTTTCCCCTGACACGTATTCAAGGGCAACTGGGATCTGGATACGAGGGCTCCTTAAACGATCAATCTCAAGATGGTCGTTCGCAGGATAGACCATGCCAGACACCACTGAGTGTTGGGGGAGACCTCAAGAGACACTCACAGCATAGCACCCTATGAGATCAAAGGTCAAAATCATAGATTTTTTTATATCTCCGGGATTAGGACTACTTTCTGTATTTCTTTGTAAATTTTGTCAATCGTATTTTCACCTTTTTAAGTTCACTATACTGATGTTCCCTCTTAAACCTTGTTATACTTCCAGTCGTCCAATGGGCGGCCAGCGATTATCAGCACGTGACAGCGTGTTCTCAGACGCGTTGATAACTGCCTTTCTTCCTTTCGGTCGAACCGCCCACCGCGACTTCAAGATGAGCTGGGATCGAGTCATCCAGGATTCTGATGAGGATGAGCCTTTCGTCGAAGATGAGGTCTCAATTTCAATTGCCCCGATTCAGGGCCAAGAGCATCCACCACACCAAGAGCCCCGCGACCACCCCGCGGACCAACACACAACAAACCATATTTCCGAGCAGATGGACGCCCCAGAGCACCAGCTGAGTGTCGATTTCGACCAATTCTTGCAGTCGCAGGATATGCCTCAGATATCAGTCACTGCTTCCCAGCAAAAAAGGGAGGAAATGTGGATTCCTCCTACGGCCGACGGCGGGGAATCAATCGGTACGTTGATGCGCAGCTATGAACCCATAGTGACAAGGCCCGAGCCATCCTTCTTGGCGATTGAGTAATTCATACTTACGCTTATATATACAGGGGCAATGATGACGGAAATTGGACTAGCGCAGCAAAGACTATTCGACGATGACGCTTCCAATACTGGAAATCATCACTCCATGTCAACAACCTACCCGAGCGGCATCTCCGAGCCTGGTTCCTTTCCAATGCATTACGATCACCAGCACCAAAATGGAAGTCTCGCACCGACCGGTCCTCCCCCTAATGTTCAACACGAGGCGACGCAACTCGTTGCGCCGCATACAACGAATGGCTATCAATATAGCACGCCGGCGGAGTCAGCGCATGTTGACTTGCCGATCACAAACGTCAATGAGATGGGCATAAACAGTATCCCAGGGCATCCCAACGAAACCAATTTCCAGAAACCCGCCCAGAGGTCTAAATCTATGCACGCGGAATGGGACTCCCCGCATGACACAGAACCCAATTCGTCCGTTCGTTCACCGCAATTAAATCGTTCAAAGAGCGACCAAGGCCAGGTAGCATTGATGTCACCAAACTCCCCGGTTAGTACACTTGATGAACTGGCTGCGCCGGCATTTGCGGTTCAAATCGCCCCTCCTGATATTGCCTCTTCCGTGAAAAGGCGCGGTCGGCCTAAGAAGCAGCCAGTGCCACAATATGACGATGACGATGATGAGCTTGCTATGATCGGGGATTCGAGTGTACAAACCAAACCCGAGAAGCGACGGCCGGGTCGTCCTTCTAGATCTGAAAAAGCCACTCGGCAAGCCGGTGAAATTGGCACCCAGGGGCCCATAAATGGATCTGAAGCTACCGAGGCGCCAGAGCAGCCCGCGCAGCAAGCAAAGGCAGATCCAAAAAAGAAGAAAATTAAGCGGAGTAAGACTGCTCCTGAGACCATGCACAAGGCTGGTAAATTGGATGATGATGATGATAATGATGATTTGATATGGGTGGAATCAAGGCCGTTGGAAATGGAAAACACCAATGCCAAGACGAATCATATTAACGAAAATGACGACGCATCAAATTTCTCTGAGCAAGCTCAATCTAAAATCCCTATCGCCTCAAATGAAACTGTTGAGGCGCCAGCGCCAGCGCCTAAGAAGCGCGGGCGCAAGAGGAAGATAGCAGTCGAGCAGACAGAGGCCCCGGTACCTTTAAAAGACCCCCAGCTGGAGTCTCAAAAAGAGGATCCCACCGTTCCCGAGGCCACGAAACAACACACGCCCATCCCTAATCCTCCGAAGGCAGACGAAAAGGCAAACACTACGCTCGGCAAACAATCAGAGTCAGAATCGACACCTCAGCCCAACCAAGTCACCAAGGAATCCCTACCACAAACACCCCAAATTGCAAAGCCACGCAAGGTGCATAGCCCGATTTCTTCTACCAGTAAGGTTCCCTACCGTATTGGACTGAGCAAAAGGGCGCGGATTGCCCCGTTGTTGAAGGTTGTTCGGAAATGAATGCAAACTCTCGATTTTCTTTTGTGATGGCGATTCCAAATGCTCTAACTTGTTTATCATTATACCCCTCTTTGTAACACGGTGTTTCCTTTTCTTCGGGCTTCTATCTTCAAGCCTTTTACCCCAGGGCCTCTTCATCTTATTACATTCTTAATAAAATTTATCTCTATGGACGTGGTGTTCGTCGACCATCACGAATAGCTTATTCATTAGGTTATCTTTCCTTTACTCGCAAGATTCGGATCGCAATTTTTCTCTTGGGGGCTCATATCTTTCAAATGGACTGTTTCAAAAGGCCAGTGAGTAAAAGCCCCCGTCAGTTCTATGGTACTAGTTAAACTAGAATGGTGAGTCCAGCATTGTGCATAGAGAGTAAGAGGTTGCATGAGTGTTCCATCATTAAGCATCAACCAAGTCGGATACTAGAGCCATCCTGTCCTTGATTTTGCCAGATCCTAGGTCCTTCAAAACCTTCGGAAAATCAGACAATCTGCCCAGTTCAACTTGTGGTTGTATAACTTTTTGACTGATTAGATCAAGCACCTCAACTAGGTCACGCTGCTGTCCACCATATGTGAAAATAATGCTCAACCTTTTCCGAATACCAATTTTCATGTCTATCTCGTTTTTACGATCCAATGTGCCCACGCATAAAATCTTCCCTCCGATGCGGACTACATGACCGCATATATCAGTTATCAATCTTGTTTCCAGAAGAGTGTGCTGCCCAGGTGGTTTTCAAATTTCCAAACCTACCAATTTGCTGTGCGTCTTCAAACGTCTGGTGCTTGCCGACGATATCAAGCACTGTATCGATTGTTCCCTGCAATCCCTTCTCCTGGACAAAAGATTGGACTGATTTTCCGATCGGCACAATATCCCCTGCTGGAACACCCAGATGTAATGCTGCGTCCAGTTTTTCTTGACGCACATCCGAAACGATAACACGAGCTCCAATATGTCGTACAATCTGGAGCGCGTTGAAACCAAGACCCCCGAGCCCAAACAAGAATACAGTTTCGTTTTTCTTTACCTCGGCACGACGTGTGATGCCGTGATAAACGGTGGTCACGGCATCTGTAGCAACGGCAGCTACGGCAGGGGGTATACCTATGATTGTTACAACCCGAATAACTCCAACCGTTTTTAGTGGAAAAAATACCTTCTGGCAGTGGAATTGCAGCACGAGCATTGACTACTGTGTACTCTGCATAGAAACCATCTTGGCCAATCCCGTGGTGCATTCCTACCGAGCAAAGCTGAGATAAATCACGCGAGCACTCCGTGCAACTTTCGAGTCCGCATCCAGGAACTGCCAATAAGGCCACTTTATCTCCCTGGAATTGAGCAAATCAGTTAAACTATACAAGTCGATCGAAGGTCGAGTTGGTAAATTGGTAGACTAACCAGTTTGAATCGAGAATCTTTGACTCCTTCTCCAATCTCGATGATCTCTCCACATCCTTCATGACCCTAGGGGAAATGAATGGTAAGCTTAGTGACAGTAGATCCTGCCCGTTTGGATTCACCAGAATGTATTTCTCATTGAAATTTGGCCTATCCTCTATTTCAAGCAAAGGCTGGTCACTGTGGCATACTATCGGGGTTTATAGCTAGGTAAGCAATTTTTTTTCTTTTCTTTTCCAGGTTATTCCAGGTCTCAAACCTCCAGATGCCAGTAGTTTGACTAGAAATCCATCATGTGGAGTAGGCGGGACTGGTAACTCTTCCCAGACCTAAAAGATCGTTAGAAGATTCATGACTAGGTAGCGGTGCTCACTCTTCAAGCTACAGACTTACAGGTTCGCTTTTTCCCTTATGCTTTCTCCAGGCATACATTGTAGAAGGACGGAGATAGCCACTCATCTTGACGGCAAGGCTGTGTAAAATATTTCTCTTCCGAGCAGGGTTGTCTGTAGAGGAAGTTGTTTTTCTTTTGATACTATTCAAATGCTTTACAGGACTACTATAACGGATATAGTTTCTTTCAAACCTTACTCGTTTCCTAGAAAGGACTGCCGATTTCTCCGGCTTCCCCGCACTTATGTCGGCTATCCTTTCCTATACAACCAAAACCAGGAACCGCGGCATGGGGTTACTTGCCTTGGTGCTGACTTGTAGTCTCATAACTGCTTCGATCAATTGAGTTTATCGAGTTTCTTGGCATGTTATTGGGAATGAATTTTGTAGGCTGGAAACGGCAAAATTACGACTTCTCATATAAGACCATTATCACTATCTCGGGGTGGGGAGAAGAAACATTAGATAAATCGCAAAACAATGGCATGCATTCAAAATAATCTATCAATCTGAGGAGACTTTATCTGCAACCTCTACATAGAATGATAGGTCATTTCCCTCCGTCATCTCGTACTCAGTGAATCCGTTGCCCATGAACTTGAACGGGTTGATACTGTTGTACTCAATGTTAAAATCCTCCGGTCGAATATCGCTAATCATCTGGTTGAATAAAATGGCGCTTCCTCCGAACAAGGCGGTCACCCGGCCATCAACTCGATTGCGTTTGTACCAACTCTTGCAGCCGCCTGTCCAGACCAGAGTCTTGTGGATCTCATCGGCGTATTTCCCAAATGCATCTTCGACCGACTTCTTAGGTACCACGTACTTGATATCTTCCGTTGCCATTTTCTTGATCCACTTGACGAAATAGTCACCTGTCCAATTAAGTGATTCCACTAGGGAGCCATGGCCTCCAAGACAATTTGGCCCCATCATGATAAAATAGTTCGGGAAATTCGAAGTTGCGACAGATAAGTATGATTCCGGCTCTTCGGCCCATTTCTCTGCTAAATTGATACCATTCTGGCCAACAATTGGATAATGAGGACGATGAGAGACATCAAAGCCCGTTGCGCAGATAACTAATATAGTCAGCGGTTTTCAAGATAAGAAGTGTGACTCTACTACATACCAACATCACACTCAAAGATTTTTCCATCTGCGGTGTGCACTGCATTCTCGGTGATCTTTGTGATTGTGCTATTGCTCAGATTGCAGTTCGGCTTTGCGAAAGCTTCCAGATATCCAGGTCCTGGAGTAACACGGCGACAGCCAACCTCCCATTTAGGGATAAGCTTCTCGCATAGATCAGGATCATGGTTGAGCTTTTCGGCCATCTGTTGGGCACCAAACTTGACGGCTGCCTCATTATTCTCGCCCTTGATAAACTATGAATTATATTATCAGAAATGTTCTTTCCATAGAGTTAGAGCCCAACATACCAAGCGGAAAGCTTTATTAGTTCTTGAAATGATGGCTTTTCGATATTCCTTGTGCGATTCTGGATCATTGAACTTCATAATTTCTTCTTCAGAATAGGCCGGGTTGGCGTCTTCGACATCCCTTCCTAGATGCTTTGATGGAGGCACCCGGTAATATACCCAAGCAGGGCTGCGCATGAAGTTGACCACTTCAGTTCCTGGTAGCTTGGCCATCTGAGGTGTGATTTGGATGCCAGATGAGCCATTCCCGATAACTGCGATACGCTTATGGGAATAGTCATAATTATGGTCCCAGTGTGCAGAATGTGTAATGTGACCTTTAAAGTCATGGAGCCCTGGGATATCAGGCCATGAATGGTGGCTATCAAATTCGTGTTAGCATTATATCCCTCAAGCGTATAGATTGTTAAGACGGTCGGCCTACACAAGAACACCCTGTGCTGATATCAGAACATCACAGTAATCCTCCCGCTGCTCTCCATTGTGCTCAACTGTCAGGTGCCATCTTCCTGTATCTTCTTCCCATGTGGCGCCAATTACTTTCGTATTCAGCTGGATATCACGGCCGAGATTCCACTTTTCCACTGTACTCTTGATATACTCTTCGATCTCCTCCCCGCTGGAGTAGAACCGACTCCAGTTGGGATTAGGATCAAACGGAAATGCGTAGATATGTGATGGGACATCACATTGAACACCGGGATAATTGTTGATCAACCAGGTGCCCCCGACATCACTTCGAGCCTCATAGATAGTGTGGTCGACAAATTCTTGAAGCTCTGGAAACCGATGCTGAATTTTGTGTGCCATCAACAACCCCGAGAAGCCGGCTCCGATGGTTACTACACGTAGCTTGCGAGCTTTGTAAGCGTATTCTGTGTTGAGCGGAATAGAAAATCCTTTTTGCGAATCCGGGATGCTGTGACCATTCGTATGCGTGCCTTTAACTCCATTCGTTTCTTTCCTCTCGCGAACACTATTTGTTCCGTTGGCTTTCTTCAGGACTGGCTCACCTGGCACCTCGCCATCTGTTGGTGTGGCAATTGGAGGTGTCATTTTGGTGGAGAGTTGAGAGTAGTATAGAATGCTCTGTCGTAGGCAAGTTCAAGATGAGAATTCCTTTCCTGTCGTTCAAATTACTAGAATCATTTATAGATATCTTTGGACCACCTCGGAACTTGAGCTTTGCAAGATTGTAAGATGCTAAATTTCCCGGCTTGAATATTTGCGATTATTTTTCTCGGCGAATGAGCCCGAAGGCACCATTCCTTGTCAACGAATGATAGCCGAGCCATACTAGTACCATGTTAACTCAACGGTACAATATTCTGGTAGTAAATATCGGTAGATACCAAGAGGTGAGACTCGGTTATCATACCGGCTTCATACAACCGGTAAAATACCACGCCTGGCAACAGCGATCGGACATTTAATCGGGTTAATTTACTGCAGCATAGCAATCTCAACATAGCTCTGTAGGTGATTGACGATTTTTTCTGGAAAGCATCAAGATTAGCACAGATTATGATCAAATGAAAGATTTCATCGAAGCCTATTGGGCGAATTTTCTTCTCGCGCCGACTTCGGTCAGAATGCCGCGTTGGGGCTAGCCAAGAACGATTCTGGGGATGAGAGATTGCGGAGAAGCTGGGGTTCCCCGCATCGCAACATCACAATCACAGCAATTTTCTATCATAGCTTCGGCTTTTCTCTAATTTTTGCACCTAGTCTGCAGTCGGCTCATTTTCAATATTCCGTCTCCTGCATTCTCCCATCTTAGTGTGGAGCCCACAAGGATAATGTCGGCTTCGCTATGGCTGCCATTCACTGGTCAACAACCGAAACGAAAACGCGCAGAACTAGCTTGCATTGCGTGCCACAGCAAGAAGGTAGGCTTCTAGCGAATTACAAGTGAGCTTCTGGTGACCGTGGTAGATTCGTTGTGATCTCCAAACACGCGGTGGACAAGGATTTAGCGACTGCAGCAAGTGTGCGGCTACCGGGAAGGACTGCCGGTGAGCGCGCCATATCCCTAGTCCATGCAGATGAGCCCTTTCTCATCCTATCCCTGCTGATACATTGGTTTTAGGACTAGGCCGTCTCGACGAGGCAGACCATCCAGCACCACTATCACCCGCCCTTTGACCCCACCGGATAGCAATGCCAGCGATCGGGTCAATCTATCTCGTCCAAGGCAAGGCAAAACATCGAATGCAGCAGAGCAAACTGACTCAGAAGGTTTCTCGAATGAATTCAGTCTGCAGCAGCATGGTAGCCCAGGCGTTTTCCCTGCAGATAATCTACATCGACAGTCTATATCGAGTGCATTATCCAGGAGTACTGATTTCGAAAATTGGTCGCCATCTATGAGTTACCTACCTGCCAGTCAACCGGCTCTGAACGCAAAAACCATATCAATCCCGAGCGTGGCAAGTGATTCACCAGCAACACAACGAACTGAGGATCACTCCGAACATAATGACAGTTACCCAGTCGGGCATGTCTTTCTGCCGGAGCTCCAGACAAATGCACGAGATCAGGAACGATTGCTCGCTGAGAAGCTCCCAGTAATTCCTAGTCTCCCAGACCCAGATCTACAACAGACATTTGCAGAGACCTATTTCGATTACTGCTATACCTGGTGTCCAGTTCTTGATCGAGATACCCTCTCTGATGATCTCGCAATGTCACCCCTCCTTGTAAATTCACTAGCCGTGGTCGGTAGCCACATCAAACCCCCCCATGATTCCTCATGATGGGCCAGCCACTTACTATGATCGAGCTCGCAGTCGATTTTACGATGATGAAGAGCCAGATGTGATGACCTCGCTGAAAGCAATCTCTCTGTTCTATTGGTGGAGCCCCCGTCCGCCTACAATTCTCCACCGACATTCTTCATGGTGGTGGACCTCTGTGGTTATCCGGCACTGTCAACAGCTTGGTGTGCACCGTGAGCCCAAGCTTGATAATTCAATTCGACAGCAAATTGATTTAAGTCTTCGGCGACGGATATGGTGGACCGCATTTGCACGCGAACGTCTTACTGCTCTATGTCAGAACAAGCCGTGTGTTATCGACCCAGAAGACTGCACCCTGACAGAACCTACGTTGAGCGACTTCTCAAGTACTCTGGACCACCCCAAAGCAGAAGTATTCATATATTGGGTGCGACTATGTGCTATCATTGGGAAAATTGCCAAATATCTTTCCAGAAATTGCGATTCGGAATCCTTCGCATTCCCTGCACATCTAGCTCGTGAGCTTGTTAGCTGGGTACAGTCCTTGCCACCACATATGCAACTTCCTATCGGTTCGGACCGTACTTCTACCTTCAACCGAGATGTTCATCAACTTCATCTTCCGTATCTTGCCGTGATAATCATCATCCATCTCAAGCGCTCGTCTTCCTCGCAGCCTCTTCCACAAGCATACCCGCCTGCGATATTAGCAGCAACATGCATGGCTCGCATAATGCGAGACATCCTCTCCCGAGGCGGTACAAGATTTCTGATGGCTATCACAGGATGGTACTGCGGCACAGCTTTTATCGCCTTGCTCCAAGCTCTGCGTATTGATGGTCTAGCGAAAAGTGCAAATGAGGACCTAGACATCTTAACGCTGGCAGTAGGTCAGCTAGGAGTGATGTGGCCCACCGCTGCAGTGTTTCATTCCGGCTTTGGTCGTATACGACCGAGTGCACCAGCAACAGATTCGGATTCGCAACGCGCGCCTGGCCCGGAGCTCGGTATGAGTGATGGGACTGCATACATGGAAATGGCAGGTGGTATTGACTGGACTACATATTTCCCATTTGCCACGCCTCATACCAGTGGAGTCGCTAGCAGGCTTTTGGTTCCACATACTGAGGAGCTTTTCTTCGATGATGATATTTTTGCCGACGCAATGCTTCAATTTCAAGATCTATTCGAGCCTTGCGACACTCTAACGGAAACGACACTGTTCATGTGAGCAACGAATTATTGTAATTATATATGGTGCAGGAAGTCTCAGTGGATTTTTCAGTAGAAAAAAGTGAGCGGCTACTTGGTTGTGTGTCCAGGTGCATGAACACCGCTACTAGCTGGGTTTCGATAAATACCATAAACGAAGTTCACACTGACATACCTTCCTACTATTTGGTTTGATCTACTAGTACTATTACTGCTACGAGAGATCAAATGTACTAGTAGAACTCTTTGCAATATTCACATTCAAAATAGATAATCAGACTATTCTCCGTGCATCACTTCATTATCAAATCCTCGTAGTTCCGCGTCGCCACATCTTCAGCACGCTTCCTATACCCGGGAGCTGGGCCTTGATATCTTGCAATAATCCGCTTCTGCTTATGTGCCAGATTTTTATTGACTCCCGTCATCCAAGAATCAACATCGTTAGCCAACAACCCAACCGCACAGTTGTGGACATGCTCAGTCCATTCCAATACACCTTGGTGGGTTGTCTCAGCGAATGTAATGCGATGGTCGCGGCAATACTCGATGAAACGCGACACCCAGCTGACAGCATACTCAACACTGCGTGGAATGTTTCCGAACATTTGATGTGGGCCCATCACCATAGTCATATTTGGGAAACCTTCAACGAATAAGCCCAGGAATGTTCGAGGCCCCTCGACCCAGCGATCCTTCAACTTGATTCCACCCACACCCTGGAAATCGATTGCCGTAAAAGAACCAGTCACAGCATCAAATCCGGTTGCGTAGATGATAATGTCAAATTCGAAATCTTCATCTCGAGTGCGAATGCCCTTCTCTGAAATACATTCAATGGGATTGGACTTTACATCAACCAACTTAACATTCGGTTGATTGTAAGCCTCAAAGTATCCAGATTCAAGGGGAACGCGCTTAGTTCCGAAACCATGACACTTGGGAATTAGTGTCTCCGCTGTCCAAGGGTCCTTGACACGTTGCCTAATCTTGTTCGCGACAAAATCACTGAATAGATCATTGGCCTCCTTGTTTGTATTAATGTTCCCAAAATTGCCCAACCACTTTTCAAAGCCTCTCTTCTCATATAAATCGTCCCAGAATATTTTCCTCTCTTCGGGGCTCACTTCTAGGGCGTTGCGGGTATCTGAGACATGCATAAAGCAGGAGTATGATTCCGCACATTTTCGAAATATTTCGGGATATTGAGACCGTATATCATCCATCTCCTCTGGGCTGATTGGCGCGTTGCGTAGAGGTAGACTCCAATTTGGTGTCCTTTGGAACACGGTGAGATGGCCAGCGGTCTTGACAATTTCTTGAGTCGCTTGGATACCGGTAGCTCCGGTTCCAATAATAGCAACTCGTTTATTCTCGAAGCTGACAGGTACACTCGGCCAACGGGCTGTGTGATACGCCTCCCCCTTGTAGTCATGAACGCCGGGGATATTAGGCATCGTATAGTTATTCAATATCCCGATACACGTCACTAGAAATCGAGATGTATATTGGCGACCTTCTTCATCTGTGAGAAGCCATGAATTTGTCTTGTCTTGGAAATATGCCGCAGTGATCCGTGTATTAAATTGCATGTCTCGTCGCAAGTCGAGCTTTTTGCATACAAACTCGCAGTATCGTAGAGTTTCTGGCTGAGATGCAAAGTGCTCTGACCAGTTCCACTCATCAAGAATCTCTTGAGAAAATGAGAAGTTGTATGAGTAGCTCTCAGAGTCGAATCGTGCGCCTGGATAGCGATTCCAATACCAAGTTCCGCCGACATCGCCGCCTGCCTCGAGAACTTTTGTTCGAAGCCCAAGTTGGTGCATGCGGTGCAAAGAGTACATGCCGGAGAGACCGGCTCCAATGATGAGAACATCATAATCAAGGTCCTTGTTCAACTCGCTAAAGCTGGGTTCCTCGATACTGCCCATATTGGCGAGTGGACAGTTAAGGTTGTCTTTGGGAGGTTATAAACTTGAAAAAGGAAGTCGTTGCTATAAAAGTCTTTGCTGATCGGACTCAGTATAACTTTGAAGTTCGTTTTATCAATATCTGGTCTCCCAAAACTGGTCGCTGGAAATTGTACCGCCGGGCCGAGTGGAAGTACATAGATCTGCGGGGTTGAAAGCTCCAGTTCCACATCCGGTATGCGCTTGTATGAAGCCGAGATTAAACCCACAGTCGGCTCTCGTATTTTTTCTCGGATGCTGGTTGAAATCTATCATTTATCAATCTAATCGGAATTTTTTGCCAGTATACTATAACCTTTTTGCCGGCCTGAATGTCGGCAAGACACATCACAGATAGTGACTGTTAATGCTATTATTCCATACGGGGCATAAAATTTTATTCTGAATATGTTGTTTCATTATGGATTCTCGGGTAATTATTTATCAAATTACACCTTTCGACTTCCAATAGACCTCGGCATCGCGTAAGAATGCCCATTTGAGGTCCTTGGCCCAGCCTTGTTCTTTCCATCGATTCAAACTCAATGGGAACTGATCAACACAATCCCGAACGGTGGCATCGTGAGCAATAATGACAAATACATTATCCAAACAGTCCGCCTCTTGCAGTTTTCCAATCGTCTCAATTATTTGAGGAATGTCATGACCAAAAGTCGGAGTGAAGAGTGGATCATTCACACCTCGACCCCGCGATTGCTGCAGCTCCTCCCATGCCCCGCCAGGACAAAACGTGGCATCTCCATGTGGATGGCATGGATGTGGTTGAATGCACTCAGGAACAGGCAAATACTTCGAGGGTCGGAAGATGCCCCCCATAGTGACAAACATCGCCGCCCAGGAGTACAAATGTATCGGGGTTGGTGGTTGTTCTGGCCAGTCCGCACAAATGGCCGATAGCATGACCGGGGCTATCAAGAAGATAGAAAGAGCCGTCGCCAAAATAGTCCCATGCATTGAAACGGCCAATCTTTAAACACTCTTCACCCTCAAATGCTATTTCTCGCAGGTTTCGCCCTCTATGATATGTTAGACTGAAACTTGAATGGAACCTGAACTCGACTGTTCTTACTCGAAAGCAGACTCGCTCAGTGGTGAATCTGGATTTTGAGGCGCTGCAGGCAGCATCGCATCCTTAAACCCTGGTCCAACAATTAAGTCGGTTGAATATGGAAACGAAGAAGGATCTCCAATATGGTCCCAGTGCCAATGACTATTTGAACGGTCAGTATACCATTATTCGCCTCCCACGCGAGTAGTAGCACTAGTAGTACTTGCCTCCATACGACAGCTTCTATATCTTCCCCTTGGATACCCTCTTCCTCCAAAATATCAATCACATTTTTAGTCACCTCAATTTTGTAATTAGTCGTCGGGATGTACTCTGCAATTTTAGGAGCATAGTTTTGATAGTCCTTGCGGATTCCCAGGTCAAAAACCAGTTTTCGACCCGACGAATGTTCCAAAAGGAACGAAAAAGATGGGTTGCTGGGATGTGTTTCCATACCAGGAACCGGTGGTGCCATAAATCTGTGTAGCTGTGCAGGTCCGAAGTTTACCGTGTTGATGAGTTTCACTGTGATGGCTTGTCCAGCAGGCACCGTGAACGTAGAAGTTTCGGCCATTTTGCAGGCCATCTTGACCCTCGAGCAAATCAATCCAGATATCAGTATAAAAATGCAGTATCTAAAAAGGTACAGAAATCTGGCTCAGTCTCCCTATCAATTTCCTTGTCGCATAATCTCCGATTCCCCGCCAACAGCCCCTCGCGGGGCCAACGCCATCAATACCGGCTGTCCGTTTAGTCTCTTGCCGGCATCGGCTTCACACGCCAATTTCCGGCTACTGTTTCGAGGCTGCATTCACTTCGCAAATTCATTCGCACTCACAATAGCTACAGTCAGCTCCTGAAACTGTAATGGTCATTTTCTCAATCCCCCCCCCGGATTGACGCCATGAAATCCCGGGGTAAAAGTTTCCGGGGTAAGACTGAATCAACTCGGCACTCGTTGCTACGGCTGCAGGTTTCAAAGAATCTTCCCAAAGCCGCAAGTCAATCTTCATTCTATAAAACCGCCTTAGCCGTCTCATTCCGGATGCCGATCCTCCTTTGGGCCCCTATTTCCGACTTGAGCTTCCCCAACCTTAACTCGTCAATATTACAAGCGAGGCCTACGGGGCCATTTTAATAACATGTCTTGTTCCGAAAAGCCGCGCGAGGATTTTATTGAGGAAGAAACAAAGAGCTCGAGCTCTGATCTCCCTGAAATCGGAAAATCAGCAACCCTTGATACAGTACACAATGACGAGGCTATCAAAGTCCTCGCAAATTATACCGGCGATGAAGTCTGGACGGATGAAGAAGAGAAGAAAGTTCTCCGCCGAATCGATTGGAAATTAATGCCAATTCTGTGCGTGACTTATGGCTTACAGTACTACGACAAGGCCATGTTCTCGCAAGCAGTAGGTCTTTCACACTACCTATAACTTCTCCTACACCGTGTTCTAACTTCACCCCAGGCACTTTTTGGTCTCCGAGAAGACCTGCACTTGGAGATTGGAAATCGCTACTCCTTTTCCGCTGCCATTTTGTACTTGGGCTTCATGGTTGGGGCATATCCTGCCATGACCCTTGCTCAAAGGTTTCCTATCGAACGAGTTGCTTCATGCATTATCACATTATGGGGGATCTGTTTGATCTTGACGCCTGTTTGCTTCAATTACCAGACGCTATACGTTCAGCGATTTTTTCTCGGCATGTTGGAAGCCGGAGTCAGCCCGATGTTCATGTTAATCGTGGTAAGTATGGCTCCAGATCCTCCATTGACGCCAGCTCGCGAACTCACACAGCATAGGGTGGTTGGTATAAAAAGGACGAACAGGCATTCCGCATGGGGTAAAAAATACCCTTGATTTCCTCAGTTACAATATCATCATCTAACTCGTCACAGAATCTGGTACAGCTGCACCGGCTATGTCTCCGTCTTCTCCCCTCTGATCAACTACGGCTTGGGCCACATAACCGGATCCCTTTCGCCATGGAAATACATGTATCTCGTCGCCGGAGCAGTAACCATCATTTGGGGAATCATCCTCGTTTTCCTCCTCCCATCCGATCCAATCCGAGCACGGGGGTTCAACGAGCGACAACGCTACATCGCCGTCGCCAGACTCCGCGTCAACAATTCCGGCGTCCGTAACACACATTACAAAAAGGGCCAAGTCTTAGAACTCCTCACAGACCTGAAATTCTGGCTCGTATTCTTTATCGCTTTCCTCGGCATGATTGCCAACGGTCCCATCTCTACTTTCACGCCCATCATCATCAATTCCTTCGGGTTTAACACACTCAATTCTCTCCTCCTGGTCATCCCTGCAGGGTTCATTGGCGGAACGTACCAACTGCTCGGACCGTATTTAGCATATAAATATTCTAATAGTGGCGTGCGTGCGTGGATCGTTTTTGTTGCGCAAATGATTACCACCCTGGCGGCGATTCTACTCGTCGCCTTGCCGCTTGATGCCACGGGCGGCCTACTTTTTGCTTGTTATATTCTTCCTGCTATTGGGGGTGGTTATGCTGTTTTGATGGGATTGCAGATTGCTAATATTGCCGGATATACGAAGCGATCGATTGCTTCGTCAGGACTCTATATTGGCTACTGCCTTGGTATGCTTTTGGTTCTGCATTGCCGCTTAGAAGCTCATTTTTATTGGGTGCTAACTATAATACAGGTAATTTTACTGGACCACTTGTGTATCAGACGAAAGATGCGCCAAGATATGTGCCTGGTTTTATCACAGTTGTGGTAACTTCTTTCGCGGCTGGGATCCTCGTTCTAGTTTATCGGTTTGTGTGCGTCTGGGAAAACCGGAAGCGAGATCAGTCGGGGACGGCTGAGGGGTACGAAAATGCATATCAAGATGATTTGACTGATAAAACGGTGAGTACTTACCAAATTCATGTTCTTCTCATTCTCTTTTTACACTATCCCCGGACTATTTTGTGGTGTTTCTTGTGTGCTCGGCTAATTTCTCCGCCAGAACCCCCAATTCCGGTACATTTTGTAGATGTATGCATGCGCTCGTGAATCTTATTTAGATGTCAGTAGCTTCCAAATCTACCTTCCAAGATTACATTAGAGTCTTTCATGCATAGAATTATAAGCCAATCCAATAGGGTCGGCTGCTCAGTAAAATTCCGAATATTTAGACAAGTATGTCACGTTGAACTCAAACGGCCATACCAAAAAGTTATAGAATCCGCAGACCCAAAAAGGTCACGGGCAAGGGTATGTGAAAATATCAAATCTCCAAGTTAATATCGCTAATGGTAGAAAACAAAAGACTTTACTCCATCTCAAATGTGTGTAGAGCAAGTACTCCAATGGGACACAACACCAATAACACAATCCAGTTGCTTCGAAGGAAAACGCCAATCAAATGCGAAGGGTGATGAAGGTCATTACAATCATAGTACATCGCCGTCTGAGTCGCTGGTTACCACCATAGGATGTTTATCCTTCTTGTGAGTGCGCAGTGAATCAATCGTTTTTTGCACTTCGTGTTTGGCCGCCGCTGCAATGTCAGCTCGGGAGTCCCCGTCAAGGGACTCGGCGGTTCCGGCACGCTCGTAGAGCATGCGGGATATGGTTCGATTTATTTCGGTGTATTGGTCTTTAGAGATAGTCTTCGCCCGGTAGTGAGGCTTGAGAGAGGTGCCAACCATCTTTTGAATGTCGGACTTGACGACCAGAGAAGGTCCAGCACGGGTGGGAGATGTGTCCAGGGAGCGGGATTTGGCAAGCTCCAAGGCCCGGCGAGGAATGCGTGAACGTGGGCGGCCAGGCTCGCGCTCTGATTGTGGACTGCGGCTCTTGGCAGGAGAGGAGTGAGCGCTGCCGGAGAATGAAACCTCGGGGGAGAAGGGAGGAGACGAAGGTTCGGCAGGAGATGATAGTTGGAGAGGAGAAATTGGACGGCTTCGAGAAAACGGCGGAGGCGTTGTTGAGGCAAGGCGAGGAGAAGAGAACCTCGATGAAGAAGGGGAAATGGATGGAGAAGATGGCCCAGGCGACCCATGATCAGGGGCAATGGAGGCAGCAGCTGATGGTCCATGGGAATTGGTGCGCTCGGGAGTTGATGCATCTTCCACCTCCTTCAAGAGGGAGGAGAGGAAGCTGGGTTCACTGGTCATCTCTCCATTTGGGCGCGCACTTGAACTCGCCGCCCGCGAGGACTCGCCATTCTGTTGGGCCATCGCAGCCAGTTCTTGAGGTCGTCGAGTGCGAGGTCGCTTCAGTTTCCGCTGTGGTTCGGTTGGTTCGGGGGATGGCGACATGGTTGGCTCCTTGCGCTTCCGAGCGGCATTCGGGTTATTCTCGATCTCTCGAGCTCGCTCAAATGCATTCCATGCTCGCATCTCCTCCAAAGACTCTGGCTCGGGAGTCGGTTCTCTGGGGACACGAGGTCGCGATGGGCGAGGTTGGATGTCGAGCAGAGGGGCAGCATCCTGAAAACGTCTCCCCCACCTTGCTGTTCGGCAACCTCGAATCGACGCTGCCATGCACGAAACTCGCGCTGGTTGGCTTCGTTTCGGCGACGTTGCTGCATGACTCGCTGGACCGATCGGTCGTCGTCGAAAGGGAAATCCAAATCGATATTTAAATGGTCCCAAACAGATTGCCAAACGCGAGCCCAGTGAAGGGAGTTTATCTGACTGGTATTTTGCACTTGGCGCTGCTGTCCACGGGTGCGACGAGTTCCACGACGAGTTGAGCGAACTGAGCGCGCGGTGGTTTCGGGGACTGGCCCTAGCGCACGTTGAGAGTCGCACTGGGTACAATACCAGGATCCCGAGGGGATCTCTGTCAAATCGACACAATATAGGTGTGAAGGCGCATCGCAGCCATCACATAATAGGAGTACATCCTCGTTATCAGATTCATTACAGATCGTACAGGGTTGGGCATCGGAAAGGTCGTCTTCAATATACTCGATAAGCATCGATGGGTCAACATCGGCCTGTTGTGTCCGATCTTGGACAGCGTACGACGATGTCACAGGACCTATACAAGTCACAAAGAAGAAGATTAGTATATGAATCTATCATCATGGATAGTTATTAGTACATACCGCCAACCCGGTCACTCAGCTCAACCATGTTGAAGTTCCGACGACATATCGGGCAACTGTTGGCCCGCTCGACCCAGGGTTTCAGACAATTATTGTGTAATATATGACCGCAAGGCAATAACTGGGCGATCTCGCCAGGATCCTCATCGACGAGCCCATCCTTGACTTGAACAACGACATCGGCACTGCCGACATCCTTCAAGGCGGTAGTGGAACTATCGGGGGTTGACACGGGCTCGAGGGGATCACTGGCGCTTTCGCCAAGGTCGCCTAAACAGACAATACAAGTGTCGGACATGGACAGGTATATAGCCAGGAGTAAGGCTGAGAGGCGGCATGAAGAGCGACGGAGGGCAGTGTACAGAGGGAGAGAGTAAGAAGGTGGAGAAGTGCAGCCGGGCCTTTTGAAGGCGGGCCGCATTTCCAGTCTAACGCAAAACAGGCCAGCCAACGTGACAAGAGGCGAATCACCCGCCTCGAATCAAACTCCCCTTCAAACCAATCCGAACCCACTGATGATTTTCCCCTACATTAGTGCCTTCGTGCCTTGGTCTCGAGTGCGACACTTTACTCCCTCCTCGTGAAAAGGCCGGGTACTCCAAAATCAAATCCTGGAAATCCGGAAATCCTGAAATCCCTGGCCGATCGCCGGTGCCTACACCCTTACTTAAAACTGTAAAGCGGGGCCCAGGTACTACGCAAGATCAGATGATATTGGGTGGAGGCTACGATGGCTAGTGACTTAATGATATCCACCTCGCAATGATGAGGACCCGGGCAGCGTGATCTGAGTCAGGCGAGGTTTCCAAGCCCTAGGCATACATTATGTAGATAAAGAGTAAATCCAGGCCAAAGGTCACTTCACTGAATGGTGAGGTGAGCAGGAGAATGCCAGTCCAGGCGCCCTGCAGCCAGGTGGACCCATTTGAACCCTAGAGAATGGGCCGAAGCGTCAAAGTACGTAGGCGAAGATCACTCAATAACAGCTGAAAAAGACCCGGGGCCGAGAATCTTCATTTTGGGTTGGTATACGGAGCATAAATCCTCGATAAGCCAGGAGGGCTGCTAGTCCATCATTTCAAAGTACCTGGCATCTACACTGTCTGTTCCATGCGATCACAAACCTGTGGATTCTGGTTTTGAAGAGAAATGCACGAGGGATTGCGTTCACTGGAACAGACACAAAGGAAAATTGGTGGACTCGGGGGCATCGGGATGAGGATTGACCGCATCGAGGACAGGTTCAATCGAGTTACGTAGTAGTTCAAGGCAAAGGCAAAATCCTCAGATTCCGAAGTTTTTCATTTTTGGTATCGTATCCGTAGAAGAGAAAGGAAACCACATAATTCCATTTAAACCTCAGCAATCTCACGGAGACGACGGATGGTGGAGCGGGTAGCGGCGGCAGCGGGGGTGCTATAACAGCATTGGTTAGTCTAACTCTTTCTCCAAGTAGCAGACACTGCGAAAGGACGCTTCGGTTCCCCTCTTTCTGTGTGCTGCGTGGTGCGTGATGCCTCGAGGTGTGGTGTCGACTTACGAGACGGTGTAGGCGCCACCGGCAACGGTCTTGTTGCAGCCCTTGCAGTCCCAGATGCCAACAGCCTTGCGCTTAACGGTGTTCTTTCCGCAGAAGGTGCAGACGTAGCGGGCGTGCTGGGTGACTTCCATCTTCTTCACCTGCTTACGCAGGGAAGCACCATATCTATTTGGGAAAGGTGGTCAATATTCGAATCTTCGTGGCAGTCGTTCGTCGAGTCGCTTCTCATTTCGAGTGATCATGTTCGTTCGAAGGCGAGTGCAAGGTCGAGGGAAGAGCGTTGGGCATACCTGACTCCGTATTTACCGGTGATACCGACCTCTGTAGAAAAAAGTTAGCGACGAGGGATTCAAGGGTTGTTGCTTTTTAATTTCGAAAGGGAAACGATCGCGGGATGGCCTGAAGGATTGATTTCGAGGGTAATCGACGTACTCTTGGTGCGCTTGGTCATCTTGGCTGTGTGCGGCTGATGGTTGAAGGGACTAAGTCGGTTCGTTCTGAGGCCGGTTGAAGAGTGGTTTTCGGTGGGCTCGCTTAGGGCTCTGGCTGGGTCTGTGGGTCACATGATTTGGTTATGTCACTGCGGAGCACGTGCTGTGGGCCTGTATTTTCAGGCTATATATTGCTTAGTCATTAGGCAGTATAATCATATTCGTCATAGGTAGCGCCCTCCGCCTTGTGCTCCCAGTTCCTTGGACTTCGATAGAGTGCTGACGGCATAATAAGTATCTCTAATCCTACTAGTAAATACTTAGTACATGAAAGTTCTTTAATTCGTTCTAGATTGACCCTTTCTACCCTTCACATGCTATGAACTTCTTCGGTTGATCGGTATCTCGCAAGCTTAGAATTGACCTCTGACCATCGTAATCCCGCCGGCGACACCTATCTCTCCGGTCACGTGGCGCTATCCTGCAGGCTCAGGGTGAATCAACATATCAATCTGGTTGTCTCCGACTCTTGTGTCACGCAGTATCTCCACAGAGCCTTTAAATCCATCTTCGATTTGATTCCTTCATTTTTTCACACTTGCAACCTTCGGCCCTGCCCAAGGATAACGAGCCAACTCCTGTTTACAACTGAAGTGGGCCGTACACCAGAGCTTCACCTATCCAGCTCCAAATCTTCCAGAAAATGACCAGCCTGCAGTATGACCTGGTCCTTTTGGGCCCCACTGGCTATACTGGCCGTTTTTGTGCAGACCATATCGTACAAAACCACCCCACCAATCTGAAATGGGCGATTGCCGGCCGTTCAGCGGCGAAGATGGACCCCATTGCTCAAGAGCTCAGAGCGCTGGTTCCAGACCGGGTACAGCCAGGTATGAAAAGCTTCGTGATGATCCCTATATTCATTGCTTTTTTCATTGCGGCCTTTGGCCTGACACAGTGTACAGATGTCCTCGAGGTCCAGCTGAACTCGGCCGAGCTAGATGAGCTGGCGAAGAAGACAAAGATTATCATCAATTGTATTGGCCCTTACCACAAATACTCCTCTCCCGTAGTGGAAGCTTGTGCCAACAACGGTACTCATTACCTGGATGTGTAAGTACTATCATTTCCCACCTAAACCCATAGTACCATCTAACCTATCTAGCACCGGCGAGACACCATGGATCAAGATCATGATTGACAAATACCATGATACTGCGAAGAACAACGGTGCAATTGTGAGCAGCCGTTATCCAAATTTGACTATTCTTTGTTCTAACGCAAACTAGATCATTCACTCTGTTGGTGTCGAAAGTGCCCCCGCCGATATGCTCGCCTGGGCTCTGGTCAAGAAAGTCCGTGAGGACCTCTCTTGTAACACCCGTGAGATCACCAGCTGTATCAAGGAAATGAAGTACGCATTTTACCCAGTCCAATCGATCTTCTCTCTCTCTGGCTTCTTCTAACTCTAACCCAGGTCCTCCGGTGCCAGCGGTGGTACCCTCAACACTATCATCAGCATCTTCGACTGGCTCCCAACCTCCAAGCTCCTCAAATTCACCGGTCCCTTCTCACTAGCTGCCGGTCCATCGCCCAAGGACATTCCCCGCGAAACAATTCTCCAAAAGCTGCTCGGCGCACGCTCAGTGCGCGACCTGGGCATATTAACCACCTCACCAAACGGCATGGCTGACATGGCGATCGTGTACCGCAGCAGCACACTCATGCCAGAATTCTACGGGAAGCGCTTCGCCTTCCACCAATTCCTCAACGTTCGGAACGTCTTCATCGGCGCACTTGTGCACGTTGGAATGATGGTCGGTCTATCACTGCTACTCCTTCCACCTGTGCGCTGGCTTCTGCGAAAGTTCATCTTCGCCCCGGGTAATGGGCCAAGTATGCAGGATTCGCTGAATGATCATCTCGAATACCATGCTGTCGCGACGGCGGATCAGCAGGGTCCTTCCCCTAAGCGTGTCTTTGGCAAGCTTACCTACCAGGGGAGTATGTATGTGTACACTGGATTACTTGTTGCCGAGGCCGCGATGGTGATCCTTGAGAATGAGGAGAAGATTAAGAAGGTTTCGCGTGGCGGTATCGTTACGACTGCGGCGCTGGGTCAGGAGTTTGTTGACCGGCTCGATCAGGTGGGATGTCGTATCGAGACTAAGGTATTGGAGTATTAGTTGCTTTTTTTTTCTTTGCTTATTAAATCTATCCTCCTGGCGGAATGGTTTGTTTCTCTCTACGTTCGGCGTCTCTTTCAGTGTCCATGCTGTGTATTTAATGAACTACAATCACTATGAACTACCATTTCTATTCATGTGGAACAAAAGTAGCCAGCCAATTCATTGACCCAGTGTCGCTACCAAATTGCTCGCAGAAATCGATAAATCCGACCAGGCCCGGATCTCAAAGCTTCCCAGCCCGCCCCTCAGCAAATACAACTTTCTTCAACCACTCCTCGAGGATAGCATTAACCTCCGCAGGCTTCTCCCACAGAGCCCAATGGGCAGTATCCACCTGTTTCAAAGTCAAGTTTGGAATATGCTTTTTCATAGACTTTCCAAGATGTGCCGGGAGCGCTGGGTCTCGCAGTGCTTGGATGAAAAGCAAGGGGACTTCAATACGGCGGTCAAGAATACTCAGTTCATCTTGGTGGTTAACCTTACGGGTGCGGTACCAGTTAACTAATTGATCAGTTAGTCCATACCCCAAACGGTATCAATCGCAAAGGAGAGAGACATACGCGGTCCATGGACACCATTCCGAGCAAACTCGCCGGCATAGAAATCCAGTTCCTGAACGGTCAGCTAGCTCACTTTAAGAGAAGTCTAGAAGAAGCAAGACGAAATACTCACCTCTTCGCTCATTAACCGGGAAGGCCGCAACTGCATAACTTTATCCAGCAAGATTCCCTTCTCAGCCTCGAAACCGAACTCGCCTTTCTCAGTGCGTCCGCCATAAAGCGCACTGAGAAATTGCTTAGTCTCCGCCTTAGACTGGAAGACCTTCTCCAGGTCATCATTGGCAAACTGCAGCTGGTATGCGAAATGCGGTGCCACGGTACGGACCATGTCTTCGAGCGAAACTTCCTTCTCCATAGGTCTGGCGTAGGGAACGCAGACGGTGAAGACATGACTGATTAGATCTGGATGCCACAGTGCGATGCGGTAGACAAGAGCCGCGCCCCTGTGTATGGTTAGTGGACTAGCTATTTGATTCAAAAGAGTTTTTGGTAGATCTCACCAATCATGACCACCCAGGATGATCTTGGATTCACCGAGATGAGAGGCCAGCGCTTTGATATCGTCTGCGCAGCGCTTGTGAGAGTATTGCGCGGGGTCATTCGGTGCGTCCTGGTATAGATTGTTAATTATACAACAACTTGAACGTCCCTTGAGCTACGGGAGTCCAACGTACCGTACGACCATAGCCCAGACAGTCCGGGGCTACGACCCTCAAGCCCAAATTCACGAGCATTGGAATCTGGTACCGCCATCCCATCGAGATATCGGGGAAGCCATGGATCTGGAAACCGTGAGCTAGAGACCCTTTGGATCTTCTTTTCCCGTCCAATCTGGAAGATCTCGCGAAGTTTGGCTCACCAGAAAGATTGTTCTTCGGTATTTCCCGGATGGAGGTTGGCTAAGGAGGTAGCCTATAGTTATGCAGTGTTAGTCCCTGGTGGGTAATGACCAACTTGACAGCTCCGCTCTCTGGAGAAAAAAGGATCTGAAGGATTTGAAGGACTTTAAATTGTCCATAAGGCTTTCCACGAGACTCACTGTACTTATGCCCTCCGTTGACCGTGGCAGTCTTGTACTCGATACGCGGGTCACCCGCAACATGGATTTTGTCAACCGGCATTATACTGGCCCTCTCTTCCAGGTTTGCTTCGTGTTTCAACAATGTCTTGAGTTCTTTCAAGTTAAATTGTCTCAAATATTCAACTTGAAGTTTCCAGGAGATGCTTCAAGTTCAAGAGAAGTTCGATATATATCTGAATCCTTCGGATCTCACGGTGGGCGCCGGTATCACGTGCAATCGGAGCTTTCACCAAAGCCAGTCAACGGCCCTGTCTGAAGATGAGAAAACAAGAAAACCTAGAAATCTTGAATAACAAGATGGTGTGTCAACGTTGAGATTGGTTACAAATATGAACACTAACGGGCAAAGAATGGCCGACGGCAGACCGAGGAGCCCCTCAGGCGGTTCGGCCTGCCTCGGCTGAAACTGCGGAGATCCCCAACTACAGCCAAATATTACCTGGGTAGTAATGCTAGTATTCCTCGTATAACAAATGCATGCTCATGAATATGTACTCGTAGTAGCTCTAGTAAATCACAGTGTCCTCATTATCTTCAACCACTTCGCCCCCATCATCATCGGCTGCACGGTTGGCTTCAGCCACCTGTGCAGCCGTCTCCTCATTCGGTGCATCAGATCTACTTGGATCGGAGTTTGACTGGGTGATTTGTGCATCTACCGTATTATCCGGGATTTCTTTCGTTAAGTCTTCGTGTTCTACAGGTGTCGGATCTTTCACAATCGATTCAGCCTTCTCCTGTTGCTCACCATTCGATGGTTGTTGCATTTGTTGCTGTTGTTGCTGTTGCTGTTGCTGTTCGTGTTGCTCCGCGGGCTGTTCATTTTTCAATTCCGGTTCCGGCTGGTAGACAAAGGCTTCAGGGGGGGTATTTTGCTTCAAAATCGGCGACCTCGCGAGAAACAGTTGTCTCGGCTTCTTTGATCTGGTCTGCGATCGTCGTTTCATCGCGTGCACGTAGTTGCCACGGCTTGTAGAACTATATCATTCACGAGTTAGCCATGGCGTGCCATTCTAATCGTAAACGTTGATTCCGTACCAAAACCGGCTCTGTTCGAGTCTTCAAGAATTGTGCCGCAGCAATCATATTCGAATGTCGAGTTTGCATCTGCAGTCTAGTCAGCCACTACCATTCAAGCCGACCACCATCACCAACCACCAACAACAACATAAAACATACAGCTTCGCGCTCGTAGAATGGCATCTCTTTCTTCCGAATTGCGTCTCGGCGTTCTTTTCTCCGAATCTGACGACCGTCAAACTCATCGGCCTGGTTCTTCAGTTTATCCTGCTGCCTCTTCTCAATATCCGCCCGCCGCTTCTGCGCCGCTGAGGTCGAGCTCTGAGAAAGCGTGCCCGATAGCCCACCAAAAAGCCGCTGTCCCCGTTTGCGCTCATCTTCCTTTCTCACGCGCGGCGCAGGTTTACGTTCATCTGGGCGTTCGCTCTCTACTGGAGACGATTGCGAGGGCCGGCGCTGCGGATGCGGCGAGACATTGCCGTCGGAACTCAGTCGGCGACGCTTGGAATCATGGTCTGTGATGGAGGAATTTCTTCGTTTCGTGGTTGTATCTTGAAATTGCTGGATCGTTTCTTGCTCAGGAACAGCGACTGCCGAGGCGAGAGTCCTATAGAATGGCACAGAAGTAATTGTCAGCGTACATTTCCGGCGCAGTCAGAGCCGCAGCGCGAGTGGAAGTGGCGATGCGTACCCGTCGGACATATTGGTAAGCCGATGGTGCTAGATAATAGACACAGAGATACTAAGAGTAGCGAGGGGGAAGTCAATTAGCTGCAATAGACCGAGTATTCCGGCTGATGCTTATTTGCAATGCCAACGTGAACTTCAACTTGAACGGGGCTGGTCAGGGTACCAAAGCACGGACCACCAAGCTTCTTTTCGCCCGGTTGCTCTCTCGTTTTCTTCCTCCACCTCCACCTCCACCTACCTTGACTTGACCTCTTGACCTTGACCATTACCTTCCTCCATCATAATACAAAACTCTTCCCTAACTCTCTCCGCCTACCATGTCTCGCCACCACCCCGATCTCGTCATGTGCCGCAAGCAGCCCGGTATCTCGATCGGACGCCTTTGCGACAAGTGCGACGGTAAATGCCCCGTGTGTGACTCCTACGTGCGCCCAACCACTCTAGTCCGGATCTGTGACGAATGCGCCTTTGGAAACTACCAGAATAAGTGCGTCGTCTGCGGTGGTGAGGGAATTAGTGATGCCTTCTACTGCTTCGAGTGTACGCGTCTGGAAAAGGATCGTGACGGCTGCCCCAAGATTATAAATCTGGGAAGTTCCAGGACGGATTTATTCTACCAGAAAAAGAGTTTTCGGAATCATTGATCTCCGTCGGATCTCCCCTCCTCCGTCTTCTCTTCCTCTTCCTCGCTGGACTTGGCTTTCGTTCATCTTCACTTGTTACATTTCTCGATTGGAGGGGAGCGGGTGCAGCTACGTGCGGACTTGCGGCCGTGCGGACGCCAGGAAGAACGAACAGGATATGATCAAAATCAGAAGAAGCGAGAACACATGTATTCGCCATGCCAGCGGTCGCTATATAATCGTTTCATAATGTACTGGAGGCACCTCTCATCACTGTGATGATCTACCGGCCCGGGCGACGAGGACGAGCAAATCCCCGCCCAGCACCAACGTTTTGAGGCGGGTTGACTTCCTCCTGCAATCGATCAGCAGTGATCTCATCCGGACCTCCAGCCTCGATCTATTTCGTTCAGTCAGCATTATCATCAATTCGACGTCTCCAACCACCAGTCATCCTTCTTACCTTCTTCTCGATCTTGAGACCCTCTCCCTCAGCGACCGCGATGGCATTTCTCCGCGAGCTAGCGTGCAACATCCGTTCCTTGATCGACGATCCGCTAGGGCAAGTGTACACGAAGACCACAACGTCCGAACCGGGATAGTGGTAGAAGGAGTACCGGGGCGAGGTGGAGGAGATGTGGGTGGCGACAGCACCCGCCTCGACGCCAGACTGGCTGTCAGCAAGAACGATCTTCTCGGTGGGAATATCGATAGTCTACCGAATAGAAAGTCAGCCATGTCCGAATCATACCAAGCAATAATACCCCATTTTCGCATCCACGATCACTATCACTCCTACCGGGACCAACGTCCCATGTAAAGATGTTTAAACCCCCCCCCCCAAACAAAACAATGAACGCAGTAGTAGACCAGACATACCAGTTGCACAAGACCACCATCCTGCAACCCCTTCAAAGCCGCCGTAGCAGCTTCATCAACAGGCATAGAAACCCTCATGCCAGACCCCGAGCCCGGTCCACCAAAGGTACCACCAATACCAATATCCCGCTGGGGTGTACCGTTGCGAGCCTCGGCCTCAGCTCTGCGAACAGCCTCCAGCTCCCGCTCCTTCTCGCCCATAAGTTCCTCACGGCGGGCGGGGGTATTCTCATTCTCGCGTTCACGCCAAGCCTCTGCCGTGACGATCTCCTCTTCCTCTGTCGCGAAGACGGTAGAAGCGAATTTCTCCGAGCCCAGCTCACGGGTTAGGGTGGAGCGGGTCGAGGCGAAGAGCATCTTAGGGCGGACGGGGGCATTGTAGGGGATATAGGTGAGTGCGATGAGGGTTGTTGTGGCTTGTGTTGGGCGGCGCAGGAGGAGGTAGATTGGGGTTTTGGGCTGGAGGACCGAGGAGATTGCCGGAAGCGAGGAGAAGAAGCTGTCCGGGCTGGATGCGGTGCCATTAAATGGGATTGGGCTGAGTGGTGTCAGACTCTCGCCTGTGATGGTTACCGGGAGGCAGAAGCTCGAGGTGTCGGCGTTGAAGGTTGTGAAGGCATTTTGGAGCTCCGGGGAGACTGGTTGGTGTTAGTGGGGGTGTGATTGAAAGTGAGATAGATCTAGGTAAGGTGCTGTTGTACCTGAGATTCCCGACTGCATGATGTCGGCTGGACCTCGCAGGGTGTTGGTTTGGGTGGTTGTTGATGGAGGGAGGGGAAGCGGTGAAATGCGGCGGGGGTGGAGTGCGGGACTTGTTGTGCCCAGCGTGACGAGGGGGTGTCCTCGTCAACACTCAGCCCACCCACGTCTACAATGTCCACATTCACTTCACAGCATGCCTCCGTAATGATCGAGGTTCTGGCAGACCAGAGATTTACTGAAGATGACTCACAATAACTGACAAACTTGACTACTCTGCACTGAACAACAGATCAATTTATACAACTTTTTTTTCTCTCTGATTTTGGCTATACCAGGGCAAGTCCAACAATGTGGTATACAACAAAAACAATATGTACAAAAGCCGCCCCAATCGGCCAGCATCTAAACGACCAAGTCCTCGCAGCTAAATTCAAAGCTGTAAAAGACAACAGGAAACGAAACGCCCATGCAGGAGGAATGGTATCACAATGCTTTCCCACACACTCTCAACAGCAACAAAGCACGCAAGCCGTCCCCGCTTACTCGTCGAATTTTCCACCCACAAACGCCCAGTTGGATGCCTCCAACTTACCCCGGAGGAACTCATACACAGTGAAAGTGACGGCCTGGCCAGGAGCAACACGCATCACACGAGGGGTAATACCCTTGTAGAAGGCACGGGCACCCTCCTGCTTGAACATATCCTTGGCGATCACCATAATGCGACTGACGGCCGACTGGCCGGGCTCGGCGCGGGTTTTTTGAAGACGAGTCTTGATGGTATCGATAGGGGCGTTGGAGAAGGGGCCGACGGCACCGGAGATCAGACCGATCAGGGTGGTCTGGTAGGAAGGCAGCTGGGTGTTGCTGTATTCGGGCTGCAGGCGTTGCAGGGTGGCCTTGAGCTCGGAGTATGCGGTGAAGTTGGCGGCTTGGTTGGTTCCTTGTCGGAGCGCGGTCAGGGAGACACCACGGTACAGTGTGCTGAAGCCCTCCTCCTTGACGACGGTGAAAAGGGCGTGCGGGGCGCTGCGGTACTTGGGGGCATCGAGCGGGTCGGCCAAACTGTGATGTTGCGCTTGCAGACGAATCTTGATGACTTCCATGGGATTGACAACGGCGACGGCTTCAGTCACACCAGCACCGAGACCAGCTAGATATTGTTAGCATGGTTGTCCACTAATTCAATGCGGTTATCCTGCTCTCCACTTTACTTACCGAGGAAAGTGGCCTTGCTGGTGACATTGCCATTCTCATCGGCCAACATGCCCTTGTACGACTCGTATGAGGTGAATCGGATGGCCATCTTGGGGATAATACCTCCCAGCACAGCACCCAGACCCTTGTACAGACCCATCGCGGTCTCCTTGCGCACGATCTCGGCACCGGTGGTGACGAAGCCACGGGGCTTAGCCTATCGAGACAGTCATGGTTAGCAACAATTGCTATGACATGGTCACTCGATGGGACTTACACCGGGGGCAGTCGCTCTCCGGGAGAGCTGCATGCGGACCTTGATGGTATCTTCATAGTGTTAGAGAAATATTCCGGAGCTAGCTATCGATCTGCAATACATACCGAGCGGGTGGCAGACGAGGGCCTCCATCATACCGGCACCACCACCAGCTATATTCCACAAGTCAGCATTCAAGATCCCCCAAATCAAATCAAATCATAAAGGCGCAATTTACCGATGAGGTTAACCGCAGGCGAAGCCCGCTTTCTGGGGGCGCCTTGTTGTTGGTTCTTGGCAGACATGATTTCGGTTGATATGAAGGAGTAGAGAAGGGGGAAAAATGCGCGGAAAGTGATTTATTGGCGCGGGCAGATCGGAGGAGAGTCTAATGGATCTGGCCCGAGTTCAATTGACGGGGTCGGGTGGGAGAAAGCTGTAGCCGAAATTCGATGGGGAAACCGAAATTGCGGAGAGGGTCGGAAGTATACAATCCCGGGGTGAACAGCCGACGGTATATGAGTTGAGGTCTCCGAATTGAACAGGGAGAGAAAGAAGGGGAAAAAAGAAATAGGGCCCAGTGGCTAGTGGGGAAGTAATTGAAGAATGCAGAAGAGCGAAGTCCCGAGGATAAAACCGTTCGGGTCGAGTGGCGGCTTGTAAACCTTGTGGGGGGAAGTTGAAAGCAGCGATGACGGGGAAGCGGAGGCTGCTGGACGAGCGGAAGCTACTTTAAGGAGGTGATAGCGACGGCCGAACTAGGGGGGAGGAAAGGAGAGGAGAGAAGAGTGTCAAGAATAGACTCGGCAGAGCCTTTGGTTATATACTATAGTAAATAGCCATGCCATTGGCATTGCCATCACCATCCTCTCCAAAAGAATGACCGACATCCCGAGGCGTTCGGGAAGGCGGATGACTCGCCGCCCTCCCCCAGATCTACTTTGCTTCACATGCTCTGCGTCATAGCTTGTGATCTTACCTGTAATAGACTACTAGTATATACTTTTCGACTTTAGTAGTATTTCAGTATACTTTACTGCATCATACTCTAATTGTTTCAGTTCAAGTTGTTACTGCAATTATCTGCAACAAGGTCATATACCTAGGTATCTACTACTAATTGCCTACTGCCGAAGTATCGGACTAGACGGGTTGAACGAACGGGGAGCACTGGATTACTCCGGCTATTGAGGAGCCCTTAGGCCGCAGTTCGCAATAAAAATATCCGCAGCGATTTCCGCTGGAGCCCAGCTAGTTGACTGGTTGACTGGTTGCTCCGGGAGAAGTCGGGCCAGCGCGTTTCCTCTCAGCCGAGGTTCACTTGTAAAGGTCATTTGACCTTTGTTATACAGGTACCAGTGACCAATCTGGGGTAATAAAAATAGTAGGATAGGAGAGCAGAAACGGTAAAATATAGCGATAGTGATTTGAGTAGTCATAATATTACTCTCCTGTATCTGGTAGTTGTATAGAAGTGACGGCGGTAGTACTCCGTACTGTATAGTTAGTTAGTGACGCGGTTGAATGTTTTACCCAGATTAGCCCGATCCACCACAACCCCCCCATTCAGTGACGCGATTGATATTCTCCGGGGTACGGAGCACATCTTGATAGATTCCATCTATCTACTCCGTACACCAGATCGCGCATGTGCCCAGCTGTCAGACTGGACTTCACATGCCATCCCCGACAGTCGCAATCGGCTACCCGATTTCGGAGCTTTTGCGAACGGATCAGATAACCTTTGAAGCGCAATGCCGAGTAAAACTAGAAAATAGAGTTACCCCAGCGTCAAACCCATATTCTCGGGTCTAATCCGATCCGTCTGCTCTGATCCGGGGAAGATGGAATGGGATGGGATATAATGCAATTCAAATCGATGCGATGCGGTTGAAGGAATCGCCGCTAACAACTCCGTCGGAGGAAAGCCGATCGCGCGATCGACAACACCGCCAATTCCCAAAATTTACGGCAGGGCTGCTGGAATTTTGATACTCCGTACAGACATACATTTCACACAGCCCTGAACCTCTGTGTTATTTGTATACTCTTCATGAATCTACGATAGGACCATGGACGAATCCATGGCAGCCACAGCCACTCGCACTCCGCGGTGGCAGGCCGTCGGAAAACGAGTGGTGATGCTGCTTCTTCACCAGTGGTTGCTAATCGGAATGGGCGTGGCCTGTGTATTGGCCTACTTCTTTCCCAATGTTGCCAAGCATGGAGGCATCATCAAGTCCGAGTACTCGGTCATGTACGGTGTGATCGCTATCATCTTTCTCGTCAGTGGCCTGAGTATTCCCCGCCAGAAACTGTTCATGCAGCTCTTGAATTGGCGACTTCATCTTATCGTCCAAATCATCTCTTTCCTATTTATCCCTGCTCTGGTTCTGGCTGTCGTTCACCTCATTCTAGCCAGTGACCCGGGTGGTCGGATCGATCGCGCTGTGCTAGCGGGGTACATTTTCACCGCATGTATTCCTACAACAATTGCCTCAAATGTCGTGATGACAAGAGCAGCTGGTGGTGACGATGCTGCTGCTCTGGTCGAGGTACTCCTGGCTAATATCTTGGGTCCATTTGTTACGGCTGCTTGGACAGTGTCTCTTATTCCGAAAACCGCGGAGTTTGATGTTTGGAGGTTCGGAGGAGGAAGTTTGGGGAGCATGTACAAGGACGTCTTCCAGCAGCTGGGCCTGAGTGTTCTACTGCCTCTCTTTGTTGGACAACTGGTACGCTGGACCTGGCCGGATCAAACGAACGCAATGATACAGAAAACCAAATTACCCAAGCTGGCCAGCGCTTGTATGTTATTGTTGATCTGGTATGTAATGGAACAGAGAAATGCGTGAAGTCATCTATATCCTAACTCTGCACTCTAGGACTACATTCTCTTCATGTTTCGCTACAGGCGCTCTTCAAAGCCTCTCAGTACAAAGCATACTGTTCGTGGTCTTCTTCAATATTGGGCTATACATTGCCCTCACTGCAGTATGCTTCTTTACCTCAAGGCCGCCGAAGTTACTCTCCTCGCTAGGCTGGTCTACTCCCATGCTTAACCCGATGACCCCAGAGGAAACGATCGCTGTGTGCTTCTGCGGTCCTGCAAAGAGCACTGCACTTGGAATCCCACTCCTGTACGCTATGTGGGCACCTGTTGATCTATACACCAAAGCGAAGACATCCGTTCCAGTATTGCTGTATACCGCTGAGCAGATCTGTGTGGCCCACTTTTTTGTTCAACTCTTTCGACGGTGGCATGCTCGTATTTCAGAGAAAGAGGATATTGAGCAAGGTCATCACAACGAGGTCGAACCACATATGTCCGAAATACCAGTAGAAAGTCATGGTATCCTAGCTGGGAATGGGCGAGAAATCAACTAATACACCATTTCTAACCGCAATGATAAATGATAAACGTTTGAAGATTTCGAATTGAAAAAGAATGAATTTGATGTCATGCAAGACTTGTGTATCATATCTTGCCTCTTGGGTACATAATGAACATCCCATGAGGTCCCCGTAAAAGGCAGCAACAGCAAAGAAAACATCTTCATCTTACCTGTAGCGACGGAGCCCACCCTGGGGCACCTCTTGTGGTTGAAAACCCCCCCCTGTGATTATTTCAAGCGTCCCGTGAACCGAGCTCTCGCCAGAATTCTGGGATGGGTGTAGATTGAATCTGTCTTTGGGGAGTTCATGCAAAGTTACAAAGGTATCTGAGAATCAGATCCGCTCTCGCCTCCACAGCGGAGTGTGGCGCGAAAAAAAAATAGGGGATGCTGCTCCATCCTCCTTGTTACTAGTGTGGGTCTATTTACGAATACGGAGTATGCACACGGGGGGAAAAACGAGTCAATATATTTTGCTTGCCAAGAGCCTGGTGGAGACTCGGCTTTCCACCGCCAACCCCTATCATTCATTTTCCGGTGGCCGATGTGATAAATAATGTGATATTTGCAGAAGAGGGTTCCAGGATTTGAAACTCGCGATCCCACTGGTTGACTACATGGGAATAGATTGGATATTCTGAAAATATCCATCCTGAGCATTGAATTCTTACTTCTGCCCTCGTTCCGATTCTCAACTTGAAGGCTTGAACCCGGATTTTATGGTAGACAACAGATATGGTCGTTGGCCGGAAGTTGCTCTCCTGGATGTGTGACGAGGCTGTGGGTATCTGGTTTAAGCTTTAATATTCTTGAAATCGAACATGTGGAGCGCTCGCTACCCTGCGGGGGTCTTTTTGTTACTTCTTGGCTGTCTCGGTGCAACCACCGAGGCTTACTGGCCATATACTTCTTTCAAGACCGGTCCCTGGCAACCTCCTCAGCTGCAGTTGAACAAAACAGCAGGCTTCGACCCAAGTCTAATCTTTATCCCCATCCGAAACGAGAACACACTCGGCACTGCCGTGACTATCTATGATAACGATGGCGAAATGGTCTATCAGGGCCCCGAAGCTGCCAGCATGGACTTTCGGGTACAGAGACTCTTCGGCGAGGATGTACTCACCTACTGGTCCGGTGAGCTTGAAATCGGCGGCGGCTATGGTTATGGCAAGGTTCATATCTTGGACAAGACATATCAGGAGATCCACACTATCACGTTGACCGACAAGTTCGTTACTGCCAACAATGAGACACGCGACTCATACATCGATGTACACGAGCACTATATCACCGACAGAAATACCATTCTAGTCTCCGCCATCAACATCACCCAGCATGACCTGAGCTCTCTCGGTCGTCCTTCTGACTCGTGGATTACCACCAATCTGTTCTATGAGATTGACATTGCCACTAACGAAGTCGTCTTCAAATGGAATGCTCTCGACCACCAGGATAAAATTCCGCTCTCCGAGTCTCGCCAATGGATATACACGTATCCCGTTCAATCTATGTCCTGGGATCCGTACCACATGAACTCAATCACTCCCACTAAAGATGGATACATTGTCTCCATGCGCTTCTACTGGTCTGGGTATTACCTGAACAAGGACGGTACTGTCCGCTGGCAGCTTTCGGTGAGTAATAGTCTCGAATAAATCTCACAGTCTCTCATCAATGGCTGGCGAATTTAACAAATGAAAGGGCGATATTGGAGACGGCAATATCACCGGCAAAGACCTTCGCTTCTCATGGCAACACGATATTCGCATATACAACGAAACAGACGAGCACCTCGTCCTCAGCCTCTTCAACAACGCCAACAAAGTAAACAAATCAAGCGAGACAACAGCAATGCTCTTCGACATCGACCTAACCACCATGACCGGCTCACTCCTCCGAAATCTATCAGATCCCACAGACCCAATTTACGCCAACACCCAAGGAAATCTACAGATCCTCGGCGAAGAAACACATACCTCGAACATGTTCGTCGGCTACGGATCCAGTCCAAATGTCAAAGAGTATAACGGTAAGGGCGAAGTTGTCCTATCGGGAGAATTCGGCGCCCTAGAACACGCCATGTCATACCGCGCTTTCAAAAATAAATGGGAGGCCACTCCATTCTGGAACCCCGCTGCTGTGATCGAAGATGGGGTCGTTTATATGAGTTGGAATGGCGCGACTGAGTATGATAACTGGGCCATCTACTCCCTTCCGTCTCTGGACTCGAATGCAACACAACCCATAAGCACCCTTCCACGTACTGGCTTCGAGACCAATATGAGCATTACTGATATTGATGCGAAGTTTATCAAGGTTGCTGCTCGCAAGGGTGAGACAATCTTGCGATTCAGTGATCTGGTCGAGGTATGATATTGTATGGCTGGTCCTGATATGACGGAGTTTTCTCGCTTTTTCTGGGCGACTTTTGGTGTGTTCTCTGCTTGAGTATACTTATTTCCTGTGTGTGCCTTCGATGGCATAGTTGGACTATAGAATCTTAATTTACCTCGCCTTTGGAATGTGTCAATCAACTGTCAGTGGTTTGTGGGGAAGTGGGTCCAAGAAGCATACCTTAAGTGTGTGCGTGGCGGAGTACCCATATGTACATTCTGGCTTCTGTCCTTGTAAAATTACTACCTACCTAGGTAGTAGAGGAGATCTAGTAGAAGAGATCTAGTAGCCTGATTACCAGCGCAATCGGCCAAGTTAAAAACTTGAGAATAACTGGAAGTCAAAATCCTCATGCTCCTTTTTTGAAATCAACCTGGCTGGCAAGCCATTGAAAGTATATGGTATTTTGCTAATACAAGCCACAAGAGAATCACAATCGAACGAAATGTATATGCGAAGTTTCTTCCAAGAACAAAATGGGGAGTATCCAGGCCAACATGAGGAAATATACAGGATCAATCACGAACTGTTCAAGACAACCATTCATTGCTCGGCAATATCTCAGATATAGCTCACCTTAACGCCCATGCCGACCGTGCTCCTAATCTTCTGCCACGCGCCGCCCGTAATCCTGCGGACTCGGTCGCGTACATCCTGTCGGCTCATCGCCATCAAGATACCCAGCACGAAAAGCAAAGTCCGGACTATTGACATCGGGTTCCCGGACACGCTCTGGATAATATGCTTGAACAGGTTTCGAATAGCATTGGCCACTGCCCGCGACTGGCTGCGGGGTTCGGGCTTGAGCTGTTTCTTGGAATTCTTCGAGCTGGAAGATGAAAGCGCCGTTCGGGTCGAGGACTTGCCATTCGGCGACTTGTCTGATGGTTTGGAAGACCCCTTCCCCTTGGAGGAGCTGCGTGGGCTACCCTTCTCAATCCCGTAATCAACCTCGCTGGTATTCCGCTTGTGACCGTTCGCTTTCGGCTGTGCTGCGGCAGCGGCCTCTTCTGCTTGTCTGCGCTCATCCTCTCGTTGTCTGTCCAGCTCGGCATCTTTCTGGCGTTGTAATTCAGCTGCGCGCAGCTCTCCTCGTTCTTTTTCTTCCTTAAGTCCCTCTAATGTTTGGAGGAAGAGCTCTTTACGCTCTTCGTCTAGGACTTCGCTCATGTTGATGAACTCGGTCGCATATTCCCACTCCTCATTTCGAGGGAGAACATGCAGGGTGAACAACTCAATGATCCTTACTCGAGCGGCAAGGTCCTTTGGTGTATCGGCTCCGCTTGATGCAGCCATGCGCTGCTGCTGGAACCCGTTGGAGACATCTTGGAGACGATCGGCGAGGTCGCTGGGCTGTCCATACGAGGAGAGGTAGGTCTCGAGCCGTTGCTGGTTCAAGGTTTGAGAAGATGAGTGGTTGAGGAGTAGTGTAGCACTAGTTGTGGTGGGTTAGCCGCGGTTCATTGTAAGCGGAGAGAAGAGGGGGCTGCTCACAGGTTGTAGACGACCTCCGCATCCACGGAACCTTCGCGGCCCTGATAGCCAATTTGTACGACGGTATCCCAGATACCACCTTCACGCACTTGCGTGGCCATATTCTTCCATTCTTTCTGACCGAATTGGTTCTTGCCCTCCTCTGCGCCAAGATCGACTATTGCGCTGAGCAGGGTGATGTAGAGGTTCCACACCTTGATTCTCCACGTGCTGGGGGCAATTGCGATCGGGGCGACACCGGCCGCATAATCGCCATTGGTATATTGTTCATCTTGTGGTAATTCACCGGTGATAATTGGCTGGAGTGAGGAGAGGGACTCTGGCAGGCGGCGCGTCAAGTACAACTGGGAGGCTTTCTTGTAGGTCTTGGAGCATAGCTTCGTGGGGGATGTGGGGGAGGAAGAGGAAGGAGAAGATAATTTGGTGGAAGACATTCCGTCAGCTATACGGAAATGGCATGGAAAATGGGGAGGTAATGGGTGAGAGCGAGGCGGAGTTGAGCGAGAGAGAACGTGGAGGTCGGAAGTTGGGGCTGCGATCGGCTGTCGTTTTCCCTCGGCTCCCAAGTCCGGGGGTGCTCGTCGTCACGGGATCCTCGGCGCGGGCAACTAGGCGGTGACTACAAAGTATAGTTACTACGTGTATACTACTTTGTATACTACTTATACTCGGGATGAAGATGCTGAGAACTAACGAGAGTAAGTGGTAGGTCACACTGATCATGACTGGGGTACAGGATGTCCGATTCTTTTTGCACACGTGAAACACCTGGGCATGAGACAAGATGTTTAATACACCAGAGGATGCCAGAAAGCATGCTACATATACTCGCGACGCAAAAGCAATTCTGTTCTCATAGCCAAAATATAGTAGCAAGAGAAGAGACAATGTACTAGCAGAATTCAACTTGATTGCCACCTGAATTGACCAGTCTCAAGCTGGCATCAAAATTGCAGCACCCTGGCCAGCTGATCGGGAAACCCTAGCCTTGTGGTAAAAATTGCTCGTAGATAACATCGGATTCAGATTTATTCGAGAATTGAGGACCCCGGAGATTGAACATCTCAAACCAGTACAATAACTGCTACCTAGGTAGAGACCTGTTCTGAAGGCGATTTGGCAATGGACTGACAGTATGTACTCTGGAGAAAGTGGTATATCTTCAAGGGGCCCAGAGCGGCAATTGAAGACATCAATTGCAACCTGAAGTACTGGTAGTAGATAGATAATTAATCTTTCATGTTTCTAGATTATTGATGTTATGAAACGCGGTTCTTCAAAAGTTCTGAAATTCTATATTGATATTTTTTTTTCTTCAATTTGCATGGATAGATAAATAAAATAGTACGATGAGTGCCGAAGTGTCTGCGACAGCTATCTAACAGTACGCCTTAGATTGAAGAAGGTACCGCTAGCGAAAAATAGCCGCTATTCATTCTGAGCACCACTGAATGGTCGACTGGCCGTGGGGAGAACAAGACGCAGTGACGATAAGGTATGGGTGCCTGGGAAGAAGAAGAAATGAAGTGGACGAAAATTCTCAATTTAAACAACCATCGGGCGGTCTGGGGCTTGTGGGCAGTTTCAGAGCCTACTTGGGTCTAGCGCCATCGCCAACGTGACTTTGGGAACTTTTCTCGGCTTGACAACACTCGCATATCTCCAGCTATATCATTGAGCCTGCAATCACATCATGTCGTCCGGTTCCAATGGCGCCAGGCGCATAACCTCGCTTTTGCGTACGTATCTGTCATCTGTTTAAACCCAATTTGGACCCCCAACTGACTCCCCCTAACAGGACCCTCAAAACTCGACTTCGGCGTTTGCAGAAGCTGTCAAGAAACCCTTGGCCGTCGCAGCTATGCCTCTACTGCCACTGCGACCGTGACTGAGACTCCTACCGACACACCGGCTACCTCTACCGCTACCCCTCCCTTCCCTTACACCATCAATGCCGGCGTTGTCCTCTCGCGCCCACCCCAAGTCACCCGTGACCTCGAGCCCTTCGAGAAAGCTTTCCATTTCTACCAGAAGCGTTTGAACGAGCGCTTGGCTCTACCTTTCACCAAATATTTCTACTTCAAGCGCGGAACCCCGGCGGACGAGGACTGGAAGAAGAAGATCCAGGAGCGCCGGACTCCTGCACGCGACATCGGCAAGTACAACGCGTACGACAGCGACTCGTGGAACGATGAACTCCTTCTCGGCGCCAAGGAGGCCGAGCCCGAGCACCAGGTCGAGATGCTCGTTCAGGATGCTGAATCCACAGCCAATGCCACCTCCCAAGATACCAGCAAGAAGGAAGAGATCCCGCGGCCGCATTCCCGAGTGACCGAGGCGGATAAGAAGGGTGATCACAAGAGCTTGAACCGTCTGCTTTCGCGGACTCTTTATCTGCTTGTTCAGTCGAAGGAGGGACACTGGAAGTTCCCCAGTATGCCCGTGGAGGCAGAAGAGACCCTTCGTCAGGTGAGACTAATTCCATTCAAGATCCGTATTTCGGTGAAATTCCATGGTGCTAATACTTTCCCCCCTTCCAGGCCGCGGACCGCACCCTTTATCAAACCGCCGGCGCCAACATGAACACCTGGATGGTCGGCTTCCACCCCGCCGGCCACCACGTCTACAAGAACCGCAAGCCCCACGTTGACAAGGTCACCGGTGCCGAGAACCACGGCGAGAAGACCTTCTTCCTGAAGTCTCGCATCATGGCCGGCCAGGCCGATCTGTCCGCCAACAAGGATCTGAAGGATTTCAAGTGGCTGTCTAAGGAGGAGATTGCCAGCTACGTGCTGCCCCAATACTACAGCTACGTCAAGAACATGCTGGCCGACCGATAAACAATCCGAGATGATGAGTCCTCCAACGTTGAAGGCCTGATAGGGCAGTGGGAGGATGTATTAGAAACCGAAAGAGGGAGAAACTGACCAGGCAGGACTGGCGGTTATTTCCTGGGGCGCTATTGGCAGCGTTCTGCATATACTTTTACCACGTATGCCATGTATAACTAGATTTTTCCGTGTACTGTCAATTGAACTATTCCATTGAGTTGTCTTGAGTCCTAAAACGCCATGCCATGCCATCAAGCCCACCGCCATGAAGAAACAGATATTAGATACAAAACAGGAATCACCGAAGGTTAAACTTCTGCCCTTGCACGACCGGTTGTTCCTTCGCTGTTTTGCCTGCAAGATTCTTCCCGCACATCGGACACGCTACATCCGTCAGCATGTATCTTTGATGATAGTAGGACAAGAGTGAACGGCGGCGAAAATTAGTGCCAACTTGGAACATACCATTTCTCCTGTAGGCGCACTTCTGACAGAACTTCTTCCCTTGCTCTGTCTTTGTCTTGCAAGACTCACAAGATGAAGCATAGGCAGCGTATGGATTCTTTGCCTTGGCGCTGAGGAGTTTATTCTGCATTGATCAGCCAAATCCAACGAAGAAACCCTGAATAAACTCGGAAAATTATGCAATCCAAGACACACTTCTGGAAGAGATGTTAACATACCTTCCCCACACCCGTCGCACCTAATGTCGACTTTCCCTTTGAGCCACTACCCAAAGTACTCGATGGCGAGCCGTGATACATATCATTCTTGTTCTTGACGCCGGGCGTGGCGAGCTCGGTACTTTTGAGCTTCTTCTGGCATTTCGAACAGACCATTTTCGTTGAGTGTTGAGGGGAGGTATTTGCGGGGAATGGTTGTAATGATAGGATTGATAGCGGGTGGAGATGAAGTTTATCTTCGGATGCGCCACCGCCTGGCTGGCTGAAGCTGGGTGCAAGTTCGAAGTGCAGGAATGCTCAATTTTCTCGAGAAAATACATTTTTTGAAAGAGAAGGATTCAAAAATGAGATCAAAATGGATGCTAGAAAGACTGTTGAGAATGAGTGCCTAGGCACCCACACCTCAGGCATCCCAGGCCGCCCTCTCCTAAATAGATTCACTTTGGCTCTACATCTTGATTCAACTCTTACCCGCTCTTAACCCCAAGGGGCATCTACACATATATCCTGCTGTCATCCGTCGCCCCCACGGAATATGCAGTCAGCTGCTGGAGTTTCATATTTTAGAAGGATGGTTAGATTGGGGTTTGTAACATCGTTGGCAAAAATAACTGATCAGCTATGTTAACTAAACCCTGTGAAACTGCTCAAAAGCGAATCCCACTGTACGTCGTCAATGGAGAACATGTCGTCCAGATCGCCGTATATAGACGGCCAGACTTTGGATGTGACAACCCCATCCGCATCAACCGCCGTGATGGGCGCATGCTGAGCTTGGGAGGGCACATTTCCAACTATTTCCCGGACTTGATATGGATAGCAACGTGCTAAAAGACGCATTTTAGAGCAAAGACTCCCCACAACATCAGTCTCTTTATCTGCGGCAGACATTCCCCGAAATTTTGTTTCCAGAACGATGGCAAGCTCCGTGACAATATTAGAATAATCTGCTGCTTCAACAACAACCTGAACCTGTGTTTCCCTGTCAGAGTCGGCAGAGCTGGCAATGAGCTTCAGTAGAGTTAATGCTGCTGTAGACAAGCAGCCCACAGCGGCACATATATGAGCGCTGGTATTTATCACCATTTGACCAATCTCAAATATCGGTATAGTTGATATCGCGTGGATAAGCTCCTTGCTTTGCTGTATCATATCCATCAACATTGTCGTTCTGACTGTGCTGGCAGGCTCTACAGTCCACATTTCCTCCCGAAGACATAATTCATGTAGCCGCATTTCCGCATACATGATTTCAGTGCGAATTGCATTGACTACAATAGCTGGTCAGTCTCCATAAAGCACATAGATCCAATTCATACCTGTTGATAATGGGAAGTCAGGGAAATCATTCTCTACGCGTATTCTCATGCTATCAAATTGCCGCTGTAGAGAATTGCGCGTTACTTGGACCAGTGCCTTGCCACCGCTTTTCTGCATCGAGGTGTGAACTTCATCCATCATTGTCAAGAAAGACTGTATGTGGATAAATGGCGCGATCCATAAATCCGATTCATGCTCGGTAAATGTCAAAGTTTTCATGCACTCATCAATTCGACTGTCGTGCTTTATGACAACCGGCCGACCAAGTACGCCATAGGAGCTGATATAGAATTAGCCGAAGTCGTACCTACCAGCGTAGGGATTCTTACCCGGCCGATAGCCAATATGTACCGAGCAGTACCCGCTGCTCATTCAAATTTAAATTAGGCTTTTTGTGCAATCCCAAATCATACAACATAGACACACAAATTTGCATCAGAAGTAAAAACCGCGGATGGTATTTCTCTGCAGGGTATGAGTACCATGCGACATGAACCAACAGACCGCGGAGCAACTCGAGGTTTCTCTCTGACCGTGTCACTATTCTCAACGTAACGTGTTTCATAATCTCGTCTGCTACAATTTTGCGCAGACGGTGGGAGCTGCCCATGGTCGCCGACACGACGCATAGGAAGAGAAAAGGCTCTCGGTTCTTGAGCTGAGCTACGTTTTCGCTATTTTCAATCAAAATGAAAGGAAACTTGGGCAGAAAATCAAGTCGGAAGGTTGCAAGTAATTGCTCAGCCTCAGCTTCACTCAAAAGCCCTCGATCCACGATGGAAGGCTGGCCCTCCATAGCAGAGCCGGTTGGCGGCTCAGAGCCGTGGGACGGTTCCGTAGCAGCATCTATAAGCGCGGCGATTTCTCTTGAGTCCAGCTTGGGATCATAAGATGAGCCTGAGTCGTTGGAGAGCGGAGTAGAAGTATTGAATGGTGTCTGCACATTTGGTTTGGTCAAGGCAACGAGCTGCGATGTCAGCTGGTCGACCTTGTTTTCTAGCACCTCAACCCGGCTTTATCCATCATTAATACTATAAATTGCAATGTTCATTAGGTAGGATTACCTTGGTGTGGCCTTGCGCTTGCGCTTAGTTTGCGGAAGGTCAAGGTATGTACATGGCTTGCCCAAACGAGCGCACCGCTGGCACAGGCCTACGGCTTTCGGCGTGCATTTCGCCTTGACATTTGTGCAAGCCACGCATGCTCTCCTCTTAATTGCAGATATTGAGTCGGTCATTATATTTCTAAGGGACTCTCAGTGGCCGGGGAGGAAACGGACCGGTCGATGCGGAGGAGCCGGTTGGAAGGAAGGTTGCTGAGCAATGCAGTTGGACCGGGGCGAACGGATCGTCCGGTCGGACCCCAATTTGTAATCCCCGATCATCATGTTGTATATAAAAAAGCAAGTAAATGTCGAACAAATATCCCAGTCACATTAATAACAGATCATTTATTTCTTCATTCGACAGTAACTTTCTTTCAATAAACTCGAGAATGTCTTCTTATCTCATCACTGGAGCCTCTAAGGGCATCGGCTTCGAATTCGTACGCCAACTTGCCGCCGATACAACCAACACGGTCCTGGCAATTGTGCGAAATCCCGATTCATCCAACATATCCAAGCTTGCTTCAAGTCACCATAATGTGCATCTTATCAAAGGCGATGCTACGGATCCAAAGTCTCTTCTCGAGGCCGCCTCAGCCGCTGCCGCCATCACAGGCGGGAAACTTGACGTGCTCATCCACAACTCCAACGCAGTCGATATGGCGACCATGACCTACAGTCCGAGTCAGGTTCCCTTTGATGCTCAAGCTACTCGAGATATGTTTGAACCATCTCTTGCTACTGCAATTTATGGGGGTCTGTGGACAACAAATGCTTTCTTGCCTTTGATTGAGAAGGGCGTGCAGAAGAAAATCGTGCATATCTCTAGCGGCATGGCAGATTTGGATCTCATAAAAGCAAGTGGTCTTAGCTATGCCGTCGCATACTCCGTCTCAAAGGCTGGAATGAACGTCCAAGTCGCCAAATATGCAACAGAACTTGCACCCAAGGGCATCAAGGTGTTGGCCTTGAGCCCTGGATGGGTTGATACGTGGGAGGGTAAGTGACCTTCCTTGCCTTGTTTCAATAATGACAGGCACTAATATCATAGCAGGAGAGATGCCCGCAGAGGTATTACAGGCGAACCAGTCGATGCTGGAGCAGTTCCGGGCACAAGATCCTTCACTCCAGGGCCAAATTCAGCCTGAGGAAAGTGTTAGAAAGAGCCTGAAAGTTATTGAAGACCTGGATTCTGAGAAAAGTGGTTCTTTTGTGAGCCAGAATGGAGATCGCGTGAACTGGTTCTAAGCGCTCTACATATTCAACGGGCCTTTCATGAGCAGCTGAGCGTTAAGTGTCGGTACCAGATAGTGATTTGATCAAATACATTAATATTTTTTGTATATTGTCATATTTAGCGTATTAACATAAAATGGGTATTTCTTGCGCGACATTTGAGAACGAAAAAAGGGCAATCATGGTCTTGACGCCAAATTAGTGGCAGCAGAAAGGTAAAGCACCAGTGTCGTCCACGGCGTAGTAGTATTGGTTTAGAGATACGAGAGATGCAGTCGCATTGCTTGAATGCTGCACTTCAGCAGCTCTAATCATTTCGAAGCTTCAGCCACTAGGACATTCACTTTTGTAGCGGTGATGGTTGCTGTTGATACGGCTGCACAGGCACGGGTTGCCCGTGTTGCTGGTATTGCTGCGGGTATTGAGGCTGCGGCTGTCCGGGATATGGCTGGAATTGCTGCTGGTAAGGGTATTGGTATTGACCATTGCCGTATGTGTAGTGCACCGTAGCAGCTTGTGGCTTGCCGATTGAGTCATCAATATGGCGCCACTTCTGGCAGCATAGCAGGATTCCGACAAGGGTACCGACGCCAAAGAGAAACTGCAAAATCGCCAGCGCGGTCTGCAAGTAGTCAGGGACGACAAAGACAAACTCAATATAGTAGCGGATGTAAACGACGGCATTTGTCAGAGTTAACGCGAACCAGCAGATGCTTCCGCCGAGCAGGGCATAGATAGGAATCTTCGATGGTGTGAGTTGCTTTCAATTTCATACACCAGGCAGGGGGTGGGGGTCCATTCTATAACTTACTCGTGAAGTGAATCTATGGGAGCCAGCCTTGATTGCAGCGAAGAGTACCCAGGCAAAGATCTCCAAGGATACCACGAAGAAAAGAATGGCTCTTGCGCCATCCACCTTGTTCAAGTCCAACGAAAACATTTCCAAACCGGTGTACGGTCCTTGAACATATCTGACCCTTACTACCACATACATGGCCCACGCCGCAAGTGAGACTGCTGTTAAAATGCCGAGAATTATCCAGTGAACTATTGCGACAGCCGCGTAGGGTTTCCCGGAGTCTGTGAGGCGGTTGAGCAGACGGTGGGTCAGGTTGTAGAAGACAAAGACAACCATCAAGATAGCCAAATCGGAGAAAAACACTTGAAGCATCAGGTCAATGTTATAGTATTGAGTAATGACGGCCTCGGCAAGGAAAAAAATCTCGTAAACTATTGTGGTAATTTGAGCGCTAGATTTAACTGTCAGTTGTGATTGGGTCTCCCGATGTATACAATATCATTTTCATACCATAACCATGCGACAAGAGCCACTACGACGCCCTTCGTCTGTCCATTGTGGCCTCGTATCAAGCACGACCAGATCAGAAATCCAATGATTGCGAGAGCGAAAAGGATATCGAAAGCAAAGCCTGCGATGAAGAGACTCTTTGAAGTGTATTCGTCCAGTGAAAATGAAGTCTCCGTGGCCCAGACACTTGAGGAGCCTGCGAAGTAAGAGCTAGAGCTTCCTCCGCTACGTCGCGGTGCCATTTTGTGTTGGTGTTAAAGCGAAATCACGGTGGGTCTCAGTTTGTTGTAGAAGTACAAGGCTTGGCTGCGCTCAAACTGAACCTGTTTCGCAGTGTGCAGGCACTACAAAGGGCTTCAAGATGCGCCTAAGTGGTATAAATTCGCGTGCAGAAAAGAGAGAGAATTTCCTCATCACTTTGTTTGAGTCCTCGCTCCTTTTAAACGGGCCAACGCAGGGCTCAATCGAGCGGCTCTTAGACCTTGAATACGAGGCTGAGCCGAGACCCTTGGGCTTCTATTGGACAGGAAAGTTTAGGGCAGAGCAGAGGCGCTAACAATACGAAGAGAGTGCCTTGGCTTTTAGCTTTCACCGTGCAACTCACTATTCTCGATTGCCCGATTCCTTTGGTCATGTCCTTGGCATGTTGTGATGATCCTGTTGAACTCTTAGACCGGCCCCTTTTCAGGCATTTGGCCCCCATATTTCCCGGATTTCCCATATTTTTTTGTTTTATTTTAGGCTCCTGCACTTTCGACGAGTTTAAGAGTCTGTGGTCGAGGGTCTTCACGTGTGTGATAGAGTGATTGAAATGACAGAAACGCATAATAGGGGAGATCAACACGAGTCGATTCATTTAAGCCGGTTGAGTCGTCCCCTGAGGAATTTGTGGCTTGACGCCAACTCATCATAAACGAGATAAAGGGTCTACGAAGCAGGTCAGCAGTTAAATAGAAAAGAAGCCGAGTAGGTCTTGTCTATAAGCTTAGCAAAGATTTGGTCTCAAGGCTGGTTGGTTCCTATCGAGGGGAGATCGGGGGTTTTATGGCCATCAGCTTGTCTCACCCTCATCTGACCACCCCCAGCAGTTCCCACTGTCAAACACGTCACCCACAGCTTATCCAGTTCACTCCAGCTCACTGATGCTTCTTTCTGCCACTCCACCACTTCTCCACCTCGGCCTCCCCGAGAACACCTCAGCAAGTCTCGTGCTTGCAACAGATTACCTTCTTCAGCCGAGTGCAGCCCTTAAGTGGAGAGCAGGGTTGTGGCTGAGTCGCACCACCGCCACGCAACTTGAAACTCCTCCGCTTCTTCATAACTTGATCTCAGGGAATATCCTAGAGCACAATCTCAGCTGTGCCTGCACGGGCGGCTTTAGAGCCACGCCGCCATGCATCGATCCGACCGATCGTCCTGGAACAGATCCAAAAAGCCCGTCGTCGTCGTGGCGACAATTCACAACTGTCGCACGGTCATTCAGCACAAGGGTAATCCACCGAGTTAAAGCCATCTTCAGCTGCGCTTGCGCGTGGATCTCGATGTCCCGTTCTCTATGGATCGTTGGCCTTTTTTTTTTTGCTCCGTACTCCTCTACATGCTCCGTCTTTGCTCACTCCACTTACTCTCAAGGGTAGTTTTTGACGCAGTTCGGGGCCCGCATGGTCCCCCAAGCTGTCACAACGTGATTGATTCCCCGGGGATGCATGGGGACCCGCCACTTGCGAACTGGTCCGCCGAAGCGAATCAAGGACGCGCTGGAGGCGAGACCTCAGGGTTTCGACCCGACATTCTTTGCGATTGTAGACTCCGGCAATGTGGTTCTTCCCAAGTGAGTGGTACGGCTGTCGGGTTTATGGAGTCACCTAGCAGACTTGAATGGTTCGCCCCAAGTCACGATCCCCTGAAAGATAGTTCCAGGGGTGGGGGAACATCACAAAATCCATTTGATCATATAAATAGAGTACTAGTCACGATGCAATGAACGATCCCCTTTTTTTCCTTTTTCCTGGAGATCCTTTAACACCATCTGCATAACGCGCAAGTCGGCGTTTCGTTCGGGGCATTTCGAGATTCCTTCATTGTTTCTTTTCTTTTTGGGCTCGTCTGGTTTTCTTTTGGTGTCGTGTTCCCTCGAGGATACTTCAAAAAGACCGCATTCGGCACGCACTCCGCAACATCCGCTCTCTCCTCCACTGCACCACGACCCCAACAAATTCTTCATCATAGCTTTCTTTCGGTTTTAAATATCTTCTGTCTAATTGCCAACTCACTCTGCAATACTCGGACACCTACTTAAACTTTCCCGCCTTATGCGCTGACGCCTCCCGCCCCCTTGTGGTTCGACCGGCCTGCCCGACGATCTGATGATCTGCAGGGAATCGGAGCTCAAGTTCGGAGTACGATACATACATCATCCAGATCAGATCTCATTTTCCAACCAAGCACCTCGTGGCCGATCCACCGCTCTTCTGAAACAAACTTGGACGTTATCTATTCCATTCCATCCCATCCCGTCCTATCCCATCCCAAAGAGAGCAAAAAAGAAATAAGAGAGAAATCAAGAAAATCATACTGTGTCTCAGGCGAGCACAGTAACAAGCTAGAGCTAGCACCAATATGCCCCCAAGCGGCTCTTCATTCACGGCACTAAACCTACCCCCGACATTCGACCTCCCGCAATGCATGGAATACTTCAGTCTAACGGCCGGCCCAAACACGGATTTATGGCGGAAACCACCCAACGGCGATACTTCGACTGCGCCCATCGTCTTCACCTCACTCCGCCACCCATTCATCATCGCCGAAGTGACCGTGAGCGCGGACTGGGAAATGGAATGGGATCAGGGCGGCCTGGTGATTTTCGCCGGCGCAGCTCCGCAGTCCTTCTCGTCCGATACAGCCGCTCTCTCCCGCCGAACAGGTAGACCCAACCCGCCCTGTAAATGGGTGAAAGCGGGCATGGAATTCTCTTCCGGCACCGTAAATGCATCCAGCGTGAGTGCCACGGCCGACGGCGCAGACTGGTGTTTATCTCCGCTCGTGCAGACAGTGCCCGGTCCCGCGGTCCAATCTATACGCATCAAGCTCGAGCGCATCGGCCACGCGTTGTGGATTTGGTACCAGGTTCCGTCGGCATCACCGTATGACCTCACCCCCGGGGCCGTGGGGAGTACGTGGAAGAAGTTACGCGAAGTCACCTGGTTCTTCTACGGGGTGGAGGATAAATTCGTGCATGTGGGTGTGTATGCGAGTCGGCCGACGAGTCTTGGTCGTGGACAGACCATGTGGGATGCTATGCATGGGGTTCCATTGGAAGGGGCATCGGCGGCCGGTTCGTCTGATGGGTTGGTGGTGGAATTTGAAGATCTGGAAATCATCTAGGCGTGTCTTTTTTCGCGGTTTCTATTTTTCTTTTTCTTTTGTTCTGCAATTATCTGGTTTTGCTTGTTCTTCTTTCTTTATGATCGTGGTCCTTACCAGCGTTTAGCAAGCGAGCTTGTGGCATGATCGGAGTCAATTTTGATCTTTCATGTTGATATTTTTTTGTTATCCCACTTAATGTTAATTCTGCAATCAAGCAATTGGTATCTTACATACTATTAGTACTAATTCTTTTTTTTTTGGAGTTCTGAGGTTTACTATTTACTAGTGCTCCGTCATCTACGCTGGTAGCTGATTGTTTAACGAGGTTGCTAAAGTATACCTAGGTACCTAGGTATTTAGACAAGAATTTCTGCTCATATATCCAAAGGGTTATGTGTATTTGTGTTCGAATTACTCGGAGTCACCGGGCGTAACGTTCGTGGTGTGGTGGTTTCCCAAATGGCGGAAGTATATATCAGAGGCACATACCACCATATCCTGGTCAGTCTTAGTGCAACTGGAAGTTCAAGTTTTTACCAGCAACCTCAATAAGAAACGCCAGAGGATGCAAGAGCTAGTTATTTAAACCGCGTATTATACGAATCAATATTCTATTGTAAATAAAAGGAACCCCTTGGCTACTAGTACTCCACGTGAATGGAGTTCAGATCTTCCACAATTTCCCAAGCGACAGAAACGACGGAATCACACCACCGAAGTCGTATCTTACCTCGGCAGAACTAAAACATTTCCATCAAGTCTTACAGGTACTATCAGACCCTTGAATATACTAATACCCAGATCAGCCACCTGGGCGTAGGTAAGATTAGTCTCATGGATGTCAGCTGAGTCATCGCCGACGGGTAGCCGGAGCGCGCTACCCGAAAATCGGAGCTAGCGAGTTTTCGCTGAGCTGGGGTTCGAGGTCGCACCAGAAGCTACACAAAGCTGCTGGGCGGTATCTAACAAGCTCAATCGGGACAATAGGCTCACATGAGATTGTAGCTTAAGCATTGACCGTCAATGAATGGGCGTGGCGGAGTGGTCGTTGGGAGAAGATTACACCTAGCTTCCGTCCACCCGGCCCCATATCAAGGGGATTGTCGGGTTGCGATGGAGATACCAGGTTCACCCGGATAGCTGAACAGCTGTCAGGTTAAGCTCAAGCCGAGAGCTTTGTTGATTTGCATACGTAGACTGATACGGACCATTGGATGCTCTGCTTCCCCGTGGGGTTGGAAAATGCAGAGTCCATGGGGAGAGGAAAAGCAGGATCTAGGGAAGACAGATACGACACTCAACACACAGAGTTTTTGGCTCTTTCGAAGTTGGGATGGGTGAGGCCATATAGACTCTATATGTACAGAAAGAAATAGGTGTTGTAGATGACGCTGAAAAGTAGTACATGGTAATACATCACGACCAAATACCCTCCCCGGCGGAAACAAAGGAAAAGAGTAAGAAAAAAAGGGGGTTCGAACAAACAGGAGAGAAACTGTCTATAATTTTCTTTCTTTTCTTCGTTCCTTCAAAGGCCGATTGCTCGAGGACCCCGGGATAGATGCGTAGATACTATAACACCGGGGTCTTGACGAATATATGGTGACACGTTTAGACGTACTTGCACATCATGGCAACCATCAGGTCGAACAGACCCATGGCCTCAACGAAAGCGAAACCCAGAATGGCGTAGGAGAAGAGCTGGCCACGGAGAGCAGGGTTGCGGGAGACGGACATCAGCAGAGCGGCGAAGACGAGACCGATACCGATACCGGCACCACCGAGACCGATGGCAGCGGAACCCATACCCAGGTTCTTGGAGACCTCAACCATGGCGGTGGCGACCTCAGAGGAGTACTGGCGGCGGGCAGCAGTC